AAAGTTCAGACGGCTCCTCGGTTACCTTGGCAAATCCTTGATAGATCTTACCAAGGAACTCTGGTGATTGCAAAAGCCTAACCACAAGTGCAATTGGGTCCATAACATAGATACTTCGCATTTCAGAATTCACAAGGCGTCGCTCTGCTGCTGAGAGTGTTGGCAGTTTCGTTGGAATAATTGAGATTTGTCTCTCTAAGAGTGGAATTTGTCTGAATTGACCCCTGAGACGTCTTTTCAAGGTCCCAAGATCTGATGGCAGCTCTGGGAGCTGGGGTAGGTCCTTAATACTTTCAAAAAGCTCACAAAGGAGCTGAAAGTTTTCTCGAGATATTGCCATCGTAATCATCAGCAAAGTGAGTGCAGCACTGAATGCGTCCATTGGAGTTCTTGTCTGAGGAACAGGAACAACATCCAAGGAGACATCCTGGAATATTGGTATGGCTGAGTGATATATGCCTTTGGGAGGAGGCATAGATAGTTTCGGTGTTGATAGAGAAGCGGAGATGGGTGTTGTAATAGTTTCTGTGTCTGACTCCTGTGGCCCTTCCTCTTCTTCAGACTCTGGTGAGGCTAGGGCATCCTGATTTAACTGAGCGATTCTCTCTCTGGTCAGGGTACTATCCAGAACTTTCAGGGCAACCATATGACCAACATCGCTCTCAGGCTCAGGGCTTAGGCTACCGTCTGATTGCTCTGAAGAGGAATGCTGTTGTTGGGCTGGGACTGAATCCTGATCGCTCTTGATAGACTAGTAAAATATAGTTAGTAAGTAATTCAACTCAGGTGTTGTCGAGGAACTTACTTTTAAGCTCAGTTGCCGCGAGCTTAAAATAATAGATGGGTTATCATCACTCGTACTGACATCAAGCATATCCACGTCAGCATCACCAGCTTGATATTGCTCAATAGATGGTACTATGGGCCCAGCAGGGTTCGATGTCTGCATTAGTGTCTGCTGGTGTACTTGAAGGGGAATCTGAAGTCCCTGAGAAGGATCGTGCTGTTGTTGAAGGTGATATTGCTGCTTCTGGCTACGAGATTGCTGTCCTTCCTCAGGGGCATGGCCAAGCATTTCTTGGTATCGGAGGTACTGAATGGGCCGGCGATGTCCGCGTCGCGACATTGTGAGGATGACTTGGTGAGGCTGTGGAATCAAGATAAATAACAGGGCGAGGTCAGGCCTAAAGTCTCGTTAGCTTAAGTATGGAAACTTGTTGAGATAAGCAGAGTGAGAAAGGACCCTGAAATCCTGATGGAGTGATCGCACTGAGAAAGTTCAGTCTGCAAAGCCGGTAACCGTTTGGCACAGGCTGGGACAGTGTGTGTCTTACCTAGGGCATGGGGAAATTTCTGGGGCTCGTGTGAAATGCCAGCGAAAATAGAGGACTGGATACTAGGAGAGCTGATGAAAAGGATTGTTGTTGACAGAAGAGCGTGTGTAAGTAAACATATTTGTTTTGGCCTGGCACTAAGGCGCCCTGTAGTGTATAGCAGGTGTGGGCGGCAAAATCCCACGCGTGCCTGCCTAAAGTGCCATATTTATGGTGCAGTGTTGTGTCTGGTGGTAGTATCACAAGATACTGGACCAGAACGGTATTGAAAACGTAAATCGTAGCACTGTCGTCTAGAAACCTCATTTTTAGAAGTAAGGAAAATTTTTTAGAAGTGATAAAAATATAAAATAAAGATTGCAAGCTGTTTGGGGTTTTAAAAATAATGAAATTCACATTTGAGCCATACTACTTCTATATGGACCGTACTATAGAGTATGACGGGTACACTGCTGATTACAATACTGTATTGTACTATTATGGACTGCCGCAAAACGCGACGCCAACTATCATAACACATCCACAACACCCTTCTCACATCCTCCATCCTGACTTAATCACTGCTCCAACTCTCCGTCTGTCCAACAAATCAACTACACTGCCCTTTTAAGGGACCCCAAGGCCCAAATTCAGTATCATTCAGCAAAGCTCAACTCTGTGGGTAAGTCACTCCACTAGTCCTAACCTCACAGGTGCTGTGTGAGGAATGGTAATTGACTGTTATAATGGACCCCTGGCTAACATTTCTACAGTCCAACATCTACTATGCCTTCAGGAATTTCTGTCGCCTCACAGTCACGGGGCAAAAGTCTCAGCAAAAGGGTGATTATTCATACTTCCAAATCTGGCTTCAAGATTCAAGAGACTAATCAAAATCATATAGGCTAGAATCTCAGAGTGCGAAGATCCTCCTCAGTTCCCTGAAGTACAGACAGTTCGACCGCGAACCACAGATCAAGAACCCTGCAGCTCATCCCTACAAGAATCATCCCAGGCAACAATAAGCACTACTAGCTTAGCCATAAGTCAGGGAACGACTGAGCCATGTGAAACCCCGATTCCGACTGATGTCCCAACAAGCGAAGATATCATTTTATCGACCCTCGAACAAGATACTTGTTCTATGCCAGGGGGGATGGAAATAGACAAGTGCAGCGAAACAGAAAAAGAAAAAGAGGAGGCACTCGACCATATCATATTCATGCAAAGTTCCCACTGGGAGCTGAGCAAGAGAGGGCCCTCTTCTACGAGCGGCAACTTATCTACTACTGCCGTTGGCACTACCTATTATATTTCTGGGTGGATGCGAATAATGTTGATGAACTTGTGCAGAAAGCACAGCCTGGTTTAACGCCAAACCAACCTGAATGGGGGTCACACCTCACCCATGCCCAGAATTTGGTTAAGGTTTGGAAGTCTAATACGATTAAGAGCATGCAGGTATAGTCCAAGGCTACCTCCTGACTATCTATAGTTACCCATGGCTAATTATCGCAGGCATATGTTCGGGACAGGGTCAACTTCACTGATTCAGAATCTCGGTCCACAGAGCGCCTCAGGGCCATCACGAATCGAAAGAATCTTTACACCTATTTTAAGGAAAGATTCACATCTCATGACTACTTTCTTGTCTTTTCGTGGGTCAGAGACATAGTAGACTATGATCGATCAACTGCAGAAGGACAAAATTATATCAAGAGTATATTAACCCCGGTCCTTATCTCCACACGTCATTTTCTACTGGCATAAGCTAATCTGACTTTAATTATAGCTATTTTTGCCAACCTAGCATCCTACTGCAAAGCCCACTATGACCTCTTACACTCCAGTGAAAAGGTTATTCGGGACACCGCCCCCGGGTATCTGCTGAAGATCGTTAAAGAATTCTTTTTCAAAGCACCTCATAGTGTGAAGCTCAGAAGCATTAAAAGGGAAGATTTTGCTGAGATCGCAGTTGAAACTGCGACTGTGTTGGTCAATGACAGCGGAGATGAAGAGGTCGATGATGAAAATGGTGCTTTTTTTGATTAAACAAGAGCCTATCCAAGATTGTACTAAATTTTGCTTTTTGGTTTTCCAAAGACGATGGAGGGGTTGTCGATTATGCTTTTTTCTGTATTATTACTCAGTCAATTACTTCGTCTTTGATGATCAATGTAATATTTGGGAGATTACCACTTTTCCTGTAGACTCCTTTAGATGCCAAGGAAAAGAGAGTCCTCGAGGATATATTCAGGATCCGGAACATTAGAGATATTTAATTTCTTGCCCCTATTGTAATACTTTCTTTATCCCCTACCAAGACATAACGCCCTGAGACATAGGCGACCTCATAGCAACTGAGCTTGCACTCCTATTCTGTACTCTCCTGAATAATTGGGTGGCTAGTGCTTAACCAACCAAATTAAGCTAAGTACAGGAAACATCATAAATATATTATTAGCTCGTGGTAAATTAAATCGTATACATAGGTAGTATAATTCTCTCATCATATAACCTTATATAATGCGCGCACTGAAACTTTGGTATCTCAATACTATACTACACTAATAAGAGCTATATAGTAATGAGGAATGGCACTCTAGCACTGTATATAATCATTACACAAAGTGTGGAACACACTATACAGTCACCTGATATGGAACCTCTATAATGAGTAAGCGAATCAGTTTTGCGATACAGTTGTGAGAGGGTTGCCAAACCGTATTGAGGGGCGAAACGTATTAGGGCAGCAAACCTGTATTGAGGCGGCAAAACCGTATTAGTGCAACAACAGTATCGAAGACCATAACCGTATTTTGTCTTTAATACTGTAGTGTCTTCAATACTATATTTAATCTAAAACTGTATCTAAACTATATTGACACGTCAATATAGTATTCTACTTGTTTTAAATCTACTACTGTATCTAAACTGTACGGCAATGGTATTCAGATATTATATGCGCCCCTATGTGTATGATCCATCATGTATATATTCCAAAATAATTGGCGCTTGTGCTCTGCTTTACCGGACCTGTCCCTTTGATAAGTTGGCTCACGGTGAAGTCCAAGCATTTGACAATGTTGGACGGCACTGGCCACCAGGTTGCTCCCCAGAACCGGCTTGGCCTCATCCTGGGCCTTGATTGCCTGTTCCAACGATTCAGCTTGATTCTGAAGAAACTGCGCATTTAAATCGAGGACCACGACTCACCCCCATTGCCAATGCCAGAAGATTTTCGAAGCTAGGCATCGCTGACACCTCAACTGTCATCAGGCCCGCTTTAAAGCTTTCCTTACACGCCTTTAAATAGGTTTCGAGGTCATATTGATCACATGGCGGATCTTTAGTGCAGATGCACTCCTTTAATACGAACGAAAGAAACTCATGCATGGCTGCAATATCACCCCCGCTTTCACGCTGGGAAGTATACCTTTTGACATAGATGTTCAACCAGCAACGGATCTTTGATAGGATAAGAAGTGAGAAAGAGAGGCTTTTGAACTATATATCGAAATTAGCATTCTGGCGACCGAGGTAGCCTCTACAGATTGCAACAAGAATAAGCTGGAGTTTACAAAGAAGTTTGTGGGGTGCGACACATTTACTCCGGATCCCAACTCAACCCCAGCAAAAGAAGCTAAGCGGATCAAAGAGGAACTCAATGTGGAAGATGGTTTCGACATGGAGCTGGAGTGCACTGGCGTGGAACCCTCTGTTCAGAGGGGGTCTATGCTTCGGGGGCTGGTGGAGTTGTAGGTCAAATTGGCCTCGGTAAACCAGATTTAACGCTCCCAGTGTTGAATACGTGTGAGAAGGAAACAGTTTTCAGAACAACATGGCGCTATGATCCGGGTGATTATGAAGTCGCTCTGGACCTACTGGGCTCCGGCAAGATTTCTGTCAAGCCAGTGATTAGCCACATCACTCCGCTCGAAAGGGCACCAGAGGCATGGGAATGAACGCGGCGCGGAGAGGGGATCAAAAATTTTAATTCAGGTGGACCCAATCACAAAATAGATATTGCAGCGCAGTCAAGGAAAACTCTTCTCTGCCGCGGGAGTTCCACCCTGTGCTTGTCAACTCTCTGACCACAACAAGCTGTAGATCTATTACGTAGACCCAGTTTCATCTGATCAGGGGAAGATTATCAGTGCACCGGGCGTACGACCCTTGAGGGGTCTATTGGGAGCAACATCCTGATAGACAAATCAGCGAATTGCAATGCGCCTATCCAAACCCCCTTTGCTCCGCACAACCAACGCGCGATAGAGGGGCTCTATTTCAAACATTATGCGGTATAAATGGTGAGTCTAGATTTAGGTTTGATCTTCCTGATTTCCATTCTGTCAGCATTTCGGTGCATGCATCTGATTGCGTGTTGCGGTGTCGGCGCTGCTCGGGCAAAGTCGTGAGATCGTGACAAGCTCTGGCCTGATCCTCGGTTTTTGCCTCAGAGAATACCTTAATATACTCTGCTACGTGTTTCACTCTGTCCCACAGTACTTCCCGAAATTAAGTTGAGGCCTCGGTTTCGTGGTTATTTTATTCCCTATTTCTGCTTCGGGTATGGTCCTACCACGTGCGCTATATTACTACGTGCGTTCAACCTACAATACAGAGGGCTCCTCAGTAGACATACATGCATAGATGTCCAGAGCTCGGCGACAATCTCACCGCATGTTGCAATCTGCACCTTCGATGTCGTGATCTTTCGTGATATCAGGAACGGCTGCAGCATGATAGGTCAGATGGCGGTCAGACGGCTTTCTTCCTTGGTCGCCCATTGCGATTTGGCAGCGATAGGCGGCGGCTGCAACGGACTGGGGCTCCCCGCATTACGCTAAACGCACGAGGCCCACATCGACGTCGCTCTGCATCATGTTCATGCGAGATGATCGAATCGGGGATTTGGCACTTTTTAATCTTCCGAATCGGCACCATTGTTCGCCTTTCGCCAGAACAGTTTCAACCATGGGTTTTCTAGGACTCTCAAAGGGCGATGCCAGGGCCTATTACTTGGGAACCCTCGTCTGCCTCGGCGGGTTTCTCTTCGGCTATGACACTGGGGTCGTTAGTAAGAAGCTTATGTCCACTCACCGGTCTTCGAACACGATTTAGGGGCTTGGATATGGAGTTTTGGTGAGACTGATCGTTTTTGGCAGGCGGAACGATCACTCTAGAGTCGTACAAGAGATCCTTCGGCTATACGGACGCGAGCGAAGACACCAACGCCCGCATCTCCTCATTGACGGTTGGATTGCAACAATGTGGCTCATTTGTGGGATGCTTCGCGATTTTCCCGATGGCCTCCCGTTTCGGTAGGAAGCTGTCAATGCAGCTATCCGCCTTGGTATTTGTGATCGGGGCTGCTATTCAAACTGGTGACACCCATGACCTTGCAAGTTTCTACGTCGGACGCGTCGTGGCCGGCCTGGGAGTCGGTGGGGCATCAGTGTTGGTGCCTTTATATGCATCAGAGATGTCGCCTAAGAGACTGCGGGGGCGCATCGGGAGTGGGTATCAATTTCTTTTTACGTGGGGGATATTTTGCAGTTATTGGTGAGCGCTCAATGGACTCGAGTTCTCCTCTGCTTGGCACTAACTGAAGCAGGGCCAATTATGGCGTCAATAAACATATCAGTCCGAGATTGGAAAAGCAATGGCAGATACCCATCTCTATGCAGATCATTCCAGGAGCATTGCTCGGTCTTGGTATGATCACCGTTCCCGAAAGCTGCCGGTGGCTCGTACAACGAGAAAGATGTGATGAGGCATGGGAATCTCTCACTTGGATCCGGGCCTCTCACGGCGCCGAAGTGCAGGACGAAATGAATGAGATCGTGACTACTGTGGTTCTCGAAAGAAACTGCAGTCGCAACATCCTCCGCTCGAGAGTATCGCTATACCGGCTGATGCTGGCCTTCACTGTGATGGTCGCACAGGTCTGCACGGGCGCGAATGCTCTGGCGTACTTTTCACCTCAGTTCTTCAAATTAGTGGTGGGGGATGGAACGGATAATCTTCTCATTTCGGGTATCTTTGGTGCGATCAAAATTGTTTCGTGCGGCGTCTTCATCTTTTTTCTCTCGGAAAAGATGGGCCGTCGAGCCTCCTTCTGTGGCGGGGCCATCCTCATGTCTGCCTGTTTACTTTGCGTTGCAATCGTCGATAAGCTTGAGCCTCCTCTGGGCGATGGAGTCGTGAGTGGTGCTGGTATTGGCGTCATCGCGTTATTGTTCTTGACGATCATCGTGTACAACATGTCATGGGGTCCTCTTGGCTGGTGGGTTTCTTTGCCCATCAAATTGGTTGATGCGGTGAACCGACGTTGCTGACGTTATGCAGGATATACATTGCAGAAGTTCTATCACCGAGCACTCGTGATCTAGGAGTTGCTATTTCGTTAGGAACTCAATGGATCTTCAACATTATCTGGTCGGTCTCGACCCCATACATGATTAACAGCCTAGGATGGGGCACGTTCCTCTTTTTCGCGATCATCAACGCCTGCAGCGCTGTATTTGCATGGTTTTTTGTTCGAGAGACAATGGGGAAATCTCTGGAAGAGATGGAAAAGGAATTCAATCCGGATATCTATGACGAGAACAGCGAGAAATCAATGGTTTAGAGACATCAAATATGACGTGAGGAAACTAGAAAAGCATCGAGTGACATCCTCGAGAGAGTTGCATGAACAGGGCGCTAGCATATCAGAAAGAAGTTGTTCAAAAATATTTTCAGTAAGTTATCGTTGGCTCGCTCGTAGTGTCCCTTCGCTTGATTATGGTCCTTTGATTGTCTAGCACTCGAGTTAAGACGTCGTCCGGTCGGCACTATGATATTTCATCGCGTGGATTTGTTTTAATGGCCAAGGCAACTTCCGCTTTGCTGCGTACCGCACATGAACTGGCCGCTGCCTGCAGCCCCTGGGCAGGGTGCAAATACGATACCTCCTCAAATACATTATGATAGCATACCCAATCGTGCGAATTATGGCAGAGAGCCAAGGTGACGTTGCTTGCTTCGTCGAAACGGTAAAAGATCATATAACTGAAACGAGGTGGATGCAATTAGGTATGCACAACTAATAGTATCAACCAAGTACAGTCAGGTGGTCTCGCCACGAACAAGTTCGTGTCCGATCCACCTCTATTCTAAATAAATGACCGAGACAATTTGAATGTTGTAAAAATACAGAAACCGTGGGTATATTCGCGGAATATTGATCGGTGCGCAACAAATTTACCTTTCCAAACAAATAGCGAGCGGAGAAAACAGGTGCGAATAGAAAAATCGTCAGATGCGTTTCGTCGTGAATGTTCTTACCCATTCGCTTAAGTTGGGATGAAGTGCTGAGAGTCTTTTTCCTGTTGACTGAAGCTTTCCGGGAAGGCTGCGATCCCACCGATGATTCCAATAGCCATAAAGCAGAGGCTGATGATGGACCAAATGACACCCCAACACTGAGAGGACCCTCCATATTTCTTCGCGAAGACGCTGGCATCCGAGCTGTTGACTTTGCGCAGGATGAGATCATCGCACTATAAAGAGTTTTGTTAGCAAAATCACGACACTGTGGCGAGGAGCAAGAAGTGCATACAATATCCCACACGCTATAAAGGGCTGACATGACACCAATAAAAAGCTGCCCAGGGAGTTAGCGCTTGACATGCGACGCAGGGATGGTAAAAGGGATGGAACCTACCACGACCCATCTCAGGGCTTCACCGTGGGCAATGAACCAGCAGGCCACCAGCAAGCCGACCGCCAGCAGGACGGTCATGATGGTCAACCAATCCCGGCGTGCCCACCAGAGGGTCAGCAGGAAGCAGACCCCGAGGACAATGCTTGCCACCTTGGATGCGACGATATCGAAGCCGGCGAAAATGAGGAGGGCACCAATGATAGAGGAGCCGAGATAACCAGCGGGCAGAGTAATGGCACTCATTCCACCCTGCATATGGGTCACACCACCTTCGTGCGGGTCCAGACTGATGGATTTGACTCTGCCACCGGTGCAGCAGGCCGTGATAGCATGACCGAATTCATGGAAGGCGATCACCAGCATCTAGGTACGGTCAAACATGGGGTCTAGGCAACCACGGGGTCGCATCGCGCATGGAGTTCTTTTTCTCACCTTGAAGGGCCACAGGGACCAGCGCAAGTAGGGCAAGTTCCAGAGCAGGGCGATCACGACGACATAGACGGCCATCACGCCGAGGGTGATACTTTGGGTATGGTTGACGGAGAGCCCCCGTCTAGCCAGTTGCGGGGCCGCCTCGACCGCTCGTTCTCCAAGCACTTGGTATAACGCCGGCATGGTTGCGAGTTGGGAGGGCAGTGGGTGCGTCGCGATAGCTGGAGCCGGGGATGCAAAGGGCACGAGTGGTCGCGACGTTGGAGCTTTAAAGTCGTGGCTGGAGCCAGGTTGAAATGGCTGGACGCGCGGAATGTCGCTGGGACGCGCATGTGCGGCTGTTTGTTGTGCGGCTGGTTGCCTGTTTTGGACTAGCGCACATCTATTTTTGGCTCAGCCTTATATATAGTGGACTAGGTAGTCAATAGATCTCCATAGTAAATGTGAAGAGTTGGTCGATCCTGCACAGCCACAGTTACCTCGCTTGGGTAGTTTACAGATAAAGACGTGCTACAATGTACACCAGTGTAGTAGAAATATCATGGTTGGTACAAGTGCTAGCACGGCGGGTGGGAAACCCACACTGAGTATATCCGACACAAGTGTGCTGACATGTGACTGCACTTGAGTCTGTCCAAGAAAGAGCAGCGGCAGGATTTGTCTTGAACACTTGGGACCAGAGCACCTCCAGGCTTCCAATTAAGGCGACCGGGAGCTTTTGGTGTGATGCTTCACACATACTACCCTAAAGCATGTAGTACATATCGACCTGACTGCTTGCAGTGTGGCGACATCACACCACGCACTACACTATATAATCCTTACTTAGCACTTGAGAAATACAACAATTGTACACTACCTTAGGGTTGTGTGTACTCAATTCACAGCCTGGCCAGCAGATGCCAAATATTTACTGCACAATGTATTGTGGTCTCGCCGATACCATGCTACGAGTGTATAAGCCCCGAGACTTTATGAGTGAATGGCCATAGCAAAGATTATACCACCGGACACACTTCAATGTGTATGATCATGTTGGCCTCTTCAGCATCTCAACGTACATTGTATTTGCACTCGTCTTTGGAACTGTGTAAAGTTACGTGACCACTCCACAATATCTTACCTACGATGTTATGGGTAGGTAGTAGGCGTCGACGGGAAAACCAGGGTATCATTCATTTACTACACTACCTCCAGGCAATGATGCTTGGATTCCTCGTCACATGGTGTTAGGCGGCGACTTCACACTTTCCATCGATGGCAGAATCACATGTGATGATGGCCGGCGGTGGCTCGCGCGCCGCCCTCGACCCCTCCACCTCTTCTCGTCCTCTTCGACCCCCGCTGCTTCCCCTCCCGCACTTCCCATCTCCATCCACACACTCCACCCGCAACTCTCTCAACTCCACACTGCACCACCAGTGCTATTTCGATTCCATTGACCGGTAAGTGCAATCGGCTCCCCCGGTTCGGTGATCTGACAAGGGAAGGAATCTCGCATCCTGAACGCTGCAACGAACTCGACTTGCTTGCTCCAGCTACTCTAGTGAGTGAGCACGTTCCGCAACACCCAGCACTCAACTCTAGGACAATACCGAACCGCGACGATGAACCAAAACCCCGAGTCTACGGACTGCCAGGCGGACGGTCTCCCTGAGGTCCAACCCATCGAAATGCCCTCCATCGTGAAACTCGACCAGGACGGCTCCTTCAGGACCTGGGCAGAGAGCGTCCATCGTGAGCTAGTCTCTCTCCAGGCTGATCGTGTTGTTGACACCAAAATTCCTCGGCCGGCCGAGGATGATGCACGATACACTAGGTGGAGGGAATGGTCTATCACAATACGATCATGGTTGTTCGCACAGCTGACCAATGACATGATGGACTATGTCCTGGTCTTTTACAGACAGCAGGTTGAAAAGGGCGCAATTCCGCGATACGCTGATGAAGTATTCCACTTGATCGAACGTGCCTCGAATGCACTCACTGGAGAGGCCCCTGCCGCTATCTCAAGCTTCTGGGAAGCCCGACGCAACCAATTCCCCACCGTCAAGGACTACATCATTGCTTGGAGGGCCGCGGTCGAAGACCTTCACGAAAACGATCAGGCGATCTCCCCATACATGGCCACCCAGATCATGTTCTCGGAATTGAAGAGTGACATGCCGTTGCTCATCAAAACCCTTGTGAAGAAGGGCCGGGGACGTGAGCCATCCATGAAATTCCATGAATTCTTGAGCATCGGTGACCTCTTGATTTCTTCTTCAATGTAAGGAACTGGCTCCGACGACTGCACCTCGTTGAAGGAGGCCAAGGCGGGTGACAGTCACTGACACTGACTAGTACATGGGTCTATGGTGTTTTCGGAGGGAAAGAGTGGGCGCTGAATCGGATTATCATGGGTTTGCTTTGCGGCAGGCTTACTCTACACAGGAATATTGATGGACACCAAAGAGAGCTCTTTGACAATTTTCGAGGTCGCGACTGGACTAATCAACTTTATCCGCTCTCATTCCATCCGCTCTCATTTCTAGTGTCTAGTTCCAGTGTCACTAATGAACAGGTACTTTACACCAAGATAGGAGTAGCTTGAAATTTAGTTAAAATTAAATAGATGATGCTTCTGCGATTCGAAACTCCCCCTAGCGAGCCCCCATGCCCCCATAGCTTCACACAACGATTCCGCAACTCTAGTGTTTCATTATATAACCACTGGCAGACGTGCCATTGTCAGATCTGGAAATTATCATTTCCCTGTAAGATTAATAGTGGGAAGATCCGACATGTGCAGCTTTGCACTTCCATACGGACGCAATGTCGCCTCGAAAATATCGCTCAGACACGTCCGATTACTCTTGGGGATGGGTGAGTCCGGCACAGCGCCCCGAAACATGGGCCAGTCAATCAGACATGCCCTGGCGGTCATATACATCGGCAATTGGCCATCCGTGAAGGTCGGCTCTGGAAGCGATCCCGAACCGGCGTGATATTCCAAGGTGGATGGGTCAATGGCCACGTTCCACTCGGTGGTGTTCAGCAATGCGTAATCATGAGCCTGGTCTGGGTATGTTCCGGCTGGATAGTCTTTCTGGGTATTGTAGAATCTGGGTGCCTCCGCTGACGTGGTGTGTGGGATGTGCAGCGCGTACAGGAGAGGTCCTCGGTAGACCGCGACAGTGTCGTTGGCCCTATCGGCGGTGATCAGATCCATTCCAAGTTGATAACTAAACTTCGTAGTGCCAGCTGGAAGGTTGAGCTTGATCAGACCAGTCTTTGGATCCTTGGGCGCGCTATCGTCCCGGGGAGATCCCTGGATCTTTGTCTGAGTAGCCCAGTTGGGAACGCGGAGATACAATTGGAATGGCACATCACTGTCCACAGTATAAGACAGCGTATTGTCAAAAGGATAGTCTGTCTGACAGTCGACAGAAACTATCTTTCCTTGGATCTCAGTCTGAACACGTCCAGGGCTAAGCAGCGAGTGAACAATCCCCGTATCACCATTTCTTACATAGCTGTACATGGCGAATTTGGGATAGCCTTGAGGATGGTTCACAGTGCAGCATGGATAGTCGGGCTCCACGCCGAAGGTTTGCCCAAGAGTGTTGACGTTCCAGAAGGGCGTCGCTGACAGATTCTTTGAGAATGGCTGATTGGGCTCGGTCATATACTGATGGCTCCACCAATCCCCCGAAACCGCAGCCGGGAGAGCATTGAAGGCCGCCAGTTCGGCACGGTCTGCGTAATCAGAGTCACCAATTGCATAGAAGTTGTACGCAAGGGAGTAGATCACTTCAACGTCAGTGCACAGTTCCGATCCGTAATACGGATTGAGACCAGCGAGGCGCTCATCTGCGAGAATGGTTCCGGACGCAGAGCCGTGATATTTGAATGTCCAATCTACCTATATCCAATTTAGTTGGTTTTTTGTTCCCCCCAGATTCTTCGAGTGGAATTTCATACTCCATTCTTTGCGGTCGTTAGGAGGCTTTCATTGGAAGTCGAGCGCCGCATGACAGCTGCGTATTTGAGACCTAAGATTCAAGTTAGTCGACAACTTGGTCTCGAAAATAGCTTAGCGCATACCCTCAGCGACTGTAACACCATGCAAAAATGGCCACTGATCATCTGTGACTGACGCCGGCACATCGTACAGATCCTGAGAAACGTAATTCTCTTCAGTGTACCATCCCTCCCACTTAGAGGCATATTTATAAATCATCTCAATATTCTGCTTTAGGAGATTGGTCTGGTTCCCGGGATGGTAATCCAGAAGCCACTGCAAGCTAACAATCATATCCTCTGACCGCGCTTGAAACCAAACGAAATCATCTGCGCTCAGCTTATCACCACTCTGATAAACCATTCCAGTTCCATTGTTCTTCAGCATCGAATTCATGAGACCATTGAAGCGATGCAACGCATCCACAATAGGCTTCTCATATGTTGCATTTGCATCGGCAAGGTTGGTCAATCCGAGGAAGATGAGTGTGCGAGCCCAGATCATTCGCTGACCCCCAGCAACAGTCTCTGGTCCGATCCACCCGTCGGGCTGGATGCGATCCAGAACGGTATCGACAACTGTAGAGACCTGCTCTTTGAGACGCTCATCTTGCAATGTATAGGCGAGCGGGACCAGGCCGTTGACCCAGTATGGCAATGCTTCATTCAGGTTGCTGTTTGAATTAGTTCAACCGAATCCTCATTTATCAGCAGTTGGAGAGCTGTACCTGTATTCCTCATTGCCTCCCAACCAGGTCGAATTGGCAACAAATCGAAAGAAGTCGAACAGGTGACCTGCAAGACCCTCGGCCGATGCTTCTAGTTCGGTGCGTAGCCATCCATTCGGCGCGATACTTCCCAATGGAAAAGGCTCGTACGCCAATGGGACCACTATCCAGATGAGAATGATTGCTTAGTTTCAGAAAATATTGATGCACTATTGCTTCCAGGGCACTCACATCCTGACGATGGCCCAGTGCTTTGCGCAAGACCAAGCCCCCCAGTCATTGACAGCGCAGTCGCAATAGTGGTCGACAGTCGCATGATGAGACAGGAAAAGAGCTCCGAACGCGATTTCTATGATCCACCAAGATACTTTTGGGGGTGGGGGGTGCTTTTCTATATTGTGGCCGCTTGAGGCACCCGCGCATCCGGAAGGAGGTCCTTATGACGGGGAGGACATCGTGAGGGGAAATGTAACATGGGCGGCGCCCGTGCGGGACAGGCCGATACCTCGTCGACTTCTCCGTGCAGATCGTCACGATTTCGGCAAGAATGCTCGAGACAAACATTGTGCCGTCGGTGTTTTGCCGCAAAGGGAACCTCCGCTCCAATCGGGTCTATCAAATACAACATCAAGTCGAGCAAGTGAGACATTGCGCGTCAAAAATGGTTCTTCTCTAGTTCACATTTCAAGTAAAATCGTACAAGATGAGGACCTGTTTCTAAAGACCCATGGCCATCCAGACTTCAAATTGCCCTGGAGGTCAATCAAACGCGGATCACAGTTCCATTTTCCTTCCGGGTAAATTCAAGGAAGTCCTTGAGATCGTCGTGCTTCGGTTGACCCACGACGAAGACAGCAGGCTTGCCATAAGGAGCGGCAACTTGGATAGTCTGACCACCCTGGTATTTTTGCCCACTCCAGACGTGGGTGAAAGTCTCCTTACCGGGCAGGTAGACCTCGACGCTGGTACGGCCCTGGTCCAGAACAGGAGCTACGTACAGGTCGGACCCAAGGTAGAAGCTCTCATAGCTGATGCTCTTGGCCTTGGCATCGTCAGGATGATAGATAACAGGCATGCGAAGCAACGGCCAGGAGAGATTCTTGCTCTCGGTATCCAGGATTCGACGACGGTAAGCGGCCAGGCTGCGGAACATGCGGGCATTATAGGCGTAGTAGGCGTAAGTGGTCGCGTTGGTGTAGAATTGCGCGTTCAGCTGGGGCACATTGCCCTCGTGGGATCGAAAGACGGCGCTGGAGACAGCAGACAACTCGCCCCAACGTCCAAGCAGCTCGGCAGTGCGGTTGACAGTACCGGCATCGGTCCAAGTAGTGGTGTATCCGCCAATCTCAACGTGACCATGGGGGAAGCCGGACAGACCCATGTGGCCCATGACGGTCACAGAGGACTTGATACCATCATTCACACCCCAGTTGGTGTCTTGGTCACCAGCCCAATACAGGTTCATGTAGCGCTGAGAGCCCAGAGCCGACGAACGCTGGAAAAGAATGGAATCCTTGAAGCTGGAAACGCTATTGATGAGCGAGTGGTGAAGCTTGGGCCAATCGCGAGGGTACTGGTTGTGGTAAAAGAGAGGGTCGATGCTCTTATTGTAGAATTGGGTGTCCGGAAGCACAGGGGTGTATTCACCAAAATCGCACATGTAGCCCGAGATGTTGGCGCTGAAGACCTGATCGGTCAGAATGCCACGGAACCAGGCACGAGCCTCGGGGTTGGTGAGATCCAGGATTCCGGCGTCGATCCCCGGGCCGCTGGAAACAATAGAGGTGCTGTTGGTCGTGGCGTTCTGGATCATGTACCCACCCTTGGTGGCCTCCAGGAACATGTTCCGGCGATAGCCATCGGGCTTGGTGCTCACATTGGCAAGGAAGGGGTTTACATAGCTCAGAGTGCGCACGTTGTGTTCGTCGCGCAGGTTCTGAACAAACTTGTTCCAAGTAGGGTAGAGCTTTTCGTCAGACTCCCAGTTCCACCAAAGACGAGATATCTCGCCAGAGAAAAAGGAAGCGCTTTGCTTGTGAGTACCAGACCTGATCATGTTAGTGATGGAGCATGGGCTTGGTGAGTCAAGGTCGGCTTACCAATCCTGGAGCCAGACACCGGCGATAGGACAATTCTGGCGAAGGCCCTGGTCAACGATTCGGTTGACCTTCTCCTGACCGCCCTGGATACCCATAACCGCACCGGTATCCACCCATTGGGGAAGCTCCGCCATGCGGCCGGTGTACTCAGTCAACATGGTGATACCATGGAGCATATTCTCGGCTTGCATGAGGTAGCCTTCAACGTTGAGTGCAGCATATCTCACGGTCACGGCCTCGGGGCTCTCAAAATCGAATTTAGTGTATGCTGTGCTATCCTCCGACAAGTGAAAAACGCGCGCCTTCGAGGAGATATACTGAGGAACGGCGGAGTAGGTGGTGAACTGATCACCGCCGGCAAAGAAGCTGTCCTCGCTCTCCAGGCGAGTGGTGGGCTGATCTCCACGGCCAACTCCCTGTTCACGGGAGAAAATGGGGACCGACTGATTCTTGAGCGAGGCAAAGGATCCCTGGCCACCAAATCCATAGAAGTCTTCGGACTCGGAGGAACGGTAGGTCAAGAAAACCTTCGTGGACGGGTTCGACGAAGAGCCCGGGTTGACGTTAATACGGAAGGCAATGCGGTCAGGCAGCGAAGAGGGCACCCAGATAGCAAAGGAAAATCCAACAGTGTCGTCGCCACAGCCGGAAAGTGTACCTTGTACAACAGCAGCCTTGTGGTTGAGACTTTCAGCCCACGCGGACTGGGCTACACGGTGGATGTGTTGAGTAGTGCACTTGTCATCATCGACGTCGGTGATCTTGAAGTTTCCATTTGCTCCGACAACATTATCGATCCCAGCGCTGGCACCCAGGAATGGCTTACCCGGGATGGTCTCCCAGAATGGGATATTCCCACGAGAAACAGACAGATGATTGGCGTCACTGTCTACCGTCAACTCAAAGCCATTCCCGAGATTCCACGGCGCGCGCGCCGCCAGAGTTGGGACGGACGAGACCGCGAGGGTCGCCCAAATCCAAGTCTTTGGTCCGAACATCTTGCAGCGGCAGTTTTGGCCTAAGGAGGCCGGGGCAGTCGGGCCGCATTCGTAGTATTTAAAGGACTTTCAGGGTATCGCGGGGCCTTTCCAGGCTCCCCCCCGAACTGCCGAAATCCCAGATGTAACTTGGTCCACGATTCAAAATTTGCTGTGACCCGCGTGCACTAGGCTCGACGTCACAGACAAGTACGATCGATTTCGGCAGGTCTGTAATGACGATCAACGAGCCCAACATGTCAGTGGCTGGATCTCCTGGTGAACCCCCACCATCCGCGGCCCACTCGGGTCGTAACGAGCACCGGCTCGGAAAACTCCCGGCTCGTCGTGTAAACGTATTGCCGTGCCCCGGATTTCGGGGGCCTGCATCAGATCGCTCGCTGAGGCCGTGGATCCGGTCGCCCCAGGCATGAGGAAGATCATGCCGCCCATAAGGGCCACTCGGCTGTTATGCCGTGCACCTCGCGCAGCATGTACGAGACGATGGATGGGCGTTGTAAGAAGGATGGGCTGATGGACAGCCGTTCGTCACGAGACTGTGGGGACTCCACAGTCCGGGCTTGGCACGCGCCACACGCCGAAGAGCAGCCAAAGAGCACGAAATGCGGGCTAAAATGGCAAAAGGCTGCACCCGCTAACTCCTATACCGATTTGGGTGGCTGCGGTGAATGATTCAAGTGCGCCTGTTCGAGGATGGCGAGACTCTCCCGCGGATTTCGACATTCAGGTCTACTCGCCATTTTCCCCGCGCTCGTCGGAGCGACCTCGGCCGAACAGTACCCTAAGATATTGCATGCTTCAATTCTTACGCAACGGTTCAGGGCATTATGGGTCGTGAAAAGCCGCAGCCGAGCTCGCTGAATTTCAATTTGCTCTATATGGGAATAGTGGATCTGGGACTAAACGCGAGTTAAATGCCTCACCAGCGGTGGCTCTCCTTCCCTGTTGGAATGCCTCTGCTACACTAGTCATGCATCTGAGAGCTCGATGCTAGCCCTATCGATCGCAGAGTCACTGGAACGTGGTCAAATGATTATGTCACGCTGTGGCTCCACATAGACTGTCACAAATATGCTCCCTCGTGAACTTGGTGGGCGAAAAAGCTAACGTTGGGTGTAGTCATTTCGATAGTTGCGATACTGCCACAAATCTTGGTCAAACTACTAATTCGAATGTATGATAGTCACGGAGAGAAATATCAACCGGTGTAGTCAGGTCTCGAGTTTCAAACTATGGCAACGCTTTGCTACTGGAGACGCTAGGGTTCTCAACAGCGAGATTTGTAGAGATACCCGGTATAATTAGTTGGCAATTGCATTGAAGATGGATTTAGAGAAACATCTCTAGTAGCCACTGGAAGAAGTTGGGGACCTAGGCTTCCACGTTACAGCCAAACAGGCTGTGTCCCCCAGGCTGTCGGGGCTTCACTCATTTCAAACTCGATGCTAGTCGCTGTGACAATGTCACGATGCTTCAAGATAGGCAAGTCAATATCCTTCCCATTAACCTTGAGGCTTTGAACATATGGCTTGGAGGGCGCTCCAGGTGCGCTGATGACAAGAACTTTCTCGGCTCTGTTTGTCACCTGGCCACCGGTGGCGGCTCCGGTGGGCAAGCGAATGGACACCTTCTCGAAGAAGGGAGTTCCAACGATGTATTCGTCACTAGCAGGATTCACAGGGTAGAATCCCAGAGCCGTAAAGAGATACCAGGCACTCATTTGACCCAGGTCTTCATTGCCACCGAGTCCACCGCTTGTCGCGTTATAATTGGCCCAGGAAATCTCCCGCAAAGTCTCGGCCGCTCGGTCATGGTAGCCCAGGATCGAGTAGAGGTACGGAACATGGTGGCTGGGTTCATTCGTCTGGTCATTGTGGCCGTCCTGGAAATAGGAATCCATTTTCTTCGCCATGACCTCGGGTGCCCCGAATAGTTCAGTTAGGCCCTGTACATCGTGCATGACATCAAATGTGTAGACCCAGTCATCACCCTCAGTCCATCCCCAGGTATTGTTCGCCCAGGTACCATTGGCGTTGCGGGCCTGCATAAACTGGGTCTCGTTGTTCCAGATGTGCTTGTAGTTGCCACTGCGGGCACGCAGGGCATCAATGGCATTCGGTTCAGCTCCAGCGTGGCTTGCGACAACCGAGCATGCATAATCGTCGAAGGAGTAGTCTAGAGTTCTGCTCGCGGACTCGGACCAGTCGTCATTGGAAACCCATCCTTGCTCCATGTAAGCTGTTAGACCTGCTCGCACTTCGTTGGGGGTGAATGGTTCACGATCATAGTATAGCAGTTCCGTGTCTCGATCGGGCGGGGTATAAGCATCTTTCCTGACAGCATCCCAAGCCTTCGAGATGTCGAAATCGCGGAATCCTCGTTCGAGTGCATTTGCCAGGACGGCATCTGCGTTTGTGGCTATCATGATGTTCGTCTCAACCATGTTCGCCCACATGGGCAGCCACCCCGACCAGTCAAAGATCTGAAGCAACGATCGCATCATGCTATTCACTCGCTCTGGTGCAAAAAGAGTCAGCACCGAGTGTTCCGCGCGGTACGTATCCCAAATCGACCACGACTGGTAATAAGAGTCATTGGAGGTATGAAAACTGTCAGTGTATCCGGAGTAGAACACTCGTGGGGAATCGTTGTCTGCGAAAAGCGGCTCCGAGAAGTCATTTGGGTACTGTAGGGAGTGAAATAAACTGGTGTACCAGATCATGCGAGGGTCATGATCCGCATCAGTTTGATTGACGCCTTCGATTTCTACACGGCCGAGTTTCTCGAGCCAAGATTGCTTCACGTCCTCCACTGTATCCTCGAGAGATGAACCGTCCGGAATCTCAATATCCAGGTTCCTACGTGCCTGCTCAATGCTAACATAGGAAACACCCGTCCGGACCTCCACGCGAGTGGTGTCTTTCCGGAATTTGACGTAGGCCCCAGTGAAATTGCCGTGTCTTTGGTTCCCGGCCTCGCTATTGTTCCCGTTGGTCACTCCGTATGATGCAAAGGACTCAGAGAATCGGGAGACAAAAAAGCCCTTGAATGACCGGGCATGGTCTGGCCCAAGAAGATAGTCTTGTCTCTCTGTGTTATATCCGTAGATTTCCTTACGATCAGCATCGATATGGACATCACCTGTCCAGTTCTTCCGAGAAACTTCGACAAAGACCCATGGCTCAAGCTTCTCGCTGGGAGGGGAATCTTTTTGATCCTGAAAGTCTAGCCGGAGATGGCCAGCATGGGATTTGGCAGATAGCGCGGCCTTCAGGTCTGTTAACAAACACTGTTCCTGGGAGTAGCGACTTTTCAGGCCACGATGGAATGTGATATCTACCTGGATTGAGTGGTGATAGTCTGTCTTGTCGGAAGCTCGAGCCTCCAGGATATCCTGCTGCACTTGACGTTTCCTTGTCCGCCCATTGCTACCGCTCTCCACATCACTCGGGACTGAACCGGCGCCACCAGGATCCGGACCATCTCCAGCGGCCTCGGCCGTAGCATTCCAGTCCCGGTCCATCAGCTGCGTCGCATCCAGGAGGACCTCATACACATAGGCGGTGCTGCGTTCATCGCTCTTTCGGAAGGCCAGGCCGCGGTTCTGAAACAAGGGTTGCACATCGCCCATGCCCGGGGTCAGGACAATCTGACCAGACTCGCCCATCCAGATCGCAGGCTGGTGGGTCGCTTGGAACCCATGTATCAAGCGATCCCCTGCGCCGTAGGGGACCTGAGAGATGAAGTTCTCACGCGTCTGAGGCGTCCAGCGAGTCATTCCAAAGGGCACCGAGACCGATGGGATCATCCCGCCATTGCCGTTGGGAGAGGTCCCGTAGGTCCCGATCATCGGGTTGACATGCTGCAGGACCCCGGCGTTCTTGTAATAGTTGGGGTTGTCGTGGCCGATAGGCTGGGCGGCGGCGCTTGCCAGCAAGGGGAGCAAGGATAGGAGCACCATTTCGACGCGATTGCACGGTTGCTGGCGAAGCTTGGAGGAATCCGACTGCCTCAAAATGACACTAATTCCTGCATTAACATTTTTCTTGATCAAAAGGTGCCCGGCCGTTTTCAAGCAGACAATGGAGCTGCGTGACGAAGCGCGGGGGTGGGTGCGTGGCTGGGGGGTTTTTGCGGGGTCAGCGTTGCACTCGCCCAAGCAGCTTGGACCCTTTGCAGACGAGATTGGAGTCGAATATGAAATTCGTAAAGAAGATTCGCGTATACAGTGTATGAGAATATACTACAGTGGTATACGATGCTATTATAGATTGTTGAATCGAGCTGATTCACCGGGTCTTGGCACATCATGTTAGATGATTCCATAAGGGGTGCGCCTTGGAAAGCCCATTCACCCACCACTTTTGGAATAAGCTCGTCGGAAATGAGGATCATCAAGGTACTGCTTTTCCGCCCTTGTGCTCGGTGTGGGGGGAATGGAACGCTTCGACAATCATTGATGAGCCGCAGAGATATATGTATCCAGCTCCCGGCCTTGGTGCTCAACGCACCGGTGCGCTGTTGGAGCATTTTGAGTCAATGAAATCATTCTGAGATGCTGCACTTTCCGCAGCCTCGGAGAATTTTACATCTGTTGCATAATCATATATCCAGATTGTCTGATTTGTTTCGCTGGCATCAGTGTTTGTGTACTGCCTAGGTATACCTTAGGTCAAGTTCGGGTATACTTCTATACTTCCACCAGTCAAGACTCTGCCTGAGGCCACGACGGGATCGGGAGGTTGACAGGCAGGTTCGCAATCACAAACATCTCATTCTTCCGCCTCCGTAGAGAAGCAGTCAACTTTCGAGCCCAACATGGCCAGTGTGTGTTTGCAATGCGTTGCATCTGCGTGACCAGTTCATGTCGTGACCGCTAGCCGTTCAGGCTTGCGAAGGTAACTCGACTGCAGGTACCACGGCCAGCTCCCTCCGAGTACGCTGCCTGCCCGACACATTCAACCCGGGTGAGGGTGACGATGATGCGTTATACCATCCAAGGCGTGACCCCGGAAAAGGCATGGCAGTTCGATTCACGATCCGCCGGAATGAAATTTCCTGAGTCGATAGCACATAATTTGGGCGACCCAATTTGCGGTGGCGGAGACCGCCGATCGTGACTCGCGGGGAGACCTCGGTCAGCAAGCACGTTGGGGGGACGAGAGACGATGAGAGGCATGAGGTCAGATGTTATACAGCTACAGATCATGGGCAGTGACACGCGAGCCATGAACTCTGGGCCAGGCAGATACATTGCTCCCCAGGGGATGCCATGCGAAACCTCGGACAGGCCGGAAGGAGACTGCACCGCGAGATGCAAAAGCGTTGGGACTGTGACAGCGATCGACCGAGGTGATCTTTATTCCCCATCCTTCATGACACTCCATGAAAGAACTGGTTCTTTGCGCGACTCTAGACTGGAGAGGCTGCAGACCGGCCCCATACTACTCAGAGCATACTAGTCTCTTCACATGTCCCGAAATCGCCTAGGCTCGTGCCTGGAGACGTGCAGACGATCCGCCCAGGTGCCGCTGGCCATTGGCGCGCACGCGGGGGGAATTGTGGACCAGACAAAGTCGCACTGGTTGCCCATCTGGTGCGTCGTCGCGGTGATTGGGCGCAGGCCATGAACCTCGGCAAGCGCATCGTGCGCCGCGCATCGTGGATATACCCCGTCATCGCATCGCAGTGCGCAGCAACTTTAAAAAAGAGCCGGGGTCCATTGACTGCCACTTCGTCCTCGACACCTCCCACACCACCTCTCACACCCTCACAATGGCCGCCTACCTCGATCTGCTGCAGCAATATTCGCAAACCGCGCTCGCGCAGCTCCCCGAGCCCGCGCAACAACTGTTGCTCAAGCCTGTTACCCAAAAGGCGCTGGCCGCCTTCCTCGCACTGGGCCTGGTGCGCTCCGTGAACAAGTCGCTCTCCCAATGGACCCTGCAGAATTGGACCCGAAATGAGAAATGGGTGCCGGCGCGCGAGCTCATCCTCCTCACCGGAGGTTGCAGCGGCATCGGAAAGCAGGTCATGGAGGACCTGGCTAAGACCGGCGTGCGTGTCGTGATTCTCGATATCAACGAACCGACCTTCAAGTTGCCCGCCAACGTCTTCTTCTACCGCGCCGATATCACATCCTCCGCCAGCATTGCTGAGGTGGCCAAGACTATTCGTAGCGACCATGGTGATCCCACCGTACTGGTCAACAATGCCGGCGTCGGTCACGACGGCACCATCCTGGACGAGCCTGAGGCCAAGATCCGCCAGACCTTTGAGGTCAACACCATCTCTCACTTCCTGATGGTGAAGGAGTTCCTCCCCGCTATGGTCAAGGCTAACCACGGCCATGTCATTACCATTGCCTCCATGGCCAGCTTTGTCGCACTGGGTGAAATGGCTGACTACTGTTGCTCCAAGGCCAGTGCGCTCGCCTTCCACGAGTCGCTGCGCCAGGAGCTGCGGTACTGGTACAACGCGCCTAATGTGCGCACCAGGTAAGGCTCACCGCTGTGGCTCTCTATCACTTTAGTCATAGAATGCTAACCCGCACATCTATAGCGTTGTCCACCCCATGTGGGTTCGCACTCCCATGATCAAGATGCTGACCGACCACGAATCCCACTTCCGCCAACCCATCATGACTGTCCAGGTCGTCTCCGACGCGATCTGCAAACAGATCCTCACCCAGACCAGCGGCCAGGTCATTCTGCCCAAGAGCCAGTCCGCAGCTAGCCTGGTGCGTGCCATGCCTACCTGGATGCAAGAGGGGATCCGCACCATTGCTTCAGGCTCGCTGCGCCGGTTGCGCGAAGTCCAGAAGGCCGAGGAGGCCAAATAAATGTCGATTCTTTTCTTTCCCCGCTTTCTCGCTATATCCCCGGGAGCGAGCCCGTTTCACTCGCCGATGAGCCATATTAGCCGCGTGTATTGATACGAATATATCCATGTCCATGTTTATGCGTTCCTCCCTGTAAGAGACCGGTGCTCGAGCCGTCCTGTACTCTCTAGCGACCAGGAATATCCATGATGTATACGAAAATCAATCTGGATGTACATCAAGCTACCTGCATGAGCCAAGCCTGCACGATTGCCGCCGTACATCTATTAAATAATCTCCGATCCGATCAAATGGCAGACATGAGATGAAACCGCAATCACCAACTGCCCATGATCTCTTAAATTCACAGTGTTGTTGACCGCGGGTCTCGCCGACTGGGGAATCCGATCGGCCGCGATGACGCAGCGGTGGCCGTGCGGAGAGCGGCAACTTCCCGCCGCGTCGCTTTCTCCGCACGAGAATGAGCTTGCCCTGCCAACCCCGACAGGCCCCGAACGAAGTGCTGGTATCGATCTCATCCTCCTCTCCCCCCTCCCCGCCTCCCCTACCATCATGCCGCTCGAGACGGATCCTTTACTGGAGAACGGGGGATTGTTGTCTTCCCCCGCGCATCCGCCTCGATCGCGCGTGTCGCAATACCTCAGACAGCCTCTCGATCCGCGCTACGGTGATCTCCTGCTGCTGTTCTGCTACATCATTACCGGATTGCTAGACAGTTCCGCTGTTTTCATCTGGGGCTCCTTCGTAAGCATGCAGACCGGAAACACAGTATACTTTGGGCTGGGACTCGTCGGCACCGACGACGACCGTTGGATCAAATCCGGCGTGTCGATTGCCGGGTTCTGTTTGGGCTCGCTCTGCTTTGCAGCTTTTCATCGGGCCTTTGCACCGCGCCAACGCTGGGTCCTTGTTGCGTCCTTTGTGGCTCAGCTTCTTTGCATCATGGTGGCAGCCGTCATCGTCACCATCTTCCATTCGTCGCGAAACCAACCGCTCAGCTGGCTGGTGCTCGTCCCCATTGTCCTCGTGGCATTCCAGAGCAGCGGACAGGCGGTGACGAGCCGTGTGCTGAAGTATAATGGATTGACGAGTGTGGTTCTCACTAGCGTCTACTGCGATCTCTTTTCCCACCCGGATCTGCTCTCACCTAAACTGCTCCGCAATACCGAACAGATGCGTCGCACCGGTGCCGTGGTTTGTCTGTTACTCGGCGTCGTGCTTGGTGGTTTCTGGGCTCATAGCTCAATTGGCATGATGGGTGCCTTGTGGACGGCTGCTTTCCTGAAAGGGCTCATTATCATTGCTTGGTTGTCGTGGAGGAAGGAATAGACTCGGATAGACCAGGCTGTTGATTAGTTGAATCTCTTGCTGAAGTCCCCTTGCGGGGAGCTCGGATATAAGATACATTGGGCATCTGCTGTCACTGGTCATCGCTACCCAACCGACGGTACATACCGTTCCATGGGCACGATACGCTAGTTTGTGATGGGGATCTGGAAACCCGAACCTCATATGCCGCATCATTTTTCTATAAACCCTGAATTTAATAGAAGAGCTTCTTATAATGTTTTCGCCTTTTTTAACCTTCCAGGTTGGGGAGAGGTCGTGTATTTATTTTTTGCAAGGTGACACCACGATTTGAACGAAGTTCCCCGCGCTGGGGATCTCGTCCCGAGGTAAAATCTACCCCGAAGTTGGATATCGGAGTAAATCGATTGGATTTGAGACGAAGGACCTGAGTCCTGAATCACATATGATATTGACGATCGGCATCACGTCCATTGTGAAGGTAGTACTACACAGTATTCCTACTGTGTTACTACTACACTGTAGTAGTACGCTGGTTCCTACCCTAGGGAACTAGTGTAGGCTCAAATACTAGACCAATGTATACGAGTCGTCTATACTATTAATACCTTCAAAGCAATTTGGCTCCTTTCAGATCTATCCCAGTGACAGCACGTTGTCCGCGGATGCATTGTGATTCGTAATCGTCTCTCTCCTCCGCCGCTCTTAATTTCAGCTTATCATTAGCGCCACGGGCTGCTTTTTTGTGATCTTCTGACTTGCGCTGCAGCTGGTCAGCCTACGCATGTGGCTCTGATTGGCGCGTGTCTCGCCCGGCCCCGTTTCTTTTTTCCCGCAACTTCAGAGTTGTCAACAATCAACGCCTTCCCTCCGTCCTCTTCTGCCTCGAGATCCCCCCCCCCACCCTCGATCTCGGCACATCATGTCGAAGGCCACGTTTGCTGTCATTGCCGCAGCCAGTGCGGCCACGGGCGCCGGTGTCACGGCCCTGCTGTATTCCGCCAAACCGTCTCAACAACAGTACCAGCACCAGCAGCACCAGCACCAGCAGCTTCCCCCGACTCCTGCGAGCGGCGCCAAGGTCCCCAAGTCCACTGCGACTCCTACACTTGCCGCCAAGGCTGTCGGACCCGTGGATCCTGCTGGGGTCCTTCAATATGGCTTCCCAGGCCCGATCGCGGACGAGCTTTCCACCCTGCCGCTGCACGGCGCTTACGACCGACGCACTCGCAACCCTTCTTGGGTCGCCGAGCACATCACGCCGCAGTCGCTGGCCATAAAGGACGCCGACCGCAAGCACAGCACCTTTGCCGAAGATACCTCCATCCCGGCCCTGTTCCGCGCCAAACTGGCCGACTACTTCCGCTCGGGCTACGATCGCGGCCACCAGGTCCCTGCCGCGGACGCGAAATGGTCGCAGGAGGCCATGGACGGCACTTTTCTCCTCAGCAACATGTGCCCGCAAGTAGGCGAGGGTTTCAACCGTGACTACTGGGCGCATTTTGAGGATTTTGGCCGCAAACTAGCCTCCCGCTACCCATCGGTTCGCATTGTGACCGGCCCTCTCTACCTTCCTCGCCGTGACCCCGATGGCAAGTGGCGCGTCAACTACGAAGTGATCGGTAACCCACCCAATGTCGCGGTGCCCACCCACTTCTACAAGGTCATCTATGCTGAAGACGGCACCAACTCCCCGACAAGCAAGGTTGCGCTGGGCGCGTTCGTGCTGCCGAATGCTCGCATTCCCAATGAAAAGAGCTTGTCCGACTTCGAAGTCCCCTTGGAGGCCGTTGAGCGGGCGTCGGGTCTTGAATTTGCTTCGAAGCTTGATCTCGGCCGCCGTCGCCGACTGTGCCAGGAGGTGAAGTGTGAGATCACCGTGCGCGAGTTCAACAATGCGCAGAAGAAGATCGGCGCATAAATGCGTGGAACGTTGCCGATAGGAGAGACTTTCCGTTGGTATGGTGGGATCGTGTATCTCGATCGTTCCCGGGGATTTGATTATTCCTCTGGCCGAATGGCACTGTATATTTAAACTTAGGACATGGCTCTTGCATAGTTTGGGCGTTCACATCAAGATCTTTCGGGTTTATTTCTAAGCATCACTTGAAGGATTTCGCACTCAAAAGACGATCTTCAATATTGAATTTAAGATACAACATCAGGGGGTATTCGCGTAAAAAGAAATTATAGATGGCAACCAGAGGGGAGCAGCCATCAGTTCTCCCCAGTGGGAATATTGGCGTCCACTTGCCCACTATCCGGCCACCAGTGGTCATCTTCGAGACTTTCATCGACCGCTTCGTCCAGCGATTCATTAGGGACATTTGCTATGCTTTCAGTGGATTCATCCATCATGCATGCGCCGATGAGGCCGTCTACTAAGGAAGCTGGCTGCGGATCGGTAGCAGATAAACCCAGGGGTATCGTATGATCTTCATCATCTTCCAAAGTAAGGTCGATAATTTCAACCTGCTTGTCTGGATTGTTCACTGTAGGTTCGTGCTCTTGCTTCGCCAGCATTACCTTCCTGGCCTTGGCCCTCTTCTTCTTCTTCTTTTTCATGGGGCCATGGGTACGAGTGCGATCTTCTGCATCATCACTACTAACGCAGATAGGCGAGGCGTCTCGTTTGCGCTTTTGCGAAGTCAGATTCCCATGACCTGTTGATTGCCGTGCATGACCCAAAGAGGAATTGCCTGGTTTGTTCCGAGCCATGGCGATGTTGACCAGTTTCCGAAGCTCATCCCTGGAGCGCTGGTCCAGCCCAACTCGATCTTCCGGTCGAGGCCCTTCGAACTGACATAATTGGATCTCTTCCAAAAGAGGCATTTTCAATATTTGTTCGGTCGATGCATTCGCGTCCAAAGATAGTTTTCGTGCCCAGCGCGCAACAGGTCCAGAGTACTGGGGGCCTTGCACCGGTCCGAAAGTCGGGTGCATGGTGAGTTGACCCGAGGATACGAGCTCATTTGCAGCCGATATCGCAGTCACCTCGGACTCCGGCTCAGGCAAGCTGTGCTCAAAGAAAACTCGAAAAGTGCCGGGCTCGGGATCCGAGGTAGGTCCAGACGACAGTACGTGAATGCCTCCTCCACTATCGCCGAGGAGGAGATGGCCCTTGTCAGGGGAGAAGGCAGAGCTCATAATTCCGTCGCCCAAGCTAGCCGTGTTGGCCAGCAAGACATCTTCGGGGGACCGCCGGATATCCCACTGTTTGAGAACCCCATCAGAAGCCCCAGTGTAGAACTGGTCAATTGATGCCCCCCAGACCGCCGTGCGAACGCCAACATCAACCGCCTCTCGGGTGTACTCATGGCTAATCGGGCTGAGGGGTTCGCCATGTTGTAGCCTGTGAATGATTTGGCGCATGCGAATATCCCACACGTATGTGCTTCCATCCGTACAGCTTGCGGTCACATAGGTGTCACCGAACGGAGGGAAAGTGATCTCGTTGATATCTAAAGCCGGACAGGGAAGAGCGTCGGTGGTAATCACTTTGTCCGCCCACGATTGATATGTGTAGATGTGAACTAGCGATCGTGTACCAACGGGGTGTTCCTTTGGATTGGTGGTCAGTGGGCTCGCTGTCGCAAATTTCGGCATCGAGGGATGCCACTTGATGTCAAAGATATTCTGTGAGCATGGCATGAGCTTTTTGGAAGTCACGGATGCCTCTTCCATTCTCCATAATTCCAAGTGACCGGAGCGAACGATGTCGAGGTTGTTCGCGTCCTCATTCTGCGCCATGCCGCCAATGATGAAATTCTTTGTTTCGGGGGTTTGTCCCCATGCAAGGCTGGTCGGGACCAACGGGACATTTTTCTGCATGGGGCCACGGGAAAGGTCAAGGGAGATAGAGGATGGGTCTGAGCCTAGAGTCCACAAGCGAAAGCCGTCATGTGTCCCAGTTACCAGGCGACCAGGCATGTGTGCCGAGTTTGCCATGACCTCGACCTGAGATGTATGCATGAGGGTCTGCACACAAGACATGGATGTTTCTTGCAAAACGTCCCAGATTTTAACTGTGTGGTCAAAACTCCCAGTAAAAAGCCGGTCACCCACCCACTGCGTCGTAGACACAGTTGTGAATAGTCGCGGATCGAGCGTATTCCTGGGGTTTGGACGCGGCTTCCAGTGATCAGAAAGCTCATGTAGCGAATTTCGGATCAAATTTCCTAACACCAGATTATTTCCGCGGTTGTATTCGTCGGTCGGAGCCACGGCCCCTGCAGCAAACTGAGAGCCATCTGGTGACCATGCTAGGCTGACCACGTCATTGGATGCTCCCTTCCACTGTCGCCACGGCACGAGTTCTGAGGACAATTGGGAATAGATAGGGTCATCATGCATGACCCTAGAGCGCCCGCATTGCCGACCCAAGATAAATTTCCCAAGGTCTGGGCGCTTGCGTGCCAGTGGGGTTTGAACAAGTTGAGAAGCCTGCGGAGTGACGGCCAGCGAGATCGCAGGCGAAAAGTTGGTGCTGTTGGGTTTGAGAATTGCGCGATCATCGTCTTTGGGGTCCTCCCGCTCTGGGCCGAACGCCTCACTTGCAAGCGCACGCACGTTATAGGTCCCGGGAAGCGGTCGTGACCGCCTCGAACGACGACAGTTTACATCTTGAACGCCCGGTGTGCGTGAAGAGGCAGATTCTATGCGCAGTCGAGGGGAGGTCGTATTATGTGATCGCTGTGCCGAAGTCGCCTGCCGCGGTGTGTTTGTTCCCTGGTGCTGCTGACTTGCATTGTGGACGGCCACAACCTTTCGAAGAGAGTCTTTTTCATATTTGCTAGATGCTACAGGGCTCTTTGACAGCAATTGCGGTTGGGGTTGGGGAGGTGTGTTGGTTGTGTTTTTCGAAATAGGTTTCAGGGCGCGTGAGCGAGAGTCCGGCGTGGACGATTGAGAAGGAGTAGCCCGGGAAAAGGAATTGGGGTCCGATGTCGCGTTTGATTTTTGAGGCTGTTGCGGCGCATCGAACCGCGAGGGTTGAGGGTTATGTTGACTTGGACTATCCGCCCATGCGCAATCAAGCGGGATGGGGAACTCCATCAGGCGGTTTGGCAGGGTGGCTTTACCCCAGATAAACTTATTGAGAAGTACTTCCGCCTCGAGCGGGATATTGCGCGGTTCCCTCCGCCGGGAAACGCGACTGCGATAACTGGACGCGCCTGGGTTTGACATCGTGGAAGGCGACGGCTGTTCGTGACGATCAGCCCCGAACAGGCCAAATGTATACCCTTCCAGAAATCCATTGTACTTACCATCTATGCCGCCAGTGGGGCCATTAGAGCATCAGCGAGGATTCAATGAGTAGGTCGCTGTCCAGAAGGCGTGGGAAGGGAGAGATGTGATGTAGACATTTCGAAGTAAGAGTCCGGGGAAGCAAAGCGAGATCCACCACAGTCGCGGTTAGGAGGCACCACGTAGTACCACAGTAGGAAGGCGGTGAGAAATAGCTCCTTGTACCTATTTCTAGATTTTGATAATTTTGATATAGACTTACAATGATTCGAACCTGGTCAAGAATGTCCATTTTTAATAGAATACTCAATTTACGGAAGATGAAAATACTGCGTTGAAATAAGCCCCGTCAGCGGGCCATGTAAAACAAGGGGCTACAATACACTACCCTAGGAGTGGAGGTGCGGTACTCTACAATCCGAGTGGGACCGACGAATTCGCATGTATTACACTTAAATGAATAGGGAAAATTCCCTCTCAAGCACTAGCCATTGAAATAGTGATAGTGATAATCTCTTTCTTCCTTAGTCAGTTAGTGTCCTGAATAAAGCTTTGTGAATTCAAAGAGCGATTCGGAAGTCCCCACTATGCATTGGAACGCGCACCACTATGGCTGCCTTCCACTTGGGGGCGGAGAATGGGAGACAGAAAGTATTATATAAGAGGGCCCTCTCACCACCAAATCGATGAATCTCTGATTCACCACGATACGGACAACTTTGAAAGGTAAGTCTTCTGGTCGGATAGCTCTCAGGTTTTGTATTTCAATGGCGGTCACCGAGATCGCCTTCCTTCACTTGAAGGTCCGTCAGCCATCGACCGCCACAAAGACGGGTCTACGAGAAGCTCAACAGGCCCAGTCGAAGTACTCGGGTTATCCTGTCCACTTTCTGCGACAGGTGGAAGACCCAAGCTATTTCTACCTTCTCGGTGGCTGGGAGTCTGTCGCTATACATGGCGGGGAATGGATTACGTCCGAGATCAACCAGCGATTGCTTGGCAAGCTGCAGGTCGATATGGATGTGGAATGGATGTTTCACTTGGATGTTCCGGTAAGTGTACGGGATAATCCGAAAGCACCAATTCGCCGACATCCAAAGTACTGATCTCACCTAGCCTTCCGGCTCTCTCTCCAACACTCCGCTCCAAGCACCAGTCGTGATGCTGAGCAGGTACTTTGTCAACCCTAGCAAGAAGGCCAAGTTCGATCATGTCTTCGCAGCAGGTATCCCAGCGTTGGAAGCATCAACCTGCGTCTCTCCGTACTTTGGAGGGTGGAGAATTGATAAAGACATGGAAAGCGAGAACGAGGAATTTGTTGTCCTGACTGGATGGAAAGCGATAGAAGATTTTCATAATTTCTCTGAGTCAATGGCCACAGAGCAATTCATGGTAATCCAAACTGTGGCTACAAGGGTCGAAACGAAGCATCTCCGTCTGGAGAAATGGGAATGATCCGAAAGATGAAGAAATGTCGTATGGGAGTCTCAAAACTTCTTGAGTATTGAAGCAGCCTAACCCTTGTGAAAGATCGTATCACAATCAATGTCTCTTTTTTCATCACTTTTATGGGATTAATATGTAAGAGCTTTCCCTCCCGGCATCTCTAGACGACCAGAAATATTTGGAAGCCGAAAATTGTCACAACGTCGACGGTCATAATCTATATATAAACTTCCACGCATGGACGGTTATGGTTTGGCGCCTTGAGCCGCACTCACTTGCTGCACCACTTGCTGTTCCATCTTCTCGAACCCTTCCACAGCCTTGCCATACTGCTCGAACACGCCCTTTTGATATCCATCCGCAATCTTCTCAATGAACTCCTCCTCTTGCCACCGCTGGCCGATGAGATTTTCAAATGTCTGACCGGGCTGCCGCTCCATGCCCCAGACAGCCTTGTAAGCGGCTCCCAGGGCACAGGCGTTGTCGCCAATGTCCAGCTTATAAACGCCTTCCACACCTCCAAGAATCTCGCCTGCAATTTTCGCAATGGCCTGGTTCTTGGATCCACCTCCCACAAGGTAGACTCGGCGTGGCTGCGCCGGCAGCCCATTTCCGGGGCTCTGGGTGAGTCCTCGGGATCGAAGGCGGAGCGAGAGCAGCTGACTCTCAATGATGGCGCGGGCTTCATCGTTCGGAGCACTCCACCCCGAAGTGGTCTCTTGCAAGTCTCCAGATTCTGCGTTATAGGTGAAACGCCATTGACCGGATGGGAGGTTCGGGACAATCTCTGGCCGCGGGAAAAATAGTCCCATCTTCATCAAGTCTGTAGGGTTCTTCTGGCCGAGTGGTGGGCTCTCCAACGAAATCTTATCGAAATTGGCCCAAGGCTGTGATGGGTGATCCTTTAGAGACTCATTAATGGAATCCCGCACATATTCACGGGCCAGGCCGCCGTTCTTATAGCATAGCATGAACATGTAGAGCCCGGCGGTCGTTGGATGGTTAAAAAAGTGAGTGGCTGGATCAGGCATGTAGCTGGGAGTAGACATGAGGAAGGTCGTCGAGGTACCCAGAGACACCATCGCATCGGACGGTCGAAGAGGCAGCGCGAGGATCGTGGCCGGGTTGTCGCCGGTGGCGGGGATGACTGTGCAATCCGAGCTGAAGCCATAACGCTTTGTGTAGTAGGAGTGGACCGATCCTAGGTGTAGCCCACCATCCTCGGGCACATCGCCCAACTTCCGCTTCAGATCCTCGACCTCGAACTTGCCAGAACACAACTGGAGGATCTTATCATCATAGGTGCCATTTTTGATGTTCCACAGATTCATGCCGCATACATCCGAGATATCGAAGGGGGCAATATGTCCAAGGAATAGGGAGGCAATGAAAGAGGAGACCAAGGAGATGCGAGCTGTCTTGCTGTACACCTCGGGGTGCTTTCTGGTAAAGCGGAGGATCTGAGGACCCGTGAATCTCTGGAGAAGGGGAAGAGTGTTAGTAAGACTCAGATCGATGGGGTAATATTGATTCTGCTATGCCAATTTGCACTTACATGGTGGGCTTTGCTTCCAGTAGCCTGTGCAAGTTGTTCTGGACTGCCGAGGATCTCATCGAACTCATCGCATTCTCGCTGGGTGCTAGAATCCTGCCAATTGGGACTGTACGGGTGGGAGAAAGCAGCGGGAAGCTGATCTTCAAGCGACTTGGACGGGTCGAGGTTGCGGAGGAGTTGCTCTGCCTCATCGCCCCAGTAGACACTCCCATGCTGCTGGCCTGCCCCGCTGATGCCCTTGACGCGACTGAAATCCAGCCCTTGCTTGCGCAAGCTCTCGAGCACGGTGTCCAAGGCCTGTAACCACAATGCGATCGGAGCGTAGACTTCATGCTCGGCCTCGTTTGTCAAGACGCCCTTCTTGATGGGAAAGCCATGGGAATCGGCATCGAAGTCAAATTTCGCGATGTAGACGACCTTCAGCTCCGAATTGACCACCAAGCCCTTCAGCTGCTGGGTGGACAGGTCGAAACCGATGTACAAAGGAGACTGCGACATGGTTGTTCAAGACTGGCTCGCTGTGAAAAGTCAACGAGAGAAGAATGGCAAGGAGAACAATTGGGCAGATGGCTTGTTCCGGAAAGTGCATCGCGCGGAAGATGAGTCCGGCATGATGTCAAGGGCTCCACCGCCGCCTGGCTGGCTCGGGCTGCGCCTGCTGTTTGGAGATTATCCGGATCCTGCGGCCAGCTGACCGTGTTTCTCTATTTACCCTACGATACTAGCACAATAGTTGAGCTTGGGACAGTTCTGGACCCGACTCCGATGGTACGAACATAGCGGGGTCTGCAAAGCGCCCCCGGTTAAAATCACATCGCTCTGCTAATTTCTCGGTTGAATTGACTGCCCCACACGAACCTCCGCGGAGTATGGGGGATTCCAGGCCAGACGCCGGCGCACAGCTATTTATACAATTTTCGGTAAGATAAAACGTAATAATGGAGAAATACATCGGTTTGCGCAGATATAGAGATGCGTGCCGTCAGATACATTCAAATCAACGCCCGCTTATGCATTATTTTCATCGTCGCTAGTTGCGAAGTACTATAGCACTAGTATGTACAGGATTGGGTCATCAAACACAGGAGATACCAACCGGGGGTCGGCAGTCTACTGCAGGAACTGGCCCAGCGGACCACCGATGTTTTTCAAATCCAGCAAGAAGGTGTCGTGACCGAACTGCGAGACGTCCTCGCCCAGCTCGATGTGCTGCACGGTCTGATTGCCGCCCGCGCGCAGGGTCTCGGCAATCTCGCGCTGCTGCCAGGCCGGGAAGAGGATGTCACTGGCGACTCCCATCACAAGAACATCGTGACCCTTGAGGGGAGCCAGACCGGCCACGAGGTCACGTGGGGGACCGTCGGTGGTGGCGGAGACGGACTGATCGGAGAGAGGCAGGGAGGTGGTTGCCTCGGGCTGTTCTTCATAGGGCTGGTCGGGAAGAGTCAAACTGCAAGCCGGATCCGACACGCTGGGAGAGATGCCTCCCTGGGCGATGCGGGCCTCTGCTTCCGCGCGGCGGCGGCGAGTCTCGGATTGATGGGCGTGGCCAAGATCGAACAGATCCATCGCCTTGGACACATACAACAGACTGTTGGGATCATACTCCAGACAAAATTTCTCGCCGGCATGGTCAAGGTAGGTCTCAATCAAGAAGTCGGGGCACAGCGCAGGTTGCTTGCTGGGGTCGGCACGGCGGCGCCCAAAACGGTTCTCCCACTCCGGGCCACTGCGGTAGGTGACTGTGGCAATCTCTCGAGCAAGCTTCATGCCTGAGTGCGGAGGAATCGCATCGTAATAGAATCCACGGGCCCAGTTCGGATCCATCATGAGGACCTGGCGCTGGGTATGCCGCATCGCAATACTATAAGGATGGCTGCGCGCGCAACCGCTGATGCTGACAATCTTGCCCACTCGCTCAGGAAATAGAACGCCAGCAACCAAGCTCTGCATACCGCCCATACTGGAGCCAACAGAAGCAGCCAGCTTCTTTATGCCCAACCAGTCAAGGAGGCGGAACTGGGCACGTACCATGTCATCCACAGTGAGGATCGGGAAACGTGTGGCATAGCGTTGCCCGTCCGATGGGTCGGTAGAGGATGGTCCAGTCGATCCATAGCAGCTACCTAGCACATTGGTGCAAATAATGTGGTATTTATCGGTGTCGAGGGGCAGTCCGGGGCCGATGAACTTCTCCCACCATCCAGGCTTGGGGTTGGGAGCAGTACTGTGGGCGTGGCTCGAGGCGGACAAGCCGGTGTGCAATAGGATGGCATTGCTTTTTTCGCTATTGAGCTGGCCCCAGGATTCATACGCAATGTCAAACTCCGGCAACACTCCGCCCCAGTCCAGAAGAATTGGCTTATCGCTGTGGAATCGTTCGTGCTCGCCCGCCGTGTATGAGGGCTCGGGCCCGGTTTCAAGTGACCGGGCGGAAAGAATGGCTGATTTCGCTTCCTGGGCATCGAGGCATGGAAAGGACATAGCCGGGTTGGACGAGTCTTTGGCGTAGGAGGTGGCATTGGTGGAGGACTGGCGCGGAGAGCTGGTGTGCAGCCGTTGCGACTGCGCAAGCATTACTTGACGGGTCCTGGCAAGGGTGGAGTCGCCAGATCGCCATTGCGGGATGCGCGAGCGAGAGGCGTACCGGATAATGCCGTGTAGCGAGCGCATCGTGACAGACAGGTGCGAGAAGACACAATACTGGAAGGAAAGAGTCACCTCGACAGCATTGAATTCGATGGTTATCAAGCAATTGATGACCCATATTGTCAGGCATCAAGACTTCCTATCGCAGTAGGCGGAGAGACTATTTTGACGCCTCAGGCACCAATATTACATGGCGTCATCAGCTCGGCGTATGATTCGCCAAAGCTTTCCGCGGGTGCACTCCGACAGCGGAACGGTCACGCGACTGGAACACATGTTGGCGCATGGCATTTCGGGATCAAAAATCGGGATATGCTTGCCTGTTTTGTCGTCGCGCGCCCACTTTCCACCTTGATAAATAGCTGCCAGCAGTAGCAGCAACACAATGGAGAAATAGCTACAGACTACTACGAGTAACGGGGAGTTGCTAGGAAGTGAGGTGTGTCTTTCTATTCAGAGCAGGGAGACGAGTTTCAGTTAGTACTAACATCAACTGCAGATGTGTAAAACCATGGAAAGTTAATTGAGATAGGATATGGTGCATGTTTGTATCTGAAGAACCCACGATGAAGTTTATCCTACGTATATGATTGTACCTTTTGATAGAGAATTCGGATATTTGACATTCGCTAATATACACACCATCTATGTACCCAGTTGTATTTTAATAGCTCCGAGGCAATTGAAGCACTTTCTCACTCACATAATTCAGAATCATTTCCCGGCTCACTGGAGCAATTCGGGGCACCAGGCACTCCCGCAGATATCGCTCAACATCATACTCCATCGCATATCCCATACCACCGTGTGCGAGCACCGCCCGCTCACAGGCTGTGAATGCAGCCTCGGCCGCCAGGTACTTGGCGCTGTTGCAGGCTACCCCGATCGAGTGGAAGGGAACAGAGCCATCATTGGTATCATAGAGACGGGCTGCGTGGTAGGTCGCCAATTTGGCGGCTTCCAGTTTCATATAGGCATCGGCGAGAGGATGAGCCACTCCTTGATTTTGACCGATGGGCCGGCCAAAGACCACGCGTTCTTGGGCATATTGGGAGGCTTTTTCCAGAGCCGCGTAGCCGAGACCAAGGGCCTCACCGGCGAGCAGGCAGCGCTCAGCGTTCATGCCGTGCAAAATAATCTTGAAGCCCTGGTTCTCCTCTCCGATAAGGGTGTTGGCCGGGATCTGGTAGTTGTCAAAGAAGACCTCGTTGGCATCCACGGCGCGACCGCCCATCTTCTTGATCTTCCGCATGTCCAGTCCCGGCTGGTCGCGATTCAGATCGATACAGAAGAGAGACAGACCCTCACTGGATTTCTTGACTTCTTCCAGGGGAGTCGTCCGGGCCAGCAGAATCATCTTGGATGCGACTTGGGCACAGGTGATCCAGATCTTCTGACCGCTGACGGAGTATCCGTCGGCTGTCTTGCTGGCCAGGGTCTTGAGCTTGAGAGTCTCCAATCCGGTGTTCGGCTCGGTCACCCCGAAGCAGGTTCTCCAGGTGCCATTGATGATGTTGGGGATCGTCGTCTCCAACTGCTCTTTAGTGCCGAACTTGGCCAGTGGCTGCGTCGCATAGACGTTGGCGTGGATGGCTTGCGCGCCCGCCATTCCTGCACCCGACTGCGTGATGGTCTGCATCATCATGGTGGCCTCCGATATGCCTGCCAAGAGTTAGATCATGAGAAGATCAATACATTTGAACATTCAAGGACATACCAAGTCCCGCTCCGCCGTGCGACTCTGGCAAGGCGATGCCCAGCCATCCGTCTTTGGCCAACGCGGCGTGGAATTCCTTCGGGTCCTTCTCTTGCTGGTCGCGCTCTTGCCAATAGGTGTTGGGGAATTTGGAGCAGATATGAGAAATTGCCTCGCGGACTGTCAACTGTTCCTCTGTGAAACCGGTCATCTCCATCAGCTCACGACGCGCCGAAGACGAGAATGCAGCGCGGGCAGCGAAGCGATTGTGCCCAGCCTGTGATGTTGGAAGCGAGCGCACCGCCCATCGCGACCGCAATAACCGCTGCCATTGAGGTCGAGACATTCTGTGCAATTGGATCAATGCCAGTGTCTGTACTGGATGGCTTGCACGTCTTAAATGCGGGCCTGCGAATGCGTAGTAGTCGGTCAGGTAGCCGAGCATGCAGCCGACTCGCGCATGCAGCCAGGTTGGTCGGCTGTCGGGCGCATCGGCATTTGTGTTGCTTCAGGTGGTGGAGAACAGCTTTTAAGAGCATCCAAGGCGAAGGTATAAACCACTAGCAGACCTATCATTGATTTCTTAGACAAGAAAGCTATGCGATTTGCTTGTTTCCGTGCGGGCGTGCAGGTTGTGGCAGGGCGGAGACCCCAGGCCGCCTCGCCCTCGCGACTTCCTCCTTTCTCCAGACTCTCACGACAGTCTTCCAATGCGAGTACAACGGGCCACCGCCCTGCACCCCTAAAAGGGGTCACTGTTGTCAGTCTGGAACAAGCCATTGCGGCGCCTTTCTGTACTCGACAATTAGCCGATCTCGGCGCCCGGGTGATCAAGGTCGAGCGACCGGACACCGGGGACTTCGCCCGTCAATATGATACACGCGTGAATGGCGAGGCGTCACATTTTATCTGGACCAACCGGTCCAAGGAGAGCCTGGCACTCAACCTGAAAGATGACAAAGACCACGGAATCTTGTTGAAGCTGCTCGAGAAAGCAGATGTGCTCGTCCAGAACCTGGCTCCCGGCGCCGCGGCTCGTCTGGGGCTCTCTCATGAGTCCCTGAAGGGGAGACACCCTTCCCTGATTGTCTGTGACATCTCTGGATATGGACAGGATGGCCCGTATCGCGACAAGAAGGCATACGATCTTCTGATCCAGAGTGAAGCCGGTATGCTATCGGTGACGGGCACGGGCAAAGAGCCAGTGAAGGTGGGCATCTCGATTGCGGATATCGCCGCGGGAATGTATGCATATACCAATATCCTCTCGGCCCTCATGCAACGCAACAGGGACGGCCAGGGATGTCGTATCGACATCTCGATGCTCGAGAGCATGGTGGAATGGATGGGGTTCCCCATGTACTACGCCTTTGGGGGTGCAGCGGGACCAGTGCCCGCGGGAGCCTCACATGCGTCGATCTATCCCTACGGCCCATTTGAAACGGGAGATAGCCAGACAGTCATGCTTGGGATCCAGAATGAGCGGGAATGGGCCAATTTCTGCTCGGGGGTGCTCTTCCAGCCCAACCTCGCCTCCGATGACCGGTTTTCCAGTAACACGCTCCGGGTGCAGAACCGGGATGCCCTGAAGGCGATCATTATTGACTCCTTCTCGAAATTGACTGCGGAAGAGACCATTGCTCGGTTGGACAAGGCCACGATTGCCAATGCCAATGTTAATGACATGCAAGGTGTCTGGCAACATGCCCAACTGCAAGCTCGGGAGCGTTGGACGAACGTGCAGACTCCTGCGGGTGTCGTCCCAACTCTGCTCCCGCCAGGATCGACGAAAGATGCGGACAAGGGAGGATATGGCGCCCAGATTGCCGCTGTACCGAAGGTAGGAGAGCACAACTCGGCGATTATGGCCGAGCTGGGCTTGCGATAATGTACGTACCCTTAGAGTATACACTATGTAGATGCAGAACTCCATTGCTGGCTCATTGTACATAGAACATGATCTACCTGCACATATTCAGACCCACAGGGCATATTACATCTCATTGCTTCCTTCGCACCGGGCATTCTCAAACGATGAGTCTGCATAATTTGTATACGCACCGCTGTCGACTTGGGCGCCTGAGGCTCGGGTTTCCCCGCGGGCGCTTCGGGCTGCCAAATGTGGCGCAAAGTGGGGGAAGGCGAGAGCCGACATGCAATCTCCAACCTCTTCACGCGGAACATGTCATGCGGGGCACTCTGCAAAGGGAGCCGAGGCTTCGATCTGAACTGAAAGATACGAGCAAGTGTGAGTCCTGAGCTTTGTTCTTACGTGAATTAAAGTAAACACTGTAAGTGATATAAGTAATATAGTATATCATCCAATAGTCCATCCAAATGCAAAAACAAAAACAAAAACTATTTACAACTCAAAATTCCCAACCGATCTATATGGCCCCGTCGCCAACACCCAAAATGTGGCTGGTTATTAAATAAACAAAACATGAGGCATATGCACGTAGCTTCACAGCTCCACGAACTCGTGGCAGAGGAGCTCATCGCCCTTGAGCTGGCTCAGGTAGCCCGCCACCTTAGTCGTCAAAGCGTTGATCTCGTAACCAAAGAACTTGTAGGCCGCCTTGCCGGGCAGACTGTGACCGAAGCGCTTAATGCAGATACCGGCATCCGCATAGCGCTCCCAGCCATTGGGGGCATAAGGCTCGATCACCACGGCAGGGATACCGCGGTGACGGCGCAGAACGTCGCGCTTATACTCGAGCGACTGCTGTTCAAACAAGCGCTGGCAAGGGAAACTGATCACGCGCGACGCAATGCCCTGGGCCTTGAGCTTCGCGGCCACCTCCAGAGCAAACGAGAGCTCGGCTCCCACACCAATCAGGGTCACAACGGCGGACTCGTCTTCGGACAGCACATATGCACCGCGGGCCTCCCTCGCGACGTGTCTGCGAGAGCTGCGGAAGGCCCTGGCGGGAAGTCGAGATGATACTCGGGGTCTTCTTGGCCTCAATAGCAGCGATCCAGGCACCCGCAGTTTCCTCGCTATCACCGGGACGGATGTAAAGCAAGTTGGGCATGGCGCGGTACAGAGCGGCCAGCTCAATGGGCTGGTGAGTGGGACCATCCTCACCCATGCCAATGGAGTCGTGGGTGGCAACGTGGATAATCTGGAGATGCTGCAGGGCACCCATGCGGACAGCGGGAGCAGCGTACAGATAGAACATGAAGAAAGAAGACGTCACAGGGACAATGGTGTTAGGCGCATATGCGGCCAAGCCGTTGGAGATGGCGGCCATCGCATGCTCACGGACACCGTAGTGGATATAGCGGCCAGAGTAATTGCCGTTGATGTTGCAAGTGGTGCGCAGATCAGGCTATTGTGGTGTTAGACTTGTTCAAATCAATTCACGAAGGGTTTAATACGCACATGCTGGAAGTCCACCTTGCCAGGCCAGATCATGTTCACAGACGGGGACAGATCGGCCGTTCCCACAATGAAGCTCTTGACTTCTTTAGCGATAGGGTTGAATACAAGGCCGGAGGATGCACGAGAGGCAGTGGCCTTCTCAGGGAAAGAAGTGGGAATGTGCTGTTTCCAGTCGGAGGGCAGATCGCCATGCACACGAGCCTGGAACTCGGCGCCGAGTTCGGGGTTCTGAGCCGTGTAGTCGCTGACAAGTTGATTCCACTCCTGCACCCATTGCTCACCACGGGCGGGGAGATCCTGGAAAAACTGGCGCACAGTGTCGCCGATGACGAAGTGCTCCTCGGGGTTGAATCCATAGAGCTTCTTCATCTCTGCAACGTTGTTCACACCAAAGGCAGCACCGTGAGCAGTGGCGGTGCCCGCAACAGCGCTGTCCAGACCAATGACGGTGCGGACGTTGATGAAGGTGGGCTTCTCTGTCGAGGCGCGAGCATGCTCCAGAGCACGCACAATGCCCTCGATGTCAAAGCAGCCATCCTGGACATCAATCACATCCCAGCCACAGGCGCGCATCTTAGCATTCACATCCTCGGTGTTAGTAAGGTCGACCGATCCGTCGCAGGTGATCTGGTTGTTATCGTAGATGACGGTCAGGTTGTTCAGACGGAAGTGACCAGCAAGAGAGATGGCTTCAAGTCCAACCCCCTCCTGCAAGCAAGCATCGCCAATCATGCACCAGGTGTGGTTGTTGACCACATCGAACCCGGGGCGGTTGTAAGTAGCAGCCAGGTTCTTCGTCGCCATGGCCAAACCGACGGCGTTGGCAATTCCCTGACCCAGCGGACCGGTCGTGACCTCGATTCCCTCGTGTTCGATCTCGGGGTGGCCAGGACACAACGCATCAACACGATCCGAGTGGTAGGACTTGAGCTGGTCAAGGGTCATGGCTTTGTAACCAGTAAGGTGCAGGAAGCTGTATTGGAAAAGACAGGTGTGGCCTGCCAGTACTTCATCAGCTTCTGATACCGAAATATCATACGCGCCAGCTACCTACCGTTGGAAAGAATGAAGCGATCCCGGTTGAAAAAGTCCGGGGTATGCGGGGCGTAGCGCATGGCGTACTTCCACAACGACACACCAATGGCCGCCATGCCAATGGCACCACTAGTAAATTGTTAGCGGTGATATCTAGAAAGGTAATCTCGGACATGTGGACTGTACCCAGGGTGGCCACCGCTAAACTGCTGGCACAGGTCGGCAATGAGCAGACGGAAGGTCTTGAGAACCAGATCATGGTCCTTAGAAAGCTTCTGCACCAAGGGCAGTGCGGATGGTAGGGACTTCTGGACGCCGTTGGCTTGAGTCATATTGGCGAGGTCCAACGAAGGCGAGGAGAAGAGAAAAGAAAGACCGCTTGTGAGCTTCCCCCAAATGCCTCGCGTCCTCGAACCCTTTTTAAATCCGCCTCACCTTCGACCCTGTGCGACGACAAATGTAGCCCGATTAGGAAGGCACCCAAACGGGTAGCCGCACGCACGGATGACATAATCACACCCGCTATCCCCGCGTCTGAATCGGGAAGGGTCAACCACCCGCACCGCTCGGCCCGGTTGCAGAGTGCCGAGTCCCGTGACTACCATTGCCGCATCACGTGGTATAATGGTGATGAGCCCTAGTAGTGCTACGACAGTGTAGCACCTGTGAGGGTATCATCGTCACATACTGTGATAGTCGGATTGACTATCTTGGATAGAAACTTAGAATCGGGCAGCATACGATGTATATCGTGGAGTGTCACATTCAAATATATTTTGGTAAGGCGGTGCGTGGTTCGCTATAGTTGCAACAGGACAAAATCATCAGCAAATATCATACAGGACCCTCAGAAAACGGTGACGAGCTCCCTGCCCAAGCACCATGATATTGACTTGAAGGAACAATGCACTCGGGACCTTCATTTGATGACACTACATAGTGTAGTGTAGCCTTCACAATTGCGACCAAAATTGTAGTGTCTGACCCCAGGGTCACTGAAGATTGAGGTCTTATCTCACCCTGAGAGCTGTAGACACATGAGGGCCGTTGACTACACCGAGTGAGCTTGGGAAGCAACTCGCCGATTTGTCGAAGAATGAGGCTTTACGCAGTCTTTTGAGAGCGAAAATTCCCAGTTGTCTGTCAACCGCGGTTTCTTCCCCGAGCGGCCGGTGCCCCACTCCGCCCAAGCAAGAACCCGATGGCATCTATCTTCTTTTCGCATCGGCAAAGTACCCGATTGCACCGCGCTTTCGTTTAAATTGGTTTATAACCTCACGAGAGTACGCGGTTCGGCTGTAGTCTCTGCAGAATACTAGTTGATAGGCCCCCGGATTGCCAACTAAGCACTGGATTTTGATTTCAGTTGATTTGACCACATTCTCGTTCAGCAAAGCTTCGACTCCGAAAGGCACAAGATGAACATTAAGGTCAATTAAGGTCAATCCATCGGACTTGGATGATCATGCTCAGTTCATGGCAGCTCATCATCGCCTGTCGAACCGAGGCGCTACCAATTTCGCATACCGAGACGTCTGGGGACTTCGAGAAAAGTCCATGGGGAATCCATGGTCACCAACAAACCCGCGCGGAACGTGAGTTTTATCCCCCGATATAGCTGGATTTGGATTTGGAATTGACAACGCGCCTTAAGGATCATCCTTCGGCTAGCCGAGAACGGCTTCATGCACAAGGAGGTTAGCGATTTCATCCACGAGCAGGATGTTATCTTGTCCTCTGCCATCGGTGCTGCTGCTTATTCAATTTCAATTTCAGATGAAAATACTACCCACCGAGCATCTCACCTACGGTACGGGCCCCCATGGCTCGAGGCGTCTGAGAAACGCCGGAGCTGGATTTCTTGACAGGATTTCTACTCGTGAGCCAATCACCTACGACAACATACTTATTACCCCTGGCCTGGCAAGCGCAATCGATGGTATCATGTTATCTATCTGTGATGAAGGAGATGGAATATTGATACCTCAACCTTTATATAACGGTTTCAATTTTGATGTGTTGAACAGAAGTAATGCAAAAGTGGTTGGGGTCAAATATGAACGAATTGAGGGATATTTGGGACTTGACAGTCACTTCGAGCCTGCAGTTAACAGAGATGCCCTTGAAGCTGCTCTGGTTCAGGCCAGAAGAGAGGGAATCAATATTCTGCACTTTTGATCTCTAAGTCAGTTTCACCCCACGCCAATGCTGATCGGATGATTATAGTCTGACATTCAGGATTTTCAGCCCACACAATCCACTGGGTAGATGTTACGTACGTTTATTCTAACTTTACCCTTTCCTGCCAGTGATGGAGTGCTGACATGGACATGCAGCCTCTTGAGACCCTGGAAGAGTTCGCTTCTTTCCGCAGTGAAAAAGATCTGCATTTCATCTCGGATGGGATTCGTTTGCACAAAGAACGAAGGCATAATGGGAGCAATGTCGAGTATTGGACGAGTGATCTAGGTCGTGGTTTTTGAAGCACCCGCTGACATGTTATTTCGGCAGTATATTCTCCTGGTCGCCACATATTCAGCAAGACGTATGAGCTGCCATGCTGGAAGACCAAGAATGGACGAGTACATTTCTCCAGCGGAAAAAGAAGCTCATGATAGAGTGCTATAACACAGCAACCGACTTCTTATTCAAGCATGGCATTCTACTTTATGATATGTACGTGCCCGAAGACGACGTAAGCTCTGGTACGCACTGACCCACTCCCAGGAACGCGGGACTGTTTATCTGGGTCGATCTTCGGCATTTGTTAGTGTCGAAATCGTCGGTGCGAAATTCAGACTATGACACACTAAGAGTGATGGCTGTTGATTCCCAGCGTCACCAGCAAATAGAGCTGAAGATCTCAGACATCTGCATGAAGAATGGGGTCATGATCGCTCCTGGTCATGTCTATAGGGCTGAGGAGTACGGTTGGTTCCGCATTACCTTCACTGTTGGAAGAGAGGCACTGGACGAAGGATTAAAACGCCTTTTGAAATCGATTGAGGAAATCGAGGCTGTGAGCGACGGTTGGAAATGGACGTGACATTCAGCATTCCGTGGAGTTCGCAATAGACTGAAGAACTTAGCTCGTCCTTGGGCACATTTCTTGGTCTATCCCCACTTAGACTTGCAAATTAACAGCCAGGGTGGATATACTATACAATTGAACATTATTGATTTGACATGTCTACGTGGCCGCCTTGGGAATTTATTTTCGTTCCCCTGTTGGAAACGTCATATTTGAAACCATAACCGACACCGACACCGTAGCCGTCAGAAAATTTTGTATCGGCTGGGGCTATCGGCCTTCATGAAAGGATTGATATCACCAACGACAGGTCGAACCCGTCGGCCACTAGCAATTCGAGCACCAATCGTCGAGATGCGAGGGAGGACGTCGTGCCGCCGAGAAAGCGACCTGTTGGGGCGCGGTGCTCGTTTCCTTCCAGGCTCTCACGAATGTTGGCAATCGTTCTATCACCCAAGGCAATCGACCACACGCAAAAGTTAGGATTGGTCCGCCGAATTTCCAAGGTGACTTCTCTCTCTTCGCCCTCTGCGTGCCGGGCAGCCGCGTTGCGAAACACATATAGAATTTGTTGATATCACGTACGTTAGAGAGTTTGGGTTGGACAATATTCGAAAGCTCGCCTTCGTCTTTGCTTCCTGTCAATCGAACCAGCCACGGCCTCCGCTTGCTCCATAACGATATCGCAACCTTTTCATATACAAACAATGGAAGGCCCGAGGCGTCCCGAAATTCTCAGGCTCCTTTCCTGTCGTACTCGATACCACTTTCAGTGAAGATATTCTTGTCATTGCTGTCGTACTTAATAGCATATTCTTCCGAGGCGTTTCTATCGTAGTGTGGTCGAAGATATAAGAGCCGCTCAAAGTTGCTGATATGTTCCTGCCTCAGGCCTACTGGCAATGGCGGCGAAGACACTTTCTGCCTGGAAAATGACATGTCGTCGGACAAGAGGACAGCTGCTATTGTAAACTTGCAGATCGCAGGGTGCTGAGATGAAAACAAAAAGTGAGTAGACGAGTTTCGAAGATCGGCAGTCCTAACGCCCGGCTGCTAAAAATAGATCCGCTGAATCGACATGGACATGATCTGCTGTCCGTACCTCCTACAGTAGTCGGGTAGCAGGCAGCCTTGTCGGCCGTGAATATCGACAGGAACATGGTGGATATGGCAATTCGAAAAGAACTGGCAGTTGCGGGAGAGGCGCATACTTTGCGGCGGCAAACTTCCGCGGGGAAACGCGGCACCCCGCCGCAATCCGACCGTCCCTCGCCTTTCGCGATCCACCAACAATTTTTTCACCCTCCTTGACCTGTCACGTCCGGCAATCTCCATGGCAGATATCGAGTCGACATGCGCCTCCCTGCGCGCCCAGATTTTGGCCACTGAAGCGCAGCTCGATGGGCTCAAACGCGACCTTGCGAATGCGGAAAAGGCCAGCAAATCGCGGGCTTCACCTGCCGCCGACGAGCACAAGGAACAAAATGACAACCATGAGGGCCGTCGGTGGCCGCTACTCCCAGAGGAGTATAGGCGGTATGGGCGACAGATGATCGTCTCTCAAGTTGGCCTTGAAGGTGACTGCCTCGTGTCCGGCAAAGAAGCAAAGACAACGCGTTTGAACAACAGCTCACAATCTTCCGTTTCAAAACAGGACAACTCAAACTACGGTCCGCCAAAGTTCTGCTCGTCGGAGCAGGGGGCCTAGGCTGTCCTGCTGCTCAGTATCTTGCCGGAGCCGGTGTAGGTACTATTGGGCTTATTGACGGCGACACGGTCGAAAGCTCTAACCTGCACCGCCAAGTGCTGCATCGGACAAAGAATGTTGGGAAATACAAAGTGGACAGTGCCATTGAGTCGTTGCAAGAGTGTGTAGCTCTCCCTCCTCACGCTGCAGTTTGCGCAGTATGACATTAACGAGATCTCCGTCGAGCAGACTCAACCCGCACCCGACCTATATCCCACACCGGACGCACCTCACACCCGATGAAGCACCCACGATCTTCGAGAATTATGACTATATCCTCGATTGTACCGACAACCCTGCGACGCGCTACCTGATTTCGGACACTGCCGTGCTGCTAGGGAAGACCTTGGTCTCCGCGTCAGCGCTACGAACAGAAGGCCAGCTGATGGTCCTCAACAACCCGCCCCAACCTGCAGGGGACCCGGAGGGTGGTCCATGCTACAGATGTGTCTTCCCCAAACCGCCACCAGCTGATAGTGTTGTCAGCTGTGCAGACGGCGGCATTATGGGACCCGTGGTTGGCACCATGGGGGTCTTGCAAGCGCTTGAAGCAATCAAAGTTATCACGGCGCCGTACCCCATCAAGGCTGCAGCGGGAATTCCTGCACCGGCGCGAGAATCCCCATCGCTCCTGATATTCTCGGCATATTCCAACCCCCAATTCCGTTCTATTCGCCTGCGCTCTCGTCGATCGAACTGTGCTGTCTGCTCGGCGAACGCCACGGTGACATTGAACACCATCATGTCAGGATCTACGGACTATGTCTTCTTCTGTGGTTCGGCAAGCCTGCCGTCGTTATTGGGTCCTGAGGAACGTATATCGCCCGAGGAATATCGTCAGAAGCACCCGGGATCTGCTGCTGGACGAGGATCCACCATGATCGATGTACGAGAAAAGGCGCAATTCGGCATTTGTAACCTGGTGAACAGCATTAATATTCCAATTTCCAACATTCTGGCCTCGAGCTCGAAAAAGAGCCAAGGCCAGGAATCTGACCAGCCACCCGAATTGCCCTCCTGGATCCCTCCCGAAGTCGCTAACTCTGAGTCTGACGATCCAATATATGTTGTCTGTCGCCTTGGGAACGATTCTCAAATCGCAGTCAAGCGGTTAAAGGAGCTGGGGCTAGATCGTGATGGAAGACGGTATATTGGAGATATTCGTGGCGGGTTCCGTGCATGGCGAGAGCAAGTCGACCCGGACTGGCCTCAATACTAAGCTGTCTGAAATTGGCTGGCCAATCCATCACAAAATTGGCCATGTGGGCACATTGTATTCCGGAACCAGTGGTAGCATTCCCGAGCGGGTAAAAGACGAGCTCGACCCCATAGGATCCCGCGATTCCAGCGCCTCGACCTCCTGCGCGGTGTGCAGATGAGCCGAAACGAGGGCTCAGCCACTTTTCGAAGGCTCAATCGGGAAAAAGGACGTCCCTTCAGAGCCGAGTGCCGCTGGGATGCTACCGTGTCTTGTCTCCTTTGGGGCGTACCAGTTTAGCCTGTGCTGCTTCTATGCTGCTTGTCATGTATACTTCGGCGTCGGCATGCCAAATCCCCGCATCGGCCCGTGGGGTGGTTACGTAAGGGCACCCCCTCAAATAACTAGTCAAATAGGACCTTCGCTGCCCCAAATCACCTCATTTGCTGGAATATTTCACTCAAATCACACTGCCCTTTCTTTCCGTCCTCGACCCCCATCTTCCCACCATGGCCGACCTTCCTGAAATGCAGTATCGCTTCCTCGGCCGCACAGGCCTGAAGGTGTCAGTTATTTCTCTAGGTAGCTGGCTGACTTACGGTGGCCACGTTGGAAACGGTAAGGCTTCTTTCAAAAGAGTCCGGTGATGCTTGATTATGCTGACACTTTCTAGAAACAGCATTTGATTGTGTCAAGGCTGCTTATGACGCCGGCGTTAACTTCTTTGATACCGCCGAGGTCTACTCTGGTGGCCAGTCTGAGATCGTACTCGGCCAGGCCATCAAGAAATTTGGCTGGAAGCAGAACGACCTCGTGATTTCAACCAAGGTAAGCGGAGAATACTATCGATCTCTGTTGTACTGAATATTTCGAGACTAACCTTCTCCTAGATCTACTGGGGCCGAGCTAACAGCGCAAATCCTGACAAACCCCTTAACAACAATGGTCTCTCGAGAAAACACATCATCGAGGGGATGAACCTGTCTCTCCAGAGATTGGATCTTTCTTATGTGGATATCGTCTATGCCCACCGCCCAGACCGTGACACTCCCATGGAAGAGATTGTCCGTGGCTTCAATTACCTGATCAACACGGGCAAAGCCTTTTATTGGGGCACCTCCGAGTGGTCCGCCAGTGAAATATCTGATGCATGGCGTATTGCCGATCGACTCGGCCTTGTTGGTCCCGTCGTTGAGCAGCCACAGTACAACCTTCTCGTGCGAGAGCGGGTGGAGAAAGAGTATCGCTGGCTGTACGAGGCCCATGGTCTTGGCCTGACAATCTTTTCGCCCCTCAAGGGGGGCGTTCTGACTGGGAAGTATAATGATACTGCCACGCCACCGGCTGGCTCTCGGCTTGCGGAATCGGAGGATGGCTACATTAAGAATCTGCGGAAAACCGTTGGCAATGATATTTGGACGCAACAGCTCAAGCAGGTCGCTGCACTCAAGCCGGTCGCGGATGAACTTGGCGTCTCGACAGCCCAGTTGTCCTTGGCCTGGATCCTGAAGAATCCGAATATCTCGTCCATGATTACTGGAGCCTCGCGGCCCGAGCAAGTTCTCGACAATGTTCGAGCGTTGGCCATCGTTGACAAGTTGACCGACGATGTCATTGAGAAGATCGACAAGGCAGTGGGGAATCAGCCCGCGATTGAGGTCCGGCGGTTCTAGCTGACGATCTCTTGACCAAATAATCGAACTACTCTGCATAAATATTGAAGAGGGGAACGCTCGATGGCTGCACGCGCTGAGACGTGCGGGTCGATTCAGCAGAAAAACCACCACAAAACACACGCGTAGCAATCAGGAAACAGCGAGAAGCCCAAATGTAGGGGTCAGGTCGGGGAGGTGTAAGAAGGTGTATTCTAGAACTAGCTATTCGGCCACTGTATACTGCCGGCTATGTCACGTAGTCTGGATGGCACCCATGTAGTAGGGGGAGGGGGTCTCCCCACTGCAATATTTACTCGATTCTCATTTTCGATCTATTCTGGATGAACCAACGTCAAATTTCCAACCGTGCACTAGTGTGCTAGCGAAGTCTGGCCATGGAGTTAAAAACAAGAGCAGTCCATGAACATCTTGAATCGAGCTGATATCTGAATATGATTTAAACTCCAGAAGACGGACAAGGACACATCAAAGGCTAGACCTCTTTGGCAACAATCCCATATGACGCTTCCATTGCTCGTCAATATTTGTGCGCTGCGCAAGTGGAATAGATCCCCAGGCCTTTTTGAAAATCAACTTCTGAGACTCCCAGTATGTCAACTCCGAATCAATAAAGTCAGCACTGGCGTGAGCGCTTTCGGCGACAAGTTCCATGGGAACTAGATGCCCACAAGGAAGAACTACTTCCTTTACCCTCCCGCAAGTGACACCGCCACTTCCCCCGACGCCAGTACCAGTGACCTGTAGCTTCTCCTGACGAGCTTCTGGAGAAGAAAGATCGGACTTGCTGCCGAAGAGGTACATCAAAGCAGGTTTCAGCTCAGACAAGCGACGGAAAATCATCGGTGGTTCGGGGCGATAGAAGGGAAAGCCATCTATATCATCCGGGTGCATTTCTTCCCCGGGTGAGCCGCGAGGCAGGCCCGACCTCTCGTCGATATAAGAAGACCGCAAGAAGGTGAATAGCTCTTGTGATTTTGTCGTCGTCAACGTGACAGCAGGAGTTTGAGACTCACTTTCACTGGACGTTGGATATAGCTTTGTAGGCAGATCCCGGAGACCATATTCAATCCACTTTTCGAGCACACGAGGGTCCCAGGATCGATAGAATGTACTGGACCGAAACTTCTCCGCTGCCTCGGCGCGCGAAGACCACAGATCCCTCCTATACGTTGACGGCAATGCATATTTCCGGCTAGGATTTTCTCTTTGGATGACTGGATCCACCAAGACCAGACCCTGGAAAAGGGAAGGATGCATCAGAGACAGATGAGCCCTTCAGCCGGTCAGTGTTCTGAGTAGACAGCAAATCGAATACCCAGAAAACTTACAGCTGCATGCCACCCATGCTGTGGCCCACACCTATGATCGGCTGGGTGATCTGGTCCTGAAACTGGTTCAGCATAAAAAGCAAATCTCGCCCGTGGTCAAACCAGCTGGCTGCAGAAATCACGTCAGATATAATCATGGAGACATGTCACAACAAGAACTATTGGAAACTCACGATCGTCGCCAAGTATGGCTTCGTTCAGGACCGAACTTTGACCCTGCTGAACAACATCTGCAATCCAGATCGATCGAATCCGCCGATTATGGACCCGTAGCCGTTCATACATGTCATCCCAAAGGGGCTCGTATAGCTCCTAAACTTGTTAGCATGAATCATCCTACATCTCAATTAAATGTCCACAACCTTTGGAAATCCATTTGCATGGGCTCCAATGATCGTGACATCTTCGTACGCCGGGCAAGGGTTGTCATGGGGAATGTATTGCTTGACGGCCAGGCGAAGATCCCGCTCATGTCCGAATTGAACAGCGCCGAGGCGTTCCCGTATACCTTGAGCGCGAACTTGGTGGCTGACGACGCGAAAATGAGACATGCTTCGCGTACACGACCGTAGCGATGGGTGAGCTGCTAGGTATCGAATACGCCTGAAAATGCACATCATGGCGAGATGGGTGAAATATAAAGTGAATAGAGACAAGTAAGTCTCACAACATCGCGACGTTGCCGAGGTCCACGAGCAATGCTAGCACTGCGACGTTGGTACCCCCGATTTCGCCAAGATCGTGTAAGGCGCGGCCCCGGTTTTCAAACAGGAGAGAAGACTCTTAATTCGGTGTGGATTTCCAGGACCCATCGTCGAAAGGGAACCAGCCGCTGTTGAGCAAAGGGCGCGGGTGTCTCCGAATTGGGGAGTTGGGGAAGTCGAGACGAGGGGCGGATGGCGGGCACTCTGTACGGTCAATATCTCGGCCATATCCCCGGCATTCCCCACGATCGGGCTCTCGGCGAGGCTGCGGAGCCCCCTGGAGTCGAGACCATTATGAGATTACTACACTGGTTAGTTGTGTGCACTATACTCTGATTATTTGACGGACTTAGCATGATCCGAAGGTGGCCGAATTGATTCGTAACGAGGTTCCTCAGCATTCTACTCTTGTATTGATGAGCATGCGCACATCCTCATTGCTTGAGCGGAGAAGTCTCTGAATAGATCGGACTCCTCGTTGATCCGTGTGGCCCTCAGACTTGAAGCATGGGATCTTAATGCTCAAAGAATACTACTGTACTACTGGTGGTACTCTACTACAATGACAAACTGAGGGGGTGGTCAAATACCACTAGGACCCTTCGGGATAGGCTTATCCATCGTTCACCCAATTCTCCCTAGTATGGTTTCATAACAAGCCACAGTTCGATTATAAAGACCCCTGAGATCGCTCAACCGATCTCAACAACCTTCAATCAATCATCTTATTCTATGGGACATCTTCAGTACTAGCCAGTACATAAATTCCTCATCCTGACATAGAACAAAGTGTAGTAGGAGTACCTTACTAGGAGGGTAGTGTAGTATTGCGTGGTAATAGAACACACTCTCGTGGTATTTCCACCGGAAATTGATGCTTCCACTCCCTCCCCTTTGTCTCAGACCAACCCCATCATGGCTCCGCCCAGATAATCCAGAAATATAACCTGAATCAAACATAGTGTCAGTTTTGACGCCTCATACCCTCTCGGCGGTTGGCCTTGATAACCACCAAGTTCATTGCTCGATGTAGTCACTTATCAGGTCAGCTACCTGGTCATCTACCCAGTCGCCTACGCGATCAGTTGTCTAGATGGCTATTCTAGAAAGTGAAGCGCTATGCTAAATGAACGGGATCGGACTAGGATAATTCTAGTGGAATTCCATTCTTCAACTCGCACAGCCAGGACACCCAAGCCGAAGAACTAACAGATATGTACCTGAAGGTTCAGACAAGGAGTGTGTGTTAAAGCAGAAGGGGCGTGGCTGTATCAAATTCCCTTTCCACCATGGCGTCTGCAGCAATCTACGATGGTTCTCTGGTTACGAGACCATCATTTCATATTGCAGAGTGCATCAAAAGTCTACTAGCTCTTCAAACATTCCGAATTGTCAAAACGGAAATCTGACTTTACTGTCTGCCTTGTACCGTCGCGGTGGTGATCCACTGTACCCTACCCTCAAGGTAGTATATACCGTATATGAAATAGGAGGATACCCACGGAACGCCTCGCGCCTCGGTGCCCACCTGCATAGCTAGTACTGCCAATCACGCGCAGCCTCAGAATTCGAAAGGCGCAGTCAAGCCTTTGCGCATCGCCGGCCAAGTCAGCCACGCCGTCAAGCCAGTTCCTCCCACTTCCGCGGGCTCATACTTTCACCCGGTTGGCAGTGTGGGGATTCAACGTCACCGGTTCGCCCAACGAATGACAGCTGCTCGTGTTCAGGCCTGCAACAACAAGGCTCTGCATAGCATCCCCGCGATGTGACATCGGTTCGAGCAGTTGGGGGCGGGCGTGACTACTCTTAAGGTACCCCTGCATTCGCCAGGCGCGTGATCTGCCGTCAAAATTGGAATCGGCCCAGGCGATACTGCAGCTCTTTATCTTCTGTCTTTTCCCTGCATATCTTCATTTTCCCCACTGCCATTTCGCGCGGGAGAGCTCCTTGATAAACATACGATCACCCGAACATGTCGCAAGTATACCGAGACCCGATCCAGAGCGAGCATTCGCAGAAGGGAGACCAGGGTCCCGGTGCCGCGGAGAAGCAGTACGCCGAGCAAGCACCCGATCAGTACGACAATCCGTTTGGCAATGAGGACTACGCCGAAGTCAGGTATCGGACGCTATACTGGTGGTGGGTATCCGATCTTCAGCTAGTCCCACTCCTACAATAAGTAGTGCGTTTCTAATCACTGGCTCCACACAGGCAATGTGGCATGAGTATGTGATGTCCCGAATTCGACCGAGGTATGTCTTGGTCTGTACTTAATGCCAGTGATAGTCATGATTGCAGAAACCATCTCGCTCGGAATCTTGTCGCTCCCCTCCGCCGTCGCGACCCTCGGACTTGCGCCGTGAGTGTTTGACAATGGTGACCCAATTCGCTCATTGGATTTAGACTTGATCTGACATTCAAACAGGGCCGTGGTGTTGATTGTGGGGCTTGGAATCCTCGCCACCTATACGGGATATACTCTGGGCCAATTCAAGCTCCGCTATCCTCATGTACATTCGATGGGAGATGCGGGTGAGGTATTGTTTGGGAGATTCGGGTTGCCACGCTTCGGGCGCGAGTTTCTCGGAACCGCCCAGCTGCTCTTTCTTATCTTCATTATGGGCAGCCATATTCTCACATTTACGGTCATGATGAATACGCTCACCAACCATGCCACCTGCTCCATTGTCTTCGGGGTTGTTGGGCTGGTCATTTCATTCATTTTTGCAGTTCCGAGAACCCTGCGCAAGGTCTCATGGTTCTCCTTCGCATGTAAGTGGTACAAGAAATCGGGGCTTCCCACATTGAATACTAACCTTGAGTAGCGTTTGCAAGTATCATCGCGTGAGTTGAGCAGATCATCGTATGTCCCATCTACTGACCCCATCAGTGCCGTCCTCATCACGATGATCGCAATTGCTATCCAGCGTCCCGGGGACGGCAAGATTGATGTAACGACCAAAATCGACGTGGCTACGGGGTTCCTCGCCGTGACAAATATTGTCTTTGCCTACGGTATGATTCAAGGGCCCATCCCGTAGACTCGATGATACTAAACTGCCTGCAGCCGGCCATGTCGCCTTCTTCGGGTTCATCTCGGAGATGCAGATCCCGACCGACTACCCCAAAACATTGTACATGCTACAAGCCACCGATACGGTCATGTACACGGTGGCGGCCGTCGTCATCTACTACTATGGCGGAAAAGATGTCAAGTCTCCCGCGCTCAGTTCCACCAGCCCGATCACGGCAAAACTAGCCTATGGCATTGCGATTCCGACGGTAAGCTTGCGCTGTTTGTTTGGTTTCAAGTTGCCTTGAACAGGAAGAGATTCTAACGAAAATAGATCGTCATTGCGGGCGTGATCAACGGACACGTCGCCGCCAAGTACCTGTACGTCCGCGTCTTCCGGGGTACGGACCACATGCACAGGCGCAGCCTGCTGTCGATCGGGTCCTGGGTGGGGATCAGCTTGGTGCTGTGGATCATTGCCTGGATCATCGCGGAGGCAATTCCCGTCTTCAACAATCTGCTCAGTCTGATCGTAAGTGCATGTCCGCAGAGAGTGCATGCAGGGGACACAGCTAATACACAGGCCCGCTTAGACTGCGCTTTTCGCTAGTTGGTTTACATGTGCGTTTTCATTATGCCCTTTCCAGTTCCAGTGAAATCAATTGACACCCGCGCAGATGGCCTGAGTGGTATCTTCTGGCTCTTCCTCAATTGGGGAAGATACGTCGAGAACTGGAGAAAGGCCTTGTTGACCAGTTTGAATGTCGTGATCGTCATCATCGGAGGATGCCTAGTAAGCACATCACTTTGGTCGGGTAAACCGAAGCTAACGCATGACAGTGTGGCATGGGGCTATGGGTTTCTGGAAAGGCCATCCATGACGATTCGAGCAGCGCTAGCTTTTCATGCGCGGCGTCAAGTGGATGATCTTGACGCTACTGCGGTACCTCTGAATTTATTGATCGTTGCGGAGAATGGAGTACCCTGTCTTTTTCATTTTTTATGCGGCAATGTATAGTTTTTTCCCGCACGTTGGGGTCATTGTTTCTGGGATGTTTCCCTTGGCGCCGTTTCAAACCCAGGGCGTGTTTCAGGTGTCGCGGATATGAGACTCGCTCGGCGCGTGCTCATTTGGGAAGAGACCCCGATGATCCTACAAATCGCAGAATTAAGCTTGGTGGGAATGCAGCCATGCCGGAACCTATTCAAGACGGTGCCTTGTTTCAGCATGCAGCACGCAGCCCACAATTACCCGCTGTCAGAAGCTCCCGTTTCACATTCGCGGTCCTGGAGAAAGTTAGTCAATATAAAGGTTCCCAGATAGCTGGCTCTCAGCAATATTGCATTTTTCTGAGCGACCGATCAAAATGAAGTATCTTCTCTGGGCGGTTATGCCCATCGCGGCGGAATGCGGCGAGGTCTTGTGGAGTGGCTTTTTCAATTCTTCGTCGAGCGTGAAGGAATTTGACGAATGTGGGCTTTCCATCGCCTTTCACGGCTGTTCATGTCGCTGATTTTCATCCAGGGTCCTGGTCCAACCAAATCGGCGACTGGCAATGGTACATCCATGGCAGCGGCGACACTGGTGATTACCTGGGATTGTCCGAGGCCTTCAAGAACCCGGCCGACAAGAGTGATGACCAGGGGATTCGCATCACTATTGTACATTCCGCTCTTTCTAGTGTATTTTCGCGTTTCACTTGCTGACGGGCAGACAGGACGAAACCTCCTCGTGGAATGGCCAGAACATGATGCGGAGTGAGCTTATCCCCCAGACGACTGAGGATCTGGGCAGCGGCCATCTGTTCTATCACTTTTCGCTGTCGACCAACGAGACCAATGCGCCCAATCCCAAGTTCGAGCACCAAATTGCATTCTTCGAGGTACGTCCTGCACTCCGCGATGCGACCGGCATGAAGGCAACCGCGCTAACCCCGTCCTGCAGAGCCACTTCACCGAACTCAAGTACGGTCTGTTGAGCGGCGACTCGGCGACCCAAGATAACACCCTCCGCTGGTGTGTTAACAGCGAAACCCACTGGTCCACCGAACTTGAAGCGGGCCACTGGTACAACTTTGCCTACGACATCGATTTTGACGCGCAGACGGTCGGGCTGTGGGTGTCGAACGGATCGCAGGCCCTCAAGCAGGTGGTGACAGGGGTCAGCGCGTCGACCTCGACCAACTCGGCCGATTTCCACATTGGCGAGCTGCGGCTGGATAACGGGGCGAGTGGTGGTGCGGAGGACTGGTTCTGGTCGGGCATTTTTGTGGAGAAGGCGCCCATCACGACGGCGATCGCAGGACTCTGAATCCTCCGTGGCAGCTTTCACCACAAAACATAGGACACATGTCATTTGCATGCTCACCGGACGCCCATCGAGGAATACACTAAGAACTAAAGTTTGACACAACTATCACCGTGGTGGAAGATCGTACGGGCTCGGCAAACCGAGTGACGTTAGTCGGAGTGGGGCGTTGGGGAAATAAACAAGATAAGCTCGTCAAAAATGATATCATTTTCTGAAGAGGTGGGCTCGAAAATCCTGCATCGGCCCCCAGAGAGAAACAGACAGGTTTTGGTATCGCTATGTACACACAAGAATGGTTTACCGGACGCAGTAGCCGCCGTCGATGAGCAGATCGTTGCCAGTCATGTAGGTGCTGGCGTCGGAGACCAGGTAGACGTAGGCGCCCTTGAGTTCCTTGGCCTGGCCGTTGCGGCCCATGGGGATCATCGAGTTCCACAGGTCCTGGGTCTTCTGGTCGACAAAGTCGGACAGGCCGGTGTCGATATAACCGGGAGAGATGCTGTTGACGCGGGCAAAGTCACGCCACTCGTTGGCGAGCGAGCGGGCCATGTGGATGCAGCCAGCCTTGGCGACGTTGTAGGAGGTTTGCTCCTGGGGGAAGTTGGCGATGTGGCCGGACATGGACGAGGTGATGACGAACGAGCCGGTGCCGCGCTCCTTGAAGTGGTGGCCCACCGCCTTCGCGCAGTGGAAGGTGCCGTTGAGATCCGTCTGAATGACCTCCTCCCAGTCCTGCACGGAACCATCGAGGATGCCGCTGTTGGCGGTGCGACCAGCGTTGGCGATGAACGCATCAATCTTGCCAAAGTCCTTGATCACAGCCTTGACGAAGCCCTCGACGGACTCCCACTTGCCGACGTCGCACTTATAAGCCTTGACCTTGACGCCGTACGTCTCCGACAGCTCCTTGGCGTTCTTCTCGCCGCCCTCGGGGCGGGAGGAGTAGGTGATGGCCAGGTCGGCGCCCATCTCAGCGCAGCCGCGGGCGGCCTCGATACCCATGCCGCGGGGGCCGGAGGCACCGGTGACGACAACGACCTTGCCCTTGAGGCTCAGGAGGTCCTTGAGGCTATCGGCTTGGGGGACGGGGATAGGCATGGTGGTGGTGGTGGTGGCGGTGGATTATGGTGGGAGAGAATTGAGGTGGATGGAGGATACTGAACTACAAGAGCCGAGGGGGAGGCCGAATAAATAGGCTGCGCTGCGGACAGTGAGGTAATGAGCTTCCAAGGTTCGTCGGGTATAGATGCCTTGTTCTTCCCCCTCGTCTGCCCCTCCAACCATGACGGCATAAGCGGCCGATCCTGGCGGCGCGCGCTGGATGTGATACGCTCCACCTGCAACCCGGCTGCGCCGGCTCGAATCTCGTATGAGGGGCTAGTCCTGTTTGAATTGTTTCTTTTCTTTAGTCAGTAGCCCCTCACTCCTTGCATTGGCAGCTCGTAGAGGAGCGCTGCGTCTGGCATGTCGGACGGTCGCGGCCATGATGTCATGACTGTGTGTGGAGCCGCCGGACAACACACTATTCCATTTGTCGATTCCATGGCCATCTCGAAACTACGAGTAAGATTCGGAGTACTGCTTCGGGTGTCAGCAATGTCTATTCCCCTCTGATCAGCCCATGCATCGTGCTATGCGCCCAGAGAGAAGCAGGTACAGCACTTGTTTATCGGCGATCGCCCCCACCTGCCGGATCCACGAAGTATACAATGTTCCATTGTACAATTGATTCACGTCGAAAACATCAAGCGGTGATCAAAATAGCCCAAAAACATACGAATCACACCCCGCATCTTGCGATGGTAAATTTAGGCTCGGCCAAGATGGCAGGCGCCATCTACGATGTGCCTCGAGGGTATCTGCCGGCCGCCTGCCTATCAACGCCGGCGGTGGCTGGGCGTCGTGCAGACCGCCGCGCAACCGGGGCAAACCTACTTCGCAACCCTCGTCGACCCTCACCGCTGCTTCGCGACGGCTGCGTACTCTTTGTTCCATGATATGGACGAATTGCTAGCCTCCACTCGAAGATGGGGATAGCTTTTTCGCTGTCCGGGCCTGGAGGGTCGAGCCGTTGTCCGCGATGGATCCACCTCCACCATGACGCTTAGACAGGCACTCCGGAGAGATTCGTTAAGTCAGAGACTCGCAACGACAGGGCAATATGAGTTAGGGTGGCCCAGATCGAGAGGCGGCCAACAGGACTACGAGTGCGACTGCGAGTAGGTGGCCTGCGTTCAACAAATCGATCAGGGGTTTTCTAGGGTCGCGACAGCATGCCGGATTCGAATCCCAATACGCCCGAGGTGCCGCCGCAGGTACCGCCACAAACCACTCCCCAGCCGGTGCGCCATTTGCGCGTGAGCTCGACCGGCGAGATTCTCCATCGCTCGTCGACAGCCAGTACTCTGCACAGCAACCAATTCAACGACTCCTTCGTGTCTCGGTAGGTCGTTTGATATTATTTATGACCATAAGACGACGCCGACATCCAGATTAACCCTTTATCGATATAGCGTCCGCTCATTCTTCCAGCGGGACACCCACATCGGCCATGTTGGTCATCATCCATTGCGAGACAAGGAAAACGTTGAAATCCATACGTGGGATGGACCCAACGACCCCGACAACCCGTGCGTGGACATCAAAACGATCATCAATGGAGACAATTTTCAGAAGAGATACTAATGGCGTGCAGTTTCAATTGGAGTAAGACCTACAAATGGGTCCTTACAGTGACCATCTGCTTCATGTCAGTTCAGCAACCTCCGATACAATGGAATCCCCTCAAGACACAGAACTCGGATACTGACTTCGCGCAGCTCCATCCTGACCGGTCTGCCCGCCGGCTCGTACGGCGCCGGCAATACTTACATGGCCCAGCGCTTCCATGTCCAGAACGAGCCCTTTCCAAACCTGGCCTGGGCCACCACCTCGTGGAACATGGGAGCCGCCTTTTGGCCCCTCATCTTCGTCCCACTGACCGAATCCTCGGGTCGCATGCCCGGCTACTTTGTCGCATACTTCATCCTCGTCGTCTCTTTATTCCCCTCGGCCTTTGCCCAGAATTTCGCGACGCTGGTGGTCACCCGCTTCTTCGGCGGCGGCGCCTCCTCCGTGTCCATCAACATCGTCGGCGGCAGCATCAGCGATGTTTGGTATGGCGATAAAGCACGCAGTCTCCCCATGTCCCTCTTCGGATTCACCAGTGTGGTTGGAATTGCACTGGGTCCCTTTATCGGCTCGGCGATTCAGGAGATCCACAAGAAGGATCCTTGGCGCTGGTAAGACAGATTTGGTATGCTATTCGAAAGCCCGGCTGACCGCAAGCAGGATCTTTTATATCCAAATCATTTACAACGCGGGCCTCATCCCGGTTTTCTATTTCATTCTTCGCGAGACTCGTGCTGATGTCATCTTGCGGAAGCGCGCCAAGAAGCTGCGCCGGGAGACCGGCCGTCCGATCTATTCAGAATCCGAGCTGAACACCACCAACGTGTGGAAGCTCGTCCAGGTCTCCTTCGAGCGACCCACGCGGATGCTGCTCACCGAGCCAGTCGTCACCTTCTTCACGCTCTGGGTGAGCTTCGCTTGGGGGATTCTGTTCCTCTTCTTTTCCAGTGTCAGCCAGACCTTCAGTCACAACTATATAGGGCTGGGGCACATTCACCACTGGCCTGGTCCAGCTCGCGATTTCCGTCGGAGCCGTGATTGGAACGGTAGTAAACCCCCTCCAGGACTGGATTTATCTCAGCTCGGCGAGTCGCAATTGCGATCATCCCGGTAAGCCCATCCCTGAAGCCCGGCTGTACACCTCTATCCCCGGTAGTCTGCTGTTCGCCGGTGGGCTGTTCTGGTACGGATGGGCCAGTGTCGGCGACGGGTCGATTCACTGGATTGTACCAACGCTCGGCATTGGCTGTACAGGTGTGGGCATCTACTCCATTTACATGGCTGTCGTCAACTACCTCACCGATGCATATGAAAAGTACGCAGCATCGGCCCTCTCGGCGGCTTCGCTCGGCCGTAACTCCTTTGGTGCTTTCCTCCCTCTGGCCTCTTTCCAGCTGTTTGATACGTTGGGCTATGGCTGGGCGGGCACTCTTCTGGGTCTCGTCGGCGTGGTGCTCTCGGTTGTCCCGGTTGTCTTGGTTCTCAAGGGGCCGGACATTCGGCGGCGCAGCCCGTTCATGCGTGAGTCGATGTTTGATACCAGCCATCTGGAGGATGTCAGCTCCGATGGCGATCAGAAGTCTGAAGAGTCAGAGGTGTAAATAACTGTGTGTGCGTGCTAATGGGGCCTCCTAAGAGCCGACAAGCCCATGCGTGGTTGACGGAGCTTTGATTTACTGCTAGCATGTCAAGTCACGTAAATGAATTGGCTTGATTTTGAAATTAAATTATCATTGATTGGTGATTTTCCGGTAGCCGTGATTTCGCACCTTTGTTCAATCGCAGTAGACAGCCTTCCCATCAAATGGCGAGTCGAAGATCAGCGGAAAAATATCCAGACTGCATTTTTCCTTTCCATTCCCTGTACATTTGTCATTGCTGAGTGTCTGTTAGGACACTGTGAAAGTCTTGAATTATCCGGTCATGAGAGAGGAACGTACTTATATAGCCAGCAATTGTCTAGACCCGCGATCCATCGCACATCGCCGCTGCAGTCGATTAGCGACGCCCGACCTCCCTTCATCTCTGCCACTTTCATGGAGTATACTTACGGATGACTAAGTTTAACGCACTGTTTCTCACGGATTCGTTCATAGTGACAATTTACAGGCCAGTGGTCCTTGCAGTATTGAACCTATCGATGTGAGCTCCAAACACGAATGATGATCTGTAGCCGTGGGAATCGACAACTCACCACCGAATGACCGCCAAATGGGAATATCGGAGTTGCCAGGCCCTTCGCGACCAAAATTCCCACGGTCGCAAGAAGATAATTTTTGGATAGCATTTCGATCCTCTGTAATTTGATGTCTGGATTGAGTGCTTTACATGTGTCGAAATGGGCGAAATGCCAATATATATATCCTGCTAGATGGTCACACTGACGCGTTGCCAGACTTCAAAAGTTGTCCATCCACGAATATCGGAGCCAAGCAGGCACCACGTAAAAAAAAGACCCATACTGCACGCATACTAATTCTCGAGTTGCAGAAAAATTCTAGGCAAGCCTGCTTAGACGATTCCCTTCACCCCGAAAATCGGTCATGGTGGCCATGAGGCCAGGTGCCAAGTCGCAGGATTTCGAACAGCATCTGTGCTGGGCATGGACTCGGACGGAATGAAATATATATCGACGGAGTTTCCTGCATGGACCTAGCAGATCTGCCTCATTTTAGGCCATTTCGCGGTCATTATAGAAGTACCGACTTAGCCGGCTAGATGCGAATCTGTTGTGTTCGCTGACTAGTAGTACAGGAGGTCGTGATACGTGAGTGTCGAGGGGAGACCTTGAGTTGAAAAGTAGAAGATTTAACCTTATGGAAGGATTAAAATATCATCAAGGCCGGAGCAAGCTCACATAAAGCGAACGGAGGATCACATGATTTATAACACGAGTCATGGAGATAAAGGTGACGGTGATGATAGCAGGTACTATGAAATATCTTAGGCGGCAAGAATACTTGGAAACGGAATGAAGTGCCTTGCAATATCTTTACTATATGCTGCAGATATGAGATGTGCTTTTGGACGCGCAGTATAGTTTCAGCCTATAAATTGGCAAGAGTCTCTTTCCACGATTTTGGCACATGCGTGGCACATGCGTGGCACATGCGTGGCGCAGTGTTGACAAGCCAAGCATTGCATTCAATGTTAATAACTGAGCGGATTCATATATATGAGAAGACTCCACCCCCGAGGATAGAAAAGCAAAGTAGACCAGGTTGGAAGGAGTGCGAACGATTCAAGATAATATGGTATACAATGGCGCATGGAGCTCCTTACATAACCCATATAGTGTGAAATTGTCGAGGGAAGCAAGGAGGCTCCCACGACGACGATAGGGTCTTTATGTCCGACGTATACAGTCGTTCTCGAAATTGGGTTGACGACCGCTACAGTGGGCTTTATTTTTGGGCGTTACTACTCTCCAGCGGCGGTGTCATCTCCACCTCTGTTGGTAATATCCTACACTTTTACGCCTTTGGACCCTTGTGGCTCGCATTAGTATTGTCGTCTATTGGATTCTACTTCATGGTGCCAGGCCAATCGCTCGTTTATACTCTCGACTCCATTTGGTCCTATACAACCAGCGAACACTGCACACTGTCCTCTATATGGTCATTATCAGTGCCGTGTGTCTCACCACCCTCATCACGAGCACAACTTTCGGATCCGCATACATACAAACGCCAACATGGAACGGTGCATACGAGATTGTGGAGCGGTTGCAGCTGACTTGGTTCTGTGTCCAGGAATTCCTGATTTCGAGCTTATACATCTGGGAGGTTCTAAAACTGATGCAACTCAACCCAGAGAGCGGTGGTTATCAAAGGAAAATCATGAGTCAACTATTGCTGATAAATCTCATTGTCGTCGCCTTGGATCTCCCTGTCCCAGTACTGGAGTACGCGAACCTCTACTATCTCCAAGTCTCTCTGAAACCGACGATTTACAGTATCAAGCTGAGGCTGGAGTTCGCTATTCTGGGAAGGTTGGTTTCGATGGTTACTCATCGCCGAGAGCCACCTAGTAGGGTTTTGGATGGCCATCTAGAATCCATCGCACACTGTTCCTCGCCTCGCCTCACGCTATGTTCGGATCGGGGTTCTTGGAGGCTACATGGTACACGCAGGGAGGAATGTCAGGCGGTATGGCGCACATAAAGAATTTGGCTCGCATGCAAGACCGTCAGAGTGGCTAGTTTCAGGTTCTAAAAAAGAATTTGAGCAAGTCTTTGAATCTGTGGCTTCATTCATTTATTAGTTCATTGAATTTCTGGGGCATAAATCTAGAAGTGATTTCAATTTTTGGGCTAAATAGTTTGCTATAGGCCTGGTACATAATGGCCTGTATCTTGAGAAATTACCTGTATTGGATCTGAAGGATGCTAGCGCCGGAAATTTCTGGATCCCACGTTTCTCTGCACGTAAAAGGAGGACGCACGCTTACGACCCGCTGCGGCTCCTAATCTTTTAAATTCCACCATGCTTTCTTCGGATAAAATTGATCATTCGTCCTGCTCAATGAAGAAACCAACCCTTCACTCCGGTTTATCACGAAATCTACAGCTACTGATCGTTTATGCGGACTGCAACTTAGCAATGGCCAACAAGAGCCAACGGAGGTGAACAAAAAGGTGACTAGGCCCACATCCCCACAATCCCGTCTTTATTCCATTCGGAAATAAATATCGTTTACGCGATGCCTCCAACTTCCGTATGCCTTTAATATTAAACTGCTGGACTCGAAGGTTTGTAATAAGAATTTCAAACGGCGAGAGGTGGCATATTGCTGGCAGTTCCGTATTTGTTCCCCTTTAGCACTAGGGCCATTAGAGTTTAAGTACATGATGTTGGTGCATCTCTTGACGAGAGTCCTTGAGGGGCATGAGCTGCGAATTAATGCGATTCTATTTTAGTTTTCAATAATGACATTCACGATTCTACAGTATCCACCATTGCCCACCGCTCTAGCAGGGTTAGATAGGGCTTTTTCATCGGCCAGGCATGTAAGTCTTTTGTTTGGTTAATGATGCCGACCAATGCGTGGCGCTCCTCTTCCTCCGTGAAGTAATCGCCATATAGAGTAATCGCAATGACCGCATTGACCAGACATGGTTGGACCCGTAAATGACACAAGGCAATTCCGCACAGGTTGAGAACGATAGATCGGACACGAGCCTCCACTCTACGATGCGCAGAGCGACTTGCTCTCCTAGATAAATTTGCATTAGTTTGCAATAGGAAACGCACGATTCTATAACAAACTCACTCCAGCTGTGGGTTTTCAGCAATCAAAATCATCTGAGCCAACTGGAGATGCTGAACTGCTGTCGCCTGCACATCCAAGCCGTACCACACGGTCGGGAATACTTGGCCATTGGCTCGATTTGCCTTGAGCTCAAGGATAGGCTCCATTGCACCTGAGGATTCTTGAACAAGTTTCTGTTCCTTGAGACTTAGTTGAGCTAGCAAGATTATTAGAAGGTCGTCTATTTCTGGTGTTGATAATGCTCACTCCATTCTTCTGGTGATTTCTGGCCCCAGCGCCATTGGGCAACTTCACCAACAAACGTGATCATATTATTGGCGATTGAAGAACTGCGCCAATTGTTAGAATCAAATCGTAAATGCGGTATCGTTTCCCTAGTCAACGCATAATATATCTCCATTCGTATTGCAATCCAGTACGCTGCAGTGGCAAGCGAATGGTCCAGAGGGGACGAAATCATTGAGTCGATGATCTTCTGGGTGACGGCTAGGAAATTGACTCGTTCGTCATAATGCTCCGCGTCAACTCTGCCTTCGTTGCTCTCTTCATCCATCTCCTCGTATTGACGTAAGATGATAGCGGCAGCCATGATATTTTCTTGATGTGTCGGATCCTGAATGCTTGGGAATTCCGCGAGGCCCGGAATGCACTTTAGCATGTATTCCACTGCGCTGGAATCTGTCAAGTGTGGAAGTAATTGTCCCTGGTATATAATGCCATGTCTTGTCTTGTATCGTGGCAGACGGCACAGATGCCGTGACGACACCGCAAATAGAGCATAACGAAGAGTTGGACAATGTCGGGCCCGGCCAGGGACCACCAATTGGAAATGGCGTCGATCGTCAGCGTGATCAAACTGTGTCACATTAGTCTTCGGAATGCAAAGATACAACAACGAGCAGTACCCATGGTGATAGCTCTTCGATGAAGTACCGCACTAAGCAAGATTCCTGGATTCCCCCAAACGCCGTGTGTGCGAGATGATCGTTAGGAGAGGGCGGGAAAACATTATCTTCGACAGCGGTGCTCGCGCTCCAAGATCTGTCTGAAATTCCCTCAGAGTTGGCACTCAGCCCAGTGCTAGGAATACCCGTCTGGGTATAAATGTCGCTATCTTCAGCATGAAAACGTCCGCTCATCGGCGATAACGCCGGTGAAGATAAAGCAAGAATATGAGCATTTTGAAATGCCCTCCTCCTTACGTCATCATCATGCATTATTGTTTGCGGTGACTCTGAGTTGAAGTCACCCTCATGGTCAGGCGCAATCTCATTCGGCGTGGGTGTGGCCGTGTCTTGTGGGACGCTTGTTGTCGATGAATGATCAAGAACCTTCCAAGTCTTTGGCTTGCTATTGACCCATGTTTGACCCTCAGCAAAACTCGCGCCCAAGTTTGCTGTCGAGCCATGTCGGAAGACTGCCTTCCTTTGCACGGGCTTGCAGTTCAATCCTTTTGTCTCGCATCGCTTGCACACAGGTCTTCGCTTATCACCTGCAGTAGAATATTTAGTATATTCCATATACACACGCAAACATCTCAAGACCCTTTATTACATTTTGGATGACATGCTGTTAGACACGATTATTAGCAGAGGTCCCTCTCAAGAGAGCGGGGATTGTACCTCGACAGTTCGAACAAGGTGCTTTGGCCAATAGGGTATCCGCTGGCATGCTAAACACACGACTCAATGTAGCCTTCTTGATAGTTGGAAATAAGAATGGTGGATACGTGTGACACTAGAAGCGGCGTCGCCTTCCCATTAACGGCATTGTGCGGTTTAAGTATGCGCTTACCCCGCATCCCCGCATCGGTAGGTTCCATTTTAGGCGGCTTCCCGCGCGAAATTCGTCGCCACGTGGGGCTACATTTTTATGGTTTCATGAAAGTGTCTTAATTGCTAAATCCCTATTGACACGAAAATTACCTTATCCGGAATGTCGCGCCGCATTACGCAAGCGGGTGGAACCGGAAAGGCGGGTAGCCTGTGGGACTTCGCCAGTTATTGCCCCGTCAGGTAAAAAGAGCATCGGCCTAATTGTTAACTATATATACCTGTTGACAACAGACCAGATCCTAAACTATAGAAAGGGCAGCAATTACATACCTTTTCTCGCGTCCTGCATTTACCCTGAAAGTGTAACATAAAGCCAAGGTCCCCTATACTTTAGGTCTCCCGATACTACCGCACGCACCCCTCACCACAATGAGCATGGCGACCCCGACTCATTTCAAGCTGAATACCGGCGCCCAGATTCCCGCCGTGGGACTCGGTATGGTACAAGCACTGGATTCTGACGGCCTTTCTGCAAATTTTGCTGACAATTCAGGCACGTGGAGATCTGAACCTGGCCAGGTACGCCGAGCTGTCTCATTCGCGCTCAAGAACGGATATAGTCACATTGACGCGGCATTGTAAGAACCCCATGTGTATTTTGCAGAGCATAGTCTTGGCTAATAAATCACAGGATTTATGGTGAGATGTGACGGCGAAAACAAGCAGGATCTTGGGGTCTAATGTGATAGCTAGGAAACGAGCACGAAGTTGGCCAGGGTATCAAAGACAGTGGTGTCTCTCGCGAAAACATCTTCATCACAAGCAAGCTGTGGAACACCCACCAGCCCAATGTCGCGGAAGGTCTCCAAAAGACGCTCGACGCGTTAGGCACGGACTACCTCGATCTCTACGTAAATTAACCCTCCTCTCCTTTGGGCAAACGCGGCATGGCTGTCGATAACTCGGCTAACACAAAAATCAGCTTATCCACTGGCCAGTCCGACTTGTTCCTGTAAGTCACTCTGATGTGTCCCTCCATCATGACTTTTGCATTGCTAACTCTAACTTGTACGTACAGAACGAGTCGAGCGCGCTTCTACCAGTCAATCCCGATGGCACACGATCCGTCGACCGATCCTGGGACCAGAGTGAGACGTGGCGCCAGATGGAGGAGGTATACAAGACCGGCAAAGTGAAGGCGATAGGCGTGGCCAACTGGTCGATTCCTTATCTGGAAGAGCTCAAAAAGAAGTGGACCGTGGTCCCTGCTGTCAACCAAGTCGAGCTACACCCTTTCCTTCCTCAACACGCACTGAAGGAGTGGTGCGATAGGCATGGTATTCTCCTCGAGGCGTATTCGCCACTTGGCTCTGAAGGTAAGTCCTCTTTGACGCGCTATGTGGGATTTCCATGAGGTAACGCTAGCTAACTTGGTCGTTTTGAGGTGCTCCGCTCATGTCCGATCCCGCAATTCAGGAGATTGCTAAGAAGTATGATGTTTCACCCGCCACAGTACTCATCAGCTACCATGTCAACAGGGGCGTTGTCGTACTGCCCAAGTCTACTAAAGAAACTCGAATCTTGAGCAACAAACAAGTCATCTCTCTCTCCCGCGAGCATATGGATGTTCTGGATGGCTTGGCTGCAGAAGGAAAGGCGAAGCGTATCAACACGCCCCTGTTTGGATGCGATCTCGGTTTCGATGACTGGTACAACCAGTAAGGTCCCCAAATTTAGATAGGATCGTACAATCCTCTATGGGAAATGTCATTCTTTACAGACCGAAAAGATGATTAGATGGTAAATGATGAAATTTGCTGATCGCTGAACCCTGCTGTCCTGACTAAAATAGAATACAATACAGTGGGAATTCTCTTTCTCCCACAGCGAGTGATGGCAAAGTACATAGGAGAAGTGAAAATAGAGAAGTGTGAAATTGGCTCTGACCTATATACATCACTTTTATACTGAAGCGGTGAGAAATTTTCGCCCAGTACCCGTCTCTCATCCTTGACGATTGTCGCAGTTCCTTGCGAAGAGGATCAAGTCGCTAAGATTCTTCAACCAAGTCCCCCAGAAATACCTCATTGTGCTTCACCTGCACTTTCATATTCGTAGTCATAAATCCACAAAGTCGAGGAATAAAAACCCAGCCTTTCTACGACACAATTGTTTGAATGCGCAATCACCAATCTATTTCATCTATGGAACCTAAATCTTGTAAGGGGGAGGAGAAATGCCCTCCTTCAGAGCTTTCAGTCGTAAAGCCAACAATTTGGAGGCATACCGGGTCATTGGAAGGAAACCAACCATGATCCACATGTTGGGCACTCCCGTCTCCCTGTAGGCAGCTTTGTACTCGCCTTCTTCATCAATACCCCAAATAGGTCCGCATTGGCTGGCAATCTTCTCACCAAGAGTGGCTCGAATTGAGTCGACCGTGTTCGAAAAGCCGGTGGCAAAGACAACTAGATCAAACTCTCTTTCACGGCCGCCGTTCAGAATCACCTTGTCTTCGGTAAACTTCTCGATAAATCCTGGCTCCACCTTGATGTTGCCGTTGATAATTTCCTCGCAAGCGCCGGCATCAAAGTAGAATCCACCGTTCCGGGTCTGACTTAGTGTGAAGTTGCCAGTATCGCGCTGGCCGCGCCATGTTCGCAGACCTCGAGCGTTGAGAGCCTCGAGCATCGGCCTGTCGAGGTCCTCAAGGACCTTAGCGGTGCGCCTGGCGAGTTCCTCGCCAGGTCCAACGGGCGTAGAGAACATAAGACGGTCCTGTACTTTGAGATCGGGGAGATTGCCATTCTTGTCGGGCGCGTAACCTCCAAGCATGCGAGGAACAGAATGGGTCAAAGACATGACATACGTCGGTGACCGCTGGAGGAGGGTCACATCAATTCCCAGGCGGGCGCACTCGTAAGCTGTGTCAAATCCCGAGGATGAGGTACCGACGACGCAGACCTTCTTTCCAACAAAGTCACGGGCACTCTTGTGGGTGCTAGAGTGACGGATCATGCCCCGAAAGTCAGCCATGCCAGGCACGGCCGGGGTGGAAGGTACGCCGCATAGCGACGTGGCCATGATGAGTTGCTTAGGATGCAGCGTACGAGTCTCGTTGCCCTCCTTGCTGATTACAACGGTCCACTTGCCCTCGGCGTCCTGTTCGGCCTTCACAACCTCCGATTTGGTCCACACATTGAGCTCCAGAGCGGAAGCATACCACTTCATGTATAGACCCTGCTTCTGAGCCGGGGTATATGTGGGCCAATGCTGAGGGTATTTGAAGTATGGTAGGGCATCGGGCCAGTGTGGGAAATGCAACGAAAGATATTCGTAACGATTCTTCCAGATATCTCCGACTTCATCGCTGCGTTCGATGATCAGGTTTTCCATACCGAGAACCTTCAAACGCGCTGCCATAGCGAGACCACTAGTAGAAATGAATTAGAATTATATCATAGAACTCATATATATCGGTCCTTACTTTTGACCACCACCGATAATCAGCACCTCGGGGTCAACAGTGTTGACGGCTTCGAATCTCTGACTCTCCCAGCTAGTGATACCGGTCATGTGTCCATCTGGTGCGGCCTGCTCGGGAAAATGCTTGAGGCTCTCGGCAACAGTATGCATGGTATAAATTCTCCAGCCATCCTGAGTGAGGACTGCATTGATGACGGCCGAAGCAAAGACAATCTCTGTCTCGAAGGATACAACAAATTGTAGTTGACAGAAGTCAGGGTAAGGGCGAGACACCGAAGGCGCAGGCTCGAGGAAGTTGAAATTCCTAGCCTTGGTTCGAGGCAAAAGGTCGGTAGCGGCTTTTAAGATGGCGTCTCTAAAGTTGAATGTGCGGAAGTCCCAGGTGAATGAGAGCTTGTCACGCCACACGCCTGTACACCCGAGGTCAGTTAAAGTCGAGATTTCGGATTCTGTTTGTGAAGTGTCTCACCATAATCGAGGAACAGCCCAGCGAAAGCTTGCGCATCTCCCTCTGATGTGGCGGTAGAGAGACCGGCTACGATGCCCTCCGCCTCCTTCTGAGCATCGCAATCGGTGGGGATCTCCACGCCTAAGATGCCGGTAGTGGGAAGACTGTGGTTGTGCTTGAAATCGTACATGAAGTCGTCCGCGACGGGCTTGGGGACCTGGTCGTGGTTGAGCACCGCGCTCTCAGACTGGAGGTTAGTCTTAGAGACGGGATCGGCGCCAGCGGATTCCTGAAGGTAAGGTGCCATTTTCTCTTGATGACGGGGAAGGTGGTGAAAAGGTGCCCTTTAGGCAATGTTCACAGCCTGATCTCGCGAAAAAGTCGAACGTTCCAGATTTGCTGATTTACGCTGTTCAACGACCAAAATACTGAATGATCTATGTATCTTATATCTATAGTAAGTCCGGTGAGAAGGCAGTTCACTCAAATCCCTGGATCGGGAAATTTACGCCGCATTTTAACCGTATTTAGTCATAACACATAACTGGACACGGCCCAACCCCACACGATTGACCCCTTTTACATCTGGACACGGCCCAACCCCACACGATTGACCCCTTTTGCATCTGGTCACGCCTTCATCCTTAACTTGCTATTTCTGGATGTGCCGTGCGGCGAGGTTCGCCCGATATTGCCCCTTAGGGTTTGAGTGGCTCTGATAAAGCCACTTATTCACATCTGACAACACAATGAACTGTCGGCGGAACTCGGACGAAGCCGACCCTTGTCTAAGGACGGCGAAAAAGCAGTGGCAACGGAGAGCGTGAGACTCTACGGAAGTCTAAGTGCAAATCGGCAGAGTAATGACGGATAAAGTCCACAGATAATGCCGTCTCCTGAAACGGAATGCGACCGACGTGGTGCGTGGCAGCTCCATTTGCCCCAATGACTGTCAGGCTTGCCATTGCGGTTCTGTGCTCGAATTTGTTGCGGCAGCATAGAACTGATCAATGCAATGGGCCCCAGACAATGATTCTCGGGCCAAGTTAGTTTCGGTCGGGCGATGCATCTGAAAGTGCGCTGCAGGTTATGATCGAGCCCATACCGAACAAGTAAAAGTCATGTTCACAGCCATAAATGCGGCGTTTATGGACTCAAGTTCTATCTTTTAACGTGCCTCGAAAATTGAGCTAAAGTATACTTATCTTTGGTCGATTTTCTATCTTGATCTATATACAATCGCTTCATGCCTTACTCCATAATGGGTAGACCATTGTCGTCGAAGTATACGGGCACGTTCTTGCGGAATGAGTACTGGAGAGCAGCACAGATCTTGCCCGCCTCGAAGGCATCCTCTGGTTGACAGGTCAAAGGCTTGTTATCGAGCACCGCATCAGCAAACTCGGCTAGGTCAGTCAGGAAGGTCGCATCGAAGAGAGTGAACGCATCCGGCACAGATTGTGTGCGAATACCACGACTGTCACGAATCTCAACGTTCGACTTAGCGCTGATGATCGAATGTCCCTTGGTGCCACACAATCGAGTCGTGTCCTCAAAACCACTGGTCAGCGTGCGGCCGAGGTAAGTCTTCAAAATCTTGCCATTGGCAAATTCCACCAGGCCCCATGCATTGTCGGCGTCGCCATACTTGGCTAAGTCTCCGTAGACTGCCACCTGGCCGAAGGCGATGACTCTGTTGACTTGCTTCTTGGGGTTCGTGAGGCCTGACTTAACATCCAAGAGGTATCTTCCGGCATCAACCTAGTGTCGTGTCAGTAGATTATACAGTGAGTGAGAGGATGAATACTAGGACTGACGGTGTGAATGCCAAAATCAAGGAAGATGCCACCAGACTGCTCAGAAAAGGACACGAAAAAGGCTAAAGAGAATGGTCAGACTATCAGCTTATTCGTAAGACAACGACCAGGACACCACCCAGCGGGGGGAGGGGGAGGGAAAGGGAATTAGGCCTTACCATTGGGATCTGCTTGATCGATACCAGTCGTCTCAACGGCGTGGATTTCACCTAGGTCTCCATTGTCGATCAAGGCCTTAGCCTGGCAGTAGGACTTGTCATCTGGTGCATGTAAGTTTCTGAACTTAACAAAGCGCGAGACCCATTGTTACTTACATCGGCGAGTGAAGGGAACGAGGAACTTGAGCTCAGGCCTAGAAGCAGACTTCTCGATCACCGCCTTGGTAGTAGCGATGTCCACGGAGACAGGCTTCTCGCACATGACGTGCAAGCCTAGATCAAGGGCCTGCAGGATCAAGGGTGCGTGTGTGGCCGTCGCGGTGCAGATGAGGATGGCCTCGGCGCCGCTGTTCGTTAAGCATTCTTGGGGGTCTGAAAAATACTTGACAGACGAGGGCAGATTCTTTGTGGCCCATTCGCCAGTGCCTGGCTTTGTATCGCAGACAGCGACGAGTTCGATCCGAGGCTGCTGGAAGGCGAGGATGTGAGCTCGAATGACTCCCAGACGGCCGAGGCCGAAAAGCGCAAACTTGACACGGCGGTCCACGTATGACATGGTCCAGGGTTTGTAGTGAGGTGACGTTCTCGTATTCGATGACGCGGTGGTGGTCGTTGCGGTGTAGGCAATGAAGAGAGTGAGTATGAGTGATAGAAGTATGCCAAAGTCTAGTCAACCGGTAGATTGCGACTTTGCACCATCGGTGATCGGGGTTATTTATTACTTGGGATCCCTTTTCCGGAACAGATCTGTACTCCCAGTCGGCGCGACCACAGGCTTCCCCACATATGATAGACACTATCCGAATTCGATATATCTGTATCGCACAAGGACCGATGAGGGAACCGAGAATCGCCGCCTGCAAATCGTCGCCGATGGTGGACCACGGGGCTCCTCGAATGAGCTGCTTTGCAGGTACTTTGCTAAAAATGCCGCATATAAGATCCAATTACATTGAGCCCACGGAGGTCGGGTGGGGGATCGCGCCGCAACGCTTCTATAGTGTCGTTAAATTCTTTCCGAATCTAGTAATTTCTCGAGAGGGTTTCCATCGCCGAAGGCATTTTCCACCCGACGTAATTGGTAAGAAGCGCCGCACCGTAAAGATTATCTACTGATAGGGTAGAAGGCCTGTCGATCAGGTAGGGAAATGGTACTAAAAAGTTAGGGTTCCGGTAGATACAGAGACTGCAGATACATGCTGCACGGCATTTCATGTGATAGCATGGATTTAGACACCCTCAATCCAACATAGATGGAGGGCGATTGTACGATGAGGTGATGTGCGTAGCTTCCCGTCGTGCTCAAACATGACATGGATGGTTAGGTGTGAAAAGGATACAGTCCTTATCTGCGCAATTATAATTGCGGCGGCGAACTACTCCGTAGCCGCGCAGTTAATACAGCACTCTCCTTGTCTCCTTATCAATGGACTGCACAACAGTATGTCCGGCTATTAAACATGACTGCTTTCTAGGCAGCCATTAAGTACCTTATTTGCATCAATTCAGCCGTTGGGTCTCGTCACGAAACGGAATCTCCCGCTCGCGCTGAACTGGGACCTGGGTGACACTCCGCGAGTCGACCTCAATATGGCTCTCGCGACTCGGTACGACAGCTGCCTGCAATGAATCAACCGAGGTATTTGTCTCCGAGTGAGGGTGACGAAGGTCCAACGGGCGCGATATTACGCTAGTACGTTGAACGTGCCTGGACTCAAGGTCGCGACGCTCTCTAACAAGGTACTTTCCCAGAACCGGGATCCTGCGCCGAGCTTTCACCGCGCGCGGCTCATCGCTCAGAGTCTCGCTCAGCACCCGGCCAAAGGCCCGAGGCGCGAGGTATCCTGCCTTTCCCAGAGGGATACTTAGACCATGGACGACCTTACGCAGGTTAGCTGTTCCGGTTGCTAACAGGGATGAATAGGGGTGACTTACGATGCTGCAGACTGCGAGGAACCAGACGACGACTCGAATTGTTTCACCAAGGTCCTTGACATCGCTTCGAGGGATACCGTCCGCGTCACTCAAATGTTCCTCAATAAACTCCATGCTCACAAACAGGTAGAAGATGGCAGACGTCGATGGGTCCAAAGAACCCCACGAAAATGGCCTGTCTGACCTCTTTAATCTGTTGAATCCACTTGTGCATGCTGAACACCCAAGGCAGCCGTCGCAGGAGAAGAACCAGGAGACCAAGAACTACGAGGCGCCAAGTCGAGATGACATTGTTATCACCGAAAAGGTCCCACGGTAGGTAGGCGCCGTACCACAAGAAGATAGTGACGTTCAGGAGCATGTCGATTGTCGGCTGAAGGGAGTCATCCTTGGTCTGTAGCCGGAACCAATCATCCCATGTAAATGTATTTCCCGCGATGAAGCAGGCAAGGACATCGTCGGTACCAACAAGGCCGCACGTACCCAAGACGAAAAGAGCGAGGGCAATGGCGAAGACGAGAAAGCTCTCGCGGTCGACGTAGTTGCGCTCCTCTGCCCAGTGCAACAACTTCTTGCCTACCCAGCCCACCGCAGCGCCGTACAAGACGCTGAGGATAATTGTATATCCCCAGGTGAAGCCGAACCACAGGCCCATGGCATCACCTGCGCTGTCTTCGGCGGCGCCCGAACCCACATACTTGATGAGATAAAGTGCAAAGAAGAAGAAGAGGTAGCCGAGCCCGTCGTTGGTGCCCGACTCAGCAATGAAGAGATTCTGAAGCCTTGGGGATATTATGGTCTGCGAACTTACCCTTGACTATGACGGCGGACAACACGGGATCAGTTGGTGTTACACATGCGCCGACGGCGAGCGCGTGCAGGAAGCTCGGCGTCCTGGCAAAAGCCCAGACCAGCAGGCTCGTGGCTACACATAGCCGTCATGCCAGGGCCGACAAGCAGCAGCACCGACTTCCATTCCATCTTGAGTTACTTGCTGGGGAGCTGGACGCCAGCGAGAACCAGCTGGACGCCCAAAACCAGTCGCGAGAAATTGAGCGTGATGGCGTTCAGGTTGTCGCGGCACTCGATGACTGAGACTCCTTTTTGGTTGCACTCAGCATAGTCCCTCGGGCGGATGAAGTTTGCCCCATTTGGTCCAAAGCCGACGCCCACTAAGAGCGAAATAACTTGGTTTTCCTCTCGAGTCAGTGATCCTTATCCCAGCCATAGGAGATTTTACTACGGGAGAGCAACGGCGACTGGCCTGGCAATCAGCGGAGGAGTAGCCGGAACTCACGAGCTTCAGAGAGATAATAATTCTCCTTTGGGAGATACGACACGATGCCAAAGAGAGAGACGAAGCCGCCCAGTACGGCAACTAGGATATTGAAGTTCGAGAGCTGGAGGGAAACCGCCCAAATGTCATGCACCATCCCGGCCAAATAAGGTATCAGTAGCAGAGGCCAGTGGCGACGATGATGATGCGGGAAAGGTTCAGCCGAAATAGGGACCACCACTGGCTTTCGTCACGGACGGTGTCGACGACTAATGGAGAACGAGCCATCGACGCGGAGGAACGGTGAGACTCGTCGGTCGCACACCGATGCAAAGAAGCGAAAGCGTGGGAAACAGTACTGTGGCGCACCTAGAAGTGGAATTACCACATGCCAATCTCCAACACTTGGCATCTGTAGAGGAAGGTCGCAAATATGAGAACTGCTAGCTCCATTGCAACGAACAGTGCGAGAGCGGCGAATACTGCCATGATAATTTCAATAGAAAGACGGCCTCCTTGATAGCCTGCAACAAGCCCAGGCTTGCTGCAGTGTCACGCCTAGGAATGCCATGAGGTGGTATGCATATGATTTCCACTATCGTTCAACGAGACCTTCAATAATAGGAATCAATAATAGGAATTGTCCCTCATATTCCGGTTGCTTGAAAGCCCGTGTAATGTGAAATCAAGTTGCTACATCATATAGTTAGCATGCATCACTGAAGGGAGAGAATGAGCTGGTTGATAAGGTATAAGCTAACCATTTTCTCTTATGGATGCAATTGGAACGGTTATTGGGGGTGGGGGGAGGGATATGAATTCACAATTCGCCACAACCTTATGATGTCTTTGCGGCTAGGACTTGAATCTTACTCTTGCCACCCCCGCAATTGAAACATGGGCAGAAATTCACCCCACGCTAAACAGCAATGTTCTATTGACTTTTGGGTAATTTCCATAAATATTGGTGGTCCTCGATGAATAAACAAAATACAAGGCGCTTGACGTCAGATTATCCGCTGCGGCGGCGACTTCCCAGATAAGCGAAGCTTCTTTCAACATGTCCTGTCGGACGCGAAGATGAGTTTCAACTTTCAATTATTGCGAGTCATTGAAAAACCGCAGAGTTTGCCCGTATGATGCTTACTCCGTCGTTACTCGTTGCTTGAAAGACTCCAGACAATGGCTGATCCGATTCCAGATGTTGAAATCCTAGACGGCAATATTAATCCAGCGTTAGCAAGTTCAAGCCCACTTGATTCACCCAAACGCCGCATACAGTGCAGTGAATTGTCAACAGGATCTGGAAACACATTGAAATCAAAATACAATTACCCCGGCCGTCGAACCCAAAATTAGGTGACATCTTGCCCGGACCATCGCAACGTCTAATATTATGCCTGTCATTCAACGCAAGCTCATAACCGCGAGTTCGTTCAAGACTCGACATCAGCAGGCTAAATCGAAGCGACGGTTGATGTGGCAGATCTCGTTGGATTTTCGCCGTACTTTCGCCGCATATTCCCAAATGCGGTAATTTTTGAACAAAACGCCGTGTTCTCAAAACTTAAACATGTGGGGACAACTGTCTTCCCCAGACCGACAGCATTAGTCGAATTTAGACTTCAACCACATCTGGGGCCCCAGGTTGCCCATCAGGGTGTACCTTATAAAATCTGCGCTGTTCACCTAAAGAGTCATTTCTGTTAGGCAGCATTACGGCAAAAAAATTCTTTACTCTTCAATTCCTCCATAATGACCGAAGACGCAATGGGAAAGCCCTTGGCTGCCTCATCCTCGGAACATGAGGATGTCACCGTTGTCACCACCGCTGAAACGCGAGATGCGCTCGGCCATTCGGCCGTGGCGTACGGCCCGAATGGGGTCCGAGGTCTCTTCTCATCCGGTTATGTGTTCGGAGCTGCATTTTTGGCCTCCCTAGGTGGATTTTCGTTCGGATATGACCAGGGAGTCATCTCTATAATCAACGTGATGGATCAGTTCCATGTGGCCTTTCCAGAAACTAAGACTGCATTTGGCACCGGTTTCATGACAGGAATGCTGCTGCTAGGGGCGTTCGTTGGTTGTCTGTTTATGCCGTACCTCGCCGACAAGGTATCGAGAAAGTGGGCATTGAGTACTGTCGTGGTGATATTTGATATCGGTGCTATTCTTCAGACAGCTGCACAGGACTATGCGATGTTGGTCGCTGGCAGAGCAATTGGCGGTATTGGAGTCGGCACGTTGGCTATGGTATTTACTCCCTATTTATGTGAGCGTGTCGACTTAAGATGCTGACTTGTCTTTTTAGACGGCGCCCCTTTATATTTCGGAGATCTCACCGCCAAACCTCCGAGGAACATTGCTGGTGCTGGAATCTGTTTCAATCGTGTCCGGTGTCGTCATAGCGTACTGGATTACTTTCGGAACTCGACTTCTAGACGGTAGTATTTCCTTCCGACTACCTCTTGGTCTGCAGATGGTATCAGCCACATTGCTGGGCATAGGTATCCATCTCTTCCCGTATTCTCCCCGATGGCTTGCTCTCGTGAACCGCCGCCCGGACTGCCTGATCAGCTTGGCCAAGCTCCGAAACCTCCCATCTACAGATGAGCGCGTGCAGGCTGAATATCACGGCATCCTCGCCGAGATTGAGTTCCAGCGCCTAGTGGAAGAAAGAAAGCACCCCGGCGTCAAGGGCTGGAGGCTGGAGTTGCACAGCTGGGTGGACCTACTCAGCAAAAAAAACTGGCGCCGGACGTCTGTTGGTGTGGGTGTGATGTTCTTCCAACAATTCTCGGGGATCAACGCTTTCATTTACTACGCGCCTACCTTGTTCCGGTCCCTTGGACAGTCAAATGAGATGTCATTGATCATGTCCGGGATTTTCAATATCCTGCAGCTGGTTGGAGTATTCATCTGCATTGCAACCATTGATAAAGCTGGGCGTCGGCCTCTTGCCATTATTGGCGGATTTGGTTGTGCTACGTGCTACATCATCATTGCGATTTTGAGCGCGCTATACTCGCACAACTGGCCTGCTCATCTAGAAGCAGGATGGGCATGTGTCGCCTTCGCTTTCTGTTTCATTATCGTGTTTGGAGTATCCTACTCTCCTCTAGGATGGGCGCTTCCTTCGGAGGTCTTCACAACATCAACTCGATCAAAGGGGGTCGCCCTATCCACTTGCGTTAATTGGTTGGCCAATTTCGTCGTCGGGGTGGCTACCCCCCCAATGATGGAAACTCAAGGCTATCGGACATACGTCTTCTTTGCGGTATGGTGCTTCTTGGCTGGAATATGGGCGCTACTATTAGTTCCAGAGACGAAGGGCAAAACGTTGGAGGAGATGGACGAAAAGTTCGGAGACGTACAGGGACTTGAAGAGAGTGAGCTAATGCGAACTGCTGTTGCTTCCGCAAGACAGGACACAGTGATGTTGGAGCGGGAGATCTAACTCGCTCTTCACCTGTCACGCCAGGGTAATCAAACCTTTTGGTATGCCTTATACGGACAGGAAACACAGGGGAAAGAAGACTTGCTGGATGGAAGAAAGCCAAAAGGGAGAAGTTGCTACCACAGCGGTCAGCTGTCGACTTGAGACATCGGAATCAGGCTTTCGGATGACTAACTAGCCATGTGTCGGACTCCAGTCTTCGGATCCGACTGTTTTGTATTAGCGAGCTTGCCCCGTAAATTGCCAGGAGAGTTGAAAATCACCATGCTCATTACTCGTGGCCGGGATGTTTTGCAGTGAGAGTAGACAGAGAATGAAGAGTACAAATAAATAGTTATCTCGATGGCACAACCATTTGTAAATAGGCATTTAATTAGTGAGATCTCATAGTTACCGTAATAATAATCCAGTCAATGTCAGATCGTAGTCACCAGACTTTGCTTATTACGTGGTGAGAAGACGATACTCGAACGAACCGAACAACAGATTAGAGAGTCCGAGAAATAAGATTAATCGGGGAGGTCTTTGTGAGGATTCGGTTCCCGCTGTCCGTCTTGTCCCGATCCGGTTAGACTGGACCGCCTCCAGGGAGGTTTTTTTGCTTCTGTTGTGTAGATAGACCTTCTCTTCTTTATGCATCTGAATAGCCTCAATACACTCGAGATCCGTTCTCCCTTCGTTCTTTCTTGATCGTTATAACATATTATGAGCCCGACGGATCGCAGTCAGCAAGACCTTCTGACCCCTCGTCGGCTTACTCAAAAAAAATCAAAATCAAAATCAAAATCACGTTTTCCTAAATAGGAAATCACATGGGGGCTAGGATCACGTGCATGCCTATATACCTGTTCACCAGTCTACTTGTATCTAACACAATCAACTCCCCTCAACAACATGAACACTGAAGCATCACTTATAAATCAACAGGTTATGAGCCCGGCAATGCTCACCTAAATTGGAGAATACTTTCTACTCCTAAGTTTCCCCCTTAAGTGAAAGCTTCATACATATATTGACTGGACTGGAATTTCTCATTTAGTTCTTCAACTGGGAAGACATTTTTCTGAGGACCAACAGACAAACGAATTGTGCGGAATCGTCTCACAAAGTTGACAAAGCCACCACACCGCTACAGATAGTCGTCAGACCAATGATGATCTGCAGACATGTTACACAATAGATAGGGATCTGCTAAAAACACACCCCCTGGGTCTAATCACACACCCCCATTACCCAAAAGGGTAAAGCGCAGTCTCTGTATTTCCTCCTTTTGTGACAGCGGTACATCCTGCTACAGCCAAATTACTATGGCAGCAGATGAAGATCTATCGCCTAGTAAGAAACTAGAGGTCTGGATGATGATCAACTCCCAACTTCCAACATTCTGGTTCACGTAGTAAAAGCACCCTTCTACAACCCACCTTTTGCCTCTGCTTTTGACCTTCAAAACACTCGATTTGAGCTAATTTTGACTATATCACAGGCCCTCCACCGTCCGAAGCCCTTAAAACTCGATCACGCCCGTCATATTAGCTGGCACTGCGTCATACTGACCACGTCTCCGCGATCTCCCACGCTCACGTCCTCCACGGCTCCCACGTCCTCCACGGCTTCCACGGCTTGATACTTGGTTGTTGCTTTGGCTGGTCTGTTGGCTGGTCTGTTGGAGCTCTCTCCGAAGCCGCTGCCCGACTGGCAGCCTTGTTCGTTGATCCAGTCGATAGCAGCTAGATGCGTAGGCCAGGTAGTAGTACCTGGAACGATCGTATCCTGGGGGTCATCGGGGGCATCGCCGTGGGCATTGCTGGGGGTAGCAAGGTCGATCGATGGCATAAAGATGGCCATATCAAGCTCGCCAAACACAGGCAAGAGCGTATCGTCGAATTGGGTGCTTTCCATGACGATTGAGAGTCAAAAACAGAGGCAAAAAGTGGGTTGTAGAAGGGTGCTTTTACTACGTGAACCAGAATGTTGGAAGTTGGGAGTTGATCATCATCCAGACCTCTAGTTTCTTACTAGGCGATAGATCTTCATCTGCTGCCATAGTAATTTGGCTGTAGCAGGATGTACCGCTGTCACAAAAGGAGGAAATACAGAGACTGCGCTTTACCCTTTTGGGTAATGGGGTGTGTGATTAGACCCAGGGGGTGTGTTTTTAGCACTTCCCAATAGATAACACCGTCTCACACCGCTACGAACGTCACACCGCTCCAGACATATCACATCGCCACAGACAGAAGAAACGACCTGCTCTCTGTGGCATGGTAGGATTTCATTTTCCCTAAAATCCCTGACATTCTCGGAAAAGGATATTCTACTATTTTCACTTATGACAAGAAAGCAAAGTTCACATAAGGGACATAAATGGACTGACGAAGAGCTCAATTTGGTATGCTATCTTCGATGCATCCGTCATTAGCGCTTCACACAAATACAAGGCGAAGTTTCTATTACTTTCTCGACACTCAGTGGGCGGGGGCTATAGAAATATAGCTCTAGAAGAGCGCGCACATCGGGCACTCGCTGCTGCGCCTGTCAATGCTAGGTCCCAGCACACTACAAGACGCAACTCCACACATCAAGCTCAACCTGCGCTCTAGTCCAGAGAAGGGCCTAAGTCACCCTAACTCAACGAACACCGAGATCGGATATGCACCGTTAACCGCAAGTGGCAATAAGTCAAATCCGTACAATCTCCGTCCAAACAGACCGAAACGCTTTGCAGAGCGAATGCTACGGTATATGGTTGACCGCGTCCGCTTTCCTCATTTCTTCGAATCGTATAGCAATCATCTCAAGCCATACGAGCTACCGGACAGTGAATACACCCCTCCGTCGCATATACCTACCCCAAACTCGTCGGAGCATTCCTATTCTATCAGCTCTAGTCCGCCTGGCGAGATATTAAGCCTGGAACTGTTTGGCCTTGAGGCGCGGTCTCCTAAGCTATTAAATAATTCGCCTTCTGTTCACTCAATTTGCTCAAGTGGCTCGTTAAGCGCCGAATTTTTCAGCACCGAAGAGCCCTGAATACCACCACGATAGATTTAAATAAATTTGAGTAAATAGGCTTGAGCTCATTCTACCATACTATACTAACTCTCGATAAGACTAACGACTAGTCGCAGTGGAATCAGAAAGTCAAGGAGTTTCTTCGAATATCTCCTGTAGCTAAGGTCGAAGTACTCCCACCTCTAGAAGAGGAGGAGGCGCACCAATGGTCTCACCGCCAGATATTCTATTCGGCAATAATCGCGGCAAACTGACCCACAATGCGGCTCAGCGGATAAACGCCTTCGAATCACCCGAGTCCAGTCACTGATCAAAGCGGTCAAAGAAAGCTTTAAGCCGGAAGGTTCAGGAACATATATGAATCTTCAGAGGAGGTACATGTCACTTAGCCGGGCAAAATGTGGGAGTGCACAAGCCCTCGGGGCCGAGATCAGAAAGATCTATGCTGAGAAACTTTTACTCGACCCCACATGTGTCACTTCTGCGATTGAACGAACCTTCTTCTTCCTCTATGCCTTAGGTCCAGAATATGAGAGTTTCCGCAACCATGTCTTTCGGCAAATAGACATTGTCAATGATAGAGATGAGGACGGAAATATCACTAGAGCAGCTCCTATATTTAACTACATTGAGAACAAGGCCATTAAAGAGGAACACAGAAAAGGACAGCTGGGCAAACAACCCGCAGATGCAAATGTGCTTCCTGCCTTCACACTCAGTCGAAGCTTTGGAAACAAGAAAGTCATACCGTCCCCAGATGGGAAAACATGCCGGATCGAGGTCAACAATGTCCCCTTCTGTCTTTTCTGTCGAAAACCTTATCATAGAGAGCCGCAGTGTTTCAAGAAGAACCCTAAACCGAGGGACCAAGAAAAGGAGAGAACGACGCGCAGATCAAACCCTAAAGATGCGCATGCGGACCCTCGTAATTCATCAAAGAGGCGGGCCAGTACAGATCATGAAGACGACGATTCAGAAGGACCGAGAGACCCCAAAAGACCGACGTTTATGGCGACACAAGCCTCAAAACAGGATATGAATACAGCATTCGCAGCCAAAGTTGAAGGAAATGTTGCCACATTTGATTTCATTCCCAGCATGATAGTCACAGGCTGCCTCGATCAGCGACGCCTGGATTGTGGACAGCGGATGTGCTCAGCACGTCTGCAACAATGCCATGAGATTCGTCAAGATGGACAAATATGATGGTCTACTGTTGCGAAGTGTCGATACCTCAACGGCTCCTTCTGGTATAGGAGTGGCAAATATCTTGTGTAATGTATGAGGAAGGAAGAAATGGCTTGTCCTAGATGACGTTTTGTTCGTCCCGACTGCGCATGCGAATCTCATATCTGTGTTACAGCTTCTCAATCGGGGGGCAAAGATTGATTTCTCGAGCAATGGCGCCATCATTCGGAACAAATCAGATAGGAGAAATCTGTTCACTGCGAGCCAATATCATGGAGTCTACGCACTCGATCTATGGTCAAAACCTGCCTTTCCAGCCTACTATGTCAGCCCGCAATCGACACTTTGGCACAATAGGCTCGCTCACATAAGCGGTGCGAATATACAACGACTCAAAAAGCAAGCTCACGGCATTCAGGACGATACACCACGCCAACCTTATAACGCATGCCTTCAGGGAAGAATGATTAAAACCCCCACCCCCCATCGCCGTTCAGAAGCGTGCAAAAGAGCCACATACGCCATGGAGCTCCCCCATATCGATGTTGCAGGACCTTTTGAGGAGGTCCTTGATGGTAGTCGCTACTGGCTAACCATTGTTGACGACTATACTGGATAGGTTGAGATCGTCCCCATACCACAACGGCAAGAATTCGTCGTGGAGTCCTTGCGGTACTTCCTCGACCACAATGAGCGCCCTGAGCGCAAATGCAGACGCATTCGTCTTGACCGGATCCCGGAACAAGTGGGAGAAGAAATGAAATTTACCCTCTTCTCAAGGGCAATCCGAGCCGAAGTCACGGGCGTCGACCAGCACCAGCAGAATGGGGTAGCGGAAAGGGCCCACAAGACAATTTACGACCGAGTCGGACCAACGCTCAGGCATGCGAAACTACCACTTAAACTCTGGCCGGAGATTGCGCGAACTGCGGCTTTATTCTCAAATCGATCGCCATCATCCAAGCACGACATGACTCCGTACCAAGCTTGGTATAGTGACAAGCCTGACCTGTCACGGCTGAGAGTCATAGGATCCAAGGGAGAGTATCTAATTCCACCTAAACAAAGAAAGAAGCTGACGGGACCAAGAACAAGGCAATATCTACTACTGGGATATGAAGGAAATGCAAACTATCGTATCTTGCTAGAAGACGACAGAATCATTAGCACGCCAAATGCAGAATTTTATAAAGTCTTCAACACTCCCTCCACGCAGACCATATAAGACGTAGGAGCCAAACAGCAGAGCTTTCTTGTGGTAACGGCTACTGCCGCAGGGGGGAGTGAGACGGTGGGACTAATAAACTAACCGTCGGCCAGTATGCGACATACATCCGTGCCAGCCTCGGGACGTCAAGCATCCCTAGCGCCACAAGAACAAACACAGCCTGGATCATAGGACGACATAGTGCAAGTGCATCTGCCTCAGTCGAGTGATAATACCTTCGGACCCTTATCACCTACTTCACAGGATTCCGCCCTTAGGATTGACTCACCACCTGATAGCGACCAGCAACAAGGCGATACTCAGCAAGGGCGAATCCCAGATTGGCTAGATTATTCCGAGCTCCGAGAGGGTGGTTTGGACAGTCGTCGAGACCTCAAGCTGCTGTTTCTACCATCAGGTACTACATCCATATACACAATGGCTTGATATTCTCTTCTAATACCAGCATCGAAGACAGACATGCACTTCGGAATAATCGCACTTGTGTATTCGCTCAACCTATATTTCAGATCGCGATGGCGACGCTGTGGGTAAAAGGCAAAACGAGCCTGCCAAGCTTCGCCGCCTCCGCCATCTCAACGGCTGACGCGGTCAACCCTGAGGACTTCATCCACCCACCAATTCCGTCTGGTGAATCGCCAAATGAAGGCGATGACAGCCGGAAAGGCTCTCGGAGCAGAATCCGCCGCTGACAAATCCCTTGGCAGAGCGTTGTCGTTGCAAATTCGCCGCGATCAATTCGCCAATGTGGACGATCATTCCTCAGCATGACTAACCTCGTGGGGCTCACTTGCCGGCCGCGGTATCAAAAGATACCCGACGCGTGGCCCTGCTCAAATCTTGCCTGAGACGTGAAGACTCGGCCATCTAGACAAGACGAACACTGCGAAAAGGGGCCTGGCTCCTGTGAGCTTCTCGCTTCCAGGGACGGGCCACGCTTTCAAATGACGCGTCTTGAAGACGACAGCGAGATGGCTACCCTGTATAAATTGAGGTCACCAGGCGTTGATCGGGATGATTGAAATCTCCAAATCCGAACCGTTCTCGGAATATCAAAGGACTGTCCAATTCCACAATGGTTCAACTTTCCAAAGTCCTGGCAATTGCCGCCGCCTGTCTGGCTACTCCTGCCATCGCCCACCCGGGTGAGAAGCACGACCCGCATGTCCTGAAGCGGCAAATTCATGCCCGTGATGTGATGGCTGCTGCTGGAAAGCGCTCGCTGGGTGGCTGCGAAAGCACCCTCCATGCCCGCGAACTCGCCAGGCGCAATGTTGCTCGCCGCGCACACACCGTGCAAAAGCTTCGCGAGAAGCGCGGCATCACCTCCGGTATGCCAGACAGAATACCTTGAAAGCCGGAACCAAAATGACTCACTTGCAATAGCTCCCCAGAAGTACCGCCGCAACTTGGCCGCTCTAGAAAAGTGGGAAGCCATTGACCACAACCGCACCGACGCATACCAGCACGGCGTAATCAACCAGGAGTCCATCTTTGGCGCCAACACCTCGTGCATTCTTACGCCCACCGTCACCGATGGACCGTACTACGTTTGGGGCGAAGTCGTGCGTGAAAACGTGAAGGAAAAGCTATACTCGGATGGCGTGGACGTTCACCTCGAGGTGCAATACATCGATATCAACACCTGCCACCCTGTTCCCGGTGCTCTGGTCGACATCTGGCAAGCCAACGCCACCGGCGTGTATAGCGGCATTTCGACAAGTGGCAACTACGCCGCTGGAGGCTGGGACAGCACGTATCTGCGTGGTATACAACAGACCAACCAGGACGGCGTGGTCAATTTCGACAGCATCTTCCCCGGCCACTATGACGGTCGTGCTACCCACACCCACCTTCTCACCCACTTAAACGCCACCCTTCTCCCGAACAAGACCCTGGAAGTTGGCAGCGGCAGTGTTGCTCACATCGGCCAGTTGTTCTGGAACGAGGTCCTGCGCTCGGCGGTCGAGGCCACCTACCCCTACACCAGCAACACCCAGGCCATCACCACTAACGCCGACGATATGTGGAGTGTCCTGCAGGCCGATGCTTCGTACGACCCCTTCCCCGAATACATGTACCTGGGTGATAGCCTCGACGATGGTCTCTTCGCTTGGATCCAGATCGGTATCAATGCCATGGCTGACTACACGGACAACTCGTACTACAGCATTGCTGCCTACCACGATGCCAACGGCGGCCACGAGAACTCGGATAGCTCTGCCATGGGCGGCGGCGGCGGAGGTGCTCCCAGTGATTCCATGTCCGGCATGCCCTCCGCTTCCCCCTCTGCTTCTTCCTAAAATAACATGCTGGTCGAGCGCATAGAATGGGGAGACGGAGATTTAGAGCATAGAGCATACTGTACAAACGCGAATAGACTTCTCATTGTTCCATTCTACCTTAGTCCAAATTTTCAACTCAAAATGACAGACCAATCAGTCCAACTGTCAAGTCCAATTTATGAGCCATGCGAGAAGTTTGAAGTTACCACAGTGCAGGGATGCACCACATCATGTTCCATTCCCGTTCGGAATCCCGATCTATGACGCGCTAGTGTTTTTCCAGACTTGGTGCTTCGGTTTCTCGTAATTTGAGAGCCCTCAAATATTACCCTTGCCGGGGGTATTGCTGAAAACTATGGCCGCCCGTCGAAGGCCGCAATAACGCGATTGTCTTAAATTTCCTTGAGATTGAGCTTTGCAATGTGAAAACGGAGACATGCTGACCTCCTCGACGAACCGATAGCAAGCTCAAACCCCAATGGCCTCGCTTCTGTTGAAGGGACCGATCCGTGGTTCGCGTTCTAGAATCTGTCGAGACCCTCAGAAGCTTTCGATATCTAGCACAGACCTCCACACTGAACCTTCACGAGGCGGTCAACGTAGGGACGAGGACCATGACAGGGATGGGGTTGTCTAGTGAGTCCTTCGTCGACATTCCTCTGCTGGCTACTCTGTGGCGTACCACGCTGATCCCTTTCCTACGAGCTAAAGTGCTGCCATAACCCCGCAACGACGGCGTAGCATACGAACCATGGGTCCCAGCAGCCGAGGTCTACTTGCACCTCCAGCACGACGGAAACCCCCGAGGAGAAAGAGATGGCCTATGCTATCCTCGTGCCATGGCCCATGCCACGAGCGGACGATCATTCTGCAGGGTTTCAATAGAGTATCCGCTCCGGCGGGTGCGACTCCAATAGACTTGCACCATTTGCAGCAGTCTGCAAGACTCAAATTTGCACCCCCTCGTTGGGAGTTGGGGTAGCTGCAGGGGTGCAGGGCTGCATGGGCGCCGAGCGGATCTCCGTGAACTCCTTTTCCCGCGCGTCTAAAAATCCCATCGCGGCGGGGATCGCGTGCCAATAGATCCGCTTGGCATCGATGCAATGGATTTGCGATCGGGAGATCAGGCTGCGCAAATCCCGCCGGACCTGGTTATTTCGAGCAGCTTGAACCCATTGAGGACTAAAAAAAGCCCTGTGGAGTCCGATGTAACAGTCGAGCACACCAAGCATCAAATGGTATCAGATGGAGGCGGCTAGTCCGCGATGGTCAAGCAAGCAAACAAGGCAGAAGACATTAGTCTGTATGGGGAAGGTGTCTGCATGAAACTAGGGTTGAGCCCTCGCGCCATTCCTCTTTGGGCGACCTTCACGGCGGGGATCACGCTTTAATAACAGCCTGAGGCAGCAATTGCTATGCTTTTTGTCATACCCGACCTGAAGTATCCTTTGCGTAAGGTAACTTCCAGTGGTATCCAGTGTATCAATAGTAATACTCAGCAGACTTTTGCACCAAGGTTAAGCTTGTGCATGTTGCCTCGCTCTCGGACTCATGTTCACATGTGGACTCAAGGCCGACGACGGGTGCAATGTCATTGCCGGCAGTGTCATCCGATCCTGCGCCAGACCACCCATGGAACGTCGACCTCTCCAATGTTAACAGCCTCTCGCCAAACCCTGGTGTCACCGGGTTTGGACCTCCAGACGGACGAGACTCCCAAGAGGGGATCGCCTCCCGTCGGCCACCAGCCACTAGCGCGTCGTGCGTAATACCGGACAATTGTGTATGTATGCGGAGGACGATGAGGCTCCCGGTTCCATCGCCGCTAGTCGCGATCACCAGTTCCCCTACTTGTTTTTGGGCAAAAGTCCCCGCCCACACGGCACACTGGCCTGCATATGTGAGATTCCGGTTTCGCCTCTGCCTCAGAAGACCATCCGTACCGTGTTTTGAGACAAGAGTCCCCCAACACGCGATATCCCACCGCCTGGGCCATTCCTGTCGGGTTCATCTCAAAACGCCCGCGGCATGTCCGGTATTGTCGGTTCTCCCAAACTGTCGGATGGAGTCCATCTCGCGTGCCGATCGATGGCATTTAGACTCGGCCCTAGCAAGCAATACCACCCCACTCGACCCGGGAGATGTGTGCCATCGTAACGCAGGGGCTCCATCCACCCGGCACCAGGTGCCAGAGTCCAGAGCTCTGGGCATTCGACTACCCTGCCAGAACAGCCGGCAGTGGAGACCTTCAGGATAATAAAACCACGAGGGGGTCCATCGCCCTCCATCGCCCTCCTTCCCCTCCTCGTACAAGCACCGCTGCTGCCGCATATCTCCCCCCTCCGACCTCCATGCGGATGGCGCTTCCATACCGCCATGGATGCTGAAAGTCGGAAAAAAGAGGCCCTCGAGGCCGCTATCCAGGCTGCCGTCGCCGACGACTCCCGCAGCAAGGCCATTCTCGTCGTCACCTCGGTCTTTCTCGCGATTTCGCTCGTCAGTGTCTGTCTTCGGATCTTTGTGCGTACCCGGGTCGTCCGGGCGTTTGGATGGGATGATATCATTATGGTCGTCGCGATGGTCAGTTTTTCTCGCCACTATCGAAATCTCCGCATGGCAGCCGGATGCAAATGAAAATTTCTATGATGGAACTGATACCTGTTGTCTCTAGGCTTTCAACTTAGCTTTCGCTGTTTGTGGTATTGTTGGAGCGAAGAATGGCATGGGACGAAAATTGCTCTATTTCGAAGCCTATCCCGACCAATTTAGTCGCGCGCTGCTGGTACGCTCATTAAAACCATTGAGAGCGATCAAAAGACATGGAATCTAACACATGGCAGTGCTGGTGGCTCGGACAAAATTTCTATGTGATCACCTGCGTCGTCGCCAAGGTCTCGATCATCATCACCCTCTTGCGCATCACGGTCGATCGAATCCACGCCTGGATCCTTTACGCCGCCATCTCGCTGGCCACCGCCGTCGGACTCATCTTTCTGTTCTTCACGATTTTCCAATGCAACCCCGTCAGCCATTTCTGGCACCAACTCTCGCCCACCGGCTCCTGCGTCCATAAGAGCACCCTCATCGGCATCGCCTACCTGTACAGTATCGGAGCGGCCATCACCGATCTGACGATCGGATTACTGCCGGTGGCCCTCATCTGGAACCTGCGCATGAATTCGCGCACCAAGACCGCCATCGTCGGCATTCTGGGCGTTGGTTGCATGTTTGTTACCCATTTCGCCTCATTTGTACTAGGTGCTTGGACCCCCGCTAACCCGATTGCGCAGTGCCTCGGCCGCCGTCATCATCCGCATTCCCTTCGTCCACCACTACAAGGACCGCGAATTCCTCTGTGAGTTTGAATTGCCCATGCCTTCCGTCCGTCGCAATCCGAGTAGTGTCTAACTAAACCAGATAATACCTACCAAATCTCCATCTGGTCCAACGTCGAAGCTGGGCTCGGCATCACCGCGGGCTGTCTCACCACCCTCCGCCCCCTCATCCGCTTCCTGCGCGACGGCTCCTCCGCCTCGCGCAGCCGCCGCCCCGGTTCATTTCCCCTCTCCAGCAATGTGGCGGCGAATCTACAAAAGTCCTCGCGCTCCCGTGGCGGCGAAGACGTGCACCAGCTTTGGCCCGGCAGCGACCCAGACGACTACCATGGCGTGACGACGACGATCATGGGCACGCAGCGACCGAATCCGAGGAGCAGCAGCGAGGAAAATCTGAATCCACGAGGGTGGAAGGTCGAGCGATCGGTTCGGGTGTCCGTGCGTGATGATGCTGTATAATTTATAATGTATATGTATACTAGATACCACTTGACGATTTACTGTTTCATGGCCACGCATTCCACTTTCCTCGCAAAATCCATTGCTGGGCGTAATCCAGCATACATCATGCTTCATCTCGCAGGCGCAGGTGCATCGTGAACGGCTTTCTGCAGGGGGTGTCTAGCCTCCACAGCCCCGGAGTGTTGGGGTGGCGGTGGTGGGTCGTCGGAGACTATTAGGCTCGTTAGTTGCCAACCGCAGCCTAAGCGAGATGATCCCTGTCCACCAGAAGGGGCACCGTGTCGAGTGACCGCGGTTTCACGATCTGTGCAGAGTGCATCGCATCGTCGTGGCTTCTTCCAAAATTTTATTTTATTTATTTATTTATTTTTTTATGCGTGGCGAGCTTGCGACTTGGTCAATCTATTCGCAGGCGAAGATCTTGTTCCGCGTTGGTCTAGATGGCTTGCCACTCTAACAATAGCCTTGGCCCTGTAGCCGTTAATTACCGCGGGGCTTGGTCAAACAAATGGCGTACCAGAACATGTCATAGAGTACCCGCAGTGGACGTCTGGCCCGCGATCGTTCCGTTGAATTGGATCCTGTGTATCGGCTACCGTTTAGATCTACTCGGTAGACAAACTACTGTAAGAATTGTTTCATGCACCTTGATTATGTCTCTACAGATGGTTTCATATTAAGTGCTCCCCGGAGGCTCTGATACAAACGCCCCAGACCCCACCGCGTTTACTCTTTAGTCTCCTGCACTTCACTGCGACTGCGGACCAGACCTTCTTGCGATGGCGATACCCCGACCGCATACGCGTCGACAGGCGTCGAGGCAAACTTTCGCGCGGAGACCTTCGTAACGAACAGGATATCGAGCTCGGCGTAAGTGCGGCCTTTAGGTTCTGGCAAGCGGAAGAACGCCCATGTGAAGGTGACCAAAGCGGTGGCACCCCAGAAAAACCCCGTTTTCCCCGAGGCGTTCCACGCGGTGGGGTTCATGAAATATGGTTCCAGCACCTGCGAGACAACATTGATGATCTGGTAGGCCGTGCGAGCGAGACAGACTGTCAGAGGACGAAGTCGCACCGAGGAGATCTCAGAGATGATAGAATAGGCGATCGGGCCGACAGTCAGAGAGTAGGTGAAGAGCCAGAGGAAGCAGAAGGATGCTTGCGCCCACATGGACGATTCAGTATTCGAGGCCGCGTTGAGAATACCAATGAGGAACAACAGGGTGCAGAGGATCCCTTGTCCCCAGACGTATAGTGTGCGTCGTCCGAAGTAGGTGATCAAAAACCAAGACAAGGCAGTGCCGACAAAGGCGACACCGGTGCAACCAACCCCGAGCTCGAAGGCCTTGGAGGTATCCATGCCAGCCTGTTCGAAGAAATAAGTAGGCGAGTATGCAAAGGTACTACCCGACAGGATCTGGCCAATGAAGGCGCAACAGCAGATTTCCGTTCGGCGGAGGTCGACACCTTTGAAGCAGTCGAAGTAGGTGGTGCCGGCTTCGATCTCGGCTTCGATTTTGATCGTGTGAACCATCATCGCCAGCTGTCCATTGATTTGCTCCTCGGTTTTGTTTCCACCCAGGCGACGAATGCTGCGCTTGGCATCTTCGAGTCGATCATTGCGTACCAGGAACCAGGGCGACTCGGGGGCCAACCAGCAGACCACCATCAGAGGCACAGGCCAAATCCACTGCAGGGCAAAAGGAATCCTATATGACCACTCATCGGGGCGATCAACAAGGCCGTACAGCACGCCACTTGCAATCAATTGACCGATGGCCCAGCACATGTTGACATAGATCGTTAGGTAACCGCGCAGGTTGGTCGGGCATACCTCTGAGGCATACGCCGGTCCGATTGTTGCAAACACACCCCATGAGAAACCGCAGAAAATTTGACCCACAATCAGAACTGCAGCGGAATTGGCAAAGAATACGATAAAGATGAAAGCTGTTAAGAAGGCCAGAGCAACGACCATGACGATCCGGTAGCCGTACCGGGATGCCGCCCATCCATTAAGAATACCGCCTGTGGAGGGTTAGCAGACAGCCACGAAAAAATGATCAATGCTGGGAAAATCGAACCGAAGATGCAGCCGACTGTACTGGCCATGTTCAATCCTGTCTGCCATGGCGCAGATACCTGCCAGCCAATCTCTTCCCCATAGTATTGGCCGTATTTCTGCTGAAACATGGGATAGGCAAAGAAGTTGCCCATGAGGATCGTGTCATATCCCTCCATGATAATCGACATGGATATCGCGACCGACCAGGCTACCGCCTTGCGGTTGTCCCGCAGGGCTTGCCATAGGGTCTGCGCATGTTCCTCGTCGGATGCATGCTTAGCCTCTACCACCGCACCCTGGCCTAATGTGTCCTCGACATGGTTGGCCGCGGACTTCTCCAGCGCAATCTCGGTCCGAGTAGGGTCGTTCGACATGTCGACTGAAGGCAGGCAGCTCCGTCACAGCACTTGTCTCTCGTCGCAAAACGCCCCGGCGCCCCAGACACGCTCTATATATGGTCCCTGGCCGCCATTGCTTGGCCGCAGCGATCCACGTGCGCTGCTGTGGAGAGACACGACCATCACAGGTCTTACGATTCCTGCACTCAGGCTAATTGAGACCAACATGGCGAGGTGCAGGGATGGAATGTGGCCAGTTAGATGGACGGCCAGGTGGCGGCTAGGCCAGTCCGGGAATGTGAAGCTCAACGAGGATCTTCAATTTCGCACCTATCATGTCTCTTCATGCTGGTCGCTAACATGGCTTGGGAAAGTCGCCTCCCCGCGCAATTCCTTAGCTGCCGTTGGTTTCTGGGGAAGCGAGAGGCGTCAACTGGGCCGGCGGCGTGATTGGGCACGACGGACCGGGAGACAATGCCGCGCACCGCAAATTTGGGCCTATGCCCGTCCCGACACGGAGGACCGGCCGTTATCTTCTCCCCTGGGGCGAACGGCAGTCTGGCATATCGGCCCGGACAGGCAATCCTTGACTGATCGGGAGAGCGACAGAGAGGCATCGGGCCACAGACAGCACGTCCGGCGAATGTTGGTTGGTTTTAGCCGCTAAGCAGACATCGCACTGTGAAGGTTCGACCCTGGCGGGGCTGAGATGGCGCGAGCAGGGATTTCGATTGCATGCTGGTCGGACGATCGAAGATCGTACAGGTCTGCGACACTAGTGTGCTGTGTGGACGATCTGGGGAAATGGAAATACCCCCGGCGAGACCTGATGAAGGCATGATAGGCTAGGGTACCCTAGAGTAGTAGGTAGAGCACCTGTTGCTGCATCAAAGACATGAGATGTAAGTAAGTGGGCGAGGAAGTTCCCGCTTCCCATGAGCCAGCGTCGGCACACTGCATCAAAATGAAACATATGTGATGCTTACAATGCGATAACTTTTTCTCTGTTTTGACATAGTGCGCCCTTCCTGCTGGTGCCATGTGACCTGGTCATGACTACTTAGTAAGGGACTGCAGCTTACACACTTCAACGGTCCACCCGGCCAGTGCGAACAGAATGCAGCTCGATACACGCCAATCTGAGTGAATAATATTAGTGAGTATCTGATTTTGGCCAAGTCTATATTCAATGGGTATATGTAACTCCAATCTGAGCAGGATGCGCTCCAGATCAACCGTCCCAGCAACTCAAAAACTCCAGGCCAGCCCGCAGGCAAGGAAATGCAATGCAAATGCAAATCCCGATCGAAAATCACCATGCTGGGTCCATGGAACTGATCCTCAGATTCCATTAATGCGAATCATGGTTTCTAACTCGTCACCCCACGCCGGCATCTCGGGGTTCAACAGCCGCAAGAACCAAAAGGGCTTGTGGTCCAGAGAGCTTAGTCCGGATCCTGAGCTGCGAACCGCCCAGGTGGTGCGTCCCTCCGATCCTAAGAAGAGTCCGTCGACCGGCCTTCCCCGCAGATACTGCCGGTAAACCCGGACGAGGTGTGTATTTTTCGCCCCAAAGCCCCATTCCATCTGACTGGTGCCAGGGTCCTTGTCGAGCCCAATGGCATGCCAATCCAACGCGCCAGCCCCAGAGGGCACACGTGCTTCGAGGGTGTTGAGGGCGCCGTTGCAGCGAAGGACAATGTTGGTGTCGAGGGGGTGGTTGACAATGGTGAGCTGGCGATGGTCAGTATTCCGCGGTTGGCGGACCCGCACGGTCGAAAGTCCGCGCAACTTACCGAGCCTTTCTCGATTCCCTTCTCATCGGCTGATCGCGTGACATCACAGCTAGCGCCGAATCCCTCTATGCTGCAGCTTTCCTGCGTCGCGGTCGCATTGGTGCACCCATCCACGCGGATCGTCCAGGGCCCAGCGATGTTGGTCGCGTTGTTGTAGTTCGGAAGCGCCGCGCAGCCCTCCACGGGGACAACCGAGGCAGCACGCGACTGGGCGTGAACACCGGCCAACAGGCACAGCGCAACGGCAAGCAAAGCGCGAACCATGGCGAGAATCAGAATGAAGCTTGAAATTAAGCTATAAGACAGCGTGGAGAGAAGACAAGCCTTGACAAGGCCCCAGGCAAAGAACGAAAAAGGGACCCTCCTAATGCAAAGGCTGGGCAGCGCGCGTCGGGACTCCGGGGCTCCGCGATGGATTAAATCCACCTCAGACTCATCCAGGCTGCCGAATTGCGGCGCCATGAAATTCCCCGTTGCAGCAGGGATGGGCATCTCATTGGGGGCAGCCCCATTACCCACGCCTTGTCAGCTCTGGTGTTCCAATAGTATTCGTTGGGCAATGGAACAGCCTCAATGACCCTGCCGATCATGCCGCTCCACTTTTCCTCTTTGGAACCCCCTTTACTTCCTCGAGAGGCGGAGTCGTCAGTAAGGCTGACCATCGCGCGCATCGCCTCGGGCGCTGCGGAGCTCGTATTCGACTCCAATAGCTGACACGAGGAGCGATGCAGCCAAGCCGCAACAGCAACAAACTACCGAGCTTCAGAGCCCAGACATCTTGCCTCTGCACCCGACGTCATTCTGCTGTTCCAAAAAAAAAAAGTGGGGGCCAGTTATGTGTTGGCATTCGTATCAAGAAATGGTTACAGCAAGAGCCTCATGCTGCTTGGCGATCACTTTTGTCCACTCCTGGCGCGATTTAAACCCGAGTCATGATCGAGCGAGCAAAAACCGAACGGGGATCCTCCCTGCGGTCCTGACTGAAATGCCAGTTACCCCTGGCACGGCCGGCCAATTTTCCCAGGCTTCCTGGAGTGTCTACTAGCTACTAACTACCATTTCGATGTGATGATGGATGTTTAGGGGACCACTGGATGCCTTCTCATCCACCTATGAGTTTCCAGATTGACGTCAGTCGTGTTCTGGATCTCGTCCGGTACTGATTAATACGTTCATATAAGTACAGCTTATCGATGCGATGGTCGTCAGTAAATTTCCCGCACCTGGGTCCCTGGCAGCTTGTGGTACACCGGCTTGACCTGTGTGTCACGCCCATCCAATTCTAACCACGGTTCGTCGGAGCTGTTCTCTTGGTATGCACCAGTATTGCTTCTCTCGCCATTTTGGCTCGTATGGAGGTTGCTGCTGGCCTGCACCGCATCAGGTGACCAGAAAATCGCTTGAGAGAGACTCGTCGATCCGTAGGGATGGATCAAGAGCAGGCCCCCCATTGTGGATTGGGACAGAGAGAACCGATACGTCGGTATCGAGTGGCGTGGCTTTTTATGCTGATCGCTGGCGTTGGCAACGGATACAACCGAAGACGAGCGTCACTAGAAGAACGAGTCCAACCACCGCTGCCACGGCGATATCGGCGACAGCACCCCGACTGAGCTGTGAAGAACCCCCTGGATTATCATCGCTGGAGGAACACTCACTCCCAGAACAGCCAGACGGGCTGGCATCCTTGGAGACGCGATTGTGACGTCTTGCTCCGCATCTGCATTCCATGAACATGCCGATACATTCAAGACGTCGCGCTCATAATCAGCAGAGAGATATCTGCAAATGCGATCGAAGATTAATGAACATGATATGAACCGTGGTTAAGGGCATACACTCACGCTCCCTGCAAGAACACTCGCCCAAGTGTATACTGGGTCGAGTTGGCCACCCGTTTTAGCGGAAAATAATAGCCGCTGTTATCGACCAAGGGATCCTCCGCGGTTAAAGCAAACTCACACTGAATGATCTGGGCACCGACTGTCCGCAGACCGAAGCAGCCTCAGTCATCGCGACCAAGTCACCTGGTGGTCGCTGTGATCCTATCCTGGCTTCCCCAGAGAAGGTGAAATCATGGGCCTCGCCTTGCGGTGCATGTGGAAACTTCGGACTGTTCGACCCTCCGTACGCTGTCTCTCTTCTTACCGGGGATCTAGTACCCACGACAACTACCATGGTTGAGCCCCAGCCACAGACTACTACCACTATCGCCTCTGCTACGGGGTCGGCAACCCCGAGGACACCATGATTGCGCGTAACGCCGGTGCAGACATCGTCACCGAGCATCATTTCCGTGACTATACCTGAGACTACATCTATCTCGGAGACAGCGATGGAGTCGAGATCTTCGAGCATCTCGCCAGTGCAGGCTCAAGCATCCAGTCGCACCGGCTCGATAGGTTCATCGGTTCATCTTAGGCCGCCAGATCCAGCCCGAACTCCAGCACGGCACCTACAGCAGCGGCAGCAGCAGAAGTAAGAGCACCAGGTGGACTTGGATGGATGGTCAGCATGGTCATTATGGCGTATCTACTATAATCCAATGACATAGGGCCACGGTTGCACGTACACGTTGTGTATGAGATCAAGCACAGAGAGCTGGATAATTTCTTTGGTGTAATGAGCCTTCCTCTACATACTAACTTACTAATAATTTCAGACATGACTTTTTATGGCAAATTTATCGGATTGATTTATACACTAGTGTAGTATTCTATAGTAGAGGATAGAAACATCACATTCGACATGAAGTTGCAGGTTTGCCATCGGTCATCTAATCGATCTTTAATCATGAATATATCGTACGAGGCATCTACTGGTATCAAGTTTTCTAATCCTCTCGCGACAGAAGGCCCTGTGCCTCCTGCGCATCTTCGGTTGGTCCTGCGCGAGATCTGCCCAGCGTTTCTGCCATGGCAAGGCCTTCTTTACGGCCCTTCTCTGCATTGACCATCCAGACAAGTGGGATCGGCATCAAGATCAGGATCGCGATAACGAAGAACCCGGAGCGAACCTGTCCGGTCGCATCGGTGAGCATGCCCACAATTGCCGGTCCAATGAACGAACTGCCTTTGTCCGTCGCTGCGTATAGCGCATAGAAAGCAGCTTCGCTACCGGGTGGAATCAACAGTCCGAAAAAGGAACGGCAGTAGGACGCCAGTCCTCCACCGACAACCCCATGGATGATAGCGAGTGGGAAGATCTCCCACGGTTGCTGCAGGCCGATCACTCCCCAGTTCTTGACGAATGGGATATAAGCCAGCATGCCATATAGCGGGATAAGCTCAAACAAGAAGATGCAGACTATGATTGTCTGGTTCGACTTTAGCTTGAATCGTTGCGACACACGGGGCCACAGAAACGCTCCAGCCATGCCGGACAATGTGGCAGTAATCGACAGCAGACCGATCCCGGTTGTACTCAGTTTCAGCTCGGTACGAGCAAACAGGATGGCAGTGCCAGAGACCGTCGCCAGGGCATCGGAAAGCAGAAACCATGCGACGAGAAAGATCATCACTTCGCGCAGCTTGACGGCTACTTTCACTGTTCCCCACAATGACTTCCAGGCAAAGCCGACCAAGCGCAGCCACACTCGCCATCGGGCAGCGCCGGGCGAGGATGCCGTGTCCAGTGGAGGCCCTGGGCGAGAGCGCAGTAGGCGGCGGGTGACCAGAGTGAAAGTGCACCACCAAAGACCGACCAAAAGTAGGACAAATCGCATGGGCCAGCTTCCAGAGGCCTTCGCGAGAGAGGTCTTATTCAGTGTGATCAATAGTATGATACTCAAAATCTGAACAAACACCGCCGCGAGATATCCCAGACCTACGCCTTTCGATGAGATGCGAGTGGAGAGCTGGAGCTCGGGCGAGGAAGACTTCAGCGCATCCTCCTTGCGGCCGTCTTCGGGGGAGTGGTTCTGTTGGTGATCGTGCATTCCATCCAGGCTATCCTCATCATTCCAGGTATTCCAGTCCGCTCTGTCTTCATCGGGATTCAAATTTGATAGTTCTTCGCCGTCTTGTTTCTCCGAACTCTGAACCGAGGGGTCGTTTGCGACAAGAACGGGGAGGAAGGAATTGAGCACAACGAAAGACGAGCCGAGACAGATCACGCCGATAATGACGAGAATCGCACCGATGATGTATCCCGCGGGGAAGATGAAAATGAAGAGCATGCTTGTAGCCGCACCAACGAATCCAAAAGTGAGGAGCAGGGTTTTGCGATTGTTCTCTGTGTACGAGGTTGTGGTGAGTCAGTTTCTTCTTGTGGTCATGATTTTGCGCAATCACAATGCGACGTGGTCCTACCATAATCCGCCAGGGCACTGAAAGAGATCAGCGTTAGCGCCTGAATGAGCACCGCCAGCGAGAATGTATACATTGCAAAGCTGGCGGTGTTGATTTGAAGCCCAAACAGTCCGACAATGCATTGCTCGTCGGAGTTGTCGGGCGCACCCTCACCCCAGCAAGGGAGGCCGCTCGTCTGGAGCGAACCATGTTCGCGGGCGAGTTGTTCGAGCGTAAGGGGCAGGAAGGATCCTGTCGAGTCATGAGTCCATTGTCACTGTTTATCGAGATATTGGGCCACGGTTTAAGGTTACGTACCGACGCCACAGACGGCAAAGACTTCGGCCGCGATGCCGTACGCATACCAGCCGAGGATCTCCCGGTGGCTGGTCGGGGTAGTATCTTCGCCGGCATAGCGGGGGTCCGTTGCTGGACCTCCTCGGCGGGATCGGGGGCCTTGAGGGCGGCGAGTGTGGACCAGAACATCAAGAACGGGGAGAGTGTGAAGAAGTTGAAGCAGCCATGCCGAGTTCCCCAGCGATGGACCCGGATTCGGGCGGAAGACAAGGCGGGGACAATGTGGTCATCGCGCCGATCGCGATCAGCCAGGAACCGCGTGGGGCCCGGCCCAGCTGGGACTTTGTCAGGCACGACAGCTTGGACGCCGCAGCGAGGAAAGGAGGGAGCGGCGGGGAATTACCTTGAGCAGTGGAACTCGACGCAAGGCAGATCGATGTTGGAGATGGGAAGTTGTGGTGGGGAAAAGAGGGGAAGCCGGGGAAGTTGAGCTAAAGTCACGGTACAATCACAATGTATACTGTCGAGTCTTCTGCATTGTACATAATGTAGTGATTTATCATGTATACTTTGAATCAACAGAGCCACGTCGGTCTCTAAATGCATATGAATTGTGTCTACTGCAGAACTCTGATTTAATAGTATACCTTCATACCTTGTGGATTCCTGATTTGGAATGTATATATGCCGTCTGGCCCGCGGCCCACTTCTGCGTACTCTTGACCTCCAGTAACGAGTCAGAGAAAAAGATCCTACGATCGCGGAGATATCAGCATAGGTGATTGAAGAGCCTTTGCATACCTAGAATCAGTGACCTCAGGCAGAAGCGGCGAAAGCGACGGCAGTTGCTGCCCGAGGCCACACCCGGTTCCGGGCCGGTGCAGGACCGCTGTTTACTCTGTTTACTCTTCTTATGTGCGGCTGCCTCAACTCACTTTCCTGCTACCCTCACGATCCCCGTGTGAAACCTTCCGCTTGCACGCACGAAATTGCGGCGACAATGGGGATTCTCGACTACATCCAGTACGGTCTGGGCCGGGCCCTGTACCCAGTCCGCGGCCATGATTCGCGTCAGATCATCCATCATCCGGCTTTCAAAGACGTTTCGGCTCCAAACATGCTGATCGAGGCTCCTGAGTGTGGCCCGTCCGGATCTATGATGCTGCCCAAGCACTCCGGTCGCGGTGAAGACCTCCTGCCCGAGTTACGCTGGATGCCGCCTGAATCCAACGAGCCCGTGAAGGAGTATGTGCTGATCTGCGAAGACATCGATATCCCCTTACCGCTTGTCATACACCACGGGCTTTTCTGGGCCATTCCTCCCTCTGTGACCTCTGCGGTTCCGGCCAACGTCGCGGCCAAACCTGATGTCGCCAACCAGCGCCGGACCGATGCCGGCTGGCGATTCATTCCAAACCCCATGGGAACCTCGTACGGTGGCCCAGCTCCTCCTTTCGGCCACGGTCCTCATCGCTACGTTTTTACCATCATCGCACTCAATGACACTCTGCAGTTCTCTGAGCCTGAGAAGGCCAGCAAGGATGACATTAAGAACGCAATGGTCGGCAAGGTCATCGGTTGGGGCCAGTGGATCGGCGTTTTCGAACGCATCTGGGGAGCATGAAGAAGCTGTGACAAGACAGACTGGCCTTCTTTCAGTGATACCAGCCGTCTAGTGGGGAGATGACATGGGACACGTATGGTGGGAGAATTGCTTTTCTTTGCTTCAATGGTGCTAGTCAACTCAAACCTCAGTCATCCAAGATATTGATAGTCTCCAGAGATATCCCAGATTCTTCCCTCAACTTTTTCCACACCGTCTTCGTCTATTGACCTCTTCATCGGCTGCTTTCCTTCCATTGAAAAAACTCCCGACTCAGCGAGTGTCGAGACAACCAACCGGCATGGACGGGCTGTGACAATCCCCTTCGATGATTTGCATAAGAACAACCAGTCGACTAATCGTAGACTCAACAGACGCTTCGCACGCTCTCAGCGTGGCAGTGCCATTCCGATGAGCATGGGGATTCTCTAGCAGCACCCGCAAAACGCCTTTCAGACGATCCATCAGTTCCACCAAACAGATCAGACTGCGTGCCAGTAGTGTCCGGACCAACAGCCGGGCCTCTATATCGTCCAACTCCGTCTGACCCAAGATAGCTTTGCTGCGAATGCAGATGATAGGGACTGCAGGCTGTTCAAAGGAGAGCATGGCCGAGTCGAAAAATCCGGACTGTGTTGGCACGTCGTACGCTGACCACAGTGCCTCGAGTAACGGCAGACAATTCTCGGAAAGTGTTGGAAGGTTCGCAAGGGATGACTGCGCTGTCTTGATGCAGTCGGTGCAATGGATCATGGCTTTGCCTTGCAAACACACGCGATGTGTCAAGTCCAAAATGGTTTCCACATCGACCACTGCTTGAACGTTCTGCAACTCCGACATAATCTCCAGGACATCCAACGAGCACTGGCATGGTTTATCCAGTGCCATATTGCGACTAGCAAAATTGTGCAAGGCGCGATGATTGTTTGTTTTCCCCAGGCCTGCGATTCTTTGGAAGAAAGTGAATGGGATACTTGTGCGTTTCCTGGGTTGCGATCGCAAGCCGTCCTTAACGAGTTGCCAACAGGGATTACCGTCGTTACATGGCCTCCGAAAATTACAAGGAAGTGTTGAAAAAGGGATACGCACCACCGCCCACTCAGTCATACTCAGCAGCACTGATGTCAAGCTGGATAGCGCTATCATGAAGCGAGGCATGTGAATTATGAATCGATTGATCATTCTCGGGCTCCAACAAGCGCCACCGCTGGTTTGTGCAGATTAACAGTCACACCTATGGTCCAAGTTACGTATGTATCCGAAAATCGACTCAGAGATGAATCGGTCCCATCTTGGCAGATAGCAAGTGCCCGTGGTATGCTTTCACAGGATTCTATGGTCTGCATTGGCTTTATGATGACTTGACTTCTCGACCGGCTGCAGGAGGCGCTACCAAAATAGTAACAGCCGGCAGAGATTCTGTAGGTAGTCCCCAGTACAGGAGTGCGCGAGCTACTCAATGAACTCAAGAATTGAATACCGGCTGTTTCAGCAGAATCCAAGAGACTCGTTTAGCTAGTCAACTAACGGCCATCTTAATCTTCATCATTATAAGTTGCAGTCTCCTATCCGTTTCCATAATCATCAAAAGCCGACCTCGCGAGAATGCTGCCGCTATTTGCTGCTGCATACAAATCCGAATCCGCCTCACTGCCAATAAAAGCATTGAAAGTCGCGCCTGCAACACCTGCCGTATGAAACAAACCTTTTCCTCGGCCGGAACTTGGAATCCCCCGACCAGCAGGGGACACGTGTCGATATGAGACCTAAAGCCATTACCGGGATCCTTCTGTATGCGACTCATCTGGGGGTTCACTTCGGGAATGCCATTGATGATACCTGGCTTGACTGATGTGGCTGTTGCATCAAGAGAAGTCAAAAGGCTGTCGATGATCACAATAATCACCATCAGAACGTTGGCTTGAGCCTCCGACTGGGAGCATGTTTGACACTGCAAAATGGATTCCGTATGGATGAGCAGTTCTTTCTGGCAAGCCAGTATACTATCAATCCTGGACAGTCCATTTTGGCTCGTTCTGAATTCGAACCTGACGAGCTCCCCGATAACTTGCTTGTAGCAGCTGCAACCAAAATTCATCATTCCGTCGAGCGCAAGTGGGTATTCTGGAGTTTCAGGCGATAATGGATCACTCTTTTGGCGGACTTCTGGGGATTGGAGTCCCTTGCTGGCATTTGGTGCATCTATCAGGATATTAGATGGGGGAACTCTATCCTCGGACCATGACGATGAGAATGATAATGCATCCATCCTGGTGTTGGGCTCGCACATCCAAGGCATACACGCTGTGGCTCCAACACTGAGAGCTTCAGCATGCTCAATAGATTCTGGATTTGAAATCATATGGAACCCATCGATATTGGGTTGAGGTGTTGACAGCTCCAGACCCATTGGTAAAGAAGAGAGGTAACCATCTGAACTGTTATATGCAGGGGACAGCCCGGGCTGCATTATGCATTCCGTGAATGTGTCGAGCTTCTCAAGCTCGAGCTCATCAAATCCATACTCCGGCACTGTAGATGTTGCATTGCTATTTGTTCCGGTCGACATTAGCTGTTGGAGCCAGCCCTCTGGGCCGATATCAACATTGAAGCCTGGGTTTCATGAGCCGTTGGGAATTTTACTACGTGGGAGAAGTATGGAATAACGCACCCGAGTAATCTTCTATATGAGTCTCAGCCACTGCTGGGCCCAGCGCTTGCTGCTCGTGTGAACTCTTTTCGAGAGTGGTGGACAGTTGGGAGTGGCTCTTTCTCTTCGTTGCTCTCCGGGCCCTCCTTTCGCGTTCTTGCCCACTGTGCTGTCGAGAAGGACTCCCACTCCTGTCTTCCACACTCAGGCGGTCTTTCTTCTTCGCTGGTCTTCCCAGTCGCCGAGAGACACTGTATATACATTCTATCTTGTGCTTTTGGCACCTGCGGCACGATGGCCTCTCGTGACTGCATCGAATCTTCGCTTGCTGGCAAGCATTGCATGTCGATCGAACCTTCACGCTCTTGGGTAATTGTCCGCTCCCTCCTATTTTTGAGGCTCTCGGTAAACTCATTGAAATGACAGCGCTAAGGATTTTCACTTGCTGGGTGACGGGCAGGGTTTAGTAACGCCGAATGTATTTTGACATCAACCTACAACGGGCTCGCCCGAAAGAGGATCATTTATCTATTCGATCTCTTACCCCGCAACCCCGTATACCTTCGGCTACTGGTAGCCTATACATTCCGCATCAGGTTATACACGATGCGCCTCGCCACACACCAGGACTGCAGAGACGAAAAGTTACATCCGTGACGGGCTCTCATGACAAATATATTTGTCCCACCCGACCTCTTCGGAGTACCCTGCATGGTCCCCGCGTCTGCATCCTTGATCGGCGTCCATAGATGCGAGTCACCGCTAAGATTGTTAGACATTGGCATCTCTTTTACCTTGGTACATATCATATCTCCCGATATTGGAACTGAAGTGGGTCATGAAAAAGTGGGGTATTGGGATTTCGGTCTGCCACAGGGTTGGGGCACTTTCGCATCATCCGTAGAAACACTGAAGCACAACCTTATGTTTGCGCCATGCCAGCCCAGACAGAGAGATAAAGCATATACGTTATAATTGTAGTGTGGCCTCACAGGTGCTCTGTTGTATTTTACCTTTCTCTACACTGGTCTACTCAGTTTAAAATAATCAAATATTGTGGCTGGCGTGCTTTTGGTCACTATTATGGTGAGTGATTTAAAATATATTCACAGCAATTGTAGTGCAGTGTGCGGTAGTGAGGTACCATACATCGGTCTTTCTCAATTTGGAATTCGGAACACGGTGCACTAGCTCACACGTTTTTTCAATCAAATATCCATTGAAATCTCTTTATCTATCAGTCGGAATCAAGCATTGAACATTCGAGTTAGATTAAGTCGAAATGTATGATTAGACACTCCCCCCCCCCCCCCCCCCCCCCAAAAAGCCGCAGCTGAAAAAGCCATACACTGACAAATCCGACAAGCATCCCGACGATCACATGTCCTAGGAAGATCCTCGGACCCTTTTGCTTGATTTCAAACTTCCGTTGGGCGAGTCGTACAGGTCACCGATCGGAATGAAGTGGTAGTTCCGCTCGCAGGCGGGGTAGGGGCACAATCATTGGAAGCTCTGTTTTGGCCGTAGAAGTAGTTGATGGCTACAGGAGGGTCCAAATCGGCAGCGCGCATGAACTCCCAAAGGTCGAACCCGAAACGTGCTTGCAGGGTCATGGGTGGGATGTGAGAAAAGCAGGATGGGAATTTGTAGGAGGGTGGTTGAACGAAAAGTATGAATACATAGCGGTGGTGCGAGTTTATCGGGGGCTGGGCCGCAATGTAGGGCGCATCATGAGCTGTGGTTTCGTTCCCAGGCCTCAACAAGATGTCGTCTGGGTGGTCTTTGCTTAAGCATTCAAAAAAAAGATGTGGCTGATACCAGTGTAGAATAACTGTTTGAATCTCGGTTCCATTAAGAACCACATCAGGATCTATGGCGAAAATTATGTAATTGGTTTGACAATTCAAACCAGTACTACTGATTTCCGGTGTTTCAATCGTTTCTAAAGCTAGGTTAGTGTTGATCATATACTCTGTACTCGTATTTACCAGTAATGTTAACTATAGATCCAGGAAGAAGCCAGTCATGCCCGGGGTACCGCATATACAGTCTCTGGGCTTTTAGCGGAAGAAATGTTGTTTGTAGATCGGCAAGAAGACCAAGCAGACCAAAAAGTGGGATCAACGGAATCATTGCAGTAGAATGAATGCACTGTCGTTGAAATTCAAAATGATCTGATATGCAAACTAAGTAAGAGCCGGGCGTTTCTTGCTACATATATTCATAACCAAATACATGAGAACCTAGAGTTGGCAAGAGAGCGTCTTATAAAATTTCCCGACTATCAAGGGTCAAAATTGTATCCCTGCTTGTACTCTGCGCCATTCCCAGCCCTTGAAGTATACAAGCAAGAGCAATGGATTGGTAGCTAACAAAGTTGCTGCTACAATGCCGTAAGTCCAACGCACACCCAGCTTTTCAATCAAGGGATTCACAGTTGCAGCAGCACCCGCCCCCACAGCGCAGCGAACAAGGTTGTTGGCTGCCATGGCAGTGGCTGGGGTCGAGTAGTACAGGTCAACAATTAGTACGTTCAGGACGGTGTACGCAGCAATGATACAGAAACAGGAAAGAAAGATCAGTAGTAGAGCAACCCAAAGTGGACAGTTGAAAGACTCCAAGATTCCATATGTGACGATTGATCCTGCCGCGCAAAGCTGCATACCAAAGTTAACATTTGGAATCAAAGAATGACCTAAAACTTACAGTCAACGGCAAGCAGATCTGTAACCGCGCGCGTTCGATTGGGAACATGAGGATATCCTGTTTCTTGTGACAGCTTGTGGTCATTCCTGATTGCCTGATTATTCGACGGTAATTCCAATCGACGAAGAACCCGTTGACCACGGCGGAAAGTAGAGAACCAAGCCCTGCTGGTATAAAACAAAGCCCAATTCCAAGGTCATTCAGATGATACATCGTGTGAAACTGAGCCGGAATTCCTGTCATAAGAGCGTAGTAGCTTCCGAAGATGATTCCGTTGGCGAACAATACTAATCCCACTGGTAGGCAAAAGAGTAGACGCAGAGATGACCAAGGATTTGGTATCGCAATTCGACTCGCGGGACGCACGGGAGAGATCTCACAATGATCCGCTTGACAGGATGTTCGTAAATTAAAAAAGCCCCAAAGAGGGCGATTCCATCGTGGAGGTGATATTCTTCCATCACCCACAATAGCACGACAGGTCTCGGGAAAGAAGAGTAAAAAGGGGATGAAGAACAAGACTGAGAGAGATGTGAGAAACCAAAATACAGCTTTCCAGCCCCAGTACTGTGTTAGAAACCCCCCAATCAAAGGACCGATAGACGGAGCAAGAATGATGCCCAAGGAAGCTATGCCCATGTAAGCTCCTCGTTCAGCAGGAGTAATGATATCGGCCGCAACGGCAGATGAAAGAGCAACTGTTCCACTAGAACCACAGCTTTGAACTGCGCGTAGAATAAGAAGAGCTGGAAACCAGTGCTGAATGGCGAGTGCTATATTTCCTGCAATGTAGACCAAGAAACAGTATATGTAGGCGGGACGGCGGCCGACCTGATCAGCCAACGACCCGGTAAATGTAGGGGCCAACCCTTGACATATCTGGATATCGAAGTTGATTCACTTAGTGGGAAATGCCAATTGATATTTTAAATAATCTTTTCAAAATGAGAGTACTTACCATGTACGTAGTAATGGTCAGATTGATTTCAGAGGGACTGACTCGTAGATCCTTGGCGATGGAGTTCAGGGCTGGGAAGTAAATGTTCGCTGATAGAGGTGAGAACATGGATGCGATGGCAGCAGCCAGTATGATAAGTCGCTTTTGTGTAGTTGAAAAAGCAGAGTGTCGCTCGCTATCAGAGGGAGGAAGCAAGGGCGTTGACTCAGTCGGTGGACTAGCATGGCTACAGCTCGGCTGACATTCGTTGCAGCTATTCATTTGGGCGCGGAAAATGATACATTGATTTCAATATCTTTCAATAATGAGGATTTTATTGAGTGGCTTCAATCTCCAGGTCCACGGAGCACGAGTTGTCATGCTTCACATGCTTCAAAAACTCAAATTCGGGCAACAGGGTATGTGACGACTCCGGTAGTCCCCGTGTAGATATGCGATGGCCGAAAGAGCTTACCGCGTGTGACTAGACCACTAAGGTCAGAAATATACCGACGAGAAGGGATGTAGCACACGTACCCGTGTAATCCCTCCAGTGCGCCATAATTCCCGTAATACGCTGGGTCAACATGGCCGCAGGAATCATCTCGGGCTCAATACCGATTCCCGTGAAGACGAAATTGCCGTAAAAGTCAGCGTTTGGATGAAGGCCTCGAGAAAGAAAATATTCATCGTTGCTGGCAGCCGCTTCGATCGCCTCGGCAATCTTGAAGAAGGGATTAGAATGGGTTGGTAGATCTTGTAAGATCCTTCGGATGAACTGGACGCGCGGATCCACGCCTTTGTATTCTCTATGCCCGTAACCGAAAAGCCTACGCTTTCCAGACTTCACCTCGGTTATGAAATCGGGTACGCTTTCCGGATTTCCAATTTCATTCAGCGCACGCTGCGCGGACTCGGTAGCGCCAAAGTGAAGTGGGCCATGTGCCGCGGCGACTGCTGATATCAGGCAAGATATTGGGTCTGTGAGCGAGGAAGCAGTAACCAATGCAGAAAACACAGAAAGTGCCATTCCATGATCTGCATTGAGCAAGGCAAATCGACGATAACATGACAATTTGGTTGGGTCGGGACGTTGGGTGGACGAGTCTATGAGCCCAGCCATGACAAAAAGATTCTCCCGATACGTTGAATCGATTGAAGGAGCCCTGAACTCGATGCCTTTGCGATGGCAACGGACGGCAGCAAATATCACTGCATAACCCGCGACTGTTTGCAAGATTATTTGGTCACCAAGACCTGGGTCTTGTTGGTACACGTGTGCCAGACTTGACACGCAAATGGGTGTCGGAATCGCAGCCAGGTATGCCGAGAGACCCGCTAAAATCAACGGAAGAGGGGCAGTAGTCCGACTGATTGGCATCCCTTCAGAAAGCGAATCGATTCAATGGAAAGTGAGACACGTACGGCAGCAAATGGATGGCATCATGCACGGCCCTTGGCGTCTCCTGCATATAACGTCCTAGTCGACGACTCAACTCTGTCCGTTGATCTGCAGAGGGATAGACATCCCATAGCATGAGATGAAGCATATCTTCAAATTCCGCCTCCCAGAGCTGTTCAAGAGAGAAGCCCCGAAAGAGCAATTCGCCCGACTCGTGATCACTACATGGCCAGTCAGCACAGAGCTTGACACCTACCCGGAGAGGTGGATTGACGAAAAACTGATTGCAGATTCCAGCACTGCAGTGTTCTGCAGCCCGGGGTCATAGATCCGAAGTCCTCGCGAGACCTGGTCCGCTCGATTGGCCCCTTCACTGGGCGCCGTAATGCGCTTGAGGTCAAGGGCGCGTACTGCATTCCGGTTGATCGGAATGTCATACTTGACACCCGTGCGCGAGTCACGCACGAACAAGGTGCCTGTTGACATAGTATAGCGACAATGGCTGAAACGATCGTGTCCAATCTCTCGATTGCGTCAATCAGGAAACTTTATAAAGCCTCACGAACTGGAACCATCATGTCAATATGGCCCCGCTGCAAAAGCAGGTCTTCTCAAAATCTTCCGCAGCGCTGTCCCACATGAGCAGGCAATATCCCGGTGTCATACCGAATGGTACCAGAGAGAAAGAGCACAAGCAAAAGAAAATGCACCGCGCGAGGTAAGAGTCAATCAAATCGATAATATGCAGTCTTATTCGGCTATTTCACGTATCGTCATCACTCATTCAAAGCTGCACCGAGCCTTGCGTCTTTATCATTTTCTCTCCTCCGTATTCCTCAGATATCACGCATTGAAATTTCGAGGAAGCCACGCATTGTCCAATTATCCGCACTTGGTTCTTTTACTCGGGCATGCCCTGGAAGGGTTTCTCGAGCTTCTCCTGGCAGAAGGGGAGCTTGCTGGCGCACCAGATCTCCACGGTGGGCTTGAGGGTCTTCTTGATCTCGGTGTCGAGAGTACCGGCCTTCAGAGCGATGATTTCGGGGGCAGCATCGGGGTCGTGGGCAATGGGGGAGCCGCACTCGGAGCAGAAGAGGCGGTGCACGGCCTGGCCGGAGCTACCCTTGCCAGCCCAGCTCTTGATTGGGCCGTTGATGGTCAGCTTGTCCTTGGGGACGACGGCGACCAGCGCTGTATTGGATGTCAGCAGCATTCTTTTGTCCCATTGTCTCGCTCCGCATCACGTACAATAAGTGGAGCCAGACTGACGCTGGCAGTCATCGCAGTGGTCATAGGCGGTGATGGCGGGCTCGTCGACTTCTGCGGTGTAAGTCACGGCCTTGCAGAGACAGTGTCCAGTGAGAGGCATGATGGGCGAATTGAGTTGAAAGAGATTCTCACAAGGTGCTCGAAGATGGGGACCTTCTGAGCCGAAGGGGAGACGAGTATTTAAAGGGCAGCTCCCCAATGCCGCCGCCTTCCGTCTTACATCATGGCAAACCCAATTCCAAATTCCAAATTCTGCATGACAAATCTTTCCTTCGCCCCGCCTGCTTCCTCCAGCTGCAACTTTCCCGACTCCGATCGTCTCTGCTCTGCAGCTCCTTCGTGCTCCGGTCCATCGTGAGATCACCGATCCTTGTGTCCGCCCAGGAATCCCCTGCGAACCACCGAAAAGCTTGAAGGTCGAAGGCCGAAGCTCGAAACTCGAAATCTCGAAAGCTGAAGCTCGAGTCCAAGCGCGAGGATCCCGTCTGAATCACCCTGGGCCGCAGCAATATGTGGGTTTCGCGAAGATGTGGGGTCTGCGGGGCGGATGTAGCAGACTCAGGCTCAACAACCCTGGAGGGAAGGGCATTTTCGGGGTTTCTACGTTAGATAAGAGATGCGGTCAGCTCAGTCGAGCTAGTGCAAGCTCTGATACATCCACTGCTGGCCCCTCGTCCTCGTCGTGGAGGGGTTGTGGCGGGGCTGCAGCTGCAGGATGCTGCGCATGGCATCCTCGGAGTCCAACCCGGAGGGCGCTGTCCATTCAGATTGCAGCTGCGTCTGCGTCGACACCAACTGGAATTCTGGAAATCGTGCAGTTGACCAGTCGACTCGAGGCCAACTGCGCACATCGTCTCGTGGGATTGGCAGCGAGGTCGGAGAAGCCGCAAGTCCACCGCGGCGATCGGCAGCCATCCAGTCTGGCGGGTCACGCCAGGATGGCCCCTGCGCGGCGACGCCTGCACTGAGGTGCCTGTTGCATCGTGGATATCAGTAGGCTCGGTTCCAGGTCCTGCGGGCTCCCAAATCTGCGCAGTGGCTGGCTATATGCTACATGCACAAGGTACGCTGCATAGTCGCTGTATAGTCCTGCGCCCTCGACCTCGGTGGGGACCTTTCAGAATTTTGTTCCAACATATGATACCCGACCTGCATGGCCAGCCTCGTCTACAAAGTACTGAATATCGGAAGTCGATAGGTGGGCGACACCATGATATCTATCAATTCTAAAAATATGGAATTCTTACTCGGTGGAGCTCTCCGTCGCGCCGTTCACCTCCTTCTCAATCCCGCTCGCATCGCCATCCGGCGCGTTCTCTTCATCCCTCACCTGTGAACGATTCCTTTGGCTTGTTGGTGCAAACTTGCTTCGGATTCGGATCTGCTTTCCATACTTGTAGAATAGAAATGGTATCACTGCCAGTAGAGCAGCCACGCCACCGATCAGACTGCCTCCGCCGCCCACACCCAGCGCGGAGAACATCTGGTTTGTGAACAGCGGTGCAGCAGCTCCGCAGGCAGAGCGAGCAATCGTGTTTGCGGCAATGGCAGAGGCTGCATACCTGTGACACAGTGGGGTCAATATCCAAGCTTGAATCGGGTGGGTTCATTTTCCACGGCTATTCCCGGACTTACATGAGATACACGTCCACGAGATAGTTCAGATATGCAACAAAGATCAGCAGTAGGCAACTCGAAAGGAAGCACCCGGCGAGAGTCGGGACGATCCAATGAACAGAGCTATTGATGGTCAGCGCTTGGTACAATCCACTTCATAAGCCGGAGAAAATTGAACTTACTTGAACTCGGCCGACCATGCGAACCAGAACATTGTGATCGCAAACCCAACTCCTCCGATCATCGCCAGTGGCAGGCGGTCCTCAGGCTCGGCATCCTCCATCTTCGTCTCGCCCCTGTCGATCCTGTTTTGACGCATGCGCGTGTCTGCGAGAACAATTGCTCCGCCAATTAATGCTCCGACGACAGTGCCAATCAGCGGCAGCTCCCCGACGCCGGAGTTCCACCCGCGCTTCTCTTGGAAGACGATTGGATAAATGCTGAACAGCATATAGAGGAGAGTGTATACAAAGGCCATATAGATGGCGCAGAGCAGTGAGATCGGGTCAAAGAGAATGATCCATGGCCGCACCAACGCCACCTTATAAATGCCAATCAGTGTTCGATCGCTATCCTCTACGGGCGCTCGCACGTTTTCATATCCAAGGATGGCAGCCTTGCGAATGCGCTTCGCCTTGTTGTACAGCACCGTTGGTCCGTAGGTTTCGGGGATGGTCAGCATCGCCAGACAGGTCGGAGCGCCCAGCCAGAGCAAAACATAGAAGCTCCACTGCCAGTTTTTCTTCAACTCCAGAAACCCGGCGACCACAGGGCCCAGGGCCGGTCCCATGTATACCATCGCAGAGAACCCGGCCATTGCATTGGCACGCTCAAGTGGATTCCACAGGTCTGCCAGGACACCTGGGCAGTTACTCAGGCACGCAGACACAAAGGTCCCCGTCAAGAATCGGCCCACCAGGAGCGCTCCAAAATTCGGCGCAAAAGCGCACAGGAAGTTGAAGGCCATATAGCAACCGAAGGTGATGTAGAAGATCCATCGTCGACCGTAGAACTCGGAGAGGGGGCGAAAATGAGCGGACCAGCGCAGTACCCCAGCAGGAACAGGGTGATGGTCAGGCCGGCCGCTTCAGTCGAAATGCCGAAATGTTCTGAGATGGAGGGAAACATCCACTCGGCGAGGAGGAGGCGAAGGTCGCATTCACGACCAACAAAATCGCGGAGATGGTGATCATGGTCCGCCGAGCGAACGACCAGTTTCGGGGATTTTCGATATCATTGGGCCCGAAATCGACGTGGCCGTCGGCGTTGAGAAAGGGAGGCGAATCATCTCGGAGCTGCTTGGACCGGTACGGTTTGTTTGCCGCGTGGGACAAGATTCGGGTGATGACCGCCATCGCAAATGGTGAGTGTCGAGAGCCATGCTGCGCATCTTCAAGTTGAAATTAGAGCTATCGCAACGATTCGGATAACCGGCACCACCAACGACCTCGTATCGGACCTTGCGAGTGCATTAATCCCAGCCGTTACATAATTTCGTCATTGCCCGCTGTTAACAATCACCGAGAAACCGGGGTTAATCTTTTCACAGGTGGTTAACTCCGTGGGGGCTGGTGGAGCACGTTTCTGAGTGGGCAGCGTCCACCAAGGAACCACCCGAACTAACAGGGCGAATGACGAATGATGACCACAGAAGAAGCCAGTGGCGCAGGAGAATTGCCAGATTCGGCTATGCAGAGGAGGCCAAAAGCCAAAGGAGTGGATTGTATACCTTCCACAGTATCAAAATGTAGAAAGGTAGCACTAACTTTACCAACCCTAATGTGTGCTAAATGTCCCGATCCCAACTTTATCTTCACCTCCGCGGCCTTCCTGGCTTCCCCTAAAAGCTCTCGCGCCGGGCTTGCTCGATTTTGTCCGCCGCACTCTATAGCCGACGTCAACGCAATCATCGTGACACCGCCATTTAGACTTACCTGCATCTGCGACGCCATTCCGCCGCTGGGGATCGCACCACCGTAAAACAGCGACTCCGCCCGCTGGGCCTCGCGCGCATCGTCCTTGGTCACATAGACTGGCACGTCAGCCGACACGGGAGGCATCGTCTGTGTCTCGTTCTGGTTGGCAATCGAGCGAACCTGCGCCGACACTGATCCAAACCCGGGTGCGCGATGAAAAGCCCGTCCCTAAACAAAATTAAATCTTCAGTATTTGTAGTTGACTATTGCAGCCCCGTGGTAATCGATCATAAAGATGGATCCCTACCTCTGTCGACTGCATTTCACGAGCATCATCTTGCGTGATTTGGACCGAAGGCTTGCGCGAGACCTCGTCAACCTTGCTATCAAAATTCATCTGGCGCATGGCGATGCTCTGTGCCGTTGCTGGGAGCTCGTCAGTTTAGATCGCGTCCCTCTCGCGGCACATCGGCTGGGAGGGCTCCCGGGCTTATGCTATGTACCAGCTGGTCCGCCGCGGACCGGGCCGCGTCCGGTCAACTCGCTCTCGGCATGCGAAATCATCGAAACATCGCCGGGCGTGATGCGCTGGCCCGCTTCGGCAGCGTGCTTCAGTTCGGCGACGGACGGGATTTCGAAGCTCATGGCGGATCTTATTCTCACTATGCGAACGTATGTACAATTGTGGTATTTTGCATCCCCAGTACGTAGTTTTTATTTTGGCGCATTTATATAAAGTCGAGGGGCGGTGATGTCACCGTGAAGAAATTGCTCGCCTCAATGAGGAGGTGGCGCTGCCACTCGATCTGGTCTGGAACCATAAGTATGACAGTTGATGAGTGGGAATATATGCAAGACACTTATGGAGGGAGAATGAGAGAATACGAGGCCTTTGGGCAATTCAAAGATTTGAGAATAGCATTGACCAGCATCACACATGCCCAGGTGGTCTCAGTCCACTGATGTGTGGATTGCCGATGTCCGGTATACTTTCGCAGAACAAATTGCCCACACCGGGTACACCACGATCGGGGACTACCAGGTGCCCGAGGAGAGAACAGTGTGGCGCGATTAGCTCCGATCATACAGTGCCTTTCGGCTCAACCTCGTTCTGGAACCTGGGGAAACACCGATGCTTGTACATCTACGCCGTAGCAAATGGTATTTGTTCCTGGCTAGGTCAAGCATGTGTATCTGCAGGTAGCCGTCGTCGCACATCACAACACTCGTGGCGACAATGGCTGACAGCCTTGACCGTCATGTCTGTCAAACATCAGTTATGTTTCTTTGCTCGAATTCAGGCATTGTTGCCGGCATGTCGAGGATAACTCCCGTGCTGGTCAAGCCGAGGTTCCAAAATATGTCTCATGAAAGTCACACTTTATATCCGAAAGGCGTGTCTGGTGAGATGGTAGTCAGTGTTCAGGCTGTACAAATATGCTGTGTCCAGAATAAGTCAGGCTCCTATAAGGCACCAGTGTTCACCGTCATCCCCTACTGGTGGGACAGATTTCCTGGCGTGACAATTGTGGAGCAGTTGCAAATTAAGAGCCCCTTTCACAGGGTAGCAGGTACCGATTAGACATCGCGTTCGGTAATGTCGTTATCGTACACGTTAATTTGCAATTTCAACAATCAATACAACCTCCATTCGGTTGGTTGTTTCCTGAGGGCGGCAGGGCGGCCGAAGAGAGAAGGGGGACTGCGGGTGTTTATAGTCGGCCGCGCTGACCGCCACGCCGGTTCCGCATAGATTTACGCCTGTCGGTCCGGGACCGGCTTTTCTCACCTCGCTCCCACCGGTCTCGCCTAGACCTCTTCCAAGTACTGCCCATTCCATCTCGGTGCTGGTTTTTCCCATGGCAGAGTATGAACTACCTGGATCTTTGCCCCATTTCTCGGGACGCTAACCGAATCATGCGCAGGCCGTTGAAGAAAGGCAAGAAGGCGTGCACCGAGTGCCGCCAGCAAAAGGTCCGACTGGCTTAGCTTCATGGAAATTTCATCTCTAGCAACATTTACAGTGGATCTAACAATTGTCTACACAGGCAAAGTGTGATGTCTATCTCAATCCAGATCAGCCGTGTACCCGATGTCGCAGGGTCAATGCAAACTGTGTCATCTCCGACCCATTCAAGCGAGAGCACAAACGCAAGTATGCAGCCGGCTCCCATATTGAGTCGAACCTCTAGAGGAACAAAATTGAGCTGACAGTATCTATAGACGCATGTCCCGGCTGGAGCAAGAATCGGAAGACCTGCGCCGCAAGCTCCGGGCCTCGCAACCAGCAGATCCGCATCCATCACCCATTGCCCTGCTGACAGCTGCGGCGGAGATGGGCTCGAGGTCTGAACCAAACAGCGATTCACTCTCGGGAACTCCTCATATACCGCCGCCATCGTACCCACCGCAACTCCTTGCACCAAACGGTTTTGGGGTATCACCTTCGGCGCCGGGACCGGGACCGGCAATGGAGGGAGACACAACCAGGGCCCAAAGCCTGCATGGCGTTGAGGTCCGGAGTGATGAAATTGACGATTTGTTTCATCTGTACGTTTGAATCAATCTTCCGACCACTCAGAATTCTCAATGGCTCATTGGCTAACCTACCGTCAAGTTTCTTCCGCCACTATGCCCAGTTTCTCCCCATCTTGGATCCACAGACACGACCCAACACGTACTATGCACAGTCGCCTTTCCTATTCTGGTGTGTGATTGGGGTATCATGTCGAGCCTATCCCCGTAATCCGACGCTGTTGATGGCGCTGGCTCGGAGTGTCATCGAGATGGCCTTCTTGTCAGCATTGTCGACATCGCCGCCTTGGCATACGATACAGGGCCTTTTGCTGCTCCTCAACTGGCCATTTCCAAAAGGGGAACATCCGGATGTGACCTTTCCGCTGAGTGGGATGCTTTTGCATATTGCCATGCAGAATGGTCTTCACATCCCAATGTCCAGCCACGAGTTCTCTCGTGTCAAGATTCCGGCGCCATGTGAGGCCGACTTGGTTCGTCGGTCCGAACTGTGGGCACATACTGTTATTGTATATCAAAGGTGAGCAACACGTCCGAAAAAGAGATTGTAGAGCTCTAACTCATTTGTAAATGTCAATAGGGTTTGCGTGACCAAGGGCCAGCTACCACGAGCGTTTAACCTCTCACAAGACCCGTCGCAGCGACAAGTCCTGTTCGACAAGATTGCGCCATGGATGGTGCTGAAGCTGCGATGCCAAGAGCTGATTGCGAAATGTAGCGAGGCAGTATTGGAAAACGGTGTACGCTCAATGTCGTTAGACCAAGAGCGTGCTCTGGATATCCTTCTCCGTACCTACGAGGGCCAGGTAGACGATTTGGAGTTGCAGGCTGTTACGGGTACGTTCTGAACTTCTTTACCTGTGAGCCTCTCGCCAAGTCTACAAACTCGGTCCTAATGCTATCTTTAGATGATGAGCGATTCGACACCGGCCTTTGTCGCATGGCTATTCAGAGTTTCCACTTCTTCAAAATGCAGACGCTCGTCTCCAGTGCCTTTTATCCGCGCATACTGGTCACGGCCTGCAGCTTGATTGACTACGTGCAATCTCTGACCGATCGACTTGGCTGCTTGGCGATGTGCCCCGTCCAGCTTGGCTTTGGGCTTCTTTTGGCTTCAACGTCACTGCTTCGAATTCTCAAGAGCAGCACGGCTTCCCATGGCCTTGAGACAGTTCGCGCACGATCAGCGCTCTTTACCGCGATCAATGTAGCCAAGCAAATGTCTGTTGACAGTGCCGATCTTGCGGCGAAGACGGTCACCGTTCTCAATTCTATCTGGAACAGCAACAAGGCATTTCGCAAAGCCGACGGGGGCGAGTATACTGCGTTGCGCATCCGCAGCCGATTGGTGCTCAGCCCTATCCTGGACACGGTGTGGTGGTGGAGAGATGAATTTGATCCACAGTCACGGACCATGCGATCCGTCGTCGAGCCCTCCGACGGTAATGTCTTCATGACCTCACGTTACCTTGCCGCTGCTGATGCAAGCACAGGAGCTGGGATGGACGCCAATCGTGACCTGGTCGGAGGCACGATGGCACCCGCCGGCGCTCCGGCACAAAACAACGCATTCCACCTGGACGAGCAGTTCCTGGCCGACTTTGAATGGGCTCTGGGCGACGATGCACTCTTCTCGCTCGACCCACTCCCAGCAAATTGGACATCTTCCAACAATCTCCTCTAGTCCCCAAGCGCGTGCTCGAGCACTAATTCGGTCGGAACCCACCACAGACGTCGCTTTGCGGTATCGCTGACACCGAACACCCCTAGAATAGAAGCAGCTTTAGCCATTATTATCCGGCAGATGCCGCCAACACCTGTTCTGTTCTATCGCGAGGGTCATAGCGGCGGCCGTTCGACCCAGATATCCAGGACATGCACCCCAGAAAATGCGACGGATGCCCTGCGATAACCGCTCCTTGCTAGATCCGTCCTAGAGCATGTCAAATGTGAAAGAAGCGATTCGGGGGCGGAGCCGCGGTGCACCCCCAGGCTTCCAACAGGGATCCAACAGGGCACTCGCAGGCGTGCCTATCTCACCCGGGGAATTTCCCGAGCTCGCTACTCCGCTGGGCCGTTGGATGGGGGCCAAAAAGCTCGTACAGACTAATCTGGAAGCTCGAGGCTGAACGATAGTATCTATGGCATTTATCAGTTTTTCATTGAACGCGAGCTGTACCAATGCACATTCTAATCCACCATCAGGGTCCATCGCCACAGCATCTACATGCTGACCGTGGCTTTCTTCAAGAACGCCAGCTTGACTCAGCTCGGCGTCTGCAGGGTCCAGCACGTGCGTGGGACTGGAAGCGTGAGCATTAGGATTATTGCTCTACCATGTTGCTATCGCCGCCACCGACTGTTCCCCCTGGATGTTGATTGCAACCGAACACCCCGGTTCACAGCCAACGGGGGCAATTCTTTTACCTCAAGAGTTTCAAACCCGCGTCGCCTGACCACCCTGGCGCTAGTATACTAGCCATTAGTATACAAGTATCGTATACTAATTAATATCCTAGTCAGTTTGTTGTGTCCGGCCTGTTTTGACTCGGCGTGGGATTCCCCGCATTTTTCGGGTGCGGGTCGATCGTGTTTCGAACCTCCATAGCGCCCCAGTACCCTGTGCACTGTTTCCGGCAGGAACCCGCTACGATCAAAGAGATGCCCGCATTCCACGGCGATGGCGACACGACGTGGCCGACCGCATGCGATTCCGACCCAGACCTGGTTCGAGATGCAATTATCCGCCTGTCTCAGCTGTCGAGGCCTCCCACTCGGTTTTGTCACGCGTGTGCCACACCTCCGACGGACGTGCGGGCGTAAAGGGAATCGTGGCACCTGGGGGCCAACAAGAGGCCAGGTTCCCAGGGCTGCTCGTCCAGTGTGGCGCCGGGGGATGGCCCAACCAGGCACGCCCCGCCGCGCCGCGGACTCGACGAGCCCCCGCTTGCAGCAGTTCGGGCGACGCTAGCAGGAAACGGGCGGCCCTACACAGGCTGTTGCGGGCATGTAGTGGCTCCAGATAGTCCAAGATGCGCCCCACCCGCCCGCTCCGGCTTATCACTGACAAGCTCGTCGGACAAGGTTATATTCGACTAGGCGGAACTCGGTGATTGGAAATTGGCTACTTAGGGGGATGTTCTTGGTGGATCGCTCTATCGGCTCGCTTCTGCACCTCCTGTCTCGAATGCCGCGGCCGGGGATGCTCTCTGTTTTCTAGCGCGTGGCAACTATAGCGCAATGGCCACGCCATGGTGGCTGCTCGTTGCGCGGCCGGGTGAATCGATGAGTCGATGTTAAGAGGCATCACGATCGCAGCAAATTCTTCGATGACCGGATGGAGCTGCGGTGATTGGAAGGCGATCTGACCCCAGCCCGGCGAGTAACCTCAGGGACGCCACCACGCGTGGGCCGGAGCATGCCAGCAGGCCAGAAGCGGATGTCCCGAGTATAGGATCGCGATCATCTGACTGGCCCTGGGGCCGCTGGTGATGCATGCAATCAATGGATGAGGCCTGAGAACCCAACCCCCCTATCCCTATCGTGCAACACTCTCCCGGTGCCATTTCGCTGATTCGGGGCAAACCTCGTCCCAGAGCTGCTTCGTAGGCTATTCGAGGATAATTTCCCTGTTTCATGATTGGCCGACTTTCTTTGTTTCTTTCGTTTTTGGTCTCGCCAGACGCCAATTTAGTGTTCTGTTGGCTTCCCCTGCTGTCGGTCCCACCCATCCCATCCTCGAATCACATTTGCCTGCTGCCCCTTCGCTGGGTGTTTGGCCCATCTGGTTTGCTTTCTAGATCGTGTTGACGTTACATTCACCTCGCTTCTCTGAGATTTGGGCCTGAGATCTCGTAGACGGCAGGCGATAAGGCGGACCACCGTCGGCTGGGGCTGGTGTAGTTCCAGACTCCCGATTCTGGCAGGAGCCACCGCTGGCAGCGGCCCTCGCGATAAATACACCTTCTTCCGCTCTCCTCCCTTTCTTCGTTCTCTTTCTTCTGCCCCCTTGAGCTCTCCGTCACCCTTCAACCGCCGGGCTTCGACCAGCGCTGTGCGTCACCATGGAGAAGAACGAGCCCGCCATCGCCGTCTCGAGCGGCGTCGATGACAGTGCGCAGGACGATGTCCTCAAGCAACTGCGCAACCTGAAGGACCACCACCAGTGGGATCCGAACATGCCCGATGACATTGTCGATGAGGTGGACGAAGCCCTCAATACGGACGACAAGGGTGCGCGTCTCGACATCGCCCATGAGGTTCTCGATAACTCGCCCTACCCAGAAGTACGCGCAGCGGTGTCGAATGTCGACGAGGGCGGCCATTCGAACACCATTCGCGCATGGACGATCGGTCTGCTCTTTGCGACAATTGGCTCGGCCCTGAACATGCTTTTCTCGATGCGCCAGCCGTACATCGTGATTCCCTCTTACATCGCACAGGTCGTGGCGTACCCGGTGGGAAAGGCCTGGGAGAAGTTCATGCCTGCAAAGAAGTTCAGGTTTTTTGGTATCGATTGCAACCTTAATCCCGGTATCTTCAGTAAGAAGGAGCACGCATTGGTCGTCATAATGGCCAATGCGACATTTGGTGGCGGGTATGCTTCCCATCAATCATCTGATGGCGAGATCAAATTGCTAATTCATGGTCTAGTGCTGCATACGCGACGGATGTGCTTCTTGCGCAGAGAGCATTCTACGGACAGCATTTCGGATGGGCTTTTGAGATCTTTATGTGCATGTAAGCATCCATCTTCCCCATTTGTTTTATTGGAATCGAAGGACCGCAGACTCACATGGCATTGCAGCTCCACGCAAATGCTTGGATTCGGTATCGCCGGTTTCTTCACCAAGTTCCTGGTGCAACCAGCCGCTATGATCTGGCCATCAACGCTGATCAACACCGCCCTGTTTTCCGCGCTTCACGACCACTCCAAGCCCGACCCTCGCAAGGTGTCGGGATGGAAGATTGGCCGGTATCACCTCTTCCTGCTCACGATGACTGCCTCCTTCTGCTGGTATTGGTTCCCCGGATACATTGCGCCATTCCTGAGTGTGTTCGCTTGGGTGACCTGGATCAAGCCTCAGAATGTGGTCATCAACCAGCTGTTCGGAGGCTGGACGGGTCTCTCTTTGATTCCGATGACGTTCGACTGGACTCAAATCTCGGGTTTCAACTTCAGCCCCTTGATCGCCCCGTGGTATGCGATTGCAAACACCTTGATCGGCATGGTCATCTTTTTCTGGATTGTCACCCCGGCGATACACTACAAGGGCCTGTTCTACTCCGAGTATCTGCCTATGAGCGATTCCAACTCCTATGACAACACGGGTGCGGTGTATAATGTCAGCCGTATTCTCACTCCCGAGTTTACCTTCGATCCGGTCAAGTACAAGGCGTACTCCCCGCTCTTCTTGTCCACCACGTTCACCCTGTGCTACGGTTTGTCCTTTGCCGGTATCATTGCCGTTGTCCTGCACACCTGGCTTTTCCATGGCAAGGACATTTGGACTCGATTCCGCCATGTCGGCACAGAAACCGAGGATGTGCACGGGCGTCTCATGTCCCGTTTCAAGACGGTTCCCATGTGGTGGTATGGAGTCATTACCTTGATCATGATCGGAATGGCGCTCGGAGTCACGCAGGGCTACGAGACCCACCTTGCCTGGTGGGCCTTCTTCATTTCACTCATCATCGCCGTCTTCTGGTTCGTGCCCCTTGGTATTGTCAAGGCTTCGACCAACATCGATATCGGTCTCAACGTCCTCACCGAATTCATCATCGGATACATGCAACCTGGTCGACCTATGGCGATGATGCTGTTCAAGACCTACGGGTATATGAGCATGTACCAGGGCATGTACTTTAGTCAGGATCTCAAGCTCGGTAAGTACATCCTGGGACACATCTACACTCTTCACACTCCGATCTTCTCTAACCCAGTCCAGGCCACTACATGAAAATTCCTCCTCGCGTGACCTTCAGCGCGCAAATGGTCGCTGGTATCTGGTCCTCTCTCGTCCAGATTGGCGTGATGAACTGGGCTCTTGGCTCCATCAAGAAGGTATGCCAAGCTGACCAGCCCAACCGCTACACTTGCCCGAACGGTCGCGTCTTCTTCAATGCCTCGGTCATCTGGGGTGTGATCGGACCCCAGCGCATGTTCTCCATCGGCCAGATCTACTCGCCCCTGATGTTTTTCTGGATTGCGGGTGCTGTTCTCCCCTTCGTAATCTACTTCGGTGCGCGTGCGTTTCCCAAGAGCCCCATTCGCTACCTCAGCGCGCCTCTTATCTTCAGCGGAGCCGGTCTCATTCCCCCCGCCACTCCGCTGAACTACCTCAGCTGGGGAATTGTCGGTTTCATCTTCAACAAGTGGATCCGTGACCGCTGGCGCGGCTGGTGGATGCAATACAACTACGTCCTGTCTGCGGGCTTGGACGTGGGCCTGGTGCTCTGCACCATCCTCATTTTCCTGACTCTCAATCTTACCAGCACGGAGTTCCCATCCTGGTGGGGAACAGAGATTGCAGCCAATACCATGGATGCGGCTGATACCGCTATCCAGAAGACTCTGGATGCGGGTGGGAAGTTCGGTCCGGCTTCCTGGTAGTTGCAACTGGTGGGAAAGTGTGAAGCTTTTACTTTTTACGACGCTTCATGGTAGCCGTTTACCCTATGACAAGGTCATTCCAACATCTTAATCGACAGCATCCTATGAGACAACGAATGAACGACAATGGACCTCGTTTCAAGTTTGAATCTAATACAAAAGAAGTAACCGCGCACCGTAGAACACTTTGTTGTACAGAGTAGTGCTGGTAGCCATGAACCAGTGCCATCGTCGCAACCTCACAGAGCACACCTCAAGGGACTCGCCAACGATGAATGTCTCTCTAAGCACAGACTTTACTGTAATTTCTACACGAATTTATGCAGGTTATATAGATATAGGATACGGTGATCCAATTTTAGATATTCACAAGATCATATATACATAATTTAGCTTCAAGTATTGTCCGAAGCAGATATATCAAGGGGAAACGTGGCAGTTCGTCAGCGGGACTTCGACTCCCGCGGTCATCTTCGCGAATGAGCTGCAATTGCAAAGAACGAGACGCAAGCAATGAATATATTTATCCTGGCATTAGCCATGTGAGTACAAGAAAGGTCCCGACGTGGGTGTTTAGGCATGGTTTCTCCGCTTCATACCAACCATCAAGCCAAGAGGCTTGCGGAGGAAGCCCTCGCGAGTCTCCATGTGACCCTCCTGCTCCATACGGAATTCGAACAGGCGGAAGACAGTAGCGCCCATGACCAGCAGCTCCATCTCAGCAACGTTGCGGCCAACGCAGGCACGGGGCCCGTGGGAGAAGGGAATGAAAGCGGCCTTCTGGCGCGAGGTCAGACGGTCGGGAGACCAGCGCTCGGGCACAAACTCCTCAGCGTCGGGACCCCAGATCTCCTTGGAGCGGTGAATGGTGTAGCTAGGGACAGAGAGGACATCACCGGGGCCGAAGGTGTGGCCAGCGATCACGACAGGGCCGGCACCCTCGGGAATCTCACGGGGCAGGCCCATGGCGGAGGTGCTGTGGATACGCATAGTTTCCCAAATAACCCACTGCAAGTAGTCAATTTCCTTGACCATGGCGTGGGTGGGAACGTCGATGTCGGTCGGGATGGCGTCGTCCAGAGTCTTCTGCAGCTTGGGAATCACACCGGGGGTGCGGAGGCACCAGTACAGAATGGCACAGGCAGTGTTGGAGGTAGTGTCGGAGCCAGCAATCAGTTGGGTCAAAGCCTCGGCGGTCAATTCTTCGCGACCGAGCTTGTTACCAGTGCTGTCCTTGCCCTCCATGAGACGAGCCAGGAGATCGACACGGGTGTTATTGGCCATAACCTCTGGCTTGACACGCTCGTTGACACGAGCAATGGCAATACCGGCAAGATTCTCAACGGCTTCCATACCTTGGGAGAAGAACTTGTCGGGGAGGTACTTGGCAAAGGGCTTGAGGGCGGGAAGGCAGCCCAGGGTGGCTGAAACCTCACCACGACGGTTGAGAACTTCCACGGCCTGGACATACTTGGGCGGGTCATTGGGGCTTTTGCGCATCTCAGCAATATCTTGGCCCTTCTCGATCATACCAAACGGAGCACCGAAGGCAAGGTCACCGATAATATCGAAGGCTAGGTAGTTGAACCAGTTCAGAGCGTCGATCGAGGCATAGCCGGTCTTGGGGTTGGCCTGCAGGTCGGACATCTTGTTCCACTGCTTGACAAACATCTCGATGTTGCCGTGGATGTACTGCTCGAATTGGCCAATGGACTTGGCCGAGAAGGTATGCGAAACAGTCTTGCGCTTGCGAGTGTGCTCCGCACGGTCGCGGGTGTTGAAGAGGCCACGGCGAATAGAGACGAAGGCGTCGTAAAAGTCACTGAGTGCTCATTAGTATGTGTAAGAGTCGAGCAGGAGATAATGGAGACATACGCCTTTAGGAAACCATTGCCGTGACCGTAGATAGCGTTAATGGCGGCATCATCGGCTACGGAGACGTGGCGGGGCGCAATGCGAACCAATTTTCCATATTTCTTGTGAGCCTCATCGACAGAGATGAAGCGCTTGCCCTGGCGGGCCTGTAGCAGCAGCCAAAGGTTGGTGAAGGCGGCGAGACCGGGACTCGGAATGTCGTGCAACCGCCACCGCTGGAAGTAAGGCAGCAGAATGTAGACGGCTGCCAAACCCAGCAGGATGTAAGGGGCGTTGTCGACAGAGATCAGCATCGCGGCGGTTATGCAGCAATGTAGGGCTTGGCTGACGTTGGCAATGTTCGCGGAGTGTCAAAAAGGGAAAAAAAAAGTCCGAGCTCGAAGGAGCAAATGCACGGCCGATCAGAGCGGGAAACCGGTGAGGCTACCAAAACAAATGGAGCCCTATATGAAACAGAAGTGTGAAGAGAAGCCGAAGAAGTTGTCGAGCTGTCTATCAATCCATGATCCAAGTCCTTTTCCTGGAGAAGAGCCCTCGTATTTATGGCGAGGGGTCGTTCATGGTGAGTTGCATCATCCCCGAGGTCAAAGTGGCCGACGGGAGTGAAATCGGTATCTGGGGATGCGGCTGGTGTGGAGCCTGCCAACAGGGAAGAGCCACTCAAGCGTGGCTATCGTCTCCAGCGAGTGCCGGCGCGCCGCCCGAGTTCGGTTATTAGCTCAGCATCCCCAGTTTTGAGGCGGCTGTGCTCAATCAGATGGCTGGGATTGACGAGAGGATCAGCCGATGGAGTTACAGAAATGCACGCCGGCCGATTCGATGGCAGTCCCGTGAGGTCCCGTGATGAGTCCGGGCAACACACGTGACCCTTCCCTCGCAGAAGTATATCAAACGAGTCCTGGTCGTTGGTCGAGGGACGAGGATCACTAACGCCGAAAGGGTATAAACTCCATTGGTAACCCATGCATACATGATATGTTATGAGACATGAAATATGGTGATCCACTCGCCGATGCTAAGCAAGTGCTTGACCATTAGTGTGCGTCGAACGATGAAGATCCTTTACGCACTTCCAACACTCCCAACGATATCAATATGAAATTTCGAGAACAATCTCTTTTGATTCGGTATAAAATCATGCTCATCGAGAATTAGTTTCTCAAAGCATTGGTCATATGGAAAAAAAATGAATGTAACTAGCACTCCACTATCCTTTGGGGACCGCGGCTAGAACGGCCTCACCATAGAAGTCATGTCGACTTTGACCTCTCCACATGTCATGATAGGCTCTGCTGAAGATATGTCTGTCTTTTCGTCGATGTGTTGTCGTGTCGTCTTTTGAACTTGCGATAGGGCAGATTCCATTGCGACCAGGGGAATTTTCGGCGAAAGTAGCTGATTCGGATCGACAACACAATCAAGTAGTGCAAGGAAACGAGTTTTCAAATGCCGCTACGACTGAAATGGCGAGGTCTGCGAGCGACGTGTTGACCCATGCATACACTCCACGCTCCATCAAAATAGCAACAAACAGCCCAAACGTCAAGGGAAGTGTGGACTCGACGCTCATCGATTTTCTACGACCAAGACACAAACAAACGCACGACTATGAGAATAATCAATTCCGCTGATGAACTCATAGTCTTCGTATATTCTCTGTATATGCTCTATATGCTGTTTTTGCTGTAGGCTGTACATGCTCTCACCATTCACTCGCGGGAAACAGTCCGTTTCTCCGCTTCTCCGCCTCCCATCGGTCCATCCATGCCTTCATTCTATCCCGGCTCTTTTGGCTACCCACATTCACTGTAGGGATTACCTTGCCAATTCTAAGTGCGCAGCAGAACATGGTGAGTTCGCGGAACGAGCTGTGTTCGCTATAGGGCACCCCAAAGCAGGCGCTCTCCCGCGTGCTTCCGCGTTGCGGGGTCAGATCCTGCGCTGTAAAGGGCGTTCGCCAGTGTTCACCACGCAGAACTATCGGGACTGGGGGGTTCTCCAACATTCGGCTCGCGGGAGGCCGATAGCTCCATCCCGTTGGGCGAAATCCGACCACTCGAGAGAAAGCCGGCTTGAGCGTGTCCAGGTATTCGGACAGGGTATCGGCCCGGATCTCAAACAATGTCTGCATATGGACTTGTGCTTCGCGCGGGTCGCTAGTCAGTAGTGCCGACAGTTCGGGATCTTCTAGACAGGCACATATGCGTTGCTTTTGTGGCGTGGCGAAAATCTTCGAGCCCAAAGCCTTTGCAATTCCCAGACAGATTCGCTCCTTTCCGATACTGTAAGTACCGATCACGACAAGCAGACGGCCCCCGGCAGAAGGTAGTTCCTCCTGTTTGCGATCGCCACCTGTAACTGTGCACAGAAATTTTTTCATCAATCCACCAGCTTTCGTCTGCCCCATGTCAGCTCCAACGCCAGCTTCCTCGTTGAAACGGACGCAGAGTTCAGAGCATGCTGTGATCACTTGGTCTTGGCTAGGAAAGGTATATTTTGGGTTGAGATAGGTCGTGTCAAGATAGCACTTGTCGATTCGTTGCTGGCGTGGCTTGCCAGTGACCGGATTGATGGGTTCGGGGCAGAGTAATGGATGTTTAATATGATCCGGAGAAGCACGAAAGTCTCCACAGTGAAGGATACGTTCCTGTCGAACGTTGGGCCCACTGCCAATGGTTTTTTCGAAGAGAAATAGCGAGCTCCCGGGGCAGTGGTTGGCTGTGATCATGGTGACTTTCACACCACCCGTATTGGGAACTTCTGTAGGAGTCTCAAAATCAATATCAACTAACCACTTCGGGTCCACGCGAAGGTTTTGCCGAACCAAATTGGCTGTCGGTCGGCTGCAATATATGGGTCCATGTGACCACGATCTGGTCAACCCAATATAATGGTCGCTATGGTAGTGGCTGAGGAAGTAGGCGTTGCATCCTTCGACCGCCCCGTATCGGAAGGCATCCACAGTGATCGAGAATCCGTTGAGAATCTTATAGAATGGACAGGTTCGCTGATAGGCCTGCTTTCCACGGGATGATACCTCGCTAGATGCCGCCGCTGCCCATGCTGTGTCTTCGGCGTTGCCTGCCATCATTTTAGAGAATGCAGATCGTGCGCTGCTAGTATTCTGAGAATATGGGTCGCGCTGTGCTGGTCGGTCAATAGCGGCTTTCTCCATTCGCGTCATGCTTTTATTTGGATCAACCGGTGCCGGCGTTGGTATCGTCGGAATTGGGTTCGGCTGTAATGAAACCGCAGGAGACATCGAGGTTGGCTTTCCGTCCAAGCAATCGTTAACATGAATTGAAACTTGCTGTCGAATATTAGCATTAATTCAGAAATCAAACAGCATCAATGCATACTGTCTCATTGAGCCCACCCAGTGCTTTTTGACACACCGGACATTGGACACCATTCGTTTCGTCGTTTATAGAGCCGTTCAGTTCATCGTCAAATTCAATGCTGGGCTGTTCTAGTTCCAGCTCTTCCCAGGGGCGTTCCCTGAACTCCTCTCCTACAAATTCTTCTCCTTCAGAATCGTCAAAACTCGCATGTTCTCTATCTCCAGCATAAGTCGTAGCGTCTCTTACCAATGGCGACTGCGCGGGGTCGGCAGTATCTTCAGGTGGCTCGTCATTGGTAGGAGATGGCATTTCGTGATTCGTATTGAGAGGTAGTGAGTGGATTTCCTCCAGCTCGCGATACTCATCCATATCGCCCTCGCTGTCGGATTCATCGATGAAGGGTCCGCTGTTCGTCGTCTTCGTCGGTACCTTCGCTGTCGGTACCTTTTTTCCCCTCTGAATGTCCATTCGCCACTGGCGTTCCAGAAGGGTCAACCTTCCGTCGCTTCACAGATGAATTTTTCTCATTGTATCGAGTTTCTTCTGTTTCCGAAAACAGACTTTCGTCCCCCCAGATATCATCAGGTGTCCTTGACCGTGTCCGCTCGCTCGTGCCGGTTGCCACCGCAGTTCCTTCGATCTTTATTGGACCCTTCTTATCTTCCATAAACAAACCACCTCCTGTCCCTTTTCCAGGGTTGGGAGGGCCTTGTGATGCTGGAGTTCCACGTCCGGTGCTGGGGGATCGTGATGCAGTGACAAATTGTGTGATGCGTTGCTGGCGTGACGTAGCCCCAGGTGGCGTATCGGTCTTCTGGAAGAAATTGGTGATACTTTTGTCGCGTTTCACGGAAGACGTTTTCGACGAGGGGCCTTTGGATGGCGTGGATGCCTTCCTACCGAAAGGGCCCGCCATGGCCTGGAAAATAAGCCAACCCAGGCCGACGATAACGAATCAAGGACCGAGCGAGAAGCGATCAGCTATGCTGGTCGGCAGTACATTCAGTCTCACGGGAGAGGCAGGTGATATATGTACCAGGGGGTGCTGGTCATCATCGTCTGAGGAAGCGAGTGGCGTCCGATCGAACTCGAAAAGCGAAAGCGCGGGCAGCGCGACGCGAAGTCACGTGTCATTTCTACTCCAAATGGTCTCCACCTTTCTACCAGTAGTACATACTACAATGTCGTGCAAAACGTAAGCGTTGGGTTGGAATAATGAATTGTGATATTCAAGTCATTCAAGAACAGGCAGTGGATTGCAAGGGTATTGGGATGCATAATCAAAGGCAATCAGAGAGACTAGCCGCCACGGGACTCTCCGCGAGTATCGTTTCCAGAGGGCGGGCTATTTGCAACTCAAATCCTTCAATTGTGATCCTATCTGTCTCAAGAGGCCATGATTTGATCGGCAACAGAGCCTGCTCCGCCGTTCAATTCCTGTCTTATCGGTCCTCCGGCCCTATTTTCTTTTCGGGGTGCTCGGTGCAGCCTCCCATCTCCTTAAACCCCCAGCACGAGAACATCACATCGTGAACAAACGTCGAAGCGGCATTAATTGAATTGGTATCGCAGTTTTCAAGGCGTAGCGTTAGAGGTCGTAGTAATTCAGCGAGCTTTGCCGGCCTGGTTGGCAGCCTCTGTGAATGGAATACAACATTAGCGAAACTGCTTCATGAAGCAGGACGAGAACTTCGAGTGAGAGGGTACAATGAGATGCGGAGAACATCTTCAATTTCTCTGCCGATTGATGACCTCTACAAGGATCACATCTCGAATCATCGCATGCGGGGAGTCGACTTACCCCGCCGTGTAGCATCCTCCAGCAACCCAACATCCACCTCCGATCGGGGAAGGATCACATAGCGCACCACGCTACCACGAATGAACATGTTCTTGACGGACGACAGGTGGGGGTACTTGTCCAGATCGAGGACTTCGATGTCATCCAGCTTGATGTTGAGGTACTGGTCGACTGATTTCAGGATACCACGAATGCGGATGTCATTCTTGAGCTCAATCGTAACGGTCTGGTTGGTGAGGGTCTTGAAGAAACTGCAGTTAGTGCAGAGTCAGTGCCGTTCGTGGATGTTGAGTTGTGTGGTGATTCGAGCTGTTAATTACCTGAAGAAAAGCATGATGGCGGAAGTAGGCGCACGGCCGGTATGGGAAGGAATTGAAGAGTTCGAAACCGTGATTGTTGGAAGTGGCGGCAGGTGCTGGCGTAAGTTGCGCTCGCGGCTAATTTGCGGTAGTCGTGAAGCTTCCCTCGTCGAAAGAAGCCGCTGCGAAGGCGGACGGTCATGTGACCTCCATGACTGCGGGTCCCGTTGAAGTTACAACATTAGCACTGAACGGTACCTATTGCGATGTGAGCCCAGATCTCACGCTTTTTCGGCCATAATAATCTCAAAATTACATTATTGTATGTTATTGGGATTTCCAGCGACCACAGAACTAGTTTTTGTCAGATTCGTTATGTTGCACTCTGCTAAAATCAATATGCCGAGAAAATATATATTATACAAGAGGAGTGGTTTGATCGATTCCGACAGGTCATTATTCAATATGGTATTCATGAGAATGATATCTGGAATTTTGACGAAGCTGGCTTCGCAATGGGCCTAGCAAGCACTTCACGTGTAGTCACACGTGCTGAATACTATGGCAAAAGGAAGCTTATACAGCCAGGTAATCGAGAGTGGGTTACAGCGATCGAGTGTATTAACCGATCTAATGTTCTCCCGCCGACTATTATCTTTAAAGGCAAAAACTTCAACTCAGCGTGGTTTACTACTACGCCAAGAGACTGGCGCTTTGAAGTTAGTGCAAATGGCTGGACTACGGATCAAATTAGTCTTGCTTGGCTTGAAAAACACTTTATTCCGCATACTACCAACTGTCGACATGGGGTATGGCGGCTATTAGTGATGGATGGCGACGGAAGCCATGTTACACCTCAATTCGACGATATTTGCCAGCAAAACCAGATTATTCCAATCTGTATGCCTCCGCACTCTTCTCATTTACTTCAACCTCTTGATATTGGCTGTTTTGCTGTTTTAAAACGGCTATACGGACAACACGTTCAGGCTAAGATGCGAAATGGTGTTAATCATATTGATAAGCTTGATTTTCTGGCCTCATATCCTCAGACGCGTACAGAGGCATATAAACCAGCTACGATATCAAATAGCTTCGCCGCTGCAGGCCTTATACCATATGAGCCACAGCGAGTGCTTAATATTCTTGATATTCAGCTTCGAACACCAACCCCTCCAACCAGCCGTGGTAGTGATAGTAGCCGCGATTTCATACCTCACACGCCAATTCATCCAGTTGATATCCGACGGCAGGCTTCTTCAATCAAAGCACTACTACGGCAACGCTCATATACGCCCCCAAGTCCTGCTAAGATTGCGTTACAGCAGCTAATCAAGGGCGGTGAACAAGCAATTCATCAGGTTGCTCTAGTAAGCAATGAGAATGAGCGGTTACGCGCTGAAAATGCCCACCAAAAGCGAAAAAGGGCATTAACAAATCGGTGAATAGCTAATAATGGTGGGATGACTGTTGGTGAGGCTCAGGAGCGTATTGAGAAGGAGGCAAATGGTGTTGAAGCAGAGATCATAGACAATACGGCGGCGGCTGCGGTAGCGAATTCGGCTAATCAGAGAGCGCCGCCGAGGTGTTCAAATTGTTGGAATATAGGGCATAAGAGAACTAGGTGCCCTAATTAGTGTGTGAACAGTGTTAATTGAATATATTGGTTGGTGGTTATTTTATATATATTTTCGTGGTAGGGTAGTTGGGTAGGTGATCCGCTGGCTTACATGATCCACTCGCTTACGGGTTACGTTAAATTTCTCCGACGCGTCACGACTTTCACGATTGCGACGTTGGTTTCATACCCAAGTGCCTCCTGAATACCGTCGACCTTGGATTTTGAGATGGATCTATCTATGTTCTGCCAAAATAATCTTCTCTACACACAGGAGTCTTTATCAAGATACTGTCTTGGAGGTTATCATCCAGTTGATCTTGGAGATACTTTTGGAAATGATCGTTACAAGGTATATCACAAGCTGGGATGGGGTGGGTTTTCCACAGTGTGGCTTGCAAAGGACAGAGAGTCAGTTTACTTCTGGTTTTTCTTCGTTACGGCTAACTAATCCTATATCAGCCGACAACAATGGGTATCGTTGAAGATCATGACCGCAGATACGTCAGCATCGCGAGAGCTGCAAATGTTGAAACATCTGGAGTCGTACTCTCGAAAAGAGCTTTCTTCCAATTATGTTGTTCAGCTGCTTGATGCCTTCACTCATGAAGGCCCGAATGGGGTCCATCAATGTCTTGTATTTGAATTACTTGGGCCTTCAGTTGATAAGGTCCTCTCAGACTACCACGAGAGCCATGAAAGCCTTTGCCCAGAAACCATTTTCCGGATGTCTACACAGCTCTTGAAAGCCATCAGGTTTATTCACAGTGCCGGCATTTGCCATGGAGGTAAGGCCGCTTCTGCTGTAATTGGTCGTGGATTGTTGCCATTTTACTCACATCGTGTTAGATGTCAGTGGCCGGAATATCGCATTTACTTGCTCTCATTTATGGAAGCAAACCGAGGAGCAGCTTTTTGATGTTCTCGGATTCCCGAAACTTGAGCCGCTCACCCGTGTCGATGGTGCACCTTTAGGAAATGGATTACCGACCCAGCTGGTCAAGGCAGCAGATTGGGGTGAGTGGATAGATGAGGACGACGAGGATATTAGAATCCTTGATTTTGGAGAGAGCTTCTTCCAAGGACAGGAGCCTATAAAGCTGGCTCAACCGGGTTCATTAAGGTTACCAGAGACGATTTTCACGGACAGTTTTGATTATCGGGTCGACTTATGGCGCACAGGTTGTATGGTATGTCAACATAACTTCCCGCTGAAGCAAACATACTTACGGCGGTATGATGTGAAGATTTATTTTTTCTTATTCACGACATGGCCATTCTGGTATCTCGGCGAAGATGATGTTTTCATTTTCCAAATGATTGGTTTTGTGGAGAGTTTGCCGGCTGAATGGGAGTCTAAATGGAGATCAATGATGAAGAAGTCTACCCATGATTTGAAGCTAGAAGAAGGTAAACAAACCGATACACGCACAAACAGAGCCGTTACTAAATATGCTCATAGATTACGGAATGTCGAAGCTCGAACGGAAGTTTGCTGGGCTGGCGCCCAATTCAACACTTGAGCCTCTACTTCGTGTGACTCAAGGATTGATGCGTTTCCTACCGTCTAGTCGCTTGACTGCAGAGAACGCACTTGATATGCTGGCCAACGCTGAAAATTAATGGTGGACTGCTAAGAAAAGCTGTGTCATCTAGTACGACAAATGCATTCAACACATAATCAAAACACCAGTATCCAACGCGAACACGCTTGTCTACACCATTTCAATAATGGTATCTCTTTCTTCACGTTCTCGACCCAGTCACGAATATTCTCCACAAAACTTCGGGCAATTCCAGGTTTGATCCCCTTGCCGACAAAAAATCCTGGGTTTTGGTCTTTGTAGATGTGTTCAAGTTCAAAGCCATCTGAAAGCGTCATATCGCACGCTTGTCGGAATTCGGCCTTCAGAGCATCGTCGGCCACATTTGATGCGAGCCACTCGCCGTATTTTTTTGACAGCTACGTCCTTAAGCCCAGGAATATTCAATGAGGCCACTACTTTCAGGCCAGCTGAGGCATCACCCGGAGTTGTCGAACCCAAACCAGTGGGATGGGTCTGGTTGAAATTGATATTAATGGGTGGGTACGGCAACCCACCCCCCATAATAATATTACCACCTTTGCGATTTTCTTTATCCTGTCTCTGCTGCTCCTCCATGTAAAGTTCATCCCGGATCTCGGCTGGGACGTCTTTGTGCGTATTCAGGACACCGCCCTTCTTGACGTAGGTGACCAAACGCCTAAGAGTCTGCGTGCGAAGTCGACAGTGCTTTTTACCTATAGGATCCAGCCAACAGTATGGACCCAAGTGGCATGCAGCCGAATCACATTTCATCAAGTCATAACTCGGCGACAAATTGATTGCTGACCGAGTATCAGCCGGTGCGATGGTCTGCTGCGGTATACCCTTGCAATGGCTCCCCACACGATTCTCGTACCCAGCACTTTCAATGTGTCTCCCCGAGTGTCCCAGAAAGGAATCTTTGCTCTAATAGCATGAATTATCGCATAGTAACTCCAGATGATCGTCGAGGGAGGTAATGGATATGACGTTTATATGAAGGAATCACGAATCGGAACATGGATCGGATAAATGGTTCCAGTTCAGTCACAGAAGCAATGCAATACTTCCTATGAATTTTAAAATAGCGACTTGGGGCAGTCCCATATACGAGGTATGTGTTTGGCAGTAACTTTCGGCATTGCAACCATCACTATGTATCAAGATTGAGATGCATGTTAATGTTTAATCCAGGAGTTCAAAGACGGATTCATGAGGATCCCCTAAGTAAAAAATTCACCAGCGACTGAAGATAGCGTATGAAAAGGAGTTTTGGAAACTATTAGTTCAAAGTACGAGGACTCTGTTGCCGCCAAGTCTCAACCGTTATTAAAACGTAGAACGCACTGTTCAACAATATCAACGTTCGTTTTGATGACCTCTCTATTCAACAATGTAGCAAACAGAAAAGTTCCTGTGGGTAGATCGAACCTCTTTTTGACTGGGGCCGATCTTTCGGCTAGTTTCAATTAATCCATATTACATTCAATATGATCATCCCTCTGCTCAGTGAGCACCGAGTCATGCTCAGCGAGCAGCTCGCCGATCAGATTATAGCACTTTTTCTACAGTAAATTGCCCTGGGTAATACGAGAAAATTTCGTCACCCTGGAGAACATAAGAGGTAAGCCTCATTGGCTAATTTAGAGGGCTCGGGTCGAATCTAGGTAATTTTTTATGCCTGTCTTGATTACAAAATCCCGTGGGAGAAGTCTCAAAGCTGGAAGTAGATTCCACAGGGCCAGCCCACAAATTGACTTTTTTATACTAACATCTACAATTCTTACCGGTGGTCGAACCAGAAAGAATACTAGCAACAACATGGTAGACATCCGGGAGAGAAAATCGTGGCAAGCGTGAGAACTAGCTGTATGTATGTGTAAAGCAGCCAACTCAGCGCCGATATTTCATTGCTAGAGTTTTCTGCCAGTGCTGGACACATTTCTGTGAGGTATGGCACCGGCTTTGGCGTAGATATGCCTAGAGATCAAAGGTACATGAGAGTTACAGTATCGCCCAAGCTGTAGCTTCTCTGCTCGTGCTCGGATGGCACGCCGGCTTCGAAAGACACCCTCATTTTCGAGGGGACGCTCGCTTCGGAGAGCAATAGTCGCTTTGGACGCCATGTTCGCTTCGGAGGTCACGCTCGCTTCTAGCAGGGATGAGCTGAATGAGTATGAGGCCTTGGATTGTTTTCTCGCTGAATATCAATTTCAATATTGAGATTTCACTTGAGAAAATATCTCAACGCCTTCACTGTGTTCCATATTAGGAAACCCAATGGTACTGTTGGTATCACCAGCTAGGTACTGTGTACACAGTTAAGTGGACAGTGTGTATGCTTCCAAAGCAAAAGTCAATTGATTCATGGAGATAGATGTTGATGCTCAGTTTAGTTGGAAAACACCCCTAGATCCCACACGCCGGCCTTCGGCGGTCACAACACCGGGGCCGCAGCCCAGCGCAAGAATGCGTACACCAAGCAAGGGATGTTATCCATCGGTCGCTAACAGTGGGTCAGCTAGTTTGTTCTCACAGGAGGATATATCCCGACAGTGTTATATTCGACCATTAATCTATTGATCTACAGCCCTCACGTCCCATTGGCCACTTGGGAGTTGGAGTGATGCCTGGTGAGCCGATAGATTTTTGAACCTATTATCAATGTAAATGATGGTACGGTCATAGCCGCAGTTGGAAAGAAGGCCGAAGTGTACTTATAATCATATGTCGGCAAGAAAAATGGAGAACGACGATAATCTCTTCAAGAAACAAGGGCCGCTCATTCTCTAATTTGGGGTTCAATAGGTTTTGATAATAGGGATTGCCGTTGCCATAGCCTAACGTCATTTGGGATATATTAGCAATGGTTACTCCCGGGGAATCAATTTTTGCAGGGCTGTCGCAAGAGGTTTTCCTGCCCGGATGTAACAAAATGTCACAATGGTATCCAGTCGGCCCATCCTTCTCTGTGCCGTATATCGTGGACAAAAAGTTGTGTACCATATCAGGGTTGGAAATCGAATCGCGATTAGAGAGAGTAGGTGAAAAGGTACTATCCATTAGTCCCGACATTCTTCAATATTAACGGCATCAAGCTGGGCGTCTCGGTCAGCGGATCTTCGCTTAATGACCGAAGTTTCTCTCTTTTGCCTCTCCTCAGCAGCGGGGTGCTGTCTTCGATGTAGTTCACATTTCAAGCCGGAGCTTCTTACTCTAGCGATATAGCCTGGCCCACATCAGAGGCTGCTTTTCTGATACTCTCGAGAAGTGACATTTCCTTCAAAACGGCCAGTATTACCTAGAACCAATATAGGGCTTGAGCACATACGAAGCCAAAAGGTGATCGGAGGCATCGACCTCCTCTTCACGAGAGGAAGTCTTACCCCGGACACGCAAAGTCATCCCAACGGCCAAACACACAACAACAACGACAAGCTCCTCCAAGACAGACATCACTAGCTGCACAGTGACATTTCCGTTGAACAAACTAAAGTCAGGGTTGCGTGAGAACCACATGACTACCGAATAGAGGATGCGGACAAGAAGAAAGGGCGCCGAAATGCCCACGGCCACTATGTTGCGGTGCTCGCCCTTCTCGAGAGAGTCGCGCTGCCATACAAGAACAACCAAGAAGAGGCACATTACCATCCACGAGACAAAGAATAAAATCACGCCGACTTTAATCTTGATGTCGGGATTTTGCATAGCCTGAGGGGACATGTCGGCCGTGATGCCGGCAACAGTGAGCGCTAGACAGGTGATTGTCAAACAGTGGAAGAAGTAGAAGGCGAAATGGGGTAGTGGCTGACGGCCGGTGGTATTTCTGACGGACAGATTACTAGACGTTCGTGAGTATTTCATAGTTCATAATCAACGAACATGGATCAATGGTAAAACTTACGCCCGCGAGAGGAGTCCTGTACATGCTAGGAGCAACGGAGACAATCCAATAGAGCTGCAAACTGCGGAAGCAACATATAGGCCCATTGCGGTCGGGTTGTTTATTGTTGCGAGATCGCAGCATGTGCCCACGACACGTGCCTGGGCGAAAACATTAAGGAAGAAAAAGCCGCTGCTTCTGCGTAGACCGTGACGAAACACAAGGAAGGCGGATAAGAAGAAGACAGGGAGGTAGACAATCAACTGGAGTATAGAAATGCCATTGTGGTATGTGACGGCCATGGTGAAATGTTTGGTTGGTTGGTTATTTGCCAGTTCGATTGTTGATTCAAGTGTAAAACCAAATGCACTTGACTGATGATATCAAGCAATGGAAAAGACTGACATTTTCTAATCATCGAACCACCCAAAACAAAAATAAGTGTGGATATTTGCCGTGAGTGTGGAAAATTTTCTGCTTCGCCCATTCAGAGATTCTGGTGTGCTGGCATAGCCTCATATCTCGTATTTTGGTCTTGGCGAACGGCTGAGGCGGGATGCATATGTTCAGCCTTACATTAACTGAGTTTAAATGCCGATCCATTCCCCGCATTTCCCATCTCGAGATGAGAGAAATCTGCTCATTGAATGCCAACTAGGAACGAATCAATGAGTGAGTTAGGATGAGTGACACATTTACGACAGAACTCCAACAATATGAATACTTCGAATCCGTGATCCTTATGTTGATCGCCATATGTCTCGTATGACGATCAATACTTCTTTGGAAGCATGGGGCTGTGCCTCGTACTCGCGGTTTGGTGCTTGATTTAGGCATAAAGAGTGGAGATTTTATTTTATATCTGCCACACTCTAAACCTTTTTGCTATAAACTGCCGACTTGGCAAGAGGGAAAATTCCATGTCTCCAACGAAGGGTGAGTGAACTTTGTTATTAGTGGTTGAAGAGGCTCTCCTCTCCTATGCAGCCTCCGACATTACTTGGCACCTCACTGTCAACCTTGAACGAATCCTTACTTCTCTTTTCTGGGTAATTGATACGACTCTTCATTGTGGATAGGGCAATATGCGGTCTAGTGTCCGTTGATGGCTCCACTTTTAATTATGATCTCCTGGTCTAAACCCTGTTCTCCAAGAAGCATCGGACTTCCGAGGAGATAAAGCATTTGGATCTCGCACTTGAAGGAAGTGTCGTTATTTTTTTTATTCTTGTGGAGCTTCTCAGGTATTTATTCTGTTGCTTCTTGTCGTCAAATTACCATTCGAGAATCACAATGTCTGCAACAGGACCTGGTCACGTCCTCAACGCTTCTGCCCCAGCTCCAGATCAGAAAAGTGCTCCTATCACCTCCCTACAACTCTATCGCCGGCTTTTCCAGGGGCGCAAACACCTGTTTGCCCCCTCTGACATATCATCGGCCCATTACTTCATCGAGAACCCCGTCCCTCATAAACATCATGGCTCCTGGAAACCAATCTTTCACCGAGGAGATAACCCGAAGTACTCTCCTACAACAACAGTGATTGGGCGTGCCCGCCGGACAGCCATGTGGAGCTCGTTCCGTCTGTGGTTGGGCGATGGTGTACGAGAGGTGTTGGAGAACGAGAAGCGTGCGAAAACCAAAAAAAAAGCGGCCAGGAAAGCTAAGTGCAGGAATATATTTGGCTTAAAGCCGAAACCGCCGAAAGAGCCACTGGAAGAAGAGCAGCAAGTCCTTGGAAAGGTTGTGCTTGTTGAGATGCGCAGAAAAGGGCTATTCACTCGCAAGTTTGAATGGGAGGTGGATGGGGTGCAGTACCGATGGTCCGGAACGAGGATGTTCGCAACTGGACCGATGAAAGGTGTAAAGGGGTGGACCCACGACTTGAAGGTAAGCCTTCTAGAAATTGGTGTTTTGAACGCTGATCTCGTCGATATGTTCCAGCTGACTCTCGATGCTTTCATAGCTGGTTCGAAAATCCGATAATGCTCTTATTGCGACTTTTGAAAAAGGTCGTTGGGCCTCATATTCCAAATCAATAAGATCTGGAGGTCCTCCGAACAAAAAGAAGCAGCTGATTGGCAAACTCCAAGTGAATATTCCATCAGGCACAACTTCAAATATCACTGTACCTCTCAACGGACCAAATCACTCTGCATTGTCTAATATCACAAGCCGAATTGATGATGTCATCACCGGGACACATAAGACGGACGACCGAGAGCTGAACATCCATGGATCCCATGCTGGCAACCTCACGGTGGACGCGATTGCACTGACATGCTGGACTGTCGTGGAGGCCGAACATCGACTTCGATATAAAATTCTGGATATTCTTGAAGAGATTGGGGAGAGTGCTGGAGGTTGAAGAACTTATTGACCATCGTTCTGGTGATACTGTATGTAAGAGAGAGACTTCGTGTCGAAATCGAATTAGAGGTTCATTTGAATGAACATTTTATTGCCACTGTAATGTGCTCCCATGATTGAAACTGCCAAAGAAAAGATTATGTACTATCATTGTATTGAATATTCCCGGGAGCTCGCAGCCTCGTTTTATTATTCTCAAAGTAGAGACAAGATGGCTCTGAAACTCTACAGGAAAGAGTGGTGCCCAGCAGAGTCTGCTGAGAAGCTGGTGAACAGAAATAAAACAGGGAATCAGTGAGCATGAATGAATGTCTTGACGGAGAACCCGACCATGGAGGTTGCAGCAACCGGTTGACAGAATCTTGGATGGTTTAGCGTTACCATAGTGAATATAGTGGTGTGCTTTGATTAGCGAGCTGTCAAATTAGGGAAACCTGGGAGAATAAAGATCTCAAAGAAAAGATATATCAAAAAAAGAAGCTAAAAGTGAGGGAAATAGGTGGCTATTTATATTCAAGATTGTATCGGCATCTTCGTGCATCGCATCGAAGTCCGCAACCCGAAAACGAGATGTGATCAAAGCATCAAGGAACATCGTGTTAGTTTAAATTGAGATCTCGGTGAACTAGAGATGCATTGCCATTGTGAATGAATGAAACAACAATAGAGAGCGAGTCCATGCCATATTCATTTCTTATACAGAATGAAGGATCGTGGTCGTCAGGGGATAAGCTCGAGAGTAAGACGCTGGAGAGTACAAGCAATGTGAAAATAGGTCATTTCTTGGCCTGAGCTCCCAGGGACACCCGCAGGCACCAGAGCGCTTATCGTCGAAAGAAGTTAAACAAGGAAAGGAGGGCTGATGTCGGCCAGCCGGAGCATCGGGGGTTGAGCGATCAGGCTGCTCCTTGAGCGACCTCGAGCGCTCCCGGAGTGCTCCCAGATCTGCTACCGGAGCACCTTGATCGCTCACCCCTGATGCTACGACAGGCCGACATCAGCCCTCCTTTCCTTGTTTAACTTCTTTCGACGATAAGCGCTTTGCTACCTCAGTCGCTCCTAGGTGCTCGAGGGAAGACATGCCCTGATCTCCCACTATTGTTTCCCGCGCTTGCTCACTTGAGCTTAGAGCGGCACTATCCGCAAGACGATAACGATAATCGATTATCGGCCGATAATCTGCGGATAACGATACCAATTCATTATCCAACTATCCGCAGTTTGTGGATAATGATAGTTCATTTTCTCCCTGCGGATATCGTACAATATCTAGTGGATAATAAATATGACCGTGGGTTAAGGGGCCAGATACCTGTGGTAGTTGAGATAAATGTGGCGGGGTTCGGATGATCGTTTGGATGAACCTAACACCGACACTCCGGTTCATCTGGGGTTTGATCCCGCAGATGACGGAACGAATGAACTAAAAACCCGGTGATCCACACAGGATATCATGTGTTGAATAATGTAATATTCCGATAAAGTGGCAACGGCCCGATCGGGCCCATTCAGCTAGCCATAACATCGGTCCTTACTGGGCCATCCATAAATTACTGATTACATATTGAAGAGGGGAACGCTCGATGGCTGCACGCGCTGAGACGTGCGGGTCGATTCAGCAGAAAAACCACCACAAAACACACGCGTAGCAATCAGGAAACAGCGAGAAGCCCAAATGTAGGGGTCAGGTCGGGGAGGTGTAAGAAGGTGTATTCTAGAACTAGCTATCCGGCCACTGTATACTGCAGGCTATGTCACATAGTCTGGATGGCACCCATGTAGTAGGGGGAGGGGGTCTCCCCACTACAATATTTATTACGAGCCCTCGCTATAAAAGCTCGATTACGGTTTAGTTCCAAAACTTTCCCACTGGTGAATCGGGCTTAGTAGGCAGTACCACGGGTGCGTCAGCGAGGTTGCCAGATTTAGAAGTTAGCTTCACGGCGTCCCCCATCCATCCATCCACCAGTTTCCTTTCTTCATCCGCCTTCCAATCATTCACACACCATTCATTCGACACCATTTTCTGTGCCGAGTTCGCAATGGCCACTACAGTACGACTGGCCCGTTCGACCTCCCGGGGATCGGACTTTGAACTTGCATACGCATCCCCAATCATTCTCGAGGCCAAAGGCACAGATCGGCGAAGCATCGAACGACACAACAGCAAGAAGCACCGCCCAAGGTCCATACATGACGAAGAAGGAAAGATTGGCAATGACGGCCGCAAGCGGCGATCCCAGGGAAGCAGTGATGATGAAGGAAAGCTGACTGAAGACGGCTTTTCCAACGAGGATCTGCGAGTAGGAGGTCCTTATCTCTGCTCCATCCCACTTTCGACAACCCATATCCCCGAGACAAATCCACTTTCGTCGCTATTTGTGCGAAAGTCCTCCAACGGTCAGGATCTTGGAACACGCATCTCTAGCATACTTAACAACACAAATATCCGGATATACTCTAGCTGGGTACGCGGCGAGTCGATAGAGCTCTGCCTCCGACAGTCAGAATTCAACCCAGAGCCGCATCCCGTCCCAACTATCGTCATCACAGCAACTCGCCAAGTTATTGACGACACCTGGCTCCAAGCAGTCCGACAGATCTACACCTTACTATGCGAAGAGAATCTCGCACATGTCTCGGTCGAGATCGATGATCCCCAAGCAGTCGATCCACCTCACACCTCCCCCATTCAACCAGATGACGAAATTTATCGCCACTGGGACCCTGTGCTCGCGAAAATACTGGAAAGTATTGAACTTCGGGATATTCTCACTATCGGATGTTACCGGCGCGGAAGAAGTTCAGAAACCTCAGAGAATGCCCCAACAGTCCTTGTGATGGTAGACGTTAACAGCCGTAAAAGCTGGAAGGCTACAAGAGACTCGATCGCCAAAATTCTGACTGACTTTTCTCTGCCTATGGTTGCAGTTGAGATTGTCAAGGACAGAATCAATTTGCTCCATCGAGAAACAGGATTTAAAGAGGAAATTCTGGGTGCTCATGCAATTCCTGGAGGACCTATCGCAGCGCTGAAGAAAAAAAACGCATCTGAAACCATTGGGGGGTTCATTGAGCTTCAAGACCAAACGGAGGGTACCTGGCTCCGGTTTGCATTAACGTGTTTCCATGTTATCGATCTCGACGATCGGGACATAGTTGGAAGTCAAGATCTTGCAGGTGAATAATGAAAACATGCAAAAGTCTTTCTAATCCATACTAACTCGGTTAATAGCCATCAAGGACTGGCGGCGAAGCGGCATCCCCATCTACCGATACAAAAAGTCACCAAGGGAATTCGCAGTGCTTGCTCGAAACATGAAAGTCAGTCATCCAAGTCTGCTTGCCAAAAATGAACAAGACAACCTTTCTCATGGACTGATTAGAAACATCAAAGCATCTTCGACTTATCAACAAGCATTGACGTTACGTGATGAAGGATTTTTTGATGAGCTTAGCCACCATAAAAAGGAGAGATTCCATTTATTACAACAGAAAATCAATAAGTCTGAAGCCAATCTTGACCGCGCCGCAAAGTTCTTTGAGCAATCACAAAATGTCCTCGGCACTGTTTCCGCTGGTTCAGGATTCAGAACTATTGAGCGCCACACCAGTGAAGATAAAGGCTACCCCACTGAAGTCGACTGGGCGATCATCAGTATCGATAGACATTGGTCAGTTTCAAATAAAGTGAGTTTCTCCTCCAGTTGACAAAACAGTCTGAATAATAATTTCTAACAAGATATAGCTTGACAATGAGACTGGTCTTTGGGAATTGGCCTCTGCGAAAGACCTTCGAGACCTCGAAACCGGTCCTGATCAAAACCGCGAACTACAATTTCAAGGGTATCGTTCTGGGCGTCGTCAAGTCCTATACAGTGGCCTCAAAGTGGCGAAAATCAGACCAAAGTCTGAGGGAGAGACGGAAGAACCTAAGTCGCTACAGTACAGTGTATGTGGAAATGACAGCAGCCCTCCTGCGACCTTTGGCGATTCGGGGTCTTTACTTTTCAGGTCTATTGGGCAGGATGTAGTTGGAATGATTTTTGCCGGCGCGGAAATAAACAAGATTGCCTATTTCACGCGCATTGACGACCTTCGCGAAGATATCATGAAACAGACCCGTGCAAAAGATTTTCGGATGCACAATGCATGATTTTCAGGGATAGATGATGATGGTGCTCGCTCCCAGTTCAGTTGCACGTTATTCGTTTGATTCTCTTTTCATTTAATACCTATTCGACAGGGAATACTTTAATTTCAGTGTTATGCAGTCTTCCATGCTATCACTGAAATAGCAAACTTGAAAGGATGTGAAATGAAAAGTTAGCGCTTGCAGGAGCAATCTGGGAGTAAACGATAAGACTGGTTTGATTTCAATCATGTGATGTATGGATGACTAATGAATTGGTAAAATGAACGCCTAAACTGGCGTCGAATGTAGCCATTTTCGGCGCTTAATTTACCGTCACTTAGCGTTGGGGTATAAAAGAGACCACGGCAACAAAAATAATTACAACTACGGATCCTACAAAAGCGAAAATATTGGCATCTCTCATCTCGCATTACATTAAGCGCCACTCGGGCAAAAGTAGCTAGGGTATCAACATCAACGCCCGCATCAACCATTGTTTGTCACCTTAGTGGTGAACAACACGTCTGCGCCTCGGCTTCATCGCCCATCCAGACAAACAGGTCCAGCCTGCACCAGTCTTCCGTCCTTCATCAAACATAGCACCAAGTCCCTCAAGGAGCTTGGCCCGATCGCGACCCATCTCCATCCGCAACTGAACAAACCACTGCTCCCACATCCATCCACCAAGAACTCCTGTAATACTCGCGATATCCCCAGTACTACCAACTGGTCCCTGAACCGCTTCATAATCCTCAATTTGACTGTGCACCCGTGGAGCTGGTGTCTCGCGTGGAGGCTGCGTCTCCACGGGCTCCATGCCCATGGGAAGGAACATCCAGGCACGCTTGATGTCGACAAAGCCGCCGGCGCGCAACCGAGAGAGGAAGCTCTTGGATGCGACAGGATCGTAACCACGAGTGCGGAGGTTGAATGCGAACTCCACAGAAGAAGCGGTTGCCAGTGGGCCGGCGTGCGAGATCTCCGCATCCAGGAGCATGAACTCAAGGTAACCACCAGGCTTAAGGCAGCGACGGCACTCCTTCAGGACGAGGTCATACTCATCTCGGTCGAGACTGGTGGGGCACTCACTCTTCAACAGAGCATGCAAAGAGCGTGTGGTGATGACATCGAATTGATTGTTCTTGAATGGCAGCTCCCAGAGGTTCGACACGGAAACTGTTCTGTGATTTCGAGGTCCTTTTATCCCATTGTTCTTGACTTGGCTACCCTTAATGACTGAGTAGACCTTTGCATCAGGGAATTCATGAGCAGCATGCCATGCCCACTCACAGGCGGCGTGGCCACCAAGATCCAGGATACGGATCGGCTTCCGCTTCTGGTCATCCTGAGGATTGGAAGATTGCAGTGTCCGTGAAATACGCTTGCCAGCTGGGCTTGTGAGCAACTTGCCACCATTGAGCGATCGTAGAGCATCCATTGCCCACATGGGCTGGCACAGCTGGGACAGAACGAGCTGCTCCTTCTCGAGCTTGGAGAATTGGGCCTTCTCGGCAAGATCCGAGGTGATAATTGAGTTGCGCGGTGCCTTGGAGAATGGTCCTTTATACGCCGGTCGCTCTGGGCGGACAAGCTCATACTTGCCTGTCAGACAGTTGATGTGCATATCAACCATCCCAATCCTGAAAGACTGAATCGCGTCGAAGCGCATGTTGCGATGAAGGAAGCCGTCGGTCTTATCAGCGCGTTGCCGGATGGACTGGAAACCTCGCCAGTAGATAGAGTCCTTGCTAGCAAGAATTGGAGGACAGGGGCTGATGGCTTCAGGGACACCTTCGGCAAACCGAACTGCCTTCTTGGCACCAGCATCATCATGCTCCAAGAGCTCTTCCTCTCCAGTATCAGTGACTTCAGCTGCTGAATCAATCTCATTGATGGGGTTGGTCTCGTTCAAAGCAGCCATGTAGGACGCCTGGGCAGCAAGCCAGATACTGGTTCGGTCAAGGCTGCCGGCAGCACGTTCCTGCAGTTCCTGATCGTAGCATTCATCATACTCATAAATATTTCCAGATCGGGGAATCTCCTGGACAGCATCAAAAGCCACACTGATGGGGCTCTCCTGGCGAGTCGCGTGTTGAGACTGAGTGGGGGTGTCACATGGAATCCGAACGGCAGTTGGAGGACCATCACGGATTGCGGTGTCTGGATCTTCCTCATCCGGACGTCCACGCCATTCGATTACTTGCTCGACTACCTCTCCTTGATCTTGACGCCAGGGCAGATTGTAGAAACCTTCCGCGGTGGCCGAGTTTGGGACGTGATTGTGATTCGGGATAGACCAGGTATGGCGGGCACGCGGACCCAGAGAGGCAAAGAAACCCCCAGGCGATGGGATGCTCAGGTCACTGAAGCTGTAGCTAGACAATTCTGATGCAGGCGTGGCACCTTCGGCGCTTCGTGGGCGACTGGGAGGTGCTTGCAGCTGCCACATCTCTCCATTGCTCGAGGAGGTCTCAGACCATGCCTCTGGTGTGCCGTTGAGGGGAATGTGCTGGAGCATGGCCAGAGCGCCATCGGGCAGGAACAAGCCGCCATCGGAGGGAGTCGGTTCTCGGGACAGTTCATCGCCATCTTGCTGGTGGAGAGTCGAGGGAATCTGAGGGAAACGGCCGAGGACATGGCGCCAGTCCTCATGGGTATTCTCCAGGGCGATTGGCACTTCTTCGAGATTGGGACTGGATTCTTCATTGCCTAGGTCTCCGCGCTCGCTTCCATCTAGATCTGGTCGAACATGGATATCATGGGCATCCCAGTTGGTGTCCGGAAGGGAGTGGGTATCTGGCGTAGCGAGCGCACTGAGGTTGGATTCCTGGTCGGAGGATATACTGCCATCAAGTGAGGGCGGCGCATGCGACGCAGGCACAGACCGGGCGAGCATCGAAAGAGCCGCGGGTGAAACGGGGATCTTGGGTGGAGGGGTCGGTGGGATGGGCGAGCTCTTGCAGGCTCCATTCATAGAGAGCCGCACGCTGGGCGATGGGATGTCGAGGGTCAGGCCACGCTTGCGAGTACTCCCCGTGGAGGTGAGGGAGTTCCTTGTTATTGGTGTCACAAGGCTCCCAGGCCTTGTATTTGGCGCGGAGAAGCAGCTGTCACTCAAGCTGACATCGGTCGAGTAGTCATCATCCATATCTTCATCCTCCGTGGCATCGTACAGATCGTCGAATCCCTGCATCTGCTGCTGCCATTCCGTATCCGAGCACGAGGAAGTCGTCCCTGCCGACAGAGGCGACATCAGGCGGGCGAGTCGCGCATTCTTCGGGGTTTGAAGACCACTCGTCTTCAGGGTCAGCTTGGGGCTGATGACGGGTTTGGCTGTGTGTGGTGGGCTACCAGCGCCCTTTTCCGCGAGCGATTCGCGGTTGTCTTCGATTATGGTATTAAGCACCGTCCCTCGGGCCTGCCGGAGGGGCGGACATCGCGGTGGGCGCAAAAAGTCTGTCATTGTGTCCACTGTGATGGAAATGTGACAAGAGAAACAAAAAAGAAAGAGACGCCAAGTCGAGAGCGTGAGCGTGTAGCGGCAGGCTCTATGGGTATCGCAGGCGAGTAGGAGAATGCATCGACACCGATCAACGGGTCTCGAGATAGATGACTAGGAAGAGCGAAAAGAAAACAAAAAGGAAATGCTACAGCTACCAGAGCATGAAGCACACGAATGAATATGACGAAAAGAAAGACGCGAACTCCGGCTCAGTGGTCCCGGCTGTTAGAATGGTCTATATAATCGAGTGGGCGCGTATCTGGCTCCGGGGGATGTGCAGTGCAAAGGGCCGATCCCTGTTCATGACCAGCCGGTGGAGCTACTGCAGGTTTGGGCACCACTAGCTCGTCATATCTGCTGAGGATGGGGCCACACTTGGGGTGACCTGGATGGCGATTGGTGTAGCCGGCGAATGGGCGCCTCGCCTGGGGTGAAGTTCTCGTCAGAGACTCATGCGCAGCAAATTTGGTCGAGTGGGAACTCGTCGGGAACACTCAGGCACCGCATGGTGGGAGCAATTAATGCGGTCGTGAGCAAATGAGAAGTCGTGGAGGTGTGACGAACTGCTTGGCGGTCGCAGGGGGAGTTGTGAAGAGGGCGGTGATTGGCACCGCCTACGCGCCCGCCTCAGCTATCTTTAGTGGCTGCGATGGCCGTGTGACCGCAATATCTCCTCTTGCGGACATCTCCCTCAACAGATTCACGACTAATTATGCGACATGACGCACATTTCCGACAAAACCAGAGGCTGGGAGAGGGGTTTCAGGACATGCCTCCAATCAGCAGAGCGATGGCCGGGGAAACTACAGCAAGGGTTGCAGACTTAGCCAGAATTAATTATAGAAATCCATGCTAATTGACCCAAAGCGGGGATAATGGGAACGCACGACCTGTGTGCCCTATGTGACCATCATGGGGGAGTATACTCCGTTGAGAAGACATCATCGCGCAGTGACTCACGCTGGGAGGGACCAAGGCGCATCGAGCATGGCTCGGATTGGCTGCACGGAATTCAACCAAACCACTTGATTATGGTCAATTTCGTGATTCGTGGTTTTTGGGACCAGAGTGACATTTGAGAGCACTATCGCCAAGGATATTCCGACCGAAAGGCATGGCGACGTGAGAAATTTGCTCCCTTATAGGTTGTGCAATAGATTGTGATCACCACGAAGCCACTGGCCATGAACCTGATAGTTCGCGATTTCGAAACATCCCCGACTGTCTACCATCGAATATGCGCCCGAGAGGGGTAACAGTGTGCCCTAACACTTGAAGGTATGTGTATGTTTCAATCGTTAATCTGTAACTCAAGAATGTGCAGGATGGTTTCTTGATGCGACCTTGATGCATACCACAGCGGAGCATAGTCCATTTGCATGACCAGTCCAAAGATTGGAAACCCAAAGGAAATGAATCATATATCAAATTAAACCAACCAAATGAGTGAGCAGGCAAAAGGACATTGAGAGGAGTAGAGATAAGATGAGCAAAAAAGGGAGCATAAACGGAACACCTGAAGACAGACACAGACTAGCATTTGACCAGCCCCTGCACCTTGACCGGCATCCATGATACCATCGAACAGTGGGCGCCGACTGCCACAAAAACCGCATTACCCCCATCCCGGATATTATCGGTCCGTTTGAATTGTTCCTCCGTGTCGCCGACAAGCACATCGCGTAGTAAAACGAGGTCATCTCCACCATGGCTTCCATTACCCTTGGCGACCTGCACCTCATAGGGATTTTTGAACAGGGGGTGGACGGTGCGGTCGTCTTTTCAACTTTTCACCATCTCCTTGTACATAGTTCCCTTTCTTTCGTCATCCCCATCTTCTCGAGCCGTCTCCCCGACAGCCGAATAGCCGCCCTCGACAGCCGTGGCCTCCATCCGGCCTTTTCTTCCATTCAAAACACAGCGCTATCCTTCCCATGGCGCGTATGCGTGTATGTCATGGCAACGCAATTCTTGTACTTGATAACCATGGAAAGGATATCCTCGATCGTGATCCCTTCGACAAAGCAGTTGCGGTCGCGCATATAGCCGTCTTCGTGCTCAAGCATCCAAGTAGAGTATCTTCATCTTGGAGCTGTTTTCGAGGTGAATAGCGAATAGATTGTTTTTTGTTTCTTTGTTATTCAACGAACTTTCGGCCAGGTTCTTCTCTCCGCGCCGCTCGGCAATCTCTGGCATTGAATCGAAGGTCACCAACACAGTAAACCGAGATAGGCTCCGTATCTAGCCAGAAAGGAATCAGATCAAAGTAGCGAATCGACTTGTGCATCTGATACCGCCGCTATTCTCTTTGTTCGCGATGCCAGCGACGCATCAAGTCGGACCCATGGATACAATCCAGAATCCAGTCCATATGAACCGTGGCAATCTCACCGATCAGGCCAGAATCAATGACCTCGCGGATCTTTGGTATGATAAGGCGAATGGCGATAGTTGAAAAACACACGCACCTGCTTCCCAGTCCTTTTTTCAGCATCAGTCATGAGTTGGAGCTTCTCGTCGTCGATAGTCATTGGTTTCACGGTAATGACATCGCAACCTAGTTCCATCGCACGGATGCAGTAGACATGGTGAAAACGGTCGATCGTGGTGACGATGACAACCTCCGATTTCTCTTGAGCGACCATTTGATCGACGTGTAGGTTGGCACAGGCCGTCCTAAGTTCAGCGATGCGATCATTGGCGGCATTCATACGTGTCTGGTTTGTATCGCAGTGCAACGATCTCAGCAACATCTTTGAAATCTTGATGATTTGATAGCAGAACTCCGCGAGAACCCCCGGTGCCTACAATGGCATACATTTTAAAGAGAGCGGAGACGGTCATGGCGATTTGGTCGATGACATCCTTGCTTCAAACTTGGCTGATCACGGATGATAATATTCATGAGATCAAAGGATGGGGAAATGACACCCTAAAGTGATGCAGTAGTTCAGATGGTTTATATATTCAGATCGGCTCATGCAACAGACATTTGAATCCGCGCCTGTATCCCATCTGCGACTGCATTAATCTAATCATTTGATCCTCGCTCCTTCATCGTTCCAGCGAGTGTCGGATGACATGTACCAAGTCGTTCTGTTCTGGGAATATCTAGAAGGTATCCCGCGGGGGCGAAAGACGAGCCACCTGTTTGGTTTAGCCATAATTGCTCCTAAAACCTCGAGAGAACGACCAGATGCGACCCTGGACTCCCCAATCAGCAGTGTCCAAACCGGGGTCGGGGCACGGCCCATGGGCTAAGGACCCGTCCGGGGCTTCAGCTGAAGAGCCAAGGTGTAGAGGAGGGCAAAATAGTTGGTCACTTGTACCTGCGAATTGATCCATTAGCATGGATATTACAACCAGATTTGTGTTCTTTCAAATACACAGACCAGTGTTTCATTTTCAGTCTTTCGCTTTTCGCTCTCGGTTATAATGACAGATTCAGCTTTTGCATAGCAAGCTTTGCACCCCATCCATTACTTCTGCTCCATCCACTTTTGCAGAACAGCAGCGACTTGCAAACTGTTCTTCTCCATGAAAACCATATGTCCATTTCCATGAATACCGATATCCGCAAGTTGGAGATGTTGCGCCGGGACGCCAGCCTGCTGTAAGAACCGGACTGTGCACCAGTCATATGGCGCGTGGTAGGATGATTCCGTCGTCATAACCAAGACCGGCACATTGGCAAGATTAACGAGCTGTCTCGGAGCGGGAGAATCGGCCTGTATCACACAATCCGAGTACAGCGATGAGTTGGACGGAATGACGTGCTTCACGAGGTCGGCCGAATCAGCCAAGGCGGGCGAGTAGGTGATGGGGATATCGGTTAGTCCGTAGGCGCGTGTGGAAGAGTTGCTGAAGACGGCATCCTGAAACGGAGGGCCGGTGGGTTCGATGGAGACGATGGAGTGGACGAGCTTTGGGCGCACATCAGCAATGAGCCAGGGCATCAATCCGCCCTGGGAGTGCGAGAGGAGGATGACTGGGGATCCGATGGTGTCGAGCAAGGCGGCACCGGCGGCCTGGACAGTCGACTGTTGATAGGTTGATGAACTGAGAAACTCGACGGTTGAGGAATAGTAGGTGTCGAAGTTGGGGTCGCCCATGACGCCCGTGCCGTTCCACTGGGTGTGCAAAGACGCCTGCGGCCAGAGGTTGTATCGTTTCGGTGCGGTGAAACGTTGCTGCAACAGCTCGGCGCTGTATGTACTCAGTGTGCCATTACCAGGGAACCAGGCACTGCGGCCGCGAAAGGTTTGGTCGATGATATAGCAAGCGTATCCTTCGGAGAGGAAGTACGACGCCCAGCCCTCTCCGCCGTCGGGCTTGTTCAGCCAATTCTGCCACCATTGATTAGTCTCACCATCTCATCGTGGGAGGGAGTTGAATGATACATACGGTGCCTGTTTGAGCTTGTCCATGGATGAAGACAATGGGATAAGGCTTGGTTACCCCCGCGGCCGGGGTCAGCCTTTCCACGTACATCTGATCCGCGAAAACATGCTCGCCAGCGCTATTCTCGATATACTGTCCTCCCACATACATGTACGATCGCTGAGCTGGCACCTCACCGCGCCAGCTTGCAGCCGTCGCGGCAATCGCCCAGCCGATCAATAAAAGCCCTGTCTTGACATGCATCTTGCGGGGAGGGTGGCTTGAACGTAGGTGAACAGGGGTCAATTGATCAATATAAGCTCGGATGCGTCAGGTACCAAGCCAAGATTGGTCAAGATTGTAGGATTTGTTAATGAAAATTGAACGTTCCAATAGTTTTGCCGAATTTCCACCGCGACCGGGCTGTGTCGGGCATTTGATTAATTTGACGGCCCCCACGCGCAGGAAGGTGCTAACTACTAGTAGTCGTGCGCTAGTGTATAGTGTACGGAAGGTGATGGTATTACCCTATGGTAGGTGAGTGTTCAAATGCCTGTTCAGAAGCTGCCTGGGCGAATGATTTGATGATGGTTAGTAAAAATCTCTATAATTCAGGCATCAATTATTTGGAATTGGAAAGAGATTTGGCCTCTACTTGTGTATAACCTTCCGTAATGGTGGATCGAGTAGGTTGAGACACGCGGCAAGCCGCCCCGCTGACTTTGCCAAGAGAACCTTGAATCTCGCTTGCGCCTCTTTGTCGCAAAGGTTGTTAAATTAGATGAATCCTTCGATTGAAGATTTCTACCCATTATGAAATACGTGATAATAGTAATGCCTGGGGGAAAACGACTGATGGAAAACCCTCCGCCCATCATCCTTTCTTCTCTGGGCTTCTCCAGAGGCCGCCCGCAAACGCCATGGATTCCACCTTGATCCTACTTTGGGTGTTTACCTGGGTAGTAGTCGGCCTGATCATTCTTCGCCTGCTGCTGCGGAAGCGGAAGTGCTTGCAATTGGTCTTGGGGGATTATTTTTCAATGGGAGCGATGCTCTGTGCGCTCGTACGCCTCGCCTTGGTCCATGTTATTCTCATCTGGGGAACAAACAACATGTCGGCCAACTTCCGACAGACGCACGATTTTACCCCGGAGGAGATCCGGCGCAGAGAGATTGCCAGCAAATTTGTGCTTGTCAATCGAGTGTTTTACAATTCCTAGTACGTTCTGAGTGAAAATAGGATGCCGTATCGGCCAGCCATTTTTCTCATATTTCTTCTAGTCTTTGGCTGCAAAAGCTGGTTCTGCTTGATGCCTACCGCCGACTACTCACAAATCTCCGCTGGGAGAAGGTCACGATGATCACGTATATTGCTATATTCGCAGCGACTTACGTCACCGTACAAATCGTGACTTTTACCGAATGCGATCCCTTTAACCACTACTGGATGGTATTGCCTGATCCTGGTATTTACTTCCCCCGTGACGCTCGAGCTCGATTTGTGGTGCTCATCGAACTTATTAATCCTCTAACGATCGTAGGTATATGCTGCCAAGCACAGCTTCAATTGATTGTCCTTGGTATGTTTTCTATCAAGATAATCGTATCACATGGATCTAATGCCTCTCAAATTTCCATGACATTAGGTGTCCTCAATGTCATCACAGATCTTATGCTGATCGCCTTGCCGATCCCAATTCTAGTTCTTGTCAGAAGATCCATTGTTGAGTAGGTTTGCCTTGGACTAACCCATTATGTGCATCTCGTTCACACATTGCTCCATCCAGAAAAATCCAACTAGGGACCTTGTTCGCCGTCGGCCTCTTCATAGTCGCAATCACCATCGCTCGACTACCCCAAAATACAAAGAACAGCACTGCCCAGGTGAACAGAACAACTTGGGCGTCCATTGAGCTACTCGCTGCCGCTATCGTCGCGAACGCTCCGGTCCTGTATGGACTCCTCAAGGGACGAACGCAAAGGTCCAAGTACGCTGCGTCTGGGATCGGATCTTCTGGTCCATCAGGGCAGGGACTTCGAAATAGATCAACGAATGAGCCTGAATTCGAACTTCAAGGGACAAATCACAGCAAGAAAGGGTCTGCTCTTGGTGTAAATATATCATCCAGGAATTATCTGGATGTTGACGGCGACAGCACTCGGTCATTAACTCGAAGCCTGGAAAAGTAGGGAGGAAATACCAGAATACGAACCCAAGTTATTATTCACGAGTCCACATTTCGAACGTGTAACTCATGAATGTTTCCAGTCAATTTTGAAAGATTAGAGTCCATTCTGATAGAGTATTCCTTGGCAGAGCAAGCGACTGAACATGAGCGGCCTTGAGCATAGGCTCAGAAAACAGTTATCGCTCCACCCTCGCGATTGATAGTCGCCTTTGCAAATCCCTGAGCAGACATCCTGGCTCCGCAAATAGAATATCGAGCTCCTCGTAAGTCCTTTTTCCGGTCTCCGGAGGGCGGAAGTATGCTCAGACGTGGGAGAGCATGGTAGGTCCGCCGGTCAGGAGGCCAGCGATTCCTCCCCAATCTCCCCATTTCGTATTTAGAATATAAAAAGTCACCACACTGTTGACGATGTTCATGACAGTGTACGTGCCTTGTGCGAAAGTCCAAGTCTTCGCTCGGAGCCGATGAGATGAGACTTCGCCATGGATAAATTAAGGCCACAGACCAATCGTGAGACGCCAAACAGCGAACCAAACCAAATAGGCTACCAACGCGGCGAAGTCGAAGACAGTTGTTTGCGGACCCAGTGCGAGAAAGCCAAATAAGAACATCAACAGGGACAAGACGACACAGCCGACCAAGAAGATCCTTCTTCGACCATAGGTTCTGGTCACTGCAGACGACGTGAAGTTGCAGATGAGGTGAATTCCTCCGATACCGAGTGTCATCTTGAACGAATCATCCGAAGTGAGCCCAGCTTCCTGATAAAAATAAGTCGCATACCCTCGAATCACAAACCCCGTTGTGATCTGGATCCCCCAGGAATGCATATGCGATCTCCGTTCTCCACAAGTTTGTTCCCCGGAAGCAACACACGTAGGCAGCTTTTTTGTGCAAGCTTTTCTCGAGGTGGTTGGTCTCGATCATTAGAGCAACTGCTCTCATCGCCTTCCTTTGCGCGCTCTCTCCATTTTTGGATGATGTAAGTCTTATCACCGATAGCTCCGCTTCTTCACGGCGTCCTTTTTCACAAGTCACCAAGGGGACTCAGGACAAAACAAAGCAAGGGGAAGATCACGACTAGCCAGACCCATTGAACAGCAAGAGGAATGCGATAGAGCCATGCACTCGCCGAATGGTTGAGGTTGAAAAAACAGCATAAGAAAAGAATTGTCCGCCCCAACAGCAAACTACCCAAGTCTGGAGATAGTTTCGCAGAGCGAGGGGTGCAACTTCTGACGCAAACGCCGCAGCCACCGTGGAGAACGTCCCCCATAGAATCGCACCAAAGAGCTCTCCAACAAACAAAACCTCCACACTCGGAGCAAAAACTCGAATAAAAAATCAATCCTATGAGAGCAAAAGCCCCGAGTGGGAATTTTCTTGTGTCCAAATCGATCAGCGAGCCATCCGTTTAGGAAAATCCCTATGACATTTCCCAGGGGGATAGCCATACCAAAGGCCCTCTGCCACTGGGCATCGAACTAATATTTCACTGAGTTTCCAACTTCCTGCCCATATTGTCTTCGAGTTAGTGTACTGATCAAAGCGATGTCGTACCCTTCCATGACAATGCACAAGCTAGGAACGGCCGACCAAAAGGCGGCTTTTGGGAAGCGTTGGACAGCCTGAGGGAAGGCAGTGCCATGCTCATCCTCGGCGGTCAGATAGGCGTCTTCTTTCAATCTCCAATTTGTGCCTGTCTGGCTGTTTGTTGCGTCGTCATTCGGGGGTCCGTCTTCCACGTGTTGCAATGGTATTTTGCCGTCGATCGATGCTCTGGTCGACATGATGCGAGCTGCAAATAACGGTTTGACCAGCGAGATGGGTTATCTGTGGCGTTCGTCGTTTTGAGTTATTGGTAATCGTGGGTAGCGAAACGGGCCAGGGAAAGATTGACGTTGAAACAGGTGCTAGAGATTCAAGAAACATTTTTCCGTCGTCGAAACGTAGGAGAGCAAATGTCCTTTATGAGAGGAATTTTCCAGGTTTGCCAGGGTTTTCTTGATGATTTAAATTCTTTCAGGCATAGGACGTAGATCTAATCCGAATTTGGTCCGCAATTGTCGATATGCGAGGAAAGGTAGCTTCCCCGGACTTCGATAGATGGGCCTCCAGCCTAAACTGGTAAGACTAGTCGCTTTGATTCCTTAGAATGATCATGTGCTCATTGATGGACTGACAGGAAGATCCAAGCGTAAGTATCATGTTCGGGTTGCAGCCGCAAAATTGGCATTACAGGAACGGGCAGCTATTCGGAGACATGTGAACATCTTTTACAAATTTAGTAGTGCGTTAGTAGATTTATATGTACATCAGAATGCATCCTCAGTAGATCATCTTCTCAGCAAACGGCGTCACCAGAATAAAACAAACAATGCACTGCTTCATCGTGCAAAACAACGGCAAAGCAGCCTTAGACTTGATGATCAAGGCTGCGAGCCTTCATGTTATTTCCGGCGTAGCGGATATTGAACTTGGGAGATTCCACGACTTCATAGTCGGAATCGTTGGCGGGGTTGCCGAAGATCTTCAAAGCGCGGACACGAATGGAGTAGGTACCAGCAGGGGCGTAGGTTCCATCGGCCAGCCCGCCGTCCCAGGAATGCTCCGTCGGGCTGTAGGGGGCACGGGACATGTACAGCATGGGGAAGTTGGGCAGGGATCCAACAATCGTTCCGTTGCTTGACTTCACGTCGATCTCTAAACGGGCAGTTCCCATCGACAGCTGTCGCTCAAAAACGGGGCTGCTGATGTCATTGGCCGAGCCGTTCGCGCCGGCAAAGGTGAACATTTGGCCTGCCTTGATCGGGTCCTTGCTCTCGCTCGACTTGAAGTAGTTCTCGCCATGCTTGGTGTCAAGGATGGTCACATTACGCATGGCAGTACCAGCACCCAGGTACGGAATGGAGAAAGAGTCGCCGTTGGTGCCATTGAGGGTGACATAGCCACTGTAGATTGGAATGCGGGTAGTATTCAGGCCCTGGGGAGGGATGGCAGAGACCTTGACAACCACGGTCTGACCGGGGCGAACCACGATACGACGAGCGCTGAAGCTGAGAGAGGCGTGCTTGTTCACGTTCTCCATAAAGTCGCCAGAGCTGAAGGGGTGGGGGATTGTGGTACCATCGTCGGGAAGGGTATAGACAGTGGCACTTCCCACATGGCTGATGTTGTAAACAGCGATATCTGAGCCAGTGTTGTTGATGCTGAAAGAGACAGGCGCCAGGTGCTCAGTGTCATTGAAACCGATGCTGCTGACGTTGAGGATTGTCTTTGTGTTGACAGCATCGAAGGCGTTAATCAGGCCAGCACCCTGCTGGGCAACCGAACTGAGCCATGGATAGGCCGAGACACCATCGTGGAACACGTTGGGGTCAGCATTGGCTGCGAACAGAGTCTGGACAGTCTTGGCGGGCACCTTGCCGCGAGCCTCGATAAGAAGCGCAACACAACCGGCGAAGTAGGGAGTAGCCATAGAGGTACCGGTCTCAACCTTGTATCCACCCAGAGCCAGCGGATATGTGGACAACATAAAGCCGCCGGGCGAAGTGACAACAGGAATTGCCATGAGCTCGTTGGTAGGACCCCACTGGCTGAAATCGCCGACAAAGCCACCGGCCTGGTTGTTCTTCTCATTGAAGAAAATGGAAGAAGCATACTTCTTGCTGGTCATGTGCAGGTAAATCGAGGTGTTCTTCGCGGCCAGGTTCACCCACTCAACACCGGTATTAGTCGGCACCATTCCCATACCGACAATCTCAGGCACGGTGAAAGAAAAGTCGTCAGTACCGGGACGGTTGTTGTAGAACAGGATGTTCTTCGCGCCGGCCTTGATTGCGTTGTCGGCCTTGTCCTGAAATCCACAACCACCACGGCGGATCAGAACAATCTTCTTGGACAGATCGGGAGTGTCGGCAGGTAGAGCCTCGCAACCATCATTTTCAACGGATGAGTCGAGGCTGAGAGGGTAGAGCTGATAAGTGCCATTGACGAAGTCTTTGTCACCGGAAATCGACCAGCCAAAGTTGGCAGATCCATTCTTGGAGACATAACTGGCCTTGTTGAGGATCATCGGGACCATCAAGTTGTTCACGGCTCCAATGCCGGTACCACCTTTATTGTCAGCGCCATCGGAAGCAAAGAACATGCCAGCATCACCGTCATTTCCTGCGGCAATCATGCAGGGCACGCCGGCCTTGGCAATATTCTGGATGAGAACACCCCAGGGCTCTTCCGACCAGCCACTGTATCCACCGATGGAGCAGGTGATGACGTCGGCCTTGGCCTCATAGGCCATCTTGAATGCCTGCATGAGTCTGTCGGTAGTCGCACCAGAGTGGCAATTGGTGACCTTGTAGTGTCCAAGAGTAACATTGGGGGCAACACCGGTAAAGTTGTAAGCGTTCGGCTGGGCCGCGATGAGACCCGAAACATGGGTTCCGTGGCCATCACAGTCATCGTACGGGTCCTCAGTATCATCGACCAGGTTATGGCCAAATGCAACCAAGCAGCCCTCGCCATAACAGCCACCCAGAGCAGGATGCTTGTAGTCAATACCGCTATCCACAACAGCGACCCGAAGGCCACTGCCCAGATAGCCCTGCTCGCGCAGCTTGTCAACACCGGTCATGCGGTGAGGGACGTCGTTGGAACCAGGAGCATAGTGGTCACCACGACGAGTGAGATGCTGGCCGGGAGCGGCGAGAGATGCGTCGCGCACATTCGAGGTGGATCGCTTGGAGTGGTGAACCTCGCGGACGGGAACAATGTTCTTGACATAGGGCAGGCCCGAGATCTTCTTCACAACGGCCGCCTCGTTATCCGTGTTGCCCAGGAGGTTGAATGAACCACCGTGAAAGAGGTCAAACGACAAATCATGGTTGAGGCTGATCGGAATGCCGTTGCGTGTGAGCGTTGAAATAAAGCTGTCCGTCGCCTGGAATCATCACCCCATTAGTGTCCATATCCAACGTGCTCACTATGCTCTGTCCAAGTTTCGCGCCTTACCAGGTGAGGATTGCTGAATTCCACAATATACGATTTGGGAACCGCATCACCGGACTTGCCGGCGAGGGCCAGGGGCGCGGCCAGAAGGGCCCCCAGCCATGGCCAGAGCGGGGCCATATTAGTAGATTTTTTAGCGAACGAATGAAGTAAATAAAAGAATGACAGGAGTTCGACTGAACGAGTGACGATACGGCAAATGAGTGACGGTGCGCGCTAGACAAGGGCATCTTGACTGCGGCGACCTCGACCTTTTTAAAGATTGGCGCCATCGTTGATTTTTGGGGGAGTTCCCACGTCAGCATCAGATCTCGTGTTCAAGGGTAGTGTGGATCTCGAGCTTCAGCTCATGGTCGACTGCCAAGCTGACTATCGAGCGGCGACCCAAGAAGATCTGGCAGGAAATCGTCTCCGGGGTTGGTGGTAGGTGAGGATAGCGGAGGCACAGTGGGGACTCGGGCAGTTTCGAGCTACGATCGACAGGGGAGTGCCGGTCGCTGCCGCCGGAATCCGATCGATGCCGCCTTTTGCGGTTCGTCCCCATCGCGGCGGCACTTTAGGGCTCGCTCATGGCTTCATTAGCGGCTACCGAGTCTCCGGAAGATGCGGTGTTTGTCTGCAGGCCCTTTCAAGCGCAATGGACTCAATTGAGGCAGACAAGCTACTGGTTTGTGGGCCTTACGAACGAGGCATATAGTGCAGTAGTTACTCATCTGACGTTGTCCGATAACAAACTGTCTGTTGCCTCTCTGCCGGAGTGGAACAAGGGTCCATAGGAGACTTGTTACCCTAGGGTACCTCAGGGTAAAATTGAGAATATTATGCTGTAAAGATGTATACAACGGGAAGAATCAAGTGGCGGAGATAAGCTCCGGCATCTCGATCTGGCAGTTGCGGTCTCATGTGACCGCATGCTTGTAACCTTGGAAGGGGGTTGTGAGGCTCAGCAACTTATCAATACAAAAGAGCGGATCGGAACACAGGGAGAATCAGAACTCGCTTGAGATTGCACAATCGGGCCAAGATCCGTCACCTGTTGAGATGCCAAGCAATGCGATCGAGATTACAGTGGAGACATGCTGGACCCAGCAATGGTACGAGGACGACGAACAATACACAATGAATGACAGGTCCGGACAATGGAGGTTGGAAACAAATGCGTGAATTGCTAGGAGTACGGGGCGACGAACAGAATGCTCCGTTATAGTCTCTTTATGGCCGGTTAACCCACACGACAGACGGACAACGTCGACCTCTGCATACGATTTGCTTGACTAGCCTCGAGACTTAGGGCTAACACACCATTTGGATGAAAACACTAGAGAAGGAAGTGTCGTACACGAAGTTCAACCAAACCTCTACTCAACAGCTTATGCGACAAGCTGCCAGCCAAACCGAGTTCCGTTCGAAGAAATATCCACCGCCGTCGTTTGCGACTCTGGACTAGTACTTGCATAGGCTAATCAGCCTTGAGCAAAGGCTCATTTCGAAAGATCAATCGCTTTGGCGATTGATGGGAGACTCGTTCACTTCACCAAATACTTAGATCCAGTATTGCGCTTGGGCCGATGGAGGTAGTGTGGAAGCCGATCGGCGTGCAAGTCAGGAAAAGGGATGCCCAAGATAGGTATCTCCCTGGCTTTCTGACACAACAACGCTTGGGCTGATTGTGATTTTCAGCATTTACCCTGTGGTACCGGCCGCATGCACAAGAAGAGATGCTACCACTTTGAATCAGTTCCTGAAACACCCACCGAGGTCGAGCCAGTAACCCAAAGACCCGGTTAGGACACGCGCACGAAGCTGCCTTCGCCACAGACCAGCGCGAGTCCCAGTCGTGTCAGTGTCTACAACCCCCGAGTCGGTTCTCGAAGATATCTCGAATGCATCTGGTCCGCTTTCGATCGAGGCAACCCAACCATGGGCTACTCAGTCCCCCTTTGAAAACGCATCCTCCCAGCAAAGAGAACGGAACCCATCCGACGCATCGGGGAAAAGACGCGAACTGCTGTGGTTCCAGTGTCATCGACGAAAAGAGCCCCTGAATCTCAGTCATAACCATCAAAAATACCCTCGAGGAATTACTCATGCACTTGCACGATCACCAACGCGACGCCAACTCGGCGTACGAGGACATATCCCTTTGTTACAAGACTTTGGACTTTATAAGTCAACGTTGGACAAATACTAAGGGAGTAGCGAAATTAGCGACGAGACTACGAAGGCTTCTCAGCATGCCCAGATCATCCACTGAACGCCGAGGTGATTATCGGCAGGACGCTGTTAAGGTACATCCACGACCAATGTCGGACTGAAGCCGAGTGCAAGAGAATCCGAGGCTGCAATGCACGCTGCACCTCAGGCTGGCCCCAACGGAAGCTTTCCGACGCAGGTACTTTAGCACAATCGTCAGTAGAACTTGGTCCGGTCAAGGCCTCGATGCGTCCTATCTGCAGCTTGGTAGGGCCTTTCACGATATATTAGAATGCGGGATGCCAAAGCTACTGCAGGATCCTAAGTCATTCGATTGTTTACCTCATTGGACGGAAGATGACTGTTTTGGCGGGAATAATTTCCAGCTGGCTTCCCCGGACAGAGAGCAGGGCGATCCCAACTTCTTTCCAAACGTGAACTCTTCGTGGAGACATTATTTCTGAGGAATTGTGGCTAAACCCATTCCATCACATGAGTACTAAGCGTTTCTTCACAGAATCAAAATACTCGTGTGACAGATGTTGGTCCACGTTTACATATATTTCCGGGGGCGGGGGTTGACAGCTACTAAAAATAGTTTTTGACATCTTGTACGTTGTATTTCACTGCTGTAGAAATGCGGCATGCAATCCGATGTCATCAGATCTGCAGCACGTCATGTCTTGGTGTGAGATACATCACATACATACAGGAGGGCTGGAGGAGCGGTGCAGTGGCCCAACGCCCCTCGGGTCGGAAAAAGTCGCCTCTTTTAGGCGCATCGTGGCATTTGTACTGGCGATCTGCACATGCATAAATCGGTCTCGAACACGCCGTCGGCCCTGCAAGTGGACTAAGCTTATTAATGACCCAGGAACTCGTTCTAGAAGCCGACAGAGCGATCAGGGTGATTTATACAGCTGCAATTCTCATAGTACACTAATTGCGGTTGTTTAAGAAGATTCGCCAGAATCAATGTTCATTTCATTATCTTGTTCTCTCTTAATTGCTATTGCCCGTGTTCCGCAAGGATTACCCCTCTTCTGGTGACGCCACCCTAGGCGCAAGATTTGGAAGTTCCTGGCGAGGTCCGATGAGCTGATGACAGCCGTTCATGCAAGTTTTCTGAAGTAGAAACCTGAAAACGCAGAAGAGAGCGACACGGTAAATGATAGGTGGAATGGGGATCGATTCGAAATCAGATCATGTTGAGATCATTATGGCGATCAGAAAACCCGTGCCCTGTATTATAAGGTCTTTTGCAAGGGCGATCTATCCAGCTTGTCCCAGATGGTGTTTTCGTATGCCCAAGTTAGGTAAACCCGATGGAATCATGACAGATGATCAGTCGACGATCTCAACAACACCATCCATGGGCACGGACAATGCCAGGTCATTCTCACTCAGAGTCTAAGTCCATATGCTGTCTGGTGAAACCTTTGGGGTTCTGGGGTGTGTCATGCTGAGAGGCCGGACCACAGTGCACCGGGCACGACCCATCAAGGTACGCCCCGCTCTAATTCGGGCAGGCAAAAGAGCGGCTATGACGGCTATTGATGTTCGCCGGTGGTCTGGAGGGTGACTGGAAGCGGTTAGCGGTGACTGCAGCTAGTAGATTTTTATTTCGAGTGAATGCAGAGGTCTGCATTTCCGAAAGTGCTGCGATCGTGCCGAGGCAGGGGTGAATAGCGGTGTCTAGGAGAGGGCCGGAGTAACGGCAGCACTCGTACTACTTTGTGAATAAATTAACAAGAACTAGTACTGTTGCAGCACCCCAGGATGCGATCGTACAGAGCTGGACCGCGCTGAGTACTGGTGGTCGTCGATTGGCGGATCGCGGCCGGGTGAAAGCCGGAAATTCCAAGATTCGATGCAGATTCCAGACTATTCCCCCAATCATCTTAGATCGGCGCACCCCTGTCGATGGTCAGCCGACATGCGGATTTTTGGGTTCGATTCCCAGCGGAGCGGAGCTGCCAGGCGCATCGTATACTCCTGGACTCCCACGGTCTGTAGTACTAGGAGGACGCATCCCACGGAATCACCCAAACGGGCAATCCAACAGATAAGCGGTGATTTGTCAGGCGGGCTCGAGGAATGTCCACTTGGGGACTCCATCGTCGCGGTGTGAGGGTTGTGAATGGAGCTGGACACGCTGGGGAGTCCACTGGGTGGATTGAGCAGCAGACCTAGCGCAGAGGGGTCCAGATTGCAGTGAAGATCCAAGGACAGTGTACTCCTTCCATTCGGGGCCTCGAGTGCTGCACGTGAGGCGCAGAGCCCTTATCGCCGTTTGCATCATGACTTGCAAAAAAATTTCAGACGGAATGTTGAGCGTGCGCGCCGCGCCAAATAACTAGAGAACGGCCGTAATGGCGCAAGAATTAAATAGAGGGAGCTCTCGTGAATGCGCGACAGGGCTGGCCGTAGACAATTGGATGCGACCGGGTTGTTCAAGAACGATTGCGGTGTACCCCCCGGCATATCCACCTTGGGTTGCCACCGGCCTGATGTAAACAGAGCTTCACCACGATTTATTCCCCCCACCCCCTCGATCGTCAGTCTTGAACCTCCCCTCGACACCATTCTCCCCTCCCAGCACCATGTCACCCCCCGCCATCATCGCCCCTTCCATCCTCAGCGCCGATTTCTCCAACCTCGGCCATGACTGCTCCCGAAAGATGGAGCAGGGCGCCGACTGGCTCCACGTCGACATCATGGACGGTCACTTCGTTCCCAACATGACCATCGGATGCCCCGTCGTCTCTCAGATCCGCGGTTGCGTCGACCGGCCACTGGAGCCCTGCGCTCGCGGCACCTTTGACTGCCACATGATGATCATGGAGGTAAGCTAGCTCGTAGCTCCCGCCCCAACAGCTCCCGGGGGGTTTACCGCGGAACAATCAGTTTGCTAATCGCGATCGCGACAGCCTCACAAATGGGTCCACGAGTTCAAGAAGGCCGGCTGCGATCTCTACTGCTTTCACTATGAAGCCGCCGTCTCCTCAGTCGCCGCCACCGATCCTACCGACAAGACCACAACCGCCCGCACTAGCCCGCGCGAATTGATCAAGTATATCCACGAGGAGGGCATGCAGGCCGGTATCGCCATCAAGCCGGACACTCCGGTTGACGTGCTCTGGGACATTCTCGACAGCCCCGACCTGAGCGAGCGCCCCGAGGTGAGTCCACCCCGATGTATAGGTCCGTGAGTCCCCAGCTAACGTGCGCAGATGGTCCTTGTCATGACCGTCCACCCCGGCTTCGGCGGACAGAAATTCATGGCCTCGGAGCTGCCCAAGGTGCAGGCACTGCGGGAACGGTATCCAGACCTGAACATCGAGGTCGACGGTGGACTTGGCCTGGGAACAATCGACCAAGCCGCCGACGCCGGCGCCAACGTGATCGTGGCGGGCTCCGCGATCTTCGGTGCCGCCGACCCGGCCGATGTCATTGCGAAGCTGCGCGATGCGGTGCAGAAGCGCCGTGCGCTCGAGAAATAGAGCAAGATCGTCTGCATCTGAAGTTCAGCCGCTGCGCCTGCATCTGCGATTTCGGCGCAGCGCCCCGCATCGACGCGGGGTCGTGCAACAATTTTTTCCAGTTCACAAAATTGGGGTTTGGGTGTTTTTGTTTTAGTGTCCGCACTGTTTATATTTTTGTTGGGCGCCGCGACTGATTTATTTCGTGATTGGACTGTACGTCTTTGTAATGATGAGCTACGAATGGCATTCGACGGTCTACTATTGGATCTTCATGGAACACAACTTGATTGAGCGATCGCCGGGACTCTCAAACTGGTATCATACCCTTAATCGACAAGAATAGTATGCAAGACAGTGCATTCCTCATGTACAGATTCATCAATCGTTAAAGCGTAGCCTTCACTCCTTCGCTGGCGCAGCCTCAGTCTCTGATGCCTTGGGCTAGGCCGCGGCATCCTCCTTTTGTTCCTCAACCTTATTATCAGCCCCCTTTCTCTCAGCCTCTTCCTTTTTACCACCCTCCTCTTTCTTCTCCGCAGCAGCTTTGGCGTCCTCCTCTGAGGTTTCCGAGTTCTTAGGCTCCTCGACAATGGGCTCCTCCGCAGCCTTCTTCTGCGCAGCCTCCTCGCGCAGAGCGTCCAGGTTCCCGGTCTGACTTTCGCCAGTAACAGACTGACGAATCTCCGTCACCATCTTATCCTGTTCCGCTTTATCGGTAGCCGAGATGATTGAGCCACGGTGGTGTTCGACAAGCCCCAGAAGGTCCGCATTTTCAGCATGGAAGTTTGCCGACGAAACGGCCGCCTCCTCAGGCACAACCAACGCAGGTCGTTTTGTAGTCTTGGGGGAATCTGGCGCGGTATCAGGCAGCTCAGGAGCGACGGAGCCTCGATGGGCCTTGGTTACAGGAGATGATGGCTTCGGGGATTCAGCTGGTTTTTCCTCCTTCGGTGCCTTCTTCTCGTCGGATTTGTTCTTAGCTTGAGAGGCGGCTTCTTGACTAGCCTGGCGGAGGGCCAACACAGCCGATTCGTCCTTCTTTTCTTCGGTCTTTGCGGGTGGGCTTTGTATCTTAATGGTGGAAGGCTTGGGAGTAGCGGGCTCGGGCTCCTTGGGTGTCGTCGCGGGCTCGGACGTAGCTTGGGTGGCAGGGAGGGGGTTGCTGGTGGCAGGCATGCCGTCCATCTCCTGGACGCTGTTAACCACCAGGCGCAGCTCGCCGAATTCGTTCCATTCTTCGATCTCCTCTAGGTCCTGCACGGGGGTGGGGTCAGCGGACGTCAGACAGGGGGAGGGGAAGGGAGGCTGCGGGGGGCACATGGGGAAATATAAGAATAAAAGGGGTGGCGTACTCCGATAATATTTCCATACTTCACCAGACCGGGCAACTTCTTGCCCTTGGATCGACGACCCCAGAGCTTGCGGGCGGCCTCGTCTGTCGCGACATCAATGGCCCGAAAGGGGAGTTTGTTGGCCTTGAGGATTGTCTCCACGCGGGCAGTGGCGGTGACGATGTGCGAGGAGCCTGCGGTCAGGGAGGTGTAGAGATATAGGGTCGGGTCCGACATTGTGATGACGGTGGAGAGTCAAGGCTCAAGGTTCTGGGCACAAAGAGAGATCAATTCCTGGAAGGTTGAAGCTCTCACCGTCTTGCCCTTGTTATGACGTGGCTGTGATCACGTGCTGCTGTCTACTTCGGACGGGAGTATATTTTAGTTGTTCGGCTACAAAAAATCTACGTGGTCATTCTCTGCACCTTCAGCCAATTTCTATGTTCCCCACAGATCCAGATACCTCTCCATGGAGTGCGTGGAATGTCCCCGCGTGGCAACTCTTGACGTCAGCCGAACCATCTTCCTTGGATCCATACCCTGTTGACGTTGACCTTATAGAGGGTTTGTATGATATGATGCAAGTGGATGAAAAGGAATGATTTTGAATGCAACAAAGAATATTTTGCTAAGGCTGTGATGACCAGAGAGAAATGAACCAAAGAATAAAAGGCTTCAACTGTCGCGTGTATCATTGAACGGCCCGGTTTGAAAGACTGGGTGAGGTCATAGCACAACCAAACACACCCGCTCCCTGCGATCACTCGCAAAGTGAAAGACTTAGGAACAGAATGGAAAGCTGCCTGCCTGATGAAAGCCCGAGAGAGACTGTCGTGTGATATTAATATTAAATATTAGTACGTAAGCACTGCCCATGGCTGAGAGTTTACCCAAAGTGCGGAGTAGACGTGGCACCACTGGAGACGGCATCAACTACCCAAGAGGCTCTTGATCAGCCGCAGTCGTCTGCGATTTCAGCCAGAAACAAGGTCAAAGTGAGAAGACCTCGTCACCTGCGTGACAGTAACTTCCTACCTGCTGTCAGCCAGACTATAAAAGCGCTAACAATACGCGCAAGCGAGGCCATGCGCGGCAAAGCCCACGCGGTCCATGTTGCACGGCCTCTAGCCCATGAGACATTATCATGCATCGGCAGCGCTCTTCGAAATCAGCCTGGAATCCTCCAAAAAGGGACATGCCCAGTCTAAGTTGAAGTCCAAGCAGGCCGGTCCCTAGACAACCCATTGCAGACACCGTGCGTCTATGGCCCAGTCGGAAGATGGGCGGCATGGACCCGTGATATGACGGCTGCACCTCGATAACGAGAGCTGCAGTGTCCGGCCTGATTGACTCTTCTGGACATTCTTTTCTCCAGCTGGGCACGAGAGATGTGCGTCTCAAGCGATCCTTTTTAGGCTGCCGTGGCCCAGCTTGGGCTCGTCGTACGTATGAAAGGAGGGTAGATTTTTGTAGTATGCTCTGTTAAGAGTGGGGTGAGACATTGGATGAGAGGTGGTATCGTAGACAAGGATGTCGCAAAAGGTCATCTAGGAACGGCTTATGGAGTTGCCCAAACCCTGTCATCTGCTTTTATTGCGCAAGGGCCGGACTGGTGATTGTCCTTCCTCTGGCGGTCATTCGAGTCGAGCTTGCTTGGGGTGTAGCGGTTGACAAGAGGCGGTGCTCGGATAGGGATTTGGTCTGGGCGCTCTTTTCACAGCAGCAAGACTCGCAATCGGTGGACAACTGGCTCTCGATCGATTTCGCACTGCCACCGAATCACGACCGAAATGGTTATTCTATCGGCGCTGATTGGATACATCGTGCCTCTCTGGCGCTCAATGACGGAATCACGTCGCATCCAGCCATCACCGGGGGGTCCAAACAGTATGAATGGCGAAATGAGGAGTAACAAGCTGAAACGTTTTTCCCGGGCCTCTAACTCCATAGAATATTATTGTCGAGTTGCCTCGATCCTCGGAGAAGAGATTGCACGAGAGCATCGCCGAACATGACACATCATAATTGACAGATAACAGTCGTCCTGATTCGGTCGTGCGGTCTTTACTACTTCTGGAGGATCGACGTTATCACAAAGGGTTGGGTTGAAACAGCGTCGATCCTTGCGAGGCTTTTTTTACGCGTCCGCCGCCTATGAAGAGCCGCTCGAGGAGTCTCGGTGAAACGCGGCGGCAAACGCGTTCTCGAAAGTGCGACATGACCCGGTCGAGCAACGGACGAGGGGATTCACTGGTGGAGGACAGTATCCTCAACGGGGGAAGGGGGTCCTCACGGGGTCCCAATGGGGTTCTGAATGGAGTCACCGTCATCGTGGAGACGATGGTTCGTTGCTCCATTGGACTGTCGCTAGTGTGCGATCGTCCCGGCCCAAACCCCCCTGAAAATGAGGAGCGCGGGTTCTTAGTACTAGTCGATAATAGCAGTAGCGGGCTGCACCATCTTGTCTGGGGTCACACAAGGACATTTCGTACAGACCATCGAAGCTAGAGGAGCATGTATAGTATGTTTGCACGATGGCCGTGCCAGCGTCCCGCGGGCCTGGAGACCTTTCCCATGGCCACGGCCAACGGTTCTTCGCCCGGGCAGTTGGGCGCAGGGCAACCTCGTCACCTGCAGGGCCCGACTGATGTTCCGGCTGCAGGACGACGTGGCAGTCGACGAGACGGGGGGAGCTGGAAGGATGTGCTCCACGAGATGGTGGGTGTGGCCTCCGTTAGCCCCATCGGCCACATTGGGACCGCCGTGCTGGACCTGGGATGCTCGACCTGCTCGAGAAGCCCACGACAGCTCCCGCAGTAGGCGCACCGGGGGAGGTCATCACGGCGCGCAGCAGCGGCCCCCAGGGGCTCGTCTGCGCCCCCAATGTGCCCAAACACGCCAAACACCAGCCGGGTTGGCGTCGGGGCGATCCGGTTCGCTGCCTCACTTTGACTGTTTTGTCCCCGTCACCGCCCGTAGCTGCAGCTTCACCTCGGCCAACCAGTCGCGCAGGATGCATCCTGAATCAGGAAATCATCAGTCAGCGAACGATCCTGTCACCCGGTGCGGGAGGGTATGCGACATGGACACACGGAATGCATGAGCCACTGGAGGTCTGCAAAGCCACTGGACACAACTGGATACTCTGCACCAGAGCAGCCAGGATTGGCAGACAGGCCCCCGGGGTCCAGACTCGGCCCACTCGGGGATGGACATCGCCAATGCCGTGTTGGTCTGCGATGGAAGCCCTCCTTCGTATAGTCCGTGTGGAGATGCCCCAGAACGTCCTTAGGGGCCCAGTGCTGCGCTGGTGCTCGTCCCGGGACTTTTGCTTCGACTTCTTCCTCTTCTTTCCACCACCCCCCCATGCTGCCCAATCTGGCCCGTCTATATATGCGGTGATATGATTCTGACGCCCACGATCCATTTGGATTCCTTTTAATCCGCGGCCCGCCTCCGTTCTGATCTCCTGTTCACCTTATCGACCCGCCGATCTATTGTCGTATCGCGATAACCTATAGATCGGTTCCAAGCGTATGTTCCTCATCTCCCAGATCTCCAGATGCCGCAGTATCACATATCCTTCAACCTGCTCCCCTAAAGCGGTGCCCTTCCTGCTGTCATTCATGCACTAACATGCATGTAGAACCACCTCTACCCTGTTTCCAACCCCGTCATTTGCATACTGATAGACAGTTCCAATCAACGCGCCCAGAGGCCCCCCAACCAACACGACATGGCTCTCCAGGCCGATGAAGAACTGTTCAAGAGTGCCATATCCGGGTATCGCGACGCATTTTTGGTTCGACATGCCCACCTTCCGGAATCCGAACGAAATCGACTCTGGGGCCAGCAGATCAGCCAGTTCATTCCAGCCATCGACCGCGAAGATGCTGCGCTAGGCAAACCCGGGAAACGAACTCGACAGGATGCCATCCCGCGGACGCTCCCTGGTTCTGGTCCTCCGCAGGCGAAACGGCGAGCCACCGTATGTGTAGCCTTGGTCTCTTGCTCCGGTCCCCTCCTCTCCGTCCCGCCTCTTTCCTTCCCTCCCCTCTCCCTCTTTGCGCCCAGCTAGGATTGACAATTGGCAGAGCCCGGAAATTCCGGTGGCCCATGAGCTGCGGCGCGCTCTCTCGCAGTCGTCGTCCGGAGCGGTGCCCTGTCAGGGTGCGCCGCTCTCGGGTCCAGGCCAAAGCTCCTATCGACACACACCCATGGTGCGCTCCCAGAGCCAGCAGATCCCCGTCTCCCACTGGCATCCGCCGGCCGGGGGTGCGATGAGCAAGCGCCAATCTTTCGGACCGGGCCAGACGAAACGCCTCGATCATGTCGACGAATACTCGCCTTCGGAATATGCGAAGCACTTGGACGAACCGGACCACCAGCACCAGGACCAACCCTTCGGCTCCGCCTTGTCTCTGGGTCTGGCAACTGGATCAACTGGACCGACCTCGGCACCCTCTGCGATGGCCCAAGTGACGCAAGCGCCTGTTGAATATTCCGAACAGGCACCCCCCTTGGCCAATCCGTCCCGGACAACGGGGGTTGAGATGACTCGCAGCGGGACCACCGACACCATCATCGACAGTTTCGACATGTTTCGGTTCAACTCGACGGGACCGCGCGCGGATCTGGATAATACGTATTCCATCCCCCCGGAGTGGGTGCCCACATCCACATCTGGTATCTCGTATCAAGACTCCTTTCCCTCTTCGCTGCATCCTGACCTAGATCCCACTACCGCCTTCCCCTTCTCCTACCCCAACCCCATCTTCTTTTCCACCTCTGCACCCAGCACGACCACCTTCCGGCCGCCAGTGCCACCGGCGTCATCCGTTGAGGCAGCCGAGATGCAACCATCCTTGTCTAGCTCGAGCGACGACTCGGATGACATCATGCCACCATCGCGCGCAATCCGCCGAACCCAACAGCAAGTCGCCCGTGCAACCCGGCCTATCGCCCCGAAACGTGAATCACACGACAGCATGCACAGTCAACCGGAGCCCAGAGAGATGCACAAAATGCTCCGGATCTCCTCAGCCGACGGCACGGCCAAGGAAGTCGCTGCCATCCCGAAAGCTTCAGTGCAAAGACCACCTCGCTTGAAGACATACTGTCATCTCTGCAACGATCAACCCGAAGGTTTCCATGGAGAGCACGAACTTCGCCGACATATCGACCGTGTACACGCACCTGTCCGCAAGGTCTGGATTTGCGTCGACATCTCGCCAGACAAGAGCTTCCTCGCCAACTGCAAAGCCTGCCGAAATGGAAAACGCTACGGCGCAAACTATAATGCCGCAGCGCACCTGCGCCGCACGCATTTCAATCCCTGCCAACGCGGACGCGGTGGACGAGGCAAAGACAGCGAGAAGCGTGGAGGCAAGGGCGGTGGGAACCTTCCGCCTATGGACGTCTTGAAGCACTGGATGATCGAGACGGTCGAACGTGCAAATGAGAACGTTCAAGATGGGTTCCCAGACATGTTGGATGAAGCCTATACTGGACCAATCGCCTTGCCGTTTGCTGATCCTTCGCACGCAACGGCGATGAAGAGGGCCGGGACGATGGCCGCGAACTCGCTAGGCGAGGCAGATGTGCATGTGCCAGCGGGTATGGAGTCCACAGCAATGCATGAGTATGGCAACTTGCCAGTTTCAGCGTCTTTTGATTTCGATGACACGCTTGATACGCCGTTCTATATCGACTCGCAAACTCTGCCATCCGAGTTTGACTCGTATGTCATGTGAGCTGTTCATAATCATCTCTTTCATATGACCCAGAGCGATGTGATACGATGCATTCCATCACCCTATGATCGGTGTTCAGGCGAGCTCCCCTTTCTCTTCCCCCCCCCTTTTATTTCTTTTTAGTTTGGTATGGTTCGTGTATTCTATGTCCTGGCGATTATATATCTTTGGTTGACGTTAGTTCGGTTATAAATTTGGGTTATTGGGTTATTGGGTTTGGAGCCGGTTAATAGGGTGGTCTGATCGGGGCCCGGGATTGGTGTTTCTATGTTCCGCAGTGGACTTGGCTTTCGGATGGGTTGGATATGGATAATCGGTTTCATGGTTCATATTGGGTTCATATTTTGGTGCTGCCTGCGTTTCCATTGCAGAGGTATTTTTTTTGGGGGTACAGCGCTCTGCTGTTTCCCCAGTGCAGCGATTTCTCACGACAGGAATTTGGTGAATCTTTCCCAGGTATCAGGTATTTGATTTGGCCGGGTGCGCAACGAGTTGATGTCGCCTGGCCGTACTGACACGAGTGACGAACCGCTAATGATGTATCATGCATAATTAATGACCTTTCTTCCTGGGCCGTAGCACAGCGTCGTAGTCTCGTAGACCGTACCCGTACCCGTACGGTACATGGTGCAATGGCAGAGGTGCTCCAACTAGTGCAATCGCGGGAGTCGCTAGACCCGAGTCTGGTCACAGCCACAGGGACCCAGGCAGCAGCAATACAGGCGGTCTACTCAAGCGTGGCCGATCAACCGGGTGGGCGCGGTTTGTGCAGCAGGGATAGCCGTGACTGGTGCAAGCGAGAACGACGGTGGAGTGAGGGTGACACGGTGGCGGGCTACTAGGCCAATGACTACCCAAAAAGAAGGCCAGTGTGGAGGTGCAGCTGTGGCTGACTGCGTTGGCGCAGTGTGGTAGGGCTGGCTGTGGCTGGGCCGGTACGCCGCCGTATTGACCGTATTGGCGGTATTATTGCCCCGTGACCTGGTGCAACGGGGGACTCTTCACGCTGTTCATTACAGTCCAGCACAGTCTTCGATTCAGAAATTGGTGGAGCTAGGCACCGAGATTCGTCAATTTAGTACATGTTAATTTACATGAGTGCCGTAACGTGAGATTTCGTATATAGAGCCTGGATACCGCCGGATTACCCGCTGCAAGTCTCCAGTATACCTTCAGCCCTGCCAAGCACTCCGGCCCGAACAGTCCCAGTCATCCCCCGGTCGCCGCGCTGAGAAGGTACCTCCCAACTCATCGGCGCCGTCGGTAAACTTTTGTCTCCTCTTTTCTTCGCTCACTCTCACCCTCTCCCCCTTCACCCTCACGCCCGCGCCGCGTTATCTTCATTCGCTTGATCCAACTTCCGGCTTCAGGCCTCCTTTTCTCTCCAACCCAAAAAAAAAAGAAAATACCCCTGTTTCGACCGACCAGGTACGTTCGTTTGTTGTCGCCGTGGCGCCAGCGCCCTTCTATCGCAGCCCCAGTCTTGTCCCGCGGTCGCCTCTCTGTTATTGCTCTGCTATTACCTAGTGTCGCCTCATGGTCTTCTGTTGGTCTTGTTTCTGACGCTAATTTGCTCTCTTCCTCTTGACCAGGTCTTTTTCATTCACGACATGTCGCAATACTACAACCAGCCCGGGCCCCAGTACCCCCCTCAGGCGTGAGTGACCTCCGATTACCGTCGCGATAGCCTCCTTCTCGCTTCAATCCCTAAGATATTTCCACCGATCGGCTATCTTGATATGTGATGGTGGATTACGGGCGAGCCATTCGTCGCCGACGACAAGTCGCGAGTTGCTGGCTTGTTGAGGACAGCGCTAACATCAATCTCTACCGTAGCTACCCTCCTCCCCAGCAACCCGGCTACGGTCCTCCCCCTGGCCAGTACTATCCTCAGGTAGGATTAACCATACCAGGCAAACTGAAGACGGCTCCTCGCTAATCCAGGTCCAACATGGCCAGCCACAATATACTCAACCCCAGTATGCTCCCCAGCAGGGGCCGCCGCCCGAGCAGCAAAAGTCCAAGAGCGGAGGTCAGGGCTGTCTCGGTGCCTGGTAAGTTTCAAACATGCCAAACATTTCCCCATTTGCTCGCCGCTAACACGAGATTCGTTTTCTAGCTTGGCAACCCTTTGCTGTTGTTTCGTTTGCGAGGAGGGCTGTGAATGCTGTGCCGAATGCATCGAGTGCTGCGAGATGTGCTAAATCCCGCTTCTCGATATCTCGATAAATCTGATGACCCTCTTTTTGTTCATGGCGTTTGAGTTTCAAGAATCGCCGCTAGGATTTTGGGGCCGACCCATATGCGCTCTTCGGCCTGCACCATTTCAGATACGTTAAGCTTCCTGCAACAACTTGGGAGCTAGAGTTATTTTTGAATTGATTGCTCTTCCACTCGAAATGTTCTATCGATAGTTAATTCGTAATGCAATTTTCGTGCTGTCACTTATCACCTGTACAAGCCACAGGGCTGTATACCTCAGGAGCAACTCGTATCCGAAGCATACCGTCTCGATCAAAAAAACAGGCCATATCACATAATTCTTCTCGGAAACTGAGTGCTGAGTTTCTTGGCGCTCACCTATGCTTGAATGTCACGACTCAAATTGTCGGTTTTTACGTGTAGGGTAAAATGGACTCTACTCTTAGTGATCGACGGGGCCACTGACCCTCCACTAATCGATCGGGCCTTTTTTTCTTTTCCTGTTTTTCCCTAGAATAATTCGAAACACGCGAAATCCTCGGCGTTACGCTGCAGCTCAGAGGCGGGTGTGATTTGGTAAATCATCCCACTGCGCTCGTATCTAAGCGCCGTGTTCTCTGCGGCCCCTCAGACAACAGCTGCCCACGGCGCTATATCGCTCCAGTATATGACTGGAGCCGCCGGCCATGTTTTAATGTAGTACTCGTCGCTTTCTGAATGAACGCTCTCACCGTCTGAAATACCCTCACTATTCGAGCCACATAGCTCTCAGGCAATGGCAAAAGCCACAGTGGGGGACCCTCGAGAGTCCGCCGGACTCTGCCTCCTTGCGTTGGATGGCGGTGGAGTGAGGGGTCTGTCGAGTCTATATATTTTGAGAGACCTGATGGCTCAGCTGAATGCCGGACGCTCCGAGGACTATCGTCTCAATCCGTGTGATGTATTTGACTTGATCGGGGGGACTAGCACGGCGGGTCTGTATACCCATGCAGTGGAGATTGAAAGCAACCCAACACTGATGCTTTATGGTAATTAGTCTCATCGCTATAATGCTAGGGCGGCTGGAGATGGATATTGATGAGTGCATCAATGCCTATACCGAGTTAATGACATCTGTTTTCAGGGAAAAAGCCAGCAGTCTCCCGATTGACTGGTCGGGGAATATCAAAGCGCAATACGATAGCAAAGGGCTCCGGTGCGCGATTGAAAATGTCATATCTCGTACTGGCACATCCCCTGTAGCACTCATGGATGATGGTTTCCCTCGTCGGTGTCGAGCTTTTGTTTGTGCAACTGCGAAGGAAACCCTTCAAACAACACGTCTGCGGAGCTATACGGTGTCGAACGAGGAAACAATTCCAGCCACAATCTGTGAAGCAGCCCTGGCAACAGCTGCTGCAACACGATTCTTTGAGCCTGTGATGATTGGAAACCACCAATTCGTGGACGGCGCATTCGGTGCAAATAATCCCATTGAAGAGGTCGAAGAAGAGGCAACAGACATTTGGTGCCCAAGGTCACGCGAATTGAAGCCATTGGTCAAATGTATAGTTTCGATCGGGACCGGAAATCCTGGTCAGAAGGCTCTGGACGACAACATCCTTCGATTCCTGACGAAAACCCTAGTTCGCATGGCGACCAAGCCAGAAGGTACTGAGAGGCGGTTTATTGCACGATGGCAGAACGAGTTCAATGAGAAAAGATACTTTCGCTTCAATGTTGACCAAGGCTTGCAAGATGTTCGCATGACCGATTACTCGAAACGAAACATCATCGAGACTACGACGCATGATTACCTTCACCATGCGACGCAAAAATCTCGTATTAGGGATTGTATTGTGAATCTAGTAGAGAAAGGAGGTATGTGCCTTATTGTTTTGCTATGAAGTATCACCCAGGAATGACCGGGGATGAGCAGGAAAAACCGATCTTGATTTTGAACGACCCTTCGGGTAAGTCATACCTTGATCAACCAAATCAAAAGTTTTCACCCAACTCAAAGAATGGAGATCAGAATCACAAAGCTCTTACTCTTCACGATCTGGTGTTACGGAGAACTCAATTGAATACCCATTTTCTGGCGACAAGATCACCGTGCTGGATTGTACCTTTTGAGCGGAACGCACGATTTGTCGATCGAGAGGCACTGACTGAGATCAAACTCAAGCTACTCACTTCCGATCACTCGGAAAGAACTGCCTTGTTTGGGCTTGGAGGCTCCGGTAAAACCCAAATAGCAATTGAGTTGGCTTACGAGACGAGGGAGAGATGGCCAGACCGTTCCGTTTTTTGGATACCTGCCTTGAATCATGAGAGCATTCAGCAAGCATACCAGAAGATTGGCCATGAACTTGGCCTTGAACAGAATGAAAACGAGAAAGAGGATATCAAAACCCAAGTTCAAAAATATCTCAGTCATGCGCATACCAAGCCCTGGCTTCTAATCTTCGACCATGTCGACGACATCGACCTATGGGTGGAATCAAACACCACACGGAACGACGGGCTGATGAAATTTCTGCCCAAGCACCACAAAGGAGTGATCCTTTTTACGACACGGAGTAAACGAGTTGCTCATAAACTCGCATCAACCGGAATCATTGAGCTTCCCGAAATGGATGAACGCAGAGCCACCTCGGTCCTACGAAACTCGCTAGTCGACAAAAGCTTGCTCAACAATCGAGAGCACACGAAGGTCCTGCTAGAACGTCTCGCGTTTCTTCCACTTGCTATCACACAGGCCGCTTCATTCTTGAACGAAAATCAAATGGACATCGCAAGCTACATACGTCTTCTAGATGGGCAAGAGCAAGACGCCATCGACCTACTGGGCGAGGATTTTGAGGACGAAGGGCGAGGAAAAAGCATCCGCAATGCAATTGCGAAAAAGTGGCTCACATCATTCTCCCAACTGGCAGCGCAAAATTCATTTGCTTCCGAGTGCCTCTCCATAATGGCTTGCCTAAACCCGCGAGATATCCCAGTATCGATTCTTCCACGCCGCACTGAGCTCGAACTAGAAAAGGCGATTGGGATTTTGAGCTCCTACTCTTTTGTCCGAGCGCAGGAATCTGGAAAATATCTTGATTTGCACCCCTTAGTGCACTTGGCCACGAGGAACTTCCTCAGGTCTAATGGTTCGTGGAGGGATTGGCAAAGAAGGGCAATAGTAACCCTTGGACAACGATTTCCTGCTGCCTATAATGGTGGGGAATCAGTCAGGAACCTCTGGCGTTCCGCAATGGCTCATGGAATCTATATCGTCGATGAAATTGCCGCTGAAACTAGATGTTTCTGGACCGCCCAACTTTTGTATTCCTTGGCCTGCTGTACCATGCTTGAGGCTCGATACAAAGATGCCGAGAAACACTGCCTCAAAGCTATTGAATTGAAGAAGGAGGTCTTCGGAAGCAAAATAGGGGCAACTCTACCAGAAATGTCACTACTCGCAACGATCTACCACCTCGATGGTCAGATCCAAAAAGCTTTGGTAATTGCTGAAGAATCTCTGAAGTCCCACAAAGAGCTTTTTGGTGGAAACGACAGGCGGACTGTCACTTCCAGGACTAAGATATCCCTGGTTTACAAGGATTCATTCAAGTACGAAGAGGCGGAGAAGCTTGCGAGGGAATCCCTAAGGTTTCATCTTCGGAACTACGATTTGACCCATTACGATACAATTGTCTGTCTGGACATCCTGACCAGTCTATACATTGACCGGGGTCAGTTCCAAAATGCAGCTGAATTGAGCCAAGTCACCTACCAGATCACGCAGAGAATTTGTGGACGAGATCATCCTTTAACTATACCGAGTGCGTCGAGATTGGCCGTAGCATACCACCGCCAATGGCGTCTCGACGAGGCTAACGCTATAGTATCTGAAATACTTCCCATGTCTCAGATGATCCTCGGGGACTGTCATCCAACAACGCTCTCCATTATACTCTCTCTGGCATTGATAGCAAGAGACCGAAATGAAGATTCAGAGGCCTTGGGCTTGATGACAGAGATGGTCCGTATGGGACGCGGTTACAATGGGACATATCCGATTACCTTGGACGCGTCTGCTCTTCTATCTGAATGGCAAAATGAGTATGTTTGACTATATTTCCAGTTTCCTCCCTTCGTATTCAAATCCGGAAATAGTGGCTTCTTTTGTGACATGCACGCATTTTCTTAGCTATTAGTTTTCTACTGGGCTAACCAATATTCAGCCACTTTTACATTAGATTTTTGCGCTATCATACGAACTTTTGTCGGAACAAATTGTTTCTAGAGCGCAGAAAGATATATCCGAAGGTGAAAGTGTTTGGGGGTCTTTACAAAGCTCGACGGCCACCGCGTGATTCTCTCATTGACGAGATTAAGGCTGCTATGGCTCGACTGCCTTTAAATTGGCAGTCATCGGGGGATGCAGGAACTTTCGTTGATATATCAGAATAGCGGGCAAGACGATGAGCTCATGGACGAGATGCGAACTCGGGTGCAAATATACGATACGTGGAGACATGGAATAAATCAAGGTCTTGACCTGGGGCTACATTGTTGAAAAATTGCGTTTCTGGGATGCAGAGGGCCCAAAGCATTGGAAAGGTTTCCACTTTTCTATGGTTGATTATCTGTTTTGAAGAGGGTTCGGCGCCAGTTCAATTTCCTAACCCCCATGTTCTTTCATTTGACTGTACTTCTTCTATTTGGCTGCTTGCTGACAAGGGGAATTTTCAAGATATTTCAGTTGCTCGGTGTTAAGGGGGGCATTAAGGAGCTGCGTAGGGCGCCTTTCGCTTATCGCCGCCTAATCTCCGAGGGTGCTGGCCATATGTGCCGTGCCTCAATTGCGGACTAGAATAGCAACCACGACACCTCAACCCAGCAACGAAAACATCAAACGAATTCCCCCCTCAAGGACACCAGATATCATCATGAAAGAGGCATTCGTTAGCAAGAACCTTGGTGTGTCGATCAAGGACACCGACATTCCTATTCCTAAAGCGGGCCAGGTGCTTATTTGCGTTGTCGTGTCCGGAACCAACCCCAAGGACTGGAAGATGCCCCCGCATTGGCCTGTCGATGGAACACCTTTTAATCAAGGGGATGATATTGCCGGGTACATCGAAGCAGTCGGAGATGATGTCGCTGGATTTCGCAAAGGAGACAAGGTAGCCGCATTTCATCAAGTGATGACGCCTCATGGAAGCTGGGCCGAATATGCGATCGCGCCTGCCTACTCAACCTTCCATGTTCCTTCAAAGACAAGCTTCGAGGGTCAGTATATCCCAGCATTCTTCCTTGGTCAAAATCGTTGTCTGATAGCCTCGGTAGAAGCGGCCACCATTCCGCTTGCCGCTATGACGGCTGCAATCGGTCTGTATCAGCGGTTGAAACTGCCTTTGCCATGGAACCCGACACACGAGCCCCTGCCTCTTGTGGTATATGGTGGAGCGACTGCAGTTGGAGCTTTCGCGATCAAGTTTGCTCAACTTTCCAACATCCACCCGTTGATCGTGGTCGCAGGCCGAGGCGGTTCTTTCGTGGAGACGATCATCGACCCTGCGAAAGGTGACAGAATCATCGACTATCGTGAGGGTGATGAAGCCATCCGTTCAAGTCTCAAGGCTGCTGCAGGCGGTCGCTCGATTTACTTCGCCTTTGATGCAGTTTCGGAAAAAGGAAGTTTCCAGAATATCGGCGAAAGCATGACTGCGCCAGGTCAAATCGCCGCTATGCTCCCCAATGGAGAATATCAGCCTCAAGGGATCTCCATCACCCAAGTTATAGTTGGGTTCCTTCATCAACCTCCCGCCCCGGGAAAGGCAATCGAGGATCGCGAGTTTGCTGCTGCTTTCTATCAACTCATTGGCCGCGGCCTGGCACAAGGGTGGTTCTCTGGACACCCGTACGAAGTGCGGCGAGGTGGGTTAGCTGGAATCGAGGAAGCATTGCAAGATCTCAAAGGTGGCAAAGCGTCCGCTGTCAAATACGTAGTGCGTCTTAGTGAGACTGAGGGAGTCTCACGGTGACTTTGCATTTTGTTGTCACCTGGGCACTTAAGGTTGCCAGATGCGGCGATGATGACTACAAAGATTCCTATGCCTGTTGAGTTGAGCATCCTAGGTTGATTGTGACACTATACACTCGAGGGTCAAGTGTGTGGGCTTCTTTTTGTTGGGTGTCGAGAATATATATCAGATAAAGTACATGAACCAGTCAGTAAGAGTTTTGTAAACATGCACCTAGTGTTGTTTCTTTTCACCGCTTTGAATTTACCCTCAACTCGCCCTCATACACTGCTTAGTGTGACCCTTCTTTGCCGACACCATGCAACGTCAAATCCACAGCAACCCCCGAAAGTGGAGGCTCTGCAGCTGCAGAGATGCGGAGAAGCCCGTCCAGTTTACCCGTCAATCACATCCCTCGCCCCGCAGGACCTGCCTGCCACCTTCTTGCATGGCGCCAGCGAAAATCATCGTCAGGAACAATAGACACCAATGATTTAAATTGTCGTAGGTCGTGCTGCAGCTTCAGCGACGTCCCTCGATCTTGGCCTTTTACCAACCTCCGACATAGGACAGCAAAACGAGGAGCCGACGTTGAAACAGGGATCCGAACTAGCGCCCTGCACCAATTCACCCGATGTTTCCCCTGACTTTGAGGGGTTTGGCGAAGGCCCGGTGCACTCCTCACGGAAATTTTCCCGATCCGGACCATTCAATATCGGCAAGTTCCAAAGAGCAGCGAAGCTATGCCTTCAAATTGGAAGTGATCATCTCGGCTCTTCTTCAACCCCTCTTAGCTCACGATGCGAGACAAGAGGGGTGGTCTTGGTATCATGGGGGAGTGCTATCCGACGGAATGACATTGCTCGTGGCTGGGATTCGGCGTGCATAAATAGTTGTTGCGACCTCCTCGTGTCAATCTGTCTACGATCCATTGAGGATAGGATCAGCGATTTGCATCTGCTGGTCTCGGTCGATTGGAATCATGCTGCATCGGTATCTTCTTTTGCCGCTGTTGGCTTCCTGCAGTGCGGCCGTTACTATTTCAGTCGCGAAGTCGGGAGGAAATGCCACCACCAACCTGCAATATGGAGCCATGGAAGAGGTATGATCCGTTTGAGATATGATCTATGTTGTACTAGCTAAAATCTACTAGGAAATCAACCATTGCGGCGAGGGTGGTCTGTACGCAGAGCTGATCCGCAATAGGGCATTCCAGGGAAGCACAAAGTATCCGTCATCCCTGGATGCCTGGACTGCCGTGGGTGGATCATCTCTATCACTGCAGAATCTCACTGATCCACTTTCCTCCGCTCTCCCCACCTCAGTGAGAGTTAAGGGCAGTGGGACTGCTGGACTCACCAATGCCGGATTCTGGGGAATCGATGTGCGACCGCAGAAGTACACTGGGTCTTTCTATGCCAAAGGCGATTACTCGGGCTCCTTCACGGCGGCTCTCACCTCATCCAATGGAAAGACATTGGCTAGCACCAAGGTGAAATCGAAGAGTGTATCTGGTAAATGGGTGCAGCATGAGTTCACCCTGACTGCAAAGTCCACGGCCTCTAATACCAACAACACCTTTTCGCTGTCATTCGATGCTTCGGTGAGTTTGTTCCATTTAATAATTGAAGAGAATTATTTAACAGAAAGCAGAAAGCGAAAAATGGCTATCTTGACTTCAACCTGATCAGTCTGTTCCCCCCGACTTGGAATGATCGTCCTAATGGCATGCGACGAGACCTGATGCAGGCTTTGAAGGACCTCAACCCTGTGAGCTTTTCGATTATTCCCATCAACTTTTATTCTGAAGCTAATCTTAAATGAAAAGAAATTTCTGCGTTTCCCTGGCGGAAACAATCTAGAGGGAGACACAATTGAAGGCAGATGGAAGTGGAACGAGACCATCGGACCTCTTAAGGATCGTCCTGGCCGCGCTACAACCTGGAGCTATGAGGAGACTGGTGGTTTCGGTCTGATCGAGTATATGGAGTGGTGTGACGATCTTGGCATGGAGCCCAGTATGTGCCTTCTCATATCGAGCCATTTTCATATCCTAACGAGCAAAACTAGTCCTCGCTGTATGGGCTGGATTGGCCCTCAATGGCGACGTTGTCCCAGAGGCTGAGCTGGATGTCTACGTCCAGGATGCCCTTGATGAGCTGGAGTTCCTGACTGGCTCTGTTGATACCGAACTCGGTGCGCTTCGTGCGAAGTACGGACACCCTGAGCCGTGGAAGATCCGATACGTCGAGGTTGGAAATGAAGACAACCTCAACAATGGATTGGAGTCGTACAAGTCATACCGCTTTGCTGCATTCTACGATGCTATTACCGAGAAGTACCCCGATATTCAGGTTCTGGCCTCAACTATCGACATGACTCTCGAGGGCAAGGCCGGTGGTGACTACCATCTGTACGACATCCCAGACAATTTCATCACCAAGTTCGACATGTTCGACAGCTACAGCCCCGACCACCCTATTCTGCTCGGTACGATTGTTTTAGAGTGTGGAATACTTTGTAGTTGCTAATGACCATGACAGGCGAAATTGCTGCCACCGAATTTAACAACGGCGAAGGCATTGACTGGAGTGACACCAACTTCTCTCTGTACCCATGGTGGATTGCGTCGGTTGCTGAGGCTGTCTTCCTTTTGGGCGCTGAGCGGAACGCAGACAAGATCATCGGAACTACCTATGTGAGTACAAATTGTCATTGTTTTAATTTACAAGGACATTGAGAGCTGACCAAGCGCAGGCGCCGTTCTTGATGAACCTGGACAGCTACCAGTGGTCCCCAACTATGATCTCCTTCAACGCCAACCCAGATGACACTGCCAAATCCACCAGCTTCCACGTCTACAGCGTAAGTCGACCCCACGTAGATGACTTGATACGAATACTTTTCTGACACATTCAGCTTTTCAATGAAAACCATATGACCAACACCCTTCCGGCAACTTCCGAGGATGCCTTTGGCCCGCTGTATTATGCAACCGGCCTGAACAGCGAGACCAACTCCCGCATCTTCAAGGCGGCTGTGTACAACAGCACCGAAGATGTGCCTGTGTCGTTGACCTTTTCGGGTGTGGGCCGGGGCACCAAAGCTGACTTGACCATTCTCACCGCACCTGATGCCTTGTCAATGAACGAGGTGGGTGGACAAAACATTGTGAAGACTCAGACTACGACAATCAAGGCTGGCAAGAAGGGAGAGTTCAGCTTCAAGCTGCCCAACCTTAGCGTGGCTGTCCTCACAACGAATTAGATAGGAAGCGTGGATTCTAACAACGTGAGATTTCGAATGTTTGAGACAAACTAGGCGAACTCGACTACCTACATTCATTTCCCAGAATAGAGGGGCTGACGGCATCAATGTTCAATCATAAGTGACCAAGAAAGTATACTAGATTTGCATCTATCCTTAGTGGTCCCATGTGTCCAATGATGTAGCTTTATGCTCATGTTGAATGAGAGATTTTGGGCTGTGCATTTACCTGCTCAGGTCACCATGCTGAGCTTACATTGCAGATCTGCAGGCAGTCTCCAAATTTGGATAGCCTTGTCGACAGCGACAGCCTCCACAGCCTTGCACGATTAAAAGGCTGAGTCTACTAGCGCATGATAGGATTGTCGCAAGGCTGGACCTGAATAAAACCTTTATTTTATCTGGAGTGTGTACTAGAGGTATCTCTGCCGTCTCCGACATTGAACCATGGCCCCTTGCACCTCCATGACGGGGCCGCTAACGATCGTGTCGCTCTATAATCTAAGCCAGTCTAGTACCACCTGCCAATTCGAGACTCCTACTCAATCCAGCAATCAGGTCAGTCTAGTGAAGAATCGGATCTGCACACCGACTTCCCCGACTCCACCTCACTCTACAGGAGCAGCCCCACACTCCTTCGGCTCGCACCCCAACCTACCGGGACGCACTGGTCAACGGGGCTTGTATAAACGGGTCTTGTCTCACCACAAAAGAGCCGCGTCAAAAGTTCGGGGAAATGGGCCGTCCTCCAAGGTTCAAGCAACTAATCCCCACCGGCACGTTCCAGCCCCTTTCCACGAGTGAATAGCGCTGCGACTGTAGCAATGAAACCGAAAGAGGCAGACGCCCCGAACGATAGGCGGATTCCGCGATAGTAGACCAGTCGCACGGCCATCTGCACGTCCGGAGGTAGACTATGGATTGCCGAGACGGAGTGACGGATCTCGTCAATCAACTAAAAGAAAGGGCTGTGGTCAGCACATTCACACATAACATCAACCTGCCATCTCAAATCTTCTCGGAAGGAATTGTACTTTCCATTTGTCTGGTAACCCACTCAAGGCCTCTACGAGGCCTGAGCTCAATGTGTTCTGAATGATAGCAGAAGTAATCGCCACTCCCCAAACTGTCCCGAGGGAGCGGATGAGGTAGACGGTCGAGGCGGAGACGGCGTGGTCTGGTTTCCATTAGTCTCCACGGATGATGATCATTTCGAAACGAGGCAACCCAACATACCGGAATGGTCGAACGCAGCTAGGAAAGTGAACAAAATACCCGGGTACACTATTCCTTGTCCCAGGTTGGCGGGAATAATATACGCAAAGTACTTCCACTGCGAGTCGTCGAAGCGGAGCAATGCCACTAGGAGGTTCCCCACAAACATCAGGCCAGCACCGGTGCGCACTAGGTAGGCTAGCTTGCCCCAGCGTGACATCACAACACCGGAAATGAGGCCACCGAGAGGGGTTGCAAGGGAGGGAATAACGAGTCGAGCGCCCGCTTTGGTGGGACTATCGAGCAGGATGACTTGGAAAAGCAGAGGAATGGTAAAGAGGAACTGCAAGAAGAGTCAGTAGTGTATCGGGTAATATGGGGCGAAAGAACCCATACCGCATATGCAGCCATTCCCACGCAGACATTGGCAATTTGAGTGGACACTGGCAGCAATCCACGCAGCATCTTCAAGGGAATAAGCGGCACAGCTTTGGTCCTTGCCTCGACAGCAACAAAAGCACCCAGGAAAGCCACACTAGCAACCAGGGACAGGATCACCCAGAGGTTCGTCCAAGACAGCTCATTTCCACCCAGACTCAGACCTACAAGTTGCGCGGACAGTGCCAACACAAGCAAGCAAGCGCCTGAGAGATCGATCTGGTGCCAGATCCCTTGTTTCGTTTGATCCGCCGATTCAGTAGTTTCCTTGGCAGGAAACTGGAGAACAAAGTACCCCAGGACCAGAACCATCATTGAGACAGGTACTTGAACGAGAAAGCACCAGCGCCATCCGATCGAATCGACGATGGCACCACCAAATGACGCACCGCAAATTGCACCAAAGCCATACGAACCGTTCTGCACAGCCTGGTACATACCGCGCCGGCGGAAGGGAATGAGATCTGAGTTGACAATGGTCGCTATGAAGGTGTTATAAGCTGCTCAGCTTTCCTATACAAGTCAGCGGGCCGGAACAACTCACCCATCGTCATCAACCCTCCACCCCCAATACCCGTCAACGCGCGCATGATGTTTAAAAAAACTACATCTCTCGCGACAGCGCAGCCAAGACATCCGGTTAGAAAGGTGATCGTCGCGGTGAAGAAACAAGCTCTCCGGCCTAGAATGTCTGAGAAGCGACCGTACAAAGGTTGAAACGCGGTGCTGGTGATCAGGTACGACGTCGTCAACCAGGACGCCGTATTGGCGGCGTTGAAGTCTGAACTAATCACAGCATACGTCGACGCGGTGATGGTCCCGTCAAATCCGGAGAGGAAAACGTTCGACATGATCGCTATCGCACAAGATCAGCCTTTTTCGTTTCGATGGCGGGGTGGTCTATACGAACCGAATTGAATCCATAGGAAACCTGGACCCGGCCGCCAAGTCGCACTTGGATCAGATCCCAGCAGTGGCTGCTCTTCATTTGGAGACATTTCGGCATCTCGCTGAGATTCAATCCTCGTCGCTGGTGCTATCGACGCAGGGCTCTGTTCGCTGAGCTGGGCAACCATGGCGGGGTGGTTTCTATTATCGAATCTGACAAAAGTTCTGGAAACCCTGAAGATTCCGATCTTCATAAATGGAAAATACCCGACGAACCGAAAGCTGCCAGAACGTCAACTCGCTTCGAGCGGGCCGAAATAATTTCCGATGGCAGCACACTATCGTGCAGTACCAATTCAAAGAAAGAGCGGGCACTCGATTGGGCAGGCCGGACGCACATCGCCAAGCACGACATCCGCGGAACTTCTCGCATGCTCAGCACACTTTGCATGATCGCCAATGAATGCCCCGAGGGTATCGCAGAATCATAGAATTTTTGAATACGAAAGCGGATTTGATGAGCAAAGCGGAGTTATGGAAGGATGGCACCAGAGGGACGGAAAATGACGTCGGGGCAGCCAGACTCTTTGTCTATATAAACCCCGTTGTACACCCGACGCCGGCATTTTTGCTACCACTACATTGACACTGATATTGTCATTTTACGACTCTGACTCCGACGATCGAGAGTTTCCCAGTGCAGAGTACCCATCTAAGGTTAATGTACCCTATCTTAGAACGATATGGCCGGCATCATGGAAACTGATCGCTGGTCTAGAACCCCTCACCATCATGAAGGTCCTTGAAAGCGTCGCCTACGCGGCCGCCCTGGTTCCTCTTGCGGCTGCCGATTGGCAATTCAAGTCTCGTACAGACCTGGCCCCGCCTCGTCTGAACATTACTATCCCCGCAGCGAGCGATACCGACAAGGGATATCTTTTCGTCGCCCCGTTCCCGGGACAATGGGCTGAGCCTCAGTTCCACGGTCCCCGACAGGAGGCCCCGTATATCTTCCGCGATGACGGCGAACTCGTCTGGTCCGGATACACCTACTATTCTATCTGGACGGCCAACTTCCAAGCTGCGCGCTGGAAGGGCCAGGATGTGCTATTCAGCTTCGAGGGAGATCATAACCCGGCCTACGGTCACGGTCATGGCCATGCGACAATCCTGAACCAGAACTATGAGACGATTCGGGAGCTGCGAGCTGGCAATCACAAGCTCATGGATAAGCACGAGTTCCATGTCATCGACGAAAAGACTGCCCTCCTCCAGGTTTACCAGCCTATCCCCACGGATCTGAGCCGCTGGGGTGGCAGTTCGGAGCAGCAGTGGATCGTGGATGCCATATTCCAAGGTACGTGCATCTGCCCCGGCAAGTAGCACAACACGTATGCTGATGTTAGTCAGAGCTGGATATCGAGACCGGCGAGCTGCTTTTCGAGTGGTCCAGCCTTGAGCATGTCACTCCTGATGGTTAGTTGCCAGCGCCAATGTTTGTTTCGCGGTCTATCCACTGATGATGAGCAGAGGGGGTTCTCCCTCTCAACCCCGGCCAGGCCGGATCGGGCTACAACTCTTCCGACGCGTGGGATTATTTCCATATCAATTCCGTCGACAAGGATGCCAATGGCGACTATCTGATTTCGGCCCGCGACGCTTGTGCGGTGCACAAGATAAACGGCACCACTGGCGAGATCATCTGGCGTCTGGGCGGTCTTCACTCGGACTTTGATCTCGGTTCCAACGTCGCATTCTGTTTCCAGCACCACGCGCGCTACGTCTCCAAGGACGGAGATGAAGAGATCATCTCGCTCTTCGATAACTCTGCCCACGGAACCGAGAACCACCGCGGACATGAAGTGCACACGCACCCCTTCTCCCAGGGTAAGGTCATCTCCGTCAACACGGCCACCTGGACAGCCGAGATCGTTCAGGCGTTCCAGCCGCCCGATGGGCTTCTCGCCAAGTCTCAGGGAAGCACCCAACTCCTACCCAACGGCAATGCACTGGTTAACTGGGGATCTGAGGGCGCCGTGACCGAGTTCCGCTCGGATGGAACTCCCATTTTCCATGCCTACATGGACTCGGGATCTCTGGGCGAGGGTGTTGAGAACTACCGCGCCTTCAAGTACAACTGGACTGGTATCCCCACCGAAGAACCCGCTATCGTGGCTGAGAAGACCCCCTCTGGTACCGCAGTATATGTGTCGTGGAATGGCGACACCGAGACAGCCGTCTGGCGTTTCTATGCAGTGACCGACCGGTTCGGGTCACGGTCGTTCCTGGGTGAAGCCGCGCGCGATGGCTTTGAAACCGCGTTCTTTGTGACTGGCCACTCGTACGCGCATATCGCAGCCGAGGCTGTCTCTGCGCGGGGCAAAATTCTCCGCGCCACTCAAACGGCTGGCCTGCAGGAGCAGGTCATCCCGGGTCACCAGGCGGTTGTGGCTGATTTTTCGGACCGTTCATCGTGGAGACAGATCATCCTGCGGGCCTAAAGATCGGTCAGGCGAGGGGAGGGATGTTGCTGGGGGAGAGTGTGGTGTAGCAGATGTAGGCAGTAGATAGATCCGGTAGGACAATTCATGAATGAGAAAGCCACATGGCCCGATCGATCGGACTGAATGCAGCGCGTAAGCCCGAGTAGGCCAGTGAGCATCAAATCGGGCCAGTCGACACAAGGATAATGGAGCTCGTTTAAGGTCGGAGGAACCCAAAACAGGTACTGCAGGGTGGGGTCAGAGCGGGTCCGCGGGGGAAATACGTGAATACGGGGCCAATCAGCACGTGTTTTTCCAAGTTAGGCATGTTGTGTAGAATGGTAAGGTTTGCCGTTCCATCTGAGCTCTTTGGCGGATGACATGCTGCCGCTCGTTTTGGCCGCGCTGTCACGGGTTGCCTGAGGATCCATCCGGGTCGTGTTCTCCGGCTCCAATTGTTGGTTCCGGCTTTGAAGCTGGCTCCGAACAAAAAGGTACTGGTACTTGGGACCCGCAGTGTCAAAGCATGTGTGCCAATGTAAAACTACTCGTCTCGGGACAGGTACAGCTCTCCACGAGGGTCGCGCTGACTTTCTTCGGATGGCACTGTTTCCGAGCTCCGTCCCTACTGAAAGTAAACGGCATGGCTTGGCCTCGCGTCATCACGGGCTCATATCTTTCTTTTAACCTACTCGCTCACATCATCTCACGTCGCCGCTCCTCACTTTCTTACGACCACACCCTCCAACGGGCATGCGATAATCATGGCAGACCCTCAGCCTCCAACTCTTTTCGGAGGCGGTGCGGCCGCTGCACGAGCCGTGAATCAGCGACTCGATGAGTGCATATCGGACGAAGATTCACGGGACCGCGAGATCTCGGAGGACGCCGTGACGCCCGCCGCTGAGGAGGAAATTCGACACAAAGAAATCACCGAGCTTGCCCGGACCTTTTCCCACATCTCGAATCAGGACAGTACCGCCACGGGCAATGGCCTCAGTGACGCGATCAACACTTTCCTCGACCCTACGAGTGATCCCACGTTAGACCCGAATTCAGATCAATTTAGTTCCTACAAATGGGTTCGCAATATGCTGCAGATGACCTGTGACTCAGATCGATACCCGCGTCGTACAGCAGGTGTCTCGTTCCGCAATCTCAATGTCTTTGGATATGGGTCTGGTGCGGACTATCAAATGAACTTTGCCAATGCCTGGTTGAAAATGTTCAATTGGGGAAAGAGCCAGCTTGGGTTGGGCAAGAAGGTTCGCATTGATATCCTGCGGGACTTTGAAGGTATGATCAGTACAGGCGAAATGCTGGTTGTATTGGGGCGCCCAGGCAGGTGAGTTTGGCTTTGCTGTAGTGTTTAAGTCTACAGAGAAGTGGTGAAGTGACTGACAGCGACCAGTGGATGTACCACGTTGCTGAAAACAATTGCCGGTGAAACCCATGGTCTCTATTTGGATGACGGGGCCGATGTGCAATATCAAGGTATCTCGTGGGAAGAGATGCATTCCCGATTCCGGGGCGAGGTAATCTATCAAGCCGAAACGGAAATCCACTTCCCCCAGCTGAGCGCCGGTGATACGCTTCTTTTTGCCGCGCATGCGCGCACACCGACGAATCGGCCACCGAGTGTAACCCGTGACCAGTATGCAATGCATAAGCGTGATGTGGTGATGGCCATGCTGGGACTGTCACACACGATGAACACCAAAGTTGGCAACGAGTATATCCGTGGCGTTTCGGGTGGCGAGCGCAAACGAGTCAGTATCGCCGAGACCACGCTATGCGGCAGTCCTCTTCAATGCTGGGATAACAGCACACGTGGCTTGGATAGCTCGACGGCGTTGGAATTCGTGAAGAATATTCGTCTCTCGACCCAATATAGTGGAGCCACGGCCGTTGTCGCCATCTACCAAGCCAGTCAATCGATCTACGACATTTTCGACAAAGCTGTTGTCCTCTACGAGGGTCGTCAAATTTACTTCGGCAATGCAAAGACTGCTCGTCGCTTCTTCATCGATATGGGCTTTGAATGCCCTGATCGACAAACTGATGCCGATTTCCTGACATCCCTTACCAGTCCTTCCGAACGCCTCGTTCGCCCCGGCTTCGAAAATGTTGTACCGCGCACCCCTGACGAATTCGCTAAGCGGTGGAAGGAGAGTGATGAACGGAAGCATCTGCTGCAAGAGATTCAAGCCCATAACGATCAGCACCCATTGGGCGGAGACCAGCTGGATGCCTTCAATCGATCACGTGCAGCCGAAAAATCCAAGGCAAACAAGGCATCATCCCCATACACGATCTCCTACCCAATGCAGGCTCGGCTCTGTCTTTGGCGGGGCTTCCTGCGCTTGAAGGGAGATATGAGTATGACAATAGCATCCGTGATCGGTAACAGTGTCATGGGTGTTATCATCTCGACTGTTTTCCTCAACTTGCCTGACGATACCGGTAGCTTCTTTCAGCGCGGAGCTCTCCTTTTCTTCGCCATTCTACTCAATGCATTTGCCTCCTCCCTGGAGATTCTCACCCTTTGGCAACAACGACCGATTGTGGAGAAGCATTACAAGTATGCACTCTATCATCCGTCTGCAGAAGCGATTGGGTCCTATATCGTCGAACTTCCGTCAAAGGTATTGGTCGCGATTACGTTCAACATAATTATCTACTTTGTGCCGCATCTTCGCCGAACTCCAGGGCATTTCTTCGTCTTCTTTTTGTTCTCATTTTCCACAACATTGGTCATGTCCAACATCTTCCGTTCTATTGGAGCCATCTCCCGCTCTATGGCTCAGGCCATGGTACCGGCTTCGATTTTCATGATGATTCTGGTCATTTACACTGGATTCACAATCCCTGTCAGAGACATGCACCCTTGGTTCCGGTGGCTGAACTATTTGAATCCAATCGCGGTAAGTTCGACATGATCTATTTTTGCTCGGTCGTCAGACTTATTGTTTCCAGTACGCTTTCGAGGCTCTCATGATCAACGAGTTCAGTAATCGTCATTTTAATTGCTCTGAATACATACCTCGTGGCCCATTATACCTTAATGCGCCACTGAGCTCTAGGATCTGTACGCAAAAGGGCGCCGTGGCAGGCGACGACTTCATCGATGGCGACGCCTACATCAACACGACATTCAACTACTACGCAGAGCATTTGTGGCGGAACTTTGGTATCCTCGTTGGCTTCTTTGTTGGGTTCTTGATCATTTACGTCGCATCGAGCGAATTCATTCGGGCCATGCCATCTAAGGGTGAAGTTTTGGTCTTCCCCCGAGGCAAAATCCCTGCGTTTGCTAAGAAGGCTCGCAAGGATGACTCTGAAAGCGCAACCGCTTCTGAGAAACACGAAATAGTCGACAAGGGTCAGGATGAAGCAGCTGCTATTGTGAAACAAACGGCGATCTTTCATTGGGAGGAAGTTTGCTACGATATCAAAATCAAGAATGAGAACCGTCGTATCCTCGATCGCGTGGATGGATGGGTCAAGCCCGGCACTTTAACAGCCCTGATGGGTGTCACCGGTGCGGGTAAGACTTCTTTACTTGACGTCTTGGCCGATCGAGTCACTATGGGAGTCATCACCGGCGACATGCTTGTGGATGGCCGCCCACGGGATGGATCGTTTCAGCGCAAAACCGGCTACGTACAGCAGCAAGACTTGCATCTGGAAACCAGCACTGTTCGCGAGGCTCTAGTCTTCAGTGCCGTTCTTCGGCAACCGAGCGGCACCCCGTACAAGGAAAAAATCGCATATGTGGAAGAAGTCATCAAGATGCTTGGAATGGAAGAGTACGCCGAAGCTATCGTGGGTGTCCTCGGCGAGGGCCTCAATGTGGAACAACGCAAACGCCTGACCATTGGCGTGGAAATTGCTGCGAAACCGGACCTGCTTCTCTTCTTCGACGAGCCTACCTCTGGCCTTGATAGCCAAACGGCTTGGTCCATATGCAGTCTGATGCGCAAGCTTGCCGACCACGGTCAGGCGGTTCTGTGCACCATTCATCAGCCCTCGGCCATGCTCATGTCCCAATTTGATCGACTCCTATTTCTAGCGAAGGGCGGGCGTACTGTTTACTTTGGGGAATTAGGCCCGCGCATGCGAACCTTGATTGATTATTTCGAGAACAAAGGCTCGATTCAATGTCCTAAGAATGCCAACCCGGCTGAATGGATGCTCGAGGTTATTGGTGCTGCGCCAGGCTCGCATGCCGATCGCGACTGGGCGGAAGTTTGGCTGGACAGCCCTGAACGAGCTCAAGTGAAGAAGGAGCTGGCTGCCATGAAAGCCGAGTTGCGAGAGAGGCCCGTTCCTCCTCCAACGGCTGGATACGGAGAGTTTGCGACTCCAATCTGGTACCAGTTCCTCATCTGTATCCGACGAATGTTCCAGCAGTACTATCGCAGTCCAGGGTATCTGTACTCGAAGACGGCTATGTGTGTGTTTCCGGTGAGTAGAAATCAACCCCCCTGCGGGTCTCTCCATCATTTCAATATCACTGACAAAAAGAAAAACTCAATTAGCCCATCTTCATTGGTTTTACATTCTGGCGTATGCCCAACAGTCAACAGGGCCTGCAAAATCAGATGTTTGCCATATTCATGCTCTTGGTGATTTTCCCGAACTTGGTCCAGCAGATGATGCCCAGTTTCTGCACGCAGCGTGCGCTGTACGAGGTGCGCGAGCGCCCGTCCAAAGCGTACTCGTGGAAGGCATTCATGCTGGCAAGTATTTTTGTCGAGCTGCCGTGGAACATCGTCATGGCGCTGCCCGTGTACTTCTCGTGGTACTATCCGATCGGACTGTACCGCAACGCTCCGGCGGGCGCGGAGGTGGAGCGAGGCGGCACGATGTTCTTGCTGATCTTGATCTTCCTGATGTTCACCTCGACCTTTAGCTCCATGATCATCGCCGGCATCGAGCAGCCGGAAACGGGCAGTAACATTGCGCAGCTGATGTTCTCGCTGTGCCTAGTGTTTAATGGGTAAGTGATTTGCCCTCTAGTTCTCCAATGGATTGTTTTTCTACTTTTTTGAGTGGCTGAACTTCGGAACTATGTGCTGACTCATCCAGTGTTTTGGCGAGCCCGGCGCAGCTGGGCAAGTTTTGGATCTTCATGTACCGAGTCTCGCCCTTCACGTATCTCGTCTCCGCCGTCTTGTCGACGGGCCTGTCCGGGAGCACGGCCGTGTGCTCGGATATCGAACTGTTGAAACTTGATCCTCCCAGTGGCCAGAGCTGCGGAAGCTATCTGAACCAGTATGCAGAGGCCTACGGAGCCCATCTGCAGAACCCGACTGCCACCGAAGGCTGCGAGATCTGCTCCATTCAGACCACTGATCAATTCTTGGAGGCATTGAGCATCTATTTCGACGATCACTGGCGCAACGTTGGCCTGCTGTTTGTGTATATCGTGGTCAACATCTTTGGGGCCCTTCTCCTCTACTGGCTGATCCGGGTCCCCAAAAAATGGTCCCGCAAAGTGAAGGAGCAGTGAATAAATTTGGTGGAGGCGAACTAGGCCCATAGACAGTTTACACCTGATCCATCCGGAGGCGCTTGTATGAGATAGGAAAAAGAATAAAGCTGGGACAGCCCCGCTGAATAATGACGAATCTTGATCGAATCTGGCAGCTCGCAGGGTTCGCAAGCCTTTCTCCGTCTGCGACTCCTGCCCCGAGTCCGCCTCCGTCGCCATGCTTAGGCCATGCTTAGATTAGTTACGCGGGGCAGTGAGCTCCAGCTGGATTGGCTAGTAGCTAAATTCGTCGGAGGCGGTGGCCACGATCCCGAAACCGAGCAGCTCGTGGGGGCCAATTCCCCATTTTTGCATCGACAGCTGGCCATCAGCGATCCCTCGGCATAACGGCCTGTCGGGCGTGCCGCGTGCCCCATTTCCCTGCACTATCGCCTCGACACCATTTCAGAGTCTCCTGGAAGAGGATTTGAAGGTGGGGAGGATGTGTAAGAAGACAACCAGTGACCTCAAGGGAACCAGCCAGCTGGGCACGCCAACTCGCTTCTACGCTTCTCGCCATGCTAGGCGTACGATTGGCTTCATGATCCTTAAAAGTGTGGGACCGGACCGGATCCGCAGTCGACCTCAGGCCAGACCCGAGGTGGAGGGGTCAATCATGGGTTGATCACCACGGGGATTGCAGACCCGGCGTCCGCCAGGCGACTATTCCCCATAAAGCGCCCGGGCAAGCGTGTGCCCTAAACTCGCATCGTCTGCTTCATTGAGCAGAAGGGGCTAATCCGAGTTGGGCAGGTATGTAATCGGAGAGGTCGGAAACAACCAAGTAGACACTAGGGCAGGGCATGGCTCGAGATCGACAAACAAGTGGCCGTGGGTCGCGAGTTTGGGGTCCAAAGACCAACCGGTTTAGCCCTGAGATCTCCCCGTTTCCCACTGCTTTCCGCTTCAGGATTTGTGTTTTCGCTATTTTTGTTGTCTCCTTCGGGGGTGTCACTACTTCGGTATTTTCCTTTTTCTTTATTAAGGCTCTTTCTGGGCTCGGGGACGCGCTCCAGTCCATGGTGATCTCCATCACAGCCTCCTCCACTCGCGACTGGACTTGCATCGACACCGTCCCTTGACCCAGCGTCTTTTGTACTGCGACGGCACTGCTGGCCTGCGTCTGGAGGTGGATATCCCTGCCACTCACCTGGCGCGGGCTGTATTTTCCTTCGACCCACGCTCTTGAGGCTCATTTTCCGCCCCACAGATCCACTGCACCTTATGGACCGTTGATGCTTTGGCACTCATTCACACTGATGCAACGCACTGGACCCGCTGTCATGGTTCACGACGGACCTTGCTCGCACGCATCTCGCCCTCGGATTCCTTATATATACCCACCCCCGCTCCTTCACCTCCCCTGATTCTTACGTCTTAACATTTCCACCTCCCCCGGTCTATGTGTGAATATTCAATACACCACGGGCAACATGGAGTCCTACCCGCAATACACAGAAATCCCTCACATTATGCCTATGACGGGCGTCTCAACCCCGTCCTACGACGCCTATGAACCGTCGCTCCCCGCCGACCACCCGTTCGTCACCCGCGCAGCCCAGTTCCAATTCCATCTTTCCCCCATGGAGGAGCAAATGAAGACGCGTGAGCAAGCGCTGGTCCCGCAGCCGTGGTGGAAGGCAGACGAACAGACCTTTGGAATGGGCTACGTGCCGCCGGACTTGACTTGCGCGGATCGATTTCCGCCCTGGAACAGCGGCATTTCTTCTATCTCCGACCCGCAAAGTCCGCAGAGTAGCAACAGCGGCAGCGTGCTCGCGACGAGCTGCATCGCATTTCCGCCCTTCGGGCAAGACCAGATCGCCATCAATGTGATCGATGATCAAACGGGCTATCCTACCCCGAGCGGTCTCGTCGAGATCGACCCTTCGATGATGGCGAAGCCACGAACATTTGAGATTCAACCCGATCCTCGATCCCCCCACGAACCGGACTTTGATTCTTGGTCTGGCAGTCAATCAGACCGCAATGTCACTCCAGAACAGCAATGGCCCTCCCCTGTGCCATCAGACTCTCTGGGTATTTCCACATCAACTCGCCGCTCCAAGGCTCAAAGCACATCTACATCACGAGTCCGTAAGAGCTCATCAAAACGCCCATCCTCCATACAGGGTCGCAAACGGCGGCGTCGCGGCGCTTCCAGCTCTGGCAACGGCGAAGAAAATACGCCGCGCACCTTCGTGTGCAGCTTTGCGCGCTACGGCTGCGAGAGTACTTTTGTCTCCAAGAACGAGTGGAAGCGTCACGTCACCTCCCAACACCTGCAACTCGGCTTTTACAGATGCGATGTGGGCAAGTGCAGTGTCCACATGCACGCCAGTCCCAATCGCTTCCTCTCTCCATCACCATCTCCCAACTCCCGTTCCCGCGCAAGCACTCCACCACCAGGCCAACCTAACGACTTCAACCGCAAAGACCTCTTCACCCAACACCAACGCCGCATGCACGCACCCTGGTTTCAATCCGGCCGTCGCCGCGTTCCTTCGGACAGTGAACATGCTGCTTTTGAGGCCAGCCTGGAGGAAGTTCGGCGCCGCTGCTGGTATGAACTCCGCCAGGCACCATTCCAGAGCCACTGCGGCTTCTGTCACGAGGTGTTTAGTGGGCCGGGCAGTTGGGATGTCCGGATGGAACATGTCGGGCGGCACTTTGAGCGTGAAGATCGCCAGGAGCTTGGTGAAGAGCTCGAGGATGTGGCATTACGGGAGTGGGGGCTTCGAGAGGGGATTCTCACTCAGTCTGACGGCAGATGCCGACTAGCGTCGCTGGTGGGGCTGGATATGTAATTCGGCGTCTTTTGAGAGGCCTGAAGTCAGTCGGAATGTGTACCACTGGTACGACGCATACGTGCGATTCATTTGCGAGCGGGCGTTTGGTGCTTCTTGTAGGTATTTTGGGGCGCTTTTTTCTACTTTCAGGGGGCTGTCTGCCTTTGGGTTTGGGCTGGTTGCCCGGTTTCTGCGCAGTTTGGTGCTGGGGTTTATGCTTGATGATCTCATTAGATTTTGACTTTGGCTTCGAATCGATGAATATACTGTATCGATACTAGCGTTTTCTTTTCTTCGATTTGTTCCTGGAGCGCCCGGGTTAGGCTCTGGATTTGATGATTACGATACATAATATGAACTATACATTGCATACAACTGGACATTTGGTGTATTTGGAGAATCAGACCATTCCTGTGATTAGTCTGTGCTTAGCAATCAACGTAGCCACACTGCATGCTTAAGCGTATGGAGCGCTGCTGCTGACGAAACGATCTATACTCGGACTGCCTCGGGTCCGAGTCAAAACAGCTCCGAATTAGCGATGACCATCACCGGTTCTTTGACTTCGACTTCAGGTACGGAGTTCGCCAGTCGTGTTATTACATGAATTGGTCTAGATACAGTCTCTAATGTCGATCCTCCCAAGTTTGATCTCCAGCTCCTGGAGTCCGCGGCACGAGGCAGATCCAGACACCCGTGATCATCGTCAAGCTCCTGCGGGATTTCAATACACCGAGTCAACATCGTTAAATCCGGTTTTGAGCGAGTCAGAATCCTTCGTGAATCTCGTACGTCGGCACGATGCCAAGAACAGGGTAGGACCAGGGCCTTCTCAAAGGAAAAGTCAAAATTCAAATTATAAAAACAAAATGAAAATGACCCAAAAAATGCCGCGCCAAAACAAAAACGGGTCCATCCCACGACCGCGTTAGCGAGCATGCGTTAGCTCCTTTCAGCCGTTAGCTCCTGTCAGCGTATGACACTAAGCAGCTAGACAAACGGGAATTCGCCAGCCGAAATAGCGCCAAATGCCAACGAACTAAGAATCCTGGTACGTGTCACTTCCCAAGGCTGACTGCAGGTATACGATACGAGTAAGGGAAAGAATCAACAGGCAGCCATTTTCGGGTTGCGGCTAGTTCACGCGACGTCGATGCTGGCTGGCATCCATTGATCAGTGTCCCTGGGTCGCACTCTGCCTCCCCAACCCTGTCGACCAATTGACCCTGCGGCGCAGCGGTTGGGGCCAAAACCGAGGGGCAAGTGGGCACGGAAGGGAAAGTGGGCGTGGGCGGTCCATCAAAGATTCCAAATCACATCGCGTGCCGGCAGGTGGAGCTCGACACACGCGATCGGCACCGGCTCCAAATTCTGAACAGCCCCGAGATGCAGCCATCGAGCTGAGCTGAGCATGGAACCCGGTGCTATCTCCGACCCAGTCCTGCCTGAGAAATGATAGGACTGTTGTACGAGCCGATTATCGATCGTCTGGACGACCACAGACGATCGATGGTCCACGTTCATCCGGCGAAACCGGACAACTCTACACGCCCGGCAAGTCTTCAGCACCGATACCGACCAGCAATGATCAGTCGAGGCCAAGAATGGACGGGCGCGCAGATTTCTCAAGCAGGGTTGTCTGTATGGAATACGTCGCGGGGCATAGTCGGGTTGCGACCTGTGCGAGTGCGTGGATCAGCCCCTATGCCACCCTCGCAGCAACTTCGCACTGATTTCCTCAATGAGCGAGCGACTCCCTTCCACTGGACAAAAGCAAAATGATCACATGGATGTGCATAACCGTGAATTAAGTCGTGTGCCGGGCCGCATAGTGGTGGATGGGGAACCGTGGTGAGGCCCCGCGTGGGGGTGGTGAGTGGTAGGTGGTGAGGGAAGGTCGAAGTATACCCGGCGTAGAACACGGTGGGGACCAACGTCGATTTAAAGATGACGGCTAACAGATTTCCCAGATCGCGGGCGTGGCCCAGTTAAGGTTAAATTTGGGTCGACCTGGGGAGATCCGGCATCCGAACGAACCTCGAAAAGAAAGGAAGCAAAAAAAAAAAAAAAAGTTCTGGTCCGCGACGCTGCTCCACGAGGATTGCCCGAACAGGAAATCTCGACGACGAGGCGAGGCTGCGGCGGTTGGCGGCTGCATCCGCCCACCTCCCTTCCATCACCAATCGACGCCCGCGCCGTTGCTTGTTTATTCGAGTTTAATCGTGCGCTTATTCTGAGCACTGTCGTTTTCTGGAGACCCGGCGGGCTCCATTTGCGCCGGAGTTTATCTGGACCTCGTGGTCCCAGGACCTATACGGCCCTGCATGAGGCCGGGGGCTGCCCCCGGCCGCCGACAGGGTTCAGAGAGCAAAGGGAAGAATTTCCCATGCACATCCCCAGGTTACTGAGCTCTCCCTATTCACATCAATCCTCATCACTTGCAATCTGGTGGTGGGTTAGAAGTGCGAACAAAGTGCATCTACACACGTAGTATTCAGCGGATCTGAGCAATGGGCCTGCGGTCCACATGAGCATAAATCACAATACGAACCCGACAGTGTCTACTAACTGACGCACTCCGCAAACGATACTCGATAGCTAATGCAAGCGAAGGGCAGTAGATTCGCAGAGTGAGCTTGGTTATGTCTTCCAAGGTTCTTTGATATGTCAGTGGCAGAATCCGACATTGTTGTATTACATAATACATACCGTGATAACTAACTAACTAATCATGGGAATTGCCTAGTTAGCTAGGAATGCCCTCTGATAAACACGGTAGACGCGTTAGTTTAGTTTCCATTTTTTTTCACCCCATATAAATTGCTAGCTAGGGGATGATATCCAATTCAGACTTGTTTACCTTTTCATTCGCTACCATACATATCCATACACCGCCTTCCCGACAGTTATGGGCCCGGTTCGCTCCTAAAGGACTACTTTGTGCAATATCTGAGGCTATTCACACTTGATCGACGGTCCTGCTTCCTCTATACACGTACGAAGGCGTGTTATTGCAGCCCTGGTAGCGAATATCCCTGTGCCACCATGAATATCAACAATATAAATGGCACAACCGCTGTCGCCGCCCTTTGCGGCGTTAAACCATTACACAAAACAGCCCATTGGGAATTGTGGTTTTGCTATCTACGACAATATGCGCGCGATAACCATGTATGGGAATTTGTTGATCCTGACGTACCTGCGAGTGAACGCCCTGAGCGTTTGAAAATGCCCGACTTTCCTGAGAACTTCTATGAACTGTCTCGGAATGATCAAAAACATGAAATGGAGATGCTCCGATTTCTCCAGCCTAGGTGGGAGCTTCAAGATCGCGGACTGAGAGCTGTTAAAGCACTTATTCACGCATCTGTTGAACCACACGTCGACCTACTGCTATATTACTATGAAGATGATATTGCTGCACGTGTCCGTTACCTCCGAGACCGCTTCTCACGCCGTGGACAGGATATTGAGGATCTTGTACCAATGGAGTGATTGGGCACTGAAGCCGCCGGAACCAGGTACTGACCTTATCCGTTGGTCATGCAAATGGGAGCATTAACGAGATCGATTACTCGCACAGAGAGATATTCATATCCGTCCTAATCAGGAATTTCTACATGCTGTCAAGACAATCCGAACTGACTGGTGGTTATACTACCGTGACCAAATCATTATTCAAGGTGAAGACATTGAAAATCGTGAATTGGTCAACTCATTCCGTACGCGGTTGGGAACCGAGCCAAAACCAAGGTCACAACCAAGGGCTTCATTCTCTACACTCAACGGTCAAAACGCTCAGTCGAATCAACTCCATGATCACCCTATGACCTTTTGCCCACAGTTTACTCTACATTATCAATTTCCTTTTCGAGCGTTCAGGTCCGTCGTAGTGTTGCCTACAGTCGGCCGAGCTGTCCGCAACGGGAACCCGAAGCCGACCTTCAGCCCTTGATCTATACCACCAGGGAAGCCACCAAGACACCAGCTTAACGGCAATATGTAGAGCACTACTCAGTATCATCTTCTCAGTTACTCCGAGTGTTTGAAGAGCGATTTTATCCCCCTCTTAACAGGATGTTCGAATCATTCTAGTTCGCCATCGGACATTCGGGACGCTGCTGTATACTCGGAGATGATACACTTCTCCGACCCACCAGCCACTCAGCTTGCGTACATCGCCACTAACGCCGAAGAAGTGCTGAGTACTTCACGATCATAGTTGCACATTCTTCCCGTCAGATAAAACCAGCCATCATGCTCTCTTTCCGGGCACGCTCGCTTCTTTTCCTCTCAAGTCTCGCCCTCATTCCCATCGGTATATACCTCCACTCAACCGTACCACTGCATCGACTCAAAGCACCCCTCAAAATGACCAACGCAACTCATAAGCCCGACTTCTCTGAGCGAGTGGATCAACTCCGAGAATACATCTTTTCCCAGCCCTCCTCCACCTTCGAAAATAACCCTTTGGCAGTTGCAAATGCCGTCGAATCCTTCGCCAATACAAAGGGCCAGATGATGATTTTCCGTGATGCAAAGCTTCAGGTAGCAAGGACTCAGCTAGAAGCTCAGACTCCGGCCCCGCGGACGATCCTAGAATTCGGCACGTTTGTGGGCAAGTCTGCGCTGGCTTGGGGTGCTATACTTCGAGAGATTCACGGGGAGAAAATTTCTGGAGGGATTAATATGTACACCTTCGAGTTGGATCCGCAGATGGTCGCACTCTTCAGAGACTTGATCAAGCTGGCAGGTCTCGAGAATGTGGTCCATGTGCTGGAGGGGCCTGGTTCGGAGTCGCTGAAGAAGTTGCATGCCGAGGGCAAAGTGACTAGCGTGGACATGACATTTTTCGATCACTGGGAGGAATTTTATCTGCCGGATCTGCAACTCATTGAAGACTTGGGACTGTTCCAAGTTGGGTCGCTGGCTATTGCGGATAATACGGATTTCCCCGGTGCGCCGCAGTACTTGAAGTATGTCAAGGATGGCGGGCGAGGAACGACGGGCTCGGTGAAATATGAGAGCACGTCTTTTGAGACGGCGAGTCGGCCGGGTAGACCAAGCATTTTTGAGATCAGTAAGGTTGTGGCCGTTAAGTGAATTTGGGAAGCAATACCAGCACCAGCCCTGGAAGGCACTGATAGCCCAGCCTTCCACGTGTATGTACCACAATTGGAATTTCGAAACGTGTAGGAGGAAACGTCAATGAAGTGCAAGATAGCAATAACAGATGGTCGAAATTAATATTCTGCTAGATAATTTTTTTGTAAGTTCATATGATGTAGTGTGTATTACACTTGTGTAGTGACATTCAAAAGTGTTGTGTGAAATGATAGTGTATCGATATGAAGGTTGGGACCATCAAAATATATCTCGGTCACTGGTGCAGCCACGTGAGCGAGCCCAAAAACTTCGGGCTAACCACTTTGTAGAAGTCTATGATTACGATCATAAGTCCCTTGCAATGCAATCTTTCCCACTATTCCAATTGCAAAGCGACCTCCGTAGTATGGTTTGGCCATGTAGCTGGACGAGTGGAATTACGGCTCGGCTGCCACTTCGCAAATGTTCGTTCCGCTCGGTGCGGCCTCCCCGGCAACTCCTGCACATCTCACCATGAGCTGCTAGCCACTCCAATTGCGCCCCAACAAGTTGAACCTGCTTGTACTGGACAACCCGGCCTGGAAACTCGATCAGGGCATGCTCTGAACACGATAAGGTCACCTTCTGCTTCTTCACCCGGCCACCTCGTCTGGATCGACTCCCAACCAACCCATCATGTGCGCCCATCCCAATCCGACAGATCGAGTGCGCGACTGACCATTTCCCTCCAGGGCCGTCTTCTCTCTGATTATAATCAACAAGGCTGGTGGCCTGATCTACCAGCGCGAGTTCCAAGCCGGCCTACGCAAGCTCTCCACAAACGATTATCTGGTCCTCGCCGGTACCTTTCACGGGTCAGTCCTCGCGCCCCTGTCAAGAATGCCCACAGCACCTGTGAGCTAATATCACGATCGCAGTGTCCACGCCATCACTCGCTCCATCACCCCCAAGCTCCCTCTTGCCCCGTCAACCTCTCCGGTCGCCTCCTCCCCCGGCACCACCGCCCCTGCGACGTCAGGATACAGCTATCCCAACCCGGGCGTTCCCGCCACCGGCCTGGAATTCCTCGAGACAGATAAATTCCACCTAACGTGCTTTCAGACTCTGACGGGGACAAAATTCCTGCTCTTTACCGATCCGCTGACTGGCAACGTGGATACGATCATGAACAAGATTTACGAGCTGTATGCGGACTACGTGATGAAGAACCCCTTCTACCAGCTGGAGATGCCGGTGCGATGCGAGGCCTTCGATAGGCATCTGGGCGCATGGTTAAGAGGACGAACATAATCGGTGGATTGGGGAAATGGACTTGCCACCGAACCCAGAAGGCTGGGATAATGATGACCTTACGAACTAGACATCTCTTTGATCTGTTTACTGTACTGGACCCCGTGGAATTTTGCTCGACGGAATTGTGCATAATACCAATCGCATCAATATATTTCCTTTCGCAGTAGAGAAGGCGCCCATCCAGATAGACAGGCACCAGCACTCAAGTATACAAGAGAAGAAAAGCAAAACAAGAAGTAAACGCCGGGTATGCATCAGATCATTTCAATCGGGACCTGGCATCTACGCAGTGTCCATCTTGTCATCGTCCTTCTTGTCCTTGCTGGACTCGCCTCCCTCTTCAGGAATACCGCCTAGTTCCGTCTTGCCCTCGGCTTCCTCGCGATCGCGCTTCTCCTTCTCCTGTCGGTTCTTCTCTTCCTCCAAAGATAACCGGAGAGCAAAGGCCAGCTCGGGGTCTTCCTCGGCCGCATCCTCAAAGTTGAATCCACCGGCGTCACCGCCGTCGCCGGACGCTCCCGCCGCACCAGCACCCTCTCCGGCCAGAATCGGGGTCTGCTGAAGCTCCTCGCTCAGGAGATGGGGACCCGGCGGGATGATCGCCAGATGAGAGCCATCGCCACTCGACACATTATCCACAAACGCTTCAAGCTTCTTGGTCTGGTCAGATTCGAGGTCACCGAATGCGACGACATCGATCGAGACGTTGATCTTCTTCATCTTCTTGGCCAGCTTGACGAGGGTCTTCTCATCTTCTTCGATGGGGGAGCAGGAGAACACAATGATTCGTTGCCGCTGGGACTTCTCAGAACGGTGCTTCAGCGCCAACTATACAGTAAAAGAGGCAGTTAGTAATACAGCTCAAGGAATCATCCGGAAGAAACAACCTACCCCTGCAACCTGGATACTGGAGCTCAGGTGCGAAGTGCCGTGGATCTTAGTGCGATGGAGACCGGCGAGGATGGCACCAAAGTCCGTGGTGAAAGTCGAAAGGACCTCGGGACCCTTGCCGCCCATGCTCATAAGGCCGACCGCCGACTGTGGGTGTGCGCGCATCTTGACGCTGTGAATGATGCTTACAGCATCAACCTGAGCTTGCCAGCGAGTTGATCTGGGACAGTTAGATTGGACGATGCAGCGAAGGTGGGATGGACAGAGCTAATACTCACGTGTAGTCTCCATTGCGACTGCTTTCGCTGTTGTCGACACTGCGGGCAAGGGTTAGCAAGGTTCTAAGCTCAGGGTGGAACAATTGACGTGCATGATCATAGTAGCTTCGAGTGACATGATGGCGGTATCTGAGGAGGGGAATTAGGAGGATGTATCGGGGAACGGCAGGTGATGCAGTGCCAGGACGGCGGTGATGACGAGGTCTGGCAAGCTTACATTCTGCCGCCACTCTCCGCCCAGAGCCTTGTTTGTTGTGGCTGCTCCACGGCACTCCGCACTCGCGTTTTAACTACCTCTATTCGACCTACAATCCCACGCAAGAAACGCGGCAAACAACCATGGCGACCTTGAAGCGCAAATCCCCCGAATTTGTTGGCGCGCCCGACGCTACCCCTACTGGGCCTCCGGCCAAGAAGCTGCGGCTGACGCAGGGCCAGAAGCAGGCGTTGATTGATAACTTGCAGCTTGAGAGTGCGTGAATTCGAGTGCTCAAGGCTGTATGGACATTGTTAACGAAAATCTAGTTACTGAGAGAGCTCGAAAGCTTCGTTCGCAATATGCTCTGCAGGCCAATGACCTTCGTGCCCGCATCGAACGACGCGTCAATCGTATCCCCGTCTCGCTGCGCAAGGCCAACATGGGTGAACTCTACGAAAAGCACAATGCTCCAAACTCTACCACATCACCACTCCGAAGGCCGTCGCCCGCAAAGGCAAAGACGCGTGTTGCCACGAACATCTCTGTTGATCCAGCGTCCCCAGTTGGTCGTAACCGACGCGCAAGGTATGGCAGTCCAAACGAGTTTCCTTGATATATTCCCCTACTAAAAAAATTCGCAGTCATGAGGGCTACTCAGACAAGGAGAACGCGCCTAACACCGGCGAGACTGATGCCCTGAAAAACCCCAAGCGTCGCAACAACCCCAAGGCTGCCGGCGGTGCTTCACGCGTCGTCTCCCAGGAAGTGCGCAACAACGACCACCGCATTCTTTCTCCCAAGTCTCTCAACTCCCGCACATACCCGCACTCACCCTTCCGTGCCTCCCCCGAGAAGGGCCAGCCATCATACTTGTCGCGTCCCACTTCCCCGCTCAAACCTTCCAGCCCTCTCCGTGCCGCCGGTGCGGGCGCACGCCCGCGTGGTGCCACCACATCGACTTTCCGGGACACCTTGCAACCTACGCAGCCCAAGAAGACCACAGCTCGCGCTGCCACAGGCCCCAGGGCCGCCGTCAGGTCGCCTCTTCCCCGTCCTGCAACTCGCCAAGGCGAGCGCCGAAATAGCAATGCCTCGACCACTTCGTCCAGCACAACCGTTCAAAAACCCACCCGCACTGCAACCGGGGCTCGTAAGCCGACAACGGGCACCTCAACTACTACCACAACCAAGAAGCCCGCCGTGCCGCGCAACCAAGCCGCATCTCTCGCCGTGAAGAAGACCGCTGCTAATGCAGCTTCTGTGAGGAAGACTACTGCCCCTGCTGCCACAACGGAAGCATCAGGCCGGGGAACCAGAGCGCTCCGGAAGCGCGTATAGATTTTGATCAGATCCACAGCGTATATTGCCTTGTTAAGAGAATGTGTCTAGCCTTTCAGCGTGGAGTTTTGCCTGTTACCAGGCATGTTATTGAACTGTGGAGTTTCCTTTGAATTTGTCCTAGGGCTGGGATCATAATAAGTGTTTTGCATTTGCTCTGTTCATTGTTATGGCGCATTAGCTGCTCGTCTTGCGAATATATTACTTGCATGTCGTCGGTGCCACTTTGGAGATGGCCCATAATGTGACAATAAAACTTTCTATTCAGGAATTGCCTGTAACGCTCGACGCCAAAAGTCATTTATATGCGAAGTGTGATGAAGAACTGCCTTAGGATATGGTACATTATAAGATCTGGCTTTCCATCTTTCACAATCTTTACGAAGACATTACGCGAAATGAGTACCGTTCTTCTATACAAAGTACAACAATGGCCATCAAAAGAATCTCTTAATGGACCCCCCGGGTTCTCACGGTTGCTCCGATGCCAGAGTATCTCCGCAAATGCATTGCTGTGAGATGCACGATTTAATATCAAGATGTCACGATGCGACGTTTACAATGTTATTATTGATATTGGCTCAGGATTTCTTTCGGGTGCTGGCTCAGGATCGTGTATCATGGTCATCTATCAAGCGCCTGGAAATCAGTCATTGCATCCCATAGAATAAACCACGCTAGTGTAGCAACCTAAACGTCTCCACCCACGACACTTGCACTTCTACACTGGGACTACACTAGAAGCTAACCATAACCGCATGGAACTAATGACGAGAGGCCGCGGGATCAATCTCCAGCTAGGGACACACTTAGACATTCATTCACGGCGCCTAGGAGCCATTTACTCAGTACTAGGCAACGGAAACTAATCCAGCCATCCTAAACAAAGAGAGCAATGCAATAGAAAATAGTTCACCGAGGGCGAAAGCTACATTGTACTCAGCACAGGTATCATTGCAGTCATGCTGGTTGACGAGCAAGTAGAAGAAAAAGAAAAAAAATCCAAAAACAGGGCTCCTCGATCCTAATGCCGCCATATATCGCGTTGTCGAAGGAGAAAGAAGGGGAGACGCAAAGAAACGTGAGATGGGGAAAAGTGAGCTAGACAAGAAATAAACGGGACCAAGGTAAAATCCGGAGCCTGGCCCAGCGATGAGCAGTGAAATGAAAGCAGGATGGGATGGGACCCATCAGCGGTAGGTATGATATGGAATGGGTATGGCTGATCCCCAGAATCAGATGCACAGACGCGGAGAGAATAAAGGTTGAAGAAATGGGAATTGAAGCATGAGAACAAGGCGATTCGTTCTCATAAAGACGGAGGGCGAGAAAAGAAAAAGATGGAGAGCCACAGACGCCAGTCCATCGGGACTAATCAGCTCGCTGATCACTTTTGGGGAAATTTTGGATGTATCAGGTAGGAGAGGGTAGAAAGGAAAATAAGAGGAAGATAAACTCCGTCAACCAAGCCTGTCAGTCGATATCAGATGAAACAAGAAAGAAACGCTAATCAAGCCCCCCAAAAAGTTGAAGCGGGAAATGAAGTATACCACGGGCAGTTGGATTTGGAGCCGGGTTGGGTGATGCAAGTCAAAGTCGTCGACGAATGGCGTATCAGTCGCAGCTGTGCAGTGATGAAAACAAGAAAAGATTACCGAGGCCTAGCCAGTAACGCCCATAGCACCCTGTCCCGGACGTGTTCGGTAAGGGAGATTTTGCTGAGTGTCAGAAGGTTGACTGCCATTGCTGGTGCTGCGCTCGCGGCGGTATCCTGGTTGCGGCGGCCCGAAATCGAACCCAGCCTGGGGAGCAGTGCTGTTCGAGTGGGAGTGGCCGGACCCTCCCACATGGCGGACCGAACTTTGCATCTGCCAGGCCGTATCCTGGGATGGGTCTGTTTCGATGCGCGCCGCCGCCGGGGTAGTGTTGCTTCGGTTTTGGTTGGTGATAGTGAATGTCTCACCGCCGTTTTCTGGCTTCGTGGAGAAGCTGCCACGAGCGATATCCCCGTAACGCTTAAGGATCTCCTTTGTCGTCACTTCGGCGTTCTCCTTGAAGAGAGTTGGGTCGCTGAGAATAGATTGCAAGTCCTCCGGAATCTAGACGAAGTCAGATGAACATCCAGGCCAACAATTTATTGGTTGACAACTTACCTCGCACATGGTGTCGTTATACGTGATTAGAGCATTGACTGCTTCAATAGCCAAGAAGCTTTCATCCACGGTGCTGTTCTTAGCATTGGGATACAGGATGTTTGGTGTCATGACGGTTGCTAAATTGTGAATGTCCATCTTGCTTCCAGACTCCTCATCGACATGGGAAAATGAAGATGTCCAATTCAAGAATGTGAAGAGAACCTCCATCGTATCACGGTGAGCTTTTGGCAGGAGACAGCACGTGAGGTGCAACACTCGCTTCTGCTTCTCAGGGTCGGGCAACTCTATCAAACGGTTAGTTAGTAATCACAAAAAGGCGGCCTGGAGTGGACGTACTTTGCGCTGCAACAAACAGCCGATGGAGCTTGAAGGTCATCAATGGGTCAGGCATTTCGCGAAGGAACTTCTTGAGAAGCGCGGCAATCTGGACCGGACTCTCCTTGGTCATGTCAACTTGATCGTATCTGTTGTCGATCATTTCCGAGATGTCCTTCAGTCGGCGGATGTTGCCGTTCTTACGGAAGACACCCTCTACCGACATGTCCATTTGGCGCATTGCAGAAACCGCGTCGTCCACGACAGCAGGAATCCGAAGAGCACCAGGACCCACACCGTGACTCGACTCGGTTCCTTCCTTTTCCACCAAGTAGTCTAGGGCTACACCGAATACACCCTTCTTCTTGCCCTTCTTCTTCTCATCTTTGAATGCGCGGCCAAAGATGTTCCAGATCGTAGGCTTGCGCGATTCAATAAGAGAAAGCAGCTCTTCCATGTTAAACTGGCCATCCAACAAGGGCTCCATGGACAAAACAGCAACGTGGCGGACGATGAAGTATTCCAGAGCGGTCAGCTCGGAGAAGTAGCGTTTGGTCCGTGTTGCAGGCTCGACCAACATGTTAAGATTTCCCTCCGACATGTTACGTCCATGACTAGGTCTATACCTTGCCATCGGCTCACCAGAGTCGACAAGTTTGGCACCGGCATGCCTGAACGCATTGGGGCGCTGTTCTTTGGCTTGTTCCGCTGCAACAATGCGCGGGATGTCATCCAGAGTCAGTGCATCTTGGTTGCCGAACGTCAGATCTTTCACGGTCTCGCCATTGGAGTCCCGCTCTTCGACGATCTGGAACCCATTTCCGTTGGGATCAGTGCCATCATTACCGGAGGATCCAGGTCGGGCACTTCTGCCCTCGGGGCCGTGGATGATCCGAGATTCGCGTGCTTTCTTATATGTTGTAGATAGAGCTCGCTCGTTGCGAATCGAACGCAGGCGACGCATTTCTCCCACGGTTTGCTCTAGTGAAGACTCTTCAAAGCCATCGCGAGCGCCACCGCTATATGACATGGAGCGAGTGTTGGATCGCCGAACATCGCCAGGTTGAGCACGGTGGCCCTCCTTGTTCTCGTAATCTTTGAGATTAGGGTCGTCTGGTGGAATAAGGATCAGTCACGGAAGCGGGAGAAATATTGATGCTCACGACTTACCAGAGGTGTGAGGCAGAGTTCCACCTGCGCGCAGCACGGCGAGAAGACGGGCAAGGGCAACTCGCAACAAGAAAACGAATTGCTGCAGTTTAGAAACGTGGACGAATCCGCTCTGGACACTCGAGCCCAGGTTCTGCTGATGAGCACAGGCCGAGCAGAAAGTACGGTTTTCATTCTCACTCCACAATGCATCAGCAAGATCAATGCTCAGGTCTTTGTCGCAGGAAGAGCATGATAGATGGGGTGGCTTAATGTGCCAGCGGTTCTCTCCCCAGAGAACACATTCGTCATCAATGGGTTCTTTGCATGCGATACAGCAGTCCGACAGCTGATCAGCAAGACCCTCGACTCCAGCTGTCAGATCAAGCTGCTCATCTCCATCCTCCGGCGGAACCAGCGCGTCCAGATCGCCGAGATGATGCAGGAAGTTGTGCAGGCCATCGGGTGCCGACATATCCCGTTCAAGTTTGAGAGCACCCTGCAACCCGATGCGGATGAGAAGCTTGAGGTAGTGAGCAAGACCAGTAACCAGGGAAAGCAGCTCTTGCGTGACGCCCAGTTTCCTAACACCGGTCTCTTGAGTCTTCGACAGAAGGGAAAAGAAAGCAACGATCTTCTTGCAAAGAAGCTTGGCTTCGCGGCCATAGGAAAGATCTAGAAGGGGGTCAGTATGGGAGAGAAAGACAATTGTAGGAAATGTTGTCGAGAGGACGGAGGGGCATACCCTTGACACCTTGTGACTTAATGTAATTAGCCAGTTCATCGACTGCACCGAAAAGGATCTCAACATGGCCGATGAAGCGCTTGGCCACCAAAACACCATCGATATACGCTCCATTGCTCACATGCAGAAGCATATCCGAAATGCAAGCAGCCGAGGATTCTTCAAAGGTAGAAAGGGTGCTCCAGATATTGTAAACCTTCTCCTCCATTGTGTCCTCCTCCTGGCGGATTCGCTCACGGTCCTCGGGGCTGGCATCCACGTCCACTGGCGGCGGTTCCCAGGTCTGGCCGGCGGGTGAAAGGCGCACATTCCAAAATTTATGGATCATGTAACACTCGGGATGCCAATGTTGATTTTGGCCATTGCGGAAGATCTCGACGAATTGTTTGAGAATGGCCGTCTGGCACCCGTGACACCGCTGGGCGAATTGAGTCGAGTAATGGAAGTGGCAATATACCTTGCCTTCATGTTCGTAATAGGAGTCTTGGGCACCGAAGACCGTGGGGCATACTGAGCACGTGAAATGCTCAATATGATATTTACGATCCAATGCCGTGATGTACGATCCGCGGAGGGCGCCGCCGCATTCGTGGCACAGCAGGCCGAGCCGGCGAAAGTAGTCGGTTTCGCAGAGTGGGTATTGAACGCTGCCATCTTCCGAGTCGACGGGGAAGAATTTGGAGGCAACAATCTCATCGCAGTCCTACAATTGGGGGGCCCAAGTCAGTACATGGTCATGGATCTCAACAACCGTTTTTGCCCCTCGCGGCGAGCGCACTCTCACTTACCTGACACTTAAAGCACTCCAAATGAAAAGTGCCTCCGAGCGCACGGACAAATTGGCCGGTCAACGGCTCATTGCACTTTTGACACAGACGCGACGAGCCGGGGGACTTGTTGTGAGGTCGTCCGTTGGGGCGCGACCGGTCACGGGCCGCAGAGCGGTCCCGATAACCGGGCTGCTCAGGTTCGAGTCCCCGACCTGAACGGACATCTTCCTGGCTCAAAGGGCTGTGGTTCAACGGGCTGTTCCCTGCGGTGCGGGTGGTGGGCGAGTCGAATGGGATCAAACTGTCCTCGGGAGAAGTGGGGGTGTTCTTTTGGTGGTAGCTGCCTCCATAGCCGGACGTGTTCAGCGTGGGATGCGGTTTGCCTGCGACCAGGCTGGCCGGGAGTTCACCGGGGGGCATGTTGGTCCCCCGTCACAGATCAGCGGGATCGAGTCGCAGTAGAGGTGGGACGACGGAGGTGGCATGCAAGGAAAATCCGAGGGAAGCAGCGGGGGCTGGCTGGGGAGGAAGCCAGCGAGTCGAATCGACCGGAGATTGTGGAGGGCAGGAGAATTCGATAAGTTTCGAGCGCGTCACTATCGACCTTCGAGGGAAGGATCTTGTTAGAGAACACAGACGGTCGATGTGTGGAACAGTATGGCTGGGAAGCGGCCGTCCGAGTCCCACTTGCACACCGGTTTCACTCACGCTCACGCCATGTAGTCACTCAAAAAAGAAGAAGGGAGAAGCGAAATAGCTGGGAGGCTGCGACGGTCGAACAGTGCTCTTTGAGTCGGAGGGGGCAGACGGAGGGCCCGGCGACAGAGAACAAAAGGCGGCGGTGGGTATCAGAAGGATTGGAGCCGAGGAGGAAGGGTCCTTTTAGCGCGCAGTGGCAGGACGCGGGGGTGGGAGGGGAGCTCGCAAAGGCGCAACGCGACCACAACCACCGGGTGGGGGGGACAAGCACTCGGCCGGGTGCAGAAGGAGGTGGTTTGGAGGAATGGAGATGGCGATGGCGATGGCGGTGTTGGTTGTTTGGCGCGGAGGGCGAAAGTCGGGCATTCGCTGCCCCCCCTATTGCGGGTCACGTGAGGCCAATATACCCAGCGTCTGGAGAATGGGATCGACAGCGATTTGTACATTACAGAACAATAGATTAGAGTGTAGTTACTGTAGGTACAATTCGTCTTATGAATAATTGCGATGATCACTGGTACTCAGGGTACTGCCTAGGTATACTAGTAGAGTAGGACTGCCTCGACCAGTCGAGCTGTGTGCCTGGCCCGGCCGAACCAGAAAGATGCGCCCATGGATCGCTGGTCTTTTTATAGCTCCGTTTCACTTCGTTTGCTTCCTCCACCAGGCCTGAAGGACAAACATCCCTCTCTCGCACGGAAGAGACCACTTTCTGGGGAGACCTGAGGGCACCTGGCTCTTTGCCCCCAGTGTATCTAGAACAAATATTAGGTTCTCAGTACTACACAATGAATTGTAGGAACCTCATCGGGCGGAGCCCTGCGACCATAGAACCCCGGCGGACTAAACTCTTAGCACCCCATACTAAACACTTTCGGAGCCAGTGGTCGATGCGAGCACGACGTCAACTGAGGAATCTGAGGAGCAATCGTGCCCGGAGCCCAACAAAGAGGAGGAGCGCAGAGGGAAAGAGCGGGAGGGGTCGCGGTTGCTGCCTTTTGACTTGCCCACAGCCGTCAGCAGCTCCCAGCAAAGTACTGCCGCAACGGCGGTACCATCTCTGCCTTCACCACCCACCACTTTTTTCTTCAATTTCCTAGCTACCTCCCTCTTTTCCTTCTCTCTTTATCACCTCGATCGACAACCACTTTGTGATTCATTCCCGCCGGGCCGCCGCCAAAATGGCATCGCGGAGCCTTCTGCGTCTGATGAAGGTGCGTGCTGTACAACACTTCCCAATGTGAAGCGCTCATCATCGCTAACACCCGACCGCAGGAGTTACAGGAACTTGCGAAAGGCGAAAACCTCGGTAATAGAGCTAACACTTAGACCCTCTTACCCTTACACTTCAGTGGATCGTATAAGACTGATACTCGACCAGCTATCAACGTCCACTATGATGAAAGCAACATCAACCAGATCGAGGTGTTGCTGCTCGGCCCTCCAGACACGCCATATGCCTTTGGCTTCTACAGAGTGTGTGGCCCGATCCCCTTCGAGTCTCTCCCTCATCTGTCTATTGTAACGCTGACCTCGTCTTGCAGTTCGCCATCGTGATTCCCCCCGGTAAGTAAAGAAAACCACCCTCCTCCTTCCCATCCGAGGACAGTGACTGATGCAGGCATGGACAGAATACCCTACCAGACCCCCACACGTGACTCTGAAGACAACAAACATGGGATCGACTCGCTTCGGCCCGAATCTTTACGCGAGTGGAAAAGTGTGTCTGTAAGTGCCCTGATCAACGACGATCTGATGAAGGTTCAGCTAATCCATGATAACAGGTCAATTCTGGGGTAAGTGTTCGCCAATATGAAACTCACTACAGGGACACTATACTAACTGCAGCAGAACTTGGCCTGGACGGCCCGGAGAAGAATGGTCTCCCGCCCAAGGACTGGAATCTGTCCTGCTCTCGATCCAGAGCTTGCTCTCCGCAAACCCGTATCATAACGAACCGGGTTTTGCCCACGAGTCAGATGCCAACGCTGTGCAGACTTACAACGCCAAGGTAATTTCTCAATCCAATGGCTTTGGAATGCAACACCAAACTTATTAAATGGATCTTAGGTTCGCCATGAGAACTTGCGGCTGGCCATCATCACGCCGCTCGAAAAGGCACTGGGCTTGGCTCCGAATCCCACTGGCGGTCCCAGCAGCGCTTCCTCCGAAGATCCGTTTAACGATCACTACAAACGACGGTTTCTGTGGTACCTCGACCAGTACAAACGGGCCATCGCCCAAGGCATTGAAGAAGTGAAGAACAATCCTGGGCCCCAATTCCCCATGGCGCCTTTTGAAAGCAGTAGCAATGGTATGCGAGGATCTTGGGCTTACCCAGAGCTTCAGCGGCGTCTGCAGGCTATCGAGTCTAAACTGATTGAAGAGACATACGGATGGGCTGTGGAAGGCAGCAAGATCTGCGAAGAGGATGCTGGAATTGCAGTCACTCTCCGAGCTCAGCAAGACCAGATTGTCGCTGAGCTGAAGAACTTCACGGGTTCCACCGTCGATCTTGCAATGATTGATGACAACCCATTCTTGTGGCAACTCACCTACTTTGGCCGGCCCATGTCTATCTGGGATGGAGCGATGGTGAACCTAAAAATCTACATCAGCCCCCGTTTTCCGGCTGAACAGCCTCGCGTCTTCCTGGATAGCTCAATCTTCCACCTTCGCGTGACATCTCTGAAGATGCTCGTCTATCTCCCTGCTCGCTCCAATGACTTGATCCGCCACATCGCGGGCATCATTGGTACCCTGGACGAGGAAAGCCCGGCCTATAACCCACTTCTAACCGTCAATCAGGAAGCGTCGAAGCTCTTCTGGGGAACGAAACAGGAGAAAAGGGAGTACAACACTAAACTTCGTCATTCTATCGAGATGAGTATGCTGTGAGATGCTTCTCATCAGCTTTCATCGTCTCCCACCCACATATGTCATTTCCAGTACGTTGCCATTCGACGCGCAATTATTGTGCAATCGAATTTCTATTTACGGGCAGGCGTCTTAGGTTTTCTTTCCATGGTCGATACCCGGTGAGGAGTTGCTAAGGAAGATTTGAGGCTTTTGCCGATTACGATTGTAGTGGACAAATGAACAATTCCAGGCATTTTTCAGGTGTTTCTTATGGATCACCGTAAGTTCTAGTAGCGTTTCGATCTTTGACTTTTTGATTGATTAAAATTTATACTAGTGTTCAAAATTACGAAAATATGTGTACGCTTTGGAGGTTACCTTGACCGGATATACTATTCCAAAGTACCCTAAGGTAAGCTGGGAGGTTGTGGTCGGCCCCGATATCCATGGATATCATGAACGCATCAATTTGCCCCACGTTTCTCCAACAGTAGACCTCACAACATTCACCTCTCAAGTTCTACCAAGTTCACTTTTGCAAAGTGAGGTTTTATAACTCGCATGCAGCTATCGATCATGGTGTCACATATGATGAAGTGCTCATCTTACGCCCAGCACAGTGTGCACTAGATACCTAGTGTGGTGGCCATGCACTGTCACAATATATTCTTCGAACACCAGAGTTCTGGAGGTGTATCATTGCATCTACTATGCACCTAGCACTAATTTGACTTTGGTCATAGATAGTTTTGCATCCAGCCAGCGTCGCACTCATTACCTCTATACACTGAGACTTAGACTACACCTCGATCAGTGTAAATCGTGTACATTAGTGTACTAGCAACGTCCAAGTGTACCGCGTTGGACGCTGGTGGAGACTTGGCGATAACCAACGCACGTGCCACCTCCAACTGCCCCGGTTTAATTGCTCCCCTTTTCGCATCTCCGCCCATCCTCAATTTCTAATCGAATCACCCAAAATGGCTGCCAACCAGCGCAAATTGGATCTCGGAAATGTGCTGGTCGTCGGTGGCTGCGGCTTCCTGGGGTGGCACATCACCGATCATCTCCTGAACTTCCCTTCGGAGACCGACCCCAGCGTCGCACTACCGAAGCCCACCGGTGACACGCGCTTCGACTTCCCAACCCTGGGTTCTCGCTATCCAACCTACAAGGCGAACGTTTCGGTCGTCGACCTGCGCACGGCGAACAACCGTCTCCCCGGCGCGACCTACTACGATGGCGACATTACCTCCGTCGAGTCGATGCTCGAGGTCTTCCGCGCCGCCAAGCCCAACCTGGTTATTCACACTGCGACCCCCTCCGTTCTCGACGGTAACAAGCCTTTGCTGTACAAGGTGAATGTGGAGGGAACCCGTACCCTGCTGGAGGTTGCCGGTGGCGAGCACGGTGACTGGGGTGGCAAGTGCAAGGCCTTCGTCTACACTAGTTCCAGCTCGGTGGTACACGACACCCAGAGCGACCTGATCAATGTCGACGAGCGCTGGCCCTACATTCGCGGTAAGATGCAGCAGGAGTACTACTCCGAGACGAAGGTGAGCCATACCCTCCATTTGACATACAAATACGAGCATTGGCTAATTCAATCTACCACAGGCCGACGCCGAAGAGATCGTCTTGAAGTACAACCGTCAATCGCCTACTGGAATGGTCACCTCCGCGATTCGTCCTGCCGGCATCCACGGCGAAAAAGACACCACAGTTACTCACAAGATCCTGGAACACGGCGCCGCTGCCTCCAATTTCGTTCTGCGCATGCAGCTCGGCGAGAACGACAACCTGTTCGACTTCACCTATGTCGGTAACGTCGCGTACGCACACATGCTAGCCGCCGCTAGACTGCTGGCCAGCTATGACCGCTATGAGTCTGGCCAGGGCGGGCCCCTGGATCACGAGCGAGTGGATGGCGAAGCTTTCAACATCACCAACGACCAGCCCATCTACTTCTGGGACGTGACACGCGCCATGTGGGCGTTGATCAACCGGGTTGTCGAGCCGCATGAGGTTTACTCCCTGCCGGAGGGGCTGCTGGGGACAATTGGTGGGATTGCGGAGACGGTGCTTGGCTTGCTGGGCAAGACCCCTCGTCTGACCCGTCGGACGGTGCGGTACTCGTGCATGACTCGGTACTACAATATCGAGAAGGCCAAGTTCCGTCTGGCTTATTCGCCCGTGGTCCCCGTCAATGAGGGTATTGCCCGTGCGGTTGGGTATGTTGTTGAGAAGCAACGCCAGGATGAGGGAAAGAAGGGCCTTTAAGTGAAAAATTGGGTATTGTCTATACTGTAATAATATGCCACTATTTGATGAGGGCGGATGACGTCTTCTGGATACCTGCGCTCAGTTTCTTGGTAGCACCGTGCGAATGTCTTGCAGCGATAACTCTGAGAGCCCACTTTGTCGTGGGAGACGGATGTTATGAGGTTGGCAGTTGGGGGAAGCTGCGCGATCGTCATTGAATGCGCTGGAAAATTTCATGAGAGCAGTACTCCCATGCCACACTGCAATTCCAGCGGGGTATTAGTTGCAGAAGCGACAATTCAGTGTACTGAGCCTACTATTCTATACTGATCCCCATTATCCTGGGATACTCCGAACGTGCCCGCATTATCAGTTCATAAACAATTACCAGACCTGGTGAAACGATGCCTTGACCACTCGGGATAAACAGCCAACAAGGCCTTCGGAGGAATCCCTTTGCGCCCGTCGAATGCCTCTCTGACGAAGGAAGTGACTACACTATCTACGATGAGCACTCTGAGGTGAAAAAGGATCTGATTTAGGAATGCTCCCTATTGACTATTAGTCTTTGACCTCTGTTTCCGAAATCTCAAGAGTTGATAGTTTTGCTCTGCTAGCTGAGGCCTCTTCCCATCCATGGATAGGAAAATGAAATGGGGGAAAGCAAGAAATCAAGATCACCTTCATCCAAATTAGCGGAGCAAGACCGAGTGCCATGGACTTGGTGGATAGGAGTGAAAAAGAGCTTTTCTAAGTCAGCTGTTTGAGGGACAAGGGTTTTGGTTGCTGTCCAAGTGTGGGTGCACGTGTCTTGAAAAGGCCTAGCGCCACATGTGATGGCTCGAGGTATACATAGCGCCCATGTTGGGAAGCTGTATGAGGAGAACTGTAGTCTCCATTTAGAATGGGTTGGCCGCTACTAGCAACCACTCTACGCTGTTTGAAGACATTGTGCATCAGATAGTGAGCGCGACCCTACCATCGGGTGCGCCGATGTGAAGGACCATCTATATTGTGGGTAACCTTATCAAACAAATGCAATCAAGAGCAACAATCATTATTCCGAAGAGTCATGGGTCTTCTTATGCTTGACCTCCAGGCCTTCGACACTGGTCGAAACGGGCACACCCTCGTGGCGTGCGACTTCGACATCAAAAGCAGCCTTGCTGTTGAAGATTGTCTCCATCTCCTCCAAACTCCTGCCTTTGGTCTCCTTGACGAAGAACCAGACCAGCACCGCCATGACGATATCGAGTGCAGCATAGAAAAGGAAGGTGTAACTGCCCCAAGATGCCTGCATGTAAGGGGTGACGAGAGAAAAGAGAAAGTTGAACAGCCATTGCGAGCAGACGGAGACGGAGGAGCCGACTTCACGGATCCGGGTTGGGAAGATCTGTACGTTTGATGCATATTAGAATGGTTCATCCAAGTCAAGATAGGTCAGAACTCACCTCGGTGGTATATGGCCATGGCAACGGACCCCAACTGAATTGGTAGATGGAATTGGTCAAGAAGATCATCGCGACAGTCGCAATACCGGCAGAGGTAACCTCCTTATCCGGCTTGGGGGTGGTATTATTCACGACAACGACGATGATAAAGCAGATGGACATGAGGATGGCGGAAATCCAGAGCGTGGGCTTCCGGCCCCACATCTCTGAGAAGAAGAGGATGTAGATGCCAACCGTGATGAACTTCTCTGCACCAAAAAGACCGGTAATGAGGAGGGAGCGACTACTGTCATTGCCGACCAGCAGCTTGAAGAATTGAGGACCGAAGTAGGCGAGCGCGGTCATGCCGGTGCATTGTTGGCCGCAGAAGAGGAAGAAACCCAGGAGGAGACGGTAGCGGTTAGCGGGCTCAAGGAGTTCGCGCTTCTTCATGCCTTGGCTGGCGCGGAGTTCCTCTGAGATACCGGTGCGGATTTCGGCAAATTCAGCCTTGACTTCGGGACCTAAATTTATAAAGTCAGATGGAAAAGTTCGACAACGAGATATAGTGGCGGGGAGGTATGAAGGGGTTCTTACCGTCATCGGCACGCATCCATTTCAGACTCTCCCACGCCTCATCGTAGCGCTCTTTCTTGGCTAACCAGCGGACACTTTCCGGCTGGGTAAAAAGGCCGATGGCCAGAACGGCAGCTGGGACAAGCTGCAAACCGACAGGGATCTGCCATTGCTTGGAGACGGCAGGCAGGGTCTGCTCGACAGCATAGTCGATCCAATAACTGATCATGACACCCAGGGCGAACAGCCACTGGACGCCCGATCCCAGCATACCACGGATCTCTTTGGGGGCCATCTCGGCGTTGTAGGTGGGCACGACGGCAGTCCCGGCGCCCAGACCCAGTCCGGAAACGACACGACCGATGTAGAAGCAAACGAGGGAGTGCGAGGGGACCACCTGGAGAATCACACCGACGCAGAAGACCACCATGGCGCCTTGAATGGTCTTTTTGCGACCCAACCGGTCAGAGAGAGGGAAAATGGTCAGAGCGGCGAAGAATGCGCCAACGTTCTGGAGGGAGACCATGACGGCATTCACAGTGGTCTGATCGGTATAGCGGAAGTCATTCTGGTAGGACTCGAATTCGAGAATGCCGCCGACGATACCGGTATCGTAGCCAAAGAGGAAGCCGGCGGTGCAGACGAAGAAGCCGAAGAAGTATGCGCGAAAGGCGCCGAGGCGAGTTCCTTTGAGACGGCCCATCACGACAAGCACAGCTATTCACCCAGAATCGCGACAGTTTACGATGAAATCTACGGGAAAAAAAAGAGCAGGGCGCCGGTTAAAGTAATTAAAGTAGCTCTCGTACTCGGACCGCACCTCGTGGCTCGAACTCCCCCAATTCAGTTGGAGCGTGAGAGATCAGCACGCAACCGTCGCCCGCAGATTCGCCATCGCACGCCATGAGGCTAGCCACGGGCTGCGCGGACATCCCGGTCGAGATGCATGTTTCAGATTTTCTGATCGATCGCAGCAGCGTCTTGCTATCAATTCAGCCTCCTTGCGTTCCCGCGTGGCATATCTTCCGGTCGGTGTGCTGTGAGATCGGGGGTCATGAGTAATAGGAGAGTGTATGACGGATCTGAGATCGGCGCTTCTCCGCAGCCGCCAAGATCCACCCCGGATGCCTCAGCAGACAACCCACCGCGACGTGTGGACCTGCTATTGTCAAATAGATACCCGGCTATCGGCCGGTCGCTTCGATCGCCCGTGCTGACCATACGTTATTTGTATCTCCTCGGAACGCGTGTATGGCGAAATGCGAGTACTTGAATGATGTGAACAGGATCAAATTGTATGACGCGCGCATAGCGGTCTGCGTGGGTAGGTAGCACGGGCACATGGCCCAGCGCGCCGATCGATGCGGCCGGGCGCAGGTGGCACATGGATGTGAGCTGGACACCTCCCTTGCGCGGGCCAGGATTGCAGCGAATGTCGGTGTCTCGACATGCGCGCGAGAGCCTAAAAACCGGGGAGGTTGGTGCATCACCTACATCGACAGCTATCAAAGCTGGAGCATGTACATGTGCATGTACATGTCCTTTGACATGGAGAGAGCTATCGACATGCATTCTTGCACGATGACCGAGCGCCTTAGGGTATCATTCTTTTAAGAGTAAGAAGCTGGCTAGCCCGAACGTACCGCTCCTAAGCTCCGAAGCTTTCCCGCATTGGGCGGACCGTTGACGGAGGTCCATTTCCAGTCATCCCGATTCCCATTGCAGCTCATCCTACCCAATCACCAGCACACCAGGCCAGCTGTTGGCTTCGCATCGATCTCGAGGATTGCGGGGTATCTACCCAAGAATTCCCAAGAAGCTTCATCTTGGGAAATTACGATTGCCATCCTGTCGATGCCCACTGACGTGATGACATGCTATGCTGTGCAGTGCCAAACGGTTCGTCTGCAAGGGGCAGCCCACCGCCTCATCTTAGACCTTGGAGGAAATGGTGGAGCTCCTCTCCTGAACCTTTATCATCTGCGGGTCCCTCGATCTCGGCGGTCCTCGGAGGTCCAGTTGCCTGTGCTGTTGAAGATCTCGCGCATCTCCATCATCGTGCTGGATCGCGCAGGACGAGTGTTCTTTCAGAACTGGAAACTAATGTTCGGCGGTATGGCGAGGGAGCACATATGTGGCAGCCGGAGCTTGAGCTCTGCATAGTATGCCGTCGGGGCAAGTCTCGGAAAAGTGATTTCAAGGTAGACTTCAGGGTCGTTTTCTGTTGGGCAAGTGCCTGCGCTCTATAAGATGGCGGAGCTCACCCTCCGTGCGAAAGTCTTCGGCGATGTGATTGCAGAGATGACAGTAGGCTCTCGTTATTTTCAATTCTATGGAAATCTCCATTCCTCGGCCAATCGATGCACTCCACGCTTCATCGAGGGGAATGCTGCCAGAAGGGCCGATGAGACTGTACTTGAAAGGCTCTATAATAGTCTTCAAAGCGATGCAGCTTTTGAAAGCTTTGTCGATGAGACGGCGCATTTCCTATTTAACGAGAAAGTGAATCAGTATGAGACTGAGAACCCCGAAATGACATCAGCGACCACGAACCTCCTATGTTCTGTATGATTCGAATGGAGTATTGAACTTCACCCCGCTTGGATCTTTGAAATGAAATGGGTCTGGACTTTCTGGGAGAGACTCACCTTATGTCAGATATTCTTTCCAGTTCCGCGGCTGATCTAGAGAATCCATTGCTACTTTGGGACCCGTGGGAGATAAGGCTGATGCATTGTAATATGTATAAAGAGAAAGCGCCTTCTGCCCTCAACTACAGCGAGGTCCGTTTCCCCCTTGGCTTCATGATCGCTGAGCTCGCGTTGTGTTAAACACTCAAAGAACTATGGATGATGAAGATCGAGTCGAGGCATACACAATTCTCATGATAACAGCTTTGCAAATTGACCCGGTGGAGCAGCATAGTGAGGACTGAATATAAGAAGGTAATCAAGACGCGTTTGTTCTGGCCGGGATGTGAGGGGCTCGACTTGGATAAGATATGCAAGATGAAGGACTCCGACTAATTATTTCGCCTCATATCGAGACCCTGAGGATATTTGAAGGGAGGATATGAGAGAAGAGGAAAGCATGATAATATCTGCCTCTTTCATCTAAGAATCCATTACAGTCCTAAAAGGGTCAGCCACACAAGGTCCCAGAGCCGCGCGATTGTCATTTTTCATGTTCTCGCTAGGGCGCATGTGAGCACTTTCAGGCGGCGCCCTAGCTGTGTCAGTATTCTGCATCCGTACTGTACCTCGTGTCCCACATGCGCTCGAACACATTTGAACAAATATCAAAATCTACCATGTCTTAATCTAGCCTCCCGTGAGATATTGAGGCATAGGCTCTATTTTGTTATTATGTAACGCGACTTTGTGTGGTTTCTAGTATCAACTAGACAGTACTAATAATGGTGCAATTGTTTACTGCTCATATTCTCTAGAGGTCGAGCCTCAAAAAGTCGAGAAAGAGTAATGGGAGTGGCCCTTCGATTATTAAGCAATGATGTTTTGAGATCATTCACCGCGAGTCCCAGACCGATATAATGAATGTAATGAAATTTATTTGCCCTCTGATAGACCTTCCAGGATCCCCGATTCTCAAATGTTTTAAGCAGGCCTATGCCATGATCATTTTCCGGGAGATGGAGTCAAAGCGCGGGATATACAAGGAACACCTAGAATAGGCCACACTGCCATAGTCTATTCGACAGACAGATTGAGTATCCTGATTTATTCATATGAAGATGAAGATGACAATAGGATCCCCTCACTTCCCCCGATCCAAAATACTTCTACAGCAACTCAAAATAAATCGTTCACACAGTCTAAGCAATATAAAGCCCGAAATGAAGATCTCACTGAGCAACTTTTCTCTTCTTCTTGCGACTTCAGGATTTGTGAATGGCCTGTCTCTGCCTCCATATTGCCCTCCAAATGCTGTTGGATGCGCCCTTAGGATTAGACTAGGAGTTGATCCTTCCCTCCCTAGTCGCCTGGCGGACTGCTCCAGCTTCCAGGGGACACCGCCAAGTCAAGGTGGGTCTTGTCAGGCGGGACGCGGCAGAGCCGCATCGCCACGACTTAACAGTGGACGCGCCTTCCTCCTTCAGTGCGCGCAATGGAGCTTGTCGAGAAAAATGCTCAGGTGGCCGACCTCTGCCTTGTACTGGGATCCTTACTCATCGTTACAACGGTTAATAGCATCACCGAAATCGTTGGCCAGAAATACGGAGCTAAGCTTGTCATTTGCAACCATCAAAAGACGCCTGTCGATGACATTTCCGATCTAAGAACACTTTCACCGAAGCAGATATCCTGATGATCAAGGTAATGGAAAGCTCGAGCTTCCAATTCCTCTGTTCATTTTGTGAAGATGCCGTAGTCATCAAAGTGGAGACACGAGAAGCGGACAGACACCGTGCCACTGTTAATGGAGTCGATAACGATGGCACCATGACATTTCTCCAGTCAGTTAGACTTGAGAGTAGCAGACGAGTCGCTCGCGCAGAGCCATTTGTTATTCTGGTTCGTGAATTGCTTCAACCGGGTGACCCTTTGAAATTCGACTTGGAGTTTATGGGTCACTACAATGGGCCGAACCTCGAGCTAGTGCGTGAATACAGCAGCGAAGAGGAGGTGATCTATTTTCTTGAGTTCAATCCTCAAAATGGCGAATGGTCTGCATCCAAACAAGAGGCTTTGGCAGGTGTCACCAAGTCGCTAACAGTCGATTAAGTGGGCGACCACGGAAATTGTGTTGTATAAAATAGAGAAAACTCGATTTGATTTCGTGGATATCCTTCAGAAAGGCTAGCTCAGTATACAAAATGATGTTTCTGAACCTGGGGGGTCAACAGAACCCCTCATATCTTCGCTTCACGTAAATCTGCTCAGTCGGTCTTGAAGTGCCATTCCGAGATGATCACGCTTAAGGCGGCCATCTGATCGAAGGTCAATAAAATCCTATTATGAGAGCCTTTGCTATACTCACCAAAGCCATATCAATACCAGGCATGAGAGTAATATCCCACGCAGGTCGACTTCTCCCATGCGAGGATCGTCGCAGGGCCAGCTTCTGGCTGTGTCTGGCACTTTCACGAATCTCGCCCATTCTTCGCCCACTGTTGGTATCGAAAACATCGAAGAAAGTCATGACATGTCCATGTTTCTGCAACGACAATCTATGTTTCTTCTCGCCACTCATAAACCTGAAGGTCATCAGGACCCTTTCTCCGAACCTGACCGGAGTCGCCTTGCTGATAGTATCTTCGGCTTGCTGGCAGGCATAGTGATGATCCAACTGAACAGATCCATACCAGGCTTGCAATAAATGTTGAACATGGGCAGTCCTGACGCGTCTCGTACCTCGCGACCTTTGCGATCTTCGTTATATCGGCGACCGGAGACCGTGAACAGGGGTCCGCCGGCTTCGTATGTGGCCAGCCCCGTGAACGGATTTCGATGCATAGCCAGCATGAGCCCTCTCGGAGCCTTGCCGAGATGATCTTCATTCGCAGCCACTTTCTGGCAAACATAACAGCACGGCCGGCAGCAATCGAACCGTGGAGAAGAGGACGGTAAGTAAATATGGCCCTCAATCAGAATAGAAAAAATCAGACTCGAAGTATGGCAGTTATCATTGGCCCAGTATGCTGCCAGCGCAACTCTCCTCACATCGCAGTCTCCTTTCGACGATCTGACCCTGGGGACCACTGAGAAAAGGCTGGCTCGATTTGGTGATGGCCGTCTTGAGTAGTGAGGCAATCTCCCGGAGTCCACCTTCTGTCACAGTATATAGCGGACAGACCACGACCTGATCGACCTGATATTCTCCCGTGCGACCGAGATTCCCGAGGACATTCAAGCCCAGGTCCAGACTCCGCTTCACAATCCGATTGCAGAAATTGGCCTCAATCGGCAATTATGTCTTCGAGTCAACACCAAGGATGAACTCCACAGCCCAGAACAGCCCACGTCCCCGAATATCACCAACAATGGGCAATGTGCGGATTTCCTGACGGAGGAGGGCTTCAAGCTTTTCTCCCATGATCCGGGATCTCTCGACAAGGTTGTCACGTTTGATGATCTTTTGCGCTGCATTAGCCGCGGCACAAGCTAATGGGTGGGCCCAGAACAGGCTTAGTCTTCAGTCATTCGAGAGAGATCGCAACTAAGCAAAAGGTATGCCCGTGAGCCAGGCCACCAGACCCAGCAGAAAGTGCGTCAAAGATCTTCCGGTGCAGCAGTACTCCAGATAGATGGACGAATCCTGCACCAAGGGCTTTCCCGATGGTCTGAATATCAGGACCTCGGATTCCTTCTTGCTCCCATGCATGCATGGTACCCGTATTGCCAGGAGCACACTTTCGTACTTATTGCAGATATCGCGGATTGCCTTGACGTATCCGGACACTGCAGGCAACAAATCACAACAGCCGTCATTACACTAACCGAATCCATTTAGCAGCGAGCTCAGTGCAGCATTCTCAGATCTGAATGCTCTCTTCTACTCGGCAGCTATCTGTATATGAATCCCATCTGTAGCCGCAACGCTTTTCGTCCTCACAAATATCGAACCTACGAGCCGAGCCTGCCAAATACTCTCGATTCTTTTGGAACTCAAACTTCCTCCTGATACTGGCACATAACTGCGCGCATTATATTGCAAATTACTAAGGAGCGGGCAGAATGAGTTGCGAATTTGCAATAGATTCAATACGTGCAATACACTCCAGTAGCCAGGAAATCACAAAAATCAACTGCAGCCTCTGTTCAGCAGCTCAAGAGCTATGAATAATTTCGGGGTCTCCAATCAGCATCTGATACTGTGTAGGAGCCGAGCAAAAACGGGGCTCATCTGCTGCAGCAAAGGCCTGGAAGTCAGGATCGTTGAAGACTGCCTTCGCCCCTTCAGCTGAGTCAAACACCAGGAAGGCAACACCATCCCAACCGGAGTTCGGAAGACCAATTGCACTCTCTGCTTCAGCTCTGACCGTCGCATCATCGTGATACTGGGGTATGTTAGCATTCTCCAATGCTTCTGGTGAATCAAGTTTCTCCAAACCTGCTCGTATCTTGTGCAGTGCTTCTTCACAATGTCGAGATCCATAAATTGCTTAGCATGAGGGCCTCTCCAATAGTCGTCGAACTCCTTTTTTGACATGCCTTCCCTTCGTCGAGCGAAGATGAGCAATTTAACAGGAGCAACAGAAGAGAGGCCCATTTTGCTGTTGGTGACCGAATATCAGAGATAACAGTGTTTAAAAATCCCCATCCTTTTCTGCTGGCAAGCTAGCCACGTTGATGAGGGGCAATTCCAACCCCGCTTTAGCGCGCGTCAGCCGGAAGAGTCATCCCTTATTGACATTCGAGGCAGGTCAGCGCGGCATTGGCCCCCGATTTAATGTCTTCAAATCTCACATGCTCTGAACCATGTAATCGATGGAAGTGATTCCCATCCGAATGGATTCCTCCATGTTTGTTCGGATCTCAGGGATTTTGACTATTTCGCTTTGAGTGATGTGGAACCCCTCGGGAAAACACTGTCTCTTAACGGCCCGCCTTCTGAGAGGTCGACCTTGATTATTCAGCTGAGGAACCGTCATTATTTTCTCTTCTTCGTTCGCTTCTGTTGAGGATTCACAAGTTGAAGTGCTTCATTTATAGTCTCGACTCCTCTTCAGCTGCGTCACGTGCATCTTCCATTCATGTCAAAATGTCAAGGGGATGTGGGTCTGCGCGCATGTTCGAATGTCCATTTGGACTAGTAACTATCACTCGGATTGCACTCGTGCATCGACTTCCAAGCTCAGGCATTCGAAGAATCAAAATTTCAATTTCAAGAGCATTCTTTTTCAGGCCCAAACCTCCCTGTCCTGGGCCAGTTGTCGAAGCACTGTGAACACTTAGTTGGGGCTTGCTGTTCAGTGTTAGTGGATATTTGGACAATATCCACGGGGTAACGTACCTACACTACAAACAAACTCAAACATAAACGCAGTGCCGGCGCCCTGGTGGTATATAACACTGCACCATGGTGTACATTAATACTCTCAATTCGGGAGTCACCTGCCCGACCCCGTGATTCTGGGAATTGAACTGCCATGGCGGCGTGCGAGGAAGCCGGTGCCGTCGTGCCTGCCGTGCCTTCTTCCACTGTGAGGCTCTCCGCCATTCGAGAGATATTCTGCGATTCTAATCTCCTGTTCCTCGAACTTCTCGTCATTCGCTCTCCTGAAAGTCCCTTTCACCCCTGTCGTGACTTCCAATGTTTTACTCGTCTTTGACGCGATGGGCTGCCTTCGCAGCGTTCATGAGCTTCCTCGGGTTCACCCAATACCCTGGCACTCTCCGGTACCGAAAGTCCTTCAACGTGTGGCCCCCATGGGATGCGACCTTCGATTATGTGGTGGTCGGTGGTGGAACTGCGGGCATCACCATTGCCTCTCGTCTGGCCCAGAACGGCTCTACTGTTGCGGTTATCGAGGCCGGAGACTACTACGAGCTCACGCATCCAACAACACGTGTTCCCGGGGCTGCTGCCATCGGTATCGGTGCCAACGTGGAAACCGCAACCAACATTGATTGGAAGTTTGTGGCAAATAAGGTGCCCGGGGCTGGCTATCGTGACATCCACTACGCTCGTGGAAAGTGCGTTGGCGGATCGTATGTCTCACTAGCCCCATTGGAAGTCGGGTGCTGTTACTAAAATAGCCTCCTTCCAGGTCGGCATTGAATTACATGATCTACCACCGGTGAGTTATTGGAAAGATACAGATCGAATTTTCAAGCTGATGATTTTCGCAGACCACCTCGAGGCGCCATGGACAAGTGGGCCGAGGCCGTGAACGACCCCAGCTACAAATTCGACGACGTTCTTCCGTTCTATCAGAAGACAGCGAAATTTACGGAGCCAGACCCTCAGTCGGGCAATGCTGACACGCCATACAACAAGTCCGCCTTCTGGAACATCGGATCCCCCCTTCACGTTTCGTTTCCGCGGTACGCCATGCCTTTTTCCAGATGGGTGGGCAAAGCCCTTACGGCAATGGGTCTCCCAGAGGCCGAAGACTTCAACAGTGGAAGATTGTCCGGCCACCAGTTTTGCACCATGACAATTCGTCCGTTCGACGAGAGCAGATGTAGCTCGGAGGCCGCATTTTTGCAATACGATAACCACGTGGGGTTGATGACTATTTACCAGAACACGCTGGCGAAGAAAATATTGTTCGACAACAAAAAGCGAGCCACGGGTATCAGAGCAAACAAGTACTGGGATTTCACGCTCACTGCCACGAAAGAAGTGATTATCTCGGCTGGAGTCTTCCAATCCCCACAATTGCTCATGGTCTCCGGAGTCGGACCTGCAGCAACACTTCAGGAATACGGCATCCCGATCATTTCGAATCTGCCTGGAGTTGGTCAGAATATGTGGGACCATGTCTTCTTCGGGCCGTCCTACCAAGTGAAAGTCAGCACTTTCTCCATGCTTGCGCAGAGCTCATTCTGGTTTGCCGCTCAGCTAGCAAGCTACAGTTTTTGGCGAAGTGGCATGTTGACAAACCCATCGACCGACTACTTAGCCTTTGAAAAAATTCCCATTCCATGGCGACCCTCTCTCTCTGCTGAAGCTGAGCACGAACTGTCCTGGTTTCCCGATGATTGGCCCGAAGTTGAGGTATGACTAGAGTTCATGCTCTTTTCATTCTCCACTAATATCTTAGCAGTATCTCGCTGCATCTGCCTACGTGGGTAACTTTTCCGACCCTTATGCCCAGCAACCCGAGTGGCCGAACCAGTACGCCAGCATAATCGGCTGCCTCGTGGCCCCAACATCCCGCGGAAATGTTACAATCCAATCGGCTGACATCAGAGATCTTCCAATCATCAGCCCAAACTGGCTCAATTCAGAGGCGGATCGGAAGTTAGCAGTATCGGCATATCGACGTGTTCGGGACACGTTCCAACATCCCGCCATGAAAGACGTACTGGTCGGGCAAGAATACTTCCCTGGAATGAAGCATCAGTCAGATAAAGAGCTTCTGGGAATTGTTCAAAAGACCATGATGACAATATTTCATGCTTCGTGCACCTGTAAGATGGGCGTTCAAGATGACCTTTCTGCGGTTGTCGACAATCGAGCGCGGGTATTTGGGGTCACGAATCTCCGTGTCGTCGACGCCAGTGCGTTCCCCCTTTTTGCCGCCAGGTCATCCGCAGTCAACCGTCTGTAAGTATATCACCCTTTTCTGTGATTAAATGACACTGACCTTCTCAGACATGCTAGCTGAGAAGATCGCGGACAACATCATCAACAATTCTTAGCCGTGACCAAGTTTCAGGTCTACGCAGTTCCACTCGAGTCCATTTTGAAGTGGCTTCCATCAAAAATACTCGATATAAAATATGGACTAGAAGGACTAGGAGAAGCAATGACTTTGAAAGTTCTACAGATTCTTTCACAACTAGAATACATTTTATACTTCCAAGGTGGCCACTAGACGGGTCAGGGACACCGACGCGCTGTATTGTATCATCTATCTTAGTGTCGTCTTTTTCTATTAATCATATCACCACATCTCTTCTAGGTACATTTGGTTCAGCGTGTCAAACATATTGTAGTCGCTTGGTAAGCAGTCTGGAGAGAATGCAAACCCAAGATTATTGGCAAACAGTTCATCCGAGTTGGGAAAGTTCGCCAATGAGACAGGATAGGCATTATCAAATGCTGGAGCAGTCATGCGATCCAAGTAGGCATTCTGGGCTGTAACAGGATCGTCGAAATTCAATGAAAGAGAATTTTCAGGCAGCATATTCTTTGCATCGAAGAACCCATCAAATGTTTCAAGTGGGGGAGCATTAACATCCCATGAGACATCCGCACCGGCAAGTTTTGACGCCACCTCGTAAGCTGCAAAATCGCATTTTTGGGGCGGGGAGAGAACATGATCCGAGCCAAACCGTTGAGTATACAGTTTCTCCAGATTCCGGCCAATTCGCTTTGCGATATTCCACGATGTCGACAGTTCGCGGAGAACCTGGAGACAGAGCCCTACAGCGACATGGGGCGAGATACTCCGCTGGCCATCTTCGCTTGGGCTCGGTTTCGTCTTGTTCTCCATTGTGCAGCAATTCTCGATGATCGTCAAGGCAGCGGACAGGGTGCAGTATGTTGCGGTAATGGCGCTTAATTTGAAGTTGCCAAATGTTTGTCTATACTTTTGTATGACAATACACATTGCTCGGATGGATGAGCCGCAGCTGGCAAGAGCCTTTTCTGTTCGGGAGTGGTCTGAAGTCTTTTTTTCTTCGTGGAACTTTTGTTTGCCGGTCTCATTTTTCTCGCTTCCATGGGTATGTTTGCTAATGAAGGGACCGCACAGCAAAATGAATGCCGTGTGGTATACCATCAACATCGTATAGGCGTGGGGAAAGCGGGATGGCCCGGTTGATCGATCGATCTTCAATTCCGATGGAAGATCGTAGTACCAAGTTTTCAGCTCGAGGATGCAAGAGTCAAAGAAGGCCGATCGTTGATGGGCGTGGATGAGGGGTTTGGGTGACCATCTGAAGGATGTCAGGGCAAGTCAACTCTAGTAGTACATGTTCAGGCGACTTACAGTGAGTGGAGGATCTTTTCCAGGATCCGACATAAATCAATCATTGCCTGATGCAGTTTAACAACTTCCCTTTGGGAGAACGCTCGAAGCTGGCCGTTGCCTTTGGCAGAAGGCAAGAAGGTGCTTGTCGCGCATTGTAGATATGGCTTGTTGACGACACCCTGAGAGTCCTGTTTGAATGATGAGATTGTGGTACCTCTCAGTACAGATGCGAGTGTCACCTACCAGTAACGTACAGACTCTACCAGTATAGCTGGCGGATAGTTTGTCATGACAGTAAAGAGCCCAGTAGATTTGCCTTCTGAGTTCAATCTCAATTGGCGGTAAGGAGACAGCCCCTGCAAGAACAGCCGGGTCCATGTTGAGTCCCATGTCCAAAGCTAAGCGGTTTGCCATACCCTGATGAAGCCAGCCAGCTGCATCAGATCCGGTTGCCTGTAAGTAATGTCAGTATTGACCGTTAATACCCACTCCTAGCAGGAGGTTTCTTACAATATAGAACACGCCCATTATTGCAAGCGATTGAATTGTCGTGATCTTGGGCCATCTCAAATCATGCTGTATAAGCCTTTCTGCCTTGCAAATGAAAATTTTCCCTGCCGTATTGGGATCATTTGGATCTGTTCGCACTTCGATGCGATCGCAATATCGTGATCCCACGGCAAGTATGCAGTTCAGCAGCAAAGGACTGCAATATCGGCCGCCACAGGCCATACTTTCTCGAAACAGTGTTTCATTCAACATTTGAAACCATGGCTGTTCCCATTCAAAATACAAATCAATCAAATGAGCTTGGAGCTCATCTGATAGCCACGTTTCATCCGGGAGGTTGGGATTCTGTTCCGTGGGATATTGACAAGGACTGACTGTCGACACCGCACATTCTGGGGTATTTCCCGAGCAAGCGGTGCATGACGCATCGGTTGAATATGATTCCTCATTAGGAGAGCCTATACGGGTGCATCAGCGCAATCCACGTTGAGACCAGAGCAAATTGTAACTCACCGCCTGTTGAAGAACGGAACAAGAGTCTTCCACTAGTAGGGCCAAAATACCTGACTTCGCCATCTTGATCGAAGTTCAAAGACTCGTCCAGGGTTAATGCGCCGTCAAAGGTGCCACACAGGTCCTCGACATTATTGGACCCCGCAGCTGCCCATTCGGGCTCGGCCTGATGATTCGGAATCCCATCCTCGGCCATCAGCTGAGCCACAGAGGCGTCTGCATCGATGCCGTGGGAGCGCAAAACACGTTCCAGCAGCTCGATCCTGTTCCGCAGCATCACGACATAAGCCTTCGGTGCAGGCTGTCTCCCATCTTCAGCGGTGGAGTACTGGCATCGCAATCCACGGTCCAGACACCGCGAGCATGACGGCCGATTGCCATCGCACTGTTCCAATGTGTTAGTCTGCATGAAATTTATGGGGTGCTAGTATTTGAATTTGAGGATGAACAAACATACCTTGGCCCTTCGTCGGCGGCATTCCTCGCATGCCCGTGACGTATACTTCCGGCCTGGCCGTTTACGCCGCGCGTTAGGGTCCTCGGCTGGTGTTGCGGAAGACATTCAATGATAGCTACGCGAACTTTTCAGCCTGAGATGGCAAACTTCCAGGGCCGGTTGTACAACGTTGCACTTTGATGGAGGAAGGATGGGGCATTACAAAGCAAGCGGGACCGGATCCACACCCGACGATTCAGGCTACAATCGCTCAGGCTTGGCGGGCCGAAGTATGCATCCCATGCCCACTCGAGCATCATCTTCGCAACTTTCGATTCGGGCCTCTGGGATTGGTTTTCGAGACGATTCGCTTCTCATACCTCTGCTGTGATTATCTGATGAAGGGATATATCATCCGTAGACAAATTTGATGTTCTCTTGTGGCTCTTGCTATTTCTTGTGGCTCTTGCTATTTAGACCCATTTTCCTCCCTTGTTCGGGCCGGTCTTGAAGCGATCTTGAATGTTTCTTGAAATCGAAAGTTGCGAGAGTGACAGGGGGTCTCCATGAAATCCTGATTATTGTGAAAAAAGGTCGCATCCGACCAATCATTTTACAGCGCCTTGTCGGTCACCTGAAGTGAGGCTCAGGCTGATTATTGCCCCATTCTCCCCTCCCCTAGAGTCAAAACATTAACGTGAAATCTCTCCGTGGGAATATTGGCCTATTTTCCAATCAGTCCTCGCGGCTCAATCTTTATCATATCTCGAAATAAGGGAGCCGCCTCCGGCATCGTCGAAGACGGCGATATTATCAAGATAGAGCCAATGGATCCAACCCTAGCAATGATGCTCTTCGAAAAATGCTAGAAGGTCCAAGTAGATAAGGATAGCCTCCTTCAGCTCTTCAATGCGCTGGGATTCATACCACTCGCGATTGTGCGATTTAAATTAATCAACGTACCCCACGTCTCTCAGTGGCATAGTATTTGAAGGACTTCAGCGGAGTAGCCACAAAAGAGCAAGTCTCTTGGCCCACGAGACCGGACAACTGCGCAGGGATAAAGAGGGAAAAAATTCCGTTTTTTAGCATTACAAACGTCGTTTTATCACATACAGCAACAACGGCCGATAGCAGCGATCATCCTGTCATTGATGAGCTTCTTTGACCAATATTTTATTCGTGGATCTCTGTTACAGCGTACTCCAGAAGCAGGACGCGATGAAAGAATCAGATTTTCAATAGACGCCCCGATATATATACCAGGATTCCGTGCAAATTGAAGCGGAGTCAATATTGGATTCGGGATTCGAAAACGACATACTGATCCTAGAGGGTTACTTCATTACGTCCATCAATCTGGACGGAAAGACTTTCGAAATGCATCCCCTTGTACAGATTACCATACGAAAGCGGCTCGATATCCGTGGAAAGCTTGAGCAGTGGATGGAAAGGTTCATCGACATACTCCGACAACTTTCCTCCGACATGAGAATTTGAGAATTGGGCCCTGTGTGTCAGCCACTCTTCGAACATGTACAGTCTGCGATCATGCAACGGCCGGAAAAACCACAGTGTCTACTCAAATGGGCTTACCTGATCCACAGAGGTGCGTGGTTTACGTGGTGCAAGGAGTATTTGATTGAGAGGGAAAGACTAGCAGACCTGGCTATGAGCGCAAGGAACAAATTGCTTGGCTCACGTCATGGGCAGACAGTCAAGAGTATGGCCTGGGTGCCGCTAGTTTATATCCTCGGGATGCGATGAAAAAGCGCAGAAAATTTGCTACTGCCTCTGTTGGAGGTCCACAAGTAGGATCCTGGATCAGAACACCTTGATGCTTTGCTTGATATGGGTCATCTGGCCAAAGTCTAAATGAATCAAGGACGTTGGAAGGAGGCGGAAGACTTACTGGTGTAGGTGATGAATGCTTCTGAAAAGGCCCGAGGCCTAGGGGCTTCTATGCATTGACTAACATCAGCCATCTGGCAAGGTAGGGGTGTGTGTGTGTGTCACATGACGCGTACATTAGCGATGTCAAATTTCATGCTCACATTATCATCATTTTAAAGTCATGCAATGTGATTACATGCCACTCGACGTCCCATCGCATTGAACACCGCAAGAAAAACCTTAGGTCACAACAGAGCTACTAGAAATTAACCACTTACTGCTTTCTTAGTGATGTGATTTGACGCTTTTCTTTGTGAGCTATGGCACACGCACTGTACATTGTTCTACTGAATTTTGTTGATGTCTCTTGAGCACTTGTGAAATGTACCATGTTGCCATTACAATTATAGGCGAAAGTTTTCTTGTGATATCACATGGATATACTCAGGTATGTATCTAAATATTCGGTACGGAGATCGCAGACCACTCCCGAGGTCTTGGTTAAGTGTAAACATTAAGCTCCCAGTTACTCTCGAGATAAAGTTAATGGAACTGCATAATGTAGGCTCTTCACTCACGATACATGCTCGCTGGCTGTAGTGAACTTGTATGTTGCCCCTGTCTCACGTCGCGATCGACATCAGAATATACATCAGCTGCCACGACCCACGCATTCCACGGCCAATCAAACAGCATACTAATGCAAGGACAACTCATGTCGGGATTACATTTCCATGTAGGTTCTTTTTGTCTTCAATCTAGCGATTATTTCGACCACGGAATGTACGTTTCCTCCGCCCAAGGGGCTAAGCAGCTTGTTTGATCCGGGAAGTCCGGCCATGGGAGGGGCCACTCTGGAAACATTATTCACGGCAATACGTAATGGATCTACGAATTGACTCAGTTCCCCTCAAATTTGCGAGGCCGCTCATGCAGCTGTGAGCCCGCATCAAGAGCAGGACTGTCGCGAGACCCACGTATCCAATGGCCCCTCCCCCCACAGATCAGAGGCGGATGCATGCAGGATGGCCGCTGCTAACCGGGCGTGATTGGGCTGCAGAAAGGTGGGGGAAGAAAGAGAAGCATAAACTTTACTCGGGGAGTATCTCATCTCGAGTCTCCAATCGGGAAGTGCTTTGGAGACGAGGTGTGGATGGCGTCGGTCATGGGCAAGGGGCTTGCCGAGTCGTGTCCCGCGGGCTTTGAGCTATCCACAGAGATCCATATGGACCACAACCTTGGGTGAACGATTATATCCCTGCTTGTACGAGCTATCGGCCAATGATTAGAAATGATATCAAGAAAGACACTTTTTTTACCCCCATGACGAAGGGTATCAGGTGACTACCCCGCAAACCGGGGGTGAAGAAAGGGTGGAGACGAGGATCGCCCACGGTCCACCGCGCACAAATTTGGGACGCTTTGGATCTGCCCCCCGAACATTCCGGCGGAGAACCTTTCCTTGCCGCCCTCGCTGCCCCTCCATCCCAGACGGATATGAATTATGACGACCAGTAAGGGACCGCGGGACGAAACATGTCTGCGTGGCACAAGCCGACGGTGCAACCGAGTGGTTCTGTCGGTAACGGAGGGGGAAAAACGATTATGAATTTTGTTGTCGAGGAAATCAACGGAATTCCAGTATCAAGGTTCAGAGCGCATTGGGTAAGTAATCTGCAGTTGCAGTGCCCATGGGTCTGGGTGCTCTTGTGCTCTCGTGCCTCGAGAGGGACATCCGCCTTCGAAACAAGCGAAGTCTCGTGAAGCAGATGGTGGCGTCCAACTGGGGGGTGTGATGTTGACCTAGTGCCGCGGAATGACATCCTAATGGGCTGCACGGCATGAAGGGATCGGGCCCGCTGGGAATCTCGGTGCAGATTGGCATAATAGCTGGGGGCGGGGGATCCGTCGTTGACACTCCTTTCTAGGGATTGGTGTCGTTGCGACCCGGCTTTCTGGTGTTCGGGGGGCTCCGTGGCCGGCTTCTCTCCAGACCCAGGTGTGGCAAAGACGAGCTGCAGCATCTGAAATGGCTCACTGGCTGTGCTCGGGGGTAAACGGGAGTGCAGCAGGGATTCGCAGGGATTGGAGCGATCAGAGCCAAAGGTACCAAAATGCGATCCAGACTCGAGCCGATTCCAGGTGCAGCTATCGCTCACGTAGTGAGATAGATTGAAACAACGTCATGAGCAAGGAGGGTCGTAAGATGTGGCTCCCTGGTCTTTGGGTGTAGCCTGGAATGCTCGCGACGAACAAAGCCGTGGGCCAGTCATTATGGGATTTCTCTCTGTCGAGATGAGAGCCATTGTTTTTCCGAGTTTGCCGAGTCTGCCCTGTCGTCAGAGTACTTGGGACGAGCAGCGAGGAGCGACTGGGGGGACTTGCCCGACGTGCTTCGTTTTGCGGTGGTGCAGCGTGGAAAAGAGACGCACGGCGACCCGCCGCCAATCACCGCCCTCACCTCCCTCCCCCTCCCCTCTCGGCCTTCCTTTTTTTACCTCCTTCGTCATTATCAAGCTGCTTTCTGTCTGCCTCGCAAACTCGCAATTTCTCACTGATTCTGCCCTTCCTCTCCTTGGGTCGGCCTCTGGGGTTGACGTCGGTGATCCTACGCGTCGGCCTTGTCGCGCCCATTCCCTCCCCGCATACACACGGCTTCACGGCTTCCCGTTATCCTCCGTCTGCACCAAGTCGTCGAACCTGGTTTGCGGCTGGCAACCACCTGCACTGGAATCTGTGACTCCATTCCGTGCTGGCTGCCCACGCCATGGCATATTAATGTCGCGGATGAATCGATAGCCTCGCCACGCCTCAGAGCAATTGCTCTGCCCAACAAGCGGACGGTTCTGTTTGGCCCCGAGCCTGGCTCCCTGCTCGACTCGTTCTTTGATTCTTTTACTCGCTCGTCATACACTCGATTAACCCGGCCGAACGTATCCTCTCGTCGACCGACCGAGTCAATATGGCGGACAATGGCTCACCAACACCCCAATTCCTCGCGCCCCCGGCCGTGACGGCCCTACGGCAAGAGGCTCGGAACATCAAACCGAAAATGACCCGGAGTATGAGTGATGACATGCGGGAGGAGCGTGAAGATTTGAAGGAGGCGGCCGAACAGACGTTAAACATCATCGTTGATCTCGATCTGGACGGTCGCATTAAGTGGGTGAGCCCATCATGGAAGCAGGTGGTCGGCTCCCCTCCGGAGTCGGTTGAAGGCCTCATGATCTCGGACATTCTGCTCGGCAACAAGGATGTCTTTCGTGATGCGATCGACGCGATGAAAGAGGACGACTCGCGGAGTCGCTTCATCCGCTTCTCCGTCGAGATGGGACCAGACTCGGTCCTAAAATACGCCCCCGAGTCGCGCCCGGCCGAGACAAATGATGGAGTAGAGAAGGAAAAGCGATCGGATAACCCCGAAGAGCCTTCGCAGGGCGAAGGCGTCCACAATGTGCTGACTATGGAGGGACAAGGAATTATGGTATATGAGCGGACGGACGACCAAGCTGGACATGTACGTGATGGCAACCGCTACTCGATCGACGGATTGCCCGCCTGACTGAGTCTATACAATGAGGGCATACCAGGCTAACCACCATTTTATTTATAGACTATGTGGATGCTCCGACCGTTCACCGAGCCCCGCGAAGTAACAATCGACCTGCCTCCTCTCCTGGTGGAATCACTCGGCGTTGGAGCAGAAGTCCTGGCCAACTACTTGACAACGCTGGCTGAGGCTGCGGCAAACGAACCCGATCCGTTGAAGCATCCAGCCCCGACTCCAGTCCTATGTCGAATCTGCGAACGCCAGATCACACCATGGTGGTTTGAGAAACATTCGGACTTGTGTCTGCAGGAGCACCGGGCAGAGATGGACGTTCAGATCGCACAGGAGAATCTCAATGAACATCGCCATGCAATCGTGAAAGTCCTCGATGCGCTAGAGACTCGGCAAGGACGACCACTCATCGGGAACGATGGTAGTATCATGCCTAGCGCACAACCGGAGTATAAAGGATTGCCGATTGGGCCTTCCCCAGTGAGCTCAACGCCATCCTCCGCGTCTGTGTCGAATATCAATTCGGCACCAGGGACTCCGCCTCGGTCGAGAGATCACTCTGCATCCGGTACCACCCCCTGTCGACCTCGGTCGTTTACAGTCCGGCGGCCGCTTGCTCGTATTGTGGAATTGGTCCTGGACCTGTGCGATACGGCGCTGGAAATCAGTATGCCTGTGATCAAGGAATCAGCCCGACCCGAGAGCAATGACGAATTGCGAACGCTTTCTCCGCAATCCGAATCCAGAATCTCCCAGGTCACCCAGTGGCAATCGCCGAGCTCGAACACACTAGAGCAGGAACAGGGCCTGGCAGCCCTCTCGAGCGATACAGAAACTGTGGCCAAGGCCAAGGTCGATGCCGTCGTTCGTCACCGCAAGATTGTTGAATATGCGGAGCGAATTCGTATCGAGTATACAGTCCTTGTAGAGGAATGTATCGCTGCTGCTCTCAGCAAGGCTGAGCGTATAGCTGCTGGGCAGCTTAGTGATTCATCATTCTCTTCAGATGAAGAGGCGATCCGGGCTTCCGGTGTGGATGATAGCATTGTTGACTACTCTTCAGCCAGAGAAGACGCTTTCTCACAACACCCAAGTCAAGAGTCACTGCCGTCGCTGGCGAGTGCGCAGAGCCAACTCCCATCACAAGCTCCTTTGCAAGGTCCAGCGAAACCAGAAACACAAACGCAGATACCAGCTCCGCAGCCACAACAGCAGCCACAGCTTGCGGCGCCGACAGCACGCAAGCCAACATCCGCACTGACAATGTCGATGCGGAACTCACCCGATCGTGCGTTGTTTGGCCAAGGAGAGACAAGATCAACTTCTTCAACTGCGGTGTCAACTGGGTCGAATAGTCCGATGGAGTGTCCGACGCCTCGATCTCACAGAAGTGCCGTAGGCCTCCTGGGCACCTCCCAACCCCGGCGTGGCTTGGCATTATCTGAAATCGATGCTGGAGATAGTAGCGATAGCAGTATGCCGTCCACGTCCGCATTTACTGGAGCCATGCGGACCGACTCACCGTCCTCCGAGCGCAGTTTCGATCGAAAACGCAGAAGCTTAGTTCTTCCAGGACTATCTAGCTCTCCTCGCCGCCAACCTTCTCCCGCACGGGTTTCCGGCCCGCACTCTCCCCTCCGGATGCCTAAGCCTCGATACTCCAATGGCGCGGACAGCCTCCCGTCGCCAATCGTTTCCCCGTCGACGTACGCAGGCGAGCTCGCGCACAACTATCGGCATCATCGTCGTCAGTCATCCGCTACCTCCTCCGACGTGGCAAAGCCTCCGCCATCGCCTCGCCTCCCCTCAGTCAGTCAACAGCCACGTCCGGCTCCACCGTCCATCAAAGATTTCGAAATTATCAAGCCGATCAGCAAGGGCGCGTTTGGAAGTGTGTATTTGTCGAAGAAGAAATCCACTGGCGAATATTACGCGATCAAGGTCTTGAAAAAGGCAGACATGATTGCCAAGAATCAGGTCACCAATGTAAAAGCCGAGCGAGCCATCATGATGTGGCAGGGTGAGAGTGATTTTGTTGCTAAGCTGTACTGGACGTTTTCGAGCAAAGAATATCTCTATCTGGTCATGGAGTACTTGAATGGGGGTGATTGCGCCTCACTCGTGAAAGTCCTTGGTGGTCTCCCTGAGGACTGGGCCAAGAAGTACATTGCCGAAGTTGTGCTTGGTGTTCAGCACCTCCATAACCGCGGGATTGTTCATCGTGATCTCAAGCCAGACAATCTGTTGATTGACCAGACAGGCCATCTGAAATTGACTGACTTTGGTCTGTCGCGAATGGGTTTGGTTGGCCGCCAAAAGCGAGTTCTCAAGAGCCCCAATGAATCGGCGCCCGATCTCCTCAAGCAAGGACCGTTTCCTCGTGCCATCTCAATCGCGTCTTCTCGCTCTGCATCCTTCGATTTCCAAGCAGGCTCGCCAGGATCTACGCCACTGATCACCCCGGAGCCAGGCACGAGTGTGGGCCAACCGTCCTACTTCAACCTAAACCAAAGTGGACTGACCCAAAATGCGCTGAATCAAAGTGGGATGAGTCGACAAAACTCCCGCCGTGCATCGGGCTATCGCAGTGACAGTGCGGGCAGTGACAGTCTGAATGGCATGTTTAGGACGTTCTCTCTGAATGACCATGAGCCCTCGGCACCATCTCCGAGCATGCTGTCAACCAGCCTAGCCGAAGAAGAAGCATCCAGTGAGGCAGGAGAGTCGCCGCTTCTATACCCGCTGCAACCGACTTTCAGCATGGCACATAACACCCCGCCACAACAGGGCATGTTGCCTCCTGTCATGGCTCTTTTCGACCCCGAGGACCATGATCGAAGATTTGTTGGAACTCCTGATTACTTGGCTCCCGAAACTATCAATGGTGTTGGTCAAGATGAGATCAGCGATTGGTGGTCCCTGGGGTGTATCATGTTCGAGTTCATTTTCGGATACCCTCCCTTCAATGCTGCCACGCCAGACAAGGTCTTTGATAATATCTTGCGTCGGCGGATCAACTGGCCCGATGATCCTGAAGAGTACACCACGCCAGAGTCTCTGGATTTAATGAATAAACTTATGACCTTGGATCCACGTGAGCGCATTGGAGCAAATGTTGAGGAGAAGTATCCAAACGGCGGAACAGAAATTCGTGCCCACCCGTGGTTTTCCGATATTAACTGGGATACGTTGTTAGAAGACAAAGCCCAGTTTGTGCCAAACATCGAGAACCCCGAGGATACCGAGTACTTTGACGCCCGGGGCGCAACTTTGCAAGCCTTTGCCGAGGAAATGGAGGACGAGTCTTCACCACAGATCCCAGCAACTACGGGAGTGTATCCTGACCGGCCTCACGACGCCTTGTTCAAGGTTCGGTCACAGGTTAACTCGATGAAGCGCCCGTTGATGCCTCTGCATATCCCACCTCATGTTCGGGATGCCAGGGATTCCCGCAGCCGCAGATTGAGCGAGCCGGCACCGGCAGATGATTTCGGTAGTTTCAATTTCAAGAATCTGCCCATGCTAGAAAAGGCGAACAAAGATGTCATTCAGAAAATGCGGCAAGAAGCCATGCAGGCGCAGCACCGTCAATCCAGCTCTTCTTCAACCGTGCAACCACCGATGTCGAACTCACAGCCATCCTTGGAAGGAAGCCCGCTTCCGATGTCCTTGCAGCGAACCCTGTCTCAGAACAAGGGCAACAATCGGCCATCTTCCCCTTCTAGTCTGAGCCAGGCCAATTCCTCGCCAAGCCGGCCGTCCCAGCCATCTTCGCCACTTCTGGTTCAATTCAGTACAGGCCAAGGGCATAACCACGAGCGTCGCAAGACGTCTGGTTCTTCCTCAAACGCGTCGCACCAATCCAGTGGCACGTTCCCATCGTCATCTGTAGACCAGAGTCGTATGCCCAACGTTCGAATGGGCTCTGTTGCGTCTTCTCCCGTCAAGGCCAATCGAATGCCCGCCCACTCACCAGACAAGCACCCTTCGAGCCAGCGACAGGGGAGCGCGCCAGGTGGCCGAGCCCGATCACAGACAATCGGATCCCAAGATGGTGGTGAACTGTCCACCTCTCTCAGCCGGGAATCGGTCGTCCCTTCCCACCACAAGCGACGCAGTCAATTATTCGATATTTCTCCGTCGTCGTCGGACAACGAGGATCCACGGACCAAGGCTTTACTCAAGGTTCAACGACGGCGGCAAAGCTCCCGCCGCCTATCGCAATTCAATCTCCAGGAGGGTCCATTCTTCCGACCTCTGGATATCCTGATCTGTGAGGATCACCCTGTTTCGCGGCTAGTGATGGAGCGGTTGTTCGAGAAGCTCCGCTGCCGGACTATCACGGTAACGAATGGTGCGGAAGCCATGCGTTACGCGCTCAGCGAAGTTCAGTTCGACCTTATCATGACGGAGTTCAAGTTGCCTCAAGTCAATGGTGCCGATTTTGCGCGCATGGTGCGGGAGACTCGCAGTGCGAACAGACATACGCCAATCATCGCTGTTACAGGCTACTTGAAAGACCTACCCGAGACCCACTACTTTGATGCACTGATCCAAAAGCCGCCTACACTGTCCAAGCTTACTGAGACACTTTGCCGTTGGTGTATGTGGAAGCCACCGCCCAAGGACTATAACCCTTCGTCACAACCACTCTCGGTGCCCGTGTCTTCTGCTCGCACCCATACAGCGAATGATGACAGCCCTAGCTCGACATCATCTGGATTCGTGCCTCACCCCCGAGCTTGTACCGGGGGTCTAGTCGCGATGATTCCGTGAGCAGCAGTGTCTTTGGCGATATGGAATCCATTAAGCCAGAGGAAGTCCCTGTTATTATCAGTCGAAACCACGATGACTGGGAACAAGGGACCGGTGGTGGTGGCGGCGGCGGTCTCGGTATTTCCGAGAATGCTCATCCTGGCAGTCCCGATCCCGAGGCCGTGCCGGTCCCTCAGCTGCTTAATGCCGCCAGTACCCCGGCAGCCATCGATGGGAGTGGTGCTCTCACGCCACGAAAGCAGCGATCCAGTGAAGCCATTCGCGCCAAACGAGAGTCTCTAGAACGCAAGAAATACGAAGGGGCCGAGTCCGGAGACGACGAAGATGAAGAGTTGGGTAACACCCAATCCCGACGCAGCCCGCCAGCTCGGAATCGTCGTCCTGGATCCAAACTAGGCATTGAGATGATGCGCACCAACAGCCGAGGTAGCGTTGTCAGCGGCAGTGAAGAGCTGCTCAAGAAGGAGAGAGAGGCCCTGCGAAGACAAAGCGGAGAGTTTGCTACTACTAGCGACGACGGGTCCCTCGGGTCGCCGGCCAGTACGAGCCTTGAGGAGCGCTTTGAAGGCATGAGCATCCCCGAGGAGTCCGAGGCCGAAGAGCATCTCAGCCCTCGTGGTTCTCCTCCTCCCCTTAGGACTTCGTCCGCATCCCCCGGTCCTCAGCCCAGCCGCCCCTTCCTGTCGCATCACGACACCTCGGTCTACTCGGGTCCTACATCCCATCCTTCTATCTCCCAGGCCAGCTCCGAGAGCTTTTATCAAGGCCAAACGACTCCTCCATGGCATGGCACTGGACTCCCCATAACTCCCGAGGTGAAGGTCTCGAGTAGTCTCTTGTCTGCAGAATACAGCACCGTGGTCGATACCGACAACTGCCCCAGTCCTGATGCGGAAGCTACACCTCGGCCCCTTCATCCCTCGCCGAGCCTGGACACCGACAACACCCCTCGACCGGGTGAACGACACCGCAGCGATCTGCCCTCCAAAAGATAGAGCAGGATTTCCCCGGAATCTCCTCTCTTCCTCATGATACTACTGGTATTTTTTCCATTCTTGTCTCCTCCTTTTCATTTCACATATTTTGCATCTCCACTTGCAACCACTTACTTGCCTTCGTTGTGTACATTTTCCTTGATTTTTGCACTGTCCAGCGGACATGTCACTATACGCGTTTCTCTCACGTCTCTTATGTCCCATCTTGTTTTCTATGGCCACGGAGCCAGGTGTTCAGGACTGATCTCTTTTATGTGTTTTATTTTTTTGTGTTTGTCAACTATTCGCATTGTTCCCGGCGTGGGCCAATGCCCAGGTAGTTTGCTCCGGGCTCTTCTTCGCTCTGACTCGCCAATTCGAGTATGAATTTGACCCCCTATCATCATTTCTCCCGCGTTGCTTTTTTTGCATCTCCCTCTGGGCTGTCTAGAATCCCACCGCCATGCCCACGGCATGAAACAGTAGATCCTCCCCACGCGACCTGTCTCCCTCTACACCCACCTTATATAATATACTTGCATCCTACATATCATTTGCTACGAATGGCCCCCGCGGAGACATGTTAGATCCGGCGTCGACCGTTCTTGGCGCTGTCAGTCCGTCTCCACGACGATCTTACTGCGTTAGGCCCGGCTGCTCCGCGGCTTCTCCCCGGGCAAATGACCCAAGGCCAATTGCTCGTCCCTCCCTCAGACCCGTCCACGCGGGGCACACACGACGACACCTGCAGACGGTCGAGATTGGTGCTGCTGGGATGCATCGCCTGTATGTGCTCCTGCACTCCACTACTAGCATTCGCATGGAGGCCCCCAATCTGACCCGATCGGCGCGATCGATTGGATGTGTGCGTGGTGGTCGATGATGCTCGGGGAGGTGCTTGCGTGCATCCCGGATGGAGCATGTGGATTGACTCCTTTGAGCAGCCCGATAGACTTGTGAGCTGTCGTCCGGTGTCCGAGTTATACGTGGTGCACAATTCACGTTCATGTTGATGATGTACCACTTTTGGACCCGGTGAATTCGACCCACTGCCGCGCCATGGGTGATATCACTACCTCACCACCGCTAGTGTGGCCATGGACACTGATTTATTGACTCTGATCGGTACCAACCTGAGGGGGTTCGGGAATGCCAGGGGCGAGCCAGACGAAAAATTGGCCGTTTGGGAGACGGACAGTCGAAACCGGGGCTCGATTGGCCCGGCGAGTACCATTTCGCGGCGCCCCTTCGCCATCGACGCCACCCGGTGGAGATGCCAAGCGATGGCTGCATCGAGTGGACAACATAATTGTTGCACAGATATTTCACGGTGAGACAGTTGGCTGGGGGAAGGGCTTGGTGGAGGGAGCAGTTCGCGATGCGAGGTGGTGTAACTATAGTCCCTGACCTTGCTGCACATCGACAGGACAGCCACCACGCCGTAGCAGACTGGAAGCCCGGTAGATTTCAGCGCGACTGGCGAGATCCCAAGAGCAAATGTACCGGGTAATAATAATAGTTATGCGGTCCAGACCAACTGGGCCAGCGACCCACCGCGGCCCACAGGGTTTCATGCTTTGCGCTGTAGGCAGTTGACGGCACTGCGATCACCGAGGAGCTTCTTTCTCCTCTTTTTTTCCCCTTCGACATCCTCCACGACCGAGCCCACGCCCACCTTCGTTTTGTTCAAGGTCTTGGGGTCTACTCGCTTCCCATCACCCGACTCGCCTCGACTATACCCTCCAGATCGGCATCTGGACTTTATTTCTCATCATTACATAGTTCCTCGGGGCACATTCCTCTACGTTGATCCGTAGAGTCGACCGTACCCCCCACATTCCTTTTCGATCGGCCTGGTGCCACGATGTCGAGCCCTGTGGACACCCACAAAAAGACCTTTCACGTTCAAGAGCAGCAGGGCGAGCGGGCCAACCCTCACGAACAAACGCCCACCTCCGACGATGGCACCTACGTGAACGAGTCATCCGGCGAGCAGCGCAACGCCAACTCCAACAACCTCAAGGTCAACACGGCTCTACACGAAGATTGCCCGCCGCCGATGAGCACGCCCTCCGCGCGCCGCGAGCAAGCCACCCGCCTGGAGGATGATCTCATGCTGCTGCAGGCCGAACGCGTGGCATCGCGCTCCACCCAAGGCGAGAATGGCGAGGGAGAGCGCAACTCAATGAGCCGCACGCGATCGCGTCGCAGTGAGGCTGTGGACGAGTTCGACGAGGCGACCAACCCTCTCCACGAGAAGGCCGCCGTCTACAAGCCCCCTGAGAGCCCCAACACCAAGTTGTCGGCGTTTGTCAAGCGGATCCACCAGTCCAGCTTCATCGTGCGCTACCTGACCTATATCGTGCCTATGGTACTGCTGATTCTGATCCCGCTGCTGGTCGGTGCCCTCCGATTCCCCAACACAAGTGTCGGTGGCGTCAAATTGATGTGGTTCTCGATCTGGCTGGAAATCGTGTGGTTGACACTCTGGGCCGGTCGCATCGTGGGCAAGTGTCTGCCACCTGTGACGAGTGTCATCGCTAGCATCTTCACGAACAATGCGAAGAAATGGCGTGACATGGCCAAGCAACTCGAAATCCACTTTGCTCTCTTCCTGTGGTGGCTCGGTGTCGAGATTTCTTTCTTGCCTACGATGAAGAATCACCACGTGGACGGTGACAAGACTACTCGCAGCTGGGAAAACACACTGAACAAGATTATCATTGTGATCTTTGTATGGACCATTCTCAATTTGATTGAGAAGGTCATCATCCAGCTGATCGCCATCAGCTTCCATCTGCGCACCTACGCCGACCGCATTGAGATCAACAAGTTTCAGATCGGCAGCTTGGTCAAGCTCTACCAGTGGTCCCGCGCGCAGATCGAGGAGGACGACGATGCGTTTCAGGAAAAACAGGGAGACTCCGGCCCTGAGGGCGGCACAAAGACGCCCTTGCACTATGCCGGTATGGCCGGACGTGCGGCTAAGAGTGCCGTCAACAAGGTCGGAAACAAGGTCGGCGATGTCGCTGGAGGAGTCGTGGCTGACTTCACTGGTCGTCGAGTCAAGAACAGCAGTGATCCGTATCAAGTGATTCTCACCCTGCTCCGATCTACCGCGGGCTGTCAGGTTCTGGCTCGCCGTCTCTACCGGACCTTTGTGCGCGATGGTTTCGATACTGTGTTCTCTGGTGATCTGAAGGAGGCTTTTGACAACAATGAGGAGGCCGAGGCTGCCTTTGTCATGTTCGACCGCGACATGAACGGAGATATCTCAATGGATGAATTGGAAGCCGTCTGCGTGGACATTGGTCGTGAGCGCAAGTCGATCACTGCCTCGCTGAAGGATCTGGACTCTGTTGTCTCGAAGCTGGACGATGTCTTTATGTTCTTCGTCTTTGTTATTGTCCTCATCGTCTTCCTCTCTCTGATCTCGACCTCCGCCGCTGGTGTTCTCACCTCGGCGGGTTCCACCATTCTCGCTCTGTCTTGGTTGTTCTCTGCTACGGCCCAGGAGTTCCTACAGTCCATCATCTTCGTCTTTGTCAAGCATCCCTTCGATGTCGGTGACCGTGTCACCGTGTATGGTAACTCCGGTGACACCGGCCTTGGTGACGACTACTTTGTCAAGGAAATTACTCTTCTCTACACTGAGTTCAAGAAGATGCAGGGCCACGTTGTCCAGGCTCCGAACAGCTACTTGAACAGCCTCTTCATTCTCAACCAACGCCGTTCCGGTGCCCTGGCCGAGGCCGTCCCAATCATCATCAAGTACGGCACGACCATCGACCAGCTCGATGGCCTCCGCCAGCGCCTGCTGGAGTTTGTCCGCAGCGAGAAGCGCGATTTCCAGAGCAACATTCTCACCGAGATGCGCGCCGTCACCGAAAACTTCTCCGTCACCCTGAACGTCGTCTTCTTCTACAAGTCCAACTGGCAGAACGAGGGTCTCCGTCTGCAGCGTCGCAACAAGTTCATCTGCATGCTCATGATCGCCCTGCAAGAGATCGGCATCGAGGGTCCTCGCATGAACCTCCAGGGTGCGAACGTGGACATCCCCTTCCACGTCAACTACGGCCATCCCATGATGGCCCCGACTCCGGCCCCGCGACACAACGACCCCACCCAGGCCGAGGAGGTCACCACCATCGGTGACAACTCGCATTCCATCCCCGAGAACACCAGCATCAGCACCGGCAGCGCCACCCGGCACCCGTCCATCCTCCGCAAGGGCATGAACACCGCGGCGGCCCGCGCCCGCGGAGCCTCCACCTCCCGCAAGCACGTGGATTTCTCCCTGGGCATGGCCAATCTGTCCTCCAACGACGTGATGGGCGATGTCTTCGAGGACCGCACCGTGCGCATCGACGACGTCGTCCGCACCTCGAACCGCGAGGCTGCCGAGCGCCGCATGCAGGAAGTCGCCGAAGAGGAAGAGGAGCGTCGGAGCGCCAGCGCCTCCTCCTCGCGCCACCGTCGTCCCTCAAACCTCAGCGTCCCAACGCAAGGGGAGGGCCGGCCTTCGACCGACGCCCCCAGCGTTCGCAGCGGCGGCAGCTCTACCCGCAACCGCTTCTTCCGCCACCGCAGCAGCGTCAGTCGGGACCGTCGCGACCTCGAATCTGGCCGTGGTGTCTCACCTGGCGCCCCCGGCCCAGCAGTTTCCGGTGCACAGACTCGAGACTCTACTACTGAGGGCCGCGCGCAATAATAGCGCGGCGGACCGTAAGTGGAAAAGCGAGTCGTGCGATTTGTATTTTGAAACGAGGTGAATTGCGGATTTTTCTTGGACATATATTTTTCTCTATAATTTGATATCCTATGGTATCTGCATACAGTCTGCATACAGAGTCTATGCTTGTGTCTGCTTGTGTCTCAGGCTGATTCTGATAATTCTGTTCTTTCTCACATCATACCCATATACATGGTTTCAAAAACCCTGCAGCGCTCAAAAGAGTATTTCTTCACCCTCCTTTCCTACACTTTTGTCTTATGTGCCCCTGTTATGCATTCCAGCCAAATGAGCTTGTTGATGGGTGGTTTATTTTATCTTTATCGTGAATAATCATCAGGAAATGTTATCTATATACTGTCACATTATTATTGAACTACCCTGTAGTGGACCAGTGCGTTTCGATATGCGAACTTGAGTCGATCTGCCTTTGCCTAGGTAGGCTGGGTTGAATCGCACTGTTGGGGTAACTTGAACTTTAGGCGCAACTGATCTTCACAGCTGGGATTGTGCCAATGACCGAGGTCTGATATCTCCAATGGGCTGGACGAAATTCCTTCAAGACGAAGGATCGCCATGCTAGTGTGAAGGGATCATGGCAACGGAAAGACTACAAGCCTCTCGGCTATTCCTACACTAGCATATGCTGAAACATAACCTCTTGTGGATGCATATATATTCAACTCCGGTCAAAGTCTATGTACTGAAAGAAAAGACATGAAAAATCGTATATCTCCAATGTACGCCGTATGTGCGTGGAACAGGCGTCTATACAGCATGACACGAGGCTCAAACGCCAGCTATAAACTCCGGAATGGGACAGAGCAAGCCTCATGTGCTGTGAGCATCTCGTTGCATATCAACCAAACGGTGGTTTTTTTATGACATCGACGGTGCAGTGGATCCCAAGGAAAGAGAAGCCTTGGCAGACTCGAAAGAATATGGAGGGCAGTTAGGAAGTCCACTATGATGGAGCGGCTCTCAGACGATCATTCATTTATCGTCAATCAAATTCCAAACCACCTCCCGGATGTGGGCAGGCCCATCATCAAAAAGTCCGGCTCATGAACGTAGATCTGTCGTACCCGGCGACCATCATCCTCCACCACAGCATCCCGCAGCTGGAACGAGAGCTTCTCCCAGTCCATATCACGCAGCGGCGCCAGACTGTAGGAGTAATCATCCATGGGCGACCAATAGTCCTCTTCCCAGGTAAACTCCATACGCTTCATATCCTCGTCATCAAGCGGGTAGGAGTACTTGACTAGCGAGAATCCATTGGTAAAGAACCACTCACGCGAATCTCCCACCCGCCAGCGGTTGAGGAGACAGTTATCGCCGCAGATAGCAGCGACCTTGCTGAGCGCGACCATGTCGACATGGAAGTTAGACTTCCAGTGGTGCACGGAGAGCGGGAGGGGCCGGCCGGACTCGAAGAAGCCGGACGGGTCGCGGTGGATGTCGAGTTGGAAGAGGCCCTTTTCCCAGGTGAGTTTAGTTTTGGTGTGCCAGTAGACGCACTGCGCGATCTTCTGGTCGCCAGGGCCCTTCCACTCGTCGCAGGAGTCGTAGGATTCCATCATTTCTCCGATCAGCGGCATGGACATGAAGATGCCCGCGCCGCCAAAGGCCATCCACATGTTTCCCTTGAGTTGCTCGAAGCTCTCGGTCGGGGCACCGATGTACCACTTCTCGGAAGGATCGTAGGCCTTGAGGTGGTGGATGATGTTGCCCATGGATGGGAAGAAGGTGTCGTCGTCAATGACGACGGCCCAATCGGTCTTGGTGTCGAGATCGCGATTCTCCCACATCACCTTAGTCAACGCGAAGTAGCGATCGGTGTATTCGGCGGGGGAAGTCAGCAGGGTCATTCGGATGCCCAGATCCTTGGCTCGCTGCTCCATCTCTCTGATCTCGGGGGTGCGATCAATCACGCGCGTCTGCGTGCCATTGCCATCGCCCAGATCTTCTTCAATGACAATCTCCTCCAACAGACCAAACATGTGCAATTTGGTGTTGGCAGCCCAGTGCGCAAAGGCGGGCAGATCATCATGCAGACGCTCAATGGTCGTGGCGAACCCAACATAGACATGCGAGGCATCGACCGTTTCCACGGGAGGCGCCTCGAGAACGATGGGCTTGCACGTCTCGGGACGGAGGGGCCGGTACTGAATTTTCGGATCGGCAGAGTCGATATCCAGCTGCAACGGCGGCAACTCGGACTCGGGCAGAGGTACGTTCAGATGCTCTGAGAAACCCTTGAACTTCTCCGATCGCACCACCGCGATATCCCACCGCGAATATTTCACCTTGCCATCGTAGTACGACCCGTAGGGACGAAGCAGGTTCAGGTCCAGATTACACTCGTAGTTTTGCAATTTCGACAGCCGGTCGGATCCGGGGAGGGCAGGAGCACCCTTTTGCAGCGGGATATCATTCGGAGGCGCCTGCGCCTCGGACTGAGGTTGTTTCGGGGGTTGCTGCGGTTGCTGCAATTGCTGCTTCTGTGATTGTGTTGTTGACTGCGACTCCGACTCGGATTGCGATTGGGATTGCGACCCCGGAGTAATTTCGATATTAGGGTTATTCTGGAGGTATTTGGAGGCGTGGCTGGCCCGCAGGATCGAGACGAAGATCAAGGCCAGGAAGAAGGCCAGCAGAATGGTGGTTCTGCTGCGCTGGCACGAGAGCATGGCGAGGACTGGCCGCGGTCTCGGGGCGATCGGACCGAGCTTTGGGATCGGGATCGGAGACGTCGTCAGTACCAAGTCGACATGTGGTCGCCCAACTCCTCTGCCCCTATAGATGTGGTATCGCCGTGGTATATAGGATCGAGTGACGGGAGAGGGGCAGAGACTGCGAGGCTCAGAAAAGTAGAAAAGAGCCACGTTCCTGACGATGTGCCTGTCTTCGTCATCTGCCGATCGCCCGCTTTTTTTGGATTAGTCTAGCCTCAGCAAGTGGGTCCGGCAGAAAGGCGTGCAGCCACTGCCGCAATGTTTTCTATCTTAGGCGCGCCGCAACGGGATGAATACGTACACCTTGAGATGAGCAGAGGATGCGACGTGAGATGGATAGATCCGCTGCTGAAGGCTGAAGTGTATAGACAAATGCCAGGCGGAGCCCAATTTATCACCATTCAACCATTAGAGAATCCACCGCACGCCCGGCGGGGCCGCGTCGCCCACTTGGCAGCTTGAAACTAGTTTGGTTGGGTTTGGCAAGGCCACGCGGGAGTGGACGCGTTCTGCAGAACCATCAACCTTCCCTAGTATAGTCCAGATGTCGACCTCTACTCAGACCTACGATTCGAGCGTACTGGACATTCAACTGCAGGCCACTCTGCTCTTGATAGGCCGACTGTCGAATGTAACCCAGGCGATCTCGCGGGCCAGCCGTTCCTCGTAAACCTGCGACGTGCGATCGGCACCCCGCCGGACATTTCAGGTCCCAGGGTCTGCCGCCTCGTTCGCCGTGGTCGCGCCGCTCCGTTTGGAGCAATGATGGGCAATGATGGGCACCGAATTCTGCCTGTCATCCTATCACCGCGTCTGAAACGGCCGATATTTTCCCGCCAACTAAGTGAGGAATGCCATTTTCTTTATGCGTGACACCTGTCTACATTTGATAGTACATGTCCTAATCATACACATCACCTATAGTACAGGTACACACCACCGCAGTTGCGACTGCCTGCCTGGCAGTACTGTAATCAATGGCAGGCCTTGCCGTACTTCTTCAGCCGCAAGTAATTATAAGGCAACGGGGCTAGAAAGCCCGCTCCAACAGACAATCCCGCCGCCAGCCAGAACTGGGGATCCTCCAGCGCGATCACTCCGCCGGTGAGATGATAGTCGACCGCGTTCTCCGCCAATTCCATTGCCAGCATCGAAACCGTGCTCATCCCCATGGCCGTCCGGGCCGCCATCGGCCATGACAGCTGATCGGCACCACGCCGCAACAGCACTGTTTCAAGTAGAATCGATGTTGCGATTCCGGAAGCCACTACTCCCCAGATTAGCAAATTACCGAAATCTTCATCTTCTTCCCTCCAGAACAAAGTTTCAGAGACAGGGCTGTGACGTACTGGATGCCATCATGATATTCCCCATCCCGAGATCGGGATAAATCGATTGAAGCGTCCATAGGGCTGAAAAGTCGCCCACGGTGCAACCCACTAGGCAGCGCAGGGTGTTGATGCCGGCTCGCCGCCAGGTCGAGCGGCAGGACCAGAAGGCCCGGCTGAGGACTGGGTGAGATTTTGGAGAAGATGAGGTCAAGGGTGCCGTGCATCGTGCTGGGTCGCGTTTAGTTCCGGCCGGGGCATGCCGCTTTGGGCGCGCGAATATTGGCGCGGTTCGCGATAGCCCACGGAGAGGCCCGAGGGGGACCCGCCGATATGCAGGGCGTTGTCGAAGGCACGGTGAAACGGTGACTCGATTCATCGTGAATATCTTCACTGGTTCGGGCTGTAGAGAGTGTGCTGTGGTGAGGTTGGAGAGAACGAGGTGGAAAGTGCCGGCGGCGTTCTTTTTAGCGGAATCCGCACAAATGCCTCATTTGCTCCCGCAGTCGCCGATGCCCATGAACGAAGGGATTTTCTATTGTGACAGATGCCGAGGTTTGGGAATAAGATGACTACGCTTCACTTGAAGTAAATTTACTTTGCAATCATGAACAGCACACCCGGCTGACTTACGCCAAGACTTCGCTCCAGACGACTGCGTTTGCAGCTCGTTTGCAGCTCGCACCAACAACCATCCTCATACCTCCACACTCGAACAAATCCTTTGATCCAGCAATGAAATTTCCCTTCTACTGATGGTATTATCCCCTGACTGATGTAATGTCGAGCAGGATTAGAATGCTGCTGCCTCTGCTCGCAAAATAAGGGGGTGCGGCCAACAATCAATCTCCTGTGACATTGTTTTGAATTCTATCACATGATTTTGAGACATGGCGATGATCCCAAACTCCCCAGCCAAACTACCATAACTCATTGATTCGGCCGATCACGAAGACACATCACATCATTCAGCCTGTCGGGCGCGATAAAAAGACTGAAACTCCGATGGTCTCTTCAGTAAGGCCTGCGGGCTATCACATTCCAAAAGCTGACCATTCTTCAAAAGAGCAACCCGATCAAATCGCTCGATATACCGAAGGCGATGGATTACAGAAATCACTGTCTGTGAGGCAAATTCCGTCTCGATGATGGCCTGCATGGTGGCCTCCGTTTCCCAGTCAACGCTACAAGATTGTTAGGTCCAATAGCCTGTGAACAGAGATTGATCCCGCAAGAAGGAAACTTACCTGCTACTCGCTTCATCCAGAATAAGGATGGAACTGTCCATGACCAGAGCTCGAGCTAGGGCTAGAAGTTGTCGCTCGCCCATCGACCAGTCGGAGACTGATAACTGCTGGTCCAGTTCTTGGCCACTCGGCATGCTTCCGCTGACCTTTTTCCAGAGGCCAACTGCTTCAAGGGCTCGAATAAGGCGGTCGTCCGATACATTACAATGCTCTAACCCACGGTCAAGATTGAAACGAAGTGTGCCAGGCATAAAGAACGGGTCCTGGGGGACGACGTTGATTCGCGAGCGGACCGCATCACATGGGAGAGTAGACAGATCTACACCATCAATTGTCATGCGTCCTTCTTGTAATTCAATCATTTGCAGTAATCCAAGGATCAACGATGTTTTCCCACTGCCTGACGGGCCGCAAACTGCGAGCTTCTCGCCGGCTTGGATATCCAAGGAGAAGTTGTGAAGGACCGGGGGAGATCGATCACTTTTCGCGTTCATGTTAGCCATGTGGTCTTCCAAAGAGTGAACTAAGATCACCTTACTTGTATGAAGCCGTGACCTCTTGAAAAGAGACATCCCCTCGTGTAGGCCATTGGGGCAAAACAGACTCTGGACGACGTTCTTGCAAGTCCTCCGACGCCGTATTCTCGACAAAGTCCTGGATACGAGAAACAGCACCAATAGACGTTTCCAGCTGCGTCCACGACCTGATGAGATGCATCAGATCTTGGTTGAAGCTCAGGATCAAATTGAGAGCGACACCGATTGCGCCTGGGCTGAATTGATCTTTCAGCGAGATGACGATTGAGACGAGGATCACGGCAAGGGCCATGACAATGCAGTCAAGTACTAGTTGGAGCCATTGCTGGATGCAAGAGAGCATGTAGAACGGTTGTTGCGATTGGTTGAGAAGATCATTGAGACGATCCTGGAATGGTTCCTGCCAGCGCATGGCCCGAATGACCGAGATGCCTTGCATGGTTTCGACGAAGTGGGTGATCAAGGGTGACTTGGCCTCGATATCTAGGAGTCGCACTTGTCGTGAAGTTCTGAGGTAGTAGCTCTGTACAAAGAAGAGGATGATGCCTAGTGCGGGAACTGTGATGGCGAGGTACTTGCCCATGACACACAGGATTATGAGCTCTACGGCGCAGTTCGCGAAAGCTAAATCATGATAAGTAGCTTCCTCGAAAGGAATAAATAGAGATATCATACCGCCTGATGAATTGATCAGCTCAATAGGGAGGTCCAGGTCAATCAATTCCAAGTCCTGGCTGAAGCTGGGCAGAGTCAATTGGGCTAATCAATATCTCTACCATTTCACGACTCACCGATTGATGGTCATCCCGGCATCCACATTCTGGAAGAAGCTAAATGGTGCACTGTGGGGTGTTAGTTTGCAGTGAGTATGAATTGGATAACGACCATGGGCCTGAAAAGCATACCCCAAAGTGGATTTCAGCAAATGCGAATGCATGGCGAGACCGGTGTTGTTTATTGCCTTGACGAAAAGGAACCTGGAACGATGTCAGATATGGCAATAACTCTATTGCTGATCAAGGACTTGCCAAGTTCCCATCATAAACGCCACGAGTGACATGGTAAGTAAGACCGTGTACACACCCACATAAAATCCAACTCGCTCATTGGGATGAAGATCGTTGGCGTTTGACCATTGCTGGAGCCAAATCGCTATTCGAGAATAAGTAGAGCACACACATGTAGGATGGCCGAGGACGCTGACTCGAAAACTTGTCCGAAAACCCATAAATCCCAACGCAGACTGCAACTAGGATCATGATCCACCAGCCAGCTGACTCAAAGTAGAACGCGTAGACAGACCATTTCCCGTCTCTCCGTGCCATATCTGGATCAGAATCCTCCGTGGAGGTTTGCAGTATCTCGTAAACATTTGTCAAGTTGGTTGGATTGCGATTGGCTGCTGTCGGGCCTTCGAGGTCTTGATTGTTTTCGCTCTGGCTGTCTTCAGGCAAGGTCGTGCGGAGCTCCTCGTAAGTCCCGATTCGTGACACTCGCCCGTCGTTCAGAGCTACTACCTCGTCCACATACGGAAGGAGACGGTAGTTGTGAGTAGCTAGGATCACTGTTCTTCCGGCCTGCTTGAAATGGCCATCTGTTGCAAAGAGTCGAGATGATATAGCTGCCACAGCGCGGGTATCGAGTCCACTAAACACATCATCGAGGATGACGACGGACGCTCGTGAGTAGACGGCACGTGCAAGAGACTAATTGTAGTGTCAGTTCAACGAGGTCGAGACATATTCGGTGAAGGCCTCGTCACGTACAATGCGTTGTTTTTGGCCACCACTCAGTGTGATCCCCGAACTCCCTGTTCCTGAAAGATCACCGCTGGGGATATTCCGTAAATCGTCTTCCAAAGAGCAAGCCCAAATGACAAAGTTATACCATTTCTCATCGTAAGCCTCAGGACCCGTGATGTTGTTTCGAATAGTGTTGTTTATAATCCACGGAGCTTGTGGACAGTAGGCCAGAGTTGAACAGAATGGCCTTATCGAACCTTGCTTCAACACACCTTCGCCAAGAGCACATTCCAATAGAGTACTCTTGCCGCTGCCAACTGGACCTATGATCGCAGTGATTGCACCTTTCTTGAAAGATAGATTGATATCATGGAGAATCGAGTCAGTATCGGCAGACCACGAGAGGCTCGCCTTTTGAAACTGAAGAACCACAGCCCCAGTTTGAGGTAGATGATCCATGGAATTTGAGCTCATCTCAATTCCATCCTCTCCGGGCTCATAATCCGATTCCTCCTCAAATGACGTCTGGGTGCAATACTGTTCAATACGATCGAAACAACCCACTGACTGCCATAGTCCCGGAACTGCTTGTGTGAATGTAAGCAAAGGAGACGTCATCAGCGAAATCAGCGATAAAGAAGTAAACATCCGGTTAGACAGAAGCGACTCGCCCCCGGTGGCTGTGGCAATTATAGCGAAGATGACAAATGTCGCGAAAGGCGCGAGCGTGAGTGGAAGATTTGCTACAGAGACCTCGTTAGAACGTCATGACGTTCGTGGAGAGCTGGTCATCACATACAGAGAGCTAACTCCCACAATATAAGGATTCGAAAGCGTTCTGACACCTGAAGCTCCTTTTTTCGCAAGCCGGATATACTGTCAAAAAGCTTCTCGCTGATTCCCAGCATTTTCACAGATTTCATGTCCTGCAACATGCTCGAGATAACGGCCAGTCGGTCCTGAACACGCTCGATCCATCCCCTCTGAGCGGTATTTGACTTTGTGGAAACTGGGATCGTGCCCGCGATTGCAACTACAACTGTGTCAGCAGTAGTTATACATACGGTGGTGGAGGGTACACACTGAACGAAATTGCAGCTGGAATGAGACAAGCCACTCCAAGTTGCCGTTCAAGGAGGACAATCGCAACTACCACTTGTATAGGGCCCATCCAAGCCTCGTGGAGATTCCGTAGTCTGTAACTCAAGCGCTCTACATCAGTCGATATCAGGGTGATTGATGAACTGCCTTTGAATTGTTCGGCCGGGAGTTTGGCTGTTTGCCGATAGATCAGAGAAATCAAGCCGCCACGAATCATGGTGACGAGGCGGAACGTCTGGCGCCAGTACACTGCCTTGGATATTGTCATTCCCATGTAGACTAGCACGTACGCTCCTACCAATGCAGGACCCTGCACGCGGTTCTCGCTTGTGGATGGCTCGCTGATGAAGTTAATCGTGGCAGAGATAAGGAATGGTTGACAGAAGGTAAACGCTGTCAGGCAGATTTGAGGAAGAACCGCGCTGATGAAGGGCCAGAAATATGCTCGGAATGTTGCCTGCAGGAGTCGATGGCTACCAGTGCAGTTGCCTGAGGAGGGGGTTAGCCAAGAGCCTTCACACTGTAGACAGAATGTATCCTGACCTCGCTTCCATGCAAGATGAAGCTTCTCCTCCGCTGGAATTCCTTGAAGAGCATGATCCACGACAGGGAGTTCCTTGAGCGAAATCACAGTCGAAAACCCGCTTCGGAACAATGGGAGAACCCAGATGAAGAAGCTGCGAACCCAAAAGCTGGATGTGCTCTCTTTGCTGGGCTGGCGGTAGGACAGGCGGAGATGCTGCGTCTTGTGGATCGACTCCAGGCAAAGCACGACGACTGTCCCGATGCTGACGACTGTCCATAGAGTGGCCTGGGAGTGGATGTCAAATTGCGATGATAGCAGCCAGAGAGATCGCAGCCGCGGTAGCGCGAGCAAGCCGGAGAAGAAGAAGTAGATGATAAGCAAATCCGACGGACGGATGGACCGCTGATCTTCGAGCCATGACAGAAGTGTAGATACAGCGATCGCGATCAGCTGCAGTATGTTAGCTCCCAGCGAAGCCTTGGTGTGGAGTATTGATGCCTGTAGTTGGAAGGCCAAGTAAAGGACGTGGAAGACCAGCAAGAAACAAAGAGTGATCTGCAGGCTAGTTAGTTGGGTCTTCCGACAGTGTACCTCCACCAAGTACATACGATCTTTGCGGTCGCGAGACGATGAGATGTCACTTTGACCGGTGCTCGCAGAAGAACTGCAAGTCGAAATACCGCGCACAGCAGGAAGACGAATGCTGGTAAGAGAATAAAGAAACCATCCTCGAAGAGGAGAGTAAAGTCGAAGGGGCGACAAGGGACCGAAATCCGGGGCCCCAGTGTATTGTCGCTGCCAACCGGACAGGCCATGATGGAGTGACACAGTGATCGAGTCGTACGGGACAAACAGTGAGAGCAGACCGGGGAAAACAGCTGATGTCCCCTGGTGCTTACTACTTGGCAGTACCGTACCTTACCTAGGTAGTGTAGGTAGGTGGTCAAGCCGAGAGCCTCGTGTCCGAACTCCGACGGCGCTAGGCCCCGCATGCTTATCTCGAGACGGACGTAACCCCGAGAGATGGCCAGACGGGCCGAAAGGGAAGCAGTTGAGTGTGATGGTCTTAATTAAATTGAAATATACATAGTATCCATTTGCATCTACACCCCTTCTGCCTCAGAACACGCCCCCTCCCTGACCTTTCAAAAGTATCTTCTAGTTCTTCGGCTTGGGTGTCCCGGCTATGCTAGTCGAAAAATGAGCTTTCTGCTCTATGGGGGAGAATTACTCTGGCTCGATCCCATTCAGACAACTGATCACGTAGGTGACTGGGTAGGTGACCAAGTAGCGGACCAGCTGGAAATAGGTGACTGAGCAATCAACCTGACGGTTATCAATACCATAGTCGACAGGGTGTTCGGCACCAAAAATGGCACCAGGCATGACCGAAGTAGTGTGACGACCTTCATCACATACAATTGTCCTGTTTGAAGTGTTTGTCCGGTTTGCTTATTAATCTCATGTCAACACAAACCTAGTTATATATCCACGGTGGACCGGGATCTACTCACCAGTCTATATCTTGCTCTGCCAATTCTGCAATGGCAAATCTAAGGAGGAGCCAAATCGTATTTAATGACGGATTTCCCATACTATGACACCAAAATGGAATTGTAAATCAAATTCCTCGGCGTTAGGCAATAGGGGCGACGCGAGCAGAGCAAACAGTGATTTCACCCCTCACTCTCCCTTAGAAGTAGGGCTGTAGCTGCAAAGCTCGTAGATTCATATTTGCACCAAGGTCACAAGAAGCCCGTTCATCGATATCGCATCTTGCAACCTTTCTTCACACATTCAACCGTCCCAGGAGGAAACCCCGCACGGTGACCGCCAGTTTGGAGGCAGGAACGAGCAGCACTTCAGGGGCCGCGGTCATCGCCCCACTTGGCTATTCCTCCCTCAACACTTCTTTTCTTCTCTGATTGTTATTCCACTCCCACAACATTCACCATGGTTCGAGGAGAGGTATGTTCGTTTTTTTTTCTCGTCAATTGCCCGCACACAGCCCCAGCCCTGCCCGATTCCTCTTTGGCTGTGGCGCATACCCCCCACTGGTTCCCCTGAACCTCCAGGCCCATGGATGTCCAGCGTCGGTTCCACAGGCTCAATGGCATCAAAACAGACCTTCAGGAGGTCCATGCTAACGCGTCACCACATTAGATCTGCCACCTTCACATCGGCCAGGCCGGTATCCAGCTCGGTAATGCCGCTTGGGAGCTGTAGGTTTTCTTCACCGCTTGTTGATATATGGATCTGCTGGACGCACAGAGGCTAATTCAAAGCGACGACTGCTAGTTACCAGCTCGAGCACGGCCTGACCCCGGATGGCCACTACGACTCCAGCCGCGCCGACGAGGTCACCTCCAGCGGCTCCTACGACACCTTCTATACCGAGACCAGCGGCGGCAAATACGTCCCCCGCGCCATCTTCGCCGATCTTGACCCTTCGGTACGGATATACCCGAGAGATTGATAGATTTGCGGGAGGAGATATGGCTGAGATACAATCGCTAACTCGATTTCTAGCCCGTCGACGAGATCCGCAGCGGTGCATACAAGAGTCTCTTCCACCCCGAGCAGCTGATCAGCGGCAAGGAGGATGCCGCCAACAACTGTATGGACCAGCCCGTCTTGGAAATTTCGACCGTCGAAGGATTGTGAATAGAGGCTAATGCTATGCAGATGCTCGTGGCCACTACACTGTCGGCAAGGAGCTGGTTGACGATGTGATGGACCGCATCCGCCGTGTCGTTGGTATGCAGGCACTGCCTTCCCCCAGAACCCCTTTGGCCGCGACTCGCAAATACTAACTGGTGATAGACAACTGCTCCTGCCTGCAGGGCTTCCTGGTCTTCCACTCCTTCGGCGGTGGTACCGGCTCTGGCTTCGGTGCTCTTCTGTTGGAGCAGCTGTCTGCCGAGTATGGCAAGAAGCCCAAGCTCGAGTTCTGCGTTTACCCTTCGCCTCGCGTGTCGACCGCCGTCGTGGAGCCCTACAACGCTGTTCTGTCCACCCACAGCACCATTGAGAACTCCGACTGCACTTTCCTCGTCGACAATGAGGCCGTCTACGATATCTGCCGTCGCAACCTCGATATCCCCCGTCCTAGCTTCGACCACCTCAACCGTCTAATCGCCCAGGTCGTCAGCTCTATCACCTCCAGTCTGCGCTTCGACGGTGCTCTGAACGTCGATCTGAATGAGTTCCAGACCAACCTGGTGCCCTTCCCTCGTATCCACTACCCTCTGATCTCGTATGCCCCTGTTGTCGGCAGCAACCGCAGCGCCCACGAGAGCTTCAAGGTCCAGGATCTCACCTTCCAGTGTAAGTCAACGCTCCTTTCTGTACTTCAAGTCTTACCGCAGACGCTAATACATTCCAGGTTTCGAGCCCAACAACCAGATGGTGGTCTGCGACCCTCGTAATGGCAAGTACATGGCCGTTGCTCTGCTGTACCGCGGTGACGTTGTGCCCCAGGAGTGCCACAAAGCCGTCGCCAACGTCAAGGCCAAGGCCTCCTTCAACCTGGTTGAGTGGTGCCCTACCGGTTTCAAGATCGGTATCAACTACCAGAAACCCGCCCAGGTCCCCGCCAGTGAGATGGCCCCCGTTGACCGCGCTGTCAGCATGCTGTCCAACACCACTGCCATTGCCGAGGCCTGGAGCCGTCTGGACCACAAATTCGACCTCATGTACTCCAAGCGTGCCTTCGTCCACTGGTACGTTGGTGAGGGTATGGAGGAGGGAGAGTTCTCCGAGGCTCGTGAGGATCTCGCTGCTCTGGAGAAGGACTATGAGGAGGTCGCCGGCGACTCGCTCGAGGAGGAAGAGGAGGAACTCGAGTATTAAACGAGTCACTGAGGGTTTATATCAAATTCTCGCACATATCACCGCGACACTTCGTTCTGTCTGGATATAGTACGCCTCGTCCCTTCTGCGACCCCTGTTTTACGTTAGAGCCCCCCAGCGTTTCTTCCCTTCCTCGTGTGTGACGACAGTCTGCACTATTTCGTTTGGTATTCAAACTGTTGACCATTTATTTTCTCTAAACCGGGCCGATGACCTAGTACCTTCTTATAGGGTAATATTTTATCAAAGCAACCCAGTAAACCTCCTTGAAACGCCGATTTATATGCCCGTATATGAAGTAATGCAAATCAATCAAGAGTCGCCATTTCCATCTCCTGTATAAGCTTCAAAGCTCGCTCATATGTCCACATCGTCACCGCGCTGGCCGGTGCCGCCTTGAACAAGCTGACCGTCAACCCACGATACAAGCCCCGCACGCCCTGCGTACGCAAGATCATCGTGATCGACCGGACCACACCATTATACTCGGGAATATTACGATGCACATAGCGCGTGCGTGTCGGGCCTTGCACTTGTAACCGCTTGCGCACGAGATCTAGCGGGAAAACGCCCGTCTTCGCAAGGACACTGGCAATAACACCTGCAGCAGCATCGCCCGTGCCAAATGGCAAAGACTCCCACTGCGCTAAAGTCGGCCGCAGACTTTCATAGGCTGTGAAAAACAGACCCATGTAAGGGACTATCTGCGCCACGGCCGCCGAGCAGCCTCGGAAGAAACCCGCCGGCCCTTCGTGACGCGTGATTTCCACGACAGATGACATGAGCGACCCGTAGACACGTTCTGTCCCTTGTGCAGCAAAACGTGTACGAAGGAGATCGAGAGGGTATGTGGCAGTGGTGGCGATTCCACCGGCGACAGCGCCGGAGACGAAGGACTCGGCGGACTGCGGGAGTCGGTATGGACCCAGTTGCGCCAGGGTTTGCGTTGTTGTTCGGTATGCGGTGAATTGGAGGGCGCCATAACAGACATACATCATTTCCGCGGGGACATTGCCTTTCCATAGACCCTAGCATTGAATGTAGCTGTCAGTAATGATCCGACGGAAAGCGAGCTCTCCGACCTGGACTCTCCAGGCTCTCTCCACAAACACATACCATGATGCCCTCTTGCCGCACAATCGATCGCATCGTGGACAGAGTCCCCTTGTACACCGGCCCGACAACAGTTTGATGCGACATCGGGTCAGACAGCGAATGGATCTGCAGCTGCAGGCGGATCTTGACGACGTCAAGCGGCGCAATGCAAAAGCGCGAGATCAACCCAGCGGTCCCGCCAGCCATGATCGTCTGTCGCCTAGTGCCCTCATCTTTGAGATGTTCGCCCCCGGCCGACATTTCTGATAGATTTAGGAAGAGGAATCCATGTTGAGGTCTGTTTATTTTTTTGTCCTTTTCCGGGGGCGAATGGAATGAACGTCGCGGCCTTACGTAAATCGGGAATGCGGGCTGGTGCCTGAGGCCAGCATTGTTCCTGATTAGTTAATTAACAATCTCAGCGGGATTAGTAACAGCTGTTGCCGTGGAATGCGTATGCGAGTGGAAAGATGGTTAATGAAGCTGGGTTGAGGATGGGTGAAATGTCTTCTCTAGTCGGGTCCTTAAGTTCATCTTAGGGCTGACTCCGGGTAAAAGGAAGGTGTCATAAAATACGAAGTGCAGCCACCCTACAGGACTTTGTTTTGTATTTGAAGGGGATCTGCAAGCATCGAAGGAACCTCGGCCCCGAACGAAACGGGTAACGTCACCGCGTTACCGGAGTCTGGGGTCGAGCTTGGAGCACATCACATGTTGTCTGCCCCTCCACAGCCTTCTTTTCCCCTCTTTCCTGTGTGTTCGTGAGCTTCAATTCCCTTCTGCAATGCGTCCCCTTCCTCCAGTAATGCTGCGCCAGGTCGCGCGGGGACTGGCTGGCCCTGTCCCGCGTACCTTTACCTCCTCGGCCAGACGGCTCAACTCCGAGGGAGCGCCCGCAACACAATCGCACATGTCACAGCTGCTCAACCAAGTGTCACGACTTGATGCGACTGAGAAACAACATCTGCTTGGTCCCGATGGTACTGCGGTATTTACCAAGACACTCCGTCACCCCTTTGCGGGCTCCGGACCGGAGGAATTGTCCACGCTGGAAGTACTGAAGCCGGCAAAGGCGATACTCAAGCCGGAAAAGATCAGTTTGCGTTCGCCAGCGCATTCGTTCGCCGAATTCCAATATCACTATTTGCGTGACCTCTGTCGATGCCCTCGATGCGTTGACCCGCATTCAAAACAGCGATCGTTCCGAACTGGCGATATCCCGGCGAATATCTACCCGCGAGGTGTGAAATGGGACGGTGTGTCGTTGGAAATCAAATGGGCCAATGATATCCTCGATTATGGAGAGGACCACGTCTCGCGCTATGAGATCCATAAGCTCGTCACCGGGCCTTACAACACCCACGATAACACTTCTCGTGCCACCAAACCATACTTGTGGGACAACGCGAAAATGATGGAGATGGTACACTGGGTGTCGTTCGAAGACTATATGGGTAACGACGCGAAATTTGCAGAGTCAATGCGAAATCTCCAACGCCTGGGACTAATCTTCGTCAAAGACATCCCCAAGTCTCGCGACCTCGTGAAGAAGATTGCCGAGCGCATGGGCCCGCTACGGAATTCGTTTTATGGAGAGACCTGGGACGTACGTACAGTTCCGGAGGCCAAGAACGTCGCCTACACAAACCAGTTCCTCGGATTCCACATGGACCTGCTGTACATGAACGAGCCTCCTGGCTACCAACTACTCCACTGTCTGGAGAATTCTTGCGAGGGTGGCGAGTCGCTCTTCGCAGACGCATTTCGCGCTGCCAAAATCATGAAGCAGCAGTTCCCAGCCGAGTTTAAAATTTTGAGTACTCGTTTGATTGGGTTCGAATACATGCATGATGACCATATGTACAGCAATACCCGACCGCTGTTCGAAGTGGACGAATTGACACGCGAGATTCGTAATGTCAACTACTCCCCTCCATTCCAGGGCCCGATTCCCAAACTCGACCGCTCGGGCAACAACAACCATGCCAATTTCAAGCGGTGGAAGAACGCGATGGCTACTTTCACTCGTTTACTCGAGAGCTCGAAATCCGTTTACCAGCTGAAGCTAAACCCCGGTGAATGTGTCATCTTCGCCAACCGGCGAATAGTCCATGCGCGAAACCACTTTAATACGGCGGAGGGATCCCGATGGCTGGCTGGTGCGTATGTGGATGAGGATGCATTGCTGTCCACCTTTGCCACGAATGCGAAGAATTTTCCGAATGAATGGAAGAGCAGTGATCCAGCGAAGACTGGGAGAGCTTTGGAAGAGCGGTTTGCAAACGAAAGGAAGGAGCTTCACAATGCGAGACGGGAGGAGTATGTCCGCCAAAACAAGACTGAGGGACCCCAAGAACAAGCTGGCGAGACTCAATAGTCGCGGTTATTTCGCTCGGTTCAGACATAAAGGGGAATGAGCAGCCAAACCAGCTCGGTAAAGCCAGGAATAGCTCAGGATTGGCCATTGCATATAGTCCGTTATACATTGAGGGAACTAGATTCGCTGTGGGAATGGCTGCATACCAATAGATAAGCGGGCTCGTTCACTCAAATCTCTATCTTGAATGTCTGACATGAAGAATTACAAAGTCTCGAACTAAATGTCTTTTTCATATCAAGGAAAAACGTATATCATCACGGTAGAGGAAAAATATCCAGTCCAGGCAGTTATAGGGTATCATGCAGGAACCAGTCTAAGCCGCGGGCTTGCTGACAGAGAAATCGGCCAGGAAGTCGGGATCGGCATTGATTTCCTCACGGACCTGTAATAGAATGTAAGCAAATGCTCTTCGTCACAGAGGATGGGTGTATACTCACGATATCCAATCCACCGACCAACTCGCCAGCAACCCACAATTGCGGAAAAGTTGGCCATTCGGCAAACTCCTTCAGACCCTGGCGCACGTCTTCATCGGCAAGAATGTTGAAAAATCCGTACTTGATACTGCGTTCACGCAGAATTCCCACCAGCTGCCGACTAAAACCACACTGCGGGGAGCTGGGGGTACCCTTCATGAACAACATAACCGGCGCGGCCTTAACAAGTTCACCGAGGCGCGCGAAGAGAGCCTCCTTCGTCTGCTCGGGTGTGAGAGCAGGGTCCGCCGAGACGGGGACGGCATTGGCAGCAGGGCCGACAGAACCATCTGGCGTAGCAACAGGCGCCTGAGTCGCAGTCGCGGGGCCATTCTCACGCAGAACAGCGGACAGCGGGGGAGGAATATGAGCGCGGTGTACGCCGTCAGTGGGGACACCTCCGCCGACATGACGCTCGATAGCGTCGCGGACCTTGATGGCGTCACTGCCACTAATGGACTCGAGAATCTCGCCATTCTTCAGGCAGACAACGAATGGAACGGCAGACACATCGTACTCCTCCGAGATATCAGGCAGTTGCTCCGCGTCGATGCTGACAAACGAGACGGTCGGCGGGGTTGTGGCGGGGTACTGCGAGGCGAGGGCGCTGAGGACATTGCGCATCTGTGTGCAAGGTGCAGCCCATGAAGCGTAAAAGTATAAAACGGCGAGTGTTTCACGCGGCAGAGAGGTGATGTGCTCTGCGAAAGCGGCCTCGGTGGGGATTTCGGTGAGCGCCGACATCGTTGCGTTGAGCCGGGTGCGGAGGGGGGAGTTTGGCGGGAAAGACTAGAGTCGCAAGGACGGGGGAATGGGAGAGGTAGGGCGACCAGGTGCGGCGGTGTGGTGGGTGTTTTGGTGGGACAATTCACCCGATCGATGGACCTCGAGACCTTGAGGGCTGCAGAAGGATTGTATAGGAAGGAGGATGGCGTGACGAGGGTGAAATTTCCGGCGATCGCTGCGTTATCAGATGGCGTACTGTCAGCGGTCACGCGAATGTATCGCTTATCCGATTGTGACACACGTGACTCGGTCCTTGATGTATAATTGCCAGCGTGCTGCATCCGAGGATCTTCCTCCGGCGTGGATCAACTATAGTCCGGGAGCCACGTGACCACCATCAGGGGGTCATATACTCCATTCTAGCTTAGATGACCAATAACAACACACATCTCCCTAACAGGTTATGAGACCCTTTTCTCTTCAATTTGAGCTATACGGAGCTGTTCTATGATCGCTGTGCCTTCAAGAATGTCAGCTGCCTCTCCCTCATCCGGTGAAAAGCTCCCAATCCTTGACTATTCGAATTGGGTTGACTGGAGCGAATTCTGGAGAGACCATCTGATCCTCTTTGACCTCTGGCAATACATCGATCCATCCTCTACAGCAACCGTGCCACCTCCTACCTCCAATGTCAATCGAGATATCGCTAAAACGTTGACTGAGAACCTTGCAAAGCTACGCCAGCATGTTGCTCCTGAATGTCGAAAGCTCCTTGTTGGCCATACAAATCCTAGAGACCTCTGGTCTTCGCTCAAGGCTGGCTGTGATCGAGGAACAACTCTACCATTGCTCGCCCAATACGAATCGTTCCAGAGCATCAAATGGGAACCAAAAGACACCATTTCTACCTATACAAGCCGATTCCGCAATGTCTTTCTATCTCTCGAAAACACCCCCTACAAGATACATCGAGATATAGCAGTCCATATCCTTGTGAATCGACTTCCCGATTGCTACAAGACAGAAGGCCAAGCAGCCAAGCAACTGAACCTACCCTTTATCGAAACTGTTACCTACCTGCTTGCCAATATCAAAGACACCTCCTCTGCAGGTGACAACACCTCTGGCCAAGCTCTAGTAGCTCGAGGTCGTCGACCAAACCGCAGATCAAGCGCTCAGCATCTCCGTGACCAAGGCCGCTCAGGAGTATCAAACCGCCGTGGTCGATCAAACCGAACCTCTCGAAACAAGCGTATCATCTGCAACTGGTGCAAACGAGAAGGCCATTTTGAACGTGACTGTCGAATTCGTCAACAACAACTAGATACTGGAGCTGCAAGATTAGATGGCAGCCGTGCCTATCTAGTCCAGCAGCCGAATATCCCACAGTATCCACCTCAATCTTCGCCTGCACCTCCGCAACCTTCACAGGCGAATATTGCCTATTCACAGCCTCAAGGCTCCGAATCAAATCCCTACAACTATCCGACACACCTCCTCCTCGCGAGAGCTTCCTATGTCAACAGTGAAACCCAGCAGAAGGATTATCTCAGCTGGATCCTTGACTCTGGAGCCACTCAGCACTTTTCGAACAGCAAATCAGACCTCAAGGACTACAAACACTTTCTTGACCCTAAGGAGATCTACCTTGGAGATAATACAAAGATCCACGCAGAAGGATCTGGGACCCAACTTCTACAGATTGGTCCTCATCTCCTTGTCCTGAATGTCTGGTTCGTACCAAAGCTGGCTGAGAATCTGCTATCCCTGCAGCTTCTTGACCGAGCTGGCTATTCAACTCTCATTGAAAATGGCAAAGTCTATATTCGACAGAGTCATGACTCTGCATGGTTCCAGCTCGCCGACTCCAAACGTGGAGATCTTTATCGAACGCATGTGAATCCTGCATCTCTATTGAACAGCCCACGAGCCCTCCGTGCAAGAGAATACAGCACACTTCGATCCTGGCACAATCGACTAGGCCACCGAAATCTCCGCTCAGTGGGAGCTATGATGAAGCTATCTGTACCACGCAAGCTTCCCACCTGTACTGCATGCCTCCAGGGTAAAATGAAGGCAAATCCTCACCCTCCTGTGCTTGAACGTTGCAGCAAGCCATTTGACCGAGTCCATTCTGACCTTGTTCCTCTGGATGGCATCTCCTTTGGTGGATCCAAATATATGTTGCTTCTTGTTGATGACTTCACGCGTTTTGCATGGTGCTTCTTTGCCTCAAGCAAGAATGTTTCAGCCATTGCACCTCTTCTTCAAGGCTTCATAAACATGATCCTGACCCAATTTGATACTATCATCAGGTCATGGCGGACTGATGGTGGTACTGGTGAATTCTCAAACAGCATGGTCAGCGAGATAAACCGCAGATTTGGAATTCTTCATCAGCTTTCTACCTCTGGTGTCAAGCAACAGAATGGTGTACTCGAACGAAGAGTCCAGACAATCAAGAACATGGAACGCTCCATGAGAGCTGGAGCTGGTGTTCTAGATGACTACCGACTACAAGCTGAGTCCCTTGCAACTTCGGTATTCCTATCTAATCTCCTTCCATCTTCTACTCTAGGTAATATCTCCCCACACCTTCTACTGTACAGCAAGCAGCCATCGCTCGCTTCCATGAAGCCCTGGGGATGTCTAGTCTGGATACACCTTCGAAAGGAGCATCGCAGCTCGAGTTCTGATCCTCGCTGCAGGCCAGCCATGATGGTAGGCTATGTACAAGACTCAAGTTCTATTTACAAATGTCTTGATCTCTACACGTTGCAAACAAGCAACCATTCCGAACTCAAGTTCGATGAGGACCTCTTTCCAGGTCCATGGCTTAAACGCCCAGCTGGTTTCAAACCATCGATTGCACATAAACGAAATCCGCCTGGTTCCGCGGTCGATACTGTACTTGGTCAGTCAGTATCGGGAGTGCTTCCCGCAGTATCAGGCATACCACCTTCCTCGATGAACCCCTTCTGGCTGCACCCACCCGCAGCTCCTGTGAACCCAAACGATCCTGCGAAGCCTGCGGATCCTATGGAACTAGCAGATGAATCGGACGTTCCCCCGTCCCTGGCACTCCTCACGGACAGCCAGACCGTCTACAACCAGCGAGGAGTTGTATTCGGCACCTGCGCCAAAATCCACGAGTACGATACTACTAGGGAGCTTGTGGAAGCCGCTTTGATCGTGCAAGGTATGGAGTCGCTCTCCTACCCACCCAGGCAAGCAGCAGAGAGGACAGTCCAAACAGACCACAATGGAGATCCTCTCTCCTATTCGGATGCCTTGCTCCAGGATCCGATTAGGTGGCCACCAGCAGTACAAGAAGAACTGAAATCTCATGAAGAAAATGGAACTTGGATAGTTCAAGAGATCAGTCAAATGCCTAATGGGTGCAAGCCGATCCCTGGCAAGTGGGTATTCAAGCGTAAATTGAGTCCTGATGGAAGTACGCGCTATAAGGCACGTTTGGTGATCAAGGGCTTTCTCCAACGCTTTGGAATTGATTTCATGGAGACCTATGCCCCAACTGCCTCTTTAGCTGCATTCCGACTCCTGGTGGCGATCGCTGTGTTCAATGGCTGGTCCTTACGCAATCTCGATATTATCACTGCCTTTCTTAATGGCAGCATAGACTCTGAAGTCTACATGGGGATACCAGAAGGCATGGATTTAGATCCAACCAGATATATTCTGAAGCTCCGCCGGTCACTGTATGGACTCAAACAGGCACCGCGCATTTGGTGGGATAGGATGACCGCATTCCTATCAAAAGCAGGCTTCTATCAGTGTGATGCTGAGCCAACAATATTCATTCGCAGCCACGAAAACAAATTCATGATACTTCTCCTCTTTGTTGACGACCTTTTGCTAACTGGTGATCAGGAAGCTATTGAGGAATTCGTCCAGGAATGCTGCAATGAATTCAACACTCGGGATATGGGAACACCCAGGCTGTTTCTAGGCATCCATATTGACTATCGAGATGGCAAAGCCATTTTGCATCAGAAAGCATACATCAAGCGAATCCTTGAACGCTTTAATGCACCCAGCAACCCTGTTGCAACTCCCCTAGACCCCAAGCATCCACTTGTTGAAGCAACTGATGCAGACCGTTTAAGTGAAGCAGATTCATCAGAATATCGCGCTGCAGTGGGAGCGCTGATATATTTAATGATCTGTACAAGACCTGATCTTGCATTCGCACTTTCACGCCTATCAAAATTCGTGCAGAAACCGGGTGTAAAGCATGCAGCAGCACTTAAACGATTGCTTCGGTACCTGGCTGGCACCCAGGACCTAGGCATCGTCTTCAGCAAACCATCTTCCACCGAACCAATCCTATATGGCTATAGCGATTCCGATTTCGCTGCAGATCTCAACAATCGACGCTCGACTTCCGGCTTTATATTCCTTCTGAACGGTGGCCCGATAGCCTGGAAATCGAAACAGCAATCCCTAGTCACAAGCTCGACTCATGATGCTGAATATGTTGGATTAGCAACTGCATCATTTGAAGTCATTTGGCTTCGTAAACTCATCCTTTTGATTCTGCCTCAGTATGCAGAACATTCAATGCCCTCCAACATCATTTATTGCGACAATCAAGGTGCTATTGCAACTGCAAATCGACCTAGCAATTCACCCTCTCCACGATCGAAACATATCGACATCCGTTTCCATGTTATTCGCGAGGCTATTGCTAATGGCCTTATTCGACTCGAATACGTTCGTACGGCAGATATGACTGCAGATATCCTGACAAAGGCCCTGCCTAAGGAATTGCATCAGCGTCATGTCAAGGGAATGGGAATGGAAGCGATATGATGGAATTGGGATCTATGTATCCGAACTGGCCTGGTTTCCTCCATGGTTTTGTCCCACAGGGTTTTGCATGGAGGTTTTCCCCCAGGACTGTCTGTATATAGCTATTTTGTCTTTCTTTTGACTCACCCGTGATCTAGTGGGAGGACCCTAGTCGTTTCTGACGCCTTCGGTAGAGATCTCGGATGAGTGGGAGTGCCAGCGTGCTGCATCCGAGGATCTTCCTCCGGCGTGGATCAACTATAGTCCGGGAGCCACGTGACCACCATCAGGGGGTCATATACTCCATTCTAGCTTAGATGACCAATAACAACACACATCTCCCTAACAATAATCATCCGATCACGTGATTTCGACGAAGCTTGAGGTCATCTGACTTGGCTTTTACCTTCCTCAAGCAGTCACTGGAATTATCAGCTTATCTGCACGTGAGCGTGGGCCCGTTCGTTGCATTTGGATAATTTCCATGCCGCAGGAAGATACTGGGGCTAAGGCGTGCGTCAGTATTCGTTTCTCTGGTGCAGTCTGCCGTCATGGGACAGATCAAGAGAAAGCGCGATGAGGACGACGACCCAATCGGGGAGGTGCGACCGGGCGGAGTCGGTGTGGCCGGAATCCTCTCACGCGTACGAGGCGAAAGTGTCTCTCCCGAGTCCAACGACGCTGCCACCAACGGCTCCGGCGATATGACGAGCGAGAAGAAGAAGAAAAAGAAGCGGATTGACGGTGAACATGATAGGATCAAGTACCCAACATTGACCTATGCCGAAGGGAAACTGCAGAATTCAGTTCGCATTGCTGATATCCAAGGCCTGCTACTGTACTGCTTCTCGGACGGGGTCGCGCCGCAGTGGATCTCACTCAAGCACTCCAGAAACGTGCGCAAGGTCACTATTCTCATGGTCCCAGGATTGGAGCTCGGCATGTTTGATGGGTCCATCCCGTTGGTGTCCATCGACCCCAACAGCGACAGTGCAGAGAAGGAGTCCCCCAGCAAGCCAGAGGAAGCAAACGATACTCCCGAAGAAAGAAAAAACCAAGACTTCGAACGATGGAAACTCGGACTCCCTCTTGCAGACCGGTCCAACCGCTACGCTCCTCGACCCCTTTCATCAGACGCCGTTCCCGAATCTCTTCGTCCGCTGAGCAACATCTTTCCACACATCTGGCCGGTCAAGGCCCCCGGTGACAACAAATACAACAAAGTGCACTCGCCCTTGCAAGCTATTTTGATGTCACCGCTTCCCAAGTCCAAGGACAAGGACAGTAATAGCCGCAAGGGCGCTAGGTCAGCGAACTTCGACAAAAGCATACAGTTCAAGCGAACCCCAATTACGGAATTCATCGCTTCGCTAGTCGACCTACGAGATAGCGAATATCCTTTGCATCCGGCTCTCCTGAGTTCAGAGGCAGAGAGGGCTGCTGAGGCCGAGTCGCGCAAACGTCATAACCGAACCGCCGAAGATGGTTGGGTTGATACAAACGTGTCTACTTTAGAAGCGGGCGTCGTACCTGACGCAGAGATCGAGCAGGGCAGCGTGACAGCCGGACGCAAGGTCTTGTCTCTGGATTGCGAGATGTGCTTGACCGAGGGCGGCCAGTCTGAGCTGGCACGCATCAGTATGGTTGGATGGGACGGCGAAGTCGTGCTCGATGAGCTCGTTAAACCTTCTCGACCCGTGACAGACTACCTCACGCAATACTCTGGCATCACTAAAGAGATGCTGGATCCGGTGACCACCACACTCGATGATATCCAACAGCGCCTTCTCACTATCTTGACGCCTCGATCTATCCTCATCGGCCATTCTCTGAATTCCGATCTCATAGCTCTCAAACTCACACATCCTTTCATCGTCGACACCTCCATTATCTACCCTCATCCCCGTGGTCCACCCTTGAAGTGCGGTTTGAAATGGTTGACTCAAAAGTACACCTCAAAGGAAATTCAGAAAGGGCAGTCTGGTCACGATTCGGTCGAGGATGCTCGAGCTGTGCTTGAGTTGGTGAAGCTCAAGTGCGAAAAAGGTGTACAATGGGGCACTAGCGACGCATCTAATGAGAGTATTTTCCGCCGTCTGGGACGTTCCATTCGCCCAGGCAGGGATGCCACGTCCGGTGAGTACCGCACCGGTGCGGTTGTTGATTGGGGTAATCCCGAGCGAGGCTTCGGATCACAAGCGACTGTCTCAATTGGGTGCCGTGACGACGATGAGGTTGTCAAGGGTGTCTCCGCAGCTGTGAATGGAGATTCGACCAACAGCTCTATCCCCGGGGGTGGTGTAGATTTCACCTGGGCCCGCCTTCGGAACCTCGAACACTTCCGTGGCTGGTGTAATCGAGCCCCCGACCCTGACAATGCCAACCAATCTACCGCCCTTCCTCCCCTGCCAGAGGGAACGCCATCCACGACCAGTCCGGATGGCACGACGGCACCCCCGACGGACAATGCTCTGGCGGACGCGGTCTCCCGAACCGCCTCCGACATTGCCCGTATCTACGAGTCACTTCCACCTTGCACCATATTCATCGTTTACTCTGGAACGGGTGACCCCCGTGAGGTGGGTCGCCTGCAAGCAATGCATCGGGCGTATCGCGAGGAATTTGGCTCACAGAAGCCGTGGGACGAATTGACTATCAAGTGGACTGATACTGAGGAACAAGCCTTGAAGAAGGCATGCGAGCAAGCTCGTGAGGGCTGCGGCTTTATGTGCGTCAAATAGAACACTTCATGTAACTTTACGAAAGTCGGGCAGCAGTCTGGTACATGAATATGACTCAAACATGCCATACCAGAAAAGTTCTTCCCTTGGTTTCGTACAACACTGAATTGTAGTATGTTCACCTAGTTGGTCCATGGATGGATGTGAGGTCTGAGACATCTTCAAGATTGCAACGGCTTCGAAAGCCGAGTGGCTTGATCGTCGAAAGAAGGTGCTACCACAAATTGGTAGGTAATAGACAATAAGCATCCGGTACGTTGCCAAACAGGTACTAATGAACATTTCATATCATGCGTGTTCCGTCCCTCCGAGTCGTTGGTGATACGGTGTACAGTGCTAGCGCAGCCCTAAGCGTTAGCTGACTAGGTTGAGCCAGTATATATCACAGCCAAATATCCATCAAGTCTATCGAATGCTGATTACTTCGGATTACCACCCGATCTTTGTAAACTCAGAAATAAACGCACTGTGAGGTGATAGGGTACTACGGCCTGTATCCCGTGATTGCCACTCCGTGACCCGAGCGCCTCGTATCCGGGCCGTCCTCAAGGTGTTCAGCTGGCAACCCAAACCGCCTTGCCCTTCACAAACGAGGCCTAGCGCTCTTTCAACGTCTTACCCTCGCCGATTTTGGCCCCATGCCCGAGCATTGTCCGAGCGGCCACTGATGGTGGTGGCGATAAGAGTGAACTGAGCCAGGGGAGAGGGAGGGGGTTGGCTGAACTTGCCGGCATTGAATCCCTCGAAGTCGACATCGAATGCAGTCTCCGCTTTTCCGCAGTGGCTGGGACCAGAAACAAACTATCTTATCACTATGGTTTGATACTTACCCTGCAACAGGAAATAAAACCCTTCCTGAAGCTAAAAACACGCCTCGGGACGTCCCACGGGAGTGGAAACTCTTTATCTCGCTGCGCATTAGCGTCGGCGCAATTTGCCTACGCCAGGGAAAAGCACCACAGGGGCTAGACTGAGGCTCGGACCCGACGACTCTGTTTGACAGGCTCTCTAGCCTGACAGCACGATAAGAAGATGTCCACACAAAGTTGCGGGGAATCGAGACTGATTGGTACAAGGCCGGTCCTAACTTTCCCAAATCCAGCCTGGGGCGGGTGAGGATTCAGTTGAAGCGAATAGGAAGCCGGTGGTGATGGTTGGAGAACTCGCACGCGGGTCATCGATCCGGGCTGGATGCTCTCAAAAGGACCGGCTGCTGATTATGGGCGGCGACATAGTATTTAAATACTGGCGGGCGCCCAGTTGTGTTTCTACAGATGTGCGCGTTGGCTTGGGATTAGTTTGAATCTCCACGCCTCCATAGACTTTTCCCGATGGCGATTTACGAGAGCAAGAAGATCGAGATGGGATTACCAGAGAAAGGATCCGCGGAGCCTGTGGTCGACAGTGACGAGGATCAGGTTGCGACGGTCATCGACAACAATGATCAGTTGAAACGGCACTTGGGCAATCGGCAGATCCAGTTGATTGCTATCGGTGGATCAATTGGAACAGCTACCTTTGTAAGTATCACATCGGGCTTGACGAAAGGTGGGCCTGGCAGTTTGTTCCTTGCATACACAATCTACTCGTGTATGATGGGGCTAGTTAACAACTGCATGGCCGAGATGGCGGTCTTCATGCCCGTTAGTGGTGCTTTCATTCGCATGGCTGGCAAGTGGGTGGATGAGTCGTTTGGTTTCTGGGCTGGTTGGAACTTCTTTCTCTACGAGGTACTATTGATTCCATTTGAGATATCGGCTCTCAATCTCGTGTTGACGTTCTGGCGGGATGACATCCCGGTGGAGGCAGTTGTGGCTGCTTGTATTGTCATCTATTTGTAAGTTGTTTCTTTGCGTGCGATGCCACACTGGCTGCTAACAGGTTCAAGTATTCTCAATGCGTTCACTGTGAAGTGGTACGGAGAAGCAGAGTTCTGGCTCGCCACAGGCAAAGTTATCCTCATTCTCATCGTGTTCCTCTTCACCTTCATCACTATGGTCGGTGGAAACCCCAAACACGACGCCTATGGTTTTCGATACTGGAATAACCCGGGCTCATTCGCGGAATACATCACAACTGGTCCCCTGGGCCGATTCGAAGGATTTCTTGGTGCCGTTTGGAGTGCCTCGTTTACCATTGTCGGCCCCGAGTACATGTCTATGGTAGCTGGAGAAACCAAATTGCCCCGAAGGTACCTCAAGACTGCCTTCAAGACGACCTATGCGCGATTCGCCTTCTTCTTCATTGGAAGTGCCCTCTGTGTGGGAATCGTTATCCCCTACAACGACAAGACTCTCCTCGATATTCTCTCTGGTTCATCCGGTGGCTCTGGTACCGCCGCGGCGTCGCCATATGTGATTGCCATGAACAACCTGGGCATCACGGTGCTCCCGCATATTACCAATGCCTTGCTCGTGACTAGTATCTTCTCCGCTGGCAACGCGTACACCTATTACGGCACCCGCAGTCTCTACGGTCTGTCTCTACAGGGCCAAGCTCCTAAGATTCTGCGTAAGTGCACCAAGAAGGGTGTTCCAATCTACTGCCTCTGCATTGTCATCGTCTTTCCCTTCTTGGCGTTCCTGAATGTGTCCAGCAGCTCAGCCAAGGTGCTGACTTGGCTTACAAACATCATCACTGCGGCCCAGGTCATTGACTACATCATCATCTGCATCACCTACATTTTCTTCTACCGCGCCTTGCGGGCGCAGAACATTGACCGCCGGACGCTGCCGTACTTTGGCTACTTCCAGCCATATTCGGCATGGATCGGTCTGGTCTGGATGACGATGGTGGTCTGCACATACGGCTACACGACCTTCTTGCCGGGCAAATGGACTGTCAGCGATTTCTTCACGTATTACACAATGGTCCTTCTCGCACCGGTGCTGTTCTTCGGCTGGAAGCTTCTCAAGCGGACCAAGTTCATCAAGGCGCACGAGGCGGATCTTGTGTGGGATCGACCTGTCATTGATGCATATGAGGCTAGCTTTATGGAGTATGCCCCTGGATTTTGGACGGAGATTGCACAGATGTTTGGATTTCTACGCAGCCGGCGAGAGAAGCGGCAGTTTTAGACCGATGTCATGTCGCTAGACGCTTCTTTATAGTGTTTGGAAATCAATCGTTCCCGTTGAGACAATTGAACGTATTATCAGTCGTATTTATCATCTGAGCATTCCCCGCAGTCTCCTTATCTACCAGCTCAATTGATTTCGAGGGGCTCCTACCTAGTGGTTGTTATTTACTTAAGTATATACTACCCTGAGGTAGTGTATGTTAATAGTATCGGCGTAGCGACCTCAGGCGGCATCACCATAGATCGAAACTTTCCCAATCCAACGCTAAATACGTACAGACGATCTCATCCATTCCGCCGACGATGCTGGCCGAGTTTCCCTCGGGGTTCTGACTACCGGGTGGATAATGTGTGGGGGCAGAGAGCCCGTGTTTGGTCGGACCGAGTCCGACGTCAACTAGCGCGGGGGTTGACGGGGTCCTTCTGCGGTTACGGTGGATGCCACTCCGCGCTGGGGTAGCATTCGGCAGTGTGCTGCTCGCCTGGACGACGGGATTCTCTACTGTTGACAAGCAGGTACCCCCCTGGGTAGTTGGAGGCGATCGGCATGTCACGGTGCCCCTTGCGGCGTGGCAGCCTTCCATAAATTGTCAGCTCCCCCGCCTTTTCGACCTCTCGATCTGCTCCAGTTTCCAGCTGCGACACCTTTGCGCGCATCCCTCTAGCCAAGATGTACTTCCCCAAAGTCGGCGACCGCGTGGAGGACCTCGACACGCCCTCCATGATCGTGGATCTCGATCTCATGGAGGCGAACATCCAGAAGCTGATGAACAAGCTCCTGCCCACCGGCCTCAACATCCGTCCCCACCTGAAGACCACCAAGAGCGCCATTCTCGCCAACAAGCTCGCCAAGGCCGGTGCAAAGGGAGGCTGCGTGGCCAAGATCAGCGAGGCCGAGGCCATTGCCGCGGCAGGCTTCGACGATCTTCTCATCACTTGCGAGATCGTGGGCCCCGTCAAGGTGCAGCGGTTGGTTGAGCTGTATCGCAAGCACCCGAAGATCCGGATCGTCGTGGACAGCGAGGTCGGAGCATCGGCAATTAATGACGCCCTGGCGAACTCGGGCATCCAGAAACCCATTACAACCCTCATTGACCTGGACGTCGGTCTTCACCGCACCGGCGTCAAGCCCGGCGAGCCGGCTCTCGCCCTAGCACGACATGTCGGTGGATTGAAGCATCTGAAGCTGATCGGTGTGCAAGGATATGAGGGCCATTTACAGCACTTGCATGATTACGAGGACCGCAAGAAGCAATGCCTGGAGTCGATGTCTACCTTGGTGGGCACCGCGGAGGCCTTCCGTCAGGCCGGCTTCCCCATCGAGGTCGTCACCACCGGTGGCACTGGTACTGCTGAATTCTGCGCCAGCGTGCCAGGTGTGACCGAGCTGCAGCCAGGTTCGTTTATCTTCATGGACGTCGATTACCGCAACGCCGTCGGCTCGTTCTTCTCGCATAGTCTTGTCCTGCTATCGACTGTGATCAGTCAACAGGGCCCCCGGGCCGTCACCATTGACACAGGCCTCAAGTCCTTGACGACTGATAGCGGTCTGGCAGAGTGCAAGGACTCAAGATACGAGTATGGCGTGCTGGGTGATGAGCACGGTTCATTGATGTGGGAGGAGGGCTCCCCGGCCCTGAAGGTTGGCGATCGTGTCGAGATGCTTCCCAGCCACATTGACCCGACTGTCAACCTGCACGACTTCTACTATGCCCATCGTAACGGGGTGATTCAAGAGATTTGGCCCGTTGACTCCCGGGGGCAAGGTGCAATAATCAGAGATCGTGGACCATTTTTATATATGCATACATACTAGAGCTGTTGTTTTGGGCATTTTAATTGAATGAAAAAAGATATAGACTAGGAGATGCTATTTTGGCAATTACCATAAATTGCTAGCGTATAATTTCCTCCATCTCCTGCCTATACATTGTAAGATCGCATGGTTGCAAGCGCTGTGGGTCGGCTCGGCTCCGGTCTCCACCGCGTGTCAAGCGCAGGGCGGAGAAAAGTCTATTGTCGCGCTTAAAGCGATCAGTTCGTCTGAAAAATGATTCACTGTGCTTGATAGCTTCGACATAGTGTAGTCGAAACCTACGAGCTCTGTGAACACAATGGAGGACTTCGAAGTCTCCTCGCGGAATAGCACGGCTGATCTACAGGAAGCCAATCTACCTCCAGTGGACCGAGGCCGTGGGGCGTGGGGTTTCCTTGCGGCGTGCTTCATGATCGAAGCTTTGATCTGGGGTAATTCTGACCTGACTTGTCTTGATAAAGGTACTCATAGTACTCTTTGCTTACTGTTCGTTCGCAGGATTCACATTCTCCTATGGAATCTTCCAGGATTACTACAGTACTCATGAGCCTTTCAGAAGCTCTGGCGACATTGCCGTCGTCGGCACTTGCGCCATGGTGAGTTCGAAAAACCAGCATTCCGTTGTCTATGCCGTATTGACAGTTGATAGGGTATCTCCTATATGTTGCTCCCAGTCGCCTTTATCCTGCTCCAGGCAGTTCCCCGTCTCAAGCTGTGGGCCGCCCCGCTGGGCTTCCTTATTATGTGCCTTGCTCTGGCGCTGAGCTCCTTCGCGACCAGTACTGCGCATCTTGTTGTTTCTCAAGGTGTGGCTTATGGTATTGGCGCAAGCCTGGCGTACGCACCCACCATTGTTTTCATGGACGACTGGTTCGTGCAAAGAAAAGGGCTCGCATTTGGCATCATGTGGGTAAGTCGCCAACAAGTCCCCATAGCCATCTTATCTCCCAGTGATAAGAAATAAATACTGATATGTGAATAGGCTGGAACCGGTTTGTCCGGAGTCATTCTTCCGATTGTGCTGCAGTGGCTTCTGAATACCTTCGGCCATCAGACGGCGCTTCGCGCCTGGTCCATTGTCCTGCTGGTCATGGGAGGCCCACTCCTCTACTTCGTCCGTCCACGACTTCCAATCTCCCGAAATTCACGCTCTCGCCCATTGGATTTCCGCTTCTTGTTGAACTCGACGTTCGTGATCTATGAGACGGGCAACATCCTCGAGGCGATGGGGTACTTCCTTCCTACGATCTACCTTCCCTCCTACGCCCGCAGCCTCGGCGCAAGTAGCATTCAAGCGACATTAACCGTCATGCTATTCAACCTTGCCTCAGTCTTCGGCTGTATCATCATGGGCTCCATGGTCGACCGGTATCACGCCACGACATGCATCCTAAGCTCGACGGTCGGAAGCACGATTGCCGTGTTCTTGATCTGGGGTTTTGCCGACACCTTGGCGCCGCTATACGTCTTTTGCATTTTCTATGGTCTTTTCGCTGGATGCTTCACGTCGACCTGGCCGGCTATCGTTCATGAAGTGCGGAAGAAGAGTATGTATGTCGATCCAAGTATTGTTTTCGGATTCTTGTCGACTGGTCGGGGGATCGGGAATGTAGTCAGTGGGCCGCTCAGTGAGGCGCTGCTGAAGAATAATGCCTGGAAGGGCGTGGCTACGAAGGCTTATGGGACTGGTTATGGACCTTTGATTGTCTTCACTGGAATTTCTGCCCTCCTTGGTGGCTTGGGCATTGTTATGAGATCCTCTAAGCTTTCCTAGGGACTGTGTCGGGCCGTTCGAAAGAAACAGATTCATTCGGTGCCTACAGACGAGAATTTCGAAGATGAAGAAGGAAGGAGAAAAAAGAAAGTCCGCCAGAAAAGAGGGCTTAAGTACCCAGCAAACGCGCACCAGCAAACGCGTAGTGCAAACGACCCAAAATTATGCCTCAGGCCCCCTTCCACGAGATGAAGCTATTCCCAGGTTCATCCGTCACAGGGACCACAAAAGCGAGGAACGTTCTTTGAGATAGACAGACCCATGGAAAATTGTGGGTGCAAAATTATGGAGATTGATGCTTCCGCACCCCCGTCATGGCTTCGCTTAGATATATACAGAACTAGAACAACTTGATCAAACATGGTGCCAGTATTGACGTGAAATATGTACAGTGAGAGTCGAAAACAGATTCCCCTTCTGGCACACATAGGTAACCAGGTTTCTCGGCTCGTACCGGAAACCACGCTAGGTCATCTTTGGTTACTCTGTAAACAACCCCTGCTTTAGCCGTATCACGTCTCAGAATGTATTTGGTTTCAACGTGCAATGAGTCACTGTAAAATACTGGAAAAACCACATAGAAGGTTCTAGGTGAACTTCTCGAAGGTGGGGGAGGGAGATCTGGCGATCTGGCTTGATTCTGCCCATCATTCGCCTTTCTTTCATTTCCACTGCAGCCTCCGTCTTCTCTTCATTTACCTTTTACATGACGAAAGCTGTATCGCTGCCGTAGAGAGTTAACTCTGGTAGGGCAATAAGGTTCTTGTTTGTGTTGCCCCATGGATACTGCTCACTCCTCCCGTTTCTATTCGCTCATGGTGCCTCATTAAAGTCGGAACCGCCAATGTAAGCTGACGCGGTGTCCAGACATCCGATCGTGTGTAGATATGAGCAGCAGCCCATATCACGCTGACTACATCTCTCAGCCCCAGGAGCTTGAACCACGGGAGCAGGATTCACAATATGCGCCTACCCCTGGATACTTCCGAAGCCCTTATGCTACGCGATCTGCTTGTAGTCCTTCCCCATCTATACTGCTCGACAATGAACCCAGCCCCGCACGTCGATGTCGACAGGATACTCTACCATTGCTCCAGGAACCCGAATGGGAAGAAGGCAAGACATACGACGAATCTCCACCAAGCTGCATCCACTACTTCATAAAGTGGCGGGTCGCCCTCAACAAGGAGGCCGTGGTGAAGGACACAGAAGAAGACTTGGTCTTGGCCCCAAGCGCCTACTGGCCGTTATTCCTGGAACAGAAGCTACAGACTGTCGTACGAGAGAAACTCTCCCGCAACAAGAGGGTCAGGATCGACGACGGCGATTATCATGTCAGTCAATGATCGGTCCCAGCATGATTTGACTAAGCGCTTTAACAAGACCGACATTGTCTGGACACCGATCGAAAAACAACTCCGGATGTGGTCGAGTCACTTTTGTCGTGGCAAGAGACTCACACTGACGGTGTGTTTCAACTATGTAGAGGATTGCAATACTCTATCTGCTGGACGGAAGGGGGAAAAGAGAGGGAAATATTCTGTCACAAAGAGGATGCTCGAAGATCGAGATGCACAGCTAGATGCTGAAGAGAATGCATGTGGCCAGCAAGCAATTTGGCGCCGCGTTTACGACTTGATGAAATGTGATTCAGCCGCATGCCACCTAGGCCCTTACTGTTGGTTGGATCCCGTGGGGAGAAAGCATTACCGACTCTGCACACATACCTTAAGTGACTCGTCACCTACGCCGAGAAAGGCGGCGTTCTGGGGACGCACAAAGATGTTCCTGATGAGATCCGGGATGATATATACATGGACGAGCAGCAGAGGCAAGAGAAAGAAAAGTCTTCCGTCTCACCCCACTGGTCTGGACATAACAGCTCCTAAGCGGTCTGATGGTTCGGCTAATCCGAAAACTATGGGCCCACTGAATATCCCAGGGTACAGAGACGTAGCCGTCAAAGAATACGGTGAGTGGCTTGCCTCAAGTGTAGAGGATGACACTCTTAAGGCTGCATTCCGGCAAGCGTGCGATGTAGCGTTGTCAGACGGCTTTGACCTTGAGCACATCTACCAGGACCAAAACCCACAATTCTTCGTCGGGAAGGGCATCAAACCCGGAATTGATCGAAGTTTCGTAGAGAATATTCGTGAATGGGTTGAAAACGTGAAGAAAGCGATGCCGGTTCTTGAGGCGATATAGAAAGGATAGTTTTGGCGTTTGGTTCGGCTTGGCGTTTTATTGCTTGCGATCTGACACATTCCTCGTGCTAGATGAAGTGGGGCTCTCTATTTTAATGTACAAGGTGATCGATTTTCTTCAATTTATCCAACTGCAAGCCAAATTCCTCGCTCGAGTATGATCCTTGAAAGCTACTCGCCTGGCCAGTCCCCAGGCATTGTCTTAGCTGGTCGCGCGACTAAAGCCCAAAAATCCCCTACAAAAGCATCAGATGGTTCAGATAGCCATACATACCAGTCTTCCGGGTTTGGACCATAAGCTATGCCAGTCAACCGGTGTAACCCCTCATTGAAGTCCCTTTGAACATTTCCGCTTTTCCAAATGCGTCTCTCCTTTGCTCCCAGAGCTTTCAAATCCTGGCCAGCGGCTTTCATACCTTTCAGCCAGGTCCGAATACCCACATGGAACTCTTCCTGGTCAAGCCACAGAACTTGGTTAAACTCTGGGAGGGATACCTGGGAAGCCAGATACCCCTCCAAAAATGCGATAAATAGAGTTTTGCCATCGACTATTTGATGAACATCCACACCAACCCGCAGGAAGTCGAAAAACAAAGTATTCCACGACTCGCAAATAGCTTGCCATCTTGCGTGACAGTGGGTTCTGGCAGGCCGAGAGAATCTTTGGTATCCATTGCAGATGTCCAGATTTCTTCGGCAAGACATTTGTAGGAAGGCCCGACTGTTTCCTTGCTTTTGCGCGACACAATGCATCAAGGTCGTTTCTTTTGAGGTCAACGGTAAAGTACACTTTGTCTGGAAGTCTTGGGCTTCTGAGGTGTCTTTACCGAGGACCGTTTTAACCAAGTCGGGGGTATTGTTTGATTCTTCAGCATAGTAGGAATATTCAGCATCAAAGATGATCTTCGATGCCACCGATATCCGCACCCACCGTGGCATTTGATAAAGCATGGGACAACAGTGTTGCTGCAAAAATATGAATTCTTCAGAGGTGCCATGAAACTCGGATAATATTCCTTCGACTGCGTCTTGGGCATTTCCATATATGAGGTCGCGTGAATGTCGAAGTAAGGGGCGTAGGAATGGTAAAAGCGGGTAGTCTTTATTAGATGCCGCATGTCTCCCATTCTCTAAGAGGAGGCGAAGAGGTGTCTTCAACGTGGAAAATCCACCTTCGATAGATGGGTCCACTCCTTGGTCCAGGAGGAACTCAACCACATGTTCATTTCTATCAACGCAGATCACATACTGACAAGTCAGTACGAAAAGCCAAGACGCGATTAAACGAATATAGCACTTACATGAAGTAGACTCCGTCCGTTACCCTGTGAGCGGAAGAGTGGCGAGAGTTGTCCTGAGGCAAAGAGGTCCTGGAAATCTTTTACAGTTCCTTGCTTGAAATAATAATCAAGTTCACTACTCCAGCGAACCCCATTGTATGTTCGAAGACTCCAATCCCATCCGAAGGGAGTTTTTATGCCAGATATTTCCAATACTCGAGATGTCATCCAGTAGGGGCCGCGGAGAAGCCAAAGACGGCTTTTGCGATGGTTAACCCCTTCTTGTTCCAATTTTGAGCTCCCCACCAATGTCCCGGTTGGAGCCAGGTTCTTGTCTTGGAACAGTGATTAGTTTCAAGGAAGAAAATCACCAAGATGGACCCACAATGAGGCGCTGAAACAGGTTCTGCAACAGCTGTGTGTGAGGAGACTATCCCCAGATTTCTTATCTCCTCAGCGATGAAATTCGGTTGAGCCTGTATGAGCGCTCTAGTTTTATCAGCACAAAGCCATCTCAGTCATCTAATACGAAGACGTACCTGGTATAACACTGCTGGGATAACATAAGTAGCCGAACCACGTTATGGAGCTTTGAAGCGTGCTTCTCAATCTTCCTTTCGCGTATCGCCAATTTTGCGGCTTGGTAGGACCTGCGCAGTCCGCTGGATGAGCCAACGTGTTGCAATAAGTCCTTGCAAAGTGCCTCCAAGTCATCCGCAGCGACTTTACAGTATCGCAAACTTTGTGAAACATGCTGGCTCTCTATCAGGTCTAGCGACCCAGATCTTCGTGATGAGTCGCCGTCAACGTCAGCCATTATGAGGCCGAGGATCTCGACTTCTCTTAGTAGCGATCTGAGATCATCTGGTGCATCGCGCATCGAATCCCAGTAGCCTGTAAGTGTCTGAACAGACTTGCCGACTTGGACTGCAAGGGTCGCAAATGTAATGGCGCTAGACACGACCCCTACCAGTTCAGCCATGATGTCGATGAGTGAAAGGTTGATATCGAGAGGTGGAGATGAGAGCGAGCTTTGTTGCTTCGCAGAGCTTGTAAAAACATTCGAGGTTGAGAATTTGCGCCGACGGGTGAGAATGAGATCGTGCGCTCCGCCTTGCTGTCAGCCCCAAATGCGCCTCTAAAATAGCACCGAGCTTCATCGGGGTGGGGTGCCCTCAGCCTATTAAGAGAACCATTTTAGCGCCCAGTACCCCAGTCGTTCTGCTTATTAGGTCTCGAGCCCAGAAGCTTGAGTTGCTTTGTTATACTTGCCGCTTTTACGCATGCATCGCCCTGATCTAGTGTTGGCAGTCATATATTTATTAGGCGCCACGAAGACATTTGCAATTGGTGCCAAGTGAGACAATCTATCAGACGTAGCGTGTTTCAGGTGAAAACTTCAAAGCCAAATTGTGGTAGAATCCCGAACGTCAGGTATCCCAAGCTTCAATGGTCACCCCGGCGTGCCGAAAGTGACCTCTAGCACTCTCCTCTCTTGCTCCGACCTTATTAACACACCAGCCAAGAAAGCCGCCAAATCCTTGGTCTGGATCTTCTTCATAGTACTTCCAATTGCGCCTAATGAAACCCTTAAGCTCGGCGAAGGACTCTTCAATTGGGTTGAGGTCTGGCGAATAGGGAGGGAGATAAACCAAATTAACTCCAGCGTCAGCACACATCTGTGCAATACGTTCAGAGTGGTGAAACGATGCGTTATCCATGACCAGGACGGACTTCGGCTCCGGCCATCTTCCGCAGTGCCTAAGAAGCTGATCGATGAAATCTTCGAACACAGTGGCATTCGTTGAGCCGCGAAAGACGCGAGAAAGCAGAATGCCATCTTGGGCATAGGCAGGTGGTAATACTTGATACCGGTCATCACGATGGAACTGTGACACTTGTAGGGGGGCTACAGCGAGAGGTGACCAGCCTGTTCGTCTGAACCCGATCCGTTTGTCACATCCAGACTCATCAACGTAGACTAGGTGGTATGACTCGAATTCCGAGAGGTAAGCCCCCACGCACCAGAGGACATCCGCTACATAGTGACCTAGGTAGTAAACCTCAAATCAAAACATGGTTTCAAGAATTCCTCGTGACTTGAATCTCTCGGGGAGACTCAGTTGGATTGCAAAATTCTATAGCACACCACAAGAATAACACCGGCTCCGTCGCAAGCCATTTCCACTAAATTCGTTTATCTTACACATCCAAACACCAGGATTCACATACGTGCGGTCAACGCTGCATCTGCTAATCTCATCATGCTTGCTCCGTTTCCATCGCTTCCTCGCGCCACATCTCATTGCGAACCATAGCGTCCCGCGCCGCAATACTGGCCCTACGTTTTAGCCTTGCGGATGTGTCATTTTGATCTCCCTTCATTCCTTTCGGACCGCCCCCATCTGCCCTTTTTTGGATTTCGGGCCGAGTGGGCACTTCGCTTCGAGTGGGTTTTCCGTTCTGACTTGAAATTTTGAGCTGAGCAGGAACGTCAATCCCGGCTGGCAGCGTTGAACTGGCATCGCCAGTAGAGGAGGTGGTGGCGGCGGCAGTGCCTTTGACGGGGCTTTGTTCGGACCGGTTCATCTCTTGCATCTTTTGCATGTCTTGAGAATCTGGTTCAGTTGTTTGATCAGATCCCGGGAGAACACTGCGACGCGGCCTTCCACGCGGGCGTGGAGCAGAGTTTGGATTTGACCCTGACGCTTGGGACTCTCCGTTGCGCTGAGGTTTCTGTGAGGTCGGAACTGTACCATCGGTCGACTTTCTGGGCCGGCCGGGACCTCTCCGCTCAGGGTTTTGATTTCCCTCCTTTCGCAGCTGAGTGAGACGTTGCCGCTTCGCCGGGCTCTGCTCAGGATTACTCGGCCTCCATTCTCGGTCGTTGGGTGGGGCATAAGGATCTTGTTGCCGCGGAGTCGACCTGTCCTGTGCTAATTCTCTCAGAGGGATATGATGCCCATTGACGGCGTATTCCCCAGTAATCGATATATCATCCCCCATGTCTTCTTCGTCGAACGAATCCGCGACAGTCAAGGTGTTTCGACCGGAAAACGTATCGTCCCAGCCACGTTTCCGCCCGGCTTGTAATAAATCGGGACTTTGCACTTGCGGCAGCGCTCCTTCCAAGCCAAACATATAGTCCGGTGTGTGTGGTTTTGATTCTTCGGCCAAGCGGGCCTTCAGTTTCAACGCCTCGATCTCCAGCTTGAGTTTTTCGATCTCGTCCGACTTGATCTTCAACTCTTTCAATACGGTCGCGATCATGTCGAAATTCGTTCCGTTTGTGGCCCCGGTTTCCCCCACATACCGGTTTGGGCCACTCAGTTCGATTCGAAGAGCTGTGAACGAGTGTTTGAGGTCTGACATGGTGTCCTGCAGGTTGTTCACTGAGCTCGAGATTTGATCGATACTTCGTCCCTGATGTTGCATGTGTTGCTGCATCATAGGTTCCATGGAGCGAAAATCGGTTGCGCCAGCAGGAACAAGGGCATCATCATGGATCGAGCTACGGGCACTGCGCAGGGGCTCTTTCGGCGGCGGGTTGATTAATTTCTCGATTGCCCCCTGTTTAAAGACGGGCTCGGTGGGACGCATCGACACGACTTCCCTAAAGGCAACTTTGGACATTTTCCAAATGAAGATCGGACTTCAAAAAGCGTAAGCAAAGAGAACAGTCGCGGTAATCCAAGAAGTAAGCCGATTGAACACATGCCAGATAACATACCCATTATCCATTTCCACCAGTACACCCAGCTTTGATGAGGTAGGACACATTCTGCAACATGCCTCCTGTGCGATGCGACCCCTGATCAGACTCGCGTCGGACGTCTCAGGGATCCTCTTGCGTTGCGAGGACACTGAGATACGGTCAGAGTCGACGCTCAGCCATGCCGTTGCCGTGGCATAGAAACTGGAAACCTCAGCCCATTCATTTTCCAAGACAGCCAACGAGCTGAAGCAACGTCGGCAGTGGCAGATGACTGACGGGCGCGTAAGACTGGCGAAATCCATGGTTGATGCGACACAGGAGACTCGAAGAATGCGAAATTGCGGCTTCAAGCCCACGCATCCAATTGATGACTCAGCGGTCCAGGCCATCCGGTACGCTAGCCCGATTAGGATATCGTCAAGGAACGGGTGCGCGGTTACCTCATCAGTTTGAGAAGCGCCAGGGCTAGAGGATGGGTAACGCGAATATTTTAACGTGGACGGGCTGGTATGAAATTATTCCATGTCTTTTTCAGCCTTGTATTGCAAACAGTGATACATCTATAGTCTTGTCATAGCTACTGTTCGTTTTGGGACTGATACCACAATAAGTCCAATTCTTTCATTTGCAGTGGTTCCCCGCAATTTACGCACGTGACTTCTACATCTGGTCCCCGCGCCTTCGCGCCGAGTTTCCGCAGCGATAAGACGAGCACAGGCCTCCATGAGTCGCTCATTAAGCTGGTTTTGTCGCCCTTTTGCGGCTACTCGACCGGGAATTTCTTCTTCTTTGTCTCTTCACGGATTTCTTCGATCTCGCCCCGCCATGGCTACTGCTCAATTGTCTACGATTTCCCCGCAAGCCCCGGCTTCTGGCCGCGCGAACACCTGGCAGGGCGCAGGCGCAGCGGAGTTTGATCTACGAAGTATGGCACTGGACGAGGTTTGTTACTGTGCCTGGACTTACTTTTTACGCTCTAGGTGATACCATGACCAAGCCCACGCCATCCATGCTCGATGCCATTTGCCAGACGACATTGCTGGACGACGTGTTCAACGAGGACCCTACCACCAACGAACTACAAAGCTACGTGGCGCAGCGGACAAAGCATGAGGATGGACTCCTAGTCCTCTCAGGGACAATGGGCAACCAGGTGGCTATTCGAACTCATCTGACGCAGCCTCCGCATTCTGTTCTGTGTGACCATCGATCCCACATCATCTGCTATGAGGCCGGTGGCGTTAGTGCCTGGACTGGAGCTACGGTACAAACCGTGGTACCGAAGAACGGTATCCATCTCACCCTAGAAGACATCCAGAAGCATGCAGTCCTCGACGACAACATTCACTACTGCCCGACCAAGCTTATTAGCTTGGAAAACACCCTCGATGGTATGATCATGCCTTTGACCGAATCCCGCCGTATAGTCGAGTGGGCACACGCAAACGATATCAAGGTACACTTGGATGGTGCGCGACTTTGGGAAGCAGTCGTGTCTGGTGCAGGAAGCCTCGAGGAGTATACTAGTCTATTTGACAGCGTAAGTTTGTGTTTCTCCAAGGGCCTTGGTGCGCCAATGGGAAGCATTATTGTGGGATCTCAAGTATTCATCAAAAAGGCCCGCTGGTTCCGTAAGTCCATTGGAGGTGGTGCCCGCCAGACGGGCATATATGCTGCGGCTGCCCGGGTTGCCCTCGACGAAACCTTTGGCAAGGATCCGAACGGCAAGACCGGCCTATTACCTGCGACTCACGCCAAAGCTAAGCAAGTAGCTCAGATGTGGACTGGTCGAGGGGGGAAGCTGCAATATCCCGTGCACACCAACATGGTCTGGCTGAATCTGGAGGCGTCTGGTGTAGGGCCTAATGATCTGGCTGTAATTGGACAGGATAAAGGATTGAGATTGCTCGGCGGACGAGTAGTCGTCCACTACCGTAAGTACTAACTAGCATTCTAGTCTGAGTATCCTCTTTGTTTGTGCGGGCTGGAAATGGCTCAACTTTTGCTGACGAATCACAGAGGTGTCAGACGAGGCGATCACACGCCTGGGTGAGGTGTTCGACATAGCGATGAAGGGAGACTTCCAACGGAGCAATGACCAAAGCCGGCCCTACGGAAGTAGCAAGCCTTAAAGACAGTGGGATCGTATAGATAGTCACGGAGGAATCTTGTATATACTACAGTTGTATACCTACTAGGTATAGAGCATTTTGCTCCAAATAAGCTCCGATCGCAGCTGCCTAGACCCATGGGTGACCCCCCTCCCGCGCCCGAACCATCCAATCATCTCCCAAAATCTTAGTCATCTCAGGCACCGAATCGCTGCCTGAAAGCCTTAGCGCCTAGACGTTCGTTGCGGCTCGCTTTTTTGTTTCTCGGACGACGACCTCGCAGGATCTGTCCCGGCCCCCTTCCAGGTCCATTGCTGCGCCAGAACCGACCCTGGAAACAGGTTGGTGGGCTGTGTAAGTCCTGTCCAGCTGATTCTTGCCTCGTTCAAGATCAAGTCTCGTCAAAACAAACGGTGCGATCCAGCACCTACAAAAGCTCCAAAGCTAACCTGTGGCCGTGTTCTTTTGCAGAGATACTTGTCCGCGTCCGCCGATACCCTGATAATCGAGCGAAACAAACAAGAAATCGGTCGTATTCAATGAATCGGCTCAGCCATACATACTCTCACTAAGCACATACGCGGTCGTTCAGCCGACACCGACAACCGGTACGCCTACCTCCAGGCGACCTCTGTGAGACCCTCGCGATTCTGCTTTGGCATCTCGAGGTGCCACGGGGTCATTCAGGATAACTGCAGAACCAGTCACTCTTCTGCATTGTTGACCGACCCTGGAAAGACTGCCGCGAACGCTCACTTTCAATCGTGGCTCACCTGCCCTACCCCAGCATCATCCATCCACCCTCGCCAGGGTTTTCGGACACTCTTGCAATATTGAATATCTGTTTGACACATACGTCTTGCCATCTGCAACATACACCTTTCCATTCCTCTGCCTCATTTCCTTTGTCGTGACAGTTCACCCCGGTGAACGCTCTCGTGACAGTTTCTCCGACCCGTCCTGGCACCCGCCGCAAGGTACATAAACCCCCTGGTCCCCGGAGTTGCGTCGTCCAGGATTTACTCACAGGCCGTCTCAGGCCGTGCCGTGTATTCATAACCCTTTTCATGCCATTTTCCTGCAAATCTCCACCTCATTTACCCACGACGTCCGCCATCTGTAGTTTTGCCTATTCCCCACTGCCTCCTCCGTTTTTAGCGTGCTGCATCAATTTCTATCTACTTCTATCTTCGACACTGCATCATGGAAGCCACGCAAGAGTCGACTCAGCCATGTGCTGACCCTCGCCGAATGGGATTGAACAACTCAGGCCTCCACGAACAGGATCTTGCAGACATCATTTGTATTCTGCACCCGAACTCTCATGCCGCGCATGATGCAGTGGCCGCAACTGCAATACATGGAAGTCAACACATTCTCCAGAGAGATGTCTTGGATTATGAGACATCGGAAACGGCGGCTCTGGATGTGGCGCTGAGACTGTCCTCGAACGTCCATGACCTCGGCTCGGGATTCTGTTTCGGAAGAAATAAAGCTCGCTGTGATATCTTGCTAGCGGGCGATGATGAAGCTAAACGGGTTTCTAATAATCATTTCCGCATCTACCTGACCGGAGATGGTATCATCATGCTTCAAGACACATCAACCAACGGTACCATCGTGGACAACTGCCGCCTTCGCAAAACTCAGAAGGAGAACAGCCGCATGCTTACGAACGGCTCGGTCATCCAAGTTGTCACTGGGAATCAAGGCTCAGACGAGGTGCGGTTCGTTGTGCGAATGCCCTCGCGCGAAGGCTTCGCAATGCAGTACACGCAAAATGTGCTTCATTACTTCGAGCGTATCCAACGTGCAGTTACCGGCGCTGCACAAAACAAGACTCAACAATCCTCGAACCAGCCCGTCTTGTCTTGGTCGGTCGCAAACACATATGGCATGCATTGGACGGGTGGTTCAGTGTACAATGTGACGGGACAGATTGGAAAGGGCGCTTTTGCCACAGTCTACAAACTTGCAACCAAGCAACATGGTGCAATCTATGCTGCGAAGGAGCTTGACAAGCGTCGTTTCATGAAGAACGGTATTTTGGACCAGAAAGTCGACAACGAGATGAAGATCATGCGAGATCTCAAACATGTAGGTTTTTTTGTCGTCATTGGTGCAATGACACTTATATACTAATCCCTCTGTCTTTCTAGCCCAACATCGTTCAATACATCGACCATCATGAACATGACCGATGGATCTACATCATTATGGAATACGTCCCTGGTGGCGAATTGTCCACATATCTGTCAACTCATGGGAAAATTCGCGAGAGCATGGTGAGGACGATCGCGCGGCAGATTTTGCGGGCATTGCATTATCTTCATAAGCGTCGTATCACTCACCGTGATATAAAACCGGACAACATTCTGATTTCCTCTCTGGATCCCCTTCGAGTCAAGCTGTCCGATTTCGGTTTGTCCAAGGTCACGCAGGAAGAGACGTTCCTCAAAACCTTCTGCGGCACCTTGCTGTACTGCGCGCCCGAGGTTTACCCTGACTATGAGACATACCGACGAGGAGATGCTCGCAAGAGACGGCGTGTCGGAGACCCGTAAGTACCATTCGCTCATCCCATGCGTAGAATACCTCACTAATTTTTAGACCCCCCAAAACATCTCCTTACAGCCAATCTGTTGATATGTGGTCACTGGGTGCAGTCTTGTATCATATCTTGTGCGGGGTGCCGCCCTACACTGGTCGCGCCGAAGATCGCGGCCAGCAAATGCTTCGATGTATCATGGAGTCTGAGGCCGATTACGACATCTTGCGGAGAGAGGGCGTTTCGGAATCCGGAATCGATTTTGTTTCTAAGCTACTCCACCGCGATCCATATGCTAGACCCTCGGAGAGAGAATGCTTCCAGCATCCGTGGATCTCTGAGGTGTCGGATGTGGATGAGTACGAGGATGATGACATTCTGGCTGAAGTTCGCGAAGGTCTCTCGGTCATTGGCGAGGATGAGGAGCTGGATGCGTCGCAACTGTCTATCACGGATGACCGGACGTACACTCACAACGCCGATGGTGATGAGTCAAGCAGCAGCGAAGCGCTGGCAAAAAGGCCTCGCATCGAGTCAATCCCCGCCGACATACGCTACCCCTCGCTGCCCAACATCGAAAGCTTCCAGGACGGTCAAGTCGTTGCAGAAAACCATGCAAGACGTCTCTTTGGTGAAGTCACCTCGTCAGCACTGCGCAGTTCCTACGCACTCGGTCAGCCCGGCCAGTCTTGGGCCGGAGATCACCTTGAGGTCGAGGGCTTTGCTTCATCTGGTGAGTCGGTGAGCGATGAACACAGCGTCTACTCGATCATTTCTCTCCCGGAACACCCCTTTGGCGGCACTGCCCCCAGCCTGATGGGCGCGGAGAACCTCGTTGGACGACTGAACATGAATTCCTCGCATCCTTTCCTCCCTCCCCCGGCGGGCCCCGTTACTGAAACATCGACGCGGCAGACCACCCCTGGCGAGCCCAAGGAACCCACGAATCCACTGGCAAGTAGCACACCGCGCGAAGGACATGCGCCCGCCAGTTCCGATAATGCTGATACCACTCCCAAACCCCCGAAGCCGTCTCGTCGCCTCGACCTGGATCTCCCCGAGACAGCAAGTGAGTGTTCAAGCAGCAATAGTGCACCCTCCAGCCGGCCTGAGTCTACGCGACAAACGGGACAACCTGCCGGTGCATTCTACAACGCTGAGTTCGCAACCACGCTCGATGCCCAAACTGGCCAGGCGATCTTGGATGCGCAGCTTGATGAACAACTGCGTGCGGCTCAAGAGCCGTCCGAGCCCATCGTCCACCGACCTGATACGCCTAGCAGCGAGTTTACCAAACCGCCCAAGATCCTCGGTAGGATCAAGAGTCTTCCCGGCTCCATCTTCGACCTGAACATCCGTCTTGAGAACCGCCTCACATCGTGGGGCCGTGGACCTAATGCGACAGTCCGTCACGAGGACCGGATGGACGTGCGTATTCCTGCATACGCCCTGGAGCTCACCTTCTGGGCGCCTAAAATCGAATGCATGATTGCCGAGGGTCAGGACTGGATGCAAGTCCCCGGCGTTATGGCCGTTCTATCCACCAAAACTCGCAAATGCATCTGGGTGAATGGCGTCGAACTACGCAAAAGCGGCCCAGATGGCTTGCAGTTCGGCAAGTTGTACACGGGCGATGTGATCACGATCTACAAGCATAATGGACAATTCCTTGATCTGCGCTGCGAGTTCTATCATGGTGAAAGTGTCCGGACTCGTCCGACCGATGAGCCCGGGTTTGTGGTGCGACAAGCCCTAGTGGGCAAGTCGGACGGGGCGACGAACCGGATGCCAGTTCGGCAGGCCCAGTCGAAGGAGGGCGAATAATAGATGCGAATTTGGGTTGTTTCTCCGCTCTGCAGATAGATCGATAGTGCAAATGGACCATATGGTGTCAGTTTCATGTCGCACTGAAGAGGACCATCTCGCGAAGTCCACAATGGCATTGTCCGCATGCGGTGGATCTGTACAATTGTATACTTCGTTGATGGCGCATCGCGAGACAGACGATCTCCCGTCACGTCACCAATTCACGACCAGATCAAAAAACCCCATAGAAATTATCGAGGAAATTCGAACGGTATTCCGTCTAGCAGGTCTTGGTTGTATTTTTACTATATTGCGCCGTCACGCAGAGCTGTAGAACATCTCGATCGCTCCTGCCTGTCAACCCGACGGCGCCTTCTCTTGTCGCGCCGCATCTCCGCATCCGGCGCAACCACCAGCAACTTTCCCCACCAACGCCTTCCAACACCCCGCCGCCTGGCAATCGCGGAGCGCTTTCCGCCCGGCTCAATCCGTGGCAGACTTCAGCAGATCATTTAATCCCACCTCCCAGTCGCACGCCCTTACATCCGGTTCACATGTCATCCTGACCTCAAATCAGCGCCGACTCCTCGAGTCCTTCTCTCCTCTTCCGCATCGGCGATCGAACTTCGCAGCTCCATACTCGATTTCATTCACTAGATCCCGAACCAATGTCCTTGTCGCGATCACCCTCTCCCCACCCGGGCGGAGGGTGGTCCAGCCCTGGCCTCACGCCTGGCAGCGGCTCCTCGACACCCGCGCATGGGTATGCGCCCAATACCCTTGCTCCAAACAGCGCCGCCTGGGCAGCAGCGAAAGCGAAGAGTGACGGAGTGCGCGGATACCCTTCCTTTTCGACGCGCAACAGCGGATTCTTCTCCCGACAGAAGCACAAGATCACTGGGCGATTGCCGAGTTTCCACGGCCACCAATCGCTGCATGGATACGTGGATAAGGATCTCTATGGGCGCGAACGATGGCGCCCGTTGGCTGGGGGTGCGCGTGGGGCGCTGGTTATCTTACTACGACGCAGTCGGGTACGGTTGGTTCTTGGCTTGCTGCTAGCTGGCCTTGCATACTTCCTTTTCTTGGGCCGTAAGTGTCGATGCAGAAGATGATATGCGGAACTGATCACATGCTGACTCTGTTGTTTTCACAGCTTTGGTTCACCTCTACAGACGGTCACCTCTCAGTGGAGCCCATAAATTCGTTATCATTCTCGGTTCAAATGTCGAGGGTGGCGTTATGGAACTTAAGGGCGCGCGGGAGTGGGCGATTGAGCGCAACAGTATCGCGAATAAAGAACAGTACGTCGGTCGTTGGGGTTATAAACTGGAAGTCGCCAACATGCTCGCCCAGAAGCGATACTCTCATGAGTGGCGCGAGAGCTGGGAGAAAGGCGATGTGATCCGTGAGGCTATGCGCAAATATCCCAAGGCGGAGTGGTTCTGGTGGCTGGATCTAAACACCTGGATCATGCAGCAGGATACCTCCCTCCAGGGTCATATCTTTAGCCAGCTGAACGACCTCGTTTACCGCGATATCAACACGTACAACCCGCTCAACGTCACCCATCCTCTGCCCGACTTTTATCTGGATGAGGTGGGCCGTGCACTTGAGGGCGATGGCAAGACGGGCTCACTTAACATGCTTTTGACGCAGGACTGCGCTGGATTCAATCTGGGGTCTTTCTTCTTGCGCCGCTCTCTCTGGACAGAACGTCTCCTTGACGCTTTGTGGGACCCTGTCATGTACGAGCAGATGCATATGGCCTGGGAACATAACGAACAGAGCGCTTTGGAATGGATCTATCAAAGTCAACCCTGGGTACGCAGCAGCATCGGCTTCCTTCCGCAGAGAACCATCAACTCTTTTCCTCTAGGAGCCTGCGGCGATGAGAACAATCAAGACGTCCATTACCAAGAAGAGGATAATGATTTCGTTGTCAATATGGCCGGCTGCGCATTCGGTCGTGACTGCTGGGCCGAAGTCGTCTACTATCGCGCCATCGCGAGGAGACTTAACCGCACTTTCTGGGAAAAGCTCACGGGTGGACTTTCTGCCATATACGAAATGGTGTTCGGGAACAGTCCACAATCAGATACATGATCGACAGTCTCTTCCGTCTTTGATTTTACTCCTGGTATCTCTTTTTCCTTTTCCCTCCCCTTTCATGTGTTCATGTTTCCACGTCGCTACACATTTCCAAGGAGCATCTTTTGTACAGTACAGATGCCAAGTGCTTTATATTTCGGATGGGACTGCAGCGGATTGCAGACGTAGCTCCGGTAGCTTGGCCACTTATTCTGGGACACAAAAACATACTTTATTTTCTTCTCGGGGGCACTTTTCCAATCTGCCAAATATCTGCCATTCAATTGTATGAAGGTCATGTGATCTTCAATATAAATCACGTGGTGTTAAAGGGTCCCTTCCCACCGCCTGCCAGTCATCCAATCAGCACGCGGATAATCCAACCACCTCCCATCGGATTCGACCGCATCGCCAGAACTCTCAATCCCCACAGCCAGCGCATCCAAGTCAAGCGCAGGGAAGCCCGCCGACCCTCTAAACCTCTCCGCCTCGTCTACTCCCTTCCGGAAACAACACCTGGCCATTACGCAAAATGCCGACCCCCGAATCCGCCGCTTTCCTGGCCAAGAAGCCCACTGTGCCCCCGACCTACGAGGGCGTCGACTTCGAGGACAACGTCGCGGTTCACAATGCCCGTGACGCCGTGATCCGTGAGCAGTGGGTGCGCAGCATGATGTCCCGTCTTGTTGGCGAGGAATTGGGCAAGTGCTACGCGCGCGAGGGTGTGAACCATTTGGAGAAGTGCGGTGTCTTGAGAGGTAATTCTCTCCGTTGTGCTGGCCTTTGTGGCGGCATTGCACGGTCAGCACTGTGATTGGGCTCAGGTTTTTATTCTGGGCCTCGATTCGTGCTGAATTGGCTCTGCTACAAGGTTCTTATCTCCGGGCGGGTTGCTAATGCTTTACAGAAAAATACTTCGAGCTTCTCGGCGAGCGCAAGATCAAGGGTTACCTCTTCCAGGAGAAGAACTCCTACGACGGAAACACCGCCAAGTCCTCTTAAATCTCTGCAACGAACGACTTTCGAATTGAAGCGGGTTGGGATTGATGAACTGGAACATCGGATCGGATACTTGGTTGCCATGGAAGTGAATCGACTCTGCCGTGGGTTGGGCGTTCTGAATAAAATTCTATGTGGAATCTACGGAATGGCCTCGGTCATATATCTGGTTTCGAAGCGGCTGCCATTGACCAAAAGCACCCCATCGAGAGCGCTTCTGCCTTACCTAGAAAAGAGACGCTGTGTGAGGATGCGGTCCCCTCTTGTACTGTACATATACGATATCATTGCCTGGTCAATTTCATCTTTTGAAAATTATTTGTTTGTTGCGTAAGGCATTCAGCATTTTTATGTGTCGAATTGCATGCTTCGCTTGGGTCAGTCAACACCGTAAAAGAGCCCATGCCATAGAGCTGTATCAAGTCTTTAACCAGCATCAAACCCCTTCCATTCACAAGCCAAAAGTCAAGTGTATGGATCCAGAATACAAGTCAAGGACCCCCAAGCTTTCCCCCTTCTCCCCATCATAACAGGTCCATCCTTGATATCACCCGATCTAAGAACTTCCATCCCAAGCCTCTTCTCATAAGCAATCTGGCTCATCTCCATCGAAGTTCTTAACATAGCCCAGCGCAGGTAGGGCATGTCATTCAACACTTCTCCAATACAGTCAATCACCCAGCCTCCGAGTTGAAGACCCTGGTATTCGGGTAGGACGTAGAGATCGGTGAAGTACGCGAAAGTCACACCGTCTCCGACCAGGCGAGCGAATCCAATTTGCTTGAGATCGCATCCTCTTATCTCTGTGATGGATGCGTTTTTGGTGACATTTTGTTTGCTGACGAGCTCGTAGAGGCCCAAGCAAAATGAGTTGTCAATGATATTTTTCAGCACATCTTCTGGGACAGGGTGAGTCCAGTAGATGATGTCGAGCCCGAATGCACTGTTGATTGATGGGATGGAAAGAAGCTTCTTATCTGTGGAGACGAGAAAGCCAGGCTTTTGCCATTGCCGGGGCTCCATTGCTGCCAGGGACATGTTTTCGAAGGTGCGCGTTCAATTTGAAAACAGCTTGTATCACTTTGAGTCTTTGAATTTCTATTTGCCGCGGAGTCATGTAGATATAGATTAACACTGGGCTACTGGCCACAATCTGAATACGATGACTCAACTTTAGACCAGTCTTGGCACGCTCAAAATAATACTATGCTTTCTTTCGGGCGAGAAGTTTTCATTCCATTGAGTCCTTATGATCGCCTTGGTTTTTGTTCTTAGGATCAGGTAGACTCAATCGTTCTTGAGTTTTGGTGTCGGAAATCGCCGATATCCAAGTCGTGGTTACATACAGCCTCTCGACCGAATTACAGAGTACTCAATATGGAAAGGAAGCAATGCTTGGCGCGGGGTACACAATCATTGTCAAACATCAACCTCGTATTCGTCACAGCGTGAGTATTCTTGTATTCATTATCGACATGCTATACAGGCCCGGTCCATGCGACGGTCTCGAGTAGCTGAGGTATATGCCGCAATATCTTCATTCTTCACGACTATAATATTTCGTTGTTTGGAAAACGATTCACAGCTTATCATTATCATGGCTGTATAATCTCTTTCCTTGCCATTGTAGCAGGGCAGTCGGGAAGAAGCTAGCGCCCATTATCAAAGCGGCAACGATGCCCGAACTGGCGGCGATACCCACGCTGTCGAACATGGAAGTGAACCTAAATTACATACGTTAGCAAGTATCTCCAGCCGCACAAGAGCACGTACCAGAAAGGCCCAATGAATCCCCAAGTTGACCGAACGAAATTGATAAACACGCCCACGCTACCCGCGTCCTGGGGATAAGTATCCACAGCGTAGGTAGTCAAGACAGTAGTCACAACCTGATTACCAAACGCAGCAATACCAGTTCCCACAACCGGCTTCACAGACCACTCCCCCTGTCTTGACTGCTCGGTACAAACCAAGAAAACAACCATACCTGCGATCGCCAGCAGGAAGCCAATATAGCTTAGCCACAGCCGGTATTCTGGTGCAGGCTTATGACCAATATTCTTGGCTCGAGCATTCATCCACATATCCGACATTATACCGCCCAATTGCTCGCCCAGAAGGGAACCGATGATTAAACCCAGGAATTGGAGACCGAGGCCCTGGGCAGAGAGCTCGAACTTGCTTTGGAGCAGCTGGGGCACTTCCACCGAGTTCAACACCGAGGCGAAGAGGAATACCATGGAATATGCGATGGCAGCTAGGAGAACTGGGATGTTGGTGAAGAGGGTCAAGGGGTGGTAGAACTCGGACACCTTAATTGGTGTGGGGTCGATTCGTCGAATGGATACATATTCTCGCTTGAAAGGTGACGAGTCTGATTGAACGTCGGCACCGATATAGCGAGTTTCGGGTCCAAAGAAGATATAGAGAATGAATTCCACAGCATTTGTCTTTTGGTTCAGTTAGCGACCTGTGGCCTGATTCAGATACGAGTCACATACAATGGCCAGAATCCAATAGATCCAACGATATCCGACGCGTTGAGCAACGAAGCCGAAGATAAATGGTCCAACTGGAACGCCCAGTGTCACCATCACGGTCCAAATACCCATATAGCGTGCTCGTTCGTGTCGGAAAAAAGTTTCGGTAACGACACCACTACCAATGGCCATGGCGGGAGAAATAAAGAATGCGACCAAGGCACGACACGCAGCCATGGAGGCATAGTCCGGGCTCTTGGCGCAACCAATGTTGCACACGCAGCTCAGGATTAGTGACAGAAGGAAGATTGGACGACGTCCGAAACGATGCGAGAGGGGCTTCCAGAACAACGGAGCACCACCCAAGATGGCAATTTGCAGGGAAGTCAAATAGCTGACGCGTTGTAGAGAGACGCCGACATCCAGGGAGATGTCTTCGTAGGCGCAGATGATTGCAGCGGCCGTGAAGGTGCCCATGCATGCGTGGAAGGCGACGAGGCCCAAATTGGCAGTTTTCTACATCCCACCTTAGAATTTTGCTTCTCGTCCATCATTTGTGCTCGCTATGTCAGTTTCTCACCTTCCATGTTGGCCAATTGTATGGATCCGCATGGTCCATACTGGGAATGGGATCGAGATCGAGGGTGCCATGGCGCTCGATCAGGTAGGACTTGTGCGACTCGGAGAGAAATCTGGCAGGATCAGGCGCGATCCCGAGATCCTTCTCTTCGACATAGTCAGAGTCGAATTGGTGGGGTTCTCCCCCGCGAAGGTCTTTCTCGGACGACGCCATGGTGCAAAGCGACAGCAGCGAGGATCTAGAACGGAACCGCAGGACGTGCAACAGCGAGATACACGACACATAAGGGGTCTGGAACCCCACGGTCTCCGTCGGGCTCGGTCATTTCCGGGGTATGGGGACCGTGAGTCAAGTGGATCGGGCTGGGGTGGCCGTGGAGATGCCGGGGTCGGGCTAGTTCAACGCTGTCACTGCCAGAGGACCACCGAGATCACGCGGCAGAGCTGTCAGTGGAGCATCCGATAGGGAAATCCGAAATTTGCCCTTGATGAGCACTGGAGAGGTCCCGGCCGGGAGTTCTGGGGGAGCGATTGCCGCGATGGAGACGATGGAGACGCGGATCCGCACTGGATTCGCGGGCAACCCGGTCGCCGATGCTGCGAATCGGCAAGTGATGTCCCGATGGGCGAGGCACCGGCCGAGATCCTCGCTCCAACACGCTGTCAGACATACAACTGCCGATGCGCGATTCCGATCAATGCTGGGCGACTCGGGCAGGCCGGCGTCGCAGTTGAGAAGGCCAAGTCGGCCAAGTCGGGTGGCGTGACCGAGGACACTCTATCACAACCTCCGGGCGACACTATTTTTCTCCATATACGATATGCTTCATTTGAGGTCTGTTTGGTGTGTGGTGGGCTGAATATCGTGATACATTCACCTAATCTAAACAATCACTGGGGCCTTTGTGTCATCCCCAGACATCGCGGGGAGCTCCGGGGCTCCACGCTACGAGCTCCACTCCAGCAAAGCCGTATCCACCCCAAACACGCATTTGCATTGGTAATCCCATGAATCAATTGAGACGCTAAGGCGGGCTAGAGCATGCCAGTCAGCCCTAGGCCAGGATTAAATGCTAACCCGAGGACCTCACGATAATACCGGTTCTGATTAGCTGCTGTGCGTCGCACACCATTGGAAATGTGAGATGACGATGTACAATATGATCTATATCAGAACACTTTGCAATCATGAATGTACACAAGGTATTTTACTAGCTCATCATATCACATGTGATGTCTCAAGATCATGGCGGTAGTCACTTTTGACTTATACTATTACAATGTGTATTGGAAGCACTAAGATAGCTTCATACCGGTACTGCGCACGGGGTAGCAGATTCATTATGCTTGGAATTATTAGCATCATAAAAATAAGTGCAAGCTGCAAAGTCGCAGTTATATCGGTCTTGCTGATGCTCCTGTCCTTCTTTATTCCCTCTTGGGGTACATTCCTCCACTAGATATCCGTGTCACCAGGAAGACCAGCAGACACCTTCTTCAGCTCCAGATCTTTCTTCAGCTCTTGAATTCGGCGGCTCATCTTCTGCCGCAGAATGTTATTCGTAACGCGCTCCCATTGTGCAGTTTCGGTACGGATGAGAGTTTCCAGTTCGAGGATTTCTTCGCGGTGTTGCTGCTGCTGGCGCTGTTGCTCGAGCTGCTCATCATCCAGGTCATCCTCGCCGTCACCACCCTCATCGGACATGTCACTATCATCGCCTGAGGAATCACCCGGTCCGGCCGGGGTGGATGGTTTGGCCGACGAGGTGGCCGTCTGGTCTGCGCCCCGAGCTTCCGTCGCCGCGGGTTGATCATCAGCTGCAAGAGCAGCCTCCATCTCTGCAGCCAGGTCGTCTTCGAACTCATCCATGAGTTCTTCCATTACCTCACCCTCCGCGTCTTGCTCTGCATCATAATCATCGACGAATTCCTCAGTCTTCACACATGATTCATCACGATTCAAGGACGCACTATCCACCAGCTCAAATCGCGGAGGGAAAACTGAGTTCGAGTCCTGTGCAACCAGATCCTCGACTGCCTTTTCCACCATTTCGATCGTGCGCGCACTCAACCGTTCGCGAAACCGGCGCTTGCGAACCCAGCGCAACGGAGGTGCCAGACCGTGTGGGTAAAGGAGCGTCTTAGGGTCCGGATGCTGTACTTCGGGGGGCAACGGATGGTTCATAGCCTCTTCCTCATTCGCAACGGGACCCAGAACCAACAGCATTTGAGAGATATCCGCGGTTTTATACCACCCTCGACGGTCCCAGCTCTTCATGCCTTCGATAATGCAAGGGAGGTCGACCATGGCCGCGGCATATTGCTGCTGGCGAATCTTGAAGATCGCTCGTCGTCCGTCGCGAGTCAAGGCCTTGAAGCAGAATTCCGACTTGTCAAATCTTCTCTCGTTGATGGCCTGTCGTAGGTATTCGCAGTCATCGCCGGGCATCATTCGTAGAATAAATTGCTCCTCGATAGCAGGATCCGCTTCCGTGTCTGAAGCTTCTGAGTCGTATCCCACGCCTACCGGTCGGGTGGGAACTGTGAGTTTGTTCTTGATGCGGATCGACTGGAGTCCTGGTTTCTTCGATGGGTTCAGCTTGAGTCGCTTCGGGCCCTCCGCTGCGGGTTCTGGCTGCGCGACATTCTCGGCGGATCGTTTCTTCGTTGATGCCTTCTTCTTCTTCGGTTTCTCCTTGTCTGCCGGGGATTCAGCCTGAGGCTTGCGGCCAAACTTGATCTTGAGCTTTTGTTGGGATGGTTCAACAGAAGCTGAAGCTGACGCTGGGGTTGGCGAAACGGTTGACTGGGCCGGGGGAGTTGCTGGGGTCGCCGACTTCGCGGAGAACTTGAGCTTCAGCGTCGGGCGCGGAGTCTCCGACATGATGGGAATTTGTCCAGGCAGCACTCGCGACCAGATTAGACGAATTTCTGGCTGTACACAGAAGTGAGGGGTGCGAGTGGGTGAGCGTGTGGTGTCGCAGGGTGGAAGGAGGTGGAATGGTTGGAGGTTGCGGCCGACCTAAATTCTCCGCCCGGCCGTCTTCTTCAGGTTCACTCATCCACATTCACTTTGCAACGTTCACCAGTTCGCACGTCCAACTTTTATTTCACTGACGGGGCTCTAGTGGCGTGTACTATTTATTCAGCATCGGCCCTGATATCTCACGTCTCTTCTGCTTCCCTCCGCTCCCCGTTGCCATGTCTGGTCACAACCTACACAATGCTCTCCTCCGGCCTCCAATCATCCAAATCCTTCGAGCGCAGGGCTTCCATTCCACACGTCCTTCAGTTCTCGAATCCATTACTGATCTAACGGCCCGATACATCATGCTTCTCGCCTCATCAGCTGCCGCGCACGCGGCCAACGCCCACCCCGAAGATCCCGTTCCGGAGCTCGAAGACATCTACCAAGCACTCCAGGATGCCGGCGCGTTACGACCACAACTACGAGAGTGGGAGGAGGATTGGGCCGGAGAAGAGGATCTGCGCGGCTTGGACTCTCTCCTTGGGTGGATCACCGGACCAACGCATCGCGAGATTCGTCGCATCGCCGGCTTCGTCCCCAGTGAAGGCGATATGGTGGATCCAGACGCGATCGAAAAGGAAGATTACCTAACGGCCTTGAAGAAAAAACACAGCAAGACGGGTGAGGAGACGCGCTACGCGGGCACAGTGCTAGGCAAGAGTGGCGAGCAGCACCCCATCGAGATCGCAGGTGGTTTCCCTAGCATTCGTGACTGGGCTGCGGATGCCCGCAATCGAAAGTCCGATCGCGCTGCAAGTGACAGCTCAGGCATCAGCAGCGCCCCCAGCCAACTCTCTGATGACGCGATGGAGAGTTGAACTGTCTCGAGTCCCTATTTTCCGCCACCTCCAACTGTGATCCTTCGACTATGATACCCCCCAATGGCGTTCAATTCATGTTTCGTCACCTCCACTCTCTTTGCGACACACTAGTGTGAGTAGTACGCATCGAATACAATGCAAATGAAAGTGAAGCTGTATACCATTTTCTCGCATATGATGCTCGTTGTGTCTATTTTACCCTAAGTTACGAACAAATTATAGAGTGAAAAGTGAGGGTTAGGTGACTTGTATGGCGATTAGGCCTCCCTTGCAAGTCTTCAAATGAGCAGAGGGACACTCTTGCACCTAGTTCCCAACAACGCGATCTCCCGTTGCTTCTTTAACAGCCTCCTCAACATCAACATTTTCATTCTGTTTCAGCTTGCGCTGCCGAACGGCCTCCCTCTCGGCCACCTCATAGTCCGGTTGCGCGGGACTCTGTCCGACTCTTTCACCCAGCAATCGATCGTGCTGCTCCCGCTTGCGATCCATGTGCGCCGCAAGATCATCTTCCTGTCCGTACCCTGAGTATCCTGGACCTGCCGCGCTACCGACAGGCCCGGCATGTGCACCAGCTTGCGCGCGGTGACGTCCCATTCCTTTCCGCCCGACTGCTTCCGCAATGTCTCCCTCTGATGGTTGCTGCTCTACTCCATATTCGAGATCAACGTCGGGAGCATTTTGCATTTCCCGCCTTTCCTGCTCGTGCTCTTTCGCAAGATGGGCTCGAGCTTCGTCGCTGGATGGCTTTGACTGAGCACTTCTCTTGATCGACGGGGTAGCGTCTCCGTAATGGCGGACTTGCTGTTGTGGAGCGCGCTGCTCCTGTGGAGTGTGCGATACGGGATTTGAAGCTTGGGCATACGCTTCTTGCTTCGGAGGTTGGGCTGGCTGAGCAGCACGGTGACGAGTCTCCATTTTCGATCGATGGGTATTCCCGGGTGTTTGGAATGCAAATGAGTAAGGTGTTGGAATTATGACTAGTGAAAATGGAATGATTGAAGAGAGGAAAGCAAGATATCGCGGACGATGTCATCGGCGCGAGTTATACTTTTGCTGACCGCATGACGTCAGTGTTCTACAACCGGCTTGCAATCATGGCCAGCATTCTCGAATTTACAATGAAACACTCTTCCTAAACTAGTTCGCAAAAGACAATCAAATATTCAAATGATCTCAAATGAGTGGAGTTGTGTTAATGGGGCGGTCAACTAGGACCACTCATATCAAGCAGAAGCATCGCCCAGAGCTGATTGTTCCTTGAAGTGCTCCAGCAAGATGGAATTCACTTCATCTCGCGCTTCCAGCTGCAGCCAGTGACCTGGGGTGCTGACATGCTTCACCGTAAGACTATCTGCGATATCGCTTGACAGGTTCGCAGCTGCCGAGAATTGGCCGGCGATAGCAGCTGGGAATACCGCAAGAACGGGGCATGCTATTTTTGCAGATAAGCCAGCTTCAACCTCATCTTGCTCGTTCAAGTTCCATACCAATGCACGATACCAGTTTAATGCAGGCGCATGCTGACCAGTCATGATTTGTTGATGAGTGAATTGTTCGTCCCTTGTGATGTAGGATGCCATCTCGCCGTGACGATCTGCCCGGAGCCATTCTTCTAGAGCCCCGTGAGGCCCGACATGATCTATCCAGATATTCGGGTCTTGTGGATAGAAGAGAGTGAAAAATGATTCGCTCTATTGAGAACCTCGGTTTAGAAAAGGACTTTATGAGGGTATGGCAAACCGTGACTTACATGTTGATCAAGCAATGCCCCTGCCACGTCACTGACAAAGAAACCAAGATAACCAAAACGCTCCTTCCCAAGAAGCTGCTTCGTCATCGCATTCACGGCTTTGAGATCGAAATGCTCCCCGGGCTTGGAGTATGGCACTGCTAAGAATGTGCACGACAGAAGCCTTTCAGGATAGTAATTCGCGAACCTCGAAAGCAGAATACTTCCAGTGTCGTGAGACACAGCATGAACACGTTGGATCTTCTCGTTATCCAAGATCTCTGCTATTTCTGCCACCATTTGCTTGGCCTTGTACGCCGTCGCGTCCGTTGGCTTGCTGGTGCCGCCGTAGCCAAGTAAATCGGGCGCTAAAATCCCGTAGCCGGCTGTCGAAAAGAAACGTATCTGATGGCGCCAGTCATAGCAGGAAGATGGGAAGCCATGCAATAGCAATATTGTTGGATGTGAGGGCCTCGTGGGTGGGATAATGACATAGCTGTATGTGTGGGTTGTCAAAAGTGTGAGACGCTTAGCATGCTTCGGAAAAGCGATGTTCGCCATGACTTATAGACTTGAGTTTTGAGGTCTTCGATGTTCTCAACTTTCTTGTATGTTGGAAGGAGGAACGGAAGCCATGATGTACATATAGCGGGAAGCCCGGCGACTTTCTCGGAGACTTTTTTCTCTTCAACAGCCTCAAGATTCTTGTCCCATAGCGATTCAATCCGATGAAAGGTGGCCGAACAAGACCCTAACCAAACCGCAAAGCACTTAACTGATTTTCCTTTTCAGATTCAAGGGAACTAAACCATAACGGGGACTGATGAACACTCCTGAATATATGTCCCCCTCCCTGACATTTGAGTATTCACTAGCGCACCAGCGTACGCTGTGGCTGATGGCTACAATAATTGATCGCTGGATAGTCCAAGTGTCAAAATTCTCTCATCCCATTTCGATAAAGAACGCATGCGTCCGATGTCGGAATTCAATTTTAATATACATTAGATGAACAAGGAGGCGGCGTTGAATGCAAGATATATAGGGCAGAGAAGGGCGAGGTTGGGCCTTTTACCTAGAAGGCGACCGAGAGGACATACTATATAACTCATCTCTTCCACTGTCCAGCTTGACGATTCTTCCATTCTCCACTGCCATAGACAAGCATGGAACTACCCCCAGACCCTCGACTCAAATAGCCGTCCACATATAGCCGCGAGCCAAAGATTGCCGCCGTGACGGGCCTTTACGAATCTCTTTTACCACTCTCTGGAACGTTGCATGTGACTATGTGAACAATGACCCTCGCAAATATCGGCCTCTTGTGCTCTATGATTTTGAGACGACCCCGTGGGTGATCAGCTCACAAGTTCTGGGCGATATGGCAAATCACTCATATTTGATACATCAAACGGTACCAAACCACGTTCGCTCCATGAAGTACTTTTGATTGTCGGTTTCTAAACTACATTCCAGGTACGGCAACTGAACACGACCTGAATGTAGGGACATATGAGCCGGATTACGCTAAAGATGGTCCGCTGTATTGGCATGTAGAATGCCAGGACGAGACTGAGCCACTGGTTGCGCACTTGGATTTCTTCAAGCAGAGGTTTCAGGATTTCAATTGGATCCAGCATGTTCAGAAGTGGGACCGAAACGAAAAATCTTCGAATGGGACGAGAATCAAATCACACGGGGATGGAGAGGGCAAGGTAGTTCATCTTCTGGACCCTTTGTCTGCAAACTCGGTGTCACATTCGCTTTGGTCTAATGCGATCGATATATGATGCGCAAAATTTACCTCAACATGGGTGGCCGGAATCATTTGACCGAGGCCCGTACTAGGAAGGGTTGGAGAGGCTTTACCGCAATAGGGACAGACGATAGGCCTTGATTACAGGGAGTTAAAATCGATTTCAGTTGAAGTCTCTGTCTAACGTTAGGCAAATTCAGTGCAATACCGACTACGAGAATCAGACAGGCCAGAACGCCAGAGTATAAATTTTGAGCCTAAGATAGTTCTCTAGGCCTAAGTCTACTAAGGAAGATGCGCACTATCGAATTTACTTATTCGCTCACTTGTTGTAACATCATCTGTAGCAGAAGCTGATACAGACATTATTGAGGCCACGCCGGGTACAGGAATCGAGGTGGGAGGGCGCAGAACCCTCAGATTAGGCTCGACCTGTTCAAGCTCGGCAGGCTCTTGTCCACAGTCATTTTCATATCGAATCAATCCAAAATCATTGAAATCCAATATTAGAGATATGAGGGTTTTGATAATTCTTGAATCTTTTTCGAGAATGCCTCCTAGTAATAAGACATGTGATGCCCCCCCCGAGTATGTACCCCAGACTCCAGCGATTCTATACAAAATAGTTTCAACCATCGCGATCGGATTACATCAGCATTTTGACATGTGATGCCGCGGAGGTCTGATTACAATTCGAACTTCCGAGTGACCGAACGCCTTTGGGCGTGATGGCTCCTCGGGTTCTTCAAAACTACTTTTCTCCGAAAGGCTGAACCTGGATCTCCGAACACTCTTCAAATCACCATGGTCACCCTCTTCACCATCCCGATCGCCTCGACCGGCGGCTCCATCGTGTGCACCAATCCTACCGCCCAGGGCCAGGACAAGCAGCATGTCTACCTGCTCACATTTACCTCGCCAAAGGATAATCGGCTAACCCCGGCATTCATCGACGCGATGATCCTTGCGCTCGACATCATCGAGCATCGCTATCCGAAGGGCGTTGTAATCACAACCAGTGGCATCCAGAAGTTCTACAGCAATGGCCTGGATCTGGAAGTTGCAACCAGCACCGAGGGATTCCTCGACAAGTGGCTCTGGCAGCTGTTCAGGCGGTTTTTAACGTATGTTGCAATGTTTGATGATCGGAGGAACACAAGGAATTCCGGCGCTGACACTGTGCTTTAGCTTCCCCATGCCTACGATCTGTCTACTGAACGGGCATGCTTTCGCGGGCGGATTCATGCTCGCCATGTACCACGATTATCGAGTACAGAACCCATCGAAGGGCTTCCTCTGTATCAACGAACTCGAGTTTGGGGTGCCGCTCCAAACGCCGATGATGAGCATTTTCCGTGAGAAGTTGGTCCCAACCACCTTCCGGAATGTGGTTCTCGAAGCCCGTCGATTTGGCGGAAAGGACTCCTTGCAAGCCGGAATTGTCGATGCTCTTGGCGGACTGGAGGAGACTCTTGCCCTAATCCGCGACCGTAAACTGCTCAACAAGGCCGACACGGGTATCTATGGAACAATGAAAGATGAAATGTACTCCCGCGTATTGAATGGCATTGACGATCATTCTGGGAATTTGGCATGGCGGGATCGAGTTGAAGACAGGAAGGCAAACCTGCAACACCACGGCCTGCAGGCCGTGGAGCAATGGGAGAAGAATAACAAGGCAAAGCTATAGCGCTTGTCTAAACGGATATATACTGCGGGGGCATTGTATGTCATGCAGTGTGTAGTATGTACATACACTTTGATTTTCACGAGCGGGTACCTTAGGGTAGTGAATACCTTAGGGTAGCCATAACTACAAATCAGTGAAGCTTAGAATCGACGCAAACTTCAAAATTTACTCCTTTCCATTACTTAATGACCTGACGCGGACTCGATTGAAACAGAATTACCAGGCTAGTTGGCCTTGAAGGTCTGGAATGTCGTGGTGACCACGATACTTGATACAAGAAGGCACAACAACTGTCAAATTCCCACCCTACATTGTATCTTCACCCGAGCACAATCTCAAAAATTAAGCAGTCCTCCTTCCAAGATTCTCTCTTTCTATACCTTTTTTTTCATTTTCCACACAAAAGTGATTAAAAGATCCTTCAGATGCGCATTGCCACTCTTCGTTAAATGCGCGTTTTGTAGCTTCCGAGGGTTTGTGGGTTCCAATGCCTGGGCAGGAGGCATTCAGTGCACCATTCTGGATAGTTGGCAAGCAAGTGAGACCTTTCCTCAAATCCGAAATTCTTTCCGACAAAAAACATTATTTGTAGTATACCCACACAAGGATGGAAATGTTGGCTTGTCAGACATTGAACTATTTCACCACAGGACAAGGTTCGTCAATTGCATGCAAGGTCCATCGCAAGCTCACCGCCCCTGCCTTTCTATTTCATACTTTCTGCTAGAATACTTTCACAAATTCCGTCTTCCAAGGCAAACCAAGCTTAGCAAGTGTATTTGAGTTACTCAGGGAAGTGCCAAGACTTTGGAGAATCATCTTCACACTACGAGCCCGAAACTGCGGTCCAAACTCAGTAGTCGAACTACATCGCATCACACATTATCTCAAATGCTAGATAACACGTAAAGATATAACGAGATATCTCTTCTTTTCAACCCGACCGAGATTCGACGGCTCTATCTCTCATCCTGCCCTACGCAGAAAAGGTCAAAGTTTTGGGACACTGTGAAGTGCCATCTTCCATTGCTAACAGCGAAAACCAGACCGAAACATCCCGCCGTATTTTACCTGGAATTCTACATCTTGTTGCAAGCTTCCTGCCTACGGTCGACGTTCTGAATCTCCGAAAAGCCTCTCGCACGGCATATGTGGCCACAACTGTGATTGTTGACTCCCAGTGGTTTTGGGAGAGTCAATTTTTCCTAAGAAGGGAATTAGAATACCTCAAAGATATTGTTGAAGCTTAGGCTAGCATTGATACATGGCAGTCAGTGGACTGTAGAGCAATAGTCCTTCCGGAAGGCTCTCTTAGAATGGAATTTCCCATTCAGCATGAAGACACCACGGTTCCCTGGGCGCTCTGGGAAATATTTCAAAGAAACCCTCATACCAATATACGTCCAGAGACAAAGTGGAAAAAGCTCCAAGCGCTCCATCACCTGAAGAGGTACTGGGAAGCAATGAAATGGTTCAGGGACCTGTGCGTCATAAACTCGATTCTCACGAGCGCGCTTTATCTCAGAGATTGCCTTGGACAAAGGTGAAGAGCGGCGGTGATATTAGAAAGCGGGAAGTGAAGCTGCGGCAAACCATTATTATTCGTCCATCAATATGCAAATTGCAGATCTCAGTTCTTGATCTCAGCTATGAAGTCTTGATCGCGGGAATTGACTTCGTCTAGAGAAAAACATTCCGAATTAAATTCTGGGCTACACAGTCACTGCGAGGATTCGAGGTCTCGACGAGCGATTTCGGGATTGTCGCACTACGAGTGTTTACAAGTCAACGCTGAGGAAGGCACACGCAAGAAAAGCCCTCGAGATGGATTAGGAAGCCCAATTCCAAAAATGTCACCAGACTGGGCTTTGGGGGAGAGACATGTGCATTATACGGAAGGTTTGAAATGTTCAAGTGATCTATGCCCTCGTGCAACTCTCTACGCTTGATAATCGGACTATCGTACGACTGCATTACAGAATGAGAGAATTTTCAGTGGGGGTAATTGACGATACGCTCTCATTCAAATGGGCAAGCATATTTCTTATTTTTTGCTAGATTGAAAATAGATCTACCTAGCTTTCAAAGATGACGGAGTGGCAACCAAGTCGAATCAATGACAGTATTGGCTTTTGGCCTAAAGGCAAAACAAACCCATATCCCGATTCTGTAGGCTCCCACGTCGTTCGTAATATGTCCACTCACACATTCCCAGAGCCTATGGCCACGCCCCACGCGATATGCCATGTCGTGTCACCTTGATAGTAGTTGGTCACAGATATTCCTTTGCGGACCAAGGGCTTTGGGCAAAATCTTCAAGCCTGTCTTCAACAGGGTCCCTTACCATGAAGTTAAAAATTCGACGTTCGGAGAACGCGCATGACTGACTTCAAAAGCGGAGTCTCCGAGTCAACATAAAAGACCTCCCGCCAGGATTCTCCACTAGGATCATAGTTGTTCATTTAGCAGATGTGGCAAAGTGCAAAGTTATAAATAATTGGGTCTCCTCAGGGTTCTGGGACTTGAGTATCAAAGGAAAAACTTCGGCTGACAAGTTAGCTGGGCAGCCTCAAAAGGTTCGGTTTGTCATTTCGAAATGAATCTCGCCAATGAGGAAAGTTCCAAGACTGACATTGTTCATCAGAAATCACTTTGACAGTTCATCTAAGATCATGAGGCCGGAATACCTTTGGGTGTTAATTGGTTTAGGAGCCGGCATACTTGCCGCCCCTATAGCTCATGGAGCAGGTGAGTGATATTTTCTCCATGTGCCGGCGGCCTATGTATCTCACATCTCTCATGATAGATTCTCATGGGAGCCAATGCCCGAGCTGCGTAGCCGGCGGAGGCTTTGGTGCTGGATTCGGTGCTGGCTTCGGCGGAGGCTTCGGTGCCGGTACCGGTGGAGCGCACGCTTCAAGTGAGGATGGTGACGGAGACAAAAAGGGAAAAGGAGAAGAAGGTGGTGAAAGTGGAGGAGGTGCTGGCAAAGGAGGAGGAGGTGCTGGCAAAGGAGGTGGAGGTGCTGGCAAAGGAGGTGGTGCAGGCCTCGGCCTAGGTGGTTCTGGCAAAGGAGGTGGTGCCGGTGGTGCTGGTGCTGGAGGCGCTGGGGGGGCGGGCTTGGGCGGTGCAGGTGGCGGTGGTGCGGGCTCTGGAGGAGCCGGATCCCAAGGCATTGGTTCTAATGGAGGTGCTGGGGGTGCTGGAGGTGGTGGCCAAGGTGGTCAAGGTGGTGGCCAAGGTGGTCAAGGTGGTGGCCAAGGTGGTGGAGGTGGTGGTCAAGGTGGACAAGGAGCCCAAGGTGGTCAGGGAGGTCAAAGTGGCCAGGGTGGTCAGCAACAAGGTGCTGGAGGTGGTGGCCAAGGTGGTCAGGGAGGTCAAGGTGGCCAGGGTGGTCAACAAGGTGGCTCTGGTCTCGGCGGCGGATCTGATATCCTAGGGGGCCTGCTAGGCGGTGCTAACCAAGGAGGCGGCTCTGGTACTGGAGGGAGCTTTGGAGGCAACGGCCAAGAGGGGCAGAAAGGTGGACAAAGTGGTGGAGGAAAAGGTGGTCAAAGTGGTGAAGGAGGTGGTGGTGGCCGAGGAGGGGGTGGAGGTGGAGGTGCAGGCCAAGGTGGAGGAGGTGGAGATGGTTATGGTGGAAGAGGAGGCGGCGGTGGCAGTGGAAGTGGAGGAGGTGGTGGTGGTGGAAAAGGAGGAGGAGGTAGAGGGGGTGGTGGTGGTGAAGGACATGGAGGCGGCGGCGGCAGCGGCGGCGGTGGTGGTGCAGGAGGTGGTTTTGGAGCTGGCTTCGGGGCTGGAGGTGGTGCAGGGTTTGGTGCAGGCAGGGGAAGATAGTCAAATGATGGAGAGACCGAACAGGACGTCTGTTTGTCATGAAAGAACGGGGAATAATTGGATCCGATATCTCAGGTCAGGACAAGAGAATTGTAGGAATGGAAACAATATCGGTCTTCCGGGCATCTCTAAAAATTTGTTCTGTCATGATAAGGGTAATAATAGAATACATAACATCATAAGGCATTCCACGAAGTCTGGATACCATGCTCATAAACACACCCATCAAGGGTTCACATTTTCTTGGTCATGTCGATCCGGTCAACAAGCGGGCGATAGGGCGAGGCCACCGCATACTCTGGCGGAAGCTCTCCACGTTTGAGATCTCCGGAACTCGGTCGACGGAGTTGTTCTTCATGCATACGGTCCAACGACTCTCCCACTACATGGTACTTGGACCAATTGATAGGCGGCATCCGTACCACATTCTGGGGCTTTGGCATGCGGCCGAACGGTGATGAGTCTGATTCTTTGCGGCCGTTCGACTCTTTGCCATCTTCATTTTCTTCGTCGTCGTCATCCACGTCCTCGTCGTCGTCTGCCGTAAACTGAAACACCGTCCCATCGTCCTTTGGGCGCAGCCGGCCGGCCGCAAGTTCGCGCGCAAAACCCTCCGGATCGGCACCGGCGGCCTCCTTCATGCGCTCGAGACTGTGAATATCGCGTAGACTCTGCTGCTTCTGCACTTGCAGAATAGAGATCGCCGAGCGCAGGGCGATAGCATCGGGGTTATCGCTTTCGGAGATTGGGACGGGTGGCGGTTCTGGTTTGAAGACAGCTGGAATGGCAGGCGGGCGCGGTGCTTCATAGGCGAACGTCTCTGCAACACGCGACGTGGGTGATGGCGACAGCGGGGGTGGTACAATTGTCGCATTGCCCGCGGCGACCGGGTCGAGGTGGGCAAACGTCGGCGTCACTGGGGAATACGGCGGGCGCGGTGGTGTGCCTGGCCGATCATCTTCGGTCGCAACGCCATTAGGAGGCTGCGAGGCCACCGGAAGAAAACTGCGCTGGTGCGCCATGGTGGAAAGTCGTCTTCCGGCCAGCAGAAGGGGTTGGGAAGAGAAAGAAAAGTCGGGCCGGGGCAGAAGAGGAGAGTCGAAGGCCGCCGAAAGTCGAAGTGACTGGTGGTTGGTCGTGGTTCGGGCCCGCCGTGACGCACGAGGCTCTGCGGAAGTATGGATGGTCACCCCTCGCCAGGGCACCGTGGCGGTTTTTATACAGTGACTTTGGCAGACAGCATTGTACAAATCGTGATCAGTCACCGAAATACCCTATCTGGCATATTAAATCCAATCTTTACAGGCAGCATTGTGCCGATATTGACTCCACGCCAGAACGAGTGCAGGGCGATGGCCAAGTGAATGGCCGCCGCCGCTGACCGCCCAGCGCAGCCGCTCACCGCCTCGAAAATTTATCTGATCAGACGATTGTCAGCCCACTCTCTCGCCGTTCGCATACGCAAAGATGAAGCGCAAGACCGATGAGAGACCGTCTCTGGACGGCAACGGCCTGCCCGAAACCAAGAAGCGTGCGCTTTCCAGCGAGGAGGCCGTGGCGCGTTTCCGTGACGGCCTGTTCGACGCCGCGGAGCAGAAGAAGTACACCGATGCCTACGCCAAGTCAAGCCCGTATGTTCTACACTAGCAAATCTTGGATCAATTGCATCGCAGCTGACTCAATCTTACTTGCAGGTACTACCATGGCGTAATCCACCCCTTGATCGAACCGTCTCTCCTCCGTTCCGTCCGTGATGAAATCCAAGAGCATCTGTCCTTCACCGAGAAGGAGACCGACATCTATAAGATCTTCCAGTCTGGAGACCTGGCAAACCTGGATGGTCTGGACGACTCCTCCCTCTCGAAGTTGCCGTCTATTTTGAAGCTTCGCGACGCCATGTACTCGGCCCGCTTCCGCGAGTACTTGTCTGCCGTGACTGGCTCCGGAAAGCTGAGCGGCCAGAAGACCGACATGGCCATTAACGTATACAACGAGGGATGCCACCTCTTGTGCCACGATGATGTGATTGGCAGCCGTCGTGTCAGCTACATTCTCTACCTAACCGACCCCGACATCCCGTGGCAGGAACAGTGGGGTGGTGCGTTGCGCCTATACCCGACCACTACGGAGAAGGATGCCCAGGGCGAGGATGTGAAGATCCCCAGCCCAGACTTCAGTCTCTCCATTCCCCCGGCCTTCAACCAACTGAGTTTCTTCACCGTTCAACCGGGTGAGAGTTTCCACGACGTCGAGGAGGTCTACCACCCCGGCGCGAACGACGACAAGTCGAAGAAGCGCGTGCGCATGGCCATCAGCGGCTGGTTTCACATTCCCCAGGAGGGCGAAGACGGTTACGAGGAGGGATTGGAGGAGAAGCTGGCCGAGCGCAGCAGTTTAGCTCAACTTCAGGGCCGAGGCGACATCTACGATCTTCCGCAGCCCAAGCCGGTTTCCTGGGAAGAGCCCGAGGTCGAGGGTAAGGGCAAAGCCAAGGTTGAGGAGCACGCCGAGGGCAATGACTTCACTGCGTCCGATCTGGAGTTCCTTGTGCAGTATCTTGCACCCTCTTACCTGACCCCCGATATCGCGGAGGAGATGTCGGATGCCTTCTCCAGCGAGTCCTCCCTCAGCCTGGAGCGGTTCCTCAACGAGAAGTTTGCTTCCCGTGTCAGCGCATTCATCGAGGACCAAGAAAAACAATCACTCCCCGCCTCCTCCGAAGAGATCAAGTCTCAGACTGGCTGGACGGTGGCCCGCCCCCCTCACAAGCACCGCTACATGTACCAGCAACCCGAGTCGGGTGCCACCGAGAACCCTATCCAAGAACTGCTGAATGTGCTCTTCCCTTCTCAGGCCTTCCGCAAATGGCTGTCCCTCATCACTGGTGTCGACCACCTCAAGAGCCACAATCTGCTTGCCCGCCGCTTCCGTCGTGGTGCTGACTATACCCTTGCCAGTGGATATGATGGCGAGGAGCCACGATTGGAGTTTACACTCTGCCTTACCCCCTCCACGGGCTGGGAGAAGCAGGAGGATGAGGAGGAAGAGGCCGAAAATGGCGAGAACGGCGAGGTTCAGTCCAAGCCCAAGGAGAAGCCAAGCGGCGATGCGGAAGAGCCAATTGCTCTCGGTGGATATGAGATCTATATGGCCGGGGATGAGGACGAGGAGGAAGAAGAGGATGAGGATAATGCCGATCAGGTGCTCCGACCTAAGGAGAAGAAGAAGGCCGACCCCGCGATCTACCGCTCTGCCGGTGCAGACGAGGACGACGGAATCCTGTTCAGCACTCAGGCTGGATGGAACCGTCTTAGCATTGTGCTGCGCGACAGCGGTACCTTGAAGTTCGTCAAGTATGTCAGCGCGGCGGCCAAGGGTGACCGGTGGGATATCACTGGTGACATTGGGGTCGAGTTCGAAGACGACGACGATGACCATGATGAAAACATGGATGACGACGAAGGCGAAGATGAAGAAGAAGAAGAAGAAGATGGTGATGATGATGATGATGATGACGAGTAGATTCCCACATTGGCGATATTAGCATGGTTTAGCCAAAAGTTTGCAAATATATTCAACCTTTATTCCCGTCTATGCATACTTGATCAACACATAAAAAGCCTATATATCAATATTGGTCGAATACGCGATCTCCTTCATCTGCAGCAAATTCTCCTGCAGAGAATCACACTTGGCCTGGAAGCGATCATAACAATCCGGGCCAAGCGGCAGTCGAAGCAGGTTCTCTTTCCCGACACCCATCCCCGTTCCACTCACAACCTCGAGGATCCTGGCTGCAGCCTTGACAGGGTCCCCTTGCTGGTTCCCATTACTAGCCCTGAAGGCATGGAGCATTCCCTCGATTGATGTTCCCTCATAGTCTTCAGTCATCCCAGCTTCGGGTGTAACAAAGGCCGACAAGAAGTTCGTCCGGAAAATGCCCGGCTCTGCGATCAGAACTCGAATTCCAAAGGGTTGCAGTTCCCCGGCCAAACTCTCCGACATGCCTAGGTGGGATTAGCCATAAAAGCCGAATATTTTGAAAGCAGTGCCTCACCTTCTAGTGCAAACTTCGACCCGGCATACATCGCACATCCCGGAAAAGCGTCAAACCCAGCACTGCTACTAACATTGACAACCGTCCCAGACCTCTGCTTTCGCATAAAAGGCAATGCTCCCTTCAACACGCGAATCGGGCCGAATAGGTTCGTACTAAATTGCGCCTCAATCTCGGCCTCGCTCATATCCTCGATGCTGCCTAGAAGAGAGTACCCAGCATTATTGACAAGGACATCGATTGAGCCGCCATTTTCGCGGATTGCACGTTCCACGTAACGTGTCGTTTCTGGTTGTGTCACATCCAGGCTGATCCAGATGCCTCCCAGTTCTGCGATTAGCGGATTCGCTGCTGCGGCTTTGGCTGGGTTCCGGGCTGTTGCGAGAACTTTGTGTCCAGCTCGTAGGGCTGACTCGGTGATGGCTGTGCCCAGCCCCGATGAGGCGCCGGTTACAAGCCATGTTTTGTGCGACATGCTGGCTTCTGGATGTGTTCGATGTGAGGTGTGGTTTGAAATGTTCTGGGTTGAACCAGGTGTGGATTTATGGGCAGTTGCGGCATTTTTGATTAGAGACCAGGGTCTTTAGTTTTCCACCCTGATATAGTCGATCGTCACGTTACAGAGCTGCATAGAGAAATAGATTGCGAGAGCGGGGTACTCAGCCCCATTGACCTTGCTGGTTCTAGAATCGTGCAACTCGAAGTGGAATCACTTGTCTAGATCGGAGTTAAGCCGGAGTTTACCACAACGCCCCCGCTAAAGGAGCGATTGGCGACAATGAAAGAGTCGTATTTGATGAACTAATGGTGGCAAGAGAGATCACGAAGGCGCGCCCGAACATAGTACGAATACTACTATCCCTTATACTCGTCATGAGATATGCGGCAGTACGGCCGTCCAACTAATACTCTCGTACCCATCCTTCGGCAGAAGTCGCAGACTAGCCAGCGATACCACCACGAAAATACACCGGGCCAAGGTGTATGCAATTAGTATCGTGAAGAAGATCGAAGGTAATAATATCAAGATCCCCATCTCGGAGCGCAAACAGAATCCGTCGGTTGGAGCGGACGCCCATCCACCATAAACCCAGAGAGCCCCCTCAGAGCGGGACGGTGATGAGGCACAAGGCAGACATCCGCCCGAGCCATTTCTCAACGGCTGTTGGGAAGAATGTTCCAGGCTGCGAGGAGACAATCCGACGTACAGGAGATCGAATAAGACGTGGAGCCGTGCTCTCGGAGAACGTCGGGCGGTTGCTTTCGTTCATGAAGAGATCTAAATGCATCACACCCCTTGCCCTCCAAAAAATGCAAAGGCCGTGGCGAACCTTGTAGGCTATGCCGTGTAGAATAATTTTTTTTTTTTTTCAATAGCCCATCCAATTCCAGGTCCTCGATATTGAATACGTCGTATTGGTCAAGTAGATCGGGTAGAGAGATTGATACCGGTAGCCGAGGCGATGGAGCATCTTTTCTCTTGCCCCTAGAAGCGAGAATGACGCGCTTTTTCCAGTATTCCATTCGTTGAATGCGGTAGTGTTCGCATTGCTTGATGTGCAAGTCATGATTGACTGATCGAGTAGAAATTGAAAATGGCGCCGATCGACTCGACATCCGGGCCAGATACCTCGATAAACTGGGTCAGGTTGTAAGGTTTGTGAAACCAAATGGTGTAGAGTATGATCGTGCACCCGACATGAATTGTCGTGTGGGTTTCGAGAGGAGTAATCGAAACACCCTCGACAAGTCGCGCGACGACCTGTAGAGCGAACCACAAGATCTGAAACAGAACCAGCACTTTCATCACCCTCGCTAGTTTTGACGGTGGGCAAATAGCCTGTTTTGGCAAGAATGGTGATACCTTCAGACCCGACTAGGCGGAGGATCTTTTGCTCTTCGCCGTTTTGATCGATATACATATTGTCATGGCGAATCCGCCCATGAGGGCAAACGTGGCTTGTTCTAATGACCCATTTGCCTTTGTTGGTTCCCTCACTCGCTTTGCGAAGTAGTGGCCGGATACTCGCAGGAACACTGGAGGGATTACTAGAAGTACGACTCAACTGGTCCGATTCAAAGCTTGTGGGAGAGAACTGAAGCGCCTGGAGGTAGATCAGCCAAGTGTCACAGGTAGACTGAGGAATTGCATACTGCGCGGCCAGCCTGATTCACTTCAGTCATCAACCGTCGCGCGAACAGCAACTGATTCAAGCTTCTGAAATGATGGTCTCAGGAAAGATAATGGTGAGCGCCATCAATCCAATGCGGTGCCAAACGGCATTTCGTAGGCGGTATATGAGAGGTACAATAGGGTATACCGCAGTCCAGACACATAACCCCAATGTCGAAAGACATGACCAGAGGATATCAGTCGAGCCTCACTCGGAGGGCTGGACGTCCCAGGCTGGTGTTCTTGAAACATGCTATCAGGCGGACCTTGATCGAGGCATATTGCTGGCACGACGGGGTGGAAGATAAGTAAATCTTCATAAGTCTCGATCGCACTTACGCAAGCCACATGGATGGCCTGGTTGGTTGGGAAAGAGCGAGCGTTCAAGTTTTGGTTGGACAAGGAATCTAGTTTCGTTGCTCGTGACCTCACAGTGCTGTTGTCATACCTATTAAAACCGGCGGCGCACCGCGCTGGTAGTTCCGCCTTTCTTGGGTAAGACTTTACTTTTTTCGAACATCAGCCACCTCTGCTTACAATTTTTGGCTTCTAACTTGATTTTCAATCTGTTATGGACATCGTCAATGCTATACCGACCAGACTCACGGTGGACGTGGATCTACTTCCTGTCCAACCTCTTCATGTCACTTCAGGCACTCGCGATGGATGGGTGATTCCGGACAAATTGCAGTCACGAACAGTCTTAACTTTGCCGGTAGGGCTGTTCTCGAGATAATTTCGATCAAACCCGAACTGCACTGGATCGACGGCAACTCCATGTCTTTGCCGCTTGAAGTGAGAATGTCTATTGTTATGCTCTTAATATCATGTATCTATCGACAAGTGATTGTCTATCACACATTAGTCCAGCAGAACATTGTTCAGGCCATTGAGCTGAGCATCTACTTCGCAGTATATAGATTATATGCTGGACTGCAATACTCCACCGTCACTTGAATCCGGTTAACGACCCCGTTAGGCTTAGTAAATTGAAAACAGATTCACTACGTATAGAGGAGCAGCAGCAAATGTTCATTGATATTGTACAACTTGTTGATTTAGTATAAACTGCGAAGAATCGTAAATTTCGTAAATTCAAGCGCTTCAGTCAAAGATAAGAATACAACGTACTGAAGAATCTGCTTGCACAGACAATCATTGTGTTAGAATCATAAAATAAAATAAAAAAAGATAAAAAAACTTATGCAAGCAGTATAGGAAAATTGGGGTGTGGCTGGCGAATTTGAGAATTTGATCATGTGACTACAGTGGCATTGTGATACGTTATCGCTTCCGCTTCAGGTACCGCACCACAGCACGGGGAAGCCACGTGACATTATGTTTGTAAATCACATAATTTAGAACGAGCAAGGAAACACGTGAGGGCGACAACTCTGTGAAGAGAAGAACGTTTGAAGTTAGTGTGGCTAATCTGATCTCAAATCATTCCAAATCATACGAGCCGTAGGTGATTAAATCATCACACAGATAGTGCATAGCACTGCAAGTATTCTGATGATCTCCGATCGAATATATATCCGTGGAGCACCCCTGCAGAACTCTAGATCAAATCGCCACCAATCTATTGACAAATGTTGCAACCCCTAACATCCATGATACTCACAAAACAGGTTTCTAGACAACATCAATCAAGCGCGTACCCGATGGCTTAGATTATCCAATTCCATGGGTGACTACAATCGCAACACTGTACATAATGACTGGCTACTAATTCGAACCGGCGGCAGTTGAAACGTACGATGAAACCACCAGATCTGGCGGGTAACCACTCCACAGACACAATACAGCCTAACCCGCTAGGTAACCACATGGCAGCCCTTCACACGGTGGCTGGCCAGTGCCCGCCGTCTGAGGTAGGTGTATTAGAATTAAGGTGCGCTCGGGCAGGGATCTGAGTCATAACCAGGTACAGTACGGATCATACACAAAACAATAATTGGGGTCGAGCGACGAATTCTCGCCCCTACGCTCGTCCTGAGACCTTGCCCGGCACTCAGACGGTATGTACAGTAAAGCGAATACGTGGAGCAACGACCACACATGGAGCGACAGCTAAGACATGATCAGCCAGTGGAGAAAGGAACGACGGAGGAGGTTCCCCGCGGTATCCTAAACATGTCTCTGGAGTTTGCTGGTGGAACCCACGCGAGCAAGTCTAGGGGTGGAGAGGACAGGAGACCCAGGATCCTGGGAGACCCAGTTAAGGGGGTCGCCATGAGAGAAGGGGAGGGGCAACAGTTTGGAGCATGGAATGATCTACCAATCCAGTTCTCTGCTCTGCGACCCCAGCTTCGGGGAGGAGGACTGGCGTAATGATCGACGGGCGTACGAAGGGAGACCACGGTGTACCTTCAAACAGGATGGACCTCATGGCCAGACTATGCACAATAGTACTGGCTGAGGTTCTGACCTCCCCTTCGATCAGACTTGGCACGACGTGAAATCAGAAAGGGGCGAGAGCCAGGTGGTTGTCGTGTGGGAGGAAACACACGGTGACCCGCACTATTGGAGACGCAGCAAGGCAAGGCGAGCGGGAGGCACGATCCACGCTGGCGGCGTGGGCCACCTGGAATGGGGATGGAGACATGGCGAGGAGCTCATGGGGCGAGGGCCCGGGCCACACTATTTACATTGCTCACTCAATCGTGGATGCCAGATGCCATCCCTTGGGGCTGAAGGCTAAGGTAGTGCCGGGTAAGCTAGGGCCAGGCTATGAACACTAGCGCGGGCACATGGAGTGTGAGCCACGCATTTGTAGCGTCAGGTGTTCTCTGGTCACCGAATAGTGGTGTGAAATGAGATGGCAAGCGTGGGTGCACGGAGGAGGGTCGGCCACGGTCGTATTGCAAATTCCATGGCATTAAGCTCCGTGGAATGGAAGACTACTACCGTGTCAAACGGTCGCGGTATGTACGCGTGTCAATCGATCCAGTCAGAGACATTCTGCAAGGCTACAACGGAGCCATGTGGCATCTCTTCCGGGAGATTATAGGCGTGACAAGTACCGAGTACGTAGTGTACTACGAGTTTTGAGTGAGGCTGCCTCTGGCTCGAGCTTGGGGGCGGGCGCAGGCGTTGGGGATGAAGCTGAAACAAGCCACGCAGGTGGCGGTGCCCGACCGTGTTTCGTTTTCGGATGATCCTGCTGCCTGCTGCCTGCGCTGCAGAGGCAGTCTATGTATAGAATTTTCTGGAGCGGAGACGTGGATTCGGGATATGTACCACCTGGTACATACAGTACTGTACTGTAGCTGTGCTCATTTTGTACCGATGTATCATATCGAATTCCAGGCGAGTCAAGCCGAGATCACATCGACACCTCGACCAGCCACTGGGCCGTTACCCGGAGAAAACAGCCCTTTGCCAGGGCCAGCAGCTGCAGCGGGCCCGGGGCCGCCATGGATGCGCTCGAATCACGGCGCTCGGCAGCTCAGGCATCAAACTCTAGGGCGTCAGCTGGAAATAAGCTCGAGGAGTCGCGCCAAGAGGCCGCTGGGGGTCTCACAGCCTCCGAAGGGTGTTTGGGCGTGGACTGGGCCTGATTAGGCGCGGGGGTGCTCTCGCGAGCAGCCGTCGCATGGGTACTACAGACGACGAGTGGTCGTGGTACCCGCAATGGGTGAGAGGCAGTCCTCCCCGACTATTGCCCCAGATCGGAGATCGATCGGTCAGATGGCGAACCTTTTGAGCAAGATAACAAGGAGGGTAGGATGGAATGCCACACCGAAGTGGGCAACGGTCGGGATGGACTTGACTGCGCGTAACCCGTCACCCGTGGCCGTCGCCATGGTTGTTCGAGTGACATTCGGGCGACGGCGCGGGTGGATGCAGCGAGCATCTCCGGCCCAGTCGTCGTGGCGATGGCGCTGGGGTCGACAGTCAAGCTTCCGGCGCGATCCACGCGGATGAAGACTGGCGAGAGGACTTGGCGATTGAGAGGCCGGTGGGACAAACCTGCTGGTTTGAGCTGGAGTATACCGGATGGAGTATGGTCAATACTGTACTGTATAGCAGTACTGCTGGGACCGATGAAGAGAAGGTTGACCCACGGCGATCCTTTGCCATGTGTGGGACGGGGTCACACGAAGCAAAAAGAGGGGAAGGAAGTATCTCTACCTGAGGGGGAGGTGCGACTACTCGGATTGTGCTGGGAGTTCCCGCCTTGGGAGGCGTACCGGTACTTTCACCCTCTTCACCCTCCTTCCACTCTCCTTCCACCCTCCCGCCGGCTGCAGTTTGACGGGGTCCTCACTGTTCGTCGCACTTACCCTACTCTTCCTAGTGACTGCATTAGGGTCATACTAGCCGTAGCCTGACTCGTAGTAGCTCCAACTGCCCAACCATTCGTAGTTCGCCTGCAGGCCCCTGATCGCGCCACGTGAAGTTGACATGTCTGCCTCGAGTCCTGTACTTAGTACTTGGCCTATACCGCTGCTCTCCAGTAGGTACGTGCTGCCTGCTCTACACTGACACTCCCACGCTGCGACTGACAGAGAGTCGAGAATGTGCCCGCCGTGACGTGAAGACTGTGGTCATGATGTAATGCAACGTGTGCTCCTTGCGTCCCGGAATTTGGCTCTGGAGAATGTCTGGTACGTTCTGCTCCTTCAGGTACTCTGTACACTTACAGTCGTGTACTCAGTACTAGTACAACTGTTGACTTGATACACGCGATCTGGCCATGCGAGGACCGGCGGGTCCACTTCCCGACGATGTCTGCAGCGAGGAGCCAAATGCCACGGGCAACCGCGGAATGGTTCGGTTTCTAACGTCGATCGTAGATGTAACTATGTAACTCTGAGGGAATTCGCCCTTGCCTCGCCTCGTGGCACAAGTGTTGCGCGCAGTAGCTCCTTGGCGTGTTCTGCTTGGTTCCCTACAGTAAGATAGTAGGTACTCTCGACGATGAGGATGCTGAGCATGCTGGTCAGATCGTGCACTCTATGGAGCAGTCTGACTCACGGGGGATTACGTGGTGTCCGAAGAATAGAACACCACTTTTTGCGTCTCCAGTGTACGAAGTATATACAGCAGTAGGTCACTGGAACTGGCAGTATTGGGACTAATTTTCAGCGTCACAAATTGAACTCAGCCCTTGCCGTACTGTACCAGCATTACCGTACGCCGGGGTACCTACTGTGCTCTCCTGCGTACAAAGTCAAAGTCTAAGCAGAAAAAAAAATGAAAATAAAAAAAATAAAAATAAGAAACCAGGTAGAATCCAAAAAAAAGAAAACAGAAAAAGAAAGAAAAAAAGCCAGCGAAATGGCATCGCGGCGTGGATCGTCCCCTCGTCCCCCCTTCCATCCGCCTTCTTGGGGTTCCATCCGCCCCTCTGCATATCCTCTGCGCTTCGCCCCCATCTCTTAACTCGTTTTCGACAGTGCTCCGAAGCCTGAAGATTCTCTAGGTCCTCCACGTCCACGGGCACTTTACTTCCCCCCCCCCGTCCAGTCCGCCTGCTCCTCCGCAATTGCCTGCGACCGGGAATATGCAATAGCCTGGCCCTCGACCAGATCACCCGCGTCCACGTCTCTCGTTTTACCATCCCGTCGCTCTCTCGCCACGTCCTCCATCACTGGCATCCTCCCGCTGCTATGGACTCTGTCACCTACCGGCCGTGGGAGCAAGTCTCCTCGGGCCCGCAAACGCCTGCAGCCTCGACGCAGACCCTGCCCTCGATCTCGACCCTCACCGCGAACATGAACGGCACCGCGCCCATCCCCTCCGAAAAGTCACCTGGCAATTCGTCCTTGAATACCATCGAACGGGACTCCGGGAATTGGTCGATGCCGCAAAGCACAAGTAGGAATCCGTCCGGGGCAAATGGGCTGTCGCATGCTGACCCTCCAGGATCTTCCACGTACTCGACCGCGACCAATGGCACCGGCAACAACTATCCCTCGCTCAACTTCCTCACCTCGACCTCTCAACCCTCGCCCAACCGCGGCCATGTCATTCCAGACCGCTCCCCATATCCACATGAGCAATCGACCACTCCCTCCTCCACGGGCGCGAACCACCCGTCGCCGGGCTTCAACTCGTCGCAGCCCAATTCGGCTCTGCCGTCGATCAACCAAAACTATGATGGCGCATCGCAGCGCGGGAGCGTCGTCGAGGTCTCCGAGTCCCGGCGCAGCAGCGTCGACAGTCGCATGAACCAGGGCATCAGCTCGCTGGCCATCAACCCGGCGTCGCCGTACCACAGCACTAATGCGTCGCAATCGTCAATCGTGTCCAGTCTCCAGCGCGAGCGCGGGATCACCACCGATATGAACTCCTACCGAGGTCCCAGATACTCCGGCGGCAGCCAGCCCTTGTCGCCGCTGGGCCCGCGGCCGGGTGAGCCTCGCAACTTCGCGGCTGGGCGGACGGCGCCCGCGATCTCGTCGAATCCCCGATCTGAGATTTACAACGCCGAGGCGCCCACGGCCGGTATGGCCTACGCCTTCCCGGACCCGGACGTCGCGCGCTCCAGCTCGATCTCTTCCAATGAAAAGTCCAATCCACCCGTTTCCCGCAAAGGGAGCACGGCCGAGTCCCTCAGCAGCATGTACTCCGAGTCGCGCATGCCGCGCGGACAACATGGTGAGTGTGCCTCCGAGAGAGACGGATAAGCTTTGATATTTGCGTGACTAACTCTTACCAGAACTCCCTCCCAATGTACACCACCATTCACTTCAACACAGACAGGTCCGGGACTTGATTGGCGAGGCCGATCCGACGGGCGGGAATACCCCCCTACAGCCGGACGCCCGAATTGCGCGTCACGCACAAACTGGCCGAGAGGAAGCGCCGGAGCGAAATGAAGGACTGTTTCGAGGCTCTTCGCATGCGCCTCCCCCAGGCCCAGAACAACAAGTCTAGCAAGTGGGAGACGCTCACTCGCGCCATTGAATACATCACCAATCTGGAGAAATCGCTCGGGCAGATGCGCCGTGACAACTCGGTCCTCCGTACCGAGGTCGATGAGCTGCGCGCCCAATTGAACCAACAACAAGCCAATGGGCCCTCGCGCCCAGCCTCGATCTTCGAGCATCATCCGATGGCCTCCACCCCGACCAACGGCCAGCCGCAAGGGCCAGTCTTTGGCCAATTCGGAACCGGATCCCAAATGGCCCAGGACCAGCCTCGCACGCTGCCGCCGCTGATGAATGGCTCGGCGGCCATGCAGGGGATCCAATACACCGACGAGCGGAGGTGATTCGTCGCCGCGCTCCCGGACGAGAAATGACTAGTCATGCACCACCAACCGACCACGACTCTGACTTCAAATTCGTTTCATATTGCCATTCTATCAAATATATCCCTTGTCTTAGTTATGGGCTTGTCTCAAGCCATCCCAGGTCTCCTCCATGCTTATTTCCTTTCTGCTCTTTTGTTTTTTTTTCCTTGTGTCTGGGTGTGGCTGTTTCCCTCGCGAAAGCTCCAAAGCAAATTTTTCGTTTCTTTATGTCATCGATCATACCCGCGATCGCCTCGCTGTTCTCCTTTTCTGTGACGGTTCTTATTTTTGGTTTTTGGCGGTCATACCGCTCAGCATCTCATTTTTATTGCATGTTCTGGACATGACGGGGTAACAGGTTACGGCTCATGGATGGGACGCGTTTCTTTCTATTTCTATCTGATTGTTTCTGGTGAATTGCTCGAGGGGGTGTTGTATCAAATATCCAAAAGGCGTGCGTGCCACGATGATATCATTATGCTTTCGTGTATACCATCCTATATGTCTTTCTTGGCTGCTTTATGCTTAGCTTCACATTGCAACTAGCTCTGAATCAACTCAACATCGCCAGATCTAGACCGTCTGCGCCACTAAGTCCCACGATCGACAACAGACAGTATTCTCCGGACCGCTCAAGGCCAATTGAGGTCCGCGTCAAGCCGCCAGCGCGGCCCCGACGACGATTTAAACAACGCCAAACCAGGTCCGACCGCACGCCCGCTTTAGATCTGTGCAGAATGCCATCGTTTCAAAGTTACCTGCTAAACTAGGCTACACTAGTGCAGAAGCTGGTGCTATTTTGGGGCGCACCACTCATCCGCACGTCTCTAAGCGCCCGCCCACTCGGGCGCGTAGCTGGCTGGCCGCAGACCCCCTACGACCAATCTGGCGCCGTGCTGCCCATCAACCCCTGCTGATCGGGCTGCCCTTGTTTGGAATTGCTGCAGAACATGACTCTGGCGTCCCGCTGATTGGGTCGAGGGCTGACAGCTGCCGATGTGCCAGCTCCGTGGAGAAGATGCAGGAGATGCAGGCGTCGGGAGACCAGCTGCAGTCCGCGAGCTCTTTTCTTCTCGCGTCGGCCACTTTTAATTCTCGATTTCTGTGTTGTTTCTCTTTACTGAATTTCAACTTTGTCATTCTTTGTTTTCCCTCTCGTTTCGATTTTTCCCCTGGGGCCAGTGAATGCATCCCGGCGTTTTCTTTCACTTGCATTGTTTCAGGCGTCACCCTCTACATCTTGCCCATTAATAGAACCACTATCTCTTTATTTATTGTCATCATCTGACTTGTGCTCGGTTTTTCCTTCTTGCATACACCTCCATGGTATGTGAAAGTCGACATCCATAGTCGGTCTGCACATCGCGACGGCAACTACCAGTCGCAACAACAACCCGCTGATCTCGACTACAGCCATACCATTTCACATACACAGAATGGTCCAAAATCGACAAAAGCCGCAGGACCTGCAAGTCCCTCTACCCACATTTCCCCTATCATCACCAATTAGCGAAGAAATCGAGAGTCCATCCTGTTCATCCGCCGAGGACCGAGATCTAGAACGAACACGTCCCTTCGACTTCCTTGTGAAAGCAACGAGGCAGAAGGTTGAGAGCAGACAGGCTCGTGAGGGCCGACAACCGAGTGTTTCTCATAGAGATCGACATGGAGACGGACTGGGTTCTAGATTGAGCATCCGGGGTATCACGAGGAAGCGGAAGAATGCCGCGAAACCGGTTGGCTTGAATCTGGTGACGGATTTCTCGCTCGCGGCACCACCGAAGAAAAAGAGCCAAGACGGACCTGTTTCATTTGTTGATTTGAATGACTTGAAGATGCTTTCGAAGGCGAGGGAGGAGGAGCGGACGACAGAGAAGACGCAAGCGCAGGCGCAGGTGCAGCGGCCGCTACGAAGCAACAACCCATTCATGAAAGACACATCGCGGTCTCAGCAAGTACCCGAGACACAGCGAGAATCACCAATCAAAAAAAATCCCTTCCTCGACCCCAACCTGCAAGATCCCTTCAGCGACAGATACGACGATGGCATTTCACCCTCAGACCGACATGTCATGATCGGACTGACAGTGCCTCGAAACGACTCTTTGGATCGAACCAGGGAGCGCGAGAGTGCAGGAGACCAACATACCCCTTTGACACCCTCGATAATAGTCACACCTGCCCGCGAGGAAGCACCGTGGTCGACATCCAGCCCAGAAACCCATCGTCCCCGCGCAACATCCAGCGTATACTCCCAACCAACTCCTCAATTCTGGCAAGATGGATCGGATATCCCACCTGTCCCGGCCATCCCAGACGCACATAGGAAGGCCGTTAACTCCGACTTCCTCAGTGCGCACTTCAACGCTATGACAAAAAAGCGTCGCTCCATGTCGGCCGATACGATCTTCGAAGATAATAGTCCGGAAGAGCCGCCCAGACATTCCCAGGTGTCCATCGACGACAACGATCAGGCCCCCTTGGCTAGCCGACTAAGTGTCAACACAGAGGGCAGTCGTCGGCAGTCACAGGGATGGTGGACATATATTTTATCTCCACTCCTGGGGAAAAGGTCGCCTATTAGCCCAAGCTTCCCACTCGGTGGATCGACCTCTGCGTCATCATCGAAGGGGACGAGAGAATGGTGGGAGGAGAAGGAAATCTCACATTTCTCGCCAGACACACCCCAGACCGCAGTCATTAACTGGGATGAAGGAATCAAGAATCTCGAACAGTCTCGCTCATTGGAGGCGGACGAAAAGACGATCGTCTCCAAGCGGCAAACCATAATGTCGATGATGTTCCCAGGTGGGAAAGTCCAGGGTGAAGCCGCAGAATACTACCAAGCCTGTGCGCATGAGCTGTTTAGCAAGACACCCTATTTTGAATGTTTCAACCATATCTGCTCGATTACACCACCAGACAAAATCCCTGCACCGATCGATGATTGTCCGGGGGAAACGAGAGATCGGGCATTGATCTTCGCTGAAGGAAATGCATCAACTGCGCAGACTGAAGATAAGAAGGATCATGCTGTTGCTACCTCAGAAATTGCAGCAAAGGGCCTTTTGATCGACATCGATTCTCCGAAAGTCACCAACGATCAGAAGCACATCAAGGAAATACCATCCCCCGCATCAAGTTCTAGCTCGGATTCCTGGGACTCTTCTCTCGCTAGCCCCCGTGAGAAAGATCTTCCAGATCCGCCGCAGGATGCTACCAGGGGCGTTACTTTTGAACCTGTGCCACAGCCACCGGTTCATGCTCCAGCACCGCAAGAGCCCATGCAGCCGCCTATTCCCGAACCTACACCGACTCCCATGCCCCCAGCTCCTCAAGAGATCCCGCATCAGCCCCAAGCTCAACCTCCGCAGATTATCCATAACTACTATGGTGCCCCGCAAGAGCCGATTCCTGCTTCGCGGCCTGAGCCAGTGGAGCAGCCAGTTCCTCGCTATGTTCCGATATTCCCTCCGAATCATGAGATGCCACCACCAGTGCCACAAACACAGCCTTCGGAGTGGCCTAAAGCACCTACAGCCACGGAAAGGGGACTGGATCCGGATGTGCCACAGAGCCATGCCGAGCAACAACCACACCACACGAACGAGCCCATTTCTCCCGGATTCCAACGCGCAGCAGCAGGACCGGGTGCTATTCAGCTCTCTGAGGTGCACCCAGGACCTCATAATGAAGCCGAGCACGACATCAATGCACCTGCGCCGGCCTATACCCAGTATCCCAGAGAATTTCCTCGAGAGACACCTCTGCCCCCACGTTATGATCTACATCCTGCCCCAGGCGCAGTAATCATGGACCCCACTGGACCAGCTGGTCCAATGGAGGCTAGACGTCGCAGGCTCGAGCGTGAGGACGCAGCTGGCAGAAAAGTTGGTGGGCTCTGGCGTGGACGCGGATGCTTCAGCAACAAAGGCTGCTTTGGACGACCGGGACGAGAAGGCCGACTCCGCAGACGGTGGTACCTGTTTATCTGCACCCTCTTCCTGATCATCATAATAGTAGCCATTGTGCTAGCGACAACTTTGACAAGAGAAGGCAACACGACCCCAGTGCAATCCAACTGGCTCAATCTGACAGGATACCCACCTGTGCCAACCGGAATTGCCACCATTGCAGGCACAGAGGCACAAAACACAAAGTCGACGTGTATCAAGCCGTCCTCACTTTGGAGCTGTGCTCTTCCAAAGGACGAGCAGTCTGACAACAAGCCCTATGCCGGCAACGAGCCCACTTTCCGTGTCCAGATCCTGTTCCGCAATGGATCCTATGATAACAGCACCGCGGTGAGCAGTTCGAGCAAGACTCGCCGAGACAACATCAACTGGAATGCGTCACCTGCCACACCAGACCTCTCGGAGCAAGTCTTCCTAGGTAATACTACAGACGGGAACTCCGAACCCTATGCCGGCGAAGAAACACCATTCTACATGACCATCCTGTCACCTGTGCATCTCTCCTCAACAAACGTATTCCGCCGGAGCACATCAAACAGCAGCAACAGCTTTCCAAACCTGACGACCGTCATCCCTGCACCCTCAGAGAATTCAGACGGCACAGCATCCGCCGCAACCCTCTACCCACTCCCGGAATCCCAACCAGTCCGCCTCTACAACCGAAACCAAGACAACGAGCACTACGGATTCTACACCTACTTCGACAAGTCAATCTTCCTAGCCTCGGACTCCGCTCTAAACGGCGGCACAAAAGACAATAACGAAAAAGACAAAAACGGCGGAAGCACAAAATCCGACGCCCGAGTCCGCTGCACCTGGTCTCAAACCCGCTTCCTTGTGCAAATCTGGACAAAGCCCAGCCGCATCGGACGAACATTGCTTTCCTCTGGCTCAAACGGAAGCAGTAGTACAAGTGCGGCTTCAACGCCGACATCCACATCATCAACGTCGACTTCTTCGTCTTCCGCGGCGGATTATGCGCGGCCCGGCTCCTTCCCGTACCCGGTCACGATATCGCTTGATCGGCATGGTGGGACCGAGAAGAAGAAGCTTGTTTATTGCTATGGCGTCGGGGATGATGGGCACTATAATATCACGAATAAGAAGTTGCAGGTCGAGGATCGTGGGATTGGGGGGACACTGGTTAATCCTGCTTCTGGGATCTTTGATGATGTGGATAAGAGTGCCAGTGAGAATTCGACCTATGGGGGAATCGATGGTGGGACTGGGGGCTGTGGGTGTCAGTGGGTGAACTGGATTTCTACTTCGTAGGCACCCCATCGGCGTTGAAGGTTTTTTTTTTTTTTGTTGCTAAGATTTGGGTGGCCAGTGTGTCGTTTTTCATATGATGTATGAAAAGTCTAATTTGTTGTTTACAATATTTAAATCAAATATATTATCATTCAAAAAAGAGAAGAGCCCGTCGAATGGGATATTTCGTAAGGTTCTCTTACAGATTCTGCGCCTGCGATAATTTCACTATCAATGGATTCTTTTCCCAGATATTATAGGACTTCTGGATATTCCAATCCCGCGAGCTCTCGTCCAACGTCAGATCAAAGCTCCAAATGATCTTGGCACCGATGAGCCGCATCTCCGCATAGGCCAGGCTGAAACAAGTCTCCATTATTCTCATGCTCGCCGACAAGGATTAGGGACACTCACTTTCTACCAAGACAATTGCGAGGACCGAGCGAGAAAGCTTGGAGTGCCCCTCGACAGTCTGACTCGAAGCGTTTATGCCTAGGCTGTAGCCAACGCTCGGGAATAAAGGATTCTGCGTTGGTGAAGTGGGATTCGGCGTGGTATGTTGAATAGTGGGCTCCAGAAACAGATACCTGTTAGGACACATATGTCAGTATATCATTTAACCGCCATACAGGGAGATGGAATCACACATACCCCTTCCGGAACGTACTTCCCATCAATAATTGCTCCACCGCTGGGTACGACTCGTGGAGTGGTGGCTGGGACAGGCGGGTAAATCCGCAGAGTCTCCTCCAGCGCAGCATTCAGGTATTTCAAGTGACCGACACTCTGGAAATTGATCTCTTGATAAGTGGAAAAGGATCCACGAACCTCATCCACGAGTTTTCGATAGGCCGTTGGGTTCCGCAGCATATAATAAGTAAACCCAGAAAGCAGACTAGCCGTTGTCTCGCTCCCAGCCATGATCAAAACAGCCGCATTGGCCTCCATTTCTCGCACGCTCATAGACCGGTCATCATTGAATCGTAGGATGTATGTCATAAAATCTGGACGCTCCGTTTTAGTCTTTAGCCGACGATGGACCTTCTCCGAGCTCATCGCGAAATGCTCTTCTCGTAACTTCGTCATTTTTTTCGGCGTGAGCGCTCGCACTATCGGGGCAAGGAACGGGTATAGACCCAGCGGTCTTTGTAAGGCCAGGACCTTCATGCTGACGAAGACCATCTTCACCCACGGATGATACTGGCCATCACGTAAACAATCGAAAGGCTCTCCAAAGGCAAGATCGCCGATTATATCGAAGGTCGTGAAGTTATACCACTGGGTCATATCAAGGGTCGGTCTTCCCGCGGCGATTTCACCCTCGAGTCGCTCGATGAGCAGATCAACATAGGATTGAATCAGAGTTTCCTGGTCTCGAAGGGCCTTCTCAGAAAACGCGTGGGAGAGAAGTCTTCTCTCTCGAGAATGATCTGCGTCGTCTGCATTGAGAATATTCGGTCCGCGCGGCCCGCGCAGGTAGAATTTTGGATCTTTCAGAAATGATCCCCCGCCTTGTTTGCGGTGGCCGTAGATATCCTTCCATGCTTGTGGACTTCGGTATACGAGTGTTGTGGGCCCAGTACGGATGACGTTTCCGTATTTGTCGTGGAGCTCTTTCAACTTGTAGTGGTATTGTCCGGTTGAGGTCCAGTAGAGGTTTTGTAGGTTGGTACATGCTGCGAGTCGTGGACCGGGGAATTTCGAGAGTGGGCTCATGTACAAATTGTAGATAATGGTCCACAGGAGGTACGCTGCGAGCTGGGAGGCTTGAGTGAATCGGGCCAAAGTGACAAATTCGATTGGAGTGGTCACATACGGTGCTTACTGTCAGCAAGATGATGGACATCGGCTCGAGATACCCCATTCTGGTCATTGTAGGCACCATCGCGAATCTGATCGGTCAACCAGATTACCTAGAATATCAGACTATCTTGCCCAGATATCTCGGGTTGTAATTCAGTCACGATCGTGTGATTTGACAGCGGTCTGCCACGTTTCCCCCGCACAATATCACATGGGAAGCCATTTCGACGTGCATTGTGGGGGTATCGCGCAAGCGTGTTTCGTGTAACGCCAGTGACAGTAACGAAAATTTCGCGTCACGGTCCTCTCAAGACACTAGAGCTGTAGTCGCCCTGTGTCGTGAGTCGATTCGTTCGGATAGGTTCAATGGCTGACGCGAATCGGTTCTGTGGCGGCGGATGCGGGGAGGAAGCCATCCCCAATGCGGAAAGAAATCAAAGAACTAAACCCTCTTGAGAAAGAAGATGGTCCACGTTGAACTAGGAAGCTATACCCTTAAGTCGAATTCAGCTTCAACCTTGAGGTCATCTCTGCTGAGTATCTACTCTTGATAAACACGACTTGTGCGGGGAAGAACGGCGGTTGGTTGTCTCTCCTGGGAAAGTATTTGGAGATTTAAGCCCTTTTTGGATGTAGAATATAGAGAAAGTTTTTTCAATTACGGTATACTATCACTTAATAGATAGAATCGGTGTCCCCTCATCGCCCTGACAATCCTCATCGAGATTTCAGATGCTTGTGAAAACTCTCCGCACAGCGACGAGAAAGGAAAATTGAGGATTTTCTAGAGCAGGAACGATATAAGTCCGGATATCCTGTACTCAGTCAAATTAAAAAACTCTAGTGCAAGAAGAAGCTTTTGCTTAACCTCCATCAATTCAATATCTCTCGGAACTCATCAAACATGACTATCCAGGCAGAATCCCCAAAGATTGTGAAGCTTGATGCTCACAATCCAAAGACGAAAACCGATGGGGTCACCGAAATAGTCCAAAGAGATGGTGGGGTTATAATCAAGGGTCTCTTTCCGACAGAGCATACGGAAAGAATCCGAGCGGAGCTGAAGCCGGTCTTCGATGCGGACATTCCAGATCCCTCCGGCTTCTTCCCAAAGTCGACGAGACGCGCAACTGGGTTGATTGGGATCTCGGACGCATGCGTTGAATATGTCACAAACAAGTTGTGGATTGACGTCTGTAACAAAATCCTGTCTAGTATATTCCAAGGCTGGCATGGAGTCTCTGGAAACATGGACAACTAAGCCCATCCTTTCCTCTACCGTTGGATTTCAAATCCACCCCGGATCGCGTGCCCAGGATCTTCACAAAGATGATAGGCACGTATTCACAAGTATCATTGCTAGTATTCGTTGCTAACGGGTGACAATTTAAGCGACTATCACCCCAGAGATCACACAGAGGAAATCATGATGGGCTGTCTGCTAGCAGTGACAAAGTCCACATACGAAAATGTCGCCACCTTGATAATCCCAGGATCGCACAAATGGGATATAGAACGGACTCCTAAAAGGGAGGAAGCTGTACCGGCTGAGCTGGATGTCGGCGATGTCCTGATATTCACTGGAAACGTGTACCATGGTGGAGGTGCAAACAAGTCAATGTGCGTTCCATGCTCGCCCAAGTTCAGCCATATACTAACTTCAGGCTCTTTTTAATAGTGATCAAATCCGAGAAGTCATCGGAATGTTCATGGTGAAAGGAATGTACAGACCAGCTGAAAATCAGATGCTTGCCGTGCCACCTGAAAAGGCCAGGAGTTTTCCCCCAGGTTCAAAGACTTCTTGGGTATGGGATCAGAGCGCCGAGTGTTAGGTTTTATAAGTACCAGGATCCCATGCGCATTCTGTTTGGTGTTGAAGATGAGGAAACTGTAAACATGTGATATTTATTGCTTTTAAATGTTTATTATGAGACCGAGCTCTTCCGACCTCTGATTTCCATCGAGAAATAGTGGAAATTCTAGCTGTAGGCAATATTTACCAGAAAAAGGCTAGCTTCAAGGTCGAGATAGAGGTCTTCGCATTTTCATGCCTGACAGAAATACTAGATCAAGATAGTCTCAGAAGATTTGGTAGCTCGACATCTTTATGAAACTGGCCTCTCATCTTTACTAGTTGTCTGCTGAAGATGCCCTCCTGTGGGCGCCTGAGGTAACGAGGCCCCCTTCATCGTCTCGTCGCCTGCGAGCGAAGGCTCGCCTCTCTTTCTCCCACATGCTTCCATCGCTTCGTCTGGGACATGCCCTTCATCGTCGTAAAGGGTCGTTGATGGCGGTCCACCGGCGGAAGGAAAGGTTATGTGCTGGGCTGGGTATCCTCGGTCGCGAAGAATGCGTGCGACGGGCTCGAGTGTGCTGCCCAGGTGCCAGAACCGTGAATCAAGAGAATGGTCGGCTTTTCGGTTTCCATGGACGATGTCATGAAGGTTGAAAAGTAAGTGATAGGATAAGGAAATTATAACGTGAGTCGGACTTGTTTGTTGCGGGTACGGCAAAGAGTCATTGAGATGCTATATATACCGACTTTTGAGGTCAGGAAACCTGGTTTCAGGCTCCTATTCATGGACCCACTAGTGCTGACTACATTACTATTTTTGCTTGGCCCCAAAAAAGGGCCAGAAATTATGAGGTTTACGGATTTGGTCGCTTTCTAGTCGGAGAGGTCGAAGAGAAGCTCGTCTTCATTCGCGCTCAGTATAGGAGCAGATGTGACATGGAGCAGGGCGAGAGCCTGCGGAAAGGGCTGTGGGGAATGACAGTGTACCCCGTTCGCCGGTTCGTTCACCCGACACAACAGAACAGAAAGCACAAAACGAGAAAAGTGATGAAGGCATACGCATAAAACAGTATTGCAGGGTTCGATATCACATGACATTATTTAATGGAAAGCGGACTTGGATTCAAGGTCGATGGCACAAGGACAAATAGAGTCGTGGGACGAACCTTTAACCTCAGCCGGCGGCCGTTTGCGGGAAAGTGAAGGCTTCCCGAAACGACCTTTCATCGCTGCAACACCGAATATTGAAGAACACGTTCGCCAAGACAATCAGCCTACTTTTAAGATTCTGCAAGAAAAGTTTCCAGAAAAACGCAATTTGGCTCGGCAACAGCCGATGCCATTTGATGCTGAGCCGCCGCCCGGACAACCGGCCAAGCGGCAACTTTCCCGGGGCTCCACCGGGTTTCCCGAAGCCCATCAGATTTTTTCTTGGCCGGACTGGGGTAGGATCGAATGCATTTTTGTTAGAAATTGCTTTTGAACGATTTGCACCAGTGATCAATGCTAGCATAGTCGTCCCACTTCGTTCTTTCGGGCCACTATCCACTAGCAGCATCGACGCGGACCAGCGTGGACAATTCTGCCCATCATGAGCACCGGCGAGGAGACCTTCGCGGTGGACGGTAAGGGGCCGATCAATGAACCCTTCCAGAATGACCTCGAGAAACCTCTCTCGGCCAAAGACCTCGAGCCCTTTGGCAATGAGGAAACTGCCGAGGTCAAGTATCGTACAATGAAGTGGTGGTAAGTGAAGAACTTTTTTTTTTTCGCAAAGTATAAGCACTCGACGGTCAAAGCTAATGATTTTCTATCAGGCATTGCGGAATGCGTGAGCGCTCAATTGCTCCCACAGCTTAACATAATGATTCTAACAATTTTCTCAGTCATGATTGCCGAGAACGTTTCCGTTGGTATTCTGTCTCTGCCATCTGCTGTGGCTACACTGGGAATGGCCCCGTACGTGTAACCCGGACGTGTGACTCAGGACTCAATGTCTAACATCTCACTCAGTGCCGCCATCATGATCATTTTTATCTCTGCTCTTTCATGGTACACCGGCTACGAAATTGGCCAGTTCAAGTTGCGCCACCCCCATGTCCACAGCATGGGTGATGCCGGTGAGCTTCTCATGGGTCGTCTGGGCCGTGAAATTCTGGGCATTGGCCAGCTGTTGCTGCTCATTTTCCTCATGGCTAGCAACATCCTGACTTTCAACATCTTGATGAATGTCCTGACAAACCACGGAACCTGTACTTTGGTCTTTGGTGTTGTCGGATTGGTCATTTGCTTCCTCGGCGCCCTGCCTCGCACCATGGACAAGGTCTACTGGATGTCTGTTGCTTGTGAGTAGTGCATTCGAGCCGCATTTGATGCGGTAAGCAATCACATGTACACTTCAACTGACCACTATACAGCGTTCATGAGTGTTCTGATTGCAACCATCATCACCATGGTCTCTGCTGGTGTCGAAACCAAACAACACGTCGTCAATGAAGCGATCAGGGAGGTCAGCTTTCGTGAAGGCTTCCTGGCTGTTACCAACATAATTTTCGCCTACCGTTAGTTAAACCGTTTCGAATATTTTCGCCCGCTATCTTGTGCTAACCCTTTTGCTAGTTGCTCACATCGCTTATTTTGGCTTCATGTCTGAAATGGAGGACCCTCGCACCTTCAACAAGTCTCTCGCCATGCTCCAAATTGTCGACACTGTCTTGTACCTAGTCAGCGCGCTGATTATCTACCACTACGTTGGCCCCAATGTCAAGTCGCCTGCCATCTCGTCTCTGAGTCCCATCATGAGCAAGATTGCTTGGGGTCTCGCGATTCCGACGGTAAGCTGCACTTGTTCATGCTTACTTTTGACGTTTGAATCATCGCTGATCACAACAGACCATTCTGTCCGGTGTCGTTCTGGGCCATGTCGCTTGCAAGTATATCTACGTGCGCCTGTTCCGTGGATCCGACAATATGCACAACCGAAGCCTTCTCTCCATCGGATCATGGGTTGCCATCTGTATTGGTGTCTGGATCGTGTCTTGGGTTGTGGCCGAGTCGATTCCTGTCTTTAATGACTTGCTGAGTCTCATTGTTCGTATTTCAAGTTGCCTGCCTTATTAGGGACGATTGCTAACAAAAGTCTGTTTACAGAGTGCCCTTTTCGGAAGCTGGTTCAGCTGTAAGACCCCACTCAATTTCACAACGAACAAATGAAAGCTAACAGGCGCTCAACAGTTGGACTTCCTGCTATCTTCTGGTTCTACATGAACCGTGGCCAATACTTCAATAACATCAAGAAGGCGATTCTGACCATCATCAACATTGGTGTGCTTGCCATTGCAATTGCCATGGTAAGTTTACCCAGCTCTCCAACATCTCGGAAGTCGAAACGCTTTCTCCTCTACACTGACTAATTTTTTATTAGTGCGGCTTGGGTCTTTACGTGTCGGGTGTCGCCATCCACAATGACTCAAGCACCAGCAGCTGGTCCTGTGCTAACAGTGCGTAATTTGCAAAGTGGACCCGTCCCACGCAACTCGCATACTTTATAACAAATTCCGGCAGGCCCCAGCTTGTCCACTGTCAATAGAGATAGCTTTGTACATACCAGCGGGCTGTTCTTGCATTATAAGTCTATACTATACTTGCATTACATAGTTTGTCTTTTATTGGTCTCGGCGAATTCAAGTATCTCATAATATTCATTGAGCACATTGAGAAAGATATCTAAAATTACATGTATTATATTATTTCCGTCCGGTCGGTTCTTTGCGCACTGCGAATCCATGTGATTAGCGGAATTTTTCATAAGCTCGGAAAAACTTGACATACCCCTGAGAAGCGTTTTCCCAGTGCTGGTTTAAGGAAACCATCTTAAATATCGTATCATTCCCATCTCCCACTGGGAAGCCCGAGGCTTGGTGGCTCACCATGAGCCCAGCTGAATCTGTCGATCCCCGACGGGCACAGCTACTCAACTGACTCCGCGAAAACTGATCGCCCTCAAATATACGGTCCGATGGCTGGGCATTCTTCTTCCGTCGGGTGAAGATTTTCCTCGCCTCAGGGGTACGTTGCTGGGTATGCGTCGTGAGAACGTTCAGAGCAGGAAGACAAGCACAGATAAGGCCCAGGCCAATTTCCGCGTTCCTGTAAAGCAATTAGATCAAGATTCTTCTCACACAAAACCATAGGTCTTCGTGGTACTCACGCTGTCAGGATAGATTTCATGTACACAGTGGTTTCGTTGGGATTGTTCGACTCGCGCACGCCAAGAACCAGGCGGTATAGACTGAAGGCAACAGCGATGCCTCCTAGTCCAAGTAGAAATATAACACGTATCTTCTTCCAGATGGGCATTTGTAAAGACCATGTCAGAGCGACAGGGAATGCGAATATAGCGATATCAGTCACGAAGCTAATAATTGAATCTGCGATGATCACTCCCGGCTGGTTCAGACAGGTGGCATGGTCTTTTTCGGATACCCTCCAGTAGGCTGAGACGGGATTGCAGATAAAATTTTTATAAAGGTGATGATAGTGTAATAGCCAACTGTTATGGCAAGAAGGCAATAAAGGCCTATTATACCCGTGTAGAAAGGCTGAAAGACTCTGATCAAGACATAGATCAGACTTGACTTGACAAATAGTGCTGCCGGTGCATATACAGCAGTTGCCACGTATGATACCTGTTGTGCGTGAGCAACGGATTTGGTGTTGGCGTCAACTTCTTCTTTTCGCACCTTCATGCATTCTTCAAATTCATCCTGGGTTAAATCTTGATATGGCCTGGTACCGCCTTTAAATCCGTCTGTGTTCTTGTAAGTTCCTGGTCATGACTGAGAAGAAGCGAGAAGGTGGCTCACATATTAAAGCATTTGCGCAAAACCCCATAAAGGTGACCTAGCGAGCATTAAGTTAGTTATGGCATGGCTTTATCGATCAGGCACGATATAGAGCATACCCATCCACAAACACACGCCGCTTGAAAATGTCAGCCAAGAATCGTCCCATAGAAAAACAATAGGGTAGGTGTAGGCCCATACCATCATCGAAGCCCAGAGCCCGTTTCAACCGCCACCGAACAAAGAGCCGCAGCCACAACAAGACGGTCACAGCTACGAAGCACAAGATCTGGGTGGCATAGTTGATCAAGAACAGGGAGTTACCAGTCTTGACGGTAACCGACATGGGAACGAGAGGAGCGCGTGACACACATCTGTCATTTGGGGGTCTTGAAGATTTTCTAATTAAATCGGGGCCACGACCTCGGGTACAGTCCCAGTGCAACCCGCCCTAGCCTGATTAGTCATTGCCACCAACATGACGTCGACGCGAACTATGTCCGCGATTGCTAACCTTAACTCATGTGTATTAAGTCTAAATCCACATTCAAACTTCAATGCCGCTGCAATCAAAATATACGCGACATTCTCCAGCATTCGGCTGTCTGCCTCTATACTTGAAGATGTCGTGCAGCCTAGGAGAGTCCTCAGCCACACTTGGCGGCTCGCCAAGCTCGCCCGGCGTGGGGCTTCCCGGGGGCCCAGGCGCCCGGCAATTGCGATCTTGCTAGCATGAATTATGTACTACGGTACTCAGTACTTACAGAAACCCAGAGTGTGGAGTGCAGTGCCTTGAGGAGCAGCGAATAGACTTTGAAATATGCTCCATTATTTGTTGGTTCTCCACCGAGGCGAGTTTCGCGAACTTTGATTCTAACAAAACAACTAGGAAAGGCGCGAGATCAATGAGTACAAAAGATCGAAGGGGGAGATGATGTATTTCGCAAAACTCCACGTGCCTCCCCCGAAAGGTGCGAGTTTTTGGAATAGCACGCTGCACAAATGCTTTTATTTTTGTGCGTTTCAGTCAATTTGCTGACAAGTGGAGATCCCAAGGCAGACGAGAAGCTTTGCTTGCGCGTCATAGGGCGATCCATCAGCTAACTAGTTAGTTAGTGTTCTACGCAGGGTGATGCCTAAGAATAACAATCCAGCTCCTTGCTACCCTAATAAAACTTCACAAAAATGGATATGTCTGAGGAAACCTCGTTTGTTTTTGATTTTTAATTGCAAAATCGTTGAACCGTACGGCCACGTGGCTGAGACATTCTTTGTTTCACTTTACCCAAATTTTTTGAGGTTTTTCACATAAGGTTTCTTACTTCAAAACCATCACGATCCTCGAAATGTACGGTTCGAATAGCTGGGAGTGCTGATAAAATTAGGTAGGAGATCCTACTATTATACAGCAACCATTTGGCGTCTGAATTTTGTTCTACTTTAGTAGCAATCGTTTGCTGGTTGACTCATGAAGATGGCTGCTATGTACTTTTTCGACTGCGGATGTGTAGTTTCGGCGTCTTGGACGAAAGTGGCGATACCTGCAGTAAGCTCATGTCAAGTTCAAGCACACTTCTCTATTTTCAGTTCACGTGGTCAGGAGCTGGAAACATGATATAGAGGAGGAAGCACTACTTATGTACGCTTCAGTATAAATCAATCACGTGATATGATATCCACAATGTAATCGCGATCCGACGAATTTGTTTTTTTGAGTTTCCTCATCGCTCCATGAAACTCCAGAATTAGTCGGACGATTTGATGTATATAGACATGTAGCTCATTTTAATGGGGACGCTGACCTGTCCAAATTGCGTTGATCCCCGTCAAATCGGGAGGTTCACGCGGGGTACTCACGCGATCAAATTACGAAATTACGCAGAAGTCGCATACCCGGGCTACGTGCCCAGAGGTACATAGACCGCCTGAGGCTTGCAGCAGTTGAATTAATTTTCCCCAACTCGTTTCATTGGCCTGCGTTTCCATATCAGAAACTAGATGCAACGGCAACCTCCACCCTGGCTGGCAGGTGTCGGTCGATCAATAGACCCGCACCGGCACGTTGTCTCAGGTATTTAGCCATATCTCACGGTACGGCTTCACCTTTCTTCGAGACCACTCATTTGCTTTTCGGCATCGGATCAGATTCGTGTCTGTAGGCCCAGTCTTACTTCTCCGCCTTTTCCTTTGTGCCTTTCGTCCTCGGTACTACCTCCAAGATGTCAGAAGCAGGGGACTCCACCCCAGCCGGCTGCGGTCGCTCTGTTCCCACGCGAATCCCTGCCCCGACCGAAGCGCACCATCTCGACGACTATGACCGATTGACTCCGCCCTTCACTGACTCGAAAGAAGGAGGCTCGATGGGAAGAGCCTCCCGACGGCCGAGCTTCATGGACCACTTGGCCGACTCGCGGGAGTCGCAATTCCACGTTCAGGATAGAACTGAGCTACAGAGATACTTTGTATGTTTCTGGAGGCATATTCCCAAACGCAACATGTGGTCAGCAAATGGCTGACGGAGTTACGTGATTGTCTAGCATGGGCCCCGCAACATGACGCAACACTCGAAGTGGCCGATCGTGATGCGGGTCAAGGGGAGCATCATGCCCCAGATGATCATCCCATTGTTGATTGTGGGAGGCTGGTCAACCCTTATCACTTGCATGTCTCATTTCTGTCATAACCGTACGTTGTCCTGTGGCGATCATGTTGGCTCTATGCTAACTGACAGCTTGTCTTGGCGATGCAATAGTTGGGATCAACAATATCTTGCTTACCGTGCTGGGGTTCGTCGTGGGTTTGTCATTGTCATTCAGGGGCTCTACTGCATATGAAAGGTAGGTTGCTCTTGACCACAATATCTACGAACACGGTCGCTTGTTAGATTGACACGAAAAAAGATGGGCAGACGGGCGCAAGTACTGGGCTTTGCTGGTGCAAACATCACGCAACCTGGCTCGGGTCATTTGGGTGCATATCGACGAACGCGAAGAAGAGGGTAATGTTGATCTTCTGCGAAAGTTGTAAGTGATGCTTTGGTCCGGGGCTTCGAGTTTCTGGGCTGAGGGCTAACACGAAATGGCCGTTAGATCGGCCCTAAACCTTATTCTTGCCTTCGCGGTTGCTCTCAAGCACAAACTCCGGTTCGAGCCCGACGTTGCCTATGGAGACCTCGCAGGCCTGATTGGCCATCTGGATACGTTCGCCCTCGACGCCCATGACCGGAACATTCTCAATCCCCAGTCGAAGACCCCCTGGAAGTCTGTTGGGGAATACTTGAGTTTATCTTTCGCCAAGTCCAACCCACGCAAGTTGATCAAACAGTCAAAGAAACCGCTAGGACATCTTCCGGTTGAGATTCTTGTCCATTTGTCTGCATATATTGATTCGTGCGTCAAGAATGGCACTTTGTCCTTGGCCCAGTTCCAGGGACAGGCGAGTATGTCACCCGAGAACTATTAGTCACGCCTGGGTGGCATCATTAATTAATTCGCTCAGTGACTTTGATCTCTTCGCTCAACGAGATTCTTGCTGGTACAGAACGAGTGCTGGATACTCCTCTGCCCGCTGCGTATAGTATCGCCATCGCCCAGATCTCTTGGATCTATGTTATGCTTCTCCCTTTCCAGCTATACAACTTTCTTCATTGGACTACTATTCCCGCATCCATGGGTAAGGATACAACATTTCCCGGCCTAAGAGAACACACGTTTGACAAAGGGTCTCCACAGTTGCCGCGTACATCATCATTGGTCTCCTGACTATTGGAAGCGAGATCGAGAACCCCTTCGGCCAAGATGTAAACGATCTCCCGCTCACCACGTACTGTCGTCAGATTGCAAAGGAGCTTGATATCATCACAGCCTCCCCGTCTCCAGATGTGGAAGACTTCATGACTCGTCCGGAGAACCTGGTACTATTTCCACTGAGTCAGGATGGATATCCAATATGGAAGGACCGCAACAGAAAAGACATACACGCTGCGCTCCGTGCCAAATTCGTCTCCAGTCCAAGCAAGAATCCCGCTGTGGCTGGGTCGAATGCTTCGACTAGGTCGATGAGTATTTCGAGGAGACGGACTATGGAGTCGGTCTAATCCAAGAGTACGGCAGCACCTACTACGAATCGAATAAGCGAGCCGAACTTGGCAATCAATACGTCGATTTATACATTTTCTACATTTTCTACAATTTCTGGTCTCAAATAAGTTGTGATATTTGGTATGTATGGAATTAATCAGGAAGGAAGTATCGAATGGTCTCATGCCATGCTTCAAGTTTACATGGCAATCGAAACGACCGCGCCGACCGCAAAAAATTTTCGGGCTGACAAATTTTTGGACACTTATACAGTGCTGGTTGATTAGCCCAATCGCCATGTGCAGTATGAATATGAATTGATAGTAGTCCATGGCTTTTAATGCATTGCGCTGTGTCGATCAATATGATATATCTGTTAATCATCTTGTTCTTTTCGTGCGTCAGGTTCTGGGAGGTATTTTGCTGAAATCGACAAGGCGGCGCCAAGGAAAAACATGAAAATCCAAATTGCGTAACCTCCAACCAGCTGCGTTCTCGTGCCTAACGCAAAGAGACTGGTGAAGAGTGCCGGGCAGAAAGCTCTCAGTCCACTGGAACCAGTCAAGGCCAGGGCATTGAGTGTGCCCAGGAACCTGGGCGATGGTGCAATATCGTTGATGGCAAGTTGAATTGCTGTGAAACTCATTGCAACACCACTTCCAAAGGCCAGGGCCACCGGCACGAAGACCCAAAAAAACTTGAGCGATCCCTCGGTATTCATTCGCAGTAGCACGTTTCCGAGAGGGCAACACAGGAAAAACCACGGGTAGGCAAGGGCGCAGAGCCTGATCACACCGTTCGATCCGATTCTGTGTTGTAGTGGAGGGAATACCAATAGAAGCCATGCGGCTTGGGCTGCGCCATTCAGACCCATCATCAGAGAAATTTGAAAGGGTGTGAGACTGAAGCCTCCAAGGTGCACAGGGGTATACCAGAATACCGGAATAATCGCGGTGTATGCGAATGCAAGGATCGTGATATGCGCGAAGACGTAGAGCACCATGCTTACACCAGGTGCTTTTAGGAGCTGCCAGGTTGAGAGGTCGCCTTGGACTGGCGCATCCGACCTAGAATTCACAGAGTCCGATTTCTTCTTCAGGGTCTCTTCAATGAACAAGAGACTAGACACAGCAGCGGTCGCCCCGATAAGAGCGATGATCAGACTGGAAAGGGCGTAGGGGTACTTTTTGAAGAACTCGATAGACCCAAAAACGCCCGGGTACTGACGCGTGGGGTTGGCAAGGGCACCACCCAGTAGAGGACCCAGGAAAATGCCCAGGTTTCCAGTAAATGCAAACCAACTGAATGCGCGAGCCTGGGTCTTGGGCGTGCTGTGTTCGGCGATCATGGTACGGATGGTGACGATAGTCCCCGCAAAAACGCCGGCAATGCACCTGAACAGAATCATCTGCGGGATACTCTTCGCCATACCGAATAGAGCAGTCGCAAATGTCACACCGAACAAGGATGACACCAGGACGGGCTTGCGTCCGATGCGATCGGCCGCTCGGCCCCAGAAAATCATGACAATGGCCTGTGTCAGGGAGAACATCGACTCGATCAGTCCGCTGTAAAAGCCAATATCCGAGTCTGGAACATTTCCATTTTCTTGCACCATCTGACTGATGTAGGGAAATATGGAGAAAAATGCCAATGGTTCAACCACTCGTACATAACAAAGCAGTAAGATTTGGCGCGTAGGAAGAGGTTTTTCCTCAACCTCGTTGGCAGTGTCTCCATTCGGCGACGACGAGCCGTACGGTGAGCCTGCAGCATGCGCGTCGCCATTTTTCGGTCTGTCAGAACCCAGCAGAGACGTCGTTTCGGTTACATGGTCGATATCCTGGCCAAGCCCTGGGGCCGGTACTGACCGGGAGGCAACATCGCGGGCGGGATGCTGGTTTTCTGTCCCCGATGTGGCGGGAGCCATGTGATATCCAGACTTAGCGAACAGCCAAGTCAAGTGGATCAGGAAGACGTGGATCGTCGTTCCCTTCACAAGGATGAACGGTAATTTGAATGCAGGGGGTTGACTCGGACAAATTTCCGTCTCCGCGGCTGCGCAGGCGGTCGGGGCGGACAAAACATCGGTCGTGAGCGAGGTACAAAATGGCAACATTCTACATTCTAGAGAAGTGCACGGTTCCACCCTGTAGTCGATACTTTGTTTCATGGACACCAAATTGGAGATTGGCTGTTGATTTTTTTGTCCATTCCTCGAAATATAAACGCCTTTGGATATGCTGCACCGCGCATATGGAACATCCAGAGCATCAACTCACAGATCGAGAGACGCATGACAGGAACGTGCTATTTCAAATTTCATATGATTTTACAGCAATGTAATATAGCAATTGTGAACGGTAGTGTATGTAGAAAATCCTTGCTCAAGTCACATAACGTACTTCTAGCCTTTTTGGGAGAGATCCGCCAGTACACTAAGACTAGATAGTGGGTGGGCCCGAAACTTTTGATGCTCTGAGTTACAGCACGCCTGATGATTAAAAAAAATACATCAGAAATTGTTAGTAAAACATCACTAGTTTGAAGTTATCGCAACTTTCCGTTCTCTTTATGTTCCACTTAATTGCATTTTGTCGGATCTCGCGGGGCGAACTGATGACGCAGAAATGCACGCGCGTCTACAAATACCCATGAGGCTTGTCGGTAAAGATAATAGGAAAAGTCATTTAGAAATCGCTCTCGGTTATGACCAGTATATACAGTCATATGTAGCGGCTAAATTCTCACGACACGAGAGATATATCTCTCTCCCGGGGAAGCCGCCTCATGGTGTTGCATCTCAGATATCTCGCGCTCCGAAAAATTCAAATCTAAACTTTAAGCTTGTTCCTACTTCAAGTTCCTGGAGAACCGTCATGACCACGAGGGGTAAGCTTATCTCCTGAAAACCTGCTAAACGGCCACTGAGCATGCCACAGATGTCTATTAATAGGGCGTAGATGACCTATGGGACGACCCATGTTGCATTCGCCATCGAAATAAGGTTTGGTCGAGATATCATGACTTAGTCCCGACGGGGTGGGAAGCAGGTAAGTCTCAACCGAATTACGCTGGGAGAAGAATTTCAATTGAGAAAAGACTGTGAATTACTATCCTACGAAGGGCTGTGACTGGGAAAGGCACAAATCTCCATCCACTAGATTTTTTTTTCAAGATTATAATTATATTATGTTTAGGTATACGTCTAAACAACCACCCTTAAACGCCAGCTGTTTTGCCTTGGGGAATTCCCTGCTCGAATTGGCTTCCTGGTCATCGCGTTTTAATCAATCCCAGGACAGCAGCCGTAAGATCAATCAGAATGAATGCCAGGATTTCAGGAAGAATCAAGCAAAAGAGCCAAATACAAAAGAAACCAAACACCGTTCATAGACAGAAGAGACAATTATTAATGGTGACTCACTTAGGCGAGGAGAGCCAGACCGTAGGCAACGGAGCCCAGGGCAGCACCGGCCATAGGGACGGAGACCTTGGCACCGGGGTTGGAGGGGACGAAGCCGCTGGCGCTGGGGGAGGCAGCGCTTCCGGAGGCGGAGCCAGCGCCAGCGCCAGCGCCAGCGCCAGCGCCAGCGCCGGGGCCTCCGCCGCCGCCAATAACACCGCCGCCAGCACCACCGCCGCCGGCGCCGCCGGCGCCGGCAGAGCTGGTGGCAGCGTGGACGGGGCTGGTGGAGGAGCCTTGGCACTTGCCGTTGTGGCAGGGAACGGTGGAGGTGGCAACGACGGTGCTGTTCTTAGCACCGTGGCTGGAGGAGCCGGTCACAGCGGGGTGGGTGCCAGTATGAGCACCGGTGGCACCGTGGGTGACGGCCTCCTTGGCGTGAACGGGGGGCTCGTGCTGCTTGCCAACACCGGCCTGGACGCCGGCGGCGAGAGCGAGGAGAGCAACGGGGGCGGAGAAGTGCATATTGGTGGATGGAGCTGAAGCGATTGGATCAAGAAGAGAGATGACTTCTTGTCGGAACGAAAGACAAGGCTGGTAAAGCATGTTAGTGAAAAGGATTATTCATGAAGCTTTTCAGGGGAAATGCCCTACCAAGAGTGGAAATTGATGCGATGGAGGATCTGAAGAAGAGATGCAAGTCAGGATGACCGGGAGGCCTTTCTTATAGATATGGGGCCATCCAAATCCGGCCAAATGAGCCAACCAGGAAAGTGAATGATGACATGTAACGACAGGAATTAAAGAATTTCTTCTGGCGTTCCTCTCCACGATCGTCCGTGCCTTTCTGCCCTCAAAGGAGCCTTGGGACGGGGCCATGGAACGAGATTTGCGATATTGCGGGTTTCCGCATCCGGGGGGTGGAGAACCGATGTCACTCTACCCCGAAGTTCGGCGGCCGAGCAAGCGCCGTTGCCCATCGGTGGTTCGACCGGCACTGCGAGCATCGCTGGGGGCAAGTATATATCACGTGACGGTATTCCCAATTAGGAAGTCGGCATCGAAAACGGAAGTGTTCAAGGCTGTTGCGCGTCGTTCGTCCGCCCACGGCACGGCGCCAACGGAGAATTCCTGGTCGATCAGCGACTGGGGAATGAACAATGGCATTTATTCTGTGGGGTATCATCTTCATTCTCGACTGTTCTCGGATGCGCCGCTAACGTTCACTTACTGGATGAGAGGCTACATTGAGAATGCACAATGGATCTTCGAGATAGACAATGCGTGGAGAAGTCCCATCCATTTGGATGCATCAAAGCCTTCGAGAAGAGAAGCCCTAGGGATTTCCAAGGAACTGAGGCTATTCCTCCCCACCAAGGTCGCCTTGTCGCATAGATGACCATCCCTGTCTTCCAGAGTCCATCCTGTCCAGGGATATAAAGGTCAAGCAATGGCTTCATATTGCACGGGCTATTTTTTGCACACTGTCGCACCAGGGGCCACCTGTTCTAGTCGATACATAAATATTGACTAGACACTCAGCAAGCCAACATAGTATATTGCACGACGCGGCCATCCGTGCACCTTGGACCCTGGTCCATCCGCTCTGGCAGTTATTTCGACGGCACCCATGCACGAACTTCATTATAGTGCAAAGTATCAATCCAAAGTTTGGGGTTACTGCATCCGGACATTATTTCGTCTGCAGAAGCGCCTTCTTGGAGAGAAGCACTGCCAAGTCGAGTGACAGCTGCAACGTTGCTCGCCCGTCGCGGAGGAATGTAGAGGCGCCGTCTCCAGATCAAGGATCATCGATCACCCTGTCAATTGCGTGAGGCCCGGTTATGCGGGCGGAAAGCTTCTGCAGCCATTCTTTATGATAGAAGCCAGTAGAAGCAAATCCCCTTGTGCTCTGTTTTCAGATTGAGTTGGTGGATGGTTCGAGTGTCTGTGTTTCGGTCGGACGACACTTGCATTCGTGAAACGCTTTCATTCACTGTACATCATACTGAATGGCAGCACGCGTGAGCCTGGCGACATCATCGAAGTCGTGGGATCGTGAAATTCTGGCTGTGTTTATTGATGGATTTCTTGGCCGGGGGACCTGGTTGGTTCTGTAGGGGCCACTAGGAGGGATACGTGGAAATTCGGCTGCAGTATGTTCTGTTAAAGATGTGGCTCGGATGTACCGATAATGTGTTCTCTGTAAAGCGCAACGCCGAAGCTGTCTTTAATTCACTAGTTAACAGTGGCATGAGGTGAAGACAATGTCAAGGTGACGAGTAGCGGTCCGGGTGGTCTTGGCGGGTCTCCTCCGGGCGCCGATCCCTTAATTGTTTGCTTCTGCGCGGACTTGCATCTTCAACCAACTGAGCTTCCCCCGGCTGGCCATGCCGAAACTCGAGACCGCCCTTCTCTCGCCGTCGCACTACGATAACGATGCGGCCTCGCTACGATCGCCCTCCGAGCAGGACTCCGACTCCGAGGATGACGAGTTCCTCCGCCATCCCCGCAGCACTCTCGAACTGAATAACCACGACCGAGCGGTTCTGGACGATGAAGATGAGTTGGAGAAGCTTTTGACAAGGCGTGGACCCGCCCATGGGTTGCGGAGGATGTTCAGTCCCAACGGGAGCAGCGTGCGGATTGGAAAGAAGGAACGGCGACGGGCGCGAAGGGAGGCCCGACAATCGCGTCGAGAGAGGGTCAGCGAGGAAGGAGAACTGATGTATGAAATGGAAGAGGGTATTGGAGATGATACGGACTCCCTCATGAGCGGATCATCGTGGGATTTGGGGGAGAAGGAGGACTATCTCTATGAGCCGGTAAGATTGGACCGCCCTGTCGTTGTCGAGAATCATAATGACTAACATCTGCTATCTCTGCCAGCCGTCACGGCCTTCCTGGTTGAAGATCCTCTTGGTTTCCGCCGTCATCGTCGTTTTTTTCTTCATCCTGCTCCTTGGCGCGTACAAGGCTTCGAGTGGCTTCCGAGCTTCACGCGCGCATCCCCAATCGCTGCTGTCCAACGGCACTGCGCTCTTTGCACCCACAACCATCCTCATATCGCTAGATGGATTCCGAGCGGATTTCCTTGACCGGGGTCTGACGCCATCTCTCAATTCGCTCGTTGCCAACGGTGTTTCTCCGCAATATATGAACCCCAGTTTTCCCAGCGTCACTTTCCCGAATCACTTCACATTAGTCACCGGGTTGTACCCCGAGAGCCATGGGGTGGTTGGAAATACCTTCTGGGATCCAGAACTGGAGGAGGAATTCTACTACACCCACCCCGCGGTCAGCATGCTACCCAAGTGGTGGAACGCGGAACCGCTATGGGTAACAGCAGAAAAGCAAGGTGTGCGGACTGGCATTCACATGTGGCCCGGGTCAGAGGCACATATCGGAGAGGAAGAACCGAGCTATGTGGATAAATACAACGGCTCGGAATCTTTATCGCGCAAGATCAATCGGGTCCTCGAGTTTCTGGATCTCCCGGGCGCCGAAGACGAGTCGCATCTCGTGCCAGAACGGCCACAGTTGATTGCTGCATACGTCCCCGATGTCGATAGGGACGGGCACAAGTATGGGCCCAACAGCACGGAAATTCGAGCCACAATCTCTCACGCAGATGAGATGGTGGGCGGCATCATGGCCGGTTTGGAAGCCCGCAATCTCACGAACGTGGTCAATGTAGTGGTTGTTTCGGACCATGGCATGGCCACTACATCCATTGAGCGACTCGTTCAGCTGGAACATCTAGTCGACCTTAACCTCGTTGAGCACATCGATGGCTGGCCATCCCGAGGTCTGCGCCCGAAGCGGCCTGAGGACCTACCAACTCTGCAAAAGCAGCTGGAGGATGCTGCCCCAAAATATGCTCATGCTGTAGAAATCTACACACGAGAGACGATGCCGGAGCGTTATCACTTTCAGAACAATGATCGCATTGCACCACTATGGATCATCCCCAAGACCGGGTGGGCAATTGTGGAACGCCCAGAATTCGACGCGAAGAAAGCCCTTGAAACGGGCGAGGTGTACAGTCCCAAGGGTATCCACGGCTATGACCATGAGCACCCATTGATGCGGGCTATCTTCATTGCGCGTGGTCCAGCATTTCCTCACAAGCCCAACAGTCGTCTCGAGGCATTCCGTGAGTGTTATACCTAGTAATTTCTGACGCGCCGTTAACTAACCCTTCTCTAGAAAACATCGAAGTCTACAATATCCTCTGCGACTCTCTTGGTGTCGACCCCGTTCCAAACAACGGCACCCTTCGTCTGCCCTTGAAGCCTGTGGGCCTTCACTCAGATGAGGATGCGCCCCTTGTTGACACGCCCTCCGATCCACCGGAGACCATAGAGACCGCTACAACGGCCGTACCTCCCGAGCCAACTAGCCCGGCTTCGAGTGCACCCACGATGAATCCCGAGAGCGATGATGAGAAGGGATCGACGTGGTGGGGAACGTTGTGGGATAAAGTCGAGAGCAAATTCGACGATTGGAAGGAATGGACGAAGGAGCTGTTTGACGCGGAGCACGACAACCATCCGGAGGATTCATGATTGACATTTATTAGAGCATATGGCGGGGGCTGCTATTTCCGAGATACCCATAATTACTACAATAATACATTTGCATATATAATGTTGATATTTGGACTTGTCCTATTGTCCGTTTTGCAGATGTTCTTGATTATTGTGGTCTTCTTTACGCGTTAGTACACCCTCATGTAGTACAAAATTGCCCAGCTTCCATCAACCAACACCAAGTGGTCGAGCGGTAACTCGGCTATCACATCTTCCTTGGTCTAGTGGTCATGATTTCCGCTTGTCATTAACACTGATAAGCGCGGGAGACCGGGGTTCGATTCCCCGAGGGAGAGATCTTTTTTTGCACTTTTATTTTTTTTGTCTCAATCTTCCTTTTCGTTTCCTTTTTCCCCTCGTCGATACTAACTATAAATAGCTCATTATCATTTTGATTCAGATTCAAATTGTTAGTTTCTATTCGCGAGATGTGGACCCACATGAAGGAAACGTACATGGAGCTCAGTAAACCCGCTGAACATAGTTGCCAATTCGGTCCTGGACGCCGAGACCCTGTACCGCACCCCAAGACATCTGCACAATGATCCATACGGCACACCATGAACTGCATACATAGCACACCCACTCGCCGATGCTTAGTCGAGTCGGGGAACCAAACGAGTCGCCGCCGCCCATTCAGCACGGGCCAGTTGAGCCTCAGCGGGTCAAGCTTAGCCATTGGCCTGGCCCTCCGCCTTCACTCCTCCTTCCCTGCCAACACCGTCACATTCCTGCAGTCTACGCAGCTGTACAGAACTGCACCGCGTGGTGGAGTGCTGCGCCCATGGTTCCTTCGGCGTCCGATTCGTCGCCCCTTCCCCTTGGCGACTCATTCCTCCTCCCCATGTGAGTCACTGCGCCAGGCAGGACCAGGCTTCTGCCTGCGCCAGCTCAGCGCCACGCCCAGAACGCGCCTGCGCGGCGGGTTGGCTGTCCGTGCGAGTGTAGATCAACCGTCATCTGCTCCGCAGTCAAGAATCCAACGAACCCTACAATGCGGCTTAATCTTCACGTTGGCATATAAAAGGGTAGCCTTCTGCCCTCTACGGGGAGCACTACACTTGGCGATAGCCGATCATGGCTGATAATATGACTATACCTTCCTTGAGAAGGAATTCTTTCTCCCAGTCCGATACCGCCATCCTTGAGGCGCTTGTACCGGGATATTCCTTGATCTACGGCTTTTTTAGCTCGTACCTCCAGATCGACATCACCGGCTACCTGCAATATGTCGTTCTTTTGGCTGTCTTTGGTGCGTCGCTGAAGTACATCATTCGCTATGTCACAAACTTCCTGGAGAGGTATTTTGTTTCCACCGCCGAGATCCGTCTCGACGATGAAATCTTCAACTACTTTATGTACTGGATGTCGCGTCAACCGCATATGAAGAGCACGAACCGCTTCGTGGCAGGCGTCAAGACAAACGGCTACTGGTCTGAAAATGAAAGCGATGACGAAGATGATGAAAAGGGAATGGACGAACTGGATGAGCCTGGTTGCGGCGAGGACGAGCCCACTTTTGATGAGTACTGGGCCAAGCTGATTGGGCGCGACAAGTACCGAACTTTGCGATATACTCCTGCTGAAGGACGCCATTTCTTCTGGTATCGTGGACGACCCCTGAGGCTCGAGCGACGGGAACAGCTCCAGAGTACACGTTATATCCTTAACAACGAAACCTTGTACGTGTCATGTCTCGGTCGCGATCCTTCCATCATCAAGGACCTTCTGAATGAGGCACAGCAGTCGTATGTGGAACGTGATGGAAATAGGACCGTCATTTACCGCGGCCAAAAGCTATATCTGGGTCGGCCTTTCCAATGGACTCGATGCATGGCGCGTGCCCCTCGGCCCCTCTCGACTGTTGTTCTGGACCATGAGCAAAAGCAAGGTTTTGTCAATGACATCAAAGAATACTTACACCCGCGCACTCGGCGCTGGTACTCTAACCGTGGAATTCCCTATCGCCGGGGATACCTGCTGCATGGACCCCCGGGTACAGGGAAAACAAGTCTTTGTTTTGCGGCCGCAGGTCTTCTGGGATTGAAGCTCTTTCTTCTCAATCTGGACTCCAAGGCTCTTGATGAAGATAATTTGTCCTCGCTATTCTCCGAGCTTCCCCGTCGATGCATCGTTCTTCTCGAGGACGTCGACACCGCCGGCGTCACTCACAGCCGAGGGAAGACCATAGAATCATCGAAGGACAAGGACAAGACAGACGATTCCCGAGGCAACACTACGGAGGAACCCGAGCCCGAACCAGAAGAGAAGAAAGACGACTCCAAGCCCGATGGTGATGGCGTGACCCTATCTGCACTACTCAATGTCATCGACGGAGTCGCAGCTAGCGAAGGCCGCATCCTCGTAATGACGACCAACCACCCGGAAAAGCTAGACGCGGCCCTTCTGCGACCTGGTCGCGTCGATATGACCATTGCCTTTGGATATACAACCACCACAGATATTAAGGAACTGTTTACTTCAATCTATACGACAATGGAAGGCGATCTCCCTCGAATTGCCGCTTCCAAGCACACCAGCAATGGCGACGCAAATCCTGCGACAAACGGCAGTGCCAACCACGTTCACGAGAAGAGAAAGGCCGAGCTGGAAGAGAAGAAGAGACAAGAGGAGCGAGAGCAGCAAATGCGCATGGATGAGCGTCATGCTTGGATCTCCGAGCTTGCGACCGAATTCGCGTCCATCGTGCCTAACTCGGAATTCACTGCTGCGGAAATCCAGGGATACCTTCTGAATCACAAGAATGCACCTGATGATGCTATTCGCGGTACAGAGCTCTGGGTTCGGGGGCTTAGAGAGAAGAAACGTTCTCAAGAGAAACATTTAACATAGCGACGGTGCTTGGAATGGGTTATTGCTGTTTTTGATCTAACGACTACTACTTCATTACTAATGATGCCTACTAATGAAAATGAATGAACGAATGAGAATCACCCTATCTTCCGTGTCATCTGTGCCCAAATACTCACTCTTTTCGTTTCCTTTTCGACACAATGTCTCTGACTTGGAACAGCTCATTTTATAACAGATCTTCTCGGTCTATTGATTGGCATTTCATATGTCACATTCGCCGCAAGCTCTGGCACGGTTTCGCCTTGCGAAGGAGGAACAACATCTGTGTCCCCGGTCTCCTCTGCATTTCTTTTGTTGAGAAGAGAGAGAAGTCACAGAGACATGTGAACCAGCACGATCCCAATTGTGACGCCTAGACCGATCGTAACTTTCAACCCTACCGACATTCCCGAATGTGAAGCATCTGAACTCGAGACCGAAGAATGCTGGGTCGAGAAAAGTGCCAGATCCCCGAAGTACTGAGATATATCGATTGCACCAGGGTTATTGCAGCTTATATAATTATCAGCACCGCAGCACCAGCTCAAAGAATTCTTCGTTCCATCACAGGGAGTCATTTGCGACGTCTGAGTAGTGGTCATCAGCAACCAGAGTATCAATAAACCACTACAGAATCGAGCTAAGGCACAAATGGCATATCGCCTGATCCATGCGATGATTCAAACAATTCCCGGCAGCATTCCATTCCTAACTGGAACATTGTACCCGCCAATAACTACACACGATAGTACTTTCCCCGTCCTTGGTGGTGATATTCGCGATATTTTCGTAAAGCCGGTTCCAGAGACAGGTGTCGCGAACGTATCCATCTATCATCAGTCCGCCTAGTGGGTTCGTACGGCTGAGTGCGCAGCACATTGCTCGCGCGCCGTCGATTGCGATGCATGACTGGTAGTATGCTTTGTGTTCGGCTGCGCCGTCTGGGTTGTAGCAGGTGGATGACATTGACTGTGAGATGAGGGTGGCGACAAGAAGGAAGATCACGAAGTAGTTATTTGGCATGATTGGGTCGTGGCTAGAGCTGGTATTGGCTTTTTCAAAAATGTGCTGTCTGTATTTGGAGATACACTAGACGCTGATACGAAGTAGACAGCATGTGGACGAAAGTGTTCTTTTTCTGAACGTCATGCTCGAGACAGAGCATCTTGCTGAGATATCTTAGTCTGACTTGTTTCCAAACATGACCTGTGTTGTACAGAGGGACGCCTTCTTGAGGCAGACTTCCAGGTCTCTCTTTGAATGTTTCTTCGATCGTGCGAGTGATGGTCTCAGGGAATTTTTTTTTTTTTTTTTTTTACAAAATTTATCTATTGCGCTTTCTGAGGGTGTCCCATCTTACAAAGTGCTTTTCTCAATAATTGCAGATCATCTAAATCAAATGGTGGGCCCTATTGTTCAGCTGAACGGTGGGTACATTGCTGACCAAGCGGGTTGATGTTGTGTGACGATCGCCTATCTCGCGAATAGGAGAGTAAGGAAGAGCCAGTTTAAAATTTGGATTTGAAGCACAACAGCAGGTCCTGATATCAAAAGTGATTTTGTGTGCCCACCTAAGAATATGGAGGAACTGTGAGCTTTATTGCGTCACAGGAACGAAAATAGAACGCCACTGATTGGGTATAACTTAAAGATAAGGCTGAGCGAATACAATTATGGAAGACGAGAGACTACTTTCCTGGGCCAGGTTCCTGTCGACCCCTTCTAAGTAGGAGCTGTTCACATCATTAGCTCCACCAATGTATAAAATGCGTGAGCTGTCACAATGCTGCGAGTCGGTCGATTCTAGGAGGCGAGGGGATACATCTTAGTGTCAGGCTACTAATTTAAGAATTTAGGCCTCTTTGAACGAGACTCAAAGATTGCCGATGGAGACTGATCTCGTATATATTCATGATGCTTCAAAACAGAAATGAATAGAGACGCACAAGGGTGGTATATGGGTATCAATAAAACGAAAGCGAGTACCACCCGATCCTCCCACAACTTGAAAATATCAAAATTGTATGCAAATCAAACAATAGCCGCCTTGCCTCCCTTCAGGCTGACACTGGCGCCATACATACAGCGCTGCTTCATGCTCTTATCACACCAACCGTGGAAGAGCATGCGGTCACCACATCCGCAAACAGTCGCACCGCCAGGAGCAATCAGATTCGGGCTGTCGCCAGTCTTCAAAAACCCCTCATTGTTCTTGGTGTAGGGACCGGTAATGCTAGAGGCAGTAGCATAGCGGGTATCATAAGTTTTCTCGTTGTAGCAATGGGTCGAGTAGAAAAGGTAGTAGGTGTCATCAGCCAAAACCAGACTAGGAGCCTCAACCAGAGGGCCATCACCGTCCGCAGTGTTCCGGTCCAGTACTTGAACAGGGTCACCGACAGGAGTCACGGCGTCGTCTGCAAGCTTCTGCAGCATGATTGGGGTTGGGACAAGAGGGTCGACGCCGTTGTTGCAGTCGCCGCCATGGCCGATGCTGTTACCGTTGACCTTGTAGAGGACGTAGTTGGTTCCGTCTTTGTCGCGAAATCCAGCAGCGTCGATGGCTCCGCCTTTGTCAAGGTCACAGACGAGAGCCTTGTCATTTGGGACGTAAGGTCCTGCCGGGTGGTCGGCGAGAGCAGTTCCGACGCAGTGGTGGTCGTCCTTGTTTGGTCCGACTTGCTTCGAGTTGGCACAATAGTACATCACATACTTGCCGTCACCCTGAGAAAGGATTAGTAGCTATTTGCGGGGACTTTTGATCCGAAAGGTCGAACTTACTCGCTGAATTACATCCGGTGCATAGTGCAGGGCATCCTCCTCCCAGGCTCCAACAGTTGGAAGCCCTTCCGTATCGAGAAGGGACCAAGTGGTAAAGTCATTCGACTCTGCGATCTGAACGCGCTTGCCATTTCCTTGGGTACCAAAAGCGTACCATTTCCCATCGAGCGTACCAATGAAGCCAGGATCAGGAAAATCCGTGTCCAAAGCAAGATAAGAGCCACTGCGCTTATAAGGAGATCCCAAGACTGCCGGGATGAATGGCAGGACAAGGGCCACTAATGTGGAACGGGATGTGAGGAAACGCATTATTGATATCTGCTTCTCAAAGATATGGGAGCAAAGGAGAGATTTAAGTAGAGTAGAGTATAGATTTGCTTCTGGAAATCCAGCCGAGGGAGAAAATGACCAGTCTTAAATAAATGTCTAGCTCACATCCACGATGACATCGCACGGCTCCGCCGGCACTTGGCTGTTTAACCTAGCCTCGTGAGAAAGGAGACATGTATTCTCCGACACTGCAGTATCGTGGACTCGGCAGCTTCACGGCTGACACGACAGGTCAATCAGGTGCATGTGGGATAAACTAGAGACTAATGCCCGCGCTCCACTCATGATCCAGCTCGTGGTCACCCATTTTCGTTCAGACGTGGATTCGTGGATCCAATCACATAATGCGTCGGTGGGGATCAGTAACCAAGAGCAAAGGGAGATCGAGAGCAAGGCAGAATTGTGCCGGGGGCGCATGGCAAGGACGAAAGGCTAAAGTGCATAAAAAAGGACGCGGTGGGTCAGATCGGACAAGACAAGCAGCCTGGCGATTTTCGCTTCGCCGAGCTGGATCAGCGAGATTGGATTCCGATGGAGTCAGTGGGGGGGCCAGAAATTACACACGCAGGCCCCGGCTGTGTTTTCCCTTGTTGACCTACTAGTTTGATGTGCTATAAACGTGGGTGTCCGCGGTCGATGAGGCTGTGGAGAATTAGGATTAGGCTGGATGGCAGCGGCGGTCGGTAACCTTGGTATACCTTCGATCCTTCGAGGATGGGGGCATGTGGACGTCCAAGCCGGGGATTTTGTAGCGGCCTGAGCATAAACACCCATCCGGGACAGGCAGAGTGCGAGGCAGCAAGTGAGGATTAAGGCAGGCTGATCCTTCGGCTCTGTACGTTTTCAGAGCTAATCTGCATGTGGAGGAATGTTCGGGTGGACCCCGATATTGATCATGCCTAATCATGCCCAGAGGCTCGGCCCAACACGGCCAGGCATAGGGATGGGGTGGGCCCGGGGTGGCTTATAGCGTGCGCCGATCCCAGGGGGCCATGCCAGGTGCTTTTTATGGCTGCTCGACAAAGAACATCGCGTCGGGAGGAAACGAGACAGAAAATGAGACGGTTGAGAAGAGTACTCATTGGAGTGACCGAGTATTGGAGGAGCAACCTCCACTGGCCGTGTTGAAGTTGCTGTAGGCGAACGCAAGGGCGAGAAACGGACCGCCCCTCGCTCCGACGACTCCGAGGAATGCTGGATAGAGAGACATTTTCCAGCCAAGTGAGTCTTTTTTTTTCTCTTCTTATTACGGGAAAGTCAATACGATGTATTAATGAGCGATGTTGGTCGTAGGTACAGCGTGCAGCTCAGACACGGCACACTGGCATCAAGATCCAAAGCTCGATACCGTCATCTCACCCTTCAGGCGCCCTTTGGCGGAGAAGTGACTGGTCCAAGGCGCAAAGTGCAAGCCACCACAGGAACGAGCGCTTAGACACTACCGGAGTTACACAGGGGCGCATGGTTAATCGGACCGTTCACTGTGTGTTGGCGGGATCACATCTCCAGCCAAGCACATGAGCAGCTGGCAATAGGGTTGCACGACGGTCGATAGTCTCTTGCTAGACCCTGCATAGTTTGGGAAGCCTCAAAAGCAATGTCCCCTGGTTTTATTTTTCAATATCCGCACGTCCATGGATCGGGGGGTTACGATTCCATGGCTCAGAGTTCTCCATATCGCGACCGCGACGGTCTACATTGTGTACGGTGCTAGTAGTAATCTGCTGTCGCAGCGACGGGGGATAACAAAGTCGCGGTGTGGCACACCGAGGCGAACGATTTCTCCTCTCTCCATGTCGTCGGCGTCAGCGCGAAGTTTGGTTGCGGCCGGTGGATTGCAGGGCAACTCGCACGTGAGACTTTGACTGAAAAATGCGTCCGCGAGCAGGTGTAGAGCGCGTGACTTGAGCAGTTCCTCCGCACTTCATGTTGCGATCGGCGGCCTTACATACCAGTTTGGACGATCGCAGATGTGCCGAGGACATCGCGCAGTTGTCGATTGGGAAGACATCTCTGAGTCAGAGTCTCTTTCGGGCTTGGAGACCCCGCACTCGTCTTCTGCAGCGGCCGGCCTGATGGTGCAGCCAAGTTTCGCCAGTGTTGATGTCGCAGGTGGAGGAGGACAGAGGAGAAAGGCAGTGCCGGCCAGTCGGTGAGGATGCGATGATGTCACCGTCGCTGCTCCCCTTTTGGAGTGCCGCTCGATCGGCACATCGCATGACGGGGATGCTACAATATGAGACTATCTAAGACTGGTTTCCATAAATGATCAGTCGGTGGAGACGGGCGCATCATTTGACCTTTTGAGCCCATCGGTTGAAAGGACCGAACGAGTAATGTGATCCCACGTCATTGCGGCAGACATCTTCACGAGCATTGTGTACTGGACATTATCCTTTACTTTTCAGGCTAGCCATGGAAATATTTCCCGGTCGTACGATCAATAGGTTAATTCCGTGCTAATCTTCTACTACGAAATAAATTTTGCTGTGATCAGTGAAATAAGCACCTAGCATCTACGAATGGGGAATCCTTTACTCCATGGCTCTGCGATACAGTGCAGACATTCAGATTTAGGAAACCGTTTTTTCAATTTTTGGTGAAGACGTTAAAGTTACAGAATTCCAGCGTGTGTCCAACGCATTTTATGTCTATTGCGAGCACCATTGGTATTTACCAGTCAAGATGGTTTGATCCACATCTCCAATCCCGTACTTTTCTCCAAGCTTTTTTTGGTCTGAAACTGACCTTATAATCCGATTGTATTCCACTTCGTACCATGGGATTTGACCTAAAAAGCTAGTACCAATTTTGATCACCACAGTCTTAAAAAAAAGATGTGCAATCCAGATCGCGAAGAGTAAATGACCGGTTCGTAGATAAAAGTCCGAGTCGTTAATGGCGCAGCCTGCATACCATCTATGCCTCATCGAGCCACATTCCTCGCGGTCGCTTAACAGCGATTGCAACGCTCGGTCAGCCCTACCCGCGACAAGCGGCTTTCCTATTTCGGCTGGCGGGCGATGTCAGCCCTTGTTAGAAATGTCTTTTGTTAGGAGATAACTCGGCATCTTATCCGAGTGCCATACCTCCAGGCCCTGAGTCTCGTTAGGATGCTTGGTATGCTATTCAGGCACCTGTTCTTGACGTCTACTCGCACTCGGGCAGATTCTCCCCCTGCACATTCCATATTAGCTAAAAAGTCTCGTGGGTCTAGCTCTCAGTCTCTCAGACATGCCAAAAAGTCTTCTGGGCGCATCAACACTATTAGCGGGGTTGGGAAAATTCTCTTGCTCCATCCAATAATGATATATAGCCTTAGATGTTCCCGCCACATTCAATGGCTGCCGTTCTCGGATGCCCCTTGGTTTCCATTGCTTCAGTGCTACAATGTCCATCAGACAAATCTTGGGGCTACAGAAACCTACCAATCCACTGGATAATACCAACTCCCAGCATGATCCTGATCCCACTGTCCTAAAATGGATCAATGAAATCATTCCGTCCGGAAAACAACTTTTGGATTACTTTATCAGCTTATTCCCCTTCTTGAGATGGATAAGGTACTACAATATGCAATGGCTTTTAGGCGACTTGGTAGCAGGTATTTACCTTCCTATCAATCGAGCTGTGGATCGTGCAAGACTAATTTTAAACATTTCAGGCGCTACTGTTGGTGCGGTCGTCATCCCACAAAGCATGGGTTATGCAAGGTTGGCAGGTCTACCTGTTCAGTACGGGCTATACACCTCTTTCATGGGTGGTGTGGTGTACTGGCTTTTTGCAACATCGAAGGATGTCACCATTGGCGTACGTCTCAAAACGCATGCTTCATGATGCCATACTAAATCATTACCCAGCCTGTGGCTGTCATGTCAACCCTTTTGGGGTCGATCGTCGCAGATATGCAGGCTTACTACCCCAGCATTTCCGGTCCACAGATCGCCATGTCAATCACCGTCATATGTGGTGGCATCGTCACGTTTATGGGCTTGGCAAGATTGGGTTTCATCGTCGACTTTATACCTCTTCCGTCGATCACGGCATTCGTGACAGGATCTGCTATTACGATCTGTTCGGGTCAAGTCAAGAGCCTTCTGGGTGAAACTGCCGACTTTAGCACTCGAGCACCCGCATATCGTATAATCATTAACAGTTTGAAGAACCTTCCCTCTTCTTCAAAATATGATTCAGCAATGGGTGTCTCGGCCCTTGTCACCCTTTACATGATCCGAGCTGCGTGCAACTATACTGCACGTAAATACCCTCGCCGAGAGAAATCTTTCTGCTTCCTTTCTGCCCTTCGCACAGTTTTCGTCATCTTCATTTTCACGATGATCAGCGCGATCGTGAATTGCCATCGCAGAGAGGATCCTGCCTTTGCCATTGTGGGCTACGTTCCTCGGGGGTTCCAGGATGCCGCTATACCTCAAGTCAGGGGAAGCATTGTCAAAGAGATTAGCCAGAGACTTCCTGCTTGCGTTGTTGTTCTAATACTTGAACACATTGCCATAGCAAAAGCTTTCGGTCGCATCAACAACTATACGATCAACCCTTCGCAGGAGCTAATTGCCATCGGGGTTACCAACCTCCTGGGGCCATTTATTGGTGCTTATTCTGCGACTGGTGCTTTCTCTCGCTCTGCTATTCAGGCAAAGTCAGGTGCAAGGACACCAATTGCTGGTATCATCACCGCAATAGTGGTTCTGATTGCTATATACACTTTGACGACTGCATTGTACTATATCCCCCATGCATCCCTATCCGGTGTTATCATTCACGCAGTCGGAGATCTGATCGTTGCACCCAACACGATCTATCAGTTCTGGCGAATCTCACCTCTTGATGCTGTGATCTTTGCAGTTGGGTTAGTCGTGGCCATCACCAGCACCATTGAGAATAGCATCTATATCACTGTTTTTCTGGCCTTGGTTATTTTGCTTTTCCGATGCGCAAAATCCCCCGGTCAATTCCTGGCCACCGCTAGGGTAGGCGACAAAGATCACCAGCATCTGATGTTTCTACAAAGTGACGATCCAAGCAACTCTCATCCCGATCTGAAACTAGAGATGCCGCTGGCGGGTGTCTTCATATATCGGTTCTCGGAGGGATTCAATTACCCCAATGCCAGTCATTACACCGATGCCTTGGTCCGAAGAATTCTCGAAAATACACGCAGCACTAATTCAGAGTTCTACGGAAAGAAAGGCGACCGGCCATGGAACGACCCGCACCATCACCCAGACAGGGCCGAAATGGAGCTTCCCCTTCTCCGCGCCATCATTCTCGACTTTTCGGCAGTGAACAATGTCGATATCACCAGCATCCAGAACTTGGTCGACGTACGCAATCAGCTCAATCATCGAGCAGCACCTTTAGGAGTGCAGTGGCATCTTGTCAGTGTCAGAAATCGATGGACCAGGCGCGCATTAGCTGCAGCAGGATTTGGATACCCGACAAGTCCTTCTACAATCTCAGAGATAGGTGGTAAGCTGGCGGACTCGTCAATTTCTCCGGGGCATGGAAGAAAAGTGGATTTTGAAAAAGGGGAGGAGATATTTGCATGTCAGGGGTGTGAGGATTTGGCTGAACCTTATGAGAAGAAGCTCCGCAATATTGCGTCGGGACCTCTCGGAAATGAAATTGCACATCGACCTTTCTTCCATAATGACCTACCAAGGGCTTTGGAAAGAGTGGAAGCTCTTCTGCGACTGGATGCATCTACAGGAAATATATAGCTATGTCATTTGATTTCTCTAGATCAGAATGCAATGGAGGGCCAGGAAACATCAGTTCTTTGTAGTAAGTAGTAAAATCTCTCAGTAAATACTAGTCAGCTCTACAAGATGATAGCTGCTCCCAGTGCCATCGCAGCGACGGAAACACCAAGCACGGTTCCGAAGCCAGTCCAAGTAGATGATCCTGGGGTCATCCTTTGCGCAGCATTCGTAGGGCCGGCCTCTGAGGAAAATATTAAATTGCACGTTAGCTCTGAATCATCCTTGTATCTGAACATTCATTAATGTCAAGACGCACCTTCAAAGTCGGCCTTCTTATGGACCATAGTCATGATAGCGTAGCTGTCATATCCAGCCAGAGTAGCCTTCTCTTCATCGTCGAATGTCGTTGTTTTAGGTTCGCCGAAAGGATTTGTCGCAGTCAGAGATTCCATGTATTCAGTCGTTACGGTCTCGCCGTCGATCACCTTTGTTACCGTGACGAAGTTAAGAAAATCTTTTGCTGGAATGTGGTAGTTGCAACCCGAAGACGGTTTGTAATCGGGAATTTTGGTCCAGCATCCGAAGTCAAGATCTGCTGTGTATGAACTGAATAGATGTCGGTCATTTCTCCTTTGCAGATAACTAACTCCACATCGTGCTGGGTATACCTTGGGCAACATAGTACCGCCGTCTCGCTGGGCTCCAATAAGCTCAGGAAGAAATCTTTCGGTGATATCAATGCGTAGTCGGGCTCAGAGGTTGTCGTGGTAGATGCCGGGGCAAGAATACCCGATTTGCTCAAAGAGTTTTCATCGTCGCGCACAGCGACGCCCACGGTAGCCCAGCCGGAGGGGCAATATAGACCAGGAGAATAGTAACTTCTCTGATACATCAAAGTTGGATTCATATCCTGAGTTGTAGTTGGATCTTTCGTGCCAGTTGGCACGCAGTCCCAGCCCCCACAGTTGAACACTGGAGACCATACTCAAAATTTGGTGGTGACGAATTGGCGCCCACGTTGATCCTGTCGGAGTCTGTAGCACAGCTTGCAGGTGCTGTGAACGTGGTGGTGACTGGGCCCCAGTTCAAAAAGGTGTATCCCGAAATGCTGGAACTGCTAGGCATTTTGGTCAAGAATTTCGGAGTGGGGCGTATCTGTCAATAGTAAAGTTCAAGGGGACGGAGACTTTTCCAAATCGGCCGCGCGGGTGGGAGCCGTTTAAATACGACTCAATGCCGGGATCAGAGGCATCCGGTTGTAGTGTGGAGGGCGTAATCTGGGGGCCAAGCTCGAGTAGCAAGCGAGGCCGAGTCTCATGTTCACCATCTGCTCAACAAATCCAATCAATATCCTTGTCACGCAAAGGTTGCGCTTGGCAGAGCCTCATGCGCTCTCGTACCGAAGACTAGCGCCCCGAAGCGCGCATATGATTGGAGCGTTCCGCAGAATAGTCACACTATCGTGGTATGATGCCTTATATGTACTAGCCGGAGGGTTGGCATCAGTAAGGTCGCATCCCAAGCAAAGAGATTGACTACCAGTTGATTTGATTAGGATCCATGAGAAATTATATAGCTAGTAAACGTTTTGTTGAGGCTCACTCGAGACTTTTCATCAAAGTATCAAAAAATTGTGAAATTTGCGTAAACGTGCGCTTCACAAGTGCTGGGAATTCTTCTTGAAGTTGTATATTAGTAGCAATTGCCGGGATATCGTAATAAAATAAATAAATAGGCACATCTTTTCGATGCCCAAACAGGGAAAACATAATTTCAATGGCAATAGGTTCGATTTGATCCATCGCGATGTGCATAAAGGATTAGGGAAATGGCAGTTTAGTTGCAAGAGAACACCACCTCAGACAGCCCCATTGTCTCATTCATAATCTGCAGTCCTGCTCAACAACATTCTCGTCGCATTCGCGTCACGGTCAGAAACATTGGATCTTCGAAACAGTCAAAAGCATATCATCGAAGTTGATCCAAGGATACTTCAACCCTGAGTACCGCATTGAGGGCAGAATCGGCTAGACACAGCGGTTCCACATTGACCACAGTACTTGAAAGCAGTTGCAGTTTGAACAGGCTCCTTCGGAGGAGGTGTACCAGCCAAAGAGGGATTGGCCATCTCAGGGAAGCTGGGGCCGGGCGAGGCGGGCGAGCGAGGAAACTGGGCAGCCTGGTGAGGCGGGGCGTAGGTAGGCTGAGGCGCGGCGTAAGGCTGTTGGAATGACTGCGGCTGCTGTACGGCAGGAGTGGTGTAGTATGTGACGGTGTGGTGGTTGGCGCGGCTGCGCTTGACGCAGAAGACGATGAGGAGGATCCAAGCAGTGAGCTTGAGAACACCGCCGATAACGAACATGGCGATGGCAGCGTAGAATTCGCCCAGGTCCGTATCGACGCAGGAGTAGCTGGAGTAGTAGCTGTAATAGGAGCTGCTGCTATAGGAACAGTCGTCGTAAGAGTTGGCGACCCATGTTCCCATCAGAGCACCACCGATGACGAAGAAGACGATGGCGGCGATGAAAAAGCTGATAGGCCACCACTTGTTCAGCCGTGAGGGCCGCGGAACACCGGGAGCTTCCTGCATAATGGCAGATAAGGGATTCTCGTGGGCGTTTTGGTTTATTGACAAAAAGAAGGGAAGAAAAGGAAGGACTGCAGAAGGGCAAATGGGGCCTGGTGGCTCTTAAGGCGCCTGCGCAGGAATTCCTTTAGCCTCATTGTGACTAGATTGTGATGGATACGAAGGAATTTTAGAATTAAGGTGCGAAAAACGTGCTGAACCTATCACCATCAGTGCCAAGTAAGGGTTGGAGCTAGCCAGGTGCAGATTCCCTCAATTGAGCGGTCCATCTCGTATCCAGGAAGACACATTGCCCAACTCGATCCCGTAACACATCTTGATCCTGCATCGGACTCCTTCCAAGCATTGCCACGAGACACAGTGGCTAATTTAGTCAGGTATTCGGCCGCCGTGCTGGGTTTTTAGTCAATTTTGTAGAAGAAATTTTTTTCGGTCATCCCATCGCAGCCCCATTGCGAACCGTTTGCGATGCCAGGATCGCCAGGATCGCCAAAGCAAAGACACACAATACGATCCCTGATCCACCCATATCCACACCAACACGAGCTTAGCGGGAGAAGTGTTTGGGGTCCGCGACCATTTCCAAGAATATCAGACTTTTTTCTGAGATGCAGCAACAGGGGGATTTAACCTTGTTCAGTTAGGTTCAGAACCGTCAAGAGCCTCACTCGTATTCGCGCGGTCCCAGCGCCACACTCAGGCCCCTTTTTCACGGCCATAGAGCACATGCGAGCTGCAGAATGGAGGCGAAATGCCCCTTTTGCCGAGTTTTTGGCTTTCTCATCCTCGTAAATCATGATAGCGGAGCCTGGATTGGCTGAGAAGGGTTTGAAGCGGCAATCTGACAGATCGCGAGCGATGATCCGTTCCTGTAACTAACATCCTTTAGGGACTAGCGTGGACTTGTTAAGATTAGATCCTCTTGGCGGAGGTCAATCCAGGCAGGACGAGCTTTTTTAAGAATTGTGAGGCTATTCCAGACCGGCATAGACAGCCCTTGTGGAGAGCCGAATCCTTAAACGAGGGCTGGACCCTGCGTTTAATGCCTGCAGAAAGTACGTATCAAGTAGGAGTAAACGTAAGAAGTCAGTTAAGATCTCGTCTTATATTCAAAATGGCAGACATATTCACACCCAAACGCCAACTCCTATACGCTAAAACATATCATAGTCATAGGCATTCATATCCAGATCAATGCATGAGCAACCATGTCTCAAAAGGCACGCCCCGCGAGATCTTCTTTCCATCCCGCCCAACAGAGAAGAGAACAGGCTCGAAATCACAAACCGAGGCATAAGCCCGAACAAGCTGACGCCAATAACAAGACTCGGCCGCAGGTGTGAGATAGCGATCTCGAAACGTGCGTACCGCATTATTCGCAACCCGCTCCGCAACAAGCGGATTGTCAATAAGGTAGTCAATCTTATGCGAGAGATCTGAGAAATCAGGCTGCACCTCGATGAAGTTCGCATCCGGGCCGGAAGAAACGAGGGCAGCGTGATGTGCCTCGCGCCAATTAAGTGGATGCGAAATGACCACAGATCGACAGTTCAACAGATACTTTCCACGGCCAGAGAAACTGCGCCCCTCGGTGTGCGCGAGGAACATGTAGCGACAGTGATCTTCAATGGGGAGAAGGTTGTATCTGATATCGGTTTCATCATCCCAATCAATGACCCGGACACTAGCCCAGCTCTTGGTACTAGAGGCTTTGAGCAGTTTGGTCCGTATCCCGGGGTTGGTAGCGAGACTCCCACGCCAGACAAGCTGCTTCTTTTTATCCTGGAAGGAAAGACCCGGCGTGATCGTTCCATCTGGCGCGGTTTCGCCATCGTCAATCGCGGCAATGCGTTGCCGGACTTCTTGGTACGGTCCAACTTGGACTTCTGGCCAGGCCCAGTATCCGAAGTCCGGCATCAGCCAAACCGAGTCATCGCCGTCGCGTTTCGAGTACGACCATACGGGTCCTTTGCCTGTTGGATCGTTGGCAAAGTCCTCGGATGTGAAGATGAATTCGATGCTTGGGAGATTTTGGCGGTCAGGAACTGCTTTCAGGGCACGATGGAGGGAGTTGAGGGTTGCGCGAGCACGCGAGGCCGTCACAGGTTGAGGTGCGAATTCGACGATGTATAACTAGCAATCGTATGTTAGTCCCCTGTTGCTTTCTTCAAACCCTCTTGTAGCGGATATCTTCGCCATTTAAAGAGAAACATACCTCGCCTTTGTCAATAATAACTCGCACCATCCCATCCTCAACCTCCCGCGAATCCAGCTCGGCATAAGAAATCCGACTCTGAGCCCTCAGCGCAGCAGATTTCTCAATTTCCCCAAAAAGCTTCGGAAACGCTATTTTGCACCGCTCCTCTGACATTCCATGGTCACTTCCATCCCGACCAACAACAAAATCCCAATCTCCACTGATATTAAACGGGGCCTGGAAAGAGGGTAGACAATTCGAGCTTGGTCGCTGCGTCTTGGCGAGGTATCGAAGCGACGAACCGCTCGATTGGCGTGTGCTTAGCAGCAAGAATGTGAGCGTGAAAAGCGCGATCGTGGCGCCCGTAACGAGGAATCGAAATGAGGGGAGTTGGGCGAGCATTGTTGCGGGATTGTTCGAGAAGGATGTTTGGAATTCGGCTCCGCTGCCGGTCCGGAATGCGACTCCGTTGTCGATCGAATCGTGATCCTGTACGGATATAGCCCATGTAAATTCTGGCTCTGTTTGAATTGCGCGCGGTGTCTGGAGGGTGCATGAGATGCGTTTTTGCCCTTGTTGTGCCGAGGCCGAGCTGGGCGTCTGATGCGATTGTTTCCGGGCCAACGAGAGGCCGCCCACAGTTGCGCTGACCTGCTCAGTGGTGCGACATGACGTCGATAAAGTGATTAATTCTGAACAACTTTGGATGTTATCTACTAGGCTAGTTTCGCTACTATTCAAATGCCACTGACATGTCTAATTTTATTTTAGAAATACAGGTTTATCATAATCTTCATACGCAGACCGAGATGGCCACAGACTGGTAATCAGCACCGTCGAATCTTTGCTCCCAGCGATATCGAACTATGTTACATACATGGGGGAATGGGGGCCACAGGCAGTTGATAAATAGGGGGGTATCTCAACAGGTCATGAAATTAGAAAAAGAGGTGTGCTGGGCTGAACAAAAGAAAGCTGGGGAAAAATTGGGAAAGACGCCGGGGCCGTTAGATCGTCAAAACATGAAGCAGAACAATGACAAGATTGTCTGTCATAAGTGTTCAGCGCTAGCGCTCGTCGCCGCTTGTAGCGGCACTGCCGCCACGGCTGCTGAAGTAGCTCTCATCGATCTTGAGAATCCACTCCACCTTCTGAGCTTCGGTGCGCGTGGCGAAGAGAAACGTGTTTTGGGTACCGTAGACGGCAAAGATATTCGGACGTCCATTGGCAGAGAGGGAGCGGTCCGTCCCGGCCCCGGATCCGTCGAGCAGGCGTGCGAAATCGGGCGCGTGGTCGACTCGCGCATTGCGCATGTTGATGGCGTTGATTTCGTCACCTTCAGGAACGGAGTAAATGTGGAGGTACGGCCGGCGAAGCTCCACAAAGCGGCGAACCCAGACGCTGTTGGTATCGTCGGGTGTGAAAACGTAGCCCGTCTTCAGGGTAGAAGGGTTCTTGGGCAGAGTCTGAATGGTAGCGACGAAGCGAGGTTTCAGCGAGACCTTGTCTGAAGCCGAGTCCACGCCGTTGCCCTTGCGTTGGGCAACAATGGCGGCACCGGTTCCGGGAGGTTCGGTGTTTGTGCGGACTAGGATGGCCTCGGTAGGATCATTTTTGGTTGCCCACAACTCAAGATACTTCCGAAGGAGTTTCGCCTTGCGTTCGTTGAGGTCCTGATTGCGCAACGGAGTAGACCGTCCACTGCCACGAGCGGGTGAGGCAATCAGACTGCCCGCGCTGAGAGCACCACGGGCAGCATGTAACTCAGCCATCCTGTATCGACGCTTACGAGCTGCGATGTAGTCGAGCACCAGAGAGACCTTGCGGGGAGCCCATGAAGTCAAATATTCCTCGCCCTTAACGTAGTCGTTTTGCGTGTTCATGCGCCACAGGTCGGCAGCTCGCTTCGCAGAGATGGGTCGGATAACCAAAGAGTACATGCGAGTTGTTGAATGCACGATCCGGATGTTGCTCCAAAGCTGTTTGAACATTGATTGCTGGCGGATGTAGTTACGCCCAAGAATTTGCAGCGTTTGGTCAACCTCGAACACAACGGGTGTCTGCAGACGCGAAGAGACAAGGTCCCAGCGGACAGTGACTTGAACCTTGTACTTATCGGCAGTCACTCTGTCAAGCAGGAGAGAACCGTGCAAGCTAGAGTCCCACTGGCCAATGATGGTAACATTCGATGTGCCGTCGGCATTATCCTTGACCATTGGTTCTTGAAGGAACTTGAGTGGAACATCAGGAGTCTGCAGATCTTGGTCTGGGATTTTACCCCAAGGGTCAAGCAGGCGAACAGAGCCTACACGGGCGTTGGTGATATCATCCCACGGAAGACTCTCGGTCGAACTGTAGGTCATGTTGATTGAGACTCGGCGCTGGAGTCCTTGGTGGAGTTGATAAGTACCGGCGTCGAGCGGACTATTTTGGATCACCTCGACTGGCAAATACTCGCCCGACTCGGCCATTTCAAGGATCTGGATACGAGCAAAAACGTCGTGTCTCTCTTGGGAGTAGAACTCGGATTCCGCAAGTCGAGGTGATGTGCGTTTCCTAGTCGTAATATCCGAACAGTCGTGCATGTCATCCCAGCTCAAAAGCTTGTCCAGATGGACAGAGGTGATGCGTGCGTAGACACAAACCTTCAACGCAGCTGATCGCGGACTGCACAGAGGGATGCTCATGCTATGAACACTTTCAAAACGTACAGGGCTTTCTTCGAAGCCATTGATCATCTGCGTCGTGGTTGCACCTCCTTCTTCTGAGATTCCAGGAACGAAAAGTTGAGCATGGACGTCAGAGCCTTCCCACTCAGCAAATCCAACCATATCACGCATGACAACATTGAACACCAGTTTCGACGAGGGTGCTTGTCTGGACGATGGTTCAAGGGACAGGCGGATGATACCCACCACACTCTGGGTGTATGGTGAAGTGATCTCGACCGAGAAATCTTGCACACGAGTTTCAAAGACAGCGGTCAGGGGAATATCGGCATCTCCAACGAGAGAATACTGAGGGGAGCAAGACTCCGAAAATGGATTCTCGAGTTTGAAGTGCTGGATGTAGTCCGGGCGGTCGATGTACTGATGCAACTGTCGCATGGATTGGACACGACGCTGTAGCTTCTCGATAGACCAGAGGTGGATGACGGACTTCTTATAGTCGATCACTCGCACACCCACACAGGGTTTCTTGGTCTCTTCGAGAACGATATCTTCGTCTCCAGAAATGCCACTCAGGACCAGGTCATAGGAAGAAGCCATACTGTGACCTTGATCGATAATAGCAAATTGAAAAACTACGTTCTTGTCCATGATCTGGCTCATCACCTGAGCCTCCTTGAGAAGCGATGCATATTGCAAGATTTTCTCCGCCATGCGGACATAGTTCCGCTGTGACCAATGACGGTACACAGACTGGGCAATCGCGATTTCTCGCTCATCCAGTTTCGAAAAGCCACTATCGAGGATTTGTGGAACTGCGTGACCCATGTCTCGCATCTGGGACTGGAAGTTCTCCTGTTGTTGGCGCAGTTGTTCCTCATATTGCTCTTTGGTTGCACGAAGTGCATCCTCCATGCGTTGTTTCTCGGTTTGGATCTCGCTTGGATCAGGGTTGGAAGCGGCCTCTGCATTCCTCAGCTTATCATGATACTCCATCTTCTGTCGATCAAGCTGACGTTGCATATCCTGGTGGACCGACTTCAGAGAAACGCCGTTTCCATCATCCTCGTCATTTTGGCGCGGAGTACCGGGCATTGTAATTGCGGTGTCCAAAGAGAAATTGTCAATGGTGCCATTGGACATGTACTTGTCCCGGACTGGGAAGGAACTGAGAGAGTCCGAATCGTCCTCGTTCTCAGGAAGTCCCCGGCGTCCTGCTCGCACCTTTTGAACATCCTCAAGAAGAGTCTCCAGCTCGTCGTCCGGTAGATGAGAAATATGATCCGGGCCGAGCATGGCGCTCGCGGCCTCCTTTCTAGCCATGAACCAATCTGATTCACGACTTCGGGACGGCTGAGGAGAATCTGTCCGGCTCGTATCACCATCAATATCGGATCCCGTCTTGCTGACATTGCGATCATGAGACTTGTTCGGAGCAGGAGAACCCAGCTGACTGGTGGTCACGGAGTGTCGCAATAGACTTTGCTCCACTCGTTCGGCCCGGGCCTCCTGGGGGTGGTTGAAACGGAAGATATGAAAATCTCCGAGGATAATTCGAAAACCGCTTCGAAGTCGAGTAGCTTTGTCAATGCGGAGACCATTAACCATGATGGCAGCACCCTCGGTGGGGACAAGCGTTACAACATCATCGCCATGTTCGAAGGTACAATGCTGTGGGAGAATTTTAGAGCCATTCAAGCGGATATCGACATTGTTTCCTTGGTCCATGTGTCCGACAGTCGTGTTGCCGGGTTTGATATTGTAGACCAGACACTCCGCCAGTAGAGGATCGTCGCTGAGGTTGACCAAATGAGGCATCTTTTTCGGAGTGCTGAGTCCGATGAACCCTTTCTCGATGTTGATACCCAGCTCCTCAAGTGCTGCTTCACGCTCCTTATGGATTTCCTCGGTCTTTTGCAGCTTCTCCTCCCAGGTCTGGTTGAGGTCTTTGTAGAGCTTCTCACTCTGGTTCAGTTGCTCGACGATCTCAGCCTTGCTGACCTTGGTTACACTGCCATCTGACTGGTGAATGGAAACCATTTGCTGCTCCAAAGGCGTGTCGGGGGGTAGTATTCTTCGGCGGGCATTGCTCCAGACGCGCTCCCTGCCGCTCCAGCAGCGCCGCCTCCAAGTTTCGATCGGAGTTGAGCCAATTCTTCCTTAAGCTCGCGGATCATGCGAGCATTGGGGTCCTCGTTCACAACGGCGTGGTTCTTGATTCGCTTGGCGGAGTCGGCGTAGCGGAGAGTACTCAGGGTTTCCTCGAAATTGATATCGGCGGGGGAAATGGCAGCAATCATGGAGGTCATGGAGTTACCGCCCAGTGAGTCCTTAAGTAGCCAGGTCAGAATCGAATCACGGTAGGGGACCATGGAGGCCTTCTTGAGCTTCCCGGATGACACATCGGCAAGGGCAGCAATAACGCGACCCAGCGTGGACAGCGAGCGGTTGATCTCGGCACCTTCCTTCAGACGAGCGCCTGTGGCACCCGTCGAGTTGGCTCTCTCGGAACCCGCCAAATCGACCAGACTAATCTTCGAGACCTTCTCGGTATCCATCGATGTTTCAGCGTCATGGCGCTTTTGAGTGAGCGTCAGGGTGAATACGGCGTGGGATCGACTGGACGTCTCGTTCATGTTCGTCGCGGCGACCGTTCGAGCTTTGTTACCCTCGTCCATCAAATTCTCGATTTCCTCGAAAGAGCGCACCACCAGCTTCGCCAGATCTTCGACATAGGGACCAGTTGACGGGTGCTCGCGGACTTTCAGATTGCCCTTGTTGGACGGGTTGAGCAAATCGCGGACGCGTTCGTTGTAGATTTCGAGATACGACACTTCGACCGTGCAATTGAGATGCTTGTCTCCCTGCATCATGTCGGAGATGCGCATGAACATCGACTGGCAAATTCGGGGAATGACACCATATTCCTTGCCATATCCCATCATGGAGTACGACTTTCCCGAACCGGTCTGACCGTACGCGAAGATACAATTGTTGTAACCGCCAAAGGCGTTGTCCAAAAGCGGCAATCCCAGGTCATCGAAAAGGTTGTCCTGACCGGCATAGTTATTCGCGCTCTTGTCGAACGACCAGTACGATCGATCATACGCGAACACCTTGGGGCCGGAGTCGGCCTTGCCGCCTTTCCTCGATACATCTTGTGCGCCAGGCGGTGCGGTCAGCACCGTCTGGGCGCCCTTCATCTGAACGATACATTTTGCGCCTCGATCGATTTCTATTATTCACAACGGGGGTCAGATCAGCGCGAGCGCCGCGGATAGACATTCGTTCACTACGGGAAATTCAATACTTACCTCTGCTATTGAACGGTCGCACTCGGACCACCACCTTGATATTACCTCCGCCGCCTGGAGCCATCTTTTCTCCTACTCCATGCACCGGGAGGAAGTATTACAGGTCGAGTAATTTGCGGTCTCGATCTGAAGGGGGGTTCGCACACAAGCGGTGACGGACGGGAGTGTCGCACGGATGTGCGGACTCCGCGAGGAGCGCGACTTGGTCGGAACGGTGTCGCAACGGGGGTTACTCGGAGGAGGATGGAGGAAGAATGGGGAAGGTCGAGAAGCCCTGGTTTGTGGAGAGACTGACACCCGTGGATGTCAACAAAGACGTCATGTATTGAATTTCAGCGCGTAGGTGTGGGGTGGGTCAAGGGGGTCCCTCGAGATGTGGCGTTTGGGATCTCGCAGACTGAAGTTGAAGCCCCGTGGGCGCAGACAGGCAAAAGGCGAATGACGAAGAAGCGAATGCGATTGTCGAGGCCGCCTCTTCATGCGGAAAAGACACCTGCTCCGGGGCAGGACCCCTTGCTGAGGTAATCACCGCCTGAGGCCTGGCGGTGGCAGTACTCAAGCGTTCACATTTCATGCTGTATACAGTGAATTGTACTGACGAAAATCAGTAGTATAGTCTGCGTTGTCTTCAAATTTGCTTCAAGATTAAAGGCGATGGAATGTGTCAAGTAGCAGAGAAGATCGGTCTCGGCGCCTGACCGAGGTCAGGAATGCCAACTCAGTCCGTACGTGCATGAAGAGGTACCACGACCAGTAAAGATGAAGAGGTTATCGATGCATGAGATAGATTTCATTGAAGCGAACAGATATTTCGCTAATATTTGATCTATGTTGTTTTATGAGGTCATCATGTAGTTTATCTGTATCGCTACGAGTTATTGCACCACGCAATGGCCGAGTCTGGTCTGATATATATCGCATGAACATCACAACAGTCATGATCTACCTAGTGTGACATTTCATGTTAGGTTTCTATTCCGAGTTACCGTAGACTCCAATTTGAGTGAAACAAGCATATATCCTGAGATTTGCACAGATAATCCAACCTTGAACCCAGTCCCTTCATATATCAGCGCACGTAAAGTAGGTGTGTGGCTTCCTAGGTAGACGCCTCGACTAGACAGAGGATCGGATACCTCAGGGCTGCAGTGTGTGGGCATAAGACCAGCAAGCACCTGGGCAAGTACTTTAGGGTAGGTAAGTAGGTAAATCTGCGATAGAGCGTCCGAAAAAGGGTGAGAATTGTAGAGGAGGTAATTAACGTAGAAAGAAGACTGGGTCGTAGTGCTGAATGACCTATTTCATAACTCCTCACCATCTGCCGCGGCACCAGAAAGTGTACTTCGAGCGAGCGATGGGTCAAGGATCATTTTGATCGGAAAAACGTTGACCAGCTTTTGCTTCCGCCATACAGTATTCAGGTATAATGTGGACATATCTAGTCCACAGATGATGAATCTGAATCTGGACCTCTACACCTATCACGGTCAAGCTTCACACGTGGGGTTCGTTCGGACACTTGGACCTGCGGGTCCCACGACTGGCTGAGGTTGACCACCTCGCACGTGGGCCGATCTATGCCAGATCGCATTGAAATTTACGTACAGTTCAACCTTGGAATGAGTTGTTTTTTGTGAAGGATTGATTCTACACACATCGTCTGAGATGAGGTGGTGCTTCTACGATAGATTCCCGAGTTCAATCGTGCGCTTCTGCACTCATCCGGGGGACTCACCACCGCGGAACTTGACCGATGCGGTGAGCTGAGCTCCCCAGCACACAGCCGAGCCCCGAAAGTCCACTGGCCGAGTTGACCTGGCGTGTTGGCCAGTTGCAGGCGACAGGGGAACAGTCGGTCAGTTTCTCTCGCTTGACCCGCTGCTGGATGTCCCCGGCATCCCCGACCTCAGTTGCGTCATCGAGCCCGTAACACGGACTCGAGCTGGGGCGTGATCTCGGGGCGAAAGCGACAGCACCCAACCCCCGCCAGGCCAGATGGCAATAGCGTCGATCGTGCCATGTTCTAGCCGGCTCCGTGTCGCGGCGTGACGCCGTGACGAGGTGACGAGGTGACGAGTGTGATGATATCGAGGAGCCGCTAAGTACCATACCTTGGGGTATCCGTAAGATTGTGCAAGGACTTGGAGATCTCGATGCCGTACTCTATCCATGGATTACCCCGTTCCATGACCTATAAGTACAACGAAGCAGTAAGTAGAGTGCGGAGGGATGGGACTTGGGGTGGAGGAGGTGCCCAAAGGGGGGTCAGAGCCGAGGGTCTTGGGCAGCTCAAAGAAATGAGGACTTCGACGGAGAAGTACAAGGGCCCGCCGTCAGCAGCGCCCTCGCTCACCGCTCACCGTGTTGTACGCACACGTGACTGTCCCGGGTCTCCCGGAGTGTCGAGTGTGACGGGACGTGACGGTATGGAATGTCACGGATACCGTCACAAGGCCCCACCGGAGGGGTCCTGGCTGCCAGTCATGGTCGAAAGTCCGGGCTCACTGGGCTCTCTGACTTGCACCACGGTGAGCCATCCTATTTGTCGTACACTAGCGATACGCTAGCGAGACGGACGATACGGCCTGGACGGCGACGGCCCCCGCTGATACGCCGACGGGCAGCGGGCAGGTATGGCGGCCAGTCAATCAGGCCGCAGCGGTACAAAATGCCCCATCGCCCCCTTTTCGTCTTTCTCCCTCTGCCTCTTCTCGTTGGTCGCCCACCCTCTCCAGCTCGTCCTCCAACCATCGCACAGAGCCGCCCTTACTTCGCTTCATCGTGCTGCGGTCCAGTTGGCGAGCCCAATCATTTTCGTTGGATCCAAGCACTTGTTCTGTGCCCACCGGGATCTTATCTAAGGTACGTTTGTGTCTGCTGCGCGTGGTATATGCCGGATCGTACCCTGCCAGGGTGCTACAATGTACTATGTACGATATGCGAATGTTTGTGGTGATCCTTTGTTTGCCCGCGACCCATCGTGATTGCCCTGTATTCCCTAGTTTTGGGTATGACCCTCGACGCTGCGGACGTGGGCATGATATGGGATCCATCCCACCTGGCCAGAGCTTCAATCCGGAGCTGGCTGAGCTTGGAGCTTCCCCAGAGTCTGCCAGAGCCTGGCCGGAGTCGCCAGAGCCTGATAGCAGCATCTCACATTCCGCCGGTGTAAACATGCGGTCCCTCGAGTGCCCGATGTACCCTGGCCGGTGTACATTGGGGACTGCCGGAGGGAGGGTATGGCCATAGCCGGAGAGCTCCCGGAGTGCCGCATCCCACGGCCCAGTCGACTTCCTCTCTTCCCCTCCCCCTCTCCCCAATCATCGTCGCCCTTGGATCCCTTGTTCTTTGTGGACGGAGAATATCCACGTTCTCCTGCGCTGCTCTCGCCCATTTGCCATCATCCCCCACTTTGCCCTCCAGGTAAATCCCAGCTTCCCCCAATCCCACGTTGCGCGCCCCCCCCAAAACAACGCGCTCCCCACGGTCGCATGCGCAGCCAACGTGTTTCATCCTCGCCCGCCACCTATTGGCCCTGTCATTTTATGCGCGCGCCTTGACGGCCTGCTCGGTCTGTCTGGCCTTCTGTTTCGTCTGCCTACCCGATCGCCTCGTCGCCCTGTCACCCGGCACGCGTCCCTGGCATTTACATCATCGTCGCATGCGCATCTATCCGCATAGCTTTCACCTGGCTAACATATGACATCTAGCCTGCGCGAAACTGATTCGCCCTGCACTGCCTCGGGCCTATTCGCCTCGATTTTAGTTCTGCCTCTGCAGACTGTAGATCGACTTGGTAAGTCGCTGCAGCCTCCAATTCCCGTGCCAACGCATACATCCCACTGGCCTTGCGGCCTAACCCACTTCCCGGGTTCTTCCAAGCCTGCCTTGCCACCATTTCCCCCAAGACAAGGGGAGGAAAAAGAAAAAAAAATAAAATAAAAAAGAAAACCCGAAAATGACAAACTCAACTTCTCTTTCTCGCGATCGGCCAAAATGTAATACTGACGATGGCAGGTCCTGTGGAAGAGTGAGAGTGACCTGGATAGCGCGCTCTCTGACTTTGGAGTCACATTCGCACTATATCAGGCACCTGCTAGTCCGAGCCCGCACCGCCTGGAGTCTTGAATTCGGTGCTGAAGCAAAGAGCGTGAAGAGAGATTGAACAAAAATCAAGCCTCGGAACTGCGGTCGCTGCACCTGAAATAGTCTCCGCGTAGCCTCAGCGGGGTGGCATAGGGTTGCCAACGCATCAAAGCATTGCCAGGCGAGGAATTCCCCTCCGGCCGACTGCATCATCGCCCAACCACGCTACACCCGTGGTCCTTGAACCGATTTGCTCAAAAGCGCCAAACCCTCCGTTCGAGATCTCCTCTCAGAGGCCCGTCTCTGCTGGAGAAATTGTCTTGCACTCCCTCGTGCCTGCAGTGTGTTTTAAGGTACGCGCCGTGTTTCCCCATGGAGGATCCCCACCCGCTCGAATCCAGTGACCGCGCGCTGCTGCAGCGCTGTACTCATGCTGACGCGACTGCCCGATAGGCTGCAGAACCGTTGTGGGCCCACGTCGAATCATCGCTCCCGACCGGTTGGCCTGGTGGTGATTCTCGACCCATCCTGCACGCGCCGCGGTGATATCGCCCGGCTCTTCTACCAAACAAAGCCCGTCTGGTCTGATCATCTTCTCCCTTTCGCGAACGGCGCACCAATCCGTCGCGTCGCCAACGACCTCCGTCCTCTTATTGGCGATTTGGGATTCGTAGATCCTCTCTCTGATCCTCCCCTGTCACGGTACCGCGCGACTGTGCGACAGAACCAACCCCGTCGCAGCTGCCATCATGGAGTACCCGCCGCAGTACCAACAGCCTCATGGCCAACATCCTCATGCTTCCTCACATATTCCCGGTCCCTACCAAGCTGCTCCTCCGAACGCTGGCCCCCCGGTTGGGTCTATGGCGTCGCCGACCAACGCGCAGCCACCGATGCAGCAGACTCATTCCGCCCATCAGACTTCACCCATTCTCCCTTCCCAACAACATTACCAACAAGCTCAGAATGGCCCCGGCGCCGTTCACCAGCAGATGAACTTCCCCCAGGGTTACGGCGTGACTGCGCCGATGCCCCAAACATATGGCATCTCGCCCACGCAGGCTGCCGCTATGGCTACCGCGGCTGCCTCCGGACAGTTCTATCCTCTTCACCAGGATTCCATGGCTGGACAGATGGCCCAGGGCTCACGAGGGTCGCCGCGCATGGCGTCTGGTGTGATGAAGCAAGACCGCAACCCTCGCTCACCGCCCCAAATGCCCGGACAAATGCCACCGATGGGCACCGGCGTCCCCATGGCGCCGAACTCCCAGATACAGCAGCGTCGGATGAGCCACGTCGGTAGCCCAGGAGTTCAAAGTGCACAGCCGGTCCTCAACCACGTCGGTCGTCCCTCAGTCGCTCCCCCGGGAGCGCCTCAGCCCATGGCCCAGGGCCACTCATCACCAGAAATGGTGGCTGGCAACAACCAAGAGGAGTCCCCGCTGTATGTCAACGCCAAGCAGTTCCACCGTATCTTGAAGCGTCGTGTCGCGCGCCAGAAGCTCGAGGAGCAGCTCCGTCTTACGTCTAAGGGTCGTAAGCCGTATCTGCATGAGTCGCGTCACAACCACGCGATGCGCCGACCTCGTGGTCCAGGTGGTCGCTTCTTGACTGCCGACGAAGTCGCCGCCATGGAGAAGAAGGCTGCTGAAGGAGGCGAAGACCTCGGTGATGTCTTGAAGGGCGAGAACGGCTCCGCCCAAAAGCGGAAGTCAAGCGAAGTTAATGACGAGAACGTTAACCCCAAGAAGACCAAGACAAGTGCCAGTGCCGATGGCAGCGAGCAAGAATCTGCCGAGCCGTCGGATGAGGATGGTTGAATAATTTGTTCTCAACCCGATTAGACCTTGCCCTGTTTGCCCTTTCCAAGTACCAGGTCACGTTCTCGCGGGCAAGTGCACTTTTCCTATGTTTTTTTTTTTTTTTCATTTGTCGTGACGGCTTTATGGATGGACGTATTCTGGATCTATTTCTATCAGTTTGTTCCTGGTTGTTTCTTATATTATTTCGAGCGAGCGATAACCCACTTCTCTTCTCCGTGCCTCATCACCACCTCTTTTCACCTCCACCCCTCACCTGACCCTGACCGAATCTCCTTATGATGTCTGTTTATAACTTTATGCTGGGATGATATCTTTTTTCTCATTTTACCCCCTTTTTCTCAGTATTCCCCACGATGGCCGCGCTGTTTGAGGACTGTTTCCAGAATGACTCAAATGCCTAGGTTGATTCGTCCATCAGTGCCTCTCAAAGGCCCTGCGCTCATCCTCTATCAACTTTGAACACCCTCTTAAGGTATGATAAAAGGTTGGGAAGAAGATTGACGTTTACCTTTGAAATGCCACTACGATCAGGCCGGCCTCGTCCTGTGTATATGAATGATTTGATCGACAGTACAGCGCCTGTTTCTGCGACTCCACTGTCTTTTCAATCCTCGTCTTTGTCTTTGTTCATTACCCGACTGCGTGAATTTCACTTCATGTTTTGCGTTCTCGGTGTATTTTTGGGTTTGGTTTCCGGGCTGGGATATTAGAGTGGATCTCCTTCATTGGAAAAACAGATGGATATGATGAAGATGGTTATCTTTCCCCTTGTTATGTTTACTGTTTTCTTTCCTTTATGTTTTGGCTTGGTGGAGACATGGATATGGACCAATTTGTCATGCTTATACCATTTGAACGAAAATACTGTTTTTATACGCTTTGATTGATGTTTTCCTTACTCTAGAATCTATTAGTGTATGTGTCGGATTCTTTGGCTACACGTTGAATGTTGTCTAGGACCGATGTTACACCTTCAACTTATTATAACTCCTTGACCTGATTTAGCAAGCATATCGGGCAAATCGGGATGTCCTCCTCCTTGGCCACAGACTTTATGACCAAATTTCGGAACATCTTCGGCGTTCAAACAGGAGGAAACGATCCACGCAGGTTCACTACAGGCGTCTAGACCATTACAAGGAATTATTGCAGTTTCATTCTAAGTGCGGTGCATTGTAATGCGGGATATCGTCGTAAATACAGAAACATTTCCTTCCGTTTATGTCCATTTAGCGAAACCAGCGCTAGATGGCTTACTAAATAAGAACCGGTAACACCTTCCATGCAAAGAGCCTGCCTCGATTCTCGGCACTCAGACGGCTTCCCAATCCATCGCATCAACCATGAACCCCCAGTCGTCCTCAGTCCCACTCCCCTCCTGACCATGATCTCCCGGTTTCTGACACAAATCCACATGTGCTTGAGCCCGAGCATAACCCTCCTCCAACCCAGCAAATATGCCCAAAACGATCTCCTCGAAATTGTAGCTGGCAAGCGAAGAAGACTCATCTCGGTCTCCTATCAGATCCCGCTCTTTTTCGTCAGCGGTCATATCGGCCGTTTTCCAACGGTTGCGCAGCTCCTTCGCTTTACGCAGCATCTCATGAGCCTTCCCCGACCCCAGAACCGGCGTCAGGGGCGTGTATTCTTCCTGGAGCGCCTGGAGCACATTCGCATGGTATCGATGTAGTCCTGCCCGCCCGCTAGCTCCATTCTGCAAATGCGCGCGCGCAGAAACGGTGATATTGAAAACAGCCAGCAAGTGGACGATAGCCCGTTCCAAGAGGGCGTAGTACTCGTGGAAGTCGATCTTGAACATGATCTCCGCGTGCGCGAGCGACTCGCTCGAGACAGCCTGATCGATCGGAATGGTCGCGAGGCGATAAGCCTCTGCCAGAAACGGGAGCTTCCATCGCAGTCTGGAGACGATTTTCATGAAGCGCGCGAGTTCTTCGTGCGGAGGGAGGAGACCGGTGCTGGGTGCTGGCGCTGGTGAGCGGGATTGCGAGGGGTAGGAACTGTGGTTGAGGAGCGGGGTTTCGGATCTTGGTCGGCGGAGAGAGGGAGTGGTGCTTGTGCCATTGTAGCGACCGCTCCCATCGGGAGCCCAGCGCGAGCTGAGCAGATCGCCCATGTTGAGGGTGTGTTGTGGAATGTGGAGAGTCGAAGCGGGACGACACGGTGCGCACGGGCCATATACAACGCGAGATCTGGCATTGCCCGTTGCGGACGATAATTTGTATTGTTCAGGTTGGTGCGTAAGAGCAAAGAAAATTCATGATTCCTACAAAAGCAGAGTCTTTTGATCCAGAAGCCTTTTTCACTTTTATACCACACAAAGTCAAGAAAAGTCAAGAAATAATCCCAAGAAAATGAGACAATCAGACAGCGTACCCTTGATGGACTGCCTGAGGAAGACTGCACTAAAAGATGAACAATTTCTGCTCAGCGCCCTTTGGCTCTATTCTTTTTGAATGTACTTAAAAAGAATAACTATACAATAAAATATTAGATGGACACTGCATCTCTGACACCCTAGTAAATGTTGGTGGGTATCTAATCAATGGCTCCAAAATCGGTCACCTACTCGATCGGCCATTAATGGCCTTAAAAGTGCATTACGCTTCAGTATCGTATGATTAAGAAATTTCCAATATAATATAGACCAAGTCTATGTTAAGTTAAATCTAATTTGCTCTAGTAAATTCTAAGCTCCGCTCAAGCTTATCCTTTATTGAAGGTACAGAAGTACTTGCAAATAAACCAACTTTTGTTAGAATCCAGAGTTTATTTAAAGCGTCAGGTCACTTTGAGAAATTGGAAGCAAGAGTGAGAAAGATAGCTTTTGTTTCAAAGAAGTTCAATGCATTTACTGTGGTGGCAATGTTGTGATGACTTGTTGTTTGCAGGTCCCGAAGATGCTCTTCGAGCTCATGGCAAGAATATTCAAGAAAATCTAAGTGTCCAGCAATGCATCAAACGAGGAGCAAAACGAGGAGCAATCAGCCGCAAGTCGGAGACCGATCCGACACATCCAGCCTCCTTTTACCCCTCGAGGCCTTTGCGGAGGCAGACAGTGCCCGGCGACTGAGACATACAATTGTTTCCAGCGTTCACCCCTGAAGTCCTGACGGCCGTTCACCCTCCACCACCACTCTTTCCCATGTTGCTCCGCCCGTCAGATCTTCAACCTGGCGCTGCACCACCCTCCGCCGCGAAATCGTCCGAGGTCAGGGCTACACATCGTCAGCATCCCGGCCGGCCTCCGTGTGTCAGGTGACTCCACCCCAGGCACCGCGCTAGCCGTGTCAGGGCTAGTGGCCTCTCCAGCTCTCTCCAACTGCGCGCGCCTCCCCATCGCCTCCTCCCATCGACCCCAGGCTGAGCTCGTCGCTGGCCTTTCAATCGCTCTTTACAAGGCTTCTTGTAGGTGGCCTTTCCTTTTTATTATTTCCTGCATTCTCATACACAACCTTTCGTCTCCGGACTACCCTTTATGTTCCGGTTATCATCTGCTTTCCCCGCTCATTCTTTGTCATTCTGCTTGCCCCGAACACCGCAACTGCGCCGCCCGCGCTTTCGCGAGACCACATGGCTTCTCATGGATTCCCGCTTGTTGCCGGGGCATACTAGAGGGGAATCGCGCCTGATATCGTCTTGATCTTCGCCTTTCGGCTTCGGCCGGCCGGTCAGGGCATGTCCTCGTGCCGACGGTCGCTCCATTTCATCTATTTCCAGCCCCTGATTTCATTGTCTCTTTATCACCGCTACGCCACTTTTTCGCTTCCTAATTTGATTGGAGTTGACATTGACGATACCCATCTTAGCTTATCGCGCACGCTTGCGACAAATCCGTCGACATATTGTGACTTACCGCATTGCCTGGACCGACACCGACATTCCGAACCAAGAGAAGTGCCTGTCAACCCCAATTGGTTGCCGCAAGCGCCGTGAACTTCGCACGTGTACGTTTGTATCGGAAACCGCTTGGACAAGATGGACTCCTACGATGGCTACACGTCCCCGAGACGCTCCCGCGATGCAGATTCATTCGCCGGCCGAGCGCCTGACGAGTACCGACGTCGATCTCCATGTAAGTCGGCAGATTACACCGTTCTTAACATCCGAAGAGTGCTGTTTCTAAGCTCAATATTAGCCCCCCGACGCCGCCGTGGCCGTTCCCGCTCTCCCATGATTGATCGGTACGAGCCTTCTGATCGCCGTTCGAGAGACAATTATTACAATGGCTCGCGTGACGGTGGTCATCGGGAAGGCCGGCGACGTGCTTTGTCCCCAAATGTGGGACAGAAAGACTCATACACACCCGATGATTCTATCACCCATAATCGATATGTCGATCCTCTTTCCCTCGACTACACTCTAGACATCAAAGAGTTCCGCGTCTGGTGGCGGGACGAACAGGATGTTAAGAGAACGAAAGAGCGCACCAAGGGTATCAAAGAAGAACGTGAAAGCCGCGAGGACCGAGACAAAGAAGAGGCTCGTCTTGAAAAAGATTACAGCGACTATCTCATCAAATTTACTCGGGCTTTTGTACTCAAGCACAGGAATGATGAGTGGTTCAAAGAACGGTATGTTGATGAGGTTCGGAACCCTCTTCGCAGCCGCCTTCTGGCTTTCCGCAAAGGGGCGTACGAACAATGGGAGCGTGATCTGAGCGAGGGCCTTTTTGATGATTTCACTTTGGAAGGCATCTACAAGAGCGAACACGATGGCGCTGGTGGAGTTGTCGAGAAGGAAGAAGGCGAGACAACCGCCGTTGGTGAGACGCTGGGGCCCCAGGACTTGCTCCCGGTTCGCGGTGGAGATCTCCGCGATGAAGCTCTTTACCAGCCAACCTTGCTTATCAAGACATTGGCACCAAATATTAGCCGCGACAGGGTTGAGGAGTTCTGCAAAGAGCATCTCGGCGAGGGCGAGGGAGGCCTTAAGTGGCTGAGCCTCGGTGAACCCAAGGATCACAAAAAGTTCCATCGTATGGGATGGATCATGCTGAACCCGGGTAGCGAGACGGCGACTGCTGTCGAGGCGGGCGACGAACATGATACGGGGAGCATTGATTTTGAGATGAATCAAGATCCAAAGACTAACGAGGCCAGTGCTACCAGCACTGCCGAGAAGGCTCTTTCTGTCGTGAATGAAAAGAAGATTCACGACCCGGTCCACGGCGACTTCACTTGTCATATGGGTGTCCACTCTCCCCCTCCCATCCTAAGAAGGCTCTCTGGGATCTCTTCTCTGCTCCGAAACGGATCGAAAAAGACCTCGGCCTTGTGCGGAGACTCGTTGAAAAGTTGGATGAGGAAATGGCCACAGAGGTCAGTGATGAGGTCAATGCTGCTACTAAAATCGAAGATCGAGTCGAGGACTTGAAGCGGAAGGGGTGGTTGCAACCTCCAGTCACCGGTCCTGTTAGTGCCAAGCAGAACGGTTTCGATCCTGACTCCGTGGACGAGAAGTTTGAGGATGGCGAGGAGACCGAAGCCCAATCCAGCAATGATGTCGATGACATGGATTTGTTGGCGATGAAAAAGAATTTGGACTTGATGATCGAGTACCTACGACGCGTTCACACTTTCTGCTTTTTCTGCGTGTTCGAGGGTGATTCGGTGCATGGCCTTATTCACAAGTGCCAGGGGCATCTTCGCCGACCGCGCAGTGGTCTCTCGGCCCGGTCTGAGGAGGTTGCTGACGCTACCACCAATGGATTGGATTTCCCTCCTGAAGAGGAAGAGGACAAGGAAGAGGGAGAATCTTCACCATCGCAGGAGAGGCGGAATCGACGACCGGCTTCGAAAGCAGAGCAACAGTTGCTTCGAGCGTTCAACTGGGTCAAGAATTTTGAGGATAAGCTGAACCTCATTCTGGACCCAGAGACAGTTGATTTGCGCAAATTCCACGGCATGGACGAAGAAGAGGCAACCGTCGACGAGTTACTGATGAAGCATGTCACCAAGCGGGAGGTGCAAAATTCGGACAATCCGATCCGCTTCGATTGTAAATTGCCCGACTGCAGCAAGACCTTTGCGGCTGAGCGTTTCTGGCTCAACCATGCCACGGGTGGTGGAGCTGCGGGCCAGCCACCGAAGAACCCCGGCCACCAGGCGTTCCGCGCGAACATCAAGAGAGATGTAAGTTGAATACTCTGCGTTTGCGGTTTTTCAGAATAGAACTTACTTTGGACTTAGATGGCACTTGTCAAGAGGTTTGCTCTGGATCCATCTCGCATCTCATTACCACGCCCCGACCAAAACACCAAGAACCAACAGCTGCCACCACTTGCCGCGGGCCCCCGTGGGTCTAACATGCACATGTCATACATGGCGTACCCCGGGGGCCATCCCTGGCGGATTCCCAGTTGGAGGCATGCCCATGATGGCGAGAGGCGCAGGTTCCTGGGGTAATAATGGCATGATGCCTGGTGATGGTGGTTTGCATCAACCCGGAGTCATGCGCCGTGGAAATAATCGCTACAACAGCAACCGTTCCGGTCCGTACGACCGCCGCCGCCCCAACAACAATGGCCGACTCAGCCCCGTCCGCATGCCTAACATGTACGGCGCGGGCCACTTCCCTCCCGTCCCACCCGGCCATCCTGCAGCAGCCATGGTCGCTGCACCCTTCCCTGACTCCATGACCGCCGGTGGGGGACAGCCACCCCGCGAGTCAGTTCAAGGGCGCAGCATTAAGAGCTACGAGGACCTCGATGCTGTTGGTGGATCCGGCAGCGGTGAGCTGAACTACTAGCTGTGAAAGCCGAGCCATATTGAGGTACTTCTGATGTTAAACCGGCACTTGTGAAAAGTAAATCACGCTCTTTCGCATTTTTTTTTCGCTTCTATTTTACGGTGCGTGGCGTAAAAGGTCAAAGCAAGGGTTTATTTTCTGGATGCGCACCTTTTTTCTCCGAATATTCCATGATCAATGTTGACGGAGGATATTGTTCATGGACACTTTTAGCAGGTGCTCAAGCAGGGTATGCTTTACTTCTGTCGAGGCTGATATTCTTCGGCTGTGGGATGTGGCTTTTTCCCTGTCCACTCTTTTCTTTCAATTTTCTGACTTGTTTTTGATTTCGTTTAGCATGTACAATATCATTCGGCGGCCATAAATTGAGCTTTCAAACATCAGTAGTTTATTTCGTATTGATATTAGTGTACCACACCTTGTCTCCGGCAATCTCTCACATTAGAAGATTAATTAAAAAACCTGATCGAACTGGGTGCCATCGACGTTGATTGCCATCCCTGCCATTTCCCAAACAGCATTATATTCTCATGCACTAATAGTGTACCTTGTTGTTGCCAGAACACCCATCCGATCATCTACCCGGCCATCTAGCTCACCCGCGGAGTACTATCAAATATCTAAACCCCAGAGAGGGCGCGTGACTGTCTACAAAAAGTCTTCTCACGTATGGGTTGAATGTTGCTATTTTGACCAGAAGGAATCCTCTGGGAAATGAAAGGGTGACACAGCGACATCTGCCTCCACACACCTGGTGGGAAACCACGACTTTATCCTCGGAAGATCAATGCGACACAATTCAGATTCTCGAATGAAGGGAAAGTATCTAAAATCAGGCCAAGTACTAGAACTCATTACTCATAACGGGAGTGGAAAAATTGTCATCAAAACATCACGGCATCCGGATAACGATCTCCTCCCTCGAATCCCGCCATTCAGCGCCCATCCCTCGGATCCGGCGCTCACTCGCAAGGAAGAGCAGCAGGTAGATATGCATGGCAATTTCGCCCCAAGCGTAGACTTTTAGCACGACGGACAAGGATTCGGGCACATGAGATGGAATATATGCGGACATGGGATCTTCTGAGGTGGTTGATGCGGTCGACGGCAAGGTGTCGTGCTCCGTATCAGCTTCAGTTTTCTCTAAGATACACCATACGCCCCAGCCCGCTCGGGCGTCTCTTCCGATAAAGTCGGACAGAAACGACCAGAAGCGGTGGAAGAACGACGGCTCCCACAAGAGTTGATTATTTGGATTGAGTGGGGTTGGGTTTTGTTCTTCTGCGGGAATAGATATTTTTAGTGCCCAATACCCTCGCTCCAATTTCTCCAATTCTCTGCTTTGATGGAGGGGTTTGTAAGTCCTTGCACGCTTGAGTCGCTCAGTAAGCATAGATAGGGTTGGGGTGATGTGCGTGGTAAAGGGGGAGGTGGAGATTGGGGGCGGCGGGGGATGAATTTCCATTGGGAGGGAATGGAGGAGGGAGGTGGGGGACCGCGGATGGGATTGGGTTGTGGCGAGCGGGATTGTCTGGTTCTGATGAGTTTGATCTGGCGATAGAGACGCCGAGCAGGATTCCACCAGGATCGGCGATGTGGTCGGTGCATTGGGAGCCGTGGTTGAGATATCAAGCTCGCGGCCGGCGTCGTGACGGCGGCGTTTAGGGGAGGGTTGGTCCGGGGCAGACGGAGGTTCCTGCGAGCCATCCCAGACGCCGGGCGTACCGGCGACAGCACGCGCACCTGTCACATCACCCGCACTCGCATCCGCCATAGCGGCTGGCGAAGGAGAGGCGGAAAGGGTGGATGCGACACGAGGCTGTTGTTGTGCCTGACAGGAGGGCTGCGAGTCAGGAATAACGCTGACCAGGCTGTCCAGAGAATGGGGAGATTCCGGACGCGGCCGACGCGCGGACGCCGGCCGAGGACGATCTAAGGACGCCGGGGCACTGGCGCCGGGCCCGATCGCGGTCGAGGGTCCAGGGCTAAGGATCCGCTGAGGATCGGGGGCTGGACCAGTGTCATGGCCCGAGCGAGGCAACACGGCTTGGCCTTCCACATCGGGGATGCCCCCATCTGCAGCTGCAGGGAAGCAGGGGTGAGGCGAGTGAGTAGACGAGGAGGTCGAGCCCGAGACCGTGAGGGCGTCTGGCTCTAGCAGCGCGACTGGGACAGACGTTGCCGGTGCAGCTGTCACGGGCGACTGCGTCGAGTCGAAGGCGAGTCGGCTATGGCGGGTGTCTGCCGTCACCAGCAGCTGGGAGGCCGGCTGGAAGGCCAGGATGGCCGCAATCCGGGCGCGGTGTCGCGCATCATCGCCGACGCTGCTCGGGGCGGACACATGGACGCGGATCTCCATGGGCGGCGCCCCGATTCGGAGGGTGTGGTCGCAGTATTTGTCACAACTGTGTGATGAAGTGCAGAAGAACTATCGATTCCGCAACTGATCTCATCACGCTAGCGCCTGGACCAGGGCGGGTGCAAAGTTGGAACGGTGGAAAGCTGGTTTTCGTGCGGCCAATGCGGACCGATAGCATTCGCCAGGCCTTTTCATAGGAGACTCGAGGCATCGAGAATTGGTCGCAGTATTTTTGTCGGACTATCCACGCGATGGGCGTACAGGCGGGAAATGGCGCCGTTTGTGGAGCCGGAAGGAAAGGCCTGGTTGCAGAACCTAATTCCGTAGGCTCAGCATCGAATTCTCTCTTCTTTCTTCCTCCTCTGTTGTGTTGTGCTTCGCTCCGTCGGTCTCAGGGCGTGCCGTGCGAAGTCGAAGCTGTGTGTTGCGTCGCAAGTATCTTAAAGCCGTCGACGTGCCAAGCCCGTCCTCTCACATTCCTCCTCCACTCCTCAACGGTTGCGGGCTCTCTTCCTCAATTCCTCCTCCCTCCCAGGCACCATGGCCAACGGTGGGGTCTATTCCATCGACCAGATGCAGCAGCAGCCTGGTGAGTCGTGATCTCGTCGTCCCCATCTCGAAGCTGCCGAGGCCTGGAGCAGAGCAGCATTGGCAAACAAGCAGCTGGAGGCCGTTGCGACAGCCTCCGGGGCTTGGCCGGTCGTTCGATCCCTTGATCGGGCCTCAGCCTGGCCAGAAACTGCCCCGGAACTCTTTTCTGCTCTCCCGCGGTCGAGATATCCCTTGACATCGTGGGTCATGACTGACGTCCTTGCGCCGGGCCATCCCGTTCAACGGGAGGCGCCCCGGTGCGTTTATGACAGAACAACCGTCGACCCCGACGAGATCGGGCTTCGGGGGTGAATTCTTCAAACTTTTCGGAGGTGGCGGCGGCGGCGGCGCAAACAATCCTCCCAAGAAAGTAACGCGAGGTGAGGGCTCTTGTGCGCCACGATCGATGGAACGATCTCAGATCCACTAACCATCTCGATCTTCCCGCAGATGGCCAACCGCCAAAACGTCGAGGACCGAAACCCGACAGCAAGCCGGCCCTGACCCGCCGGCAGGAACTGAACCGCCAGGCCCAAAGGTAGACAGGATCCATCCGGTCGCCATCACTGAAATCTAACACAAATCGCACAGGACCCATCGCGAACGCAAAGAACAGTACATGCGGGCGCTAGAGACAGAAGTGTCGCGGTTACGAGAGGCCTTCACCACCACGACGTCCGAGTCAAACCTGCAAATTCAACAACAGAAGGAGATGTTGCAGTCAGTGCGGACCGAAAATGACATTCTCAAGGAGATTCTCATCGCGCACGGCATTAATTATGAGCCCGAGCTGGAGCAGCGCCGGGCGGAACGGGGCCCGACCATGGGATACCAGTCGAGCCCCGTCGCGGCCAGCAGCACTGGATCGCAAACTGCCGGCTTCGCCAATTCAACCAGCGACCAACAAAATACCACTCCGGCAACCTCGATCTCAACCGGTCTGAGCCCTCGCGCCGGTGGTGGTGTGGAGCATCCCGAGGTCTCACCCCCGATGGCCTTTGCACCCCAGCAGCAAGTATACCATGCAGGCCCGAGCGAAGGTATCGGAGCCATGGATCGGTCCGCATCCGTATGCCACATGGGAGACAGCCATATGGGGGATGCTCCAGTACCCGCGCTTGGCGGCGTCTTTGAAAGCGACCCACAACTACAAATTGACTTTATCTTGACGTACGCCACACACTGATCTTTTTCCTTTCTGAATCAGGATAGTATGCTAATTTTTCTTTCACAGCTTGGAGGGCCCTTGCCGCGAGCACACGGACTACCTGTGTCGCCGCTCCGTCACCGAAGCCGACGACGAGGACATGCCGTTCTCCGGGCATGCGCTGATGGCCACTTGCCCACCACCCAGCTATATCTCCAATACGACCCCCGATCAGCCCTATCCACACAAAACCCCAGACCTTCCACTCGCCAACCTCGGAACCCTTCTGAATCTCAGTCGCCAGCTTGTCACAGATGGCCAAATCACACCAATCATGGCCTTGCAATGCCTCAAGAACCACGAGCTTTACCAATCTCTCAGTCGCGACGATGTCAAGATTATCATCGAAACTCTCAATACGAAGGTCCGCTGTTACGGCTTTGGTGCCGTTGTCGAGGACTTCGAGTTGATTGATTGTTTGAGCAGTGTGCTCGGCACCAAGGTTGATCTGAGCATGGTGCGTCACCGAGACGATACTATTTACTCGTGATCTGGTACGTCGGTCCTCTGTTCTCCCTTGTCATCGGGGAACGGATGACAGCGAGCGTGCGACCATAGCAAACGATAACGAAGTCTCATGTCTGGAAAAATCCTGTTTTTGGCGTGTCATTGGAGTGAATTTTGCCTTCCCTTTGTTTCGGGTTGTGCGGCCGAGGCCAAATTTCATATGTTCTTTCTTTCCTCTATATCTCTTCAACCACCATTTTACCTGAGAAACACCACCACCCTAGGGACCTTTTCTTACACTTTATCTAAACTATCTCTCATCTTCGATCTTGTTGTCTCACCTAATCTTCTCTTTCTCCTTGCTATCTATCTCTTCTGTTGCTCTGGAGATGTATATATTCGAAAACGGAAATGGCAGTTGGTACTGGTATCTACCACGGGAGTTAACTTTTCTTTCTTTTGTGGATCCTTGTGCTGGAGACAAGGGCATTTCAATCGACCTCAACATTCATTTCTATTCTCAATGTGATAAGTATCAATCTGTATCGGTAGTGTAGTATCTTGGTCAACGCCAATCTCATATTCCGGCCTAGTCCACAGGCGGTCAAAACCGATAGTTCGGCTCTCACGGGGCACCGGTTTCACAATATTGACCAGATTTCTATTGGAGTTGCTTGAATGTAATGCCTTCAATTCAAAGGGCAGTTGGTGCATGGTTAGAACGATGTGAATGGGAATCAATGACCTTTACGTATACTTCACGCGGTGCTACACTCCAAGGTTGTGATTGTACTGTACGAGTATGATGGGAAGCTGCACGTGATGAATGAAATCAACACTTGACTTGGAATGAGGTTGGAATTCAAAGCGGTCATAACTGATCGTCGTTATCAAACTTTTGCAACATATGCACACCCAAAGAAACAAATAAGGAAAATGGGCCTAGTCAAGAAAGAATAGCGCATTAAGAATGGATATCTACTCGTCAGACTCATCACCCTTGTCCTCCTCCTGCTCGAGCTCAGCCTCCTCATCCTCATCGAAAGTAGTGGCAGGAACGCTGTACAGGCGCAGAACAGACTTGTTGGGGTCCTTGATCAGGACGTACTTCTTCACAGCATCGGCGGGCTCATCGGCATCAAGAGCACGGATGCGGTCAACGATAGTACGGACAATACCCCAGCCGTTACTGAGATTTAAGTTCATCTGAGTAGCGAACTCCTTAGGCTTGTAGCCAACAACGCCGAGAACGACGTGACCAGCGGCAGAGCGGGGGTTGGCGCGAGACACGAAACCGAGCTTCATGCCGTCAGCCTTGGCCAGAATAGCCTGGGTAGTCCAGCGAGCAAGCTTGCAGGAGTTGTTCTTCATCTCAGTAGCCAGAACGGCACCACGCTGGGAGGCGAGCTTGGAGCGCCAGTCCAGGGCGTTGCCGGAGCCGGGAGCCTTGCTGTCGAACTCGTTCAGAGCCTTGACAATCAGCTGCTGGTCGAGGCCACCGGTGGGGTTCTTCATGACAGCGTCGACCTCAGTCCGAACAACCATCTGGAGGGGCTCGTCGTCACGCTCCAGACCAATGTCGAAGCGGCGGTACTTGTAACCCTTGGAGGCCAGGGGCTCAGTCTCCTCAGCCTCGTTGTAGAAGGGGTTGGGCTGAGCGAAGGCGACCTTAGCCTGGGGAGACTCGGTCACGGTCTGCAGAGCGAAGTTGTGGTTGATGAAGGTGGCTTCCATGGCGAGAGCAGAGGGGGTGTTGATCTGCTCCTGCTTGCCAGAGGCCTCGGCGACCTCGAGAGGAGCATCGTAGGCGTTCTCGTTGACGGTAACAAGGTCAAGAGAGGCACCGTTGCGCTTGTCAAGGTAGATCTTGTCGCCCTGGTGGACGATCACAATATCCCAAGAGTAGACGGAGCGGGTAGCGCACATGAGCATGGAAAGGATGTCGGAGGTAGCGAAAACGGTGGCAGCGTTCTTCTCGGCAAGCTGGTGGATGACAGGGTCCTGGGAAGTGGTCACGTTATAGGCGGCACGGTCGAGGGCCTGGATTCGGCGCTCGGCGTTCTTGACGGGAGGCTTGTCATACGAGCGGTCGTAGTAGTACAGGAAACCGTAGGTGTCGAGGTCTTCGCCCTCAGGAGCCTCGAGGTTCAGCTTGGACAGACGGCTGAAATCAACCTCCTCCAGCATCTGCCACTCGGGGCGCACGTTGACAGAGGGCTCACGGGTGCGCTGGGGCTTGTCATAGTCCTTCCAGCCGAAGCGACGGCCACGACCACGGCCGCCACCGCGGTTGTCGTAGAAGCGGTCATTGCCACGGCCACCACCGGCGCGCTGGAACGCACCACGTCCACCACGCTGAGCCATACCACCGCGCTGGCCACCACGTCCACGGAAAACGGTACCACCGCCACGACCGAAGGTGCGCTTGGTCGATGTACGGGTGTTGTCGACAACGGAGAAGGAGGACTCGTCCTCGGCAGCGGCAACAGTGAAGAGACTGCCGGAGCCAGCACCGTAGACCTGCTGGTCTGTACCGACAAAAAAGTCATTATGGGTTCTTTGTGATTGAGCATCCCTCCAGCTTTCGAAGGGAGAGGCTGTCAAAGTATTTGGGGTAGGTTGATTCTCACCTCTGAAGTTACGGTTGTACTGCTGACGGCCTTGACGTTCACGGTCCTTGGACTCGGCAGTCCAGTCGGCCATGCGGCCCAACTTGTCGCCCTTTGAGAAGGGAGCGTAGGGCACACCGTTCAGCATGTTGTCGCTGGAGCTGGTGGGGCCCCAGGAGTCGTCCGCCGGGAGGGCGGACACGAGATCCGCGATCGAAGTTGGAGCCATTTTGCAGCAATTGAAGACTGAAATGGCGACGGGTGATGTGGTATGGTGGGGGAGGGATTTGCGGGAAGTTTTTGTGTCGCGAGGCTGTGGCTGGTGCGGCTCACCGCCACATCACGTGGGTGCCACAGCTGGTGTATGCCCAACTCAGTAGAGACTTCATCGCCTTTGTTTCTGTGTGTGTGTGTAAAGGTTCAGGAGGCACCATTGCTATTATTTGCATGTGACAAAATTCGCTCGCGGAATGCTCCCCAGCTGAGAATTTTCGGAATGTGTGCCTCGACACTATGGAGACTTGGGTCCAATTTTGAGGCCCCGACGGCTTGCGAGATAACCAGAGACATGTCTTGGACTGCGTTTCCTTCACGTGAATGATCTCTGCACTTATCGGTGAATACTATGACGACGAGACAAAGGCATCTGTGAGAGCATGGATTTGTCCCCAGAGACCGGCTACAGTCTCGCACCCCAGAGATTGACTAGCGTACCGATCGAAGTCAACCAGCACTCCGGACCCGGGGCTCCCAGTTCGCCTAGGATGAAGTGGTTCGTCCACTGTGCAATGAACGCAGTTATGCTTATCACCGCTGCTCGGATAGACTGGAGTTCCGACTCCGTCTCCCGCAATACACGCTCATGACAAATTGGTGGATACATCATCCCTGGGAGTTGACAGGGCAGATTTGCTTTTGCCTGCAATATCAAATCGATCCATCTGGCTGCCGATAGGCCCGTTCATCAGAATTGCCCCTGTTCCTTGCGATAGATCAGCATCTTGGCAGTTGCCAGGCCTGTCAATGGATACCGAACACTACGAATTGAAATTGGATCCCCGAGAAGCGGCTCCACTGATAACAACTCCCTTCATTCCCACCACCCGGAGCAGAGAACTGAACACTCGCCCCGCTGACTATTGTCTTCCGACATGGATTTTGAGGGCATGCACGACTATAATTGCAGTCAGGCCCACGCTCAGACCAGCTATGATCGACGGCCAAGAAAGGTCGCTTAGGGCAAGGTATAGCTACCGCCGGCCTCGGTTGTCGATCACGGATTCGATCTATGGATCAACTACAGGCTCTACCGACCAAACCACTGCTGTTCCTGCGTCTTCTGAACTCTTCTTCGCTCCACCGTCTTCGAATGGTGCCTCTCCGAGTGGACAGCCCTCCTATCTATACCCCTATAGATCATTCATTCCACCGGAATTGACTCCTGCTGTGGAAATGCCTTGTCTATAGCTCACACGATGACCTGAGATACCCGAACACGCTGATAAGGGACTATACGTAGTGACCTTTTAGGAATGGGCTTAGGGATGGCTCGGTAATTTGAGGTTACGTCTAAGACGTCTCGTCAAAGCTATATAAAGGGCAGAGAGGTTCGCGAATATAAGGACATCAGACACAGTCAATTCGCTCTCAATCTCATCACAATATAACTTTGAGATCTCTCGATTCTGTTATTATTTCTGTTTTCGACATTAATTCATTAGAAACCATCAAGATGCGCTTTCACATCCTCTCTGTCCTCTCTCTTGTCGGCGCCGGCATGGTCGCTGCCACTCCAATGGAGGGCTCTCTGTCCGCCCCCGTGAAGCGCAGCAGTGACTCTACCCAGACCAAGGTGCAGGAGGCTGCTGCTGCCCTGGCCGGCAACAAGATCGAGGACGAGTCCGAAACCTCGGACTGCGTTGGCTCTCTGCTTTGCTGTGGCTCCCTCACAACCCCTCTGGACCACATTGTCGATCCCATTCTGGAGGACCTCGGCATTGACGTCGCTAACATTGTTGGCTCTATTGGTCTGCTGTGTATGTACCCAGTCAAGAGAAGAATTCTTCATCTGAAAGTGAACTGACCAATTCCAGGTGACCCCTACGAGGCTTCCACTTGCGACTCTGCTCCCCAGTGCTGCACTGAGGCCAACCTTCTGGTACGTTGTATCCCAAGAACTGATCCATGAAAAAAGACTCTTTTCTAATTTGACTCTAGGGTGGTACCCTTGCTCTCGGATGCTCTGCTCTGAAACAGTAAATGGGCTCTATATGTTAACAGGTGGTCCATAGCGATGGATCTGGTGGATAATTTTGCCGCTTATGGAATACGTAAATTCTTCAGGGAGCACAGCCCTTTCGCTTCTTTATATTTATGTAATAAGAATTAACTTTGATACTTAACAAGCTCCATTTCGGTGAAATAAGTTTCGACGTTGATGCTAGGAGAATTTCTCGAGTTTCGACCTGCAAGGATTGATACGTTTAGTCATACTTGTTGCCCGTGTTCGTCCGCGGGAAAGAGGCGGAGTTGATACATCGACGCAACGGCCACTTCCTTCCCTAGCCCTATATCGAATATAGTAATCGTTGATGTCGATCAAATTTGAAAATAAAGCGATGTATAAAATTCAAGTATGTCCAGGCCGTGGCAATTTTGGTAGTGGTAATCGACTACTACTATACGATCTGCGCGTTCAAGAGGCCCAAGAGCGCTCCTTGCACATCTTCCCGGCTCAAGAAAATTTCAATCATTTTCAGAACCTTCCCATTTTGAATGTGATCGTCGGAAAGCACAGTCTCAAGCTCAACGTAAATCCTAGCGGTGAAGTTGCTTTCAGCTGCAAGCTTCTCATCGACACCGAAGAAATGGAGTGCATATCTATGTCTCCAAAGTGAGACATCATTATAGCCCTGCCTCCTTCCATAAATTGCACGCTCAATTGTGCATCCGTCATTGTTAACGACGAAGATTATGATGTCTAGGTTCTCTTTGATCATGGTCTTAATTTCTTGAACGCTCATTTGAAGACTTCCTTCTCCAACAAACAGAAACGAACGATGGTTCTCCTTGTCAACCTTGGACTTTGCTAGTGCCGCCCCGAGCATTGTCGGAAGCATGTATCCAATTAAGAGCCATGTGACTGCTCCAAATAGGCGCGCTCCTGTGGGAAATTTTGAAATGACGTCCTCCATGAGATGCAGTGCCAATTTCCGTAAAAATGAGATTGCCTGGATGAAATAAACGATTCACTAAGCGCCAGAAGATTTTTTTCGAACAAGTGAGCCCTTAGAATCGTGATCTACCTGGTCACTGGCCGCGATTGATTGGGGCGGTCTTAGGAGTGCGCCTCATATCGAGCTTTTGAAGTAGCCTTGACAGAAAGCCGCTCGAAATATCGCAATAGGTTTCATCGCCCACTTGAACAACGTTACTTGAAAGCGACACAGTAATCGAATATGGGGGAATCAATGAAAATGACCCACTATTGGTATCCGTGCGGTGAGGCCCCAAAGAGATGATCAATCCACAGTATCGAAATATTTCTTGTACACCTCACTTCTCAAGGATCCGGTATAGTTGTCGTGAAAGTTGGGCAGCGTTTCGTCGACAATACTCTTCCCAAGATAGTAGACCAAGTCGGCCAGCCAGTTTTCACGGCAAGTTCGGTCACTTGTTTACAGTAATGATGATTTCATTTACCCTGACCCCTCGCAATTTAAAAGCGATATCCAGGATACAACAACTATATATCCCTGTACGTACATGTAGAGTGTCCCACTTCCTGAAAACGAACTTAGAGCCTCGTCACGGCCTACCGTGGCCTAACTGCCGTTCCTGTTGTTAGGCTGCCTTGTGGCGCACGACTGCGAAACCGTTGTGACGCCTCGGCGAAGTCCAACACGGCCTGGACCGTCTTCGCCCTCGAGACGGTGTCTGGTTTACCTTTCTCACCTTGTTTTGTGCCTCCCAGCAGACTCGACACGCTACTGAACGCGTCCCCAACTTTCTGCCTCAATTCCTTTCGTAAATCCTTCAATCGTGGGCAGTCCACCAGTACATGGGTGACTGTTTTCAAAGAGCTTGGCATAGGTGGATAGCCAATTGTGACCCGTGCGTAGCTGAGTCAACAAATATGCTCGACCCTTGGCCAGATTTCCGTACAACTTTTCTGGTGTATGCCGACGGTAGAGTGTCGTCGATCTTCCGTAGATGGCCGCCTTGGCTGGCTGACCTCCACTCTTGCTCCCACCGAGCGATGATGGTGCTACGAACGAACGCCCTTTCCCTCGTGAGCAGCGGTCTGAATGGGTGGGTTTTGCCCGGTTTGGCGGCTGCCTTTGCCATCTGGTCCGCGGCATCATTGCCGGGGTTGTCGCAATGCCCTGGCACCCACTGGAGGCGTAGCGCAATCCCTGCGGTTGGACCTCGGTGACGGCCTGGTGGATCGCGTGAACAATTCGTTGTCCTGATTTCTTTATCGCACTCTGGATCGCTTGCAACGCTGACCTGCTGTCGCAGAGGATTGTTCCGGTCGTGTCTCGGTCTTCCGTTCTCGTTCGCTGGTGCGCTATCTTAAATACCATGCTGATCGCGTGGAAGATGCCAATAAGCTCCGCCACATGAACCGACCAGCGGTCCATCGGCCCCACCTGGATCTGTTGGGATTCGACTACTTCTAAGTTGTCGTTCAGTGCTACCACGGCTGCCCCTAGGTGGCCGTCGCGACCGGAAGCGTCTGGGTAGACGACGATGTCTGATGTTAAGCGGATGGCTTCGGCCTGTTCCGCTGCTGCTTCTCGGTCTGAGCCAAGCTCAATCTCTGTAAAAGGATCCGGACGCCACGGTGGTAGCGGTCGTGGATCAATTGTTTCCAGTCCGCTTAGTCTCTCGACATTCATGGTCTTCAGCGCTGCCGCTAGTGGAAAGCGAGCGTGCGATCCGATGTTGTTTCTTCGTTTCTGGGCTCGTGTGAGTGCGTTCCAGATCGGGTGTTCCCGAGGCAGCGTGTGAAGATTGGCCATGGTGCGCTGGGCTCGATGGCGAAGACGAAGATGGGTGGGGAGAACGTGCGTTTCGACTTCCAGGGCCATTGTGGCCACTGTTCGGAACGCCGACAGGATGCGGATAAGCGAGGTTCTCTGCACCGTGTTCAGGTGTCGCAGGTGAGTCTTGTCTCTCAACGGGTCGTACCATACGGTCGACGCATAATCTACGATTGGCGTGACGCATGCTTGATAAAGCTGTCGCATCTGTTCTGGGCGCAGATGTCGCAGCCCACACAGCGCGATAGTGACTTTGGTCGCACGTTTAATGGCCTGTTGCACATGTTCCTTCCACCGAAGCTCTTGATCAAAGACCACTCCCAGCAGCTTGGCTGTAGGTGAAGGCGAGACAAACGTCCCATTCACGACTATCTGGCCCTGTAGGTGGTCTCCTCTCTTCCTGGTGAGGTGAATGAGCTCGGTTTTCTCGGCAGCGAAGCAAGACCCAGTTCGCTGCGCCCATGCTTCGATACGGGGAATATCTTCGGACTGTAGTTTGGCCAGGTTCTCTTCGGCCGACCTGCCCATTCGCCAGCGGAAGTAGTCGTCGATGAAGGCCGAAGCGCTTCCTTGGAAGGTGACGGTTTGGTTGACTAGGTCAGCGTTGAAGAATGCAAATAGGATGGGTGATAGCGACGAACCCTGCGCGAGTCCCGCGATGGCTAGCGGCGCAGTCTCAGTACGGAAGTCATCGAACCCTATGCTAGCGTAGCGATCGGTCATAAAGCTTGCAATCCATTTTCGTGCTACAGAGGGAATCCTTACACCACTACCATCGCCTTCTTTTTTTGCCAAGCCACCGACGTACGGATAAACCATGCCACTACTGTCCTTCGCGGCTTGATCTTTATGCTAGTTGACCAGCAGCCATCCCTCATCTCTCATATACGGCGACAGTACGACAAGGCCGGGAAGAGGTCTTTGAGGACGTTAATGCGTGGGAAGCTTTGTCAGAAATCCTCACTAGTATCTTGGGGACTCGTTGCAGACAACCTATTTGATCATCGATGCTCTCGATGAATGTACTACGGGTTTAGATCGACTTCTTGAACTTGTCGCCCAACAGTCATCAGCATGTCGAAATGCCAAATGGATCGTCTCGAGCCGGAACTGGCCAGCCATTGAAGAAACTCTTGACGCTGCGACCCAGAAAACAAAGCTATGGCTTGAATTGAATGAGGCGTCCGTTACTGAGGCCGTCGCCTTCTTTATCCGCTATAAGGTCCAGAAATTGACGGAAAAGAAGAAATTTGACAATGAAACCCGTGATGCTGTTTTCCAGTATTTATTGTCAAACGCACATGGTACCTTCCTCTGGGTAGCTTTGGTTTGCGAGAAACTCACCAAGGTCTCGAAAAGAAACATTCGGAAGACGTTAAAAGAATTCCCCTCTGGTCTTGATGAGCTTTATAAGCGAATGTTGAATCAAATCAAACGAATCAGATGATGATGATGCTAGACTCTGCAAGTCTCTGCTCGGCGTTGTCACGACCGTTTAGCGCCCTATTATGTTGGATGAATTAGCGTCTTGTATAAATTTACCTGAAGGCGTTGCAGACGATCATGAGTCTCTAGAAGAGATTATTGGACTTTGCGGCTCGTTCCTAACCCTCAGAGGACGCACAATCTCTCTAGTTCATCAGTCAGCCAAGGACTTTCTACTTCGAGAAGCAGTCCAAGAAATTTTCCCCGACGGAGAAGACATAGTGCACTATTTCATATTTTCAAAGTCCCTGGGAGCCATTTCTAGGATGCTACGACGCGACATCTACAGCCTACTGCACCCCGGATATCCAGTCAACCAGGTCAACCAGCCAGATCCAGACCCGCTAGCCTCAATACGGTATGCGTGTGTCTACTGGGTTGATCAACTATGCAGGTGCTCTACAACTAAAAATGCGACCAAAGACCTCCAGGATAGTGGCCCAGTTGGCATTTTCTTTCGCAATGATTACCTTCATTGGCTCGAGGCTCTTAGCCTAATAAGAAGCTTGTCAGAGGGTGTAGCTTCAATACAAAGACTTCGGAGTTTACTAGAGGTTCGTTTTCCACTATGCAACCGAGGAAGTATTTTAATATTATGTTAGACAACAACAGAGAACTCGCAGCTAATTAATAGAGTTCGAGATGCACATCGGTTTATCCTATACCATAAAATTGGGATTGAGAATCATCCACTTCAAGTTTACGCTTCAGGGCTAATATTTACTCCGGCGAGGAGCATGACAATGATTCAATTTGAAACACGAGGACCAGTGTGGATAGTTAGGAAACCAAGCATGGAGGACAGTTGGGGCGCATGCCGACAGACCCTTGAGGGCCATCGAGACTCGGTCAATTCGGTCACTTTCTCACATGATTCTAAGCTCCTCGCCTCCGCTTCAAGCGACCACACCGTCAAGGTGTGGGATACGAGCAGTGGCCATTGCTTACAGACCCTTGAGGGCCATCGACGCTGGGTCGATTCGGTCACCTTCTCGCATAATTCTAAGCTCCTCGCCTCCGATTCAGGCGATGGCACCGTCAAGGTGTGGGATACGAGCAGTGGCCAATGTCTCCAGACCCTCAATATTAGAAAAGCCACCTCTGTGAAATCATTCGACAATACCAACTCATATCTTGAAACTGATAACGGTACCATTGGTTTATCTTTAGTTTCGGATCTAGGGCTGACCAATGCCGACCCCCAAGTGCCGCGATTTGAAGGTTATAGTGTAAGTTCTGATCGTGAGTGGATCACTTGGAACTCGGAGAATCTGCTGTGGTTGCCACCAGAATACCGCCCGCATACTTCTGCCTCATCACTATCTACAATTTGTCTTGGCTGTCCTTCGGGATGAGTGTTATTGTATACCTTTGATTCCTCGAGACTATTACATGCCCTTCCCGGGCACTGAATTCTTCTTAGATGAAGCATATTTTTCGGAATGTCACCTTCTACACTCTTGTATTTCAGCACCCTTTGCAAAAGAAGTGCCTGGGAGCACTGATGAATTTATAGCACAACGCATTGCCACCCCCATGCCTTATTGTTAGGTTCCATCAATTTCTAGAATATCCTCAAAAGGGCGACTCCTACAATGGCTTGCCGCATACGGTTACGAGACATTAGTCATGTAATGGCTAGTGTAGGTAACTAGTGAAGAGGGGAACGCTCGATGGCAGCACGCGCTGAGACGTGCGGGTCGATTCAGCAGAAAAACCACCACAAAACACACGCGTAGCAATCAGGAAATAGCGAGAATCCCAAATGTAGGGGTCAGGACGGGGAGGTGTAAGAAGGTGTATTCTAGAACTAGCTATCCGGCCACCGTATACTGCCGGCTATGTCACATAGTCTGAATGGCACCCATGTAGTAGGGGAGGGGGTCACCCCACTACACTAGTTAACAATATCTATATCTGCAAGGCTGCAGATTGCGGATATCACTTCATATCCATATCTGCAAAATTTGGATATGGGTTGCGGATATCTAAGGATATTGCGAATCCTGCCGCAGTCTAGTGATTAGTTAGACAGTACCTAAACTTTAATAGGCCACTAACACCTTACCAGCTTCTTTATATAGGGATAATACAGCCTATAGATTACAGAGTTTGTGCTAGGCTATAGTAAATAGTGATAAATAAGATTCCGGTGGCTGTAATAATCCTGAGTATAGAGGCAGGGGCAGTGACCAAATTTCGTCTTTAGAATTCTGCCAAGGGAAGCATATATTGCCGTTGTAAATAAAAGAAGAGACAGCGGATACCGGGCTCAGAGGAAACCCTCATCTCCTACAGACCGGCAGACCATGGTCTTTAGGCAATGAGCTCAAGTAGACAAGTGCTAGAAATAGGTAGAATGTAAGACTTAAGCCATTTCTTTGCCCAAGCTCCTAGGAACGACTATAGGCAGCAAAGCGCTTATCATCAGAAGAAGTGAGACAAAGAAAGAAGCGTGACGTCAGCCAGCCGGAGCATCAGGGGTGAGCGATCAGGGTGCTCAGGGAGCGGCTTCGGGAGCACTCTGGGAGCACTCCTGGAGCGCTCAGGGTCGCTCAGGGTTGCTCAAGGAGCACCTCAGGGCGACGGGGAGACTAACTCAGGCTGGGCTCCGGGAGCCGATCGCTTCCCGAGGCGGCAGTGTTACCGTCACCTTTACTACAAACAGCGATAAATGTAACTATGTTGGATGTCTTCAGGCATTATTAAAGTCTGACCGAGAGGGACTTACGTGAATGTTACTCCAACGATATGATTGGCTGTTGGTCATCAAAAGCGAGCAGAAGCAGACATTTCGGGTGCTCTCTTCAAGACCCGCCAATAAAAAATAGCGGTTCGGATCTATCTAGTCAACATCCGGCAGTGACATTTTTCTGGTATTTCCCTGTCCGGAAGATCGCTCGCTGCGTTTATAAATTTAGTCCCAACTGACTGGCATCTTATTCGGTTGCCTTTGCCAGTCAGTTGACCTCTGATCCAAAGGGACGATACTTGGGCGGTGTTGGCTAAAGATGGTGTCCGATGAAGCTTCGACATGTCCAGATCTCCGACCGAGTCCAGTCGCTCCTATCGGTGAACCAACGTGCGATATAGAAAAGAACGCCACTTTACCCTCGTCACATGAGTGTCAAGAAAAGCAGTCAGCATTTAAGAGCCTCGGCGTCCTTGATCGATTTCTAGCAATATGGACTTTCCTGGCTATGGCGACAGGAATCATTCTTGGCAATTTCGTCCCGAGCACAGGACCTGCGTTCCAAAGAGGGACTTTTGTTGGAGTATCGATTGCGATTGTTAAGGGAATTGATCCAAGTATAAAAGATTTTAGGGACTGGCAGTCTTTTCTTCTTCCACAGCTGTCGGTTTGCTTGTGATGATGTACCCTATCCTCTGCAAAGTCCGGTAGGAGTCTTTGCATCATGTCTTCCAGAGCCGACAGATCTGGATCTAGATGGTTTTTAGTGTATTTCTTAATAGGATTATTGCCCCGTTTTTCATGGTAAATCCTTGCTGCTATTGCTTTGTCTATATGCTTTTTCTATTCTTAACTTTGCACGTAGCTGGCGCTGGCCTGGGCTTTTTTTGCCAGACGAACCAGAGTTACGACAAGGGCTGATATTGGTTGGCCTGGCAGGATGTATTGCTATGGTGAGCTTCGCTAAGCAAACGATATGCTCTTCTCGCAACATTCGCTAATAGCATACGCTAGATTTTAATCTGGACTGGGCTTGCGGGAGGAGACGGCCAATATTGTGCTATATTGGTTGCGCTTAATTCGTTACTAGAAATGGTTCTGTTTGCTCCACTGGGAGTTTTCTTCATTGGTGTTATCAGTGGCGACTCAGTAACATTCGAATACGCCACCACCGCCAAGATACTCGCACTGTTTCTGGGAATTCCCCTAAGCTCCGCAATGCTTACCCGCTTTACCATTCGTCAAGTGGTTTCGGATAGATGGTACGATCGGGTCTTTCTGAAGTGGATTAGCCCATTGTCTCTAATTGGGCTCTTGTTCATAATCCTGGTTCTGTTCGCGTCACAGGGCCGTCAGGTGGTCCATCAGATTGTCTCTGTCATCTGAGATGCCGCATCTCTTATTGTTTATTTTATCGTTATATTCTTCGCCACGCTCTTTATCGCACACAAGATGGGCTTCGGCTACAAGTTGGCTATTGCTCTCGCTGTGGTAAGTTTCGGCGCAAATAGCAACCAGGCTCTTGCTTCTACTGTGGGACCTTTGATAGAGGTGCTCGTGCTGCTAGGTCTAGTTTACGCTGTGAAGTTCATGGCTAAGCGATTAGACTGGAAAGACTAGGCAGGATAGAAGACAAGGTCATAGATTTTGTTTGGTTCCATGCTGAATGATAAATTGGTTGCGCTTAATGGTAGAAAGGGTCTGAGTCAGTGCACAACGAGCCTGCTTGAGCGTGCGCTTCGAACGGTTTAAATATTTAAATTGTAATTATCCAAGGCATCCGAAACCTGATTTCCAGAGCCATGAGCATGTCACCAAAATGGCTCTTCAAAGCTCAATGTGGTAGAAGTCCAGGCAAACAAAAGCAGCCAAAGCTACTTATGTAACTTCAGGACTTCTCATTCGTCTTCAAAGTTTCTGGCGTGTCACTGCCAAGTCAGCTTTGGGTGGACTGTAAACTGGGATTCCACCGCCGCGCACCCCAAAACACATAGCACAAGATGGTCCATTCCAACTTGGAGGTAAATAACAGATTCCTTCTTCGAATACATTGGTTCAAAAGGGCAGATACGAAGATACGGCCCGAGCGCGCGCTTTCCACGTGAGCCCTCTAGCAAACGGATTTTTCAAGCCATGCATGGTCGGTGGCTCCTCGTCTTCTTCAAAGCCACGCTGGTAACGATCTGAAAGCAAATCCATCTCGCTCGAGCGTACGAACCGAGTTTTCTTCACAACTTTCCATCCGACAAACATCACAATCATAAGCCCAAGCTCAATGTAATAGCTCACGAAGTCCACAGGGGAAAAGGTGGGGCTAAAGCAAGACCATCCTTGTATCAGGACAAGAAATGAGTTCAGGCATATAGAGAAAAGAGGACCGTATGGGTATGTCCAGTTTTTGTACGGTAGCAGGTGCTCCAAACCCTGCCTTTTTATACCAGCACGGAATCTCAAGGAAGCGATTCCAATACAAATCCAGGAAAGCTGATTAGACACACCAACAATGCTGCGAAAACGTCAGAGCAGATCAGACTGGAAACAATCAGGAAAACTTACTTCTGAAGCCAAGTCCAGAGCTGGCCTGAGCCGATATAGCTGGCCCCAAAGCACAGTCCACTGATTACAGATGTGGCCAGAACAGCCACGATCGGCACCTTTCCCGCTGTGAGGTTACCGAAAAAACGCGGGGCGTAGCCATCAACGGATAGAGTATAGAGCAATCTTGAACCAGCAAAGAGAGCATGATTTCCAGCGGAGATGGCACTGGTGAAGATGACAGCATTGATGAAGCTTCCAGCCACGGCACTTCCAGCCTCCTGGAAGACAATAGTGAACGGGCTTGTCTTGCTGGTCTTTGAAGCTAGCCCAGGATATGTGTAGGGCACATTTAGACCAACGATAAGAACCGAAAGAAAGAAGAAGATGAGAATCCTCCAGAACACGTTTCGAACGACCTTGGGTAGCGTCTTGGAGGGATTCTTGGTCTCTCCGGCCGTCACAGCAATGGACTCTGTTCCGCCACTAGAACATGTCAGTATTTAGGTCTAAAAGCAGTGGAAAGTGGGTAAAAAGCATACTAAGCAAAGGCTGCTGTGACGAATACTGATGCGAAGCCACCAGCACCCCCAACAAATGGAGCTTCGCCAATATGCCAGTATTTGCCTCCGATATATCCCAGGTTCTTGTTTCCGCCACAATTGACAACGATACCAAGGATAATAAATACCTGAGAAAGTTAGAAATGTCCTTCGATTCCCTTTGCAAAGAGTGCTTACGATGATGGTTATGATTTTGAGCAGGCTGAGCCAATATTCGACCTAGACCTCGTTAGTACTTGATAAAAAAGAATATTCTTTGAGGTGGATATACCTCGCCGTAGACTTTGACCGAAACGACGTTCAGACCGATCAGGACGAATAGAAATATGAGGCTTATGGCCCAGCCAGGGAAATTATCGGTCCAATATTGAAGGAGCATTTGAAGAGCGATCAAATCAGCTGCCGTAGACACGGCATCGTTGAACCAGTAATTCCAAGTCAAAGAAAATCCCAAAGCATCGTCAACGAATCGACTGCAAATAGTCAGCAGGTGGTTCTATCGGATGATTGATTGTATTGGTCTCTTACCCAGAGAAGGTGCAGAAGGATCCAGCGACTGGGATGAATGCAGCCATTTCTCCCAGGGCAAGCATAGTCGTGAATACAATCGCTCCAACAATAGCATAAGACAACAGCAGAGAAGCCGGTCCGCCAGTTGCTAAAGCTTGGCCGGTACCCAGGAACAGGCCAGTGCCGATAGTGCCGCCAACCGCAATCATCTGTACCTGACGAGCAGAAAGTTTACGGGCCAGCTTGTCACCAACAATGTGAGGTTGGATTTGGCCATTTCGTAAGCCGCCTGGCGCAGCCTGCTCTTGGGGGTTGCCCTTCTCGAGAGACTGATCGTTCATCTCCTTATCCGATATCATGGCGGCCATGGTGGCCGGTGGAAGAGGGCGTTCTTATTTCCCAAGCAAAGAACCGATGAACAGCATCCAGGAACTATATAGTTTCGGAGAAACTGTCGGAAAATGTCTTATGCGAAACGAAAGCAATCTCCTCATAATTTTGGTGGGGAGGGGAAAAACACTGTCGAGCGCAGTCTTAGTGTGTCACGTGAGTTGAATCAATTTGATGTTCAAATGGCGTGCTTGATTCCGGTCACGTGGATGGATTCGCGACCCCCTGCGAGTAGTCAGCACTGCTCGTAGTTAGCCCGCCGCAAAAGATTCCAAAGACACAAGAAATCGCTTACTGGGGCCTGCATTGAGGTTTTATATCTGACAGGTACTCTACCCCGGATTTTCGATTATATCGGAGTCGGTGGAGGCTTGGCACTAAATGCGGAGAAGGTTTCATAAGCCCTTCGTCCGACCGAAAAACAGGGATCTATAGGATGGGATTGCAGCGCACCTTTAGCTCCCCCGCTTTGGGTACATGTGAGACTCAATTACCTGTCTTTAAGTGGGTATAGTTTCACATCATGTACCCCCATTTGTGTTCGATGAGGAGTGGACCCTCCGATTACTCCGAGACTTCTCCTTACACTAGCTAGCGCGGCCTTTCCCCCTCTATAACTATATGTTTTATAAAGCTCGGGGACCGAGTCCTCGGTAGTGCATTACAAAAAATAATCCTTGTCAATATTGCAAGAATGTCTTCGTTATCACTTGCTGATATTGAGACCTTCCGTGCTCAATCGGCTCCTTTGCCATGCACCGTTGCGCCTTTCCCGTCCGCGGTTGATTTCAATCGCCCAACGACAATGAAATGCCACGCCCCAAGAACTTGGATCACCACTAGAGCGTTGAAGGCCCAACATTCAGTGGGACAGCATTGAAGAAGGCTGCCAGCCTCAAAGGGACAGAAAATTCATTTCTCTTGGGACCGGCAGGCCAACCCCAGACTACTATCCATGGGACCTCCTCCCTTTCAAAATTGGACAGAGCTGGAAAAACCCAAAATGGCGCAAAATTGAAAGGTCATAATGGAATCAATGGCCACAACAACGCACCTCCATGCCAAGTTTCCACGAAACAAGACGAGGGCTACAATCTGGATTTAGCTCTCAACTAAGGGCATGGGATTGGACTACCTCATCTACTCCGATTCATCACGGAGCACGCGAAGCTCGCTCAACCCCGCCTTTATCGAACTGGAGTACCTGCCTGACCACAGGAACAACATCTGCTCTCGAAATTGCTTTCCGTATCTTCTGCAACCGAGGCGATAGATACTATCCTGACGGAAGAACACACAAATCCCGGTACTGTTGAAGCCGCAGGGCTATTGGGACTCAAAGGTCAAGCTGTGGCATTAGATTCCGAAGGTCCCAGTGACACAAACCTCAAGGGGAAAATAGATACATGGGATCCATCCCGTGGACCGAAGCCTGGGGTTCTCTATAAAATCCCATGTGGTCAAAAACCGACAGGTGCCACGATCACTCGAGAGACGACAAAAAATCCTTCGAATTGCGAAAAAGCACGAATTAATTATTTTCGAGGATAATACTTACTATTTTCTTCGACCAGGACAATGTTCAGAGGATGCTAGCTCCATTATCGCAGCGAGTGGTGTCTCCCCATACCTATCCCTTGATTCATCCGCGTAGTTCGATTCGATTCTGTATCCATCTTGCCCCCGATAAGCATGCTGCCTGGGTAGTGGCCAATTCTAGCATAACCGAAAAAGTCATCGCATATCATGAGATCAGTACGGTAGCAGTCTGCGGCCCCGTGCAACTCATGCTCTGCAAATTGCCCGACGAAAGCTGGGGTCACCGATGCTTCTTTTCTTGGCTGGACCATCTTTCTTTTCAATATAGGAACTGCTGGGATCTTCCGTTGGAAACTTGCGAGAAATATATCCTTCGGGGTATCTGCAGCTGGGTACCACCAGACTGGCATGCTTCTTTGGATCAAATTGGATTCAAAGCGGCATCTTCGATTCCAGAATCAGACCTCAAATGAGAACGTGAATAATGTATTGGTCGAAATTGAGACCAATCTGTTGCCATTGGCCTTGGAGAATGATGTCCAGGTCACCGAGGGCTCTCTATTCCACTGTAACAAGAGCCCTGGTGGTAAATTGCATTTCCGAATGGCCTTTGCGGCTGCCCTTGAAGAGGATTTGGGAGAGGGGGTTGAGATTTTGCGGGTGCACTGAAGGATGAATTTTTGGTAGAGTGATATGTTTCAAAAATCTGGAAGTGTTCCGACCTCAGGAGTTACCAATGACGGATGATCCGCCAATTGCTTCCAAAAACCCCGTCTCAAGTCTCAAAAGTTTTGACCAATTATACCCACCCATTCATCGATACTATTTTCATCAAGTGGCATGCGTTCTGGTCCTTCTTAAACAACACCCGAATAAAATGAACTGAGTAATTTTTGAATCGTTTGTGTCGCTTGGAAGAGTAATGCATAGATATATGGGGTCTAATTTCACACAACTGAGCCTTTTTGAATTCCAGCAACAAATACTCAGATCCCGAAGATATCATGGCCAGAAGGTGATGGATTACGCTCTACCTAGATATGATCGAAAATAGTAGTATGGCTAGAAGTGCCAAAGTACCCCGGATTCGGGTACAGTGTGGGCCTTGGGCTGAAAGGTGACGATGGAGGGGGAGAGCCGCTAGTATCATTGGCCCAGTGTCACATGTCATAGAAATAAGGGGAAGGAAAAGAGGAAAGAGAGCCACACGAGCATGGAACATACCGGGGAGCTTGTGCCGCTGGAGTTGGTGGACCAGACGCTTGCTTTCGTTTGGAAGGCTCGACCGTAAATACAAACGCCGCCCCGTCCACTGCTCTGTCAACGGGTGTAAATAGGACATTTGTGATCATAGACGAGCTTTGGTTACCTGCAAGCTTCATAGACAGCTAAACGAGCATCTTCGTAGCATGGTATTCTGTTGAAGGTCCACACATTCTTCGGTTTGGGGATGCATAAAAGCCGGATCGGAGTGGAGAGATCGCAGAGAACGCAGTGATGCACGCCTGCTTCTCCGATACGTAGACATGTGACCGGCGTTATTATTATTATTATTATTATTATTTATTCCTCAGGCTTTTCACGACCTTAGGTCGTATGCAGCCCCCTAGCTAGTGTGCATTGCTCCGTTGACTATGTACATTTGATGGGCTCACCACCATGCGGCCCTCTGTGCCTCAGTCATTATTCTTCACACTTCAGGGCCCAATCGCCCTGTCTCCATTGCGTACGCGATGACCGCTCTGACGATCTTGAAGTCGGGCTTCCATGCTCTCCGATCGGATTCACCTGCACCGTCAACACTCTCCGGTTTACCACCCAGCAACTGCGACCAGTTACCAAAGTGGGTACCAGCTGCTTCAATCACCGCGCGACGCTGTTCGTTTCATCGTGTGCATCGAAACAGGAAATGCTGGACCGTCTCGCGCTCCACGCCGCACGCGCACAAAAGGAAATATGTGGCAAGGGGAGGGGCGGTGTGTTGATGAAGTCCACGGCAGAAATACAAGGCTGTCAACTCAGCCCCAATACGATGGTTGATCGAACGACGCACCGGTTGTTTTCTGTCCCATACACATAGTGCTTCAAAAGATGCTTCTAGTTTTCTTTACACAAAAACATAGCAACGTGTGATTCATTCACGTCTCAAAAAAAGCATACCGCTGACTAATGAAGATATACAATTATTTTGTTATGGGACAAAGTCAAGCATTTGGCGTTTTTTAAATTGGCCTACTGGGATTGCCATGCTTTGACCAAACATTTCAGGGAGCCCGAGAACTACACTAGTGCAAGATTTTCTAGCAAAAGGGATGATGACCACAGATATGAATTAAAATCGCGGCGCATCGTGGCTCACCGACGAAGCCCAGCAAGGTGGGCCGTGACGTCACCGATAGACTTTCGGGGAACCACCTGGACAGTGCACCAAACCGGTTGCTCGGGTCAGTCTCTGCGTCCTCATGGACGCGTCCCTGGCAATCGGTCCACTCGTGCTAAATTGTCTACCCGAGACGATATTCGGTCTAGAGTGGATGATGACGTTATTGCCTGCCGCATAGATTAAAACGGAGCATAACCGCTCGGTAACGCGCTGTCCTGGTATTCCACTGTACACACGTACAGCACAAGTCGGAGGCGCAACTGCGTCAGCCATCGAAGACAACCAAACACCGCTGAGAAGTTTCAAGGTTGCGAGCATCCATGAGTCCGGGTATGACCAGAGGCCGAGACGTCGGCCTGTGCAAATATGCTCACAATATCGAAGCTGCTCGGGAACGGGAAATGCACTTGTATGGACTGTCTACTCTCGATGAAAGTGTTGCGAGAAGACCACGGCTGACGATCGCTGATAATTCAGGTATTTGCCGTACTGGGGCTTCTCAACTTCGGAAAAATTCGCGCAGCAATCAGTCGGTCAAAGGCCCAATGTGTCGCGCGATAATGTCCTGACAGTGTTTGCGCAACTGGCATGTCTGCGCCTCGATGGAAAGAGAGCGCTTATCAATCTTTTCGACCGGACTACCCAGCATGTCATTGCCGAAGCCACTCCCAAACTCAGCCTCCGCGGCGCTGAGAACGACAAGGAAGCCCTGTGGCGGGGGGTGCAGCGGCTTCCAAGCCATAACATCCCCATGTGCAACCAGGCGATGCATAGTTTTATTCAAGAACAACAGGATGTTTTCGTCGTTCCCGATCTGACTAAAGACTCGCGTTTTCAATCTCATTCCTCCGTCACTGGCCTTCCACATAACCGATTTTATGTATCTGTCCCACTAAGATCACCAGATTCATACATCATTGGCAGTGTTGCGGTCCTGGACGACAAACCACGTGAGAGCATGGCGGGAGAACATATACGGTTGTTGAAGGAGCTCAGTCTGACTGTGATGGATCACCTGATCTCACAGCGTGCGATGCGCGAAAAGGACCGGGAGGAGAAAATGGTCCGGGCGTTGGGTTTATTTGTTCAAGGCGAATCGGATCTAGCTGCAGGGATCTACAGCGGGGATGAGCCAAAGAACAAAGCCGATCAGCAGCTTTTCCAAGTCAACCAAAAGCTCAAGAATTTCCAGTTCTCGAAGAAGAACCAGGAAAACGGGCGAATGGCAAACGCACAAAACTCGGAGCCCAACCGTCACGAAAATGGAGAGAGGGGAAGAACTTCGGAAAATTCAGATCCTGCAAGCAGCGAGGCAATGCCAAATATAACCCAAAACAGCCACACTCGATCTCCTGTACAAAAGTTCAGGAAGGAAGAGGAGGAGCTGAAGGAGTCTGAAGGAAAGGAAGAGAATAGCCAGCGGCCTCCTTTATCGCCAACTACTAGTCAATTGCAAGAGAAACTAGCTCCGTCGAACGTCCAGTCCGTTCTCGATCGAGCCTCTTGCTTGATGAACCAGGCGCTAGACGTAGAAGGTGCCATGTTTCTTGATGCAAGTGTCTACGCTCGTCGCCAAATGATCGGACCGAGTGATTCTCAAAAGGACGAACCAAGCGACTTCGATGTCGAGTTCGAAACGGAACAGCATTGGGAATCGATGGCCGACGAATATTCCGGTCCCAAAAGCTTGGTCTTGGGATATTCTACCTCTACCACCTCTAGCAAGAATGTTGATGAGCAATCTCGACGCTATATTTCTCTACCAGGTGCATTTGTGGCTCATCTGATTGAAAGATACCCCCGGGGAAAAATCTTCCACATCGAGCGAGATGGAACGATCGCGCTGAGCTACGAGGGATTGGCCGACGATGTCAGCCAAGCCTATGTAACCGGAGGAAGAAAGCTTCGTGAAGGATCCCTCGAAGAGAAAGATATTCGCCAAGAAAATATGGACATCAAGTATCTCCACAGAGCGCTTCCGGATGCCCGATGTATTGGCATCTATCCAGTCTGGGACTTCCAACGCGGCCGCTGGTTCACTCTGAACGTAGCCTGGGCTAACGACCCAGGACGAGTTCTATCGGAGCCCAATGATCTGACTTATATGGCAGCATTCAGCAATAGCGTGATGGCCGAAGTGTCACGACTAGATATCCAGGCGGCCGATCGTGCCAAAGGTGACTTTATCTCATCAATTTCCCATGAGCTACGCTCTCCGCTGCATGGCGTTCTTGGCACCGTTGAGATCCTCCAGGACTCAGTTCAGACCTATTCCCAGAAAGGACTTGTCGAAACTGTATACAGTTGTGGCCGCACTCTCTTGGACACGCTTAATCATCTACTGGACTACGCAAAAATCAACACGCTGACCGAATCACGAGATCCCGGCAAAGAAGGAGGAAAGAAGAGTCTATCTCAGGCTAGAACAGCAGTACCGGGCCTTGTCCAGGATCAGAATCTTAGTTCTCTGGTCCAGGAGGTCGTGGAAGGTCTACTGGCTGGCACGGAATTTTTTCATCGAGAGAGAGATTCCGCACTCCGCACCAACGTCAAAGAAGATCGGAGAACTTCAACAAAGTCTCAACATCAAAATTACAGGAGCCGGCTGATAACTATCGTTGATATTGAGTGGCATGAGAATTGGCACTATTCGATCTACGCTGGAGCATGGCGCCGAGTGGTCATGAATTTGTTTGGCAACGCCTTGAAATACACAAATTCGGGGTATGTCAGACTTTTCATGAAGAAAGATTCGATGACCAATGAGGATAAAAAATCGGTTCCTGCTGTTCGGATCACTATTGGAGACTCGGGTCGTGGAATGTCGCAAGACTTCCTCCTTCACCATCTCTACATCCCATTCTTGCAAGAAGACACGCAGGCACCAGGCCTTGGCGTCGGCTTGCATCTTGTGCGCCAAATCGTGAAGTCTCTCAACGGCAAAATTGAATTCCGAAGTGAAATCGATCAGGGAACTGAGGTCGATGTTATCCTGCCGATTTCCGGCCCAGAAACGATTCCTTCCACAAAGTGTCCATATCTTCCTCTGCAAGATCGGCTAAGTGGGAAAACAGTTTCGTTCTTCACCAAGAGCTTCGAGCGAGGAGATCTTGGTATCAAGCAGCAAGTATTTGACGACATCCGGTACAATCTGACTCGGATGGTTGGCGACTGGTTTAAACTGGAAGTCCTAGGGCCTGACGAGCTCCAAGAGAAGCATTCCGACTTTTTGGTTGTCACTGAGCATGAATACCGGACATTGGCTCATAGTCCCGAGAACAATGACATCCGAAGGTCATTAGGGACCCAGCATGCATATCCTTTGATTGTCTTGAGTGGCCAGACTGGTAGCTGGAAAGTGGTGAAGGAGCACGACCGCGACCGCGCAATATTCCTATCACAACCGTAAGTATCATTGCCCAGACGTACCTGTTACAAACCACGAACGGGTTATTAATCATCCTACAGAGTGAGCCCAAAAACTCTCGCAAAGGTTTTTGAATATTGCCTAGCGACCGAAGCGGGCCAGGCAGACCAAGATAAGGAAGACGAAAGCTCAATATCTCCTCCTCTCATCGAGAGCCATGAGCTCCAGAACTTGCACGGGATGGACGAAGGAGCAACCACGAAGGAGGAAAACCAGTGTGCGAATGGCGCTGGCGCAGAGCAACCAGGCCAGCCGAAAGTTCTCCTTGTCGAGGATAACCCAGTCAATCTCAAGGTCAGTTATACTCCCTCCTCCCCTCTACCACCGGTCTATATTAATGGTTGTCTCAGATCATTGAAGCGTGCGTTAAGAATACTAAATTTGGCTACGAAACTGCGACCAATGGCCTCGAAGCATTGGAAAAGTACAAAGCAGATCGATTCGACGCAGTCGTAATGGGTTCGTCAACACAACCTTGTTCTTTATTTTAACGGCCGCTAATTCCTTTTAGACATCTCAATGCCAGTAATGGATGGCCTTTCCGCAACCAGGGAAATACGCCATTTCGAAAAAACGAATAGCCTGGATCCCAGCACCATTGTCATCTTGACAGCCTTCTTGTCTGCTGAAACACAGCAAGAGGCTAAGATTAGTGGTGTTAATGAATTTTTGACCAAGCCGACCCCGCTAAAGCAGCTGAAGCAGATGCTCCAGAACCTACCCAGACGGGCCAGCTCGGACCAGACATGACGATGTACACGAAGCCATGTGAATTTTTTGACGAATTGTATACCTATTTTGCGGACCAACCTGTAGTTTTAGTTCAATATTTGTGCATGTCTCGAAATAAATGTAACACTGATAGATTGGATGCTAATCAGCTAACCTGAAATATGGGCGATACTGACTTGACGCCAATGTCGTGGTATGAGACTCTCGAGGACAGGGCATCATTCAATTGCTCGTTCCTGCCTATACATTGGATGTGTGGAAATTGGAAATCGAGGAGGATACCGCTTTTTGCATGAGTGTAGATCTTCAGCCGTGAATCACCAGGTAGCGCAAATATGAGGTGAACACCCAGGTGAATCTACATATTACATCACGTGTATATAAATAAAGAGGGAAAATTCAGGGGGAGATAGATAAGCCAGATACCCATGATGGAGTCGCTTGCCTTTTCAAAATCGATACTCGAAGGCTTGCTGCTTCACCAGCCCGAAATGTGGCCCCCGAACCGACATCTGTCAAAAGCTTGGATGGCCAACAGACCAGTTCATCAAGCCTTGGATTGAGATACATCGCCAAATAGAGACCCGAAAGATGAAGCATCCCTCCAGAGGAAGCAGCCTGTTGCACATTGCAACTCAATTCTCGTTGACAAACATAATACCATGTGACGCAGTTGACGCAAGTAGTGACCCTGGCAGGACACCTCTCTCACTGGCAGCCCGCCGCTGTCATTCCAAGTTGTGGGTATACTCCTTCAAACAGGAATGGCAAATCCCAATGCCATGGACAAGATAGGACAAACGCCGTTGATAGTCGCCACGAGGGTCGGACGCCTATCCGTTGGGAGGGCACTTCTTGCCACGGAAAAATAGACGTCTACTATGCCGGTAAGGAAAGCTAGATAGCGCTTCATCATGCCGCCATCAATGATTGCCAATCGGTGACCCAAGCCTTGGTCGAAACACCCAATGTGAACGTCAATCATCGAGACAGGAAAGGGCAGACACCGTTTCATCACGCCATAATAGGCGGATTTGAGGCCCAGACTGAGATCATTCTGGGTTCATCTCATGTCAACTTGAACTTGAAAGATAGCAACTCTGCACGCCATTGTTCTGATCCGCTATCAACGACCAGACGGAAATCATTCGCATGTTTCTGGATGACGGCAGAGTTAACTGGGATGAGCAGGGCCGTCACAAGGGTTTGACAATTAACAACAGTTCAATAATCCAGATGATATTTGACAAGGGACGTCCGGATCTCGACTCAAGATACATAGATGGCGAAACAGCGCTCTCACAGGCCATGAAAAAGGGAGATTTGAGGTCGTCAAGCTCCTACTTCAGAAAGGGGCGAATGTTGAAGCAAAACAAGACAACGGATGGACGCCTCTGCACTCAACTTCGAAATTCGGCCACATAGATATTTGCCAAATCCTGATTGAGCACGGATCGAAGGTTGATCCGCAGAACATCAATCGATGGACACCACTTCACGAAGCCTCGTATCATGGATACGCAGAAGTCGTAGAGTTCCTCTTGCGGGAGGGCGTGGGGATAGAGTCCGAGGATGATGAGAATAGATCGCCACTTCACCTTGCATCGCAAGGTGGGAATATTGTGGTCGTTTGAATCCTCCTCAGAAAAGGAGCAAGCTTGAGGAGGAAAGACCATCGGGGCTGGACACCATTGCATGCCGCATTCTACGGTGGTTATACGGAAATTGGTAGGCTTCTCCTTGATGGAGGGGAACAAGTCGACACGGGGAATATCGACGGGTGGATCTGCACATGGAGTCAAGCCCAGGGTCATTACGACATGGCAAAACTGCTTCTGGAGAGAGGGGCGGATTTCGATACACTGGACCACCACGACGAAAGACGTACGCCACTTAAGATTGCGCAGTAGAAGCAGTATGACAACCTGATATCTCTTTTTTCAGAACTGGGAGAAGGGGTAAGCGTCGAGAACAAGGACAAAGGGATATCATGTAACATAATGTCGAGATTGCATATTAATCAGAGTTCGATGATGAGGTATCTCCAATTGGTTCAAAATGTCAATCCAATAAACAGCCACCTCTATTCATCACTGGCCGAACCAGCAACAACATATTGCTTCTCCGTCTTCAACTTGCTGAGGGTACTATCGCTCAGCTTCAGAGTATCCGAGATAATCTGGTGGGGTGTAGACGCAATCCATTGACCGAGAGCCATATCTAGAGGACCATCAGCACAATAACCAAATGAAGGAGCAGAGAACCAAGAATACCTGTAAACTCAGGAGCCTTCAAGACCTCCAGGAACACCAGATCCTCGTTCCCGGTATTCTCAATATAGTGGCTGTTCGATTGAGGGAAGTACCCCACATCACCAGCCATGTAATCAAAAGTAGTGGCGGCATCAGGCGCAGTGAAGAGCGTTGCGCGACCCTGTCCCTTGATGAAGAAGGTCCACTCATCGCTGGACGGGTGCCAGTGGATCTCGCGCATCCCGCCGGGATGGACGGTGACGATTGCTGCGGAGAAGTTGCTGGCGACGGGGAATGTGAGTGGGTCAACTATCTTGACGGATCCACCGGCGACCTCGTGCGCTTGCTGCTCGGAGAAATGGTAGGAGTAGCTTTGGGAACGCGGGACGATGCCCGAGGAAGTGGTGACGTTTTGCTTCTCGATGTCCTTGGGTGCGGGCGTGCCTTTGAAGATGTAGAGTTCGTCGTTGGGGATGCTGTCGAAGTCGGCGACGGCGACGCCGAGATTCTTTGCTAGGACTTCTTTCTATCGAAGTTTTTAGTTCTGTGAAGTGCGAGGTTTGGCTGTGGGATAATTACTGGACTGTGGAGGAAGACCTCAGTGGCGAGGAATGTGTTGTCTTCGTTAAAGCCACCATCGTCGAAAACGAGAAGGAATTCGACTCCATCGTCCAAAGCCTGGATAGAATGCGGAATTCCACTAGAATTGGTGGTGAGCAGCATATTCGAAGCCGGTAGTAGTTGCGGAAGGAGACTCACGGCGGGAAAAACCAGACATCGCCGGCGACCAAATCATCCACAAACGTCTCCCCATTTTCATTCACTGCCTGCACCCTCGTTAGCAATCAACTCAACCCCTCGTAGATTATGCCCTGAAATACCTGAATGCGACAAGATCCATTCAAGACAAGTGACCACTCGCTAGCAACGTGCCAGTGCAGCTCGCGATACCCTGCCGGCTCAAGTCGCATGTCAACCCCGGCCATTTCGGTGGCAGCCGGCATCACCACCGTATTTTCCTGTCGAGCCCAACCTGCATTATCAATGCCAAGTCTGGCCTGGTTAGCAAATTGTGAGACTGGCAGGCCGGATTCGATTACCTGTTGTGGCTGAGTCCTGTGGTCACAGTTAGCACTGGCAGGTACCGGTCTTATCTCGAAGACACTTACCCATCGGCCATTGTGCATTGATCGTCTGTCCGTGATCAGTACCCGGGGGAGCCAACTTGTCACTATTCATCTTGTCATAGCCATAATTGCCTGGCTAGCTGTCAGCATTCCATTTCGGCCCGACATGCAAATATAGCTTACGTGGACCCGGGTCATCACCACCGGTATCTCCCCGAATTGGCTGTGGGTTATCAACTTTGGTGAAGTCCAGGTAGGTGCCGATATCCGGGTCATTTTTCTGACCCGGTAGCAAGCTGTACTTGATGTCTGGTGTTGTTGAGCTGCCGTGGCTCTCGGAAGGCGAATACCCGACCAGCGTCTTGGATCCTCTCAGTCCAGGATTACTGGACTCTTCCACTTTTCGTGCAGGAATAGCATTGACGGAATGAAGAATAAAAGGAAGCAAATTAAGCAACTGGGAAAGAGATTGAGCCTTCATAATGGTTGTTTGGCCGCAAGCCAGAGAAGATCCTGAAAAAGCTGGGTTGTTCCTCGCTGGGTACTTGATGGCAACTTCAAAACAGCGAGGACAATGGGATCAAGGCCTTTTTATAGATATTCCCCAACCAACCGCTTGGTCTCCGCGGAATCAATCCACGGACATACAACTCGGCTTACCCTCATCCGATATACTAACCTCATTGCATCAGTGGGGATACTGTCAGGTTCCCCTCACCAGGGGGACCGTGTGGCTATGGTAGGGCTGGAAAAAAGTACCAACTAGCAACTCATCAGCCGCTTCTACTCGCCCGGATATATCGCATACGGAGCCGAGCGAGAGGGGAGGGAAATTCACGCTCGGCGGCTGGTATGGGGATAGCAGCGTGCTCCAATACAGCATTCCCCACTCGATTTGATCAGCAGGCAAACAACATTATACCCATTACAGACCGATCAAGCAGGTTGATCGAAGGTGGCTCATACTGTACTAAATTGTTGCCTGGACAGCTGGCTTCTGCGAACGTCGATCAAATGCAGGGACAGCGTCATGCTACATAAAATATAACATCTGCCAAAGCCTCACCTGCGCTCCCGAGGTCGGCTTTCTTCAGAGGTCGGCAGAAAGCAATCCCCTCTTGAGCCGAAACACTTGTGCCCGAGCTAGACTTTCGCCATTGACGTTGTCCAGAATTTGGGGATCTAGTACCAGACTTTAAGTCTGCACCCATAGGGCCCACCCGAAACGGAAACGAGAGCGAGTGGGAATCAGCGGGCTGCCACCGATTCGCCTAGAAAGAAAAGAAGAAGAAAAAAAGACCAGAATAAGCGGCTGCCTGGTCAATCTGCAAAGACTCATGTGTGAGAATCTCTGTCTGTCGAATCAAGTTCGCGGAGTCAAGACAACCCGGCCAGCGGTGTGAGCACTAGAAACAGCCACCAAGTAGGTAGGATCGCAACGTGCAAGCCAAGCTTTCGAAGCCAAGAGATCCAATAAGAGGCACTTGGGAGCTAAGCAAGTGCCTAAATAGTCCGCTCGGGTACGCGCTGGGGGGTGGAGCCTAGCGTCCAGCACTCCTAGCGTTGCACCGCAGACAGTGGGTCTCCAACCCCATTTCGTTGACACTTTCCGTTCTCCGCGCGAGGGGTACGAAACGGCTCAGCCTTACAATATACTCTTGAGAATGACTTAGCATTCGTGGGAAGCGAGATTTAGCCGGATCTACGGTGACTGAGAACTGGATGGGAAGGTGCTGAGGGGCTTAGGGTTTGGGAAGAATATTTACGCCACTAGATGGGCAGTTGGGGCAGGTTGCTACTTATTGAAGATGAGTTAGCGTGGAAGGTGGTGGTGAGTGCACTGTACAAAGACTTTCGTTGAAGGGGAACGTGCTACTTCTAGACGATGTACTGTCGGAGATAAATTTAGAAAATGGCGTGCCGGCACTCCCGTAACCCCGCACCATCATCAAGCCGGATTTTAACGTCGCCTTAAGATAAACAGGTCATGTGCGATGAATGAGTGAGGGGTATTGTGATGATCGAGACGATGCATAAGTGCGACCGATTTAATCTCCGATATACAAGCTTTTCAACGTTATGTTTCAAAAGATTGCGAATGAGCCGCGACGTTGAGAACCTTGGGGGATAGAACAATAATCTTGGACGAAGGCCCAGTCTGATGGCGTAGATTAAATCTTCCATCGGGAAATCATACTTATTGAAGAGAGTAGTGGCTGGTATCGACTTCACCAGTGACTTAGGAAGTCGTCATACCTTCCCACTCTCTAACTAGCCGAGCACTGCATGCAGTGTGTAGGTGGGGGCCAGGAAAATGGGACATGAAGCACATACCTTGGGGTTCTATAATTAATCGTAGCGATGTGAGTAATTTATTCGAGCGAGAAAGTAGCTTTGTCGTAAATCGGGCAAAAGTAAACATTAGTGTTGTTAAGAGTTGGGTTAACTAAGCATCTGCAGTGCAAAGTTAAAAGTCGGTACGTCTTTCCTATTTTTGCGGGAAGGCAGCCACCCATCCCAACACAGTCACCCTCGAATACGCTTCTATGTCTGGTATGAAATCGATCATCATGCTGATCTAGCAACATTACGAGTTGATGGTCACGTATGAAATGTTATTTTGAATCCCAAGCGACATTTCAGTCTGCCACAGTAGAATATATTACACCACAACGCTAAGTGACGGTAAATCGAGCGCCGAAAACAGCTACATTCGACGCCATTTTAAGCGTTCATTTTACCAAGATCTTAGTCGTCGAAACATCACGATGTGGCCGCTGCACGCTTCATCCCGTCTTCCACCTCTCTTCCACCTCTCTTCCACCTCTCTTCCACCTCTCTTCCACCTCTCTTCCACCTCTCTTCCACCTCTCTTCCACCTCTCTTCCACCTCTCTTCCACCTCTCTTCCACCTCTCTTCCACCTCTCTTCCACCTCTCTTCCACTGCTTCTTCCACATTTTCTTCACTGCTACTTCCGCCTCTTCGAGCTGTCTCCAACTCCGGCACCAACGGCGCGTAATAGTTGATGGTAGAGACCCAAAGTTCTGTCCAATAATTTCTGCAACATAAATCCAAGTTCATACAGGCTGCTCTCAGGTTAGCTTGGGATCTTCGTGCAATTTGTATGCAGGCATGTCTAGCCATTCTCGGCGGAATGGTAAGTTGTAGATATTGTGCCCCAGTTAATGGACATGCTACATGCACTAATCTACAAGGATATGCTGATATCAAATTACATCTATATCCATGGATGTGTGGATTTGGATATATCGCGGATGTTGCCCCAGCCTAGCCAATATTTCTATATAACTAATACAGTTGCTCTTTTAACTAAATCTTCCCGGATTGGTGCGACATGCCACGAAAAATATCCATAACCTGTAGCAACTCGCTCCAACGTTTATCCTCCTCAATTCTAATAACCCCCTCCCGAGTCATCACCTTGTACTCATCTCCCCTTGTAGTTCCATAGCTATAGCCCTCTTCGTCGTGAACGAAAGCACGCAGGTCACGGATCCAAGCATTCATCAGTGGTAGTTCCGTTTCAGTGGGCCCATGAGTAATTGAGTAGCTGCTCACTATTAGCAGCCATCTCAAAATGTACTAGAAAGTCAACAACTCACTTCCAGATTGGCCTGTCCATCGCATGACTGACGCCAAAAGCCACCGGAGCAACCTCATTTGTGATGAATGAGAGGCGGTAGGCGATGAGATAACGCCACACGCTGTCCATCCCCACTCGTCTCTCCAACAGGTTGTTGACCAAATACCGCGAAGGAGCTCTGACTTGACCATCAGCGATGATGCGTCCGAATATTCCTTGCCAGTCACGTTGATCCGCCGAGTCGGGTACACGATAGTGCTGAAGGAGGCGCTTTGTTGTTGTCTGTGGATAATAGTTGGAAACCTGCAAATGCAGTGAATTGATATGGGCATCGGGAGGATTTGTGACGGCGTATAGCGTATCTTCATCCTGTACCTCACCAATGAAAATCTTGAGGCCTCGCTTCCTGAATTCCGCAGCAAAAGACCCATCTTGAAAGTAGTCAAAAATGCCTGGATGAATGAAGAGGCCGTCCGTAACAGGGCGAAAAGTATGATGCTTCAACTTCATGATTCCAGAACAGAGCTCTTCTGCACTGATATCTCGCAGCAGTCGCATCTTTTCGGCTCCAGTCAAATCCGCTGGGATGTCAAATAACGCACAAAGCTCTTCAAACTGCTCTTCACAGTCCTCTGGTGTTTTCGGCTGCGTGGAAATGGAGTTGGAATACATGATCATTCTCGTAAAGCGACCGTGTGATTCTTCGCCACGGAAGTCATAGAGAGCTTGGGCTAGGACCGAATACGCCCCTGCGCTGCGTCCAGCGAGAACGATGTTCTCTGGATCACCGCCGAAGGCAGCGATGTTGTTGTAGACCCAATCCATGGCAAGGCGCTGATCCCAAAGGCCGTAGTTGCCCACGGCTTTGCCAGTGGATTCGTCACGGAGGGCACTTCCGGCTAGAAAGCCAAAAACATTGAGGCGATAACCTACCGCGACGAAGACAGCTTGGAGGTTGCCCGTGGATATTAGCTCGGTAGGATCCATGCTTTCTTCTTGGCTTGGATCACCGACTTGAAACCATCCGCCATGAAACCAGACCATGACGGGCCATTTCGTAATTGGGCCTTGAGGTTCTGGAACAGGGGTCCAGATGTTGAGTCTGAGGCAGTCCTCGTCATATTTATGTTTGGGAGCGTGCTCGCTGACAATTTTGGAGTAATTGGCCTGAGGACAGACTGGACCGAAGCAAGTGGCATCGTACGGAGAGCCGCCTTCCTCGCAGCCTTCCTCGCAGTAGATGTAATTCTGGGGGAGAGGGGCTGGTTTTCGCCACCTCTGGTCGCCGACTGGAGGCAGGGCGTAGGGAATGCCTGCGAACCTGCGAGACTTGGAATCGAATTGTCGACCTTTCATAGTTCCTGCATCGTTTAAGAGGTCGACATGACAGTCGGACGAAGTGTATGAGATCGAGTTGCCCATAGCAGAGAGTACGAGATAATATCAGGACCAATTCGGGTACAGAAGAAATCAAGAATAATAATTGAGAGAGAATGAAAACGCAAATGAGACGAAATGGATGAGAATACACACAACGTCTTTTGCTGCGAGCAAACAGATAGTCGGATCTCACATTTACTGGCCGGTCTCACTCCAGGAGATATGGGCTAGAGTGCTGCTGGACGCTGATTCGTCAGTTTAATCGACGAGGCGACTCGAGTGCAAGCGGGGGCGTTAAGACCCAGACGGGGTCTAGCTTCCCTAAATAAAATTTTTGACCCTTTCACCGAAAATTCCCACTCTTGATACGATCAGACGCAGGGTCATTATCCGACACAGATTGCGCTGTTCTGTTTGGGTGTGCCGCATGGAGGGTGGAGGACGGGAAGCTCGGCGTCAAAAGCGCCGCCGGGTTGAGCGGGGGCCACGATCGAGAAAGGGTGAGTGCCAAAACTTGGCGAAAATAAGCGTGCCTGATGAATGCTCCTCAGGTTGTCGGACTTGTATAGGGAAGAAGGTCAAATGCGACGAACAACATCCATCATGTGGGCGCTGCATCCGCCTTGATCTATCTTGCGAATGGGCACCGGCGAAGCTGCCCCTGGCCTCAAGAAGACGCGGTCTAGGTCCTATTAAGGACCGCTACTGCTGGATACCTCAGGAAATCATGCCAAAAGTGCATGGAAATGATACACGGAATCTTGACGATTTACGGGCCAATGATCGGGCGACGCCAGCCGTGCTTGCGGATTCACTTCCAACGGAAGAACTCGACTGCCAGGATGCGGCCGACTTTGCCCTCATACCAGTTGATTCTGTATCAGCGGGTGACGACACAGCTATCTTTCCGCCCGCTGTCAATGTTTGGAGGCCAGACATGTTCCCTGGCGACACTACGATACTCCACATCGACCCCAGCCTCCTTATGGCAAGCCCTCAACTGGCCCTGTTCCCCTTCCTGTCAACAGATTTTCTTTACTCAGCAACATCCTTTTCCTTCACAAATCCTCTAGACCCTGCTCCATCGATAGGTTGCGACGACTTCCAAGCGGTAACTTTTCACCGCACCGTTTTTGCGCCCCTGAAGTCAACCCGTGTTGCGGCTTTATCTGCTCATGCCCTGTTCCTCGATCTAGCTGCCCATAACCGGATGGCACTTCACTTTCTCCTCGCCTTTTCTTACAGTGAACTTGCTATTCACCAAGGCTTCGGCCACTGCCCTCCAACGGAATCATACCAGCATTTTCAGCAGGGATCGTGGCTGTTTACACAAGCACTTGGCTCCCGCAACCACATCGCCGCGATGATTTCATTTCTGTACCTGTTCATGTTCTGGATCCGACGGGATCCGCTGGATATGTCAAGACTGAGAGAACTAAGCACCTTTATTCTCGTTTACGTCAAGAGCTTTGGTCTAGATGACCTGTGCGCCGGGGGCTCAACGCAGTCGGAAAACGTGATTCTCTCTCGCATCTTGACATATATATACGACCGGGACGTGTTCTGTGGCTTCTTTGGCAGCGGTGAGGTGTTTGCAGGATTCGTAAGCGAGAACCATGAGGAAAGAGCCCGGATCTGGCAACTTTCGCGATCGCCCTTTTCGTCGCTGGATGATCACGACGCGGTGTACACGAGATTGTCGCAAGTATCGAGGAGTCTGCATCGGATGGTTCTGGACATTTACTTCACACTCCTTACGATCCAGCATGAGATCAATCAACATAGTCAAGGCAGCGACGCGCAGCCACTTCGGGTGGAGCGTGGGATTCAGAAAAAGTTGGACCAGGTGCGAGAGGTAAGACTTTGGCCTAATGTGAGCTGGCTGTTGCTAACGGAGGCTTACAGGAACATTCTTTTCTGTTCGACCTGGCGGCAAACTGTGGACAGCAAGCTCCTCCACTAATGGCGCTGGTGACAGTCACCTTCTTCCACGCTCTGGAGATCTACCTTGTCCGTAGCCGAAACTCAGCTCTGGGTGAGGTACCAACCCCGGGGAGCGTACAAAGATCCCTGAAAGAGCTCATTAACACGGCGTACTACGCTATGGCTGCTGGACCGGTACAACTCTTGGAGCGGTTCCAGTGGGCGCTGTTGATAGCTGGCATAGAGACACAGGACCCGGTACATCGAGATTGGATCTCAGTGAGTATTTCAGATCCCGCTATAAAGGGGATTTACGATGCTGTTCTGGCGGCTAAGACGCCGTCGGGAATATCAATGAGGGCGGTCCGAGAGTTGGTTGGGAGACGGTGTGGCGGACGACACTGAGTTCCAATGGTCCACACCAAGGTCTCGTTTCGATACAGTTCGTTGTAGAAAAACCCACTATAACCATGCTGTCAAATATCGTGCTGGCAAATCAGCTTCAGACTAACAACATCATGACCTTCGGAAGGGAGTCTAGCATTCAACGCAGTCTTGAATACTAGCCAGTTTGTCGGTTTTTGAGCAATGTGTACGGGTTGACTATCTCGATGTTGAGTCACTGGAGAATTCAACTGCGATGATGACGAAGATAAAGTTGGAGGCACCGATTGTCGCCGGATATCGCACCTAAGGCGCGATCTTTTAAATCTTGCTCCGCGGCGACTGATCCGCTGTCGATTAAACTGGCCAATCAGACGCCACAGAAAACCTGGGGTACGCCGCGGGATGACCCAAGGGCCCCAGATTTTCAGCCAATGGTACACTAGCAGTCCCCCAGGTGGAACGGGTGGTTGAGATAAGGGACGGGACATATTTGGGGACTGTCCGGGACTGTCCACCATCTTGAACTCGTCATCGCAGAGGTGAGTCGACAACTTTTAGACTACCACCGCAACACACGTCAGTATGGCAGAGGGAGGCCAATCGCCCACGGACACCAAAATTGAGTTTGAACCATACTGCAAACCATCTTGTGAGATGGGCGATAAGAATGAGTTCGGAGTAACGGACACTCTCGGCGCTGAGGAAGAGAAGAAGCTTGTCCGCAAGATTGATATGCGGTTTGGGCTCTACCAACCCGGCCGTGTTGGACGGAAACTGACCTTCACTCTTTAGACTCATGCCTCTCCTCATCGTCAGCTATGGCCTCCAATATCTTGACAGTACATGTCCACAATTCTCTGGGCTTGCATTCGAGTACTAATCGAGCACAGAGACGAGCTTGGCCTACAGCGCCATCTTGGGTCTCAGAAAGGACTTGGTAAGATCCAAATGCCTCAACTTCAAGAGCCAGTCATTGACTACCATCGGTAGAATTTGGTTGGTCAGCAATTCAGCTGGGCGTCGAGCATCTTCTACATTGGCTACCTCGTCGCTTCTTACCCTATCTCTCTCGGCTTCGTCAAGTTCCCACTTGGAAAGTACCTCAGCATCTTGATGTAAGCAATCCTTGAGCATGTTGACCCTTAACGAATACTTTCTCAGACTGCTCAGGTTCATCTGGGGCATCGTCCTCACTCTCCACGCCGTCGCGCCCAATTTCGCAAGCCTCATGGTCCTCCGAACACTCCTCGGCGCCTTCGAGAGCGCCATCAGCCCTGGATTCTCTCTTATAACAGGCATGTGGTATACCCCGCACGAGCATGTCTCCCGGCACTCATTCTGGTTCGCTGGCAATGCGTCGGCTAGTATCATCGGTGCGATGATCGCATATGGAATTCTAAAGTACGAGGGATCTTTGGCCAAGTGGAAGGTTCGCTGCCCACAATCTTGCCCTCGTGTCATTGTTGACTTTTGCAGACGCTGTTTCTCATCTTTGGTCTCATCTCCATTGCATGGTCAATCGTCATGTTCTTCTACTTGCCTGACTCTCCTGCCAAGGCAAAGTTCTTGACAACCTCGGAACGCGAATTTGCTTCTCTCCGGCCCAAGAAGTTCCAAAAGACGACCCAAACGCGAAAATGGGATTTTGTGCAGTTCATTGAGGCTATGAAGGATGTCAAGACTTGGTGGTTCTTCTTCTTTTCCTTTGTTATTTGTGTTCCCAATGGAGGAACGACTAGCGTAAGCCACAGCCTGGGTTTGTATTGCTTCGTTTCATGGTACTGATAGCTTGACAGTTCAGTACCATTATCATCAAAAGCTTCGGCTACGATGAGTTCCAGACCATTCTCATGGGCCTTCCTGCTTCAGCGTTTCAGCTCACGACTGTCATACTCGCAGCTGTCGGCACTTCATTCATTCGAAAGTCTCGCCTCGTCGCATTGGTTCTCATTTACCTCATGGCAATTGGAGGAATCCTCATGATAAAACTCCTCCCGGAGCCTGAGAAACTTGCTCGTCTTGCGGGCTTCTGGCTGATCATGGCTGTCGCTCCTGCGTTCCCTCTGATGCTCTCGCTATCATCTAGCAACATTGCAGGATTCACTAAGAAGTCGACTGTCATGGCCATGATATTCTTGGGCTATTGTGCGGGAAACCTTGCCGGGCCGCAGTTCTTCATTGCAACCGAGGCGCCGGGCTACCATGTAAGTTGGGAGTCTGCCAAACTCATAACAAATGCTGACGATTAGACGGCATATAGACGGCATATACAACCATCTTAGTCTGTTTCGTCATTACTATTGCGCTGGTGGTTGCTCTACGCTTATACTTGGCCTGGGAAAATGGTCGTCGTGACACGGAGCAGGGGGTACACATCGACCCAGAGGAGAAGCGATATGTGGATCTCAATGCCGATGGGACCCTGCTTCAGGTGGATGAGACGGATCTTCAGAACAGAAGCTTCAGATATATTCTTTGATTGGAATAGTCAGGGCCAGTTACAGATGATATATTGTCCGCCTTAGTATCTTGTGGGAACGCCGGTTAAGAATAGCCAAAGTAATTCTGAGCTGTTGTTTAATGAACCTTTGATTACTTGGCTTAATGATTCCATTATGTGTCCAAAATTACTCCCACTTATCCTACTTAGACTTGTACTTCTGAACAAACTCCCTTCCTGGTAGTTACATTTTATTCAAAAGGTCATAGATCTCCTTAAGATCGGACTTGTTATAGTAACCAGTGAAGAGGGGAACGCTCGATGGCTGCACGCGCTGAGACGTGCGGGTCGATTCAGCAGAAAAACCACCACAAAACACACGCGTAGCAATCAGGAAACAGCGAGAAGCCCAAATGTAGGGGTCAGGTCGGGGAGGTGTAAGAAGGTGTATTCTAGAACTAGCTATCCGGCCACTGTATACTGCCGGCTATGTCACATAGTCTGGATGGCACCCATGTAGTAGGGGGAGGGGGTCTCCCCACTACAATAGTTAACTATCACAAAATTTTGCAGGTTAGTAAGATAAAGCACGCCGATTTTCTGCAAAAAATCTAAAGCTGGCCCGGGCGTTGCGTCACCGAATAGCCACAGGATGCGCTTTTTGTTTACATCTGCAGTCCAAGTCACGACTCCTGCAGCGCCTTCTCCATTTATTCTTGCTACTATCAACAGCCTCAGAGTAGCTTTGCGATCGCAGTGATGTGTGTCTAAGCATACCAAGCTTTCCGAGATCGATCTCTCAGTCGGCCCCAGGCAGAACTGTTTACTGTCCCTCGATCACCTGCAAACAAAATTCGCGACAACAATAGTCCGCCCAACCAAGAAAGGCCCCAAATTACGTCTGAAATATCTCCCCTGTCCAGAATGATACAAGAAAGTGGCACACCGTGCCCAAACTAGCCCCTTCCGTAGCCCACCGTGACGAAACCATCCGCCCTGTGCTCAGACCGGCTCGGCTACCCCTCCCGCCCTCACACTCATCCTCATTTCTCACAGTGAGCTATTCCATCCAAAATAACCACTTTCTCATCTAAATTCACTACTAGTCGACCTTTCGATACTAGAAAACCCGATCGTCAAGTGCGGGGTTGCCAAGGAAGATCGCTTGACAAAAGTCCCACATACTAGCCCCCGCCGATGGCTGGCCACTGCACTGCCATGACCTGTTTGGGCTGGCTGGGATCATGAGATCATCGTCTGACCGCCGTGACGACTCCTGATTAAGTCGCGCCGTGTGATTGGTCGGCTGCGAGGATGCCTAGTCCGGAAGTTTGGGCGGGGTTCTGCGCTGGGAAAGGGGCTAGCACGGATGGACTGATCATCCTAACACTGCCTGGGGTTATTGAGGACTTGTCTCACTTGTACCATGCTGTCCCAGGGGTTTGGGTAGAGGAGAGGTGGTCTTTGTCTAGGGCCCCTGATTTTGTCGGCGAGAGCTGTGTTTTGTGCGTTGTGGTGATCTATACCGGATCCGCTGGGTAGAGGTACTTGGTCTACTGAAGACTGCTGTCATTCTGGCATTCTTGTGTCCATTCCTGAGAGCATGCCAGAGCAGGAGGTACGTATGAACGGGATATATTAGGCGATCTTATACTAGTACCCGTAGAAAACTACTAGCTGTGTTTGTGTCTTGGAGAAAAGCTCGATGATGACACTCCGACGTGGTTACCACAACGTCTACGATATCCGTCATAATGAAAGAGATTTACGATGGTGAATGTTGAAAGAAGCAAGTCTTAAAACAGATCATATTCAGGGTAAAGTAGCCCTACAACGCCAGTTCGAGTCAATGCCAATCTATGGCGATACAGGTGACCGAACATCAAAACAAAGGAAAACCAGCACCATATCCAATACGGGGTTCGATGAGCGTGTCGTGAGTGTAAGAGTCGTGATAATGAGTATGTGTCATGATATGAAAGAGTGAGATGAACCCGTGGAAATTCCGTTCTAAAGAACGCTCAAGTTTATCGAACGTGTTTCAGGTACCGCATGGTGAGGAGGACGGCCGCCAGGCTGGTGTAGACACCACCGCCGGCGGTGATCCAGACGGGACGGTGGACGTTCAGGGAGGTGCGAAGGAGCTGGCCTTCTTTCTTGGGCTTCTCACCTATTGTAAAATGTTAATATCCATGATTCCAATCGGTTGGCGATGGAAGAGAAAACATACCCTGCTGGAACAGCCTCTGGCGAAGGTTGTTCACACCCTGGCGCGAGCGCTCTGGGAGGGTGCGGAGCGACTGGAGGAGAGGGCCGACAGGAGCAGACATCTTGAATGTGGATGTATGTGGTGTGTATAGATAGAGATCTGATGGAAGTTGCGAATTTCGTGATGGAATGATGAGCGTGGATAGAGTAGAGTAGTTGCCTATGAGGAAGAGAAAGGGGTTAGGTAGCAGTACTCTGGCTATGACTTATATAGCCCCCGTCAGATGACGGCTGAATGCGGGGTTGGCAGTGGCGGGGGGTGACATCCGGGGCATCCCTGCAGTGGCGAAAGTCGCCAGAGTTTCAGCCAGAAGTCAATGGGGGTGTACTCAGAAATCAAGGAGGAGAGGTAATCAAATGGGGAGACATGGAATTGATACAAAAGTAGAACTCAACTCTCGACATTTTGAGGCTGTTCGATTGCTAGAAATTGCAACTGACCAGATAGAAGAAGGGGGGAAGCAATGTGGTTCTCTTCACTGGCGGTACTTCGCGGTACCTCTCATTGGGCTGATGTCTGTCCAGACTAACCCCGCGGCATGTCCATCTTTGACGCAGCATGCCACCATTGGCCCACCACTGCAGCCTTTCCTACCAAAAAGCGTTAGGCAGAGCGCGTATCATAACACCCGCGACGACGCCCAATCCAGACTGCTCCCCCCTGGAATCAGCCCATTTCTCCCGGTCGGAACATCGTTCGTTAATCTTAATGAGGTGCCAGGTACGTCTCAACAGCCCGAGATAGCACTTATGTGACCACCGCTCTTTATATGTGTTCCTCTTACTCCGCTCAGGCGGTGTCTGCTGCTTTCGCGAGGGTAGGTATACACTCTTCAGGTGGGTGGAGCGGGTCCCACTGTGGAAAATCTGGGGATGCGATCGTGGGGCCGTTAGTCGACTCCACCCACGCTTACCTGAAGGTCAAATAAACACACACACACACACACACACACACACACACACACACACACACACACACACACCTACACAGTGTGCCTTAAGGCTGTGGGGTGAAGTTGGTGAGACACAATGACCTACTGTTAACGATGAATCAATTCAAGACAATAGTCGGTTTATCGATACCCACGCTAATATAATACCTTATGATCTCTACTTTAGGGCACTCCAGCCACAAAAGTCCATCATTCGATATTGCCCAGTGGCCATGTGAGGACTTGCCCTTTCGGTCGGCCATTTCCCCTCTCCGCTGCCCCTTGTACCTCATCACAACACCGCCGTCTACCACGTCGAATTTGCCACACAGCTACCCCAACCCAAAATGCGTACGAAGAAGGCGACCGAGTGACATTCGTCGCCCGCAAACTCAGAAACACCTTCGGTCGTTCGGTTCAACGCCAGACGCAGAGGAGTTTTACCAACTCTCTACCCTCTTCCCGATGGACCAGCGTCCATAATCAACAGCTGCTTGGGCTCCTACCTCAGGGACCCTTGATATCGTCTCTAGGGACATCCGGTCCACATCCGATGCTCTACCCTGGGACCGAGATAAAGGCTGGAAAAGGGGTAGCTGCACAGCCAGCTTTGTGAGACTCGGGAAAATCGCTGTCCTCAGACTGCTCATGCTGATACAGTTGTCGGTGTCTTTGGGCTCCTTGCCAAGGGTGTCTGATCTCTCGGAAGTATCTTTCGCAGTCATCGATGCGACTTTGTGCGTCTTCACATACTCACGCCGAACCCCGATGGCACACAATATCATATCGAAGACTGCGAGTGATACTCGAGATATCGGACAGCTCGCTAACATCCAGCCTGGAGGTGTAGAAATGGTCACTGGCGAGAGCAGTGTGCTGACAGGCACACTGGAGGCACGTGGATTCCATGGCAGTCGGACACCTCACAACTGGCCGGAAGTCTAGTTGAGACGATCGGGTCTGGCCTTACCTCACCGGCTCGCACTTTGGCATCTTCTATCTGTTTCAAAGTCTCTGGTGCTGGCAGCTGAAGGTTGAAGATCCTAGAACGCGACCGCACAGATCGGCACGTCTGTGTCTCCGGCCATCTCCGATGTTACTTTTCGAAAAAGACAAAAATCATTTCTAGTCACTTCGGACGCAATTGAAGAATTCACGCACGACGAGCGATCCCTTCGCAAAATACATTCCTTTTCCGGCACGTGATAATCACCCGGCCAAAATCAATGTCCAAGTTATGCAAGATCAAACTCAGAAACCCAACCGGGGAAGTGTCTCTCGATACCTCCAATTGCCTGCCCATTATGAATACCATAAGCCCTCTCAAAAGTGGTTTTGGCTGGTATTCACCCGAGCGAATATTATCTTGAGAAGCGACTCGTCAGGTCGACTGCCCATAGGATACGACTCGTGTTTGGACGCATGTTCCTTCGCTTCGTGTCTCTTTTCTCGATGCGCCTCGACCTCAACAGAGGAGATGAAGAGGTGGAAGGTGCTGATTTTGAAAGAAGGTCAATATCCCAAACCACGTGTTATGCAAAATCATCCGTGAACAGGACAATCAACCTACCACGCCACAAGCATAAACATCGCCTGGACATACAAAGTGTCGCGGTCTCTTGTATTATTTGGAATCGTCGAAGCCGCGATCATGGCATACGCGCCTGAACCAACCACATTGCGATTGCGCAGAGAATGTCCATCACGATATTCAGTACCAGCTGTAGGATGCACCGCATGCAGAGCAAGACGAGATCAATCAGCAACCAAAACGAGATCACTGCAGCGTATATTTGACCTGCTAACTGACATTTTTCTCCGCTCATCTTCGCAACGTTGCTATCCACGGAATATACTGGTCCGTCGAGCCGATGAAAGGCCCAAAAGCCACAGAAGCAACACTGCAAACGAGCGCAAAACATCGAAACACGACTCGAAAATTCCATGACAGGGGATCTTTATACGCGCATGAAGACATAATAGTTACTGAGATCCAGAAGCGATGGAGGGAAGTGCTACAGAAGACTCGCAGCTGAAGGTACAAAAAAAATAGAACTCCCGCGTTTGAGTCAGGCTGCGGACATGGAAACTATGCAAGGATAAGATTGACGACAGGACAAAGACAGCACATCCTCGCAGGCGCAGGGAGTGGGCGTTAAATGGTTCCTCATTGGATTTCATTCAGTGACCAGACTCTCCACCTACAGCATCAGCCACACACGTGGGCCTGAACTGATAATGAGACTAGCTGCGCCTTTTCGCTTTCTTCGCTCGATGGGCAGAGGCCCCTGATCGGCGGCATGAGGCTAGTTCCTTGCAGAGAAGATTGGGGACGAGGACGCTTGTTACTCGCAAAGCTCTCGGTCGATGTGGGAGCCTTGTCTGGGCAGGATGTGTAGCCGTGCAGATGTTAATTTGAAAGACGCATACTAGAATACACTAGTCACTCTGTGTGATAGGAGTAAACGAAAGCACTTTTGACATGAATTTAGAATGCTTAGGGGTGGCTTGATGATATTCTGATCGATTCTTTTTAATTCGCTAAACGCAAGTGGGATATGATCGATCTATACCGGACATGGTGATAACGAGGCCAAGAACATCGCGCTCAAGCTTGTTGATTGCAACTCTGTGTGTTTGGCTCCTTAAACCCAAGCTGGTGCCATTCTTCGCCCAAAATGGTTCATTTCAGCAGATGATCCAATTTATCGAATATTCGGGATCCATTCGAATTGCCGCGAAGATTCGTGTGCTTTGGAGCCGTTCATGACTGTGCCCCGCAGGCGATAGACAGGACTACAAATCAGCAAGTGACCATTTTGCATTAAGAGGGTACGATAATAAAAGTATTCTCGCTTATGAAATTATTGTGTATTGTTGAGCTAATATATACACTCATTGATCCATATTTACAAAATTCGGTTTGATGCCACGAGGAACGCGACAGCTATCACGAACTTCCTCAGGCACAGTGGTCCAAATGACCTGGCTAACCTCTTTGCCAACTTGCTCAATCGCGTCCATAGCCCACAAAACATCGAGATGCTCATACTCATCAATAACCTTCGAGTGAACAAGTCGTATATGCGGCTCGCAACCTAACTGGAAACGATCAAGCAGACGACGGCCATCCACCAGTTCGTCGGAACCACCGATCCAGAGTGCGAATGGAGGGACCTGAGGTCCATACCAAGAAGTATCCTTCCGGCCACCGAGACATGGATCGCCCGGATCGTCACCATGGTCTTTCCCTGTTCCAGTCCTTTTCTGGTCATTATTGACCTCATCAATCGTCGAGAGAATGCATTTATGCTTAGCGAAGCTTTCACTCCCAAGCCACCAACGCATCAACTCAGTGCTGACATACACAGGCGAGAATTGAAAGAAGCGGTCGCGCAGGTCTCGCTCCCAACGAGCATCAGACCAGCCGAACAAGAAAGAAAACACCCAGTACGCAAGGGTACCATATATCTTGGAATGAGCGACGGAGCGTACCGTCATCATGAACGGGATGAAGGAGTGAATGCCAAAAAATAATCGGAAAATATCCGGCGAGAGAACACTCATGAACCGGAAGTAGGATTTTTCGACGAGGGGACCGGCGTATGCTGCTGGTGCGAGCGCGCAGAAAACTGAGAATCGCTCTCCCAATTCCGGGCGGTGCTCTTTCGCAAGCGCAATGAATGTTTGCGTCGTACCTTGCGAATGACACACCAAGCCGAGTTTCTCGAAAGCAGTCTCGTACAGCACGCGCGAGGTGAGAGCTGCTAGGTCAAGAGTGCCCAGATGTCGAATATCCCAAGACCACATCTGCGGATCGGAACTCGACAGATTGGTATGCTCGGGGTGTAGTCCACACCTGTTATTCCCCAGCCACACATCATATCCCGCCTTGCAAAGGTAAAAAGCGAGGGAGTCGTCGTCATTCGTGCAAAACGTTCCCGCACTTTGGAGAAGCCCATGAACGAGAAGAACGGGGTATCGCCGATTCGAACCAGCCCGAGAAGAATCCAGTTTCTTCGATTCGCCAAATACAGAGGGTCCACGCTCGCGTCGTTCCTCCACAGACAGGGCCGCGTATTCCTGTGGATTGTACACATGCCACAACGTGAGAATGAATCCGTCCTCAGTCTGGACACGGAAAGTCTCCACATCAAGACCAACTCTTCGAGCGTAATATGCGACGTCGCCGACGATCGGATCCCTTCCGCCTTCCAGAGGTGGACATTCTTCCGGGCCTTGTTCTTCATCCACATACTTTTTCTGTTGTCGTATATGCCATTTCTTGTCCGACTCTGCGCGCGCTACTCTCCGCGTATGCTCCTCCGCGTGGAATGCTCTCTCCGATCTTCGTTCATGGCCATTAAGTCTCGAAACGAGGTCCGAAATCGCCGAACCAGCCGTGCAAGCTAACGCGCCGATGAAGATAAAGATTAAAAAGCCCAGCGAGAAGAAAAAGATATGACCCTCGTCGCGTAATACCGCATCTTTCGAGCGAACGTTGGACTACCGTAGGAAGGCAGTGACGGAAAGAGAGGATGTTCACACGAGTCCAGGGGGAGGTCCATGTGACAGGCCTGGCCGCGCTTTTCAGCAGTCACCTGGCCCTTGGGCAGACACTCATCGCGGGTATCATCTTTGCACTCGCATTCGTAAGGAGTGATTCGATCGGGGCTACCTTGGCAAGACGTCGAGCGACCTTCGAGTTGTTGGTTCTGGGACTTGTCTGTCCCCGCGGTGTTGGTCACGATTGTTTTCAGGGGAATGGTGACCGACATGGTCGCGAAATCAAGTAGTCGACATCGATACACCAGGGTGCATCGTGAGATTCCTGCTTCGACGAGGATTCGGGCTCGTCGAAGTAAGAGCGTTGTACAATGCGTGGAATGGGGGAGACCCCATCCCGAGGTTACCCGTTTCGGACGTAATGTCACGTGAAAGGGGTTACCACGTGACCTTGTCCCTGAGGCGGCAAATTATCCCAAAATAGAAACAATGCACATGACGGGAAGCATTGCAGTTGGCTCATCCAAATTTTGGCCAAAAGGCACCGGCGCGGCACATCACGGCAACCCAGGGGCAGCGGGTTATATAGCAGCAATGTGTAGAAGTTTACAGGTGCTCATAGATCAATATTTATACGATCAAAATTCCAGATTTTTTAATATTTGACTGCCAAACTTACATGGTTTGATTCAATACAACGCATAGTATATATCGACAGCTTGCAATGGCGCAGTGATCGCGTCACAGAGATGACTACTCTTGATTTGCGTGGAAGAGGACACTTGTTGAAGAACATGCATTCTGCAAAATGACCCCACAAGTGCAATTCAAACCGATATCCGGAAAGATGAAAAATTCCACCGCCAAACAGACTGATAGCCATCAACGGCTTGACATGGAGTAGTGTTCCTGGCCTGTGGGTATTTTCCATCGGTGGGTATTTCCCTAGTGTGGGTGATCTCCGAAGACTACATACTAGCTGATCGCTCCTCATTTACAATCCCTGTTTCGGTGCTTCTGGTAACGAAAGCTTCTTGACGAAGTCGGTCTTTTCTTTTAGTTCTACTCAAACCAAAAAGTCAAGATGTTTGTTTATTGGGAGTTCCGAATGGCTCGTTCCTTGCCAAGTACGATCTCCAACATTCACATTTTCATAGCTTCCTCAAACATTGCGCGATACCCATCAAGATCTCGGGCAATATGGGGAATTCAGCGATTTGGCATCACTCCCTCGGTATTCCGGTATATGCCTCTATTCTGTTCGAGGACAAGAGCTACCCATCCCCAAGACCACAGAGACGCAATTTAACCACCAAGCCCACATCGCAACCGAACAAAGCCCTCTCGCTGCCCAACGACTGAATCGCCCCATATGACAATATACAAATGGACCTATGTATCATCCGAATCAGCCCTTCAGCGAATCACCGGTATTCTACAGTCAGACAGCTTGTACGGGTTTGCGACCTTCTACTTGATTGCTCCAGTCCTCGGGATTCATTTGGATTTGGCAACAATGGTAGCAAAATTTGGCTCATTACCGGTTGCTGTGGAGACAGCCATGAAATTTGGACTTTCATTCCCGTTCACATATCATGCTTTCAACGGGGTGAAGCACCTGGTCTGGGATACGGGTTGTCTTCTAGGAAAGAGGAGCAGGGGGAGGGCAACATGTGCTGTACTAGCGTGCAGTGTAGCCAGTTCACTTGGACTTGTGATCATTCATTTCTGATTGTATTTCTTATTCCGACGGCCCTTTGAGAAGCTTCTGTATGTCAGCCATGGATTCTCTCACAATTTCACCAGTCCCGGAAAGTGGCTTTGGCAATAGGATTTAGCAAAGACAAGCAAATCAGGAGCATGAGTCATGAAACCCGCTCGATGGATCTCGTCTCTTGATAACCGGGGTTGGAGAGTTTCCTATAGTGATAGCCATCGTGAAAGAGCTCTCTCGAGCTGGAGGATCTGATCATTGGACTTGAGCGGGGGTCGATCGCAGGTTGAAGATAATGGGATGAAGCTCTTAACTAGCGTTAAAAAGCGAATCAAAATTGCGTCAGTGGCATCTGGGCACTCACGAGGCATGACAATGAAAAGGACGAATATGTTATGATGTGAAAAGCATCAATGTAGGCGGTCGATGGTGCCTTTTACAATTTATGGCCCAGTTTGTCCAAGTAACATCCTCAGAGATGTCGACCCCACTGTCCTCGGCTGGAAGATCAAAGTCGACCTCAGTGAGTGAAAAATGTTGTGGAGTGTTGAAAAAGATGATAAAATGGGTATCTATCATGGCGATCGAGGCCATCGTCCTATCAAATTCAGCCTGAGAAAAGAAACAAATGTATTCATATCTGATCTGACACCAAATTTAATCCCAAGAGATAGTTCTCGGTCCAAGGGAGCTTTGGAATCATGACATCGATTCTTTAACCGAGTCAAGCCTGTAACTCTAGCGATAGATACGAGAGCTGGGTAACGCTGAATGCGAACCCGGCGTCTGCTCTCCGCATTGGAGCTCGAAATTTGAAGGAGAATCATTATAATGGCCTGCATGAGTTCAAGATCGACTTTTCCGAGTCAATCTCATTCAGCCACTTTCTTTTGGTAGACCAGGCGTGAGAATCCCGGATCATCGAACACGATCGCCTCCGCTATGTCCGTATACTCCAGAGCATGTGATTTTGCGGCGGTGGATGTGCCATACATTGCACCCATCAGAAGTATGGAGAGAAGCAAAGGCGTACCTGTTGATGGAAGGTTGAAAGAGGATTTCAAGACTATCCGTGACCGAGGACGGACTGTGTGGTCGAAATAGGCAACAATGAAATTATAGATATTGTGGTCGCTGAAGAAATCCTTCGCTCGATCAACGTTAAGTTCCTGGTATATTGGGGTCGCTTGTGCTCGAAGAAGGCAGTCGATGACTTTCTTGGCTGCGGACTGTCGATTCCCCCGATCATTCACGCCACCCGGTAGAGGTAACGCATCGGAAGGTTGGTGATTTTGGTAGGAGGAAAGGAAGAGATTCCACAAGTCTTCATAGAAAAGATCAGCTCTCTTATCTTCCAAAAGTATGCTCGGAACAGTGGGATCTTGAATGTGATCGCTCGATTTCGTGGTCGCAAATGCTGAGAGGACTGCATCGACCTCACCCGGATGACGATTGCTAGTAGATGAATAATTCAACAAAAATGGAACAGATGCTCGACATGTTCCATTTGTGTCTGTCTCTTGCTCTGGCTTCGAGTCGAAACACTGGCTGTGTCTGAACCGAAGCTCGGCTCCTGGCTCAAATAACTCCCGAGACGCTGGTAAGAACATGGCGAGCCACTAGTCTGGTATGGATGGCATGGAGCACCGGAATCGCAACTGGTTCGGTTCTTTGCGCAATTGTCACATGCCTTACGCCGACGACCAGGCGGAGCGGGTGTGGGAAGCCTCCCTTCGCTTTTGGGACAGCTTTGATAATGTCTCCGCAAAGCAGCTCTGCGATAATGAAATAAGTCCTCGTAAATCGTCAGTGATGTGAAGATCTCTCGTACGGTCTGGAATACCCCCGCCCGCAAAAGTCACACTTTATGCGAGATGGCGGACCATCTGCGGAATGTCAGAACGTGCGGTTGCTAGGGAAAGCTTCAGGATGGGACTGACGTAACAGCTCGTGTCTCTTCAAATGACTTCTATTCGAGAAGTTCTGATTACAAGTCGCACAGCGAAATTCTCCACTGGGAATTTTCTTGGTATGCAATGGACTACAATGGGTTGAGATCTGGCAGAAAGACAGGAGTAGATGTAGACTCCGGGGCGATGAATCTCGTCGCATATCTCATAGTGCCTTAATGACATAGTTTGAACATTGTTTGAATCACTACGATACACAGGGGAATACTCCATCTTCGATAGAAGTTTCTTCAAAATTTGAATCACATCGGTATTGCGTGGGGAGAACGACAATAAACATGATAACTCACGACAGAGAGTGCTCCTAGATACTGAATGCTAGACGAACAATAAGTTGAGAGAAAAATGAAATTCATTGCGGAATCCTATATCCAGTATATGCGATATCTACCAAGTCATGCATTATAAAAAGCCAAATCGCAAGTAATCCCGCCAAATAGACAACAGATCAAAAAAAAAAAAAAAAACAACCAATTACATCCATAATCCCGATATGATCATCTAAACTTCAGCCTTAGCAGGAAGGCTCTCAAGATGAGTAGCATTCTCCCCATTGCGCTTCTCATTAGCCTCGGTCTCCAGCTGGGTTAGATCACCACCGTGCTTAACGTCCGCGATATCGCGAACATCAGTGTAGTGCACAGAGGGAACGAAGCCAACAGACTTCCAGGCAACGGGCACCTTGGCATAGAGTTCGTCGACCTGCTCCAGGGAAAGACCCTTGGTCTCGTAGATGCAGGTGTAGACGAAGATACCACAGATAAAGCAGAAGCCACCCCAAATGAAGAAGACCTTGGACTGGAGGTTCGCGTTACCGGGTCCATCGTTAACCATGTACGGGGTGGCGTAGGCGATAGCCCAGTTCAGCAGCCAGTTGGTTGCGGTGGTGATGGAGAGACACTTGGCGCGGGCCTTGAGGGGGTACAATTCACCAGTGACAACCCAGGCGACGGGGCCCCAGGAGCTGGCGAAGAAGAAGATGTAGACGCAGACGAAGGCGATCAGGACCTTGTTCGCGACAGTGGAGGAAGTGGCTGTACCGACGATGGCGACGATCAGTTGCGAGATGCACATGCCAACGGCGCCGAACATCAGAAGGGGGCGACGACCCCATTTCTCGACCATGTAGAGACCGGGTAAGGTGGAGACGACGTTGATGATGTTGGTGATCAGGGTGATGACAAAGGAGTTTTGGATACCGGAGTTTTGGAAAAAGGTGGTGCCGTAGTAGACTGCGGGGTGTCAGTAACGTGGGTTCGGGATGGAGAAGAGACTGTTGGCACATACAGATGAAGTTGACACCAGCCAGTTGCTGCAGGGCCTGCACGGCACAACCAGTAGCCAGACGCTTGCCAAGGGAACCACGCATGATCTCGAAGTAGGTCGCTTTGCCCAGACTGAGCTCAAACTCGTGGTTGGCCTGGATTTCAGCCAGCTCCTCCACAATCGCAGCATCGTTAACTTCGACCCGGCGAAGGCGGGCGAGCGCCTTGGCAGCAGCCTCGTGCTTGTCCTGCTTGATGAGGAAACGGGGTGTCTCGGGCAGAATAATCATTCCACCAACAAGAATGATAGCCCAGGCAAACTGAACGGCGACGGGGATGCGGTAGGAGCCGGTATCGTTGCGGTCCTTGGTGGCGTTGTTGACGATGGCTGCGAGGAGCAGACCGATGGTAATGGCCAGCTGGTAGGCACCGACGATGGTACCACGGATCCACTTGGGAGCAGTCTCAGACTGGTATAAGGGGACTAAATTGATGGTTAGAATATGTGTGGGATATTGAGATAAAAGGGGAAAACTCACTAGTTGCCGAGAGCAGACCAACACCGAGACCAGCAAAGAATCGACCAGCCACGAACAGGGGGATGGCAGTGGCGATGGTCTGGAGAATAACACCGAAGACAAAAACAACGGAGTTCAGAATCATGGCAAGACGACGACCGAAGTAGTCGGCCATGGGGGCGGCGAAGAGGGCACCGAAGAAAGTGCCGGCGGAAAGGAGGGAGACGATCATGGAAGATTGGGAGGAAGTCACGTCGGGAAGACCATCCTTGGGGTTTGTGTAGCCGGTCGAGAATAGTTCTCGCCAGTATTTCATGGCGAGAATACCGCTGATGGTACCTGTGTCATATCTGGAAAAATCGAGATTAGTATAATGTCTCGTCGGGCCGGAGGGATTTGGACAGTATAATAGACATACCCGAATAGAACACCACCGAACGCAACGAAAAGGCCGATGATGATGGCCGGGGTGGCCGAGCCAACGGCATCGTCTGGCTTTTTGATTGCGATGCCCATGGCAAGAGCAGAGCAGAGGTGTGAGGTGTGTTGAGGTTTGCGATAATAGAATATAGGAGTATAACCGTCAAGTGTCAACACACAGGGCAGAGAGAAATTTTTGGGAAGGGTGAAACAAGAGAAGATCGCAATTGTAAGGGAAAAAGAAAAACACGAGGAGAGAGCGTGCTTCTTGTACTCCACGCCCGCAAACGAAACCACGAGGCAAAAAAAAACCGAACATGATCATCCTCGGCCGTGCCGGGGTCTGGTCCGGGCCCCAGAAAGACAAATGTGCCGAAAAGGGAACCGTTATTGCAGCGAGCCGCTTCTAGGCCGGGGGCCTTGGGGATCCCCGGCGTGGCCAATGTCCAGGTCCTCCATGTTTTCTACGCATGGGTATGGAGAGTAGGGTGTGGAGAAAACCACGGGGGCTGAGCCAATGCGGCCACGCTACGCGGTGGAGATCTCGGGCGTCGCCGAGACAATTGGGTTTTAGCAGCTCAGATTGGCTTCTTTGCCTTAAACCATGGGATGCTGCGAAGTTTGAGAAGGGGGCGCAGAAACAGTGCGACCGGCAGCCCAGCCGTATTTCGAGCTGTTTTCGGTTTTCCCAGATGCGTGTCATTTTTTAAAATTTTCGATACGAGCTGTCATCCTCGTGACACACTTGGAAATTGAGGATAATCGTAGTTGATTTTTTTTTTCTTTCAAACGATCTGGTGAGGTAACCCGCAAACGGGTGAGGTATGCGGCAAGGGCGACGGGCGAGCCGCATGTGGGAAAACAGAGACGGCCATCCCTTGTTGGTTAGGATGGGGCGGACTCACTCCGGACAACCGGGTCATGTGAGTGAATTAGGGCTGTCTATTTCAGGGACGGTGGCGATTGAGCTGTACAGAATACGGAGCTGACAACTTTCAAGCAGAATATTCGAGAAATAGACTTGAAATACGGGACCAGAAAGGCCATGTTACAGAACTGACAGGAAGTGCACAACAGTAGATACTAGCAGGTCCGACTGGCTAGCTGCGTCGATTGGCCATGGAATCTCCGGATTTTCACCCCGGCCAACTTATTTCTCCCCAGAATCTCCAGCGGGCCACCGATCCGCCAGTAGACCGTGTTGATTAGGACAAATGGCGTCCACTGCAAGGGCATGGCGGAAATGACTGACGTGGTCTACCGGGCCCCGGTCGCATTTCAACATTTTTCATTCACCGGAGCCCAGATGGAGGTCTTGGAGGCGAGCCCTGATACTGCTGGGAGTCCCTGAAACCTTGTTGCTTGCTGTTTTTACTTGGGGATACACCCTCCACGCCGGTCGGGCCTTGCATTCCGATCCTGTTTCCATATGCCTGATTCGACATACATATCTGACATTGCACTGTTGACTATACTGAGGAACAAACAATCCTATTCTTTCGCACGCTGGAACCCTTGCAATAATATCAGATTGGAGATGTGCAGAACCAACAAGTGCAACCCCGGTCCGCGGCCAACCTTGGCTGAAGCCTAAACACTAAATGAGGCATTTTTCCCGTGGCGCGGATTGGACGGGCTACCCGATGGCTCTCCGAGAATTTCCCGGCCTCGGCGAATCAGGTGCATTAGTGTGCCGCGGGTTCGGCTATATACGACCTTAGACCACCAGGGTCGGGACCTGCGGGGTGCAGTTGGGGCCGAGACATCGGCCCCGGGGGCAGGCTGAGCGCTCGGGTCCCCACCGATCACGGGGAAGATGGAAGAAAGAGGAAAGCCGTGTCTATTTCTTTCGTGCTCTATGTACAATGGACTCGCTAAACCGCAAACCAACAACAAGGGACAGCAATCATGACCGGCCAACTACCAGCGCCAAATCAAAAAGAAGTATATCGACAAGACAACCGTCGCGACAAATTTGACCGACTGCACAAAGTCTCGGCCAATGAAGACTGCACTCTGTCGAAGACCCTTGGCCTGCGCCGGGCGGAACATGGGTTTGTCTTTGATGTTGCCACGATCTAGTCCCCGATAAGCATCTTGGGAATTTTTGACGCCGGGCGCACCCCCGCGGGGTAGCGGGGAAGAGCATTGGGACCACCGCGGCTGGCCAGGCCGCCGGGGGGCAAGGTAGAGCTGGACGTACCGGATGTCTGGTACTGGTGTCGTGGGGTGTAAGAGCGACGCTCGGAAAGAGGGAGGACTGAGCCATTCAAGATGGGCTCAGGGGCATTTTTGACGTGGTAAATGGAATTGATAAAAAGAATGGCGAGGGTGAGGAGGAGAACACAGCCGTAGTGGATGAAGATGCCCAGCTGGTCGGGGAGAAGACAGAGGTGGTTTTGGATGGTCAATGGCGACGCATTTTGAACAGACTCGCCCGTAACGGGGTCAATGGGATTCCACAGACTTGTGAGGAGGAAACCCGGCCGCCGAACGCCCATGGCCCAGGACAGACTCTTGACGGTGATTTCATTCGGGGAGCCGTTGAACTCACGATGGGTAACCTCGCAGTAGTCGTGGTCATCGCCGGAGTACACTTGAACGACATTGGGACCGGCCTTTGATACGAGCTCGGTAGAGATGGTTGGAGTCAGCACGTTTTGGTACTGATATCCCGCAGCGATCGTGAGTGAGTTGGGCTCGTCCTCTTCCAGATCTGGAGCTGCCGGAGGATGGCGTTCTCGTAGAGGACCGCAAGGGGTCGCCGCTTTGCGGTAAAGCGGTACGTGGGTGAGGAGGATAGTAGGGAAACCGGTGGACTTAGAGTTCGGTTTGTGGTGGATAGAGCTTTCGATGACATCCACTACATGGTGATCGAACTTGATGTTGGTGGTCTCCGACTTATTCTGGAGCATCATGAGTTCTTCCATCTCGGCCTTCGCTTTGTTGATAGGCATGTGGTTCAGGAAGTCGTCCGCGTCCTTCCAAATCGGCCGGTACCGAGTATCGTCAGTCGGGTTGGGCGTTGAGCTGCCGGTCAATGGGTCTGGCTGGTCCATCGCACTCAGAGAGACAGTGTCGACAGAGACAAACGTGTGGTTGCCGATTACGTCGACGCGATTGCTGTCGCCAAAATAACTCTGAAATCTATCACGCACCGGCTCAAGAACTCCGTTGCCGAATCCTAAGTCATGGTTGCCCGGCAGGCTGGCAATCATCTTGCGGCCTCGGCCATTCACAGGCGCAGATTCTTGCTTAACCCATGGATCTAAGAAAATCTTTACAAAACGCCGGTATTCCTTCCTCCAGAAGGAGTCGTCGATCTTTTTGTAGCGATCTTCCGGGCTGGAGGTCGTCCTCGTAGCCCATTCTCTGCCACCATCAAACAAATCCCCCAAGAACAGAACGGAATCGGGCACCAGGTTCTTCTGAATAGATGCGAAGGAGCGACGAAGGTACTGATCGGTGTACTTCACGGTCAATGTTGACAATGGCCACGGGCGGCCGGGGTAAGTGTGTGGATCAACAAGCTGCGGGTCGGCAACAAAAGCGACGTGATGAGGCGTGGCACCTTGAGGCTATATCAATGAACACAGTTAGCACACACCCTATGGTACCTTGAAGAGAAACGATCTGCATATCGCGTGGTCTTGACATAGGACCCCGCCGTGAAGCACTTACCCAATGCTCCCAGTTATCCCAAACACAAGCATCAATGTGCTCTTGGAAGACCGTCCGCTCTCCCCACCACAACGTAAACATCCACATCAAAACGACAGCATTCGCAACAGTAAAAAGGCGTTTTATAACCCTCGTCACCGAGCTCAGAATTTCGCCACGGCCCTGTGGCCTCTCAGACCGAATTGCAGCCATTCCATCCGTAAGCCATTGTCTTGCGCCGGTCGGAATTCGGTCCCACGCCCGGTGGGCAAAGCTGGACGACAGCGACGACGCGGCGTCCTTGTATGAAGGAAGGGACGAGGCACCCGTGCGAGGATAAGCGTAGCTCATTGTCCGGCGGCTTGGCAAGCCTGGGTCGGTGGCTCGGCCCCCGTAACGAGCGTGATGGGTGAATCAGCGAAAGGAGTGACGCTGCATACTCTGGCGAGATGGAGAAGGTAAGAAAGGGGAATTGCAGAATTGTGCACACGTCAAGGTCGATCTGGAACAAGGGGGACTTTGCCAGCAGGTCGAGGCGCGTCGATCGCCGGGCGGGAGCGGTCACGTGGTGGCTTGGACGGAAATAGAAATAATGGGCGGTGCAACAATAGATTAAAAAGTGGAATACTACCAGAGACATTTACGGGCGATCAATTGCATGCAATCTCAAGGACAACTGGGAGATAGATTCGATTCTAAATCTATTGAACCAACAGATGTTGCTGGGTGGCACCAGTGGGGCCGGAAATCGACTCGGAGGTATGGAATACGACCCAAATCTGAATGCGGGGAATCCGTGGATTAATGATAGATAGTAGAAGTACAAGCACAACGGAAACAAATATTAAGAGAGCGAGGTGGAGTTCCATGAGTAGTTCCAGTGTCATGTATCCTATCGTGACAATGCATCGTTCCAGGTGCATCTAAGGGACCAGCTATCGGAAACGACTTGTGAGCGACACGCGAATACAACGCAAGCATCGCATGGGCACTGTGCAAAGAGAGAGTAGAAAAGAATACAAGAGAGTATGAATGTGGGGGTATGAACAGTACAAAGTGTATGAGAGGGTATGACCAGGGTGAGTGAGGAATTAGGGTCAATAGAGAAGAGTCAAATCAAGGGGACTTTTTAGGGCAGCACTGGCCACCGCGGGCACAGTTGTCATCACATTCCAGCAAACAAGCCTGGGGATCACCTTCCCGAACGCTCGCTGCGCCATTCGGTTGGTTGGGGTCAATGGTTGCGGCCCGAGAAGACGAGGGAAGGGTGTTGTTCTGGACATCATCACCGTCATCGCTACCAGGAGCGAACTCGGGCTGAATGGTGGAAGAGTGAATGCCATAGGCGTGCAGACAGCGTCGCACCTGGCGAGCAAGGCGCATGTAGCGCTCGGAGCCTTCGCCCTTGATCTCAGTGTCCACTTGGATGTGAATGGAGGCGACAATCTTGGTGTCGCTGAGTTGCCAGACGTGTAGGTGGTGAGAGCCAATGACACCGGGAAGGCCTTCAATATCCTCCTTGATATGGTCAATGCTCATGCCCTGAGGAACGGCCTGAAGGAGAATGCGTGAGGCGGCTTTGCAGAGCGGAATGGCGGATGCAAGAATGATAACGGTAATAACGAGTGAAATGCCGGGGTCAACGTAGAAGCGCCACTCATAGTCGGTGAGCCAGATAATGAGGGCAGAGGCAATGACGCCAATGTTGCCTAGCGCATCCCCCATGACGTGCAAGAACACACCCCGCATGTTGAGGTCATGGCCACCCTTCTTGTTCTTGGGCTTGGGCTGGGCGTGGTTGTGGTGCTTGTGCAGGTCTTCGTCCACTGAGTGAGAAAGTACCTTGAAAGGGCCGTCATGCTCATCAGTGTAATTCGAGGCGCGGTCTCGGTTACGCAGAAGACCAGATCGCTCAGTGGGTGTCTCTTCTCCATCCCGGCTGTCTGAGTCAGAAGAGGGCTCATTGTCAAAGGTACCACGACTCGCAGCAATGATATCCTGACGCATAGTAGCCGGGTGAACGTAGATATCCTCCACGTTTCCGATGCCACGTCCAGTGGACGTGCTGTAACGACGTGAACCACGAGTCTGAGAATCCACACGGCGCTTGCGGGAACCCGGGGAGGCCGGCTCGATAGCATGGTGAGGGAAGCTGCTTTGGGAGAGGCTCGCGGGGCGACCAGCTCCGACCAGGTTCTCAGGCATCACGCCCGCAACAGATCCACGCTCATCGGCGATAACAGGGTCGCTCTGGTGGACATGTTCGTGGTCGTGATCGTGGTATCCCTGCTCCACATCCTCATGGTCGTCATGAGAGTGATCATGTCCACCGTGTCCGTGTCCACCGTGCGAATGGTCATGGAACAATGCAAGGCCCAGGATGTTTGAAAGCAGTCCGAAACATCCCACGATGCAAACCAGCTTGGGGTTCTGCACCTCCTGCGGCTCGACCAACCGTTGAATTGCCTCCAAGAAGATCGACATGCAGAGAGCGACTAGGAAGACGCCGTTGACGAGAGCACCGAGTGTTTCTGCGCGTTGCCACTATATCCATAGCCCGATCGTTAGCCTTGATTCGCCGAGAGGGGCGCGTTCTTTCAGCAGACTTACGCCGTAGGTGTACATCTTCGAGTTTGTCTCATTATTGGCGACCTTGACGGCCCAGAGCCCAACGCAGAGGGAGAGGACATCGTTCAGCTGGTAAGAGGTCAGGTCGTGTTCATCATCATCGAAGTGCGGGGCGATTCGCTGATGCCACAAGGTAGTACTTACCATGTGAAAGGAGTCGGCGACGAGGGCAAGGGAGTGGACAGCATAGCCTAAAGCGATCGCGGTCAGCAGAGCTCGCAGCGTAAATGAGCAGCATAGATTGAAGCAACGAACCGGTGATCAATTCTAGCAGAAAGAAGGCTGAGTCGATCACCAGCAGGATGATGATCCTGTTGGTTTTTGAGAGTCCCATCGTGGCCAGGTGTGTGCTCGCGGGGGGCGCTCAGTCGCGTAGGGCACCGCAGCAGGGAAATCAAGGAGCGACGAGCGATTGAAGATGGCAGAGGAGAGGCGACAGCGATGGAGGGAAAAGTGAGACGTTATCGCTTCCGGCGCGGCGCAGGTCGAAGTGGAGCCGCAGCCGCCTCCGCCGAGCTCACGGGATTGCTTCCACCTGGTGGCGTGCCTTGCCAACTCTCGCACTACGTTCATATTTGCGGGACCATCATCCTTTTCTACTTCTACCGATCTTCAACCCCAACTGTTCGTGCAACAACTGGTCAATATCATTGCGAGAAATCCCTTTTTACCTCCAGAATACACCAACGCTCATCGGCGTTCTACCAGGCACGACTTCACGGGGATCAGCCCTGTGAGGCTGGCCGAAACCGGCCGATCCCCAAACAACTTTGTCTAGTTAAAAGCTCCACGCCCAAATTCCAGCCAGCTCGGCCCAAGCTCTCACGGCCTCTAAACGAGCTGCACCAATCTATTGCCCCTCCAAACTAACAACCCAGCCCGCCCCCATGAAACATTCACGTTCATCCACTATTTAACCCGACGAACTAACGTTCAGACGTTGCTCTTGACTCCAGAAATTCTCCGCTAGAAAACCGCTAGCGGCCACTGCCGAACGCACTACCGCTGAAGTAAATTTCTTGCACCCACCTAGGGGCAAGGAACACGGCCGGACTCATGCAGCACTGCGCCACGGTCGCGACGGAGGGATCGTGGTGGTGCTTGAAGACACAATAGAGGGAAGATATCGCCCTAGAAGATGCGCCCGGCGGGTTTCGACTGGTTTGGCTTGGCCCCCAAAGCATGGCAAAATGCCCACCCCAAGGGCCCACGTTCGGCTATGCTCACCAGTCGAGCTATTTTAGGGTCGAGAAACGTACATATGCAGTGTGCAGAGTTTTCCTCGAAATATGATCTGACAAAATCTCGGAGCTTTCGGTGGTGTGAAAGTTGAAAGGAGCGTTCGTCAGTCTTGGAAGGCTGTGATCCACTCACTTGGGCGCAGATATATCATGGTGTTTACAGCCAGTTGACTTCACCGACTACTCTCGATCTGGTGGGTCAACACACTTTCTGCTGCTGTTGATTTGCGAGGTATCAGCACTGCCTTGTGAATTGCATCGCGTGGATTGCCTGGGAAATTTCCTCCGAAAGTCTGACAAAGGGCTTCGAAGGGATTCTGGGAATATGATCAAGCGACAACTATGTGTCAATACCACCGCCCATAATAAAAGCTATATCTAGAAGAGGTCGAGGCACTATGTGCTGACCTGAAAGGCGAAGTTGGAAACGGGTCAAGGGAAAGATGCCCCGCCTGATTAACTTCTATGGAGCCGTATCTCTGCCTCACAACGACAAGGCTTTGCAAAGGAAAGGTCAAATTTGGCCCACATCATCCAAAGACAACGAGCACTCGGTTAAAGATCTCACGTACTTTGTATCCAATCGATATCAACGAGAAGAAAATCACATAGTGGTTGAAATATGTTCATCGGGGGATTTTCCGAAGGCAGAATGTCTACGCACAAGGCTGTGAGATGAACGACCGACAGATCACACACTGGTGCAGTACTTGGTAAAAAGGCGGGGAATATACGTCATTCCCTTTAAGGGCTTGGGGAAAATAAATTTGGTGCAGCCTTAGATTGAATAGCATGGAAGAAGGGGTGCAAATAGCGCCGGGCTGTGCTCTGGGCAAGGCGAGCCTCATTGTCTTAACCTGGCGGGTCGACCTGCCATGTCCTATTCCGGAAACTCGTCTGGACATAGGTATGGCTTCCTTTTCCTCGACAGCTGCGAGTGAAGTCATCAATAAAGAACAAAATCGACTAGTAATCCTGGTAGAATTTGTGAGAACTGTCAAAAAAAGATCTGATGAGTGAGTGCAGCACCGGTAATGGATCCGTTGTTATGTCTCGCGATACGCCCGATGAAGCCAGAGAAAAGGATCGGCACCAGCCTCAACTCAAAACCGGCACTATCTGAATGGGATTGACACTTATACAAACCCTTGTCCTTTCTGTCCTGGGAAATGACAAGTACTCATCCCAACAAATTTTATACTTCTCATCGCCTCTCGAGCCTCTCTACCCCGAAGATACCTACCTACCTTTTATCCGGCTTCAAATCGATACACTATTCCATCGCCAATCATGGGCGCCATCATGTACAACCTATGGACTTCGGAGACATCAGGTCCGAGGCTGGCCACACGTCTCTTGGACGCTATCATCGCTATCGTCGGTATCATTTGCATAGCTACCGGAAGCCGATACCCCGTTTATGGGTCCATCTGTTATATTATCGTATGAACTTCCTCCCGGAGCTTCGTGCCATTTTAACCGACTAACAAGTCTTGAATAGCTTGGAATTGCAGCTCTTTTGTCTCTGATAATCTCGGCTTTCATCTATTCTCAAAAGCTATTCCATCCAGGATTTCTCATTCTTCCTGACTTCGCTCTTGCGGCCGTTCACTGGATTTTCGGAATATCTTACGCTCTAAGCGCAAACTTTTCACAGCGAGGGGGCGTGATAATTGCTGTCTTTTTGCTGATAGTGGCGTAAGCATATATCCACGGATCTGGCCGGTTGATTGAGGGTAGCTTCTAACTAGAATTTGGTCCAATTAGGGTTCTACATACACTATTCTTCGTTTCTGTGTGCCGCGATACGCATGTTCGAAGACAGAGGTCGAATCCCACCGCCAGAACCAAAAATGAAGCGGAGATGGATGTCTAGACGATGCAAGGGAGAAATGATCCTTCACACTGCATTAGATGATAGTTGACATGGTAAATTCGCATGTGAGGTCACCTGGCACATCATTGCGTCCGTCCATGGATGTTATATGATGAAGTGCTACAGGTTATCGTGACACTGCTCCCCGGACGGGTACCCTAGGAATTTGGATGCTTTGTTAATCTGTGATTTAATGATTTATGAGGCGGTTGCCGTCTTCACAGGTGCTGATTTTTCTATACTTTAAATGTATATGGATATTGGGAAATCCCCTTCTTCACCCGTTTCTGTCTTCAGGGGTGTTTAATCTACCGTTCTCCATGCATAATGCAGAAACCAGATTTTCAAGCTGAGATTCTCCTCCTCAAAGCCAAAATGCGATCAGTGGCTTCTGAAAATGGCTCGGTGGGCAATGATCCCTCTTGTAATGCAGAAACCAGGGCATCGACAATAGCCTCTCCCTGTGTCACATTGCGAGCAGAAGCTAGAAGCACATCCATACCAGCTTGAGCGGCCAACAGCCCCCGCTCAGCGTCATTTCCAAAATTCTCCAACGCACCAGCTTCGATTGCATCAGTGATAGTCACCCCTCTGAACCCTAGTCGTTCTCGCAACTCTCCTTGCACCCATTTTTTGCTCAACCCTGAAGGATACTTCGAGTCGAGAGCTGGGTATATTGCCCATGAAGTCATGACCATGTCTATTTCGGCTGCGATTGCTTCGTGGTACGGTTCCTCGTCCACACTCCGAAGCTGACCGAGAGTCTGATCGATGACCACGGGCTTCTCGTCGGTATTTTCGTTTGTCGAGGCGGCGCCAAGTCCGGGGAAATGCTTCGCTGTAGCGATGACGCCCGCGTCTTGTTGAGCAGTGATGAAGGCAGAGGCGCAGGTTCCGACCAGCGCAGAGGTATTTCCGAAAGAGCGATCGTAGCTGTCCATGAAATCGCCGGGTTGTCGATAAACGTCGAGAACAGGAGCCAAGTTCGTATTTAGCTGGTAGTCGCTCAGCGCGCTGGCAGCATCTTTGGCAGCTTGGTTCGCGGCGTGCTTGGGATTCGAAGACTGGCCCACTTGTTTGGCACTCATTTCAGGACCACCGGGGAGGCGACGGATTTTACCACCCTCCTGGTCTGTCGTGATGATCAGGGGAACGCCAGCGTAGGCCGGGCTCTTTTTGTACGCATCTTGAAATTCCCCAACGACGGTGCTCAGGTTAGCACCGACATTCTCTCCGAAGAGAATGATGCCTCCGACTTTGCCTTGTTTGATCAGGTCGAAGAGGTGATCCGGCGGTTGCAGGCCGGGATACGAGAAGATCACATGATGTCCTGCTTGGACGGTCTGGTTACTCGGAATCGTGTGGGCTCGCGTTACGTCTGCTAGACCCAAACAGAGATGGGCAAGCTGGGAAGTCGTGGTCCATCGCATCGCGCAGAGGGTGCACTGTGGTCTTGTTGAGATAATACTTTTGGGTTCATCAATTGCCGAACCCCATTATATACAATGAGCTCGCATTTTGGCATCGTTTTTGGACTCGATTAGCCTTCGACCGGATATGTTTCAGGGTGCTGTTTCTTCAGGGGTGTTACATTGATCGTATTTGATCGGCAGTCGCAAGTCCCGCGTCGGCTAAGCAGAATGCGCCCCAACGAAGATACGAGGTTACCCTCTCATTGGCCGCCACCCCGCGTTGTTTGAAGCAAAACACGGCCATTCATAAGCAATTTGTGTCCCCATAATCGTTCCATAACTGCGTAGCTTCTGTGGCTTGTTTGTCAAAATATGGACTCATAGACAGAATTCATTGAAGCCACAGTACTAAATGAAGTGATTTTTACTGAGAAACTACTAGTGCCGGCTTCGGCGTTTTGGGAAGTTGATACTGCTTCCTTTGCTCGGTTATTCGCTATGGGATGAGCTGGATATGTAGCTCTTCCGGTAACTCTCGGGAAATAGAGAAATATGGACTGGGTTTGACTCCCTTTCATTGCTTGTCAGGCGTTTAAAATCAGATACACCCGAGCCCTCTTTGTGATACAGCTATGCTGAGCCTAGCCACCTCTTCGGTATTTTCTGAGCGCCCCTCGAGCTCTTATTTTTGCTGTCAAGCCTACCCCACATTTGGAGGTACTAGCACCTTTTGCTTGCCGCGACGTTACATTTCTGCTCGATGGGGGATCTAAGTTGCGAAGAAAGATGTCGCAGCTACTTCAAAATTTACTCTGTCTGACTTCTTTCAATTTTAATTTTGACATCGTGTGAAAGGACACCAGAATAACATCCTTGACTTGGTGTAATCTAGGTGACTATTTTGCCTGCATATCCTACTTGAAAATCCATGGTTGCGATCCGTTTGCAATGCTACATGGCCAATGCTACTCAATACTCCAACTAGTCTAAGAACGCGGGGTTGTAATTCCTATCAGTAATTTCAATAAGGCGCTATAAGCGAAGTTCTGCAACACAAAGAGACTGAACAATCGAAGAAACGTACTGTTCTTGAGTCACAATTTGCCATATAGAAGAAGATTGTTGCCCGGATGGCTGAACTCGGAATAATCCCTGTACTTCCCGCATTCCCAGAATTTGTGCCAGATGCTATCAAACGAGTGGGGCCAAAATTCCAACATTACCAAAGCGCCGCTCTGGTCAGTATAGTGAGGACTATTTCTTGATGATGACACCTACGCAGAGCTGCAAAATCTTTTCATCCGAAAGGAGATTGAAGCATTCAGTAACATTACCGATATGTACACGTTGAATCAATTTAACGAGATGACACCCCAGCCCGAAGAAAGCGATTAGCTATCCGGTGTCTCGGAGCAAACATACGAAGGATTGGCCTCTGCCAATCCTGCTGCTGTCTGGTGGCTAGGTCGGCTTTTCTACTCCAGTGAAGGTTTCTGGACACAAGCGCGGATTGATGCATATCCTGGCGGTGTCACCGAAAATAGCAGCATGCTCATTCTCGGTCTTTATTCGGCGACTGAGCCTCGATGAAAACGAACAAACAGCCATGCAGGTAAGCCATAGATCTGGTGCCAGCTGCACGATTTCGGAGGGAACATGAACCTTTACGGCAAGTCGCAAATATTACAGTCGACTCCAAAGCCCTCGAAGACTCGGACTCCTTGGTCGGATTTGGGCTTACTGCTGAAGGCTACGAGGGTTTGTATTTCGTATTGTCTTGCTTTGCTTTTGTTCTTGTTCGCTGTCTCGTATCTTCGACGACCGCTAGAGGATTTTTAGTTCAGTGGTATGGATGTTACGCCTCTTGATTTCGCAATTCTGCAGATAATAGATCAACTCCTGCAGGGCCGTAAAGAAAATACCAGCAGCCACCAGTCCAATCATCATAAGTAGCCCCTCCGGATAAAGATTAGAGGAGTCGTCTTGGCGGAATATTTGCGTCCCTGCCATAAGACCGCTGGTGGCTGTCATCACAACTTTGAAGATTTAGTTAGTCTTCCAGATCAAAGTTCATTTGAACCTTAGGACAGGTATTGTAACTAACACATACTGGCAGGAGAAAGATGTCAGTAAAAATTCAGGGGGAACATGATTTAAAACTTACGCGACACCGATACTTCTTTCCTCCGGAGTGGTGCTATTCATCTGTATCCAGGCGTTATGGATCGGATGGTAGCCGACCGCCAAACCATTTGCCGTCGTCCAAAGCCCAAATTTGCTCCATTTTCCGACGTGTGGTTGGCTGCATCTCAACACAATGAGCGAAAACAAGTACACTGTCTGTGCGATGATCACAGCAAGCCCCCTTTTGCGAGACTTGTCGCTTAGCCAGGCGAAGAAAACAACAACCGGCAGAGTGATGAAGTTTCCGATTGCCGCCAATGCATTTGCCGGAACCCGCTCGAAGCCAAGCATGGTGTAAATAGACGGCGTGTAGACTGTTAGCGGATTCCATGTAGCGAAAACACAAGCGGTCGCGATAAAATGCGGCCAGCGTTTGAAATCGGCCAAGGTGGACCAAACTACCGTTAATGAAATGCGATGAGAAGTACTCCCTGACGGAGCAACCTCGGAGGCCTTCTCGACATCAGAGCAAGGATAATATCTGGCTCTCTCCGGAAGCAGGAAAAATAACAGGATGGAAACGACCACGGTCCAGATACCCTCCACTGTAAGAAAAATTTTAGTTTCGTGAATCATGGAGATGAGCAAAAGAAATGCGGAACGACCTAGGAATATCCACTGCCAGCCAGAGAGGCTGCCTTTTGAGTCTAATCTCATAAGCCCAGCACCTATCAATGGGCCAACTGCCGTACCTCCGAACATGCCAAAGAAGAATATGGCAATTCGCTTAGTTATCTCCTCTCTAGTGTACCAAGTTGACAATGTGAACATGGAACCTGGAATAAAACCGGCCTCGCAAAGGCCAAGAATGGTTCTTGTGAGAAGAAATCCAGTTCGGTCACAAATGAAGATCTGCAAAGCAGCGACCACGCCGAATACAAGTACCTGGCCACCGATCCACCAACGAGCGCCGACCTTTGACGATCAGTTGAGGACAAAGGAGAAGATCGGGGTTCGCTCGCTTACTTGGTGAAGTATCACATTTGATGGGATCTCCAGGGCAATCACCCCGGCGAACATGAGCAGATTCCCAAGGTTTATAGAGTCCTGACTCACTCTAATGTCCGACGCAAGGCCGCCGGTCAGACAACTGGCAATGTTTGTGCGATCCAACTGGTAGCTGGCGAAAGCAACGACAAGAAGAGGAAGGACTTGTCGATCTGCACTTCGAAGATGAATCACAATCGTCAATCAAGGCCGAGAGAGAATTATTGGAGTTTATAAGATACTTACATCTTCGAAAGCTGAGACTGAGTCTTTGGAGTGTGTGCAGAGGAAGAGTCCGAGAAATTCAGGTCGCTGACTGAGGCCGTGGCATCATCGGTGGACATGTTCTTTGCGTGTGAGGCTAGATCGCAAGTCACAATCCCGGAAACCATTTCACACGATCCGAAAGTATGCTCGAGGGGGTCGTGGATTTTGTTGTGTCCATCAAGTACCTTGGGAAACGGGGACCTTGTGGCGGCGGTTATCGACATTGAGAACCTTCTGGAAATGACAGATAACGAGAAATTAGTCCCATAGAGATGATTTTGGGAATAAATCACACTGGGTAACTCAAATGTGCCAAAACACAGAAAGGATGCTCTTTGGTGTAGTAGTAGTAGTAGAGTACTAAGTCTTGGTTCCCATGCGGCAGCGCCAAAAGCGCGTGGTTCCCCCGCCTTCCGCTGCCTCACTCCATCTCTCCTTTGTACCTCCTCCACGCCGCCGCACATGGAGCCGCGTCGTGCATCGCGAGCATGCGACCCCTGCAAGCGTCGCAAAGTCAGATGCAATGGCCAGTCCCGTTGCCAGCAGTGTACACACGTCGGGTTACCCTGTACTTATGCTACCGGTCCTGTCCAGCGATCAAGAAAGAAGACGGTTCGACGAGGCACAGTCATTGCCGAATGTCGCCAGGGTAGCCAGGCACGCAATGATCATAATCCCGGGCGCTTCTTACAGCCTTGGTCGGCGTCTATCGAGTTCCCCATACAATCGTCTCACCCGAACCCCGCATTTTTCCTGGAATTCCTCGACGAATATACTGAGTATGTCTATCCCATGAGCCCGGTCGTGCCCGCAACCGAGATCCGCAATCTCATTGCGCAAATGAACGAGAATCGAGAGGCGGCTTCTTTCGCTTACATTTTCATTGCCGTGACCATCAATTTGACTCGGAGTGAGCCCGTGCAACAAGCGCCTGCTACGCGTGAGCGAATCGCGACTTTCGTGACGCGCTCATTGGAATATAGAGTCCCTGTTGGACTCTCCACACAGCCCAATGTAATCGGTGTCATGGAGAACCTGTTCACGCAAATGTGCTTTGTTGGACTCCGTCGCCTCGACCTGGGCTTTTCGTACCTACGACAGGCCATATCGTATGTTTACATGACATTGCCGACACACTCGGACGAGGGACTAGCTGCTCTTGACGTGGCAGAACGTTCGCGTCGGCAAAGGGCCTACTACGAGTGCTTCATACATGAGAGATTCACAGCTCTTACATTCCATCGCCCTACCTGCCTAGCCTGTCTGCAAAACTTTCCAGATCATGACCCATCGCTCCCTGAACATGTCGAAGAAGGATTCAATCTTCTGATTCAAAGTTTTTGTTTCGTCGATCGACAATTCCTTGACTTTGCTTTAGGCGACAGGTCCGGGGTCACAGTCGAATGGATACAAATGAAACAGCAAGAGCTTGATGACTATGACTGGCACCAGAAAGTCTCCGAACTGCCAGAGCTGATGCAAGCGGACCTGGTAATTACCAGACATTGGCTGCGCACTTTGACTTGGCAAATTGCTTTATCCAACACACTTCTATCATCATCGAGCACCTCGTTGCTTCTATCTCTTTCTTTTCCATTACGCCTGTCCAGCCAACTACGCCAGTTCCTCTCTGCAGTTCCCCGGGACATGGTGGGAATTCACGGATCCGGCATACTGGAGAAACTTTTCGAAATTGCGAATACGATCACTGACGTCGTTCTGCATCTTAAGCATGCCCCCGGAGACGAGACGGTCGAGCGTGTTTACGACATCATGTTTTTGAGGGACTTTATCTATTCGTTCCCTGGGTTTGAGACGTTGCGGCCAGCGGCTCTTACCGAAAAATTCGAACAGATCCGAAGCAAATACCCTGGCATTAAAGAGATCGAACTTCTACAATAGTATTGCTGTATATGAATACTACCGGATATCACGTACTGTATAATCTCCATGTCGATCTGTGAATTTCCCATCCCTTTCTCCACGCATCCCAGCGTGGACACTCATTCCAACGTCCACTAATCTCGACACATCCTCACGTGGCTGACGGAGCAGGTGATTCTATTTCTCCACCAGATAAATTCGGCCTTCGAAAGGCCGGAGCAGATTGAGAGGTTCGTCATCATAATTCCTGATCAGAGCCTTGACTGATGCAGCTCCGATGTATCCCGCAAGCTGATCCAAAGTCTGATCATCTGCTGTGAAGTTCAGCGCAACAACGAGTTTCTGAGTATCGGCCGTCTTCTCAAAGACGAAAACATTCTCCTTTGTGGGCTCAGGATCGCTGTATATTCCATGCGCGAAGACGTTCGGATTTTCACGACGCACACGCAACATCTCGCGCCAGAAGTTGAAAACAGATGTGGAATCGTGTTGTTGTCGCTTCACGTTCAGCAATGGATAGTTATCATGCACGCGCATCCAAGACTTCGCTGATTGAGATGTGAAGCCCGCGTTGGGTGTACCATCCCATTGCATAGGGATTCGAGCATGATCTCTTGCTAGGTGGGCAAGAGAAAGCTTGGCTTCACGAACTGCGGTCGAATCATTTCTCGATACTTCCTGAATGAATTTGTAATAGTTCAGGCTGTCGAGGTCCTTGTACTCGCTGATGTCCCAGTCGGCTGGCATATTTACCATTCCGATCTCCTGGCCTTGATAAAGATACAGGGTGCCAGAAAGACTTGCAAGAAGCATACTGAGCATCTTCGCGCTTCGTTGCCATAGCTCAGGCGTCTCCTCGCTTCCAAATCGGGAAATAGAGCGCGCTTGATCGTGGTTCTCTAGGAAAGACGTACTCCATCCATCGGTTCCGTTCAGCAATTCTTGGGTACGTGCGACTCTTTCGCGGAAGTCGGAGAGGGTCCAGTTACGTGGAGTCGTGTTGAACCGAAGGTTGCCTGTGCCGACATCCATGATATCGAACTGGAATACCATACTGAGCTGCTTCTCCTTTGCCGAGACATATCTCAATACGTGTTCAACTTGCGGCGTGTTCGGCAGCTCGCCAACAGTCATAGCGTTGTACTTGCCCAAAATCTCACCCATGCGACGCAGGAATTCGTGTATCCGGGGCCCGTTGCAGTATAGTGAAGGGGCGGGCTGCCACTCGAGTCTTGGATCGACGATCGGGGCATCTCCGAATGATTGTTCTTTGCTGTACATGTTGACGGTGTCGACACGGAATCCGTCGATGCCCTTTCGGAGCCAGAATTCCATTGCCGACTCGTAGATCGCCTCGCGGGTATTGGGGTTCTCCCAGTTGAGGTCAGGCTGCTGAACTGCGAACAAATGCAGATAATATTCTTGTGTCTCTTCATCCCACTCCCAGGCACTGCCACCGAACATGCTGCGCCAGTTGTTTGGAGGCCGGCGGGTTCCATCCGTATCATACTTCGCTGGCCGCCAGACATACCAGTCGCGTTTAGCGCTGGTCTTTGATGATCTGGACTCTATGAACCAAGCGTGGAGGTGGGATGTGTGGTTGATAACGAGATCCAAGAGCACGCGCAGGCCACGTTCATGGCAGCCGGCAATGATAGCTTCGACATCGGCAACTGTACCGTACGGCGGGTATACCGCTTCATAATTCGAGATGTCGTAACCCATATCATATTGCGGGCTGTCGTACATCGGGCAAATCCAGATAGCATCGACGCCCAGAGACTTGATATAGTCCAACTTGCTCAGAATGCCAGGGAGATCACCGATCCCATCGCCATTGTCATCTTTGAAGCTGGCTGGGTACACCTGGTAAATGGTGGCGTTTTTCCACCAGGGGTTTTCCGACGCCATGACGGAAGAGGAATGGGAAAAAGTGTATCCCTGACCGAAACGATTAGGAGGTTTGCGAATGGAAGACGTCTAAATCCTCTTGAAACAATGACAGGAACAATGTCAAAATGATGATGATAAAAGCCAGCATAGTGGAAGAAATCCAAAAGCTGGGGGGCTTTATAACCTGCTCTCATTCCCCAGCACCTTCTCGCAGCTACCTCTATTGGGGTATTATCGGACCGAGATGAATTACCCCGCCAGCCTGCAAGCCAGCCTCGCGAACCCCTCTCCCGCAGCTGATTGGTTCCATGTCGGACCGACATTGTTTACTACCCATTACCCCAGATCCGAAAATCTGGGGATGGTGCAAGATTGTGGGGTCGTTCCGCGCCGCGGGCTTCCTTTTTCCTTATATTCTTTCCCTGTACAAACCACCAATATATTTTTTGACAGATGTTGTCCCAGTTCGTTTAATATGTCATATCTTCATCTGGTGGGGGACCTTACTCCATGGTAGACCTCGCCATATTGCTTTTTTGGGTACCCTACGGGTACCCGCGAACCCGCCCAGAATCCATCAGCCCGTATACTACGGAATAACAGTTGTAGTACTACCTGTAACGCATATAAATATGTGTAATATGGTATATATTACCTGTATTCAAATCTCTTGGCGGGTTTTGGGTCAAGGGTCGAAACCCAACCCGCGATTTTGGCGAGGTCTACTCCATGGTATTCGCGGTCATGTGATCTCCCCGCACTCAGCTCTACTCACTGCCTTCTCCGTCGCTGTAGACCAAACAAATGGCTTCTGCCTTTTAGAATATCTCTCTCTATCACTCATTCCCTCCAGACAAGCATCTAAATGACTGAGCTGTGGTCCGACCTACGAGGTCTCCTCGGCAAGACCGAGTTGATTGCCAAAGACCTCGAATTCTTCTCCACGATATCCATCTGCAATACCTACATCTCCAATACTGCTTACCGACCCATTCCATTCCTTACCCGTTACGACAAGACCGGAGCCAACAGATTTTTCAGCAAGACCATCAACTCCACGGAAACGGTTCCCAGGCTCTTGTCGATGTTGCTAGCAAAATATGTGGATTCTACTGCTAGTCGTGCTGATGGCCCGAGTCAAGGCGACGGGGGAAAGGAGCCTTTGTGTGTCACTTTTGCTCAGTTAGGACCCGATGTGGGCGGATTCCAAGACACTTTACATGGCGGGGTTATGGCGTCGCTCCTTGATGAGTCCATCGGACTTTGCGCCGAGGCATATCGAGAATTCGTTGCGAAGGATTCTCTATCCCGATTGTACACTGCCAACCTCGAGATTTCCTACCGTGCACCCGTTCCCGCCCCAGGGATTCTTGTGATTGAAACATGGCTCAAGAAGAAGGAAGGGAGAAAATATTTCTTGGAGGCTCGTGTCCTGTCGGAAAATGGGAATGTCATGGTGGAGGCGAAATCTCTCTATATTAGCGCTCGGTCACCCGCTGCTCTATAGATACTTTTACAATGACTATCGACATTATGAAAGAAAACTTTCCAAAATCAATTTCAAGTAATTGATTGACGAAACATTGTGTGCACCATTGTGATCCTACGAGATCTGATTTTGTTGATCCGAGGTTCATCCAGATATATTTGTCACGTGTAGTGCTGTTTCTCGTCAACCTGCATGTATGTGATGCCAACACTTGTGAAAAATTGGTTATTACGAGTACAATGCAATACTTGAAATACTCAACTGACGGAATCAGAATTGTATTCGTGGCTGACTATTTCCTGAAATCCCAATCCTCACATTTCTACGATGTTTTTCTTGTGTTCCATTGATACATATTTGCATACACTCGACAGCCGATGTCGGGGCCCGCGGGATCCAGGAGATCCAATAATCCGAATGACGTCACACGCTCAAAATAGCCTTACTCAGCAAAATGTAAATGGTGTAAATAGAACCGTTTTGCTATGCATCCTACATGTCGTTGAGACTGTATTCATTGGGTGGGTTCTGAAACAGTTCGGAGACACTTCTAAAGCCCCTGAACCCATCTTTGGCCCACCGCCCTCATCAATTAAGGGCAACAATGGAAAGACCCACCTGCGTGGACGTTGAATTCAAGGCTGATGGACTGCAGCTTTCACGTTATGTACAACGGTCTGGAGTCAGTCGTGGACTAACCAGAGACAACCTCGTGGGAGATTCCGGAAACCGGCAGCGAAACATCCCGAATCTCTCCCGTCTTCAACATGGCCACTCCGCAGCAGCTTGATGCCGGATGTGCTGGCATCCGCCACGAGCAACCGCCCCACTCCCGACAACTTCTCGATTCGGCGCTTGGCCGACACTTGACAATGCGATTGGCCCTTAATTTTCCGCTGGCAGCGACCATGTGGAATCGGACAGATTCTGACGCCTCCCTGACAACTTAAGCTATAGACCCGAAATTCGGTTCAGATTAGCAAGCGCGTTGTATTTCATTCGCCTCTTTAGGCAGTTAATCGTAGACGCGCTAGTTGTCGCCTAGAAAATTCTTTCTCGTCGTGTGGCACTCTTCTTCACTATAAATGTTGTTCACGGTCTCGGGTTTGACGCTGGGGAGATTGAGTCGCACTTGTTATACAGCGTAGCCCATGTCGACAGATACTACACAGGCGCCCCCCGCCGAACTGCACAAGATGGAGGCGGGGCCGGAGGAGACGGTCGCGGAGGGACCAGATATGGAGAAGCTGGGCAGAGAGCGTCCATCAGTCTTCACTTCGATCTGGTCGGAGCTTGCATTCTGTTTCTCCATTGTTATGTCCCAGATCTTGGCGGTGCGTGATCAGAATTTCGCTTTTCTGCTTGAACAGAGCTAACACACATTCCTATTGCAGGAGTTCTATATCACCGGATCCAATGTTCTCACCCCCACCTTGGTTGAGGAACTGCATATCCCAGAATCATCCACCATCTGGCCCACGACGGCACTCTCACTCGTCATCTGCGCCACCTTGCTCATTTTCGGTCGTTTGACCGACATGTATGGAGGTTATCTCGTATTCAACGCCGGCGCCATCTGGCTCTCCATCTCCTCGATCATCGCGGGCTTTTCGCAATCCTGGCTGATGCTGATCATCTTCCGAGCAGCCCAAGGCCTAGCACTGGGTGCTCTATTGCCATCCGGAATGATGATTCTGGGCAGCACCTACCGACCAGGCCCACGAAAGAACCTAGTTTTTAGCATCTATGGAGCCTGCGCGGCGCTGGGCTTCTTCCTCGGATTCTTTGTTTCCGGTCTTGCCGGCCAGTTCCTGAGCTGGAGATGGTATTTTTGGATCGGAGCAATCCTCTCTGCCGTGATGGGTGTATCGGCTATTTTGTCGGTGCCCAAGGACTATGCAGAGAAGAAGCATTTAGGTGTTCGGATGGACTGGGCTGGTTTCGTTCTTTCGATCGTCGGAACAACACTTCTTGTTTTTGCTATTGCCGACAGTTCTTACGCGCCGCAAGGATGGAAAACCCCTTACATTCCATTGTTCCTCATCCTCGGCGTCATTACGCTGGCAGCTTTTGCATACGTTGAAGGGTGGGTCGTTCATAACCCACTAATGCCGGGCGATATTTTCCGTGTCAAGCACATGACACCGCTTGTGCTGTCCCTGCTCTGCCTCTACGGCTCCCTGGGTGTTTTTCTCCTTTACGGAGTTTTATAGTAAGTTCAACCTATGAGTTCATCACCTCCGGCATGCTTTTTAACCGACTTCTCAGTATGTCCGCGTTCATGGGCGCCAGTCCTCTCCAAATCGTTGCATGGACTGTTCCGATGGCGGTTGGCGGCTTATTTCTGTCGGTTACAGGAGGTTTCATTCTTCACAAAGTTTCAGGCACGATTCTCATGATCATTTCGTGCCTAGGCTACGTGGGCTCTGCACTCCTGTTCGCAGTCGTCCCAATGGGCGGAAATTACTGGGCATACGTCTTCCCAGCGATGATATGCGGCACAATCGCCATTGACATATCATTCAATATTGCCAATATCTTCATTACAACATCGATGCCAAAGGCTCGACAAGGTATCGCCGGAGCACTCCCCTATTGCACCATGCATATGGGAATTGCGGTGATACTTGGCTTTGCCGATATCGTGGAGACCCAAACCAAGCATCTTGGTAAGCGCGAAAGCTACAAGGCTGTGTTTTGGTTCGAAGCAGGTCTTGCTATTATTGGATTACTTATGAGCGTTGCGTTCGTGCGCATTAAGAATGCCGAGAGTGAGTTGACGGCAGATGAAAAGGAGCAGCTCAAGGAGCAGCCGAATGCGGAGGCTGTCCAGAGGGAGGAGGTTTAGACTTGAACAGCAGACACATATACCCTGGTACTCAGGAATGAGCCGGTCTTTGCATATAGAATAATAGCGCTGCATGCATAAACATAATGATGAAACGATTTTATATTTGATTTCTGTTCACAAGTCAAATTTCCCTCTAATGCTCTCAAGTCTTCCAGGGTCCTCTCACTCACAGACTCAGAGACATAGTGAACTTCAGCCTTATGGGTATATGTAGCGAACTCTCCGGACATTAGTCGTAGTGGGTTGGTGGAGTCAATGGAAGACGTGAATAATTCAGATTAGTGCTCAGGGAGCATGCTAATGATCTCAGAATGCAAATCAGGAGGGGGTGGGCTTATCCACACAGGGAAGTGATATCATCTGGGACATAGGGGCTAATGATATCAATGAGTTGCGAGAGTGGAACCCAGTCCAGCGAGCCATGAATAGTTTGCAGAGGGTGACCGCTGTACAGGACGCGAGCGTAGAGGGACTCCTCCTTCGCATCGGTTTTCCTATTGCTTGTTAGTCTGCGTGGGATCGCAGATTGTGTGAAGTAAACTTACCAGACCTCAAAGGCGATGTTAGAAGCCATGCCGGGCCAGCGAAGAGCATTAATACCCAAGGATCCAAGAATAGGACCGAGATCACCATCATGGATGAAAATATGACTATAGTCAAGAGACGATTTTCCCTCTTGCACAGCCTTAAGACGGGCGATAAGCTCGCCAATAAAAAGACCCTCGACGACCTGAATGTACTTGGCCACGTAAGGGTTTGTTCGCCAGTAGTAATTCCACTCCCAGTCACCGGCGCGGAATACCTCCTCTGCCATTTGGTGTGTAGCGCATTCACTCGAGTTAGAAACACTGCAAGGGAGGCGGTAGCCGTTGCACAGTCTGGCCTGGAAATTGTCGGAGAAATGATCGAATGTTTCTTGCCATGAGCTTGATGTAGCCCCGAACATAGACCCAAGCTTTTTTCGCAGCTCCTTGGTCACTGTGATGTGTTCATTCCACTCGTCGGTAGACTGGAGCTGGCTCAGAGTGGCGCTAACAGCGTCACAGGAATAACCCTCGTTGACCGTGTCGACGGAAGTCACCATCTGGTGCAAGGGCAGAGCACCCTTGAACTCGGGCCAGACACCACGAAGAACTGCACCAGCAGAATCCTGTGTCAGAGCCGAGTCGCTGGAACGGAACCACACACGCTCATTCGGTTGCTTGGGGAGAAGACCAAGCTTCTCACTGTACACACTCCACAGGTCTTTGCCATGCTGATAACCATCCTCAACACCGCCGATAGTAATCTGGGGGAATTGACACGTCCCGTTCACGCCGGTGTTAAACGGGTTGGTAGGGTCCTGGTACGTCTGCGCGTACATGGGCATGGGCTGGAAATCGCTCTCCTTACTTGGACCCGCATAGAGATACGTGCGAACATCATCACAATGATAAGGCTGATCCTCGCCACCCGGGAGGATATTGTACGGCGTCCGTCGTTGATGGCGCTGCATATATTCCAGATAAACCAGCTTGCCCTTGACGGAACCCTCGGCCACAGGTCCTGGCTCTTGGTACTCCTGACTGCGCGGGTGAGGCATCGAGCAGTAGTCGTAGATCCCATAGGGCTTGCCCCCGGCCGGGCCGTGGGTCGAAGCCTTGTAGAGGCCACCATATGTGCCTACGGAGCTGTTGGAGATGTATGCGGTTTGGTTCAGTGCCGGGGGATAGAAGGTCTCCAGGGGTGACAGCGCCATGGCTGAGCCGGCGGCCCCAAACAGGACTTCCGCAGCAAGACTGCGCATCGTTTCCAGCAAGGCCGGTTGAAAATTGAGCAGAATTCCCTCCGTCATCAAACGAAGAGGTTGCCTTTTTGTCGTTGAGCTGTTGATGAAGTTGTAGGCGGTCGCGGTAGCCGATGGCTGGTCTCCACCCGCCGCAGCCAGTCGTCGTCGCCACTTCACTCCACGTGGAACAAGCAATATATTCAAACGTGTCGCGAACTCAGGTTGCTCCTCGTCGCGAGGATAGATTCTTCAGCACTAAGGACTCGAAACTTGTCCTGCTGCAAATTTGCCGATGGGTCGCGACGCAATGTGACGTCCGCCCCCCAAATGGGATCGCAGACCTCACTTACGCGGGCTTGCTTTACGAAGGGTGGATGCGGCTGGCTACAGTTGAGCAGGCACGAAACACATAAGCGAGCCAAGACCTGGCTTGAATGGGCCATCTAGGCTCACCTCCTCGATTCAGCACTTCTGTCAGATTCCATCGATATGCAGCACGTTCGCTTTCGGTGGCCGCTATGGCCATGTTATGGTCGCCTCTTGCCTGGTCCTCGTCCCGCCCCTTGGCAGATCTGGCTTTGCAAAAGGTCCTAGACGATGCATCGCCAAAACACGCTGGATGAAGGCCATCCCCGATGACAAACCAATCATCCACATCGACATACCTAGAACCCACGACAGCGCGACATGGAACTACTCTCAGACGACCTAGAACTCCTTGAGAGGCGTCACCAGCCTCAACCAGGTTATCATCCCTCCATATCAGGCCTTCCGATGCCTGCAGCGGTCCTTGTCGACATGCTAAATATGGGAACTCGAGTCTTTGATCTGCGCTTTGCGCTCGCCTCGACCAATACCTCCCTGATCTTCTATCCATCTGAGGCAGTGTTCCTATCTTTCCAACACGAACGTTCGGCTGCCATGTACGCGTCGAAAAACGCAGCGCCGCAGTCGAAACTCTACCAGCCGTTGATGCCTCGGGCAGCGCGGGACTATTTCGTTCAAAGGAAAGATGAGCTCGGCACACTTGGCGAGTAGCGCGGAAAAATATCCTGCTTCGCTGCTTTGACCTGGATCGGTTGCCTATCACTACATGAAATTCCTTCCTGGTGTCCATTTCTCGCCGAAGCTAGGGACAGATGATGGTCCATCTATTCCCTGGCCTACAGCCCCAAGAAGAACCTGGCCGCCTATACTTGAGGACTATTATCAGCCAGGTACGCCCGTGATATCAACCGTAGTTGAGACTCATATCAACGTGAAGTATAATGTGACGATGAAAAATATTCGCAAGGCCACAAAAGAGCACCAGGATAGTCTTTTCTAGAGCTTTGCCTGGGGAACAAACGTGTACAATTTGCCACCGGACTGGCCGCGCATCATCGCGACTGGCAACGAGTCCTGGACTCCTGCGGGTGGCGTCAATCACAAACTCGTGCCATTCCTGGAGCAGCAAAAAAGGCCAGCGGGTTGGTATTATGATGTTCGATTTCTTTAATGAGCCATCTGACTTGATTGATACGTTCCTGAGTCTGTGAATACGATTGTTCCAACTAAATATGATGCGATATCTTTCGATACTTTTTCAGCGTCGCGGCTATGAGGTGCTATTTAGGTTACTTGATGGGATACTAAAAAAATTGATCTCGGGAGTAGCCACGGGTGGCTTGATCTTCCGACAGCAAAGCCGTTAGCTCGTCAACGTGCTTTCGGGCCCGATGGCGAATCGAGAGGGGTCGATTCCACCAAGAAGCCAAGGAATACCAACGCGAATTGAAATCCCCGCCCATACAAACGAAATAAAATATCATGAGACTTGCTGTCAAAATCATCTGGATTTCCACGCGACCGACATGTGGCTGCTCTGCCGATCTTGTGCGATATTCCGGGGGACATCTCGGGTGCTCTATTTGTGGGGAGCCTTCCCTCCAGTCGCCGCGACAGATGTTGCATGATAAAAGATGTCAATCAAATGTCGTCATGCATGAACGCAGTGTCGACCACCCTATCATGTCTCGTCGAAGAGGAACCAAATCACAGCGTCGGAGGGTTTACTTGCACTATATGGCGTGCTGATCTCGGGTGATGAAGCAACAAGAATTAGATCCAGCGAAGACTCATCCTCAGCAATTCCACGATATAAAATCATCCTCCATTCATCTTCCCATTTCTGCTTTTATATTATCGGAGTGCATATTCCTGGCCCCAGATCTGAGATCGACGGCTTTGACTGCGACAAACCAAATGGCATTTTGGCAGGATAAGGACAAAAAGACAAAAGTGACGAGCGTGTCAACGAGCGATCTGGAGACCTCTGCTATCGAGAATGGCCCTCCGAAATATATAGCCGCCGAAGGTCTCAATTCGACAACCGTGACCTACCAAGATGCCTCAGGTGCGCCTGTCGAATCTCAGTCGCCGCTCGGCTATCAAGTAAGCTTTATGGCTGCTCTTTGCTTGAACATCAATCAGATGATTGGGACGGGTATCTTCTCAACGCGTGAGTCTATTTGAGTCGCATTTCTGGTAACCTTTCCAAATTCTGATGACTCCCAGCCGCGAGCATTCTGTCTGGTGTTGGATCCGTGGGCCTTTCAATGATATATTGGTTCATTGGATACCTTCTCTCGCAGAGTATTCTTGCGCTTTACCTCGAATATGCCGCCTATTTCCCTAGCCGATCAGGATCAGAAGTCGTCTACCTTGAACAAGCATTCCCAAAGCCACTATACCTCATTCCGACACTTTTCGCAGCAAAGCACGTGGTCTTTTCCTTTGCTAGCAGCAATGCAGTTGTTATGGCACAATACATCTTCGGCATCGGTGGCATTGAATACACAGACTGGCAAATGAAAGGCGTGGCTGTGGCGGTATATACTCTGGCCTATTTCGGTGTGTGTCCTTTCATGTCGTAAATATTCATGACAGGCGAACATGAATTAACCTCGATGATAGTGGTTAGCGCTAGCACAAAATGGTCGTTGCGTTTTATCGTTTGGTTTGGGATACTGAAGATCCTGACATTGGTCTTGTTCGTTCCCTATATGGCTCTCAACAACTCTCAGGTGCGCAATGCTGACTTCATATAGTATTTCCATCGCTGGACTTGTTGTTCTAGGTGGACACACCCGAGTACCCGATCCTCAAATGAATTGGCGCAATGCCTGGGAGGGATCATCTGAAGCAACTGCCTATGGAGCCACTAACGCCATGGTGAAACTGATCTTTTCCTATTCGGGCTACGCAAATGCTTTTGCCGTCGTGAATGAGATTCGGGTATGTCGTCATTTCTTGTGCTATCAGTGTCTCCGATCTGACTCTGTTAGAATCCCGTCAAAACTCTCCGATGGAGTGCTCCGCTGTCTCTTTTCCTTGTGACGGCGCTCTACATGCTTGTCAATGTTGCCTATTTCTCCGCAGCATCAAGAGAGGAAATGCTGGCTTCAAAGCAAATTGCTGCAGGTGTCTTCTTTGAGAAGGTTTTCGGGAAACATGGTGCCACTAGTGCCTTGGACGTACTCATCTGCCTTTCGGCATTTTCCAATCTGCTGGCCGTTTTGGTCAATTACTCTCGCTTGTTGCGGGAGACGGGCAGGTAAGTGATTAGGACACCATTTCAAAATACACGAGAGATGCTAAAAAAAATTTTCAGACAAGGAGTTCTGCCCTGGCCTAGATTCTGGACTTCCGTGAAGCCATTCGGTACTCCGATCGGCCCGTACACGGTTGTTTGGGCACTGACCATCATCATGATTATCGGGCCCCCTGCCGGCGACGCCTTCAATTTCGGTAAGTCACTCAAGGCCAGACAATGTAGCGTGAATATTCTGACATACGACAGTCGTCGATCTTTCCACATATCCCACAAATATTTTCAACTTCCTCTTGGTGGTTGGAATTATGCTCATTCGCCGGCGCAGAAAGGCAATCAACCTGCCCAGGCCTGAATATCGCGCATGGAATATTGCTGTCGGATTTGCCCTTCTAGTTACTGTATACATGCTTGTCGCTCCATGGTATCCTCCATCAACTGGCGCAACTGGGGGTGATGTGAGCTTTTGGTATGGGACATATCTCGTCGTTGGAATTGGACTGTGAGTATCAATATTCAAAGCAAGGATTTAGCCGCCTAACTGACTTCGATTAGGCTAGCTCTCTGCGTCTTTTATTATTACCTGTGGATTGATTGGATTCCCAAATGGAAAGGGTATGAATATCGGCAGAAGCTTGTGGGATATGAGGACGGTTCGATTGCACACCAACTTGTCAAAGTACCCAAAGCCGAAGTGACCAGCTGGGACAATGGTAATAATTATTCAGGTCATACTCAGGGGCGTGTCTAGAATGCAGGCTCATAAAGAGCTCTCAGATGTTCATAGTGTTGTTGATACGTTGATACCGAGCACCAGCGTCATGCGGCTGGGAAATCTCACTAGTAAATATCGAAACGAATCTTAAAGGGCAAGCATGAGTTAATTTTGGTACATTTGTTTTCTGCTGTCTTTCAAAACATGCAAAGTTTGCAAGTTACCTCAGCATGATAGCCTCGGCATGGCCGGAGGGCGGCGTGGATAAGAAGGGTCCATTTATTAGGGTCGACCGGGAAGCCGGGACCCATGACATCATAACCGATGGCCGCGAACTGCAGAGTTTCGATTTTGTTCTCACCAACCCTCACTAATATTCATGACAAACCCTGCCCGTCGCAGATCTCGAGCAGCTACAAAGAACATACTGTATCAATTTGCTGATCGTCGGATTGTCTCCCTGCCAAACCCCTTCGCCCTGCTACCCTGCTTCCTTAGCTACCCACCCTGCGTCGATCTCCCGAAATGCCGTCGGTCGCAACGACAACGTCTAGGAGGTCGTCGAGGGGCTCGAGGATGTCGAGAAGATCCCTTCAAGATGAGGGAACTCAGTCACAAGACTGGCCTGAGGATGCCAGCGACCGTCACTCTCACGCTAGCGACCGCAAGCAATTCCACGGCGACGGACTTAATACAGGTGTTCGTGTGCTAAGTATGCCGAGGCCAGACCCATCAGCCAAAAACAACAATCACTAACCTCGCTCTTTTTTTCCTGTCGCAGGCGACGGACGCCTGGATATCAAAATCAATCAGCACAGGCCAAGCATTGCCGGACTCCTCAACCAAATCCAACGCACACCAATACCCTCCGAGCTGGAAGAACTCCAAGACCAGGAAAGCTCCGATGAAATTCCGAAGAACGCTGGAAAAGACTTCCCACTGCACCTGAATATCGTCATCCAGGTCATCGGGTCACGCGGCGACATCCAACCCTTCATCGCACTGGGAAAAGAGCTACAGGCATATGGTCACCGAGTACGACTGGCCACCCACCTTGCCTTTCGTGACTTTGTTCTAGATGGAGGGTTGGAATTTTTCGATATTGGCGGCGATCCAGCTGAGCTGATGGCCTTCATGGTGAAGAATCCGGGTCTTCTTCCTAATGTCAGTACCATTCGAAGCGGAGCGATACAGAAACGTCGGCGGGAAATGAAGCAGATCATCAATGGCTGTTGGAAATCGTGCTTTGAAACGGGAGACGGAACCGATCTCCACCAAATCAAGGAGGACCTGTGGAGTGACAAGGTCGACTATAGGCGGCGGCCTTTTGTCGCGGACGTGATCATTGCAAATCCCCCATCATTGGCGCACATACATTGCGCGCAGCGTCTCGGAATACCGCTGCATATAATGTTTACGTGAGCGAAATGATTTCCCCTCGGCTTTTGAATAATAATCCGTGCTCGTATGGCGCCTGAGCTACCGTTTCTGACACTGTGTTCACAGTATGCCCTGGTCTCCAACACAAGCCTTTCCCCATCCTCTGGCAACAATTCATCATAATGGTTGCCAACCCACTGTCGCAAACTTTGTCTCCTACGCAATTATGGAAATGATGGTGTGGGAGGGACTCGGCGACATTGTCAACAAGTTCCGAAAAAAGGTTCTATCTTTAGATCCTCTAGACAGTATCACAGCTCCGAGCTTACTTCCTCGCTTGAGAATACCCTTCTCTTACTTATGGTGATTACAACACACTCCCTCGCATCTAGTACCCGCGAGCCCATATTTCTGACTAGTATCCCAGGTCTCCCGCTATCCTGCCTAAGCCGAAAGACTGGGGAAAGCATATTGACATTTGCGGCTTTGCCTTTTTGCCTGCCAAACCAGACTTCACCCCACCAAGTGAGGTTGAAGAGTTTCTCAAAGCGGGTCCGCCCCCCATTTATGTCGGGTTCGGGTCAATCGTTGTGGATGACCCGATCAGACTGACAGAGATCGTGTATGGGGCAATCCGGCAATCCGGACAACGTGCCATTGTCTCCAAAGGCTGGGGAAACCTCGGTGCCGAGGAAGTGAAAGTGCCAGATAACATTCTCATGATCGGAAGCGTTCCCCACGATTGGCTCTTCCGCCAGGTTTCGTGTGTTATCCACCATGGTGGCGCAGGCACAACCGCGGCCGGGTTATCATTAGGACGACCGACGATTGTGATCCCTTTCTTCGGAGATCAGCAGTTCTGGGGCGAGATTCTGACGGTGGTTGGTGCTGGGTTCGCCATTCCCCACAAGCAACTGACTGTTGACAAGCTGGACGATGCGATCCGAAAGGCCTTGGATGGATCAACGCAGGAAAAGGCAAAGGAGATTTCGAAGAAGATGCAGGATGAATCTGGTGTTCGTGACGGAGTTTGCAGCTTCCATCGACATCTCGACCTAAAAGCACTGCGGTGCGTTATCTGTCCCACACGCCCTGCAGTATGGCATATCAAGCATACAGGAGTTGGGATAAGTGCATTCGCAGCAACTGTTCTTGTAGAAATGGGAAAAGTGAAGCCCGAAGACCTTGTTCTGTGTGTGAACCCGACGTTACTGACGCTATGTCGAGAAGCTAATGATTATGACAGCAACCGCCCGGTTGAATATGACACCTATCGTGACCCTGTCGGTCCTCTCAGTGCTAGTGCACAGGTGCTGTTCGGAGCTATTACGAATTTCGTTACTGGTCTCGCCGATGTTCCGGCGGAGATGATCATGGATCTTGTCTCCGCTGGTCGAGCTCTAGGTCACCCGAATGAGCACTACGACCCTCATTCCAAATGGCATCGACGAAAGCATCGACACGAACACACCTCTAGCGACGGAGATGACCGAACCCGTCGAATCGAAGAGCCTCGAAACATACACCAAGGGCAAAATCAAGCGCAGAATCGAGGCTCTGAAGAATTCTGGGAAGACAATGATGAAGAATTGACTACTTTTTCAAGCGACGTCAATGAAACCAATATGGCCGACACAGGCTTATCTCGCACCCGGACGCTCCAGCTTGAAAACTCTCAATCAATGAGCGACGAGGCCTTTGAGCCAAAGCGCCATGGCGTATTTTCTGAAGCAGCGAGTCAAGGCAGCCGGATGTCTAAGAAATTGATCAATCTCATTATCTGGCTTCCTACTGACCTAACTCTTAGCCTGTCCAAGGGATTCCATAACGCTCCCAAGTTGTATCACGATCCAATGGTCAGGGCTACGCCGAAGGTGATCGGAATTCGCAGTGGCTTTCGGGCTGCAAAAAAGGTAAAAAATACAGTCCTCCTACCCTCCGACTCTATGATGCGGACACTAACGGCTCGAAAGGAATTTTATGATGGGTTCTACTACGGCATAACTGGTCTCGTGACCCAACCGCGGCATGCATACAGGAAGACAGGGGCGAAAGGTATCGCAAAGGGCGTCGGCAAAGGCGTCGGGGGTGTTCTCTTGAAACCACCAGCAGGTATGCTAGGTCTTATTCCCAATCTTTTCACCTCCTTCTTCATGCTAACAGTTCCAAGGACTTTGGGGTCTTGCCGGTTATCCATTGACGGGTATTCGACGCAAACTTCTCACGTCACTGGGCAAGACGCAAGAAGGGAAAATACTAGTATCTCGCATTTCGCAGGGACACGATGAGATGAGAGCTTCCTCTGCTGGAGATAGGTCGGAGGTGGTTAGGAAGTGGGTCGTGATTGAGAAGACCTTGCATCAAACAGCATCGCGACCTTGTGGAAAACCTTGTGGATCTCGTTCAAACAAGCATACTTCATGAGAGACCAAATGTATTAATATACTTCACGGATGTAATTCAGTGAATACTAATCCTCTTGGAAAATTAAAACTCGGGTTAATCGTTTAATGGATTCATCATCCAGGGTGGTCGGAGCTATTAGATCCGGGGCTTCCCACATAGGCATTGAGCGAAAAGGGAAGAGGTCCAGGTGGGTTTTGCAAGAATATTGCATGTCTTACACTGATGTCGTCTTACATCCAGGGCTTTCGAAAGTATAATCGTACGGCGTCCACTAGAATGGTTCAGAGGGCCTTTCTCCATCAAGGCGTGTCACAATGCACCTTCCTATTCGACCGTGGGCAAGCGGGGGACGGCTGATAAGCTGCGCAGGCTAGTCTCGTTTTGGGGTACGTTGGGCGAAATCCCGATCACTCAAATGGTGAAGATCATCTCTGAGGGCAGAATTTCGGCATAAGAAACGTGTATCAGGTCGCACGAGTCGGAGATGGACCGGCCGAGACGACAGATCAGGCTGGGGCAATCCACAATGCACATCTCCGGGGGATATCCGCTCACCCCAGAAATACCCCAGAATCGGTGGAACGGTCACCGAATAGATTATACTTAAATGCCTTCGTTCCTCTTCGGCCAATGACAGAGTCTCGCACTAACTCTAGCGCGATGGGACCAACGCAGTCGCCGACATTCATCGGCCTCAAAGGTCAGAACCTCGTTTATGCCATCACGTTCTGCTGCTCTATCGGCTTTCTTCTTTTCGGATATGACCTGGGCTTTATGGGTGGGTTAACCACCTCCCCTGAGTTTCTCGAGGTCTTTGGCAACCCCGGCGCCTCCTCCTCGCCTTTCTTGTCGCGTCTTACGAGGTGGGCGCACTTCTGGGCGCACTGTATCAATTCATCCAGGGAGATCGATTTGGGCGCAAACCAATCAACATGGCAGGCGCAGTGATCGTCTGCATAGGGGCTATTCTCCAAGCAACCACCTTTGGACTAGCCCAATTCCTCGTTGGACGCATAGTCGCGGGCTTTGGGCTCGGAATGATGACGACCGTAATTCCAATCTGGCTGTCCGAGTGCAGCATGCCACAGTCTCGAGGCAGAATGATGGCAATGCAACTGTCGAACCTCATTATGGGTCTCATCCTGGCGAACTGGCTCGACTACGGCATGGCCTCCTATTCCGTGTCGGTTCAATGGCGATTTCCGTGCGCTTTCCAGACCGTTTTTTGCTTCATCGTTCTCGTCTTCATGCCGTTTATCCCCGAGTCGCCCCGTTATCTCTGTGCCAAGGGGGATGTTTCTCGCGCTAGGATATCTCTTGCTGCGCTGCGTGCCGGCCATCCCGATGACCACGCGATCGTGGAAGAGTTCAAGGAGATTCAATATGCGATCAGTGTTGAAGCAGAGGAAGCTGGCTCTTGGACTGATGTCTTCAAGGACAATGGCATCAGTGTCTTCACCAGAGTTGCGATCGGCTTTTCGGCCAACTTCTTCCAGCAGCTGTCTGGGTGCAATGTGATGTCGTCCCTCGGCCCGTACGTATTCCAGGACTCGATTGGAATGTCACGCAATGATGCGATGCTAGTCTCTGGTGGCCTGCAGGTATTCTATTTCCTTAGTAGCCTGATACCTTGGTTTGTCATCGACCGAGTTGGGCGTCGCCGGCTCTTTATGACTGGATCCGCCGGTATGGGAGTCTGCATGTTGCTGTCGGCAATCTTTGTCGGCATTAGAACGACTGGCCTGGGATACGCTGCCGCGGTCGCTTTGTATTTCTTCCAGACTTTCTTCACGCTCGGGTGGCAGTCGAATATGTGGATTTATCCTAGCGAGCTGCTCCCGCTAAAGCTGCGACTCCGAGGCGGTGCCCTTGGCGTCATTTCGCAGTGGCTATTTACATTTTTGGTCGTCGAGATCACTCCGGTGATGATCACAAATATCGGATACAAGTGCTACATTGTCTTCGCCGTGATCAATTTTGCGACCTTGCCACTTGTGTATTTTTGCTACCCGGAGACCAGCAAAATGCCGCTCGAGGCTGTTGATTTGTTCTTTGCTGATCGCAATAGCCAACGGCCGTCGCTTTGGCGGGTGGTTAATGACTCGACGAATAAAGAATTTGTTCAAAGGGTCGAAAGAGAATTGCAGGAGAGAGCGAGGTTACGGGCCCTGTCTGGGGATGAAGCTGGGGAGGCAAAAGCTGGCTATCTGGAGACGGCAACTGCGTGATTTATCATATGTATTATCATGTCGCATGAAAGTTCCTTTTTCGAAATTAATCGTGGTCCTGAGGGAAGCGGATAAAAGTCCATTCGGATTAATTCTCCAACATGATTCCCCCAACCTCCCGATTTAAAATATCCTTTAGGCTAAGTGTAAGGTCGAACCTGTAACTTCGGTGCAAGTCGGAGTTCCGCTAGCCGAGACCAAGACAAAGCTTAGCTTGCTTCTTCAAAGCTTAAATCATCAAATTAGTAAGTGGATGTGTTTTTAGACAGACTACTACGTATTACTTCTAGTATTATCCAAGAAAGGATGAGACGAAAGGCACTGGGTTGGATGGATCAGAGTAGTAGAAAGAGTGAGATGTGAAATCAGTCGTTAGACAAGGGTATTTAATTTTGAATGAAGGAAGGTCTAAATCTCTCAAGTATTCGATCGTTGGAGTATATAAAATCTAGACATCCACATGTCGAGATAGCACTGTGTCAAAGACCACTAGCTACAACCATCTCCTGCAGCTCCGACACCCTCCCAGCTGTCACGATCAACATGAAGATTAGCCAGATGGTCATTCGCTTCTCCCATGCCCCGATGATCATACACATAGAAGTTTCCATGATAATATCATACCCCTATTCATCTTGATGTCTGGTTCTGATCCGAGCATCTCAAGGGGCGACTCTTTTGATCCGTCCAATGTCGAACCTTTAGAGATGAATTGCCCGCTTCATCAAACAACCGAGTGAGGGCAGTGTCGAATACGAGAAGTCGGCCATATTTCTCACTAGAAATAGCCGATATATAGTGAGCCAGTATATGTTTCGGCCCTCCGGGAATTTGGGCGATGAGCTTTAGATGATTTCATGACATTAGCCCTTTCGACCAAACATCCCTGGCTGGGAGGCTCCGGGTTCCTTTCCATGTGAAATTGATACCCGCATAAAGGGGATGATAGCGCCTTGGGCTCATCAAGGGAGATGACTAGCTAAGCTTCAAGGCTCCGTCTGCGACCACAGGGTTGAAATTCGCCGACTCCCGCCCAGGCTTTTCTTCTTGTGCTTTGCGTCGGGCATTGGTGAGCTTGTGATAGGCACGTCCACTTTCACCCCATACTCTAAATTCCTCACTTTGTACCCCGTAAAAGTGCAATCATCACCAGAGGTACTGTTATCCGGTCTGCGTCGATGCTCTAATCTGACCATGCCACGGGGATCGACGATATCACGGAGATTATCCCGGAACTGCAGCATCCATTCTCGCCAAGATGCAGAGCTACGTATGAGGCATATCGGATTCCCATTTTTGCTTCTCCCTCCACGCAGAACGCGTGGCGGGTCACGGAAGAAGAGCTTTGGGTGTGCACGAAATAGCTGTTCGACTGGTCGAATCCCCGGTGAGCGGCTGCGTAATCTTCAGCCTATTGCCTGTGCCTTTCCTTGTTGTACCCGAATTCCTTCTTCAAATCAAGAAACGGGGTGATGCATAGATTTTGTTCGCCTTCATGGTAGACGTTGCATTCCGAAAGACTGTTGCGCGTAGCCAAGGCTTCTTCTGGCGTTGTTTTGCGCCCGACGAAGGAAAGAGGCGTGACTTTATAAAAGGCAATGCTTCGTGCAACCGTATCTCGTCATCTTGCATTCTCTTTAAAAGTGCGAATTTACGCTTATTTCAATCAGGGGAAGGGCCATTTTCGCCCCGTGGGTCGCCAGGGTCTTATTCGGTGACGGCGGCTCGGGCGTAAGCCTCGAACGTTTACTGGGCCACGCGGGTGGTCATGCTCCCGGGCAAGCTTAAGGAGGCCGTGCAGGGCTCAGCGGGCGCTACAAGCCGCAAATCTCAATTCAGACAAAATAATGCACAATTCAACTTGAATAAGGCCCGATGAGAGTCTCTAGCAAATATGGTGTTCATTTCTGTTATCAGCATTCAAAGCTGCAGCTTGCTCTCCGCGAAAACCTCGCCGCCCTTCGGCGCCACTGTGGGAAATAAGGTCGCTTTCAGGAAGACTTTGCCAGGTGCTTTGGGAGTCTTGGTGAAGATGGCACTTCCACAGTTGGAGCAAAAGTTCCTCTATTGTTGACAGCACAATTAGTTTCTTTCCCAGCTGCGTGTTTTCAGGACATGAACGAATACTTGCCTGTATCACATTCCCAGTCGCGGTGTTAGGATCTTCATAAATCTTGAGCGTCTTGGATGGGTCTTCGATGGTCATGTTATCCTCAGGGATGAAGTAGTTGATTGAGAATGCTTTTGCATCATTAGTCCAGGAGACACAGACAAAGCCTGTGAATAGTCAACTTACCACCGCCGACTTTCTTGCAGTTATCACTGATCAAAATGTTTAGCCTGGCAATGAGCTTGACAAATGTATTCGTGCTTCTTGGACTAACCAATGGCAAACAATGGAGTTCTCGGGCTGCTGAGGCAGAGTAATGCGAACACTGTCGCAGTTGCAATGTCCAGTATACATGTTGACTTCTACCTGTGATTCAACCAATCGACGATGAGCAGCAAGGGGACCTTGGAAGAACCCGGGGTGATTTATAAGATCCTTGCAAGCTGCAAGTGAGGGGCTGCTTCACACCGTTCGATTGTTGCTCCACTCGCACTCGCGGAATCGAGCCGAACCCTTCCGCAGTTCACAAATGACGTCATAGAATAAACAGGCCGATGAGGGAAGACCTCCAGGTAACGAAGGGAACGTATGAAATAACGAATCGAATTTTGCTCTCGCTCTTGAGCTGTAATAATAAATATGCGAACTGTGATCGCGACATGATCTACTGACGCCTTTTGCGCTCAATGAGGAGACCGAGAGGAAGGTCATCTTCGTCGTAAAATTCAACGTCTTCATCAACTCCAAAATCGCGCAGGCGCTCTCCTTCAGCATTGCGCCAAGACTCCTCGCCTTCGTCTGGTCCATCGCCGTAAACAGGCCCAGGCTGTCGCTCTCTTTCTTCATCGCTTTCATACAAGGGTTCATCTTGAAGCCTTTCGTGGAAGCGCTTGCGCCGTTGAACTTGAGAGTAAGGTCGCCGGCGGTCCATGTCAGCTGCCTGGCGCATCTCAAAGGCTTTGACCTGATCACGAGCAGAAGCGTAGGATAATGGTATGTCCGGTTCATTGACAGACAACCCCCCTGTTGGCATGGGAATCCGATCGGGGTCAGGAGGCGGCCATGTCGTAGCAGCGTCTGTGGCTCATAGTTAGCACGAATGCAAATATGTTGTGTAAGGAAGGGTGAGAAGTCTACCTTCAAATCCATTTGTCTCAAATTCCCAGCCTGTTTTACGGTCGGGAGTCGCAGCGAATGGCCAAAACCAGCTGAAAATCTACCCATGAGTGATTAGCCTTGGTCTTTTTCTAAATCTGACAAAAACTCACATTGATAGTCCCTCCCATTGCCTGAGCAATGTTGGGAAACAGGCCAATGTCGTACGGGAACTCTTGTTTCCGGATACGGACTTGGACTCCCCCTGGGCCTTCAAGGGAGCCACCCAGTACACGAGCCCGTCGGACGAGAGTATCGTGTCTTTCGATTTCCCAGGACTCAATTGTTGTAATATTAAAAAGCACGGAGTATAGTGTGCGGACGAGCAAAATGAATATTCCAAGCCACGTAACGGTGTTCACAACAATTAGGACGAACAAGTGGATAAGTTGTCCAACTGAAGGGCCAAGATACTGCGAAATCATCAGCCAGGCCACTTGGGAAATCGCGATAGTCAGCTCACGCTTGGTAGATCGCGCTCATTCCAAACTATGGATGCGCGCTGCCACAAAAGGGTCTCAAGGTAACCCATTCCGACCACTGTATAAAACAGGAAGCGAAAGAAGTGGGGAAAAGTGAAATGCGACACGCAGTTGGAGGTCCACGGACAGTGATGATCCATTTTCGGGATGCATCTTGATGGAAAAAATGTGAGCGAAGTGGTTCTTCGTGTCGGCTTGTGCTGCATCATACCTCTTGCATGTCTTGCAATGATGCGCGCGGGGTGGCTTGTATGCCTCGCATCTCCGGCACCACCGCTTCCGACCAGTGCTCTGATCCTCCTCCTGGCGAGCAGGCGCCACTGGTTTGCCCTTTGGATCAAGTCTGCCGGGGTCCACAAAGCACGCCCGGAAATAAGTCACCCAAATGCATAGTGCGAAGAGGTTGATCGCCCAGCCCTCGTCCAATGTGAGCGGGGCGGCTTCGAAGTTGTGGAAGAAATACTGCGATGTATAAGCTAGAAAGCTGATGAGCACAGTGACTAACGGGATCGCCAGTTGCGATATCTCAAAGTCCTCGCCCCGCATCCCGGTTTCCGCAACTTCGCCTGGTCGACAGAAGCCGGGGGAAAACTTGACGTTGGACGTCGTGTTTATTGCGATCGGCTGACTAATCGACCGAAGCATCAAGGCCGAGCTCAGAGGGCGCACCTCTTCTCTTCCCCAACTCGACGACAAATGCCAGTGCATGCGAGCAAATCCTCACAAAAAGTAAACACACTACCTGGACCCTTTTTTGAAACAACTTCAGCCATGTGCAGCTGATACTACCCCGTCAACATGCCCATTGAGGCTCTCCCCCAGGCCACACTCCGAGCCATCGGGTCTTCCTCGGTCATCTCCGATCCCTGTTCGGTGGTGAAGGAGCTCATCGACAATGCCCTGGATGCTTCGGCCTCATCGTTGGCAATCGAGATATCTTCCAATACCATCGATGTAATTCAGCTGAAAGACAATGGCCATGGAATTCCAGTAGATGATCACCCATTCGTCTGTCAGCACGCGTTCACCAGCAAGATCCAGACTACCAATGACCTCAAAAATGTCGGCGGCACCTCATTGGGGTTTCGCGGGGAGGCCCTCGCGAGCGTGGCGGAGATGTCGGGTGGCATCGCCATCACCACTCGAGTCTCAACAGACGTTACAGGATCTTGTATCAAGTATACAAGGGAGGGCAAGGTTTTGCAGTAAGTTAAGGAAGTCTTTCGCTTTTCAATTTGCGCCTGACGATTCATAGAACGCAGCGGACGGCGGCGCCCGTGGGAACGACGGTAAAGATCTCAGACTTTCTCAAGTACATCCCCGTCCGCCGACAGACGATTCTCAAAGGAGCCGCAAAAACTTTGATCAAGATCAAGAAACTCTTGCAGGCGTATGCGTTTGCTCAGCCTTCTATTCGTTTCTCTCTCAAGGTACTGAAAGCCAAGAATGAAAACAACAACTGGATGTATGTTCCCAGCCCAGATGCAGCAATCTCCGATGCCTCGGTCAAAATCATCGGCCGAGACGCTTCTTCTTGTTGTACGGTAAAGAGTGTTTCGTCCGACCTAGGCACACAAGATGAATCGGGATCCAATCAAGTTTGTTATAATCTGGAGGCCTTCCTTCCAGGCTGGGATATAGGTATGGTGTGTTAATGTCATCAGTTGAGATCGGGTCACTGACAAAACTAGATTTCTCAAAGGTCAACAACATTGGTCAATTTGTCAGTCTCGATGGCAGACCTTTGGCCTCATCCAGAGGCATTGCACAAGCTATCACCAAGTTATACAAATCCTGTATTCGATTGGCTGCCTCAAAGACTCAGCCCTCGGTATCCATCACTGACCCATTCCTTTGCATTCAGCTGAAATGCCCACGTGGTGTCTACGATGTGAATATTGAGCCAAGCAAGGATGACGTTATCTTCGAGGACCGGAACGCTATCATGTCACTAGTTGAAACGCTCTTTCGGGATCACTATGGTCAACTTCCTCGTGATGCAAAGGCTAACGCAGTCAAAGGCAAAGCCGCATCACCAGCAAAGAAGGGTGAAAACGGATCTGAGTTCAATGTCCTTATGGCTAGGGAACGACATGAAAATGATGTTCCTACGCAACCGACCGATATGGGAGAGATCCTTGGGGATCTTACGATACCGCCTTCCCACAGCCATGCTAAATCACCCGCAAGATCAGCAATCTCTGTTCCCCCTAGTGGTGATGACAGAACGGAGGACCAGGGTGATCAGTCCTCTACTTCTTCCAACACTCAGCAATCGCGCTTCCTCAATCCGTGGTCCATTACCCAAATGAATACGCCATTCCAGACACCGCGCAGAGATCCCGGGAGTCGACCATCTGTGTCTCCAGATTTCCAGCGCGAAACTCAAGAGCCCAGCCGGCCAATCTCGAAATCCGGTCGTAGTCCCCAGTCACCTCCAGAAAGTCCAGAATTAGTTTCTTCTGTTGCCGGAATGTCCTCGAGATCTCCAAAAAGTCGTCGACCTCGGAATACTCAGGCTTCTCATGCTGAATCAGCAGCGGGCCGTGTTACGGCAAGTGAAAAGAGAGCGGCACGAGAGCAGGACAGAGAGCGATACGGCAACGGGGCCCTTGATACTTGGTTTCAACGAACCACGCAAACCTCAATGGGTCACACACCTCTCGATCAACTACGGGAAATTGATGAGATTGTTCCTACCTTGCCACATATATCCCGAAAACGATTCGGTGCCGCACCAGCCGACACGCAAAATGAGAATGGAACCTGTGAAAAATCCAAGGAGATATCGAGCGGTACCTCAAACGGAAGCGATTCGTCAGCACCTTCTCCTGGAGAGCCTACATCAGCAATCAATGTCCAAGAGGGTTCAATGGATAGCGGGAGGGGTTTCCCCGTTCTTGAACATTGGGCCGCGAGCCTCAAGGAAGGATTCAACGCCAAGTCTTCGGGGCTGGAATGGGCAATGGACTTTGAACAGCGCAAGAAAGAAGCAAACGAAAAGTTCCGCGCCCGACCTGCAGTTTATAGTCAAGTATCAAGCCAACCACAGAGCACTCAGTTTTCAAAGACGCCTCACCAAAACAGATTCATCGCTGCCAAAGCTGCCCTGGCAGCTGAGCGACCTTTTACAGTGGAGGAACTTCATGGTACGGGACTATCGCCCCATGATCCTAGGGCATATCTCATGCGCCGAAAGCGTGACAATCGATCTAATGATCAACGCCAAGGAACGTCAAAATTGAGGCGCATTCATCTTGGCCGCCTGCCCTTTGAACGCATTCCAGATGGCTGTGATCTTCACAATGTCAGCCTACCGGTGACCGCAGACATGAGCTCAATACTTACCACTTGCCGTCTGATGTCTCCTCTTGACTCATATATTAAATATGGACAAGAGGCTGGAGCTTTTGAAGGATCTGGCATTGACAACCTCGCTCAAGATTTGAATCAAAAGCTACAACTCATCATCGACACGCATTACAAGCGAGCACCCGGTACTCGTTCCATCGGCCAGATCGACATGTCCACTGTTATTGCGGAGTGTCTGAAACACCATCAAAAATGATAATATTCTTCATAATTATTCAGCATATTCTTTGGTTCTCCGACACTGAAGCGACCAGTATCTATATTCCCAATACAACAATACCCGCATGCAATTTATCCGATATCTGGTGTACTCCTGAATAAGCTTTGATCCTTTTCTGATACCGGGTGTGAATATCTTATTAACAATCGCTGTATTACTTCAAATGGGTCAAATAAAAATAACGTTTTTGACTTTATAACCCGCATTCCGAACTTGGACAGCCAAAGCATGGTAACCGGATCCTCTCGATGTTACATAAGACTGACATCAACGACGTGCCCCTATATAAACACTTGCAACCAGACGAAAAGCTCCCCCAAACTCCTTCGATCAATTTCAATGACTAGCGGAATGGTAGGTCATCCTTCTACCTCCGCGATCGACCACGGCCTGTCTGGGTCTCTCGGGCCGCGCCTGCAAGCAATCCAACCCAGCTTCAAAATGAACCCGGGAGACCTCGGCATCCTCAAATCTACCCTCCTCCCCTCAATCGGTATATACTCGTGCTTCTCGCTAGCAACATTCATCGCAGCGGAACGAACAAGGCGCGTTGAGTTGAAAGATTGGCTTTGGCCGTCTGGCCAAGTCGCTACTGCATGGTGGGCCGCGATCGGCCGGCCCATGTACGAAAAAGGAGTCTCATTTTTGGACGCATGGACAGGTCTATCATGGACTCAGAAGCTCCTTCTCGGGTGCGTGACTGCCTGGGGAGCGAGGCTGTTCGCACGTATCGCGAGTCGCTCTTTGAAGCGCGGAGGTGACGATCCGCGGTACGAGGCCAGTAAGAAAGAGCCCGGATTCTGGAAGTCGGCGTTGTTCAATATGTTTCTTCCAGAGGCAGCTGTTCTCAGTGTTATCTCTCTTCCCTTCACAGTGCCGTTCACCACGAGCGGTACCACTTTGTCCCTGACGACGACCACACTCGACACCGTTCGTGCTGCAGGGGCTGCGCTCTTTGGTATTGGATTCGGTATGGAAGTACTGGCAGATACACAGCTTGAGCTCCATCGCCGGGAACGCTCTGATCTGTGTCGTCATGGTGTATGGGGTCTGGTGCGCCATCCTAAGTAAGTCCCAATCCTCTCCCTCCTGGCAAGGCTCCTTTTCGGACTTATGCTAACAACAAAAAGCTACCTGGGCGACACCCTTGTCCACATTTCATTCGCTGTCTTGAACATTGCAGATTCTTTCAACCCGATTGTCCTGCTTGGTCCGCTGGCGAATTATGCTTTCCTCCGCTATGTTGGCGGAGACAAACAAACCGAAGCGAGCCAGGAGGAGCGCTATCAAGCGGATGACCCTAAGAAGTTCGGACAGCTCAAGATGTGGCGAAAGGAGCAAAACAGCTTCTGGCCCTCTCTACGGGACCTCACCAAGCCCTGGGCTTTTGCGGTTGCGGGATGTGGCCTTATTGCTGTAGTTGTGGAAGAAGGACTACAAACCACCTTCGACATGCAGTAATCATTGGAAATAACTCTCTGGATTGTCATTTTCTATTATTTGGTTTTTCTGGGATGTACAATCAATATCCTTTACCACCATAGGCATTGATTAACGGCTCCCCATTCGCCAGTCGTTGAATATTAAGCTTCAAAATATCAAGTGACCGTGGCAGATACTCCCTCCCCAGGCCACTCACATGAGGACTGATTTGCACATTGGGAGCATCCCAGAGCGGGTGATCTGCAGGTAGAGGCTCGGGGTCTGTCACATCCAGCGCAGCTCCACTGAGCTGACCGGACTCAAGAGCCTCGATCAAGGCATCTTGGTCGACGACCTTGCCGCGGGATATGTTGGTAATAAACGGCTTGATCGTCTGACTTGTAGAGCTGGCCGATAGAAGAGCAAATTCTTTAGCGCCCAGCACCTTGGTCGTTTGTGGCGTCAAGGGGAGAGAAATCACGAGATGATCCAGTCCCTGCGCAAGGAAAGAGCGGATAGATCCTTTATCCGTCCCGTGATGCCATGAAACGGGAATGGAGCCATCGGCATCTCCGGTTCCCGGGACGATATAGCCGGTATCTCGCTTCGACTCTGGCGTTTTGCGAGGCGAGGCAGTGTATGCATAAACGGACATTCCCAGTGCTTGCGAGACACGGGCGACTGAAAAGTCGTCAATAAATGAACCCTCTGTGTAATCGGAGAGTACATACTCTGTCTCCCAATACTTCCATATCCGAGAATGCCGACTTTCTTGCCAGCCTGGTCATGGTTTCCAACCATATATGGGGTTTTATCAGGCCACGCTCGCGCCTTTTGACCCTCATACTGCCTGTCATAGTTTCGCGAGGAGACAAGCCAATTCATGATGGTCCACTCTGCTATCGGTGGGCCGTGGATACCGGAGCTGGTGCTGATGGGAATCCTGCCCTCTTTCAGAATGGGATTATGCGTCAGGTGGTCCAGGCCAGCAGACAGAGTGTGAATCAATTTAAGGCTATCGAAAGTTAGCAAGCAACATGGACCTCGACAGTGGCTTGTATCTTCTCACTTCTGCGAGTCTTGAATTTCTGGCAGATGGGCAAATGTTACTAGAACAGTCGCCTTGCGATAGATCTCTGTTCGATTGCATGTCAGCATCTTTCGCTCGGTTTTCTCAGCTGTGCTTCAAAATGACATACCGGGAGGTACAGGTACACCCAGCTCAGTCTCGTAGATGGTGAGCTCAGAGTCGGCCAGCTTCTCGCGAATGCCACTTTCTATTTCTGGAGACAGCGGCTGGTGAAGGACGAGAAGCACACGCTCCTTTGAGATTTCCACCGAACCCATTTCGACGACTTTGAAGACTGGTTTGGTATTCCTTTTCCACTTACGATGCGATATGTTGCTGAGTTGCAGATGAAAGGGGCCGAAACCTCGGAAGTTTATGTCGATGGCCACGCGGGCGTAGGGCGTATTTTGCGGTCGGAAGCAACGTGCCGAGGGTCAAACTGGGAGGGGTTGGCGACGGGTTGGCGATTGATAAGCCCCCGCCATATCCAGCAAGAAGCAAACATCCTCATCAATTCCACCATCGTGTCTGATGTACAGTACCTTATGGTACCGACGGTATGGAAAGATAAAGACGATGCAGCCCATCGGTTGGCGGGAAATGGTGTAGAATGGCGACAGAAGCTCATGCGATTGTTCGATGATCGCGCATGTTTTCGCGTAGTCAATATCCCAGATCCAGGTACAGCTTCATCGTAGAATGGCAGAACCAACGACTTCCAATCACTTCTCACCCTAGGGTAAACACGCTGAGGCAGCGATGCAGATTTCCGGGCGGCGGCGTGCGTGTGCATAGTTAACTAGCCGTTGCTGCCTGGGCTTTCGGGCAGATTATTTTCTGGGCGAATGTTTACTTTTGGCAGAAAAAGCATTTAACCTCCCATCAGCACGCACTCCTGCATTGCAGCCATTTCAACGGCCTTCGTGGCCTATAGGCGAAGTGGTTGTCGGCAAAATAGTGCATTCCGATCGCTCCACGGAAGAATTCTTGAATACGCGTGCACTAAGCAGATCGATCGCCTGGAACCTTCGGGGTCTATCTACCACAACACAATGTCAGACCCCACAAATTCCCGAAGAATCGCCATGACTCTTGCGTGAGTCTTAGAATGGATTCGGAGAAACGGCACGAATACGGAGCACCCTGCAAGCGGACACAACCACAGGGTGATCTACAGGGCACATGAACCCCTCGGTTACACTGCCTGAAGATGAACCTACCCGCTATGTGCATCCAAAGCCGAATCCATGAGACATAGCTGTTGCTCGCAGCACACGTCTTGAACAGAATCGCCGGTTGACTCCATCGACGTAGCCATGAGCTCTTTCGGCGACAGAGCAGTTATGAATCATGGGCTCAGCCAGGCTTGACCCGTTCAGCCCGCCACGGAAAACCCCTGAATGTGCATGGAGTCTGGTGCGAGAGGCCGCACACCAATCATCGCCCGCCAGTGGCATCGAGACACGCGAGAAGCATCACTTCGGGCGAGGAAGACCCTAAGCTGCCGGAGCCGCCGTGAACCGAGCAGAAATGCCGCTTTCCCCATCACATCTCTCTGTCTTGTTCGCATTCTTCAGGGAGAAGACCCACGGGGGAACGGTGGATCCCTCGCTGTCAACAAGCAAACACAGTACTGTGTATATTGTTGGAGAGAAACTTTGACCTCGCGAGAACCACCCGAACAGGGTGTTTTCCAGCTAATTCACGACAGAGCGATCTAGATAACCAGAACGCGCGATCTTGCAGGCGCACTGATTTTCTGACGGGAAAAGTGCCCCCGGCATTTCTCATCCTCGCGCCAGAGCCGTGCTTGACTGCGTGTGGAGCTACCAGCCCGTGCAGTCTAGCTCCACCATTGGGGAGTTCGCCCACTCAATCTTGCGACGTCTGCAGAGCGCCAATCTCAATCATCCGACTGGGTCCCAGCTCGTCGTCGCCAATCATGCATGCTAGAGCCCAGTGCGGGCAGCTATCCATTTACAACGACGTGGTTGCGGGCAATCTCCAGCCGATATCCCCTCTTTCGGAGAATTCACACGAGATTGAGTTTATGACGGGAGGTGTGCCATCGATCCACATGACGCCGTGAAGGGCATATCGCGATCTGGCCCGTGATTCACCCATTCCCCCAGAACAGCCCCCACCGTTCTCGACTGCTTCGCGAGAGCGCTCTGTGCAGATATCCACCGGACTCGACGCCAGTCGACGCCACGACCGCCGCAATCCCCATTCAGGGTCATCACGATTCGACCTGGCTTTCCACAAACTTCAGTCCGCGTGCGCGGGACAGCGGTCCATATCCGCCTCCCTAAAGCTACCGGACCCTGTCACGATTCAGATTGGGTCCTCCGCATCCACCGCGTTGCCAGACCCTTCATGTTCCACCCGCCGGTTTTGCCGCTTCTAGTAGGAATCACGGCCATCATGGCTCGAGGGTGCTGAACATGCCCTTAGCTTTGCGTTAGCCGTCGGCCCAAATCCAAATCTATACTAAGCTCGCTGACATCTGCACTTGGTGCGGAAGAGGGAAAACAAAAGAAAAAAATCAGGTCGGATGCTCTCGCCGGTTACTGACCCCGATGCTACAAATCTAGAGCGTTGCCCCCTCCTTGGCCCGGACGCGTTTTGTTTTCCATTCCCCCCTCCTTCAGATCTTGTCCCTCAGGTTAGGTCCCTTTCACCATGGCCCACAGATCCAACAGCCTACTACGGCGCGTGATTACCGCCGCCCTCGATCGTGAGGAAAATAACTATCCCCCAATGGCAGCTCATGCCGCTGCCACGCGTGGCGAGGCCTTTGGGAACGGCAACCCCGACGTAGAACTGGGCCAAGCCAAACGATTCACCGTCGCAACAAATCACCCTGATACTCTCATCCCACCCAACGACAAATTGTTGATCTTCCGCGCCTTAACCGGTATCGACAGTGTCCCTGCCCTTACAAACGGCGGACATCTCCTGCGCAGCGCGCCGAATGTCGGTATCTATACGCGTGTAATTCGCAACGAAACCAAAGCCGCGCGCGGCTACCGGATCTTCAATGCCCTCATCAACACTTGTCTGGGTATTCAAATTGTTGTCGCCGCCGCAGTGACAGCTCTCGGTGCGGCGAGTGGCCCACACTCTGCCGTGACTGCCTTTGGCGCAATCAACACCATCATGGCGGGTATTCTTACCTACCTCCGCGGCTCAGGTCTTCCGGATCGTCTGAAGGCCTACCAGAACAAGTGGAAGAATATTCGCGAATACATTGAGCAACGAGAACGTGAATTCTGCTTAGTAGGCTGCGACCTCGATGTCCAAGAAGAAGTCTTCATTGTGGAAAGCATGTATCAAAGTCTCAAGTCGGAAATGGAAACTACCAAGAGCAGTGGCGAAGGCCGGAGTCAACAACCAGATGACCCTCGCATTCGTCGCTCGCTTCTTCCCACCTCCAATCATCTCAGCGGTCACCGGAATTCCACGACACCCGTCACGCGTGCTGAAGCCGCGAGCCCGCGTCATCCGGACGACCATGACCCTCCCAGTCCAATCACTGTACCTGAGGCGGCCATTCACAATGAGAAGTCTTGATCTAGTGTCACCTCTGTGCGTTCACGAACTGAATAAATGGCTTGCCCTTGGATCATATCGCAAGCCACACATAATTTGCAGATCACCCTCGACGGCGTTGGCGCCAATCCTCAACACCTGAGGCAGGTGTTCCGACAAAACCCTTATGAAGCACTCCCATGAAATGATTGCTTCTTTACTCGACCACGAAGCCGATTCCTGACTTTCTACTGTGGAAAGACGGTGCTAATGTTTATACCTATACCACGGGGGCGCGGACATACTGGCGGAGTTTCCTGGACATTGTTTATTACTGATGCTCATGAGATCATTTATTTAATCTACTAGTATCTAATGATTCTGATTTCCAATGCATCATGCTTCCCATTTGTCCCGTGGGTCTGGGCAGAAGAAACTAGCAGCTGTATAAATATCTCAATATGGAGCAGATTGCCGATCGCCAATTTCGATCCTGGCGTTGGGCCAATATTCGATAAACCCAACAAACAGGTGATTAGCGAATTCAGAGCATAGCGGTATAGTCAGCTATCGCATAAGCTCTACTGTGTAGAAACCAAACCGGCAGCTCGAAGCATCCAAGCACGCGTACCAGTTCGAAGCCAGCAACTGACGATGACTTCAAGACCCGCAGCGAACCCACCCACCCACAACCACCTCCGAACACCGCGACAATTTCACCATCTCACCAACCAACCCATAACGCAGCACACCCAAACCAAAAGCCCCCAAATCTATCATTCAAAATGTCATTCGAGGTCCAATTCGCCTCTCCAGGCGACTCACCGAGCCTCACAGAGACCTTCCTCTGCACATTCGCGGACGACTTCAACAGAACCATGTTCCCACCAACACCGGAAGTCCGCGCATGGCTCGAACGAACATTCCTAGCCGTCGACCTCTCAAAAACGTACCAGGTTATGCTCAAAATAGTTGACCCGTCCAATCCGAGCATTGTAGCGGCATTCGCGAAGTGGGCACGTCCCCTGCATGCAGGCGCGGATCAGGATCGGCATGATCCCGCGCCCTCGTGGCCTGTGGATGGCGATGCGGATCTACGTGAGATGTTTTTTGGAATGATGGAAAGGCATCATGAGGAACTTATGGGTGGGAGGCCTCATTACTGTGAGTGTTTTTCATCCCTTGCTGAAGTGTGATGGTTGCTGGTTCAATCGCGCTATTGCGCCTCAATTTGCACCTCGCTTTTTGCAAAACTAACTGTATCGCAATAGACCTCGAAATGCTGGGCGTGCACCCTTCATTCCAGGGTCGAGGTTTAGCCTCTAAATTGTTGAAGTGGGGACTTGCTCGTGCAGACGAGGAGGGCGTCGAGGTCTACTTGTCCAGTTCGCCTGAGGGTCGGCCTATGTATGAAAAGAATAAATTTGAGCAAACTAAATACCCCTTCTCGCCTTGGCCTGGGTACGAGCAGGTCAATATGATCCGGCCAGCTAAGAAATGAGCTTTCATTCTTGGGTTTTCTTGACGGGCCGGTGTTTTTTGTGTTGCATCACATAGAATGAGGTTTGAGGATCTTTTGTGTTGGGGTATTTAAAATTGAGTTGAGACTTCTCAATCATTTTTTACATTGTAAATTGACAGTTGATTCCAGGTTGCCCCCCAACCCACCGGCCGCCACCTCGACGCGTCGCGAGCACGAGTCGTGCAACTAGATGACGGGTCGAACCGCGACTTTTCCTTCTAAGTGTCTGCCGCTGCGCTTTTCTCCTGAGGCATAGTGTGACTCTGTGGAAACTAGCCCTGCAATACCTGCATCACCTGACCCACCCCGCTCAAGCGTGCCAGTTCCTCCCCTTTCCGGCGCACAGCTAACATACTAGCCTCTATTTCGCGCTCAAGCATGCAGTTCTTGGCTCGCAGCTTACGACCCTCGTCCGGAGATGATTCGAAGCGCGTGCTCATCAGATCTAACTCGCGGCAAAGGTCGTTATTGGCTGTTTCCAGTTCGAGAATCTTCGCTGTGAATGACCCCTCCCCCTTACTGCCTGGCTCTGAGAGGACCTTCCATCCGTTCAGCCAATTATGCATCTACTCGGCTAAAGCAAAACACGTACATTTTCTGGAGTTCCTGCTGCCTGCGGCAGTCCGTTCTGGAGAGTTTCCGGAGTGACGGCCTCGAGCGACCGGCCAAGTTCTTGGCAAATGGCCTGAAAAAGGCGCACACTTCCGCTGCTCAGACAGTTTTTCAAAGAGAAGCATGGGAGGCCGTAACCGACCATGCATACCCGTCCTCGACCGGTGGCTGGAGACGGAACTGGCTGGGCGCAACGACGAGACCGAGGCGGTCATTTAAGCTGTTTAATGTAGCATTCCTTTGCGGCGCGAGTATGACAAGACGAGCACTTACAAATGTGGGCCGACAGCGCTTCTCGACATTGTTGATTCAGTTGAGCGCGCTCCTCGTTGCTAGTTGTGGCCATGACTCCAGAAAGTGTGGCGGGCAATGGCAAGCCTTCCGGGGGAGAATTTGCGTAGGACGTAGGGACTCAGAATAGTGGTGAAGCTTTAGATTTTCCTCGGCATTTGCTATTATCGAAGGCTATCGCTGGGAGTCACCAAAGGGAATAATGCGAATAGTCGTTGAAGGGCAAGAAGTGAATTGGTCAAGAGGTTTGTCGTGGATCAGTTGGGAAAATAATTGGAATGGTGGAAAATTGATTACTCAATTCTGGGGAGTTGTTCGAAAGTTTAGTTGGAGTGAGACTTTGAAGCGTATCACTTCAAGGAACCGTTGGGAAGTATCGTTGAAAATAATCAATTAAAGGCAGACGCTGAGACTGAGATAATAAATTCTAAATTGTCGTTGAGAAGATTATTTTTGGGAGCCGTTGAAGAATAATTTCGCATGATCAACGGTTCCGATTAATTATTCTCGCAATTCGGGGGAAGGAGTGGTGAAACAAGAGGGCGGTGGTGAAGATTTTGGTCATTCTTTTGAGCTTATGCCCATTCTCCTTGATCGGATACTCTACTCTCTGGATTGAGGTGTTGAAAAACGTACCGTCTCTGCTTCAGGTTACCATCAAAATTTTGTCGCTAATTTCTAGAGCGAACGACCGAAGGGAGAAAGCATATTAGAAGGCATCTTGTCAGCAGAATGTTACGAAAATTGGAAGGAGGTTTGGAAGGCAGAGAGAAATAGCTGAGACCGCAGACTCCAGATTCGATACCGGTGTGACACCTTCGAGACAGCACCGATGATCGATGTTGTTACCGGTCAGTGGAAAATAACAGATCCACTCTGTGCCTACTGATGAGAGCATCGAAGATGAAGAGGAAAGAGAAGGAAAGGAAGGTCAAACACGAGGAGAGAGCTCAAGTATCCCGCAAACGCGCAGCGCAAACAACCCAAACAGATACCTTAAGCACGGGTCCCGTAGAATGAGGCTATTCTCAGGAAGTGTCAACCGTCACAGATGTCTTACAGCATGGATCGAAATCAGATTCACCACCTACACACAGAGATTCTTTCTCGAACCCTCTTTCGAAACAATACTATGCCTATTACAGTTAATTTGCCCCGAATCCCTTTCTTGGCAGTAATCCAGTACAGGTATAAATGGGAGCGTAAAAATAGCATTTTTAATAAACTTGTATCGTCTTGAGGGCTTCCACGTGATCGGAGCTCACGTTTTGGTTTGTGAACTCGACGCCCCGCATGCAAGTCTGACGTGGCAGAACCTTATGAGGCTGAATGCACGTAGCTTATGACCTGGAGATGGAAGCTAAGTATTCCGAGCATTTTTACCCCTCTGTACTTGGTGTTACCAATTCCTCCCTGTGCAAGCCTGGTAGTCTAGATGGATATGGTCCTCACTTCCTTCAAGGATGGAAACGATGGACTTCAAGTAAGTCATAATACAGGACCTGTTATGTACAGCAGACCTTCGTTCTTCCCTAGGTAGGTAGATGACAATCAAGCACGTCGAAAAATCCACTGACAACTCGACCATAAGAGGCTGGCAGTTTAACAAGCACAGGAGGCGGTGCTTCCTTCGCAGGACCTTTGAACGCAACCCGTGATATACATATCAGTACGAAAAAATTGAAGGGCGTTAACTTCCAGTTGCTAATCAATCAAAATTGAAAGGTCATACCCATGTCACTTCCATATCTCGTGGCCAGTCTGGGCATAGACGAGCAAGAGATGACAGTCCTGAGAACACTTCTGCTGTCCCAGACCAGTATAGGACCAAAAGAGCTCACCAGGACGACGATAATCTTTCTTCCAACGGGAGCGACTCTTCAAGAGAGGTCGGTCATCTACATAAGAAATCTCGGAACGTTTTTTCTTCAGAGGAATCTTCAGAGGACTCTTCCAAAAACCATTCGGATAAAGAAGCGGCCGAATCATCGGATGACTACTCCGGTTCTTTGGAAGATGATCAACTTTCGGATTCTTTCAGTAGGTCCGAGGATTCCGAATAAAGAGTAGATTAAGGACCACAATCTTTCTGTATGTTGTCTGGCAAATAAGCAAGGTCATATAACGAGAGTGATTGGTATGTTTGCTAGTGATTCTAAATAGACCGTTGTCTAAAGCACCATATTACGGCATTTGTCTTTATGCCATTACTTCTTACGATACTGAGATACCGCCGAGGATGAGGTCCAGGTACATATCTGTTGGACCGCCCGGATTTAAAGGAGCTTCGAAGGGAGCTACGGAGAGAAGTTGGAGACGTATTCAATAGCGGACCGAGTCTGCTGGGAGGCTCAAAACAAGGTGAGAAAAGAAAAGTAAACCAGACACCGTCTCGCGAACCAGGGTGGTTGATGCTGTGCTGGATTCGCTGAGGCGTCACAGAGATTCTGCAGTCGTGCGCCACGAGGGCGGCCTAATAATGGGAACGGCAATTAGGCTAGGTAGGCCTTGACGAGGCTCTAAGTTCGTTTTCAGGAAGTTGAACACTCTACATGCACGTACATGGATATATAGTGGTTGTATCCTGCATATTGTTACGAGGGGTCAGGGAAAATGATTTCACACACACACTCCTGTAACTGTAGACTCTCTCGACTGAGGAAGTTATGACAGAACATTCAACGCTCATTGGAGAACGCAGTCAGCCGCTCGATGTAAATGACGTCCCTAGGGGCAGCAGCTGTTTGATACACCCTTTATTAAAAAGACGACGCAATGACCATCCGCTAGGTGCGACTACCATTCCAATTGATAGTACCCGTGCTATGACCGATCTGTATGCCCCTGTTGTTGCTGCCTGAAAAAGTAGTGTTATATGTGTTGCTGACCTCCGGGATGGACAGTTTCGAGAGTATTTGGGAAACAACCCCAGAGGCGGTTTGGTCAGCTTCCAGTAGGCGTGACTGCATTTCGGTCTCTTGAATTGCTAGAGTTCGCTGAGCACCGCCGTCTTCGTCCTCATATTCGTCCTCTAGGCTTTCAAGTTCCTTCTTACGTCGCAGAGCTTCGTCTTGGTTTCTCTTTGTGAGATCGATATGCTCCCAGATAGCAGATTCAAGAATTTGCAGTTGCTTCTCTATTTCTTGCCGTGCAATTTTAGATGCGGTTTCCGACCGGACCTGGATGGTCCTTCAATCAATGAATTAGCACCTCTTATTAAGTCAAAAAGCCAAATGACGTACAACTGGGCGCTATTGATGGCGAACTGGACAATAGCCTGACAGGAATGGACCTGCGTCCTGAACGTGCGGATCTTTTCTTTGTTCCATATGCCGACCGACAGGCGATCCCTGAGGGAAATTTTTGTCGCGCTGGAATGCTTCGTCCATCGTTCAAGCTTAGTCAAAAAGTCTGCGCATGCCTGCCCACATTTGTTCACGGCTTCAGCGACACCAGTCCTTTCCAGATCCTCTTTCGCTTCGACATATGTCGTGGTATCGGAGATTCGGAGATCTTTTAGAGCAGAAAGCGGATGCTGTATGGCCTCTAAGTCAGAAGTCACATCTTGTAGCACATCTTTCGCTTCATCAAGGTCTCTTATAAAACCACAAAGGCTGCTGATGCTGGTTGTAGCGAACTCTGTGATGCCAAGAACACCGACGGTGATGCTGAAGGGATCCATCTCTTCTAGAATGGGACTGCAAAGTTGTAAAACGTGAATGATTTTCTTGTAAGGAGAATGGATATTGGACGAAGTCAACCGTATCAGTTCTGCAGATACTGTATCAGTCAAGCTCTGAGAGGGGGAGTCTTGGCGCTATGTTGCGGAGTGATGGTGGAGTGATCGGGAGGTTAGGGGAGGTGGTCTTTGGGGTTTGGCGGGAGGGAAGGGCGGGCGCCCAGCGATTTGTGACGGAAAATAACCCATCTACTCACCCTTACTCACCTCTCTGGTCAGTAAGCAGGTGAAAAGGTTTCAGGCGAGCTTTCCGGGGGATGCGAGGGTAATAGGAAACGCACGTGACTTAATGGACACCCAGTTCCTGGGATTTCGGTGGCCATCTCAAAGCTGCGGACCTCAAAAAATAGCGGCGCGAGGATTGGACCATTATGTGCTAACTTGACCATAACATAGAATTACTGCAAATGCTGGTACCATGTGTTTGATCGCTGACATCACGACGCGCCAAATTTTGAATTTCAAATCGTGCTTTTAGCTAGAGGGAGCTGGCTGGCTACCGCGCGCTGTGCGTGATCTGGGTGCTCTGGCTCGGGCCGATCCCACCGCGCAGGGCCAGCCAACCTCAGTTGATCACCTGTCTTGGCGCCGTGGGGCCACCTGATCGTGAAGCTAGTGACATGCCCCTCTTTCAGCTGGGGATATGACCATGGGCCTTCGAATGAAACTCACACGACGCTAAGTGGTCTGATCATGTCGTCGGTATCATTCTGCTGCAGCAACCATGCCCTCCAGGTCGGAGTTAGCCATGGCCCGATCAACGCGGAATTCCATCTGCCACCGGGTAAGTCAGGAACCGAACAAGATTACAGTCGACTACTCACCACTGTTTCCCACCTTAGAGCGACTAGAAACCCCACCTAGCCCTCTGTCGACTGTCCCATTCCCGCGCGATCCGCACTTTGTCAGTCGCGATACACTGCTCCGTCAGATTCACGCAAAATGCTCGGTGCCCGGGTCAAGAATAGCGCTAGTCGGCCTCGGCGGTGTTGGGTGAGTGTGGAATGACCATGACGTGGGTCTTTGCTTACAACTCGAAGAAAATCACAGCTTGCCATCGAATACTCCTACTGGGTCCGGTCCAAATCGCCAGCGACATGGGTTTTCTGGATCTATGCGAGTAATGAAGCCCGGTTCGAGCAAAGCTTTCGGGATATTGCAGACCAAGTCAAAATTCCGGGTCGTCAGGATCCAAAGGCGAACATATTCAAAATGGTCGAGAACTGGCTCCGGGTTGAGAAGATAGGGAAATGGGTTTGTATCCTTGATAATGTCGATGACGATAAGTTCCTTTGCTCTCTTCCGACGGCAGGCAAAGGACATCCAACCAAAGGCCTAACGAACGACTTCACGAAACCACTATTGGAATACATCCCTAGAAGCCAGAACGGCTTTACCATTATCACGAGTCGGAGCAAAGAGGTCGCGCTAAAGATGGTGAATCATAAAGATCTCATTGAAGTCAATCCGATGGAAAGCGCCGAGGCACTCGAGCTTCTCCGAAAAACGCTCGATCAACCCGAGCAAAGCCCAGGAAGTGAGCGGTTAGTGGAAGAGCTCGAGTTTATGCCACTAGCGATCGTACAGGCCGCTTGCCATATTCGAAATCGGGCGCCTCGCTATTCGGTATCACAATACCTGAGAGACTTCCAAGGGAGTGACCGTGAAGCGATAAGGCTTCTGAAAATAGAGGCAGGTCACCTCTGCCGGGATTGGGAAGCGAAGAATGCAATTCTAGTGACATGGCAAATTTCATTCGATTACATACGCCAAACAAAGCCATCAGCAACAGAGTTGCTTTCTCTCATGAGCTTTTTCGACCGGCAAGGGATACCAGAGAACCTTATCCGGCATCAACCCAAGGCCAACTCGGCATCAAGTTCTGAGCTCTTGCATGACTCTAGTGATGGGGAAACATCTGAGTCCGATATGGGCCCCGATTTTGAAGATGATATCACAACGTTAAGGAATTATTCATTTATATCTATCAGCGAGAACAGCACTTTGTTCACGATGCATCGGCTAGTGCAACTCACCATGCGCGTGTGGTTGAAATCCCATGGACAAATAGACCAATGGAGGGAGAGGTTTATTAGCAATTTGTACCACGAGTTCCCTACGGGTCAATATGAAAATTGGGGGAAGTGTCAGTCGCTCTTTCCTCACGTTCGATCAGCGATGTCTCAACGGCCGGAATCAAAAGAGTCTCTATTACAATGGGCCACACTCCTCCTTTTTAGAGGCGCATGGTATGCGTCCGAAAGCGGCAATATCGCCGATGTGAGGGACATGGCGACGAAATCGAGAAAGCAGAGAGTGAAATTACTAGGTGCCGAGGATAAAGAGGCCCTTGAGAGTACCGCAATGTTAGCAGAAGCATACTGGCTTGAGGGCCGATGGGAGGAGGCGGAGCAGCTCGACGTGCAGGTCATGGAGACTCACAAGACGAAGCTGGGCGTGGACCATCCTGACACGCTGACGAGTATGGCCAACCTGGCGGTAACATATATGGAACAAGGCCGATGGGAGGAGGCGGAGCCGCTTAATGTGCAGGTCATGGAGACTTGCAAGACGAAGCTAGGCGTGGACCATCCTGACACGCTGACGAGTATTTCCATCTTGGCATCGACGTATTGGAACCAGGGCCGATGGGAGGAGGCGGAGCAGCTCGAGGTGCAGGTCATGGAGACTCGCAAGACGAAGCTCGGCGTGGACCATCCTGACACGCTGACGAGCATGGCCAACCTAGCGTCGACGTATAGGAACCAGGGCCGATGGGAGGAGGCGGAACAGCTCGAGGTGCAGGTCATGGAGACTCACAAGACGAAGCTAGGCGTGGACCATCCCGACACGATAATGAGTATGGCCAACCTGGCGGTAACATATATGGAACAAGGCCGATGGGAGGAGGCGGAGCCGCTTAATGTACAGGTCATGGAGACTCGCAAGACGAAGCTGGGCGTGGACCATCCTTCCACGCTGACGAGTATGGCCAACCTGGCGGTAACATATATGGAACAAGGCCGATGGGAGGAGGCGGAACAGCTCGAGGTGCAGGTCATGGAGACTCGCAAGACGAAGCTAGGCGTGGACCATCCTGACACGCTGACTAGTATGGCCAACCTAGCGTCGACCCTTTGGAACCAGGGCCGATGGGAGGAGGCGGAACAGCTCGAGGTGCAGGTCATGGAGACTCGCAAGACGAAGCTAGGCGTGGACCATCCTGACACGCTGACGAGTATGGCCAACCTAGCGTCGACGTATAGCAACCAGGGCCGATGGGAGGAGGCGGAGCAGCTTGACGTGCAGGTCATGGAGACGAGCAAGACGAAGCTGGGCGTGGACCATCCTTCCACGCTGACGAGTATGGCCAACCTGGCGGTAACATATATGGAACAAGGCCGATGGGAGGAGGCGGAACAGCTCGAGGTGCAGGTCATGGAGACTCGCAAGACGAAGCTAGGCGTGGACCATCCTGACACGCTGACGAGTATGGCCAACCTAGCGTCGACGTATAGCAACCAGGGCCGATGGGAGGAGGCGGAGCAGCTTGACGTGCAGGTCATGGAGACTCGCAAGACCAAGCTCGGCGTGGACCTGACACGCTGACGAGTATGGCAAACCTCGCTTTCACCTGGAAATCTTCAGGTCATAATACCAGAGCCCTCAAATTACTACGCGCTTGCCTGGCAAAGCAGAAGAAAATACTTGGCCCCAATCACCACCACACCTTATCTAATTCTGAATCCTTTCTGGAATGGGAAACGGAGAAGTTGGATTTCACTACATAGACGACCAATATACTTTCGAATAAAACAAGCTTACCCTCACAGATTGTTTTGCTTCATAGTGAAATTGCTACGATAACCTTTTGGTCATAAAACGACTTTGTGCGATTTACGCGAGAGGGCTGACCTTTATCATTCTGGCGAGCATTGCCGTTAGAAGAGCGAGGGCAGTTGTGACGGAAAGTGGATATCTGAGCGAAATATGGGGGCACGTGGTGAAAGTATTCATGGAAACAGTATTTCCAGTAACTTACAGGAACTAATTCCTCGTGGATTTATCTTTCATTACGATTCCACCTTCGAAATGGAGATAAGCCAAGTGTACATCAGTGTGTTTCGAAATAGGGTTCGGGAAATCCTTTCTGTGAGTACAGTGGTGAAACTGATTTCGATCTACCCTGTATATGTTCAAGAGGTCAGAGCTTCTCTCCTCAACATCCTTCTTCCATTCAGAATTCCGGAACGAGAGCGCACGTATCTGTGCCTTTCTGCCCACCCACACCGTCCCGTTGTGGGTGCGCCCCAGCGTAATTACCAACCCCACCGTAATTACCAATTTGATCACATTCAAACTACATACACGATTTATCAACGCATCGGCTCAGGATCTAAGAAAAAAAATCCCCGTTCTCTTGCGCTACCCTCGCTGCTTCAATTGATGCCTCACTCTCCTGCATAACCAAAGGTGGTGGCTTGCAACCATATAGCTTCTCGTAGTCTCTAGCTAGCCGTCTCTTTTCTGCCGTAGCTTCCTTGGCCTTCCTAGTCGCAATTGATCGATTCGCATCGCGTGTAGTTAATATACCAGTGTGACTAAGGCCCTTAATCTGCCGCTTGGTCTTAGATCGCTGTATTGGTTCTTGTACGGCCCTAATTCGCGCAATTGTATCATTGGCCATAGCGAGGTGATCAACTGCGATACGATTATGTTGGAAAATACGCTCAAGATTGCGCTGTAGCTTTGGCGTAAGAATATCTGCGTGCTTTGATAGCTTTCCCTGGTTCTTCTGGAGTGCTTCAGTCGATTTTGGAGGTGTATTTTCAACGCTGGACGATGAGAGATTGGCTGGTGGCGGAGATGGTGTGTAGGAGCCATAAAACCAAGATCAGGCGCGATTAGATCAGGTATAGTATCCCAACCATTAGATAGCTTGCTTAGGACCTTGCTAGCATCAACTGGGTAGATACCACGATCTTTGAAAGATTCACGAATAATTCGCTGGTTAAAGGCTTTAGATCGTACGGGCCCGATTACCCGTAGAAATTCAGCCTTACCCATCGGCTCGCCTGCCCAATAAGATATCTCGTTGTTTAGGCTTCGAAAGTGCTGTTTATAGCTGAGAAACGGCTTGCCGTCAAGCGGCTGGCAAAGATGTGTGGAGTGAGGTAAAAAACCAAAAGGTAGAATATCGTTGTCTTCGCATTTTTGTAAGAATTCGAGGGTAAGGTGCGCACCGTGGCCATCGAAGATTAGGATGCGCCTCTCACTCCGCTTCGTACGATTGCGAGTAGCCTCGATAAAATAATCAAGCCATTGATTAGCTAATTGATCAGAGATCCAGCCATTAGGTGAGGTTCCAACCATCGTACTAGGTGGTAGATCTTCGCTGCCGTCGAACCAGGCCTCCATAAAGACCCCGCCGCTTTTGAATATAAATAGCGGATCCATCTGCCACCCATCGGCAGCAATACATTCAAGCGCAGTAATATTTTCGCCTCGCTCAGTCTCAGCAAGATCAGGGCCAGATCTTGTATTCTTCCTACCAACCACACGCTGGTTTTTACCCTCGCCTGGCCGGAACCCACACTCATCGAAGTTGTATACTAGCCGCGCAGGTACACCTTTAAGTAGATTTTTGAGCAGATCGTACCAGTGGGCTAGTAGGCCTACATCTTCTGCTTGGATACGCTTCGATTCCTTCGTACGCTGATTCACTGGACCTAGCTGTAGGTCTTGTGGGAGACGCTTAATAAAGCGATATACCCACATCTTGCCAACCTTCTGATCAGGCTTACCAGCGCGTGCAAGCGAGCGAATTGCCCACGCCTCGATTAGCCTAGGCTTTGGTGGCATATTCCAATCGATTAGTTGGCATATCCAGCGCGTCAAAGCTTCCTCTTGAGCCCTATCTAGGACCTTATTGACTGGCTTCCTAGCTGTACGAGCCTGCATGCCCTTTCTGACGCGATTCTGGAGGTTCCGCCGATTAACACCAAATTCACGCGCGATCTTGGTTATATTTGGTTTTTCTTCGCGTCTAGCCGCTTCGCAGGCCTCTATCATTCGAGATTCGTCAGATTCAGCGATTTTAGGCATGGTGGGTGGAAGATATCGATTCGAATAGGATGGTGGTAGGTGTTTGAGTCAAATTGGTAATTACGGTGGGGTTGGTAATTACGCTGGGGCGCACCCACAACGGGACGGTGTGGGTGGGCAGAAAGGCACAGATACCCCTTTCTTCTTCAGCTCGTAGGGTATTGTCGAGGTCCCACACACTGCCGTCCACCTGGGAAGAGCTTAAGTATTCTGACCTCTCTGCATTAACCCCGCAACCTACTCCGCAGCCGTTTTTGACTCGCTGATCCTACCGAGAGTAGCCTACTGTTCGGCATTCTTCCAGGTCGCTCTTCATTCCAACATCATGGCTAAACATTTTACCGATCTTGTTGATTCAGTTGGAGGATTGAGTCTTGCTGATAGGACGATTGAACTGACTGGATCGACCTCACACTGCCCAAACCCAACACCGCAAGCTTTCGTGGAAGCAATTCGGACGCTGATACGATCCTTAGAGGCTACTTCAGCACTCGCACAAAAAGTCGAGACCTTGGTTAGAAGCACACATACTCCGAGTGGCGAGGGCATTGTGGAACTAAGCTCCTTGAGAAGAAGAGCTACTGCTCTTTCAAGGATAACAGAGACGTTCAGCGATGCAACCGAACGCTATATCATAGCTTACATTGCATCCCTTGCTGGTCCAGGTACACTGGTGCAGAAAATGCTATCGCATTTTACTGAAACATTGAAGAGCATCACTCGCGATATTATTAACAACACTAGCGATGATAGCAACGTTCTGCGGGAGACTTTAGAGATGTGCTATGGTCAGGCTCTTCATACCTCTGGGTCCTTGCACTCCGATAACTACTTTATTCCCCTGGGCGAAGCCAGACTTGAATGGCCCTACGACCCCGACTTTGAGAGCGAGGACTACTACGAGCATGAGAATCGCCTAGACATCGACGATAACTATGCCGAGGCTTTTCGTGTGCGATGCGAACGCGAATCTAAGAAGGAAGAGCAGCAAAGGGAAGAATGGATTAGGTTTTGGGCTCAGGCGCTGAGTAAATGTCCAAATGGGCCGACACTATTCTATTCGCCAGCAAATCATCTTCCTTATTGTCATTTTACAGATTCCCCGCGATACTTGTTTAGAGCGTTCGACCATGAAAGCTCTGGCAAAAGTAACCACTATGTCGTGGCTTCCGCTGAGAGCATTTCCGCAATATCACGGCGCTGCAGAGTCGATCTTCTCTCGAGAACGAAAGAGGAAATCACAAGAATGCTGTATTGTCATCTGAAAAATAAATTATGTTTCGGGGAGGGCAGTCGTGACGACAACTTAATGTCTTGGAGTAGTTCCCTATTGTTTGTTATCCAATACGCGATCTGGAGATGCCACCAACGTGGCCGTGACCCCTCCGAGGTTAAAATATGCATGATAAACACAAGAAAATTTCCTCGTGGGCAGTTCGCTCGGGACATATCGTTAATTCGAGCCTATCGCGAAGCCCCAGAACTCAACGTGGAACTGCGGAGCTTTTTCAGTTTTCGTTTGGAGAAAAAATAAGACAATGGGGAGTATCTGTCGCAGGGAGTTTTGAATCATGCTGGGCGGTCTAGTGTGGTGTCTTTAGCACAGCTCATTCAGGCGGGGCTACATGATCTTTATCCTGAATTTGCGGATCCCGCTGCGATGGGTTCATGGACAAAACGTGTTGGGTTCCTTCGTTCAGGATGGTCTACTGAGCATACAACAACACAGCTCGACATACAAAGAGCTGTTGGGATGGCTAGGGCATGCTTCAAAAGTTTCAATGCGCCTGATGTGGCGTTGCTGCTATTATCGTTCAAAAATCGCAAGCTTCGCGCCCCAGCGACAAAAGGTATGTTTCAAATTTCCTAGGTAGCAATTGCTGCTAATCGAAGCTTCCCGAAAGTACAAGAGCGTCAAAGAAGCCTCAATGACTACGGCCCAGATGAGGTTCAACCATACATGAAGATCGCAGAAACTCTGGAGTCAAAAGTCCGAGACGATTTGAAAGTTTTAAAATTGTTGCCCTCCGATAGCCAGCTCCTTGAGGAAGTTTTTGAATGCTCATAGTGAGATTTTCAATTCAACGAGCATTAATGCACCGTATTGCTCATTATTCACAGCTTACTAGAGCAGAAAGTGCAAATATGCTCTGAGTGCCGTCGTAGGTTGGTTCCTCATGGCAAAGAGCATCCGCATTGGCACCAAATTCTGATATTCCGGTGGCTCGCAAATTTGCGGTTGGCACCTTACACTACTTACAGGGCAGATCCAAAGCATAATAGGTGTATCTGCAAGATATCCAAGCTCTTGCAGCAGTCGTACCACGGCAATCACTGGCAGAGGTACAAAATCCACGAAGCCTTAGAGCCACTCGTTATGTCCATCCCGCCTGTCATCCTTCACTCATCGTATATGCTTCACATGTATATTCTTAATCAAATCCACAAGATTCGAAGAAATTTTGCTATCCTACGAGAATTTTGAGGCTGAAGATAGAATTGAGAAGGAGAGGGGGAAATATTCTACACGGACAACCCTAGGGGGCGAAAATGGAAAGAAGCTCAGGAATCGGGTAAAGGTGCAAACGGAATGCAAACGGAATGCAAACGGAATATAACGAACGGCGAGCAGATTGTAACAATGAGTCTCCATAAGTTCATCTTGCCAACCATCGATCTTCCTTCCTAATCTCCTATTCTCTTCAGCATCGTCTACTATCAATTCCTGCGTACCACCCATGATGGCAGAAGAGATCACAACCAATCCGCCCGGGCCACCTGAGGCTCATGAGAAAGCAAGCCTTGGCACTGACCGCATGAGGCGATGGCTAAACCAGATCGCTCAGGCTCGAGCCCACGGTATTGGTGATTGTATCTCTCTGCCCCAGATCATTGTGTGTGGCGACCAGTCTGTCGGCAAAAGCTCCGTTCTAGAAGGCATCACTTCGGTGCCATTCCCTCGCAAGGATGGCCTATGCACCAGGTTCGCTACAGAGATCATTCTTCACGATGTGCCCCAGCAAGACACTTCCATTACCGCCTCTATTATTCCACATCCCTCCAGAAATGACGCTACTTTTGAAAGTCTGAAAAATTACAGTCGTAGCCTCTCTGGATATGGCGAGCTCGCAGATGTCGTTGAGGACGTGTCAAAGCGAATGGGCCTCAAGACCTATACAGAAAACGACGCCGACGCACCGGCTTTTGTAGCAGATATACTGCGGATTGAAGTCACAGGTCCTACAGGCCTCCATCTTACGATCGTTGATCTGCCAGGTTTGATTGAAGGGTCAGAAGACGAGGAGGCCGTTGAACTCGTTAGCAAACTCGTCGACAACTATCTCAAAGAATCTCGCACTATCATTCTTGCAGTTTTCCCGGCAGGAAATGACATCGAGACGCAGCCAATCATTCGGCGTGCGAGGTCCTTTGACAAGAGCGGAAAGCGGACGGTTGGAATCATCACCAAGGCCGATCTCATCAACCGCGGCACCGAAGACAGAATCGCCGCCCTGATGCAGAATCAAGGGCCAATAAAGATTGATTTGGGCTTTTTCCTGCTGAAAAACCCAGACCCGGAACAGCTGGCAAAGGGCATTTCAGTTGAGCGACGCCAGGCAGAAGAGGAAGAGTACTTCCGAAAGGAGAAATGGAAAGTCCATGACCTGGACTCCAGTCGGGTTGGGGTTAGAGCTTTGCGTTCCTATTGCCAAGTCCTCTTGGAGCGTCATTTCGAGCGGGAGCTGCCTAAGGTGCGAGAGGATGTTACGAAGCTATTGGAAGAGTCCCAGAAGGAGCTTGCAGACCTGGGCGAAGAAAGAAATACGCCCATGATTCAAAGACTATACCTTTCCAAGCTGAGCATGAAGTTCTGTGAGCTCGTGCGATCTTCGATTGATGGACGCTATCATGACCATGGCTCCCGCTTTTTTGACCCTGACCAGGGAGACGCTCTGCACAATCGACTACGCGCTCTGGTTCATTTACTAAACGCTAGCTTTGCAGATTTTATGCGAACGTCTTCTCACAAGCGCCTGGTCGAAGAAGTGAAATATGCGGATAGCACATCCTCTCTCACTTTTGAAAAAGATGCCGCAAACCATCATCTTGATACATTGGGCAAACCAGAGACTATCTCCTTAATGGAATTCAACAACTGGATTTTAAGTGTGAGTCAATAGTCTATTCTTATGGGAAAGAAACGCTAAATTCAGAATCCATCGATAGGTCTACAAGAGCACGCGGGGACTGGAACTGTCCGGCAGCTACAGCCACAATCTCCTTTCGTGCCTATTCCACGAGCAAGCTAGTCGCTGGCCGGCAATCGCTCGAACCCACGTCAGGGTCGTTCACTATCATGTCACTGCGTTTCTGGAACGCACATTAGCTCACGTGGTGAAGGAGGAAGATCTGCGATTTCAGCTCCAAATGACCATCAGCACCTCATCACAAAGGATCCTTCAGGAAGCATTGGATGAATTAGCGAAGATCTGTGATGATGAGGAGATACAGCCAATCACATACAATCACTACTTCACTGACAACATCCAGAAATCGAGACAAGATTCGATGAAAAATGAGATCGAAAATGCGCTCACCAGAACAATGAATTCGTGGGGGAACTTTCATGTAAGCAATACCTCCGGAGATAGGGCTGCGCTTCTGTCTTCGCTCCAAGAGCAAATCAAGGTAGACATGGATCTACAGACCTGCGATGAGGCATATACCGCCCTGTCATCTTACTACAAGGTGGCTATGAAGACATTTGTGGACAATGTCTGTCGTCAGGTGGTCGAGCGTCATATCATGAGAACACTTCCGTCCATCTTCGAACCATCAACCGTTGTGCGTATGTCAGATGAAGATATCGAACGTATTGCCGTGGAACCAGAAAAAAATACCAGACGACGCAAAAAGCTCCAGGATATGGTCGACGCTCTGCAAAAATGCTTTGGTGGTCTGCAAGTTTGACAAACTTGCGGGTGCAGACGTTAAATCTCTTGTCACAAGACAATAGCTCTAGTCATGAGACGCATTAATCTGCTGGTGGATTTCTCTCTCCTTCTTCCCTTCACGCTTGATATCTTTGTCTTTGCTACCTAGATACTCGATAGCTAAATAAATTGATCTTTCTAGAAAGGGTTCTCTGGCAATACTCAGTACTCCATCCGTGGCAGCATATCTTAGGTTGCTTCTCGGCCTCGATGGGACATCTCTTCATGAACATCCTGGATGACACAGTCACGGTCGGCCTGTTTGCCGAGAACACGTCAGAGCGGTACACTGTGTCCTCTGATGTGGACCACCAATCCTAGTACCGGCACAAATGTTGAATATGTACTTCACACGCAGTAGTGCACGCAAAAGCTGCGGGAAATAATACACACCAATCAGTGAATACTGTCCTATCAGCAAGGTATAATTCCGTCCGATGCTGCCAGGATTGAGATTTACGCCGTAAGTATAAAGTCATGGTAAACAGGCATCACGTGACTACATGTGGTAGATGGGTATATGATCGATGGATAGATGATGCCAAGCCTCATCTACCACTATATCTGATGCTTTCCGCTATTGAAACATAGCGATTCTCATTCTGTATGTCTTTTTGTAAATCCTAGAAAAGAGTATGTGGCTGATATTTTACGTAGCCCATCGCATTATACAACTCAAATTTTGCACGTGCTCTCTCCCGCTTCGAGAACTTAGATCAAACCAGTGGGTGGATGTGACATATATGAAATTTTTAGGGGAAGCTGATTCGAAGTCTAGGATGTAATCATCGCTGATGTCGAATTGGAGAAAGCACATGTAATGCTGTGCGGCATGAATAAGTATGGTCCTAGGTCGCACTGTTAGCCGTCTTCAATTCTGGTTGATGTCCGAACGAGACATAACGAATTTTCATTACCTGCCCTGGCTTAATTCGGCGAATGGGTCGGCCAATCTTGCTACTAGAGCCTCGCAGGTCATTTGTGCGAGACAATTGTCTGAAATAGTGGGCCTGCCATTTTCTAGGCATTGGAATTGTCTCTTGGCTTCAACAATAGCCACGCGCTCTCTGTCGACTGCAAAAATGTCCCCATTTCCTTTCCGTCGGCAAAGGCCCCCGTCGTCAATAGCGACTATTTTCCGCCTTAACATTGGTGTTGTTGCAGTGAGCCTTCTTTTAGCGTCGCGAAACTCAATAACTGTCTGCAGACCCCCAGAGTCTTGAGGTGGAGCATAGTACAAAATATGGCGAATAACGCAAGATGCAAGTCGTAGTTTCATCTTCCGGTGATGACAAAAACATATGAGTTTCTCTATCAACGTAGCCAAATGAGGAAGTAGCGTAGGAGCTTTCGGCCTTAGGGCTGCTTGAGCCAACTTGAAGTGCACTGGAGTCGACGTAGTCTTCTTGTAATGTGTTTCGTCGGAGGCGTTTGACTCTTGCGTCAGGTTCATCATCACTTCCGTATACAGAGCAGTGCTCAGGTTTTTCTGTGTGAAGATTATTTCCAGCTTTTATCATTGCCATTGCAGCCCAGATTTGTGCAAGAGATAGGGGATGACCAGAATCACGAACAAGACCGTGCTCGCTTTGAGACCTGTATGTCGAATCTGGCCCCCTCAGGAATGCATGAATTTCGGGAAAGGATCTCATATCCGACAAGCTCTTGTATCCCGATAAAACAGGTAAAACATCATACTGAGTCTCCCGTCGTATTACGCGACAGGCGAATAAATGATCACGGCTCCATTCACTCGCGGCAACGTGGGGGATTTTCGAGAAAAGCTTCCCTCCATCAACTCTGAATCTATCTGCAAAAGCCGACTCAGAGGTGACACTATCGAAATATGAGGAGTTGGCCATGTTGCTGATGTGAAGAAGAATTGAGTGAATTAAAGATATAGCCCCGCTGGGACAATAGCCTTGGGGGTTAAAAGGGAAGCCTAAGCAGGGTCATGTGACTTGGTATCGTCGATCTATCATTGAGCGTCCGTGCGCAATTCCTGCAGTATCGGCTATTTATTATTGCGCCTCCGCAGGCAATCTTGTGGACCGAACGCGGTCAGCAACCCAGCTAAAGACATGCAACCACTCACCATCTCAGGCAACCCAGCTAAAGCAACCACAGTATGTCGTGTGGTATTAAAGCTATGTCACTCTCTGACATAATGCGATATCATAGCGAGCTTCTGGTGAACCCGTTATTTTGGACCATACGTCACCTGGACGCGTTCGGATGTTCATTCCAGCAAGTTCCAACAAAGGACACTGACAATAAGGCGCCTCACCGAAGAAACGATATTCAAGCATCTTGTGCTAGAATTCAGAAGACAATTGATGCAGAGATACTTGCCAGCAGCCCTGTTCCATCTGTGAAATTCACTATCCTATCTCGCTTCCTACAAGATAAAGAAAGCGTGTTTAACCAGTGCGAGTGAGTTGCATACTCACGATTGATTTCTTTCTTTAATCTGTTGGTTTCTTGTTCTGATCGCTAACAGCACCTAATTATAGTGAAGGCCCTAAATTTTTCTTCGCTGGCAAATCCGCTCACCGACCGCATTCCTCTATCTTCTTCCACCGTACCGAGACCGGCCAGATCAATCAGGGTGTGCCCTTTGTTGGCTATTTGGACTATCTGGATGTTACTAGTATTCGCGAAAGGATACTTACGCCTTCTGGGACAACGACTCATGATCATAATACAATTGGCGCACGTCTCTTTGCAAGGAAATTATCCCGAGTTACCCCACAGGAATGGACAGAAGATCCATATTTTATATGTGTCTTGCTATCTATTGCGCAACTCCAGAAACGCCTTTCGAAAAATCCGCCCAAAAGAGCATTTTCGGTATGATTTTTTGAATTACTTTCCTAATGCTATCCAGAAAAATAGGCTAACAAATCCTAGCCACGCCTTGTGGTGGTAAATAGGAACGATCGTGAGTTTGTTCATCTTTATGAGGCGCAATTTACGTGCGAATTTCTCGAAATGCTTGAAAAGCCGATGGTTGCCAAGACCAGTACCAACGGTCCAACTATCTACCGAAGAAAGATTCCCTTCCAGCCCTTCGAAACCTTTCCAGAACGGGTTCGAGCCGAGGCACTTGCTTCAGCTACCGCCGACAAAGCTAATCCCAAAAAACGAGCTGTTAAGCGATCACGACAACATGAAGGCGACGAGGGACGCAAAGTGAAACGAAGATCATGAGACCTTTGGTGAAAATAATATCCCATGATGGTCGTCTTGATCCCATCCTTTTCGACCAGCGCTTCCGGGTTGCTTTGTACAGAGGCTCTACTCTTAACAGAAGTTCGATCTATAATTTTGATGGCAATCGGATTCGAGTAGCGGAATGGTCTAATTTCCGCAAAGTCGATACAGGCACTTTAGCAACCAGCAGAATGTTGATCTGGTAGCACACAACGGCTTTGTTAGCTTATGAGCTCAGTAGTTGGGAGGATATCTTCCCGCCACGCAGTCCAGTAAGTGGCATCTGGCTTGGTCCAATCAGTGAAACATTCTGGAAGGATTCTGCAGTACTCTCTCAACCACCTGCAAGGATTGATTGTTGCCCAGGGGCAGCCCTCATTCCATGGTCGAATCGCACATAGAGGAGAGGTTTTGCCTCCTCTCTTCTGGTACATAATGACCACTTTCGAGAGTCTAATCGATCTGCTGATGATCGCGTGGGGTGCAGAAGCGAGCCACCTGCTTCTTAACTGCGACCGGAAAATCCTTCCCTTACACAAGCTCCGGCTCCGGCGCATTTCTCTTAATCAACAATTACAGCGCAAGATACAGCACCGCGCGTAATATTAGCCATTTCGCATTCAGTTTGCATAACTCATGTTGATTTCCTCTGTCTACGAAGCAACCATCCTACTGTAGCCAAATTCTATTTGCCAAAAACTACCCTCGGTGATAGGAATACATAAGTGAGCGACTATAAAGAGTATCTACCAGCGAGTTGAACCAGCGACCAGAGCGCTGTAGTTCATGTGACCAAGAACGTGGCCATCAGCATTCACCATTCATTCCTTCTAATCTCAAGCGCTGTTGATTTCTTGGCTTCTGGGCCCATTGCACAAACCACTCCGCAGTCTTTCCATGTCACCAATCATCATTAAGTACTCAATCTGGCAGGAGAATATTCATTCGATGGAATTTCCGTTCCGCAAAGTCGTCTGCTAAATCGTCCAGGTCCAAAAGGTCGTTGCCCTGCGCGAATTCTTTGAAGAGTTCCTTGCAGATGAATTTGTTGGCAAGCTGAAAATGCACCTTCTATTCCAACCATTGCTACACTGGCACAGATAGAGACGGATGAGATATTTTGGCCCGCACGGGGCACCTGCGGTCTGAACACTGGCGATGTAGACCTCGTTGACGGAGGGCTACGGCGCCGTGAGGGCTGCAGGCGGGCCCGTGGCACTCCGTATATTCTAGGAGGAAAATAGCTATGCGGGAGCATACGTGGTATATACATGAGGGGGGTTCCGCGGTGGGCGGGAAGAAGCCGTCGCGGAGAGAGCCCGGCTCTCCCTCGAAACGGCGATGTTCTTTTCGAGGGAGGGGCAGGCCAGGCGATATTTGTGTGAGATGTCCAGCACGGAATATCGTGGGCCCGACGCACGGGGCTCTCATGCAACAGTCCCGAATAGAACATATCATCGATCTATTCTACCCGCACGGATCAATGCAGTGTCCAAACGGTCGACATGATTTGTGGACATTATGACAATCCGACCCTCACTAGCGAAAATACCACCGAGGCAATTCAGTAAGGAAGCCATCGACTTGCTGATTTGCTCTGCTTTTGTATTTTGTGTCGATGCGCTTGAACACAATCGCTATCGCCCCTGCGGGCTTCGTCTTCATAATTTTCACATAGCGCATGCTTTAAATGTACTAGTCGCGAGTGGAGGTCATCCACCGCCACAGACTACTACTTTCAGAAGGCAGGGAGACCTTTCAGTGCTGAAGCGGTTACCGAAGCGGCTCTCCTGCAAATCGCTTGCTAACTTTCTAACGAGCACGAGCTGCCCTTGCAGAAATTCGCTCACCATCCGTTCGGGTTAGTCAGCCCGGGATAGTTAACTAGTGTTGTGGTGTAAAGGTTTCTCACACCGTGATATGAGGGTGTTGCGAAAAAGCATCATCTTACCTCATGAATGCTTACAAATGCGACGACGATCGCAGGATGGAAAGGCATCGAACTGACGGACTGCATTCAGCACGCCGGGTATTTGCTTTACCCGCGATAGATCAGCTGATTTCATCAATACCTTGCAAGTTTACCGATATTGGGCCTTCGATTGTTCACACGACTGCAGCTATTTGACGTGCAACACAACATCCTGCCTCTGACATCAACTCTTCCTTACCAGCGAACAATGTTAACTACACCAGCAGCATGCTATTCCACAACCCGCAAACATAACGAAAATCTTCCTGTGAGTATGACTTCTCCCATCCATCTAGGTAATCACTCACCATATAACAGAACCGGTGCAACGGGATACATTGGCGGCGACGCCCTGGCAACGCTATTCGCACGACACCCGGAGTTCTCAATACTCGGTTCTCGTGCGCAGCACTGAAAAGGCCGAGCAAGTCAAGGCGCAGTACCCAAACATTCGAATTGTCCTGGGAGACCTTGACGACTCCCCTCTGCTCCAGCAGGAGAGCGCGGCCGCCGACATCGTCCTGCGTAAGTGGACACCGTCCCCTCACGATCACTATGATTGCTATCCCTCCGGTATCTAACACTGATGGCAACAGACGCGGCTGATGCCTCTGACCGCGTTGGTGCTGCAAAGGCCATCATCGCTGGCTTGGTCGCTGGCCACTCTGAAGAAAAGCCGGGCTAGTGGCTTCACACGGGCGGAACAGGCATTCTCACCTACGAGGATAGCGACAAGAACGAGTTCGGCAATAAGAGTGACCATGTCTATAATAACTGGGACAAGGTTGATGAACTGCTTAATCTTCCGAACCATGCATTCCACTGCAATGTGGACCAGTTGGTGCTAGGGGCCGGGGCCAAGCACTCCAGTGTTCTCAAAACTGCCCTTGTCTGTCCGCCAACCAATTACGGTACTAAACCCTTCTCATACTCCACTAAGCATCATCCACTAACATCCCAATCAGACTGAGGGCGTGGTCCAGTCTCGCAACGCGGCCGCCAAGCCTACGAACTCGAAAAGCAACAATCCAACTAGAGAAAGGGCCCATCATAGGAGCCGGCCAATCCATCTGGAACCACATTCACGTCCACGAACTCAGCGACGTCTACGCACTCCTCGCGGACGCCGCAATCGCAGGCCGCAACGACCCAGGACTCTGGGGCGCAGATGCCTACTACCTTACCGAGAATGGCGAACGTCTGGGGAGAACTGTCCAAGTCAACGGCGGAAGCTGCTGCGAAGCTGGGTTGCATTCCTGAAGCCCGGACTGAGCAGATTGATCTAGATACTGCCAAAGCCTATGCTGGATTTGAGGGGCTGAGGTGGGGCACGAACTCTCGTGGACATGACTTGCGTGCGCGTGAGGTCTTGGGGTGGAACCCTTCGAGACCTAGTCTCTTTGAAGAGATTCCCGAAACTGTTCGGAGTGAGTGGGAGCGTTTGCAGAAATAGAAAATAGATTCGAGGGTGGTATAAGGTAAACAATATCTAATATGGTACCTATATGCGATTAGGGATGTCTTTGTAATGCAACTTTCAGCCGTGTCGGCTGAAATCTTGGGCTTCTCAACACAGCTTTCGTTTCATGATATGGATCTGCTCCGATCCTAAGTATGCTACTAGAAAAGAATAAAGAAATTGTTAAATTTCAGGCAATTTCAAGACGACATTCACTAAACCTTCAGTTTTCGCATCATACGCCACGTCATCCTAGATGGGTTCCCAAAGGTTACTTGCGAGTTTACCGGAGACCGATCTTATGCCCCATGACCGTTGCCGGGTCGGAGATCCCACGACGGCGGTCGGGGTTTCCGATAAAACCAATATATTTCAACACATCCAACAGCCTTCTTAGAAAATACGGGATAGACAAAAAAACACTCTCCGTAGGTCCGCGGGCGCATTTGTATAGTCCGTATCCGATCGGACACGACAACTCACACCCCGACTGTCAGCACAGACAAGTCGATCGGGAGATCAAATCAACAGCAGGTCTTAGGACTACCAACTATGGCACTAAGCCCAAATTTTCGCCCTTTGACGCGGCTTTCTAGGATCTCGCATTCGGACTAGGGACAACGCGGACAGCCGATGCGAGACTAAGTCCTGGGATCGCAGTAAAGTTGCGCCGATCGCCGCCCTGATTGGCTCTCGGGATCGAATTAGCCCGACTCTTGGCGATGGGCTTGCATGCCTGAGCCGCTTCACCTCCAACTGCGTAACGGTGAAGCTTTCAGGATCGCGAGGTGGGGGCAGAATATCAGTGGATTTGCAGGATCACGACGGTGCAACTTTTGGCCTTGTTACGAGGTGTGGACATGGTCTGGCCTTCTTGACGTAGACTCCTGAGTCCTGATTTAAGAGCTGGGCGTGTCTATATAATGGATGACTGCGAGTATCGCATAGGAAAAAAAATAAAATAAAATCAACACTGTCAAGGAGTTTTTGAAGATTGCACCGACTTTGCAAAACTACTCGTCGGCGTTTGTTTAGTTTGCCTGCGATTGTCTGCTGGTACATCCAGTACTTCATTTGCCCCCCACACATCTTCTCTGCCTTTATACACCTTTTCTGAGACAGGGAAAACCTCACTCCGCTCAATCGAACACAATAATTGGTCGTGGTTGAATATCTTTCCTCAGCATGGCTTCCGAACCCACCACCATCGAGTCTGACAAACAAGAATCGCCTGCTTCCCCTGGAATCCTTGCAGCAGACGAAACCACCTTGAAGGATGAGACTCTTGATAGTGGGTTCGTCCTCGAGCGAAAGGGTATTTTGGTGATATTCACACTATGTGTGCTCGCGTTGATGGCCGCTCTCGATGGAACCTCCATCTCCGTTGCTCTACCGGTACGCAGTCACATACCTCCGCCTGCTATAGGTCTCTGCTAAAAAGTTGAAGATCATGGCCAAAGATCTTAATGGAACTGCTATCGAAGCATTTTGGACTGGAACCTCATTCCTGCTCTGCTCTACAGGTATGGCCAACCCTTCCTTCACAACGACTGTCTGTCTCAACGATTCCTAGTGTTCCAACCAAGCTTTGCATCCTTCTCCAATATCTTCGGCCGTCGCCCAGCAGTCTTGGCTGCAATCTTGTTCTTCTGTATCGGTGCTATCGTGTCAGCAGTCGCAAAGAACTTCACGCAGATGCTAGTCGGCCGGTCTATTCAGGGCGTCGGTGGTGGCGGTATCATTGCACTCGCGGAAATAGTCATCACGGATCTCGTACCTTTGCGGTATCGTGGACAGTACTTCGGCATCCTTAGCGGGATGTGGAGTATTGGTTCGGTGACTGGACCTATTCTTGGAGGAGGCTTTGCCCAGAATGTCTCGTGGGTGAGTGCAAAATAATCATAGCGCAAGCTTGACCCTCTCCCGAGCGCTTGACTGATCTCTAGCAGCGCTGGGTATTTTACATCAATTTTCCATTCATTGGTATCGGTACAGCTCTTGTCGTTCTATTCCTCACTTTGAGGCTCGCCCCTAGCTCCCTCCTCGAGAAACTACGTCGGATTGACTATACCGGTACCCTCCTCTTCGTCGGCAGTCTATCTTCCTTCTTGATTCCACTCACATGGGGCGGTGTTTCCTATGCCTGGGACTCATGGCACACTCTCGTCCCTCTACTCATTGGAGTCGCAGGACTAGCTGCATTCACCTTTTACGAATACCGCTACGCCAAAGAGCCCATCATTCCTCCGGCTATTTTTGTGAACCGCACAGCTGTCGTCTCTTTCGTTGGGAGTGTCCTCCAAGGTCTTGTTCTATGGTGTGCACTCTACTACCTACCTCTCTACTACGAAGCCGTGAAGGAGTACAAGCCTGTCATCGCCGGAGTGGCACTATTCCCCCAGACCTTCACCACTGCCCCTTGTGCCATTGTGGTCGGGATCGTGATCACAAAGACTGGCAAATATCGCTGGGCAATCTGGATGGGCTGGACTATTTCCACCATCGGAATGGGCCTGCTATGCATCATCAAGAGAGATACCAGTATTCCGGGTTGGATCTTCCTTAACCTTGTGAGTGGAGTGGGTCTGGGAGCGCTCTTCCCTTCGCTCGGCTATGCGGTCCAGGCTTCTGCGGATCCAAGCAACCTCTCTATTGCAGTCGCGATGTTCAGTTTCTTCCGTGCCTTGGGTCAGGCTATCGGGGTTGCCGTTGGAGGTGTCGTCTTCCAGAATCAGATGTACCACAACCTGATGAAGTACCCTGCTCTGGCCCCAATGGCTAGTTCATACAGCAAGGATGCTGCAGGTCTTGTACAGGTAATCCAGGCCATGCCAGCTGGTGCTGACAAGATTGATCTCAAGGATGCGTACACTGACAGCCTGCGCATTGTGTGGGCTGTTTGTTGCGCTATCTCTGGCGTTGCATTGCTACTCAGCCTGTTCACCCAAGAGTATGACCTTGATCGAGCTCTTGAAACGGAGCAGGGCCTCGACGAAAAGAAAAAGGAGAGCGATTTGGAACATAATGCGGAAAGCTCAACTGATTAAATATGCACCCATGGCTGGGAAGGTACCACGTTGTATATCAGGGCACCTTCCCTACACTATTCATGACTGATGGCAACTGGGCTTTCAATTGAATGTACAATACAAGACATAGATAAATAAACTAATGGCAATCCCCTACTCCTCATCAATCACAATGTACTCGTTTCTTTCCCGACTTCCACTCCTCCGTCTCGGAGACAACGAAGTATGAGTATGTTCGCTCCCATCCGAAAACCCAACACCCCGAATGAGCGTCTTGATTCCCTCCCCTCTTTTTGCCGTCTCCCAAGCTTCAACGGCATTCTCAAACGGCACCACCTTCGTAATGAATGGCTTAAGCCCGATCTTCTTCGTCAGCGCAAATTCCAAGGCCATTTTATAGTCCCCAGGTCCGTATCGAAAACACCCCTTGACGTTTATCTCGTTCTCCGAGACAGTCGAGATCGGAAAACTAACATTTCTCTTCCCAAGACCCGTCTGCACGAACGACCCTCCAACCCTGAGTGAATGGATTGCAACCTGAATGCAAGACTCCGCACCTGTCGATTCGATTGCAACATCAAATCCAAGCACATCGTCCATAAAGAGCGAACTGCGATGCATCCCGCGGAGACACTGCGCATTTTCCTCTGCCGAGAGCGACGGGTTGGGAATAGCAGTTGAGAAATTGACCCGTCCGTTGGGTACAATTGAATGCGCAAAGTCCAGCTTATCACGACTCAAATCCACAGATATGATCATACTGGCCCCGTACTCCCTTGCCACAGCTGCACAGAGTAGTCCCACCGTCCCCGCGCCGAAAACAACAACCTTTTCTCCAGGCTGAATCCTGACTTGTCGAACAGAATGTACAGCAACAGCGAGCGGCTCAATGAGCACCGCCTCATCTAGCCTTAGAGGTGTGGGCGTGTTCGTGGGGATCTTGTAGCAGCAGTCCGCTGGCAACTTGTAATACTTCGACAAAGCGCCATGGGTATGTGGTGGACTTCCCGCGAACTTCATCTTCGGGCAAAGGTTATATTTGCCAACTTTACAGCTACTGCAAAGACGACATGGGTAACCAGGCTCGATGGCAACTGGATCACCTGGTTGGAGGTCCATGACTGCAGGGCCGACAGCGTACACGATACCCGAAGCTTCATGGCCCAAAGCCAGGGGTCGCTCGAGCGAGACGAATTTCCCAACACCACCATGCGTCCAGAAATGGACCTGGAAATACGTTAGTAGCTCTTATCTTGGAAAGATATAAGCAGCTAGGGATGCATACGTCACTTTCACAAACACCCACGTAGGCGATGCGAATGATCACATCAAGGGGGTCTTCGATGGCTGGGAGTGGGAGGTCTTCGAAACGGGCGTCTCCCGGTCCATAGAGCAGACATGATGGATTCTGCATGTTGACCGTTTGATCAGCGCGATGTGCAGGTCGCAGGTATCCGTATCGTACGAGGCTAATCAGGTCGTTTTTTGGCTCTTATACTCCTCAACCCGGCAAGACTGACGACCTCCTTGTAGACGAGAAGTCATGTGAGCGATCGATGCACCCTCCTGAACAAATAGTACTTTATTTCAAGCAACGCCCAAGTGATTGACGGAGGACAGCAATCCGAGTGAGTGCGCGAAGGAGGAAGTCTGGGGGCGGGGGCGGCCCCACGGAGGTTTACCGCGAACAAAGAGACATCCGAGCAGGCCCTGCGAGTTAAGAGTTCCGTGGAGGTGCTGTGGGATATCAATATGTACGGCAACCATTCTAGTGCTTTTACTAGTTAAGGGAATACTTGATTAAATAGCTCGATTGAGATACCAGGCTGATTAGGTCTGGCAGAATAACAACAGGGCGAACTTTCCCAACGCCTTTGTGCGCATCAAAAATTAGCAGGAAACAAAAACAAACCCCGAACAGGAGGTCATCAAGTCATTAAGGTGGACATGAAATGGCATAAATCCCAGTTAGAAATCACTCACGGCCCATCATCCGCAGCCGCTCCCTGAGTACCTCCATCTCCTTGTCATGATTCATCGCACCGCTCATCCCACCTCTCTTCTCCAGTCTCTCTCTGTCGCTGCCACCAGCACCACTACCGATCGGATCCTTGAGCATCACCGATCGATACTCTCCATCACCATCGGGCGCGCCAACAGTCACCCACACGAACTTGGTTCCATGGCCTCCGGTTGGTGAGCGCTCCTGGGTGCCTTGCCAGAACATCTCCGGCGCCACGGAGTCTTCTCCGGCGGGAGTTCGATTGGAGGACGGACGGCCACCGAGACGCCCGTACTTGATCCAGCCCTTCAGAACTTCCTGGATGAAACTGATTTTCTGCAAAAACGAGTTGGCGTCCAGGATTTCCCGGATGCGGTCTTCGACCGAGTTGCTAGAGTTGCCATTCGCAATGCTGATGAAAGCCGCGGCCTCGTCGGAAGCAACAGCACGAGTATCGAAGCCAGAGGGGTGCATTTTGCCCTTGGCTGTAAAATACCGAGCAGCCGAGGGCGAAAGGTGGTAAAAATCAATCCAGAGGGACGAGCTGCGAGTGCGACCAGGCGAAATGACGAGTTTGGTGTGATCAGGGAAGTTGAACTGGAAGGCACCGTCTCCGAATCCCCAGATGCCCACATTGCCCAGTCGCTGGTAGAATTTGATGAACTGCCCGCTCGTCTGTCGTGATGCTGGCCCGTCGGCAAGACCTTCGTCGCCATGGCGACCCAGTGATCCGATCATATACTTGCCAAACTGGTCAACAAGCTTGACGCGCTTGATCTTCTCGGCATCACACCGATCCGCCTCAGTTCCCGAGTTGACCCGAATCTTCATGACCTTCGAGTTTCCAGAGTCGAACAAAGTCGGCGAGACCATCGCCCGTCGAATTCCGCGACAGCCAAGAAGATCGTCATCTTTGTTCTCGTAGAACTCGACCGCGTTGCCGTGGCGCGGCACAAGCTGCTCGGCCTCGGAATACGGGATGCCCTTGCCCTCGTCGCTGTCGACACTGCGCGCCTTGCGCCGAATGTGTCTCTCGCCATCTCGGACGACAACACTGGTGGCGGGCTGTCCGTTTTCTCCCTTGAACACACACCCCACACTGCCGTCGTCCAACACATAGCCGATTCCATAGCGGTTGGTGTAGTCAACCCACTTGATGACATAGGCATGTGGCTGTTTTCGGGGGCCACCACGACGCCGGGCTGGTGCATGGTTGATGAGGTTCGACAGCATCAGACGCAAGTCAGTGTTCACGTCCGTCAGCGAAGTGCCAGGCAGAAGATCACACAGATCATCCTGGTGGAACAAGGGGCTGAGTCCCAGGCTGGAACGAGCCTTGGTACCAGCTGAGTTCTTGCTGTTGGACCGGCTGATACCAGTCGACTGAGAGGCAGGTTGGGCTTGCTGGGACAGCTGAGCCGGCATTAGAGGTCGGTCGCTCATTGTAGATTTTGGTCGCTCCGATCGTTCCGCCAGCAACTTCAAGTCAGGGCGTGATGTGGATCGAAGAGTCGTCTGCCGACTCATGGGCCGCCGCTCTTCCGGGGGTGCTGCCAGCTTCTGCTCTGTCGTCGGTGCTGCAGGATAATTGGCTGCTTCCATCATGCGGGATTGGGATCTTGTCTTGCCAATAGTCAAGCCAGATGGCATGCTAGTCGACTTCGACAATTGAGGTGCTGCTGCGGTCCTTTCTGTTCCACGAAGAGTCGGGGCGTTCGATGACGAAGCCATCCGTCGAGTGCGAATAGGACGCTCTGCAAGCCCACCAGCTGGCTGTTCCGCGCTGGCTAACGGTGCATATTCTGGCTCCTGAACTTCACGGTGGGACCGCGAGGGAGGTTCAGGGACATCATCCATGACCGGGGCGTTTCGGAGAGTCCGCGTGCCAGATCGTGCCGCCTGTCGAAGAGTTGCTGCGTGGTTCTGGCCTTCCATTCTCCGCTGATGCGCAGCAGCAAGGGCAGCATTGGTTCTGGAACTGGCCATTGTACTGTTGGTCCGAGCAGAGGAAACACTGCGTTGGGACAGTGTGCTTTGTTCAAAAGAGGAAGTGTCGGTCCGGATAGTCTTCCGCGAGTTCTCCATGAGACACCAGTCTCCTTCCATATTATGTGGCCATCTATACACAAAGTCCATCGGCAAAGGAACCACTGGGCGGAGACCTCGAGCATCTTCTGTTTCACACTCGGAATACGCCGATTTCGAGCAGTTGCGGCCGACAGACTTGCGCGGTGTTCCATCGGGCTTCTTGCCAACGCCACAAAGGGAGTAGAAAGCAGCCTTACAAGAATGGTACCGCTGGCTGGGATCATCGACCTGAAATACGTACGACCGCAGCTTCTCATCCGAGTCCAGGCCGTATCCACTCATCATAGAGTCGCCTCGCGGTGACTCGTCTTTAAGCCAAATTGGCTTGTTGAATCGACAGGCTGGATCCAATTGACGGGGAATACAACCATCGTACATATTGAAAAACGGGTGCTCGACAATATCGTCGGGGTCGGGTCGTTCCTCATCCACCAGGTTCAAGCAAGCGCTTACCAAATCTTTCGCCTCCTCAGGAATGAAGTTGGAATGGTCTGAGTCCTTAGGCCAGACGTATGTCAGCGTTCGGACCTTCTTGTAGATTTCCTCTTGTGTCTTCGATTGAAAAGGTGGATATCCAGTCAACATGGCAAAGAAAATGACGCCCAACGACCAAATGTCAACCTTCTGGGTGTGCCCACCCTTGCTCTTGTCGAGAATCTCGGGTGCGATATAGTTTGGTGTTCCGCAGAGTGTGTTCCGACGCTTCGCATCTTTGTCCGACAATATCATAGCCGCAAGTCCAAAGTCTCCGACTTTGATGTTCATGTTATGGTCGAGAAACAGGTTACCCATCTTCAAGTCACGATGCGCCACAAATCGCTTATGTAGATACTTGACTGCGGCACAAAGCTGAATCATAAATCGGCGGACCTCTGGTAGAGTAAGGGAGCGTCGTTTCTTGACCATATCCATAACTGATCCGTTGGGACATAGTTCGAGAACAACATATGTGCTTTTCTCGAACGCGAAGGCGCGGTAGAATTGGACGATGAACGGGTGGCGCATTTTGGAGTGAATTTGGAGTTCCGTTCGGAACTCAAAGAGTGTCAGTGTATGACTTCGGCCATGCCCTGGAGGATCCGTGGCACTCACCTTTTCTTCCATCTTTTTCTGGGGCATCTGTGACTTCACTACCTTCATGGCGAACACCTTGCCATTTCGCGCCAGCGTACCTTCGTAGCAAACTGCAAATCCTCCTTTTCCCAAGAACGCACCAATCGAGTACCGCTCTCCGCCATCTTCAGGTTCTGGGACGAATGCCGGCGGCGGGTCTGCATGATTCTTGGAAGACGATGATTTCTGCACGGGTCCAGCCGCAGCATTTCGGTCGGTCATTTTGCGCTCTGTAACAGGCTTCGGCCGAATCATCTGGTTCGTCGAGCGCGGTGAAAGGGCCTCCATTATGTCCGTCAACTCGGGATTGTCAACGTCACGGCGCCGATATTATGGTCGTCGCAACGTCTCGAGTGCGATCAAAATTTTCTTAGAAACGGATATCAGGCGTAAAGATCATGGAAAGAATCAAGGTATTAGGCGATGGTGCAAAGGGGGTATCGAGTTGCTGCAAGATTGGTATCCCTGCAACAATCCGTTAGCACTGATGAGCAGCTAGCTCCACCCGGTCGGCAACCCGAGCCTGCGCAATTGGGGCCGAGGGGGTAGACGGGAGGTGAATGGAAGCGTACCAGAATGCAAAGCGCTAAAAAAAAAAAAAAAAACTGTACAAAGCTGCTGCGAAGCCAGACAGCGCAAACACGGTCGGGAGTTGGGGGTGGGGAGTGAAGCCAAAGTGAAGAACTCGGGCCATAATAGTTTTCCCGATTGGGGAATCGATAAACAGTGGTTGCTGAGGTCAGCGTCACGTGCCATCTTTCGAGACAGAATCTGCATCTCCGGATGCATTGAGGGGATTTCTTTGTTGAATGGGATGGTTTCTATTTGATCAGATCTCGCTATACGACTTCCCCTTCTTGAAGCCTGATAGACGATATAGTTATGGTTGGGCGACTCCGGAATATATTTTGATGAACATTCTCGGACGTCGTGGTTTACGGCTACACACCGAAATTCAAGAGATCCAGTCAACTTCAGGATACTCAAACGAACTTCAAAGAAAACACTTACGAGAGTCCTCAATTAGATCGACGGAAACACAGAGTACACAATCTTTTTCTTCTCCATAAAAATGTCCTAGGTATAAACAAATAGCGTGGAGTAATCGCCAACCCATGCTGTTGGCTGCGTCCTCAGGAGTGGGGCGTCCAGAGCCGTTGGCAGAGTTACCCACATAAAAGCAGAAGTATTTATCGTTATTGTTTTGATAGCACTTGAACTTTCTCTAGCCACCTGATAACCAAAGCTGTCATCACTCTTGATTTGAAATCCTGGTCGATAGTCAATGATTAGAATGTCAACTTTCTTAGGCGGTAGCAATTCGCGGAAATGGGTCCCCTGCCCATTTAAGCCTTGCACGGGAGTACAGTGTTCTACGGGCAACGCAGGCATCAATCGTGACCACTGCTCTTGGGCTATAACACCGAAATGGCTTAAGGTGAATACTATAGTATTCCAATTTAGGCTTGCGAAAGCTGAGTCGGAAAGGAAAGAAAATACTCCCATCCAATCTGGAAGCTTCGGGAGCTGCTGACTCAGTCGTGCCTGGTGGGTCAACGTCACTGCCCGTGAGTCAAGTCCTAAGAATTCTGCACTTCACCTTCGCCATGTCGCTCACCCTCAAAATCTCCTCCTTGGTGATTCGTACCCTATCTAAGCCGATCGCCGTCAGTCCGACATACCTCTAGCGAGAGCACCAAAACCCCGCCAAGCTGACGAACCAACAGAATCAAATCAAAGCTCAAGCCCGCGAACATGAGCGTTTCCGCAACGTCTGCGTCTCAATGGCGCAAGCCCTTCACCGATTCGATATGCGCCTCCGGCTAGGCTCCATCCGCGACACTACTGCGTCCCGGAAACAGGCTGCCGCCGAAGCTGAAGCCAAGCGGCACGTTCCCAAGAAGCCCACGGTCAAAACGGAGGCCGCGACAAAAGCCGAGCAAGAAGCATTGGATAAAGCCAAGGCTGCCGCGGAGGAGGCTGCGAAACCACAACATTATAGAATTCGACCCCTGTCCGAGTCCAAAGCTATCGAGTCTGGTGCCAACTTCATTAGTGAGACCTTCCTCTTCCTCGTGGCTGGCGGATTGATTGTGTTTGAATCCTGGCGATCGCGCCAGAAGGAAAGCACCCGCCGAGAAGGCGTCGAAGACCGGCTCGTCGCATTGGAGAAGAAGCTCTCGCTCTACGAGGAGAAGCATGGAAAGCTGGATGTTGAGCAAGAGGAACAAAAGCCCCGAGCCGAAGAGAGCCTATGGACAAGGCTCACCTCTTATATCTCCTTTGGACAGGAGCCTTCACTCTCTCAGCAAAACACGGCAGCAGCAATGGGGAGTCCAAAGGAGTCACCGCAGACAAATGACTCGAAAACTGGTGTGCCAAAGCCCGCAGAACAACCGACTCCAACCCCGGCTCCCCAACAAGAATCTTCGACTCAGAAGTCTTGAAAGAGACCACCTACTACTGTGTCTGCCATATATTCATATAGCGTTGTGCATTTTGAGCCAGTCTTTGCTTGCGCGGTGTGGAAGAACCGTGATTTGTGTTGATACCCTCCCCTCATCTTCTGGGACATTACATATGCCATATAGACATTTTTGTATAGAATAGAACCTCTCCACCTGGTTGACTTTGCTCCCCAACATCATTGTTTCCTCGCAAAATTTGAATCAGATCCTTGACAAACTAGAAATCAATTGAATGCGACCGACGGATGCAAACGCTCAGACAGATCCAGTGATCTACCAAAAGCTACAAGACAATCGGCAAGAGTTTATTTCAAGACTCCTCCGTTGGATATACTGACTTGAACCAATCGACTTATCATCGGGGTTCAGCCGTTCCAAGGTTGTCGTTGGTCTCTCAACGAAGAACAAGGCGTTGGTTTCGGGCAGCCTGAGTGGCTTGGAACGATGTTACCCTGTGGAGTGCGAGCCTTTTGCAGCTTGATGTGATAGGCTTGTCGTTCGGAGTTCGGAGTCACGACGCGATCAAGGCCACCATCAAGCACGAGTCAATTAAAAGCCCAGCCCGACCGTCAAGACCCGGTGATGCCATGATCGATATCTAAATCAAGTTCAACATGCGGCTCCTATTCTCCGCCGCGCTGCTGAGTCTCACTGTCGCAGCCCAACAACAAGTCCTTAGCTCTGAGTACGCCAATACCGACTCGACCGACTTCCGCGTTTTTCGGAGTAGTCATTCACCGGACCACTCGATTCGCATTCGCCAGCAAGATAATTCAATTTGTGTCGCCGGTACCGAGCAATATACCGGGTGGCTGGACGTCGGCCCTCACCATCTGTTTTTCTGGTACTTTGAGAGCCAGAATGACCCCGCAACTGATCCATTGACATTATGGATGACGGGGGGACCAGGTGACTCAAGTATGATCGGGCTATTCACGGAGGTCGGTCCTTGCCTCGTCAACAAACATGGAAACGGCACTGTTCATAACCCCTGGGGATGGACGAGGAACTCTTCGATGCTCTTCGTCGATCAGCCAGCCTCCGTTGGCTTTTCGTATCTAGATGAAGGCTACGACGTCCCCCATGATTCGAAGCAATCCGCTGTGGATATGCACCGATTTCTGCAGATCTTCGTGTCTGAGGTTTTTCCAGATAGATTGAACAATACCGTCCATCTCTCGGGAGAATCCTATGCAGTAGGTATTTTCAACCAATTAGAACTGCTGCGCTGACTTCTTATCTTGCAGGGGAAATACATTCCATATCTTGGTGCCGAAATCGTCCAGCAGAATAAACTGTACCCCTCCAAGCCCCAGGTCCAGCTCCGGTCCTGCTTGGTGGGAAATGGCTTTATGTCGCCCAGAGATTCATGGTTCGGGTACTGGGAAACGCTGTGCACGACCAATCCTGGAGTGCCCGAACCAGTATTCAACAAGACAAGGTGTGATATCATGGCAGCGAATATGCCCCGCTGCCAGGAGCTATTGGATGTTTGCGCTCGACACCCCGATGCTGCTGTGTGTGGTGCAGCCTCATCCATTTGCTACGAAGGCGTAGTCAGCTGGTATGACGATGAGTCTTACGCAGGCGGGCGGAATCGATTCGATAGTAGGTCTGATATGCGCGAGCATGTCCATTCGAGATTATTAACAAAATGCAGTCACCGCCCCGTGCTTGATTGACGAAATTTGCTACGAGCAAGTTGGACACATGGAAAATTATCTGAATTCACCAGCCGTATGGAAAGCCCTCTCACCACCCAAAGCGATCAAGAAGTATAGCTTCGAGTCCGACGCGATCAGCAAGGCCTTTGATGCCACCTCTGATACTATGACGCCCGCCTCAGACATGGTCGCCTTTTTACTGAAAAACCAGGTGCACTATCTGGCTTACCAGGGTAACCTGGATCTTGCCTGCAACACTGCCGGGACTCTGAGGTGGGCCAATTCGCTATCATGGAAAGGACAGTCTGAGTTCTCGTCCAAGGCTTTACAGCCGTGGACTTCTATTATTGATGGGAAGAATGAAACGGTTGGCAAGACAAAAGAGGTTGAGATCTTTGTTCACGATGGGGCAGAAATTCCATCCCGGTTTGCTGTTGTGACTGTGGATGGATCAGGCCATCTTGTGAGTTGAATGTCTAGCAAGTCATCAGACTTCTGAGAGGTGGCAGTCAATACTAATCCAATTTATAGCTGCCGCAAGATCGCCCTGACGTGGCACTCGATTTAATGGTCCGTTGGATCACGGGACAAAGCTACAACTGATAGAATAATTCTCATGCCGTCAACTGTTGGGGACTATCTCGGGCCCATCTAGACCGGCTTTGTAAATTTGGCACTTTGTGGGGGGAATCACCCTTCTAGAAGGATGTCAGGAGCTTCGGTAGTGCGAACAGTGGAGGCCAGGGTAGACCGAGAGCAACGTATCATTATGTGATTTGGCGCCTAACAGATCCGCTTGCTTTTTCCGAGAAGCTGGAAAGAATAGGGTACATTAGGGATTACTGCAGCCACAATCTGGAGTAGATGACTATGCGTCTGATGATGTAGGTGACTGAATAAATGACCAGGTAGATAGATTATCGGATGGCAAATAAGGCGGGCGGGGGATCAGGCAGATATGCTACAATAGAATATAGTCCACACTGGCCCCGGCGCTTACGAACGTCTTTATGCCCAATGACGTCGATGCTGCTATTCTTGACGCGCACGCGCCACAGAGGGTCTGTGGCTGGTGCAAGTACATTGGAGTGGGAGGGATGTGCCCAATTTACTGGGCGACTGGGTCAAGTGGCGAGTACAGTGTAAGTGGTACCCAATGATCTGAATTTGCCTATTCTCTGATTTGATCGTCCAGTATTGCAGACTCGAAGGTCACCAGTAAATGTCGGAGAACCCCTGAGGCAGCAGCGGAGACCCTGCGTGGCGCAGTCTGTTTGATTTAGTTTGTTCGGGCAGTACGTAAGTCCGCAAGCCGCAGGCCTTCCGCTTCCCGACACTCTGGTCAATCGTGATCTCTCCTTCAATTCCTCCTTGAGTTTCCATATCCTGGGCTTGTGTCATTCCCGGGTGAACTGGCAACAACATGGTTAGTCGTTTACCCCCTATAGCCGCAAACTCAAGCCACTCCCTCCACAGCGCGACATCCGCTAACCCCGCGCTCTATCTAGGGTCACTCACGCCGCCCCGTAGGCGGGGAAAAGAAGAGCCGCTTTGGTCGCTCCAAAGCGGTCGCCGACGTCGGTGATGGTCGCCAGACCGGTAAGCCGCAGGTCAAGAAGGCCGCCTTCGAGACCTCCAAGAAGAAGGAGATCGGTGTGTCCGACTTGACGCTGCTGAGCAAGATCTCTAACGAGGCGATCAACGATAACCTGAAACTGCGATTTGAGCATGGCGAGATCTATGTAAGGCAGACCAACATACGCGGGCCTCGGGGTGCGCTGCAAGCATGCAAGGCTGTGCGCACGGCAGGATTTGGGCTAACATGTCATACCAGACCTATATCGGACATGTGTTGGTGTCCGTCAATCCATTCCAAGACCGTAAGTCGACACCGAACGATGTTTGTAGTGCGATAAGATGGCTGACCCCATATGCGACGTCTCTAGTTGGCATCTATACCGACAAGGTGCTCGATTCTTACCGCGGCAAGAACCGTCTCGAAGTCCCTCCCCACGTATTCGGAGTCGCCGAGTCGGCATATTACAACATGAAATCCTACAAGGACAACCAGTGTGTCATTATCTCTGGCGAGTCCGGTGCCGGTAAGACGGAGGCTGCGAAGCGCATTATGCAATATATTGCCAGTGTCTCCGGTGGCACCGATTCATCCATCCAGCAGACCAAGGACATGGTACTAGCCACAAACCCTCTCCTGGAATCCTTTGGTAATGCGAAAACACTGCGCAACAACAACTCTTCGCGATTCGGAAAATACCTCGAGCTCGAGTTCAACGCCAACGGCGAACCCGTCGGTGCCAACATTACAAACTACCTGTTGGAGAAGTCGCGAGTCGTGGGTCAGATTACGAATGAGCGAAACTTCCATATCTTCTATCAGTTCACCAAGGGCGCCCCGCAAAAGTATCGGGATAGCTTCGGTGTTCAACAGCCGCAGTCCTACCTCTACACCAGCCGCTCGAAGTGTTACGATGTGCCCGGAGTCGATGACGTGGCGGACTTCAAGGAGACATTGGATGCGATGAGCGTGATTGGTATGTCTGAGCCGGAGCAGGATAACGTCTTCCGCATGTTGGCGGCCATTCTCTGGATTGGCAACATTCAGTTTGCAGAGGACGACTCAGGCAATGCGGCGATCACAGATCAGTCGACTGTCGACTTTGTTGCGTACCTGCTGGAAGTCGATGCGGCTCAGGTGAACAAGGCGTTGACGATCCGTCTGATGGAGACTGCCCGCGGAGGCCGCAGAGGCTCCGTTTACGAGGTGCCGCTAAACAAGGTCCAAGCCTCGGCGGTGCGGGATGCCCTTTCCAAGGCCATCTACTTCAACCTCTTCGACTGGATCGTAGAGCGTGTGAACCAGTCCCTGACTGCCCGGAGTGCGATCAGTAACTCGATCGGTATTCTGGACATTTATGGATTCGAGATTTTTGAAAAGAACTCGTTCGAGCAGCTGTGCATCAACTACGTGAATGAGAAGCTACAGCAGATCTTCATTCAGTTGACTCTGAAGGCAGAACAGGACGAATATGCCCGCGAGCAGATCAAATGGACCCCGATCAAGTATTTCGACAACAAGGTTGTGTGCTCCTTGATCGAAGACAAGCGACCTCCTGGTGTGTTTGCTGCCCTGAACGATGCTTGCGCGACCGCGCACGCCGACTCCGGTGCCGCTGACAACACCTTCGTTGGACGTTTGAACTTCCTCGCCCAGAACCCCAACTTCGAGGGCCGCCAAGGCCAGTTTATCGTCAAGCACTACGCTGGTGACGTGAGCTACGCGGTCGAGGGTATGACCGATAAAAACAAGGATCAACTGTTGAAGGACTTGCTGAACCTGGCTGGGTCCAGCAGCAACCAGTTTGTCCACACACTCTTCCCCAACCAGGTCAACCAGGATGACAAGCGTCGCCCGCCTACGGCCAGTGATAAGATTAAGGCCTCTGCAAACGACCTTGTCGCCACGCTGATGAAGGCCCAACCTTCATACATCCGTACCATCAAGCCTAACGACAACAAGGCTCCTAAGGAGTACAATGTTGGCAACGTGCTTCACCAGATCAAGTATCTTGGTCTGCAGGAGAATGTGCGTATCCGCCGTGCTGGTTTCGCATACCGTCAGACGTTCGATAAGTTCGTGGAACGATTCTATCTTCTGTCACCGCAGACATCGTATGCTGGTGACTACACTTGGACTGGGGACGTAGAGTCCGGTGCGAAGCAAATCCTGAAAGATACTCGAATTCCGGCAGAGGAATACCAAATGGGTATCAGCAAGGTCTTCGTCAAGACTCCTGAAACCCTCTTCGCCCTCGAGGCTATGCGTGACCGCTACTGGCACAACATGGCTATCCGTATCCAGCGTGCCTGGCGCAACTACCTCCGGTATCGCATTGAATGTGCCATCCGTATCCAGCGATTCTGGCGCCGTATGACTGGAGGTCTTGAGTTGATCAAGGTGCGTGACCAGGGACACCAGGTCCTGCAAGGTCGTAAGGAACGCCGGAGAATGAGTTTGCTAGGCTCTCGTCGCTTCCTCGGTGACTACCTCGGCGTTGGTAACAAGGGCGGTCCTGGTGAGATGATCCGCAATGGCGCGAACATCAGCAACTCCGAGGACGTTCTCTTTTCGTGCCGTGCCGAGGTATTGGTGTCCAAATTTGGTCGTTCCAGCAAGCCTGCTCCTCGCATCTTAGTTCTGACCAGCCGCCATGTGTACATTGTGGCCCAGAACATTGCCAATAACCAACTTGTGATTGCATCCGAACGCACCGTTCCGATCGGGGCCATCAAGACTGTCAGCACTTCCAACCTGAAGGACGACTGGTTCTCACTCGTCATTGGTGCTCAAGAGCCCGATCCCCTTCTCAACTGTGTCTTCAAGACCGAATTCTTCACCCACCTCTCCAATGCTCTTCGTGGCTCTCTGAACGTGAAGATCGGAGAAAGCATTGAGTACAACAAGAAGCCTGGCAAGCTGGCTACCGTCAAGGCAGTCAAGGACCCGCAGGCTGGAGCCGTCGACAGCTACAAGAGTAGCACGATCCATACCAGTGCCGGTGAGCCTCCCAGCTCTGTGTCCAAGCCTACCCCACGACCGAAGCCGGTCACTGCTAGACCGGTCACCAAGGGCAAGCTGCTGCGTCCTGGTGGTCCTGGTGGTGGCGCTGGCAAGCTTTCGAGCGCTGCCCGCAAAGCTCCACCCCCTGCCCAGCCCCTGCCAGTCTCTCATCAAACCACCGCTGTGTCGCAACCAGCTGCTCAGTCTCGCGTGGTTCCTGTTCCTCAACCTGCTGCGGTTGCTGCTGCGGCTGCCTCCCATACCCGCACCGATTCTACAGGCTCCGTGAAAGCCCCTCCACCCCCTCCTCCTTCTGCACCTCCTGCCTCGAAGAAGCCTACTGCCAAGGTCTTGTATGACTTTAGCAGTGATCGGTCGAACGAGCTGTCCATTCGCGCTGGAGAGATCGTGCAGATCGTCTCTAAGGAAGGAAATGGTTTGTACTCCGATCCTGTTTTTTCTATTCCGTGAATTTACCCCATTCTAACATGATACAGGATGGTGGCTGTGTATGAATACGACGACTTCCGTTCAGGGCTGGACTCCTGAAGCCTATCTGGAGGAGCAAGCGGCTCCCACCCCAAAGCCCGCTCCTCCTCCTCCTCCTCCTCCTGCGGCCCCGCGAGCCACTCCCAGCCCTGTCCCGAATGGCGTCGGAGCCGCAGCCGCCGCAAAGACCAAGCCAGCACCCCCGGCACCCCCGGCCAAGCGGCCGAACATGGCTGGTCGCAAGCCCGCGCCACCTCCTGCTCCTCGCGATAGTGCCGTCAGCATGAACTCGGGCGACTCATCCGGTGCGAGCGGTCGCGGCACGCCGAACAGCGCTTCGAACGCAAGTCTTGCAGGCGGTCTTGCCGAGGCTTTGAGGGCACGCCAGAGTGCGATGCAAGGAAAGCACGACGATGATGATGAGTGGTAGTTTTGTGTGCCGGTTTCGCAGGTGTTGGAATCGTGTTCTGCGCTTAGCGTTGGCCCTTTTTGGTTGTTGGTTCATACTTCTTCCATTCCCTTTTTGTCTTGATCTGTTCTGTTTCAAAACCCCCGGCATTGTGCATTCATTCAGGTTTCGATGATGGATAGTCATTCTTCTGTTTGTGGGTCATGGGCTGGTCGGTTTTGGTTGATACCGTAGAAAGTTGTCGAATATATACCGTCCTCTATACCGTCCTCCGTGTTCATCATAGTTCCGCCACTACTCGTAGTTCCCAGCGATACTTGTAGTAGTGACCTCAATGTACACATCACCCACAAACACATGTAATCGTACCCACATCAAATCGTACCACACGGCCACCTCTCTTCAGTCTTCCGATCGATCGATAGCCAATCGTCTCCACAGCCCCGCCGCAGCTGAGCTCCAAATAAATACCCCGCCACCCAAGCCCACCTCCCTCCAACAACCCTCCCATCAACCAAGCTTCCAAACCTCACAAATCCATCACCCACCATGTCCTACGGCGGCTACAACAACCAGGAATACGGTGGTGGCGGCTCCAGCGGCCAAAACTACTACGACCAGAACGCCGACTTCCGCGATACACGCTACACGGGACCACCCCAATACAACGACGACGACGACTTCGGCAGCGCCGCCCACCACGCCTCGGAGCACCACGGTTCGGAGGACAAGAGCCTCTTCTCCAGTGCTCTGTCCTTCCTCCAGGACCGTAAGAGCGAGTACTCCGACCCCGCGCGGTACGAGGTGGACGAGACGCACGCCGTGAATGCCCACCAGGCCATGTACGGCGGCGGCTCGGACGAGGGCCGCTCGCACGATTCCGGAACCGTCGGTGCGGGTGCCGCCATGCAGGCGCTGAAGATGTTTACTTCTGGTGGCTCCAGTGATGGCGGTATGGATAAGAATAAGCTTATTGGGCTTGCCATGGCGCAGGCTGGTAAGCTGTGGGATGAGAAGCAGGCTAGCGGAGCTAATGTGGTGAGTTACTTGTGCTTGTGTTTGTTTATGTGTGCATGGAATGTTTTCCGTGCATGTCTTGCTTCCTGGGTTGATGCTAACCGGTCTTTGCTCTCTAGTCCGGCGATAAGCAGTCTGCTATCAACTCGGCCGCCGAGATGGCTCTGAAGATGTACATGAAGGGTGGTGGTAGCAGTGGCACTGGGGGTCCTAGTGGACTGATGGGTCTGGCTAGCAAGTTCCTCTCTTAAGGAGGGATCTAATTTCTTTGATGAAAGTAGCTATGCCGATCCGACGATCTAACTCGATCTTATCATGTGATTAAGTATGAATGACTCAATGAGGGAATATCTCCTTGATAATAACAAAGTAGTATCTTCATAATAGGCTTGAAGATGTGGTGTGTCCGATGCCGCATCTTAAACTCAAATGATGGGATGATTCTAAAAACTGACATGGAATGGGTCTTAATGATCGGATACATTGAAGTTACAATTTCTGATAAATCTCCATTCAAGGCTAAGTATGAGTTCGCACATTTGTTTCTCATGGAAGAATTATCCGGCTGCAGCTTAACAGGCTAGCCCGACGTCCTATTAGAACGCCGGCAGAAACCCAATCGGAGGCCCACTTGCCATGTGGCAGAATGCCACGTTCAAGGCAACTGTTCCATTCAAGCTCAAAAGGCTATCCTTACTTGGCAATCTACTACTTAACTGAATATTTATGATCGGAACTCATAGCAGCTCAACATATTCATTCTTCAATATATGCAATACATTCTATGCAAAATACAGATAGCCAACAACACCGAACGAACCCAGGGTATCAAATGCCGCATAAAGGAGAGAAGAATACGAACAAAATAAAAACACATAAAGAAGGTGCGGAAGACACTTAATAAGAACCGTGTTTCAATATCAGAGCACGAACATATCATGCTCCTCATCAGAAAAATTCTTCATAAACCGCAGCTTCCTTTCCCTCTCACTCAGAACACACCGCCCATCAGAATCGAGGTCAGCCTCCGAAGCCCACTCATTAGGCAGATCAACCAGCCCGAATGACCGTCCCCACTCCCGACGCTCATACTGCAAGAAGCCGCCGAAATGCGGATCCGTGTTCGCAACCCATAATGAGCCGCCGTCCGGCGAGAAATCCGCGCCCCCAATCTCGCCAAAGAAGTCGTGCACTTGACGAGATTGGTAGAGCTGCGCGTCGATAATGGAGATACGGTCGGCCGGCTCGGCGCAGAGGAGGGTTCGAGGTCCACCGCCGACAGGTGAGAACCGGAGGGATCGGTACCCTGCGACATCGGAGTCGATCTTTTCGAGGACTTTCCACGTTCGCGCGTCCCAGATTATGACTGTTTTGTCTTGGTTGCTTGTTGCAATATGTCGCATATCGGGTGACCAGGCGCAGGCGAAGCCGAAGTCTTTATGTCCGCGGAGCGGGTGGACGGGTCTTCCGGTGTCGGCTTCAATGACCCATGCATCCGGGGAATCGCCGATGACGACACGGAGACGGTTGTCGGGTGAAGTTGCGGTGCAGTTTATGGGCCGGGAGAGCTTTTGGTCGGAGAGGAAGATATTGGTCTCGCAGTCCAAGGTGCGAAGATGGCGGTCGTTCGAGGCGAAGACGCATATTGGTGATTTGTTGGATCGACTCGGGATGATGTCGACATGGTTTGTGATGCCGTCACTGGGATCGGGTGTCACAAGCCCTTTCGCGCCAGACCCCGAGGCGTCTGCGTTTTGGAGAGCGTATTCGCCACAGAAGCCACCTGCGATCGTGAGGCCATGGGCTGTCTTCATGCTAGAAATCTTGACTGGCCCCAGGAAGCCAGATTCGGGATTCGATCGAGAAAGGTCAATGAGGCAGCGAAGATCATTGAAGGCCGGGGTCCATGAATAAACCTTTGAATGACTGGAGAAATTGACAGTGTTGTAGGTGGGGACAGACATCAGATTTCGGAGCTGGAAGTGTTCGACGGTTGCTTTGTGCGTGGTGTGCATGGACTTTTCTCGAAAGAACAACTCATCCTGCGGCAGATGGTTGAGACTAGGATTGTGTGAGTTGCCTGGGACATTGTGGTATGATGTATACCACGTGTCGCGAAGCGCGCGAGCATCACTGCGTTTCACTTTCAAGGTCTCCGTCCATGGAATTTGCTGAAGATCGTAGATCTCATCTTCATAGTCTCCTGGCCTGTGGATATCCGGCGGGGGAGTCCAGCTCATCAGTTTGGATAGTGGCCGCAGTTGGGGAGGGACCCTGTGTTCGGAGTGGAATCCATTCGGAATTATGTTGATTGAGACCATCCATCGCTGGATGAATTCGTCAATGGTCAGGTTTCTTTCGTGGGTAGTCGTGTGAATGATAGACGCAGGATGTACATCTGGGTCCTCCTCTCCAGGAAAAGGACCCATGGGTGGAGTTCCAGGCGCTTCAGGAAGTCCGACTTCTGCGGCCTCATAGTCGACAGGTTGATAGAATTCTTCGAAGTTGACATCACGCATGGTTGCCTCCGGAGACGATGCCAGATTTTCCTGGCGATAGTATTCCTCCTCGTCGGGATAAAATCGAATGAAGTCCTCGAAGTCATCATCGGGCGTTGTCGAGGGCGACGTATGATCTTCAAATGAAGGATCATAGTCCATCACCATGTCCTTTTCAATGTCGCTCTCGTTCATGATTGTCGCAATATTTGGCCACGATGCAGTGCGCTCGATGAGGTCCTGCACGATGCCTTCCATATCCAGGTCGAAATCACTCTGTGACAGGGGCGAAAGAGCTTCTGATTCCGAAGGCATGCTGTTGGCGTCGAATTGCATTGGTGGGGAAGGGTCACCGTCGGGAGGCGAGTGTATTGTTTCAAGAAGGGGCGAGTGAGGGAATGAGTGCTGGTGAATCGGGATAGAGCTCCCCGTCATCGCATGGACCACCTCCGAGACTAGAAGCGAATGGCTCTGGTCGTTGACAGAATGAGGATATTGGGCGATGGCGGCGAGAGCTGCAACTCCAACATCGTGCAACCTTCGATCATCTTCGGATGCCATTGTGGTATTTGTTGCGAAGGTAGAATATTGTGCGCTCATTATTGAGGCAGCATCCTGGGGAGCAGGCAGCCGATCCCTTTCCCTGGGTGAATGCGGTTCGGACGGTGCGTTGTTCATGACTCGTGGATGAGCGGCGACTGGGGTGGTATCACATGACTCATGGCGAGGTATTCTCCGAGGAAATGCTGGATGACGAGAGAGGTCGGATGACGATATAGATGCGCCGTGGATGTCACCAAGTATTGCCCGTCATAGAATGGGAGAATGCAATCCGCAGGCCGGTCCGGGGAAATGTCGAATGGCGGAGTGGGCAGCAAAGGCGCGCAAGTCGGGGTTATCGACAGACTGTTGCGGAAATGCCAGGCACCGGCGTGTCGACAGCTGATCAGAACCCGAAAGGCACCCGATGCCAGGATGATTGGTAGCGGCGGTTACACGGGTTTTCGAGAGCGCAGCGCGGTCTATTTGGGATGCGGGATCCTGGTTGTTGCAGTTGCCAGGTGACTTTTGTTTCCCCACACCGCGTGGCGCAGGCGCAAGTCTCCAATTTTAGACAGGAAGAATGAATGCGGGCAAAACGGATATGCCGAGGTGCTTTGACGGTTGGGGTCGGCGATAAGATCGCGCGCAGGTAAGGCAACCAGGGGAGGGAGGGGCAGAGAGGAAAAAAGGCCACGAGGGGGATGTGGGACTGGCGGTGCGACCGTTAAGCGTTGGAATTCGAATATCCGGTTAAACTCCCGGTTCCGCCGTGTCCAGCAACGGGAGCTCACTCAGGTACCGCGGGGGGAAATACCTGCAGATCGGAGCTTTCGCGTATTGGGGAGAGCAGAGGCAAGTATGAATGAGGTGAATCGCCCGTGGAAGACCAGGGAGCTGGACGAGCAGGGTGAGGTTTGAAACTTATGATCCACTGCACGTCAAATGGGGAAATGGAAGGGGCTGAGCGCCGGCCGTTTTTTTGGCAGTCTCACGCCGTGCTGCGGCGGCCGAGGAGGGAGAATGATGCGAGGGAAATCGAAGAGGGGATCGTCCAAGCGTACTTTTAGTGGCGGCCGGGGCGGACCTATGACAGGGAACGTGTCGGTGGGCGGGCGCCGGTGGAGCGAATCACCACGGCTTCGCGATGCTAAACTGCGCGCGATGGCCGAGCTGAGGGAACCGTCGAAATGCGAGAAAAGAGGCTGATAAGCGGGATGCAAGATGACGAAAGAAGGAGTGGGGTGGATCGGAGTGGATTGCGATGGTCGAGTCTCCAGCCTCGAGTCTCCAGTCGCAGTCTCAGGTCGGCGGGACTAGCGCACACACGATGGGCAGTGCAGGGGAGTAACCGTGGATGTGAATCACGTTAGGGGCTGGACAGCTGAACGCCGGCAGAGCATTCGAAGACTAACTAGCAGCTTTCGAAGTTGCGAATGGATGTGTCAAAGGCGCGGCCTTGGCAGCTTAGTCAGCGCTGAGCGGGAGAGCCCAATCCATGGCGTCGAGTAGTGAGAATACAATACCCTACTAACTAGGGTAGTGTGTCGATACAAATTGTAGAGCCAAGGGGAGAGTCGCGTTTTCAAATCTTCAAGTAGCTGTCAGCGTCACTCTAGCATGGAAAGGGGTCAATGTCAATGTAAATAATCATGCAGGGAGTGACGCACCGCAGATCGGAGCAGAGCCCGGTGACCTGCGCTTGGATCCATTTTGGGCACAGTTTGGGCGGGGATCCATGTGACGCCCCTCTCAAAGCCAGCAGGGAGGGGATTCATGTCTTACAATACAGTAGCCAGGCAGCTAGCAGCACGACTAACAGCACGACTAGCCGTGCAGGGCGAGGGGGTTTGTGGGGAGTCTATACATCCAAAGGCAGGTATAGTTACGGAAGGTTATAGCGGCTAAAGCTGGCATTCCAATTCCAATCGGGCTTGACGCCTGGATTCTAGAGTTTTGTGCCTTGAACTGACCGCCCCATACTCTGGCATGGTGAAGTACGAGTCATCCATCAAATCTTCTGAATGGTCAGCTGAGTACTCATCTAACCATTCACCGAATATCACCACTCCTAATCATTTACGGTTGATGAAGCTTCAATAAGTGTGGTGTTGGTCATTGGGCACCAATGTGAGCCCAGATTTGATTCCATATCAACACAAGTTGCGCTATCATATCGCTGTACAGGGATATAATTGTCAAAAAAAAAAAAAAAAAAAGCAAAGAACTGACAAAAGAAATGACAAGGGATAATAATAAACAAATCAGAAGAACCAAAATGCAATGAATCGCACACGTAAATTATTGCTCGTGATTCGTGCTGCGCCGTAGCGTTCTCCAGATCCCATCATGATTAAATTGTAAACGCCTCCGAAAAAATCTCAGTATGTAAAGAGGAAGATATAATCACAGTCGGAAAAAAAGGGTTGGGAGGAACAGAACATGTGCTCAGTAATCAGAGTAAGTTTCGTAATGCGAGTACCCATTCTGTGCATGTGGTTGCGCCCAGCCACTGTTTCGTACTCGCCGTTCTGCAATGCATGTCAGCAAGGTCAATCTAAACAAGGCCGCCAATGAAAGGCCCGGCAACGGGGAGGGGGCAAAGACGAATCTAACCTTTTTCGAAATCGCGCCACCTCTTCATCGTGATCTTGGTGCTGTCGAACTCGCCTTCGGCGTCGCCATGACCCTTGTCCTTCTCCCCAGCCGTCTTACGCGTGTCGCCCCAACTGAAATCGTCGAATTTCCAGAATGCATAGGTGGGGAGAACGAAATTCCAAATCGGAAGCGAGATCAGGTAGATCAGCATCCAGGCGACATAGACGAGTCGGTGGGCAGTGACAACGATCAAGACACCCGGCAGACCGAGAATCAGGGCGAGAAGGACCAGGGGAATGACTTGAACCGGTTTTCTCACTATGGAAGAGATGACAACGTAGAAGGTGAACGCGATGGCAGCAGGAAGCACGAGCGTACCCACTAGCTCGATGAAGATGACGAATTGCATACTGAAGCAGAAGGTTCCGCACAAATCGCGCACAAGTACCAGTTCGAACAAGTTGTGGACGGTACTGTTGATCCAGCGGCGACGCTGCGAAAGCAGAACCATGAACTTGTCGGGGACAACCGTCTTGCACACAGCCTGCGGGACGAAGATCTGCTTGCGCTTGGGGAAGGTCTTCAACATGAGTGTGGTCAGATAACGATCCTCGCCCAGGAGAAGCAGGTTCTTCTTGTGCAGCGTATCCACCACGTTCTCCGAGTAGTGCTCGACGATATCTGGATTTGCCAAAATAGGAACCCAGTAGTTCTGACCACCCTTGGGAGCTTTGATGCGATACATGGTGAAGCAACCAGGGAGACAGGTCACACCACCGAACACGGACTCGAAGGATTTCGCTTGGTGGTGGGAGATAAAGTACCTAACGACGGTTGGTTTTGGTGACACAGCAACTAGAAAGAGGGACAACTTACTCGAAGACTTGGATCATTGTAACCCAACTGTCAGTCTTGTTGGCAATTTTCGTCTCACCGCAGAGACCCATGATCTCGGGATCTTTGACCATGGCAGAGATCATATGCGTCAAGCTGTCGGGGAAGACTTTGGTATCGGCGTCCACCATCAGACAGCACTCGTAGAAGTCCGGTGGAATACCGGTAACGTTCCACATTCCGTTAAACATCTCGAATTCGAGCTCTGTCATTCGCTCATCGAACATCACCTTCTGCAAGAACGACATGAGAATGATCTGACTATCACGCTTTCCACGGTTACCAGGCTTGGAAGCTGTTGCCTCAGCAGGAGTACCACATTTAACAACGACCATCATCGGCACACGTTGCTGTTTTTCCGGGGGAATAACAGATGTTTCGCCGTAGTCATAAAATCCGGTGTAGACTTTGGCCATGTTGTGACGCTTGGAACCTGTAGCCACAGCCACATAAGAGAAGGGCTGAACTTCATCCGGGGGAATGAAGTGATCTTTCATCATGCCGAGGACGATTTCGGGGGTTGAGAATTCTTCTCCCTTGCCCTTGATAATACCATCACAAATGACCATGAGCGTCTTGTGGCTGTTCGGGTAGTCGGTCATGGCAATTGAATCCAGAGTAGTCCGAATACCGTCTTCGCCTTCCGAGTAACAAGTGACTAGGCACAATGCGTGCGCCAACGGATATCCAAACGGTTGCCATTCCGGCGGGGGTTGAGGCACCACTGCTTCATGGATGAACCCAGCAGGGCCAGGCTCTTCCGACTCCGGGATTATGGTAGAGTAGGTCTGTTCCTGTTGGCCGGGAACCAAGCTCGTACGACTGGCAGCAGGATTGTGGCGGGAGTTGTCTGCACTGAGCGTACCGCCACTGCTATTGTGGCTCAGTTTGTACATTGGGCCGCTCGCAGTAGAGCTCGGCATCAGGCGAGAGGTCGAATTTTGGCTGGCCATGGTGACATACTGGGTGCGCTGCTTGCTACTCCCCGAGCTGTTCATGACATAAGGACTAGAGAAGCGAGATGTCGTCGGCAGGAAGCTCGAGCGCTTGTTCATTCGGTCAGACGAAGGGGGATCGGCCATTCGAGGCCCAGGTCGGTAAATATCATTTGACCAATCTTCGATCTGCTGGTTGCGGGTTCTGGCATCCGAGGCCATGCTTGTCCTCTGGGCAGCAAATTTAGGTGCCAAAAACCATTGGAAGAGCAGAGCGAAAGCAAACTTGACCACGACAATGGACAGGATGAAGATCAAAGACACGTAAAGCACCACTTTGGAGGCAATGCAGCCGACGGTGTCGGTGTCAATGCTACCCACCTTGATGATCTGCTCGAGACATTTCCCGACTTGCTTCTCAGTTCCGCTTTGTAGGTAGTATGTCAGATCGACACCACGAATTGCAGGGTTTGTCCGGAGTTGATCGAATTTCGCCGGATAAGACACCTGAGAGGTGTTAAACCAGCGTAGAAGGTCGAGGTCGAGGACATTGCCCGAGTAGATGGCCAGGTTGCGGCTTTTGTTCTTGGTGTCTTCCCAGGTGTAATACACATCGCCTGAGCTTTTCAGGTTCCAGAAAGCGTTCCGTGCAGAGCTTCCCGTGTGGCATCCCCAGCCCAGGTAATAGGACGCGGTCAAATTCGGCTCGGACGAGCCATCCTGATTGAAGGCCGTGCAAGGGAAGTACCATCCCAAATCACCGTTGGAATTGGTCGGTACTCCACCATCATCGTTCGCGGTGATGAGGCCCTTGCATGCACCATTGACCTGTTGGAAGAAAAAGCTGCCATCCTGACCGCCGTACTTGTGAGGCAAATCATAAAGAACGTTTGTCTTGGCGGGGATGCCCTCTGCCGCAGGATGATGAGATCCCGTTAAGTCATACGCCTTTCCGTGGAAGATCATGTAGCCGGACCCAACTTCATTAACTTTCAGTCGGACCGGGGGTGTACCACAGACTGTAGCCGTGAAACCGAAAGTCAGAAAGCCGACAAAGGCAGCAATCATAAGGATGATACTGATCAGGCCGATTTTCTCTCGCCAGGCTGATCGCTGTTCCTTCTGGGGCATGCCAAAGCACTTGAGTACAAAATCCGGAACCAAGCAACTTACAAGCGCACAGTATGTCGTCCACAGATCTGGCGGCCGTGCTGGATCCAGAGCCTTCTGTCTCCTCTTTTCCTCGGCCGATGTGCTCTTCGACACTCGTCTGCCGGACCTCCTCTTCTTCTTTTTCGAATGATGGCGGCTGGGCGCCCGGTCCATGGGCTTGTTGACATTTCCCTGCGCACCGTACAACTGCTCTTTGGCCTTCGCATCGGTACTTCGGGAGCTATTTGTCTCTGCTTCGCCGTCTTTATCGAGGAGTGGATCATTTCCGGTCGCGGAAGGGTAAGTTGCCATATGATGCGATCGTTGTCGGTAGTGATAATTGGGGTGATCCCGGTCCATGTGTCGTCGCTCTGGCTTCACCAGGCTCCTCTTCCGCCCGATATCTCCTCCGCGCTCCATGCGATCGTCGTCGGTCTCGGCATGTCTGCGGTGGTGGGAATGAGAACGTCGCCGGTGCCGGTGCGTGGACGGAGAGGTTGGGGCGCTGTCGCTGAGTGTTCCGGAGTTGAGATCGCGACGGCGACGACGGTGTGAGGGCTCGCGAAAAGCGCTGCGCTCGTCACGCCGCGGGGAGGCCTTGCCCGGCCGCTGGGGGAGAGACATAGCGTTTCTGCTGCCAGTGTCCGCTGCCAGACAAGTGCTGGATACGACACGGGCAAACCCAGACCGCTAAACGGTCTCGGAAGAAAGCTGCAATCACAATCACAGGCTTGCGGCCATCAACAACTGGTCAAGTCTGTGACAACTGTTTCAGAAAATATTGTGGGTCGTCTGATGTCTAAAACATCGGCCTGAGATCAATAAAGCGAATGGTCGGGTTCTGCAGGCCGGGATGGAGTGGGATTTTACGATGCGATGCGAGACGATGGGCTTATCCGAGCGATTCAACCGGAAAGTCTAGAACGAGACTGGTAACTGAGTTGTGACAAGCGTAGAATCGCAGGGCGATCGAGCTTGCAGCGGTCGGCCGGTGCAACGACGGCCGGGGGTGGAGAATAAACAAAGTGCGGTCCACACGAGTGAGCGAACGTCAGCGGGGCCGATCAGGTCAACGAGCGAACAAGCCGATAGGATTCGAGCAGAGTCGATGACTAGAAATGCAGAAATGCGAAAATGCCAAACGGCGAAGTCTGCGGTGGTGAGAGCGAGAGTCCTTAGAGAACTGGAGGAAGTTCAACGGCGCAAGTGAGACAAAGCAAGCGGCAGGCACAGACATTTGGCCTCGTCCCGTGACCTGGACGGTTTCTTCGGAGGGAAAGCACCAGAATAACCTCGCCTCTGGCCTCTCCTCACTCTACACAGCACTAGGGGCCACCACTAACACCGTCCCGGAAATGAGGAGCCCCTGTTCAAATCTGCGCCAAACCCTTCTGCTCACCACCCCCCGTCGCTAGGGGCAATCCGGCCGTACATCCCAGCGGGGGCCGCGGGCGACAAATCACTGCGCGCCCTGGTTTGGCGCCAAACTGCGTCGGGCAAGGTCTAGAGGACGCCACTCGCGGGCGATTTGAAGGTCTTCTCCGTCCCTGTCTCCCAGAAGGTCTGGTCGGCTGCGTCCCTACACTGGGGAATCTCAAGCCGAGGATTTCCAATGGTTAGCTCCGGCTACGGGTCACGGGGCTCGACATTTTTTTTTTTTTTTTTTTTTTTTTTGGTTCTATTTTCGGGCCACGATGAACTGCCACCCATGAATTGGGATAGGCTACGGATGAATACCTGAAAGACTCAATTTCTGCCATATGCATACTTGCCCCTGGGGCTTATGCACCCGTTGCACAAAGTGCTTGCACTGGATTTACCCTAATGAATCGCCTGGGTCCCCCCAGCACTACATCAAAGCTCAACCCTGTCGGCTCGGACTCCACAATTTGGTGCTTCGTGCCCTGTAAGCAGATTCGCCTTCCATTCGACTTCGCACCACAGCGAGATGGTGTGGTGGGCACACAGATCTGGTGCAATGTCGACCTAATTCTGCCGCGTCGGGCAGCCGTCCGAGACCTTCCTGTGCAGTTGAATGCCGGTCGCATACCTCGTAATCTGGCATATTCTGACGATCGGATATATTGGACAATACCGCCCGGTGAAAACTGGGAAGGTGCTGTAGAGGGGTGATTATTGATGTGGTCGGATGCACGCCTTGCCGCAATGAAATCTTCATGCACTCCCGATCGTGATGGCGATCATAGGCGTTCGTGGGCGCTTTTGAGAGCTATCACCCGCAGGTTACTCGGCCCAGCATGCGGCTAGCCCTACGCTATCATCACTTATAAGAATATCCCTGCGAGGGTGAATCTGGGGCATGCCCCTGTGCTCGCACCCACGATGGGATCGGCAGCGGGAGGGCGATCACCGCAGCCATGCCCCAGTCCTGATCTCCCGTTGAACGTGAGATGGTGCCGCTATGCACTGGATGCTGTCTGCTCGCCGTCACCGACAAGTGCCTGGATGTATCAGACGCCTCGCCAGCTTGGCTCGCTCGGTTGTGAAACCAGCCGTCTTCGCATCCAAAAGATGGCAAAGGGGCATCCCTTCGTGTCAGATACACTGCGTCGCCGCTCCCGCATGCTACGGACGCCCACGCCCACGTTGCAGGCTCGGAGTGCAGCGCAGCGAGGAGTATGTGCATAGATGGACCCATAGAGCAGGGACTATTTCTGGCCTCGACCAACTGTCGTCATCTGCAACCACTTATATCGGTGAAAGTGCCACTGGCAAGATCTAGCCAAATGCCGAAAATACCAAGAGCTCGGCGCATCGGGCTTGGGACCTTGGATCTGGTGATTTGGCACATACGCAGCCCAGCAAGGAGGCCATCGAGGCCCGTGGTTCGGGCCGTGCGAGACCACCACTCCAAGGACCGCCGCAACGACAAAGTCAATTCCTGGAATTAAACAAAGACATAATAAACATCTATTATTGATGGTCTCCTGTGTTGCCCCTGTGGGAGTGCGGTTGTGTGATATATTGTCATCTCGGCGGCAATGGCCGAAAGCCCCCCACTTGGCCAGATCTCCGTCAGATGTCAGTTGTGGGCAGTGCTCGCAAATCTGATGCCGTGATTCAAATGCTGCCACGCACACGGGATGCTGGTCCGACAATATCAGGGCCTAAAATGCGGGCGATCCTCATCAACCAGACAGCGTGAGTGTAGCCTGCGGTTAGTGTCTAGCGGGATGCACTCGAATCCCCGTTGCGACTAGCACACTTTTCACTACGAGACTTCCGGCAGCAACTAAAGTTGTGCCCCAGCATCGACTCCACCGAACGATCCGGGATCCACTGGGGATTGAGGGCCGCAAGGCGTGGATCAGAGGCTCGGCGAGTCAGCGAGTCAGCGGGTTGGACCGTGGCAGCGAGACGAGACCAGACACTGTCCAGCACCTCATCGGAAGCTCGAGTCGAGCTGAAAATAACGGAAAAGATCCGAATATGCCTCACAGTACGAGCGATCCGCGGGACAGTGACAATGGACCCCGAGTCCCATCTGCTGCACTCCGCGTGTTTGGTGGAGACGGGACAAGTCGTGCGCTAGGCACTTCTTGCGACAGGCCTTCAGCCCCGAGTTATACGAGAAAAGAAAGGGCTAAGACTGCAGGAGCCCGGCGGTAAGTGCAGAACGCTCTTCGTCGGTGCCTTCAGCTTGTTTGTTCCGTAGGGTGGTACCTCCATGAGGCCCGTCGGTCTGTAGTGAGGCACTGTCATTTGTAGGGTATTAATAGAAATGAATAGTCTCCGAGTCCCGTGATGGGTGCGCGTTCGCCACCAAGCAATCAAAGTAAAAGTGATCGAGGCGCAAACTAGCGAGAGTGGGGAGTGGCCAGCAGAGAAGAGGGAATCGTGGTGGGTTTCTGTGCTGGCTGAAACACACCCCCTCGCTTCTTCCACTTTCTACCTCCGCCTCCGCATCGCCCGCAACTCACACTTCTTCGCCCACGCTCGCTCATCTCGCCCTCTCTGCTTGTTGTCGCCTCGCATCGCTCTGCAAATAAATTCACCACCTCTCCACACTGGGGCTACCCGAACACGACTCGACCAGCTGATTGGAACGGACTGCTGCTCCATACGAGCCGAGGAGAAAGTGATCGACAAGGGCCCTTTTTATCTCCATGTCTCCGCAATAAAACGCTCGCTTTTCGTTCTACACCACCACGCTCGTTTCGCCGTTGTGATTGCCCGCATCTTTCGCCAGAGTCATGGCCTCGCCTCTGGCAACCGAATACCCATCCATCCCCACTCCTCCGCCAGCTTATCTCCGATCTTCACCTCCTTTCCCCTCACAGCATTCCACCCCTCGCTCGCCCCAGAGCTTGAACATTGCGCGGAAGTCCGTACCGGCCGGAGACTCAGAAGAGACTCCAGTGATTCAGGAGTCGCCCAGGTCGCCCGTCAAGATCGATCATAGCGCGCAGCTCCCGCCAGCATCCAGTGCGCAGATCGAGCAGCTGCACAATGGACCCCCAACGCCGCAGCTAGAATTGCCCGAGTTCGCGGGCATGTCAATCGAAGGTCCAGCGCAGCCTGAGCAGTCATGGAACCCAGCGTACCCACCACGCAGGGAGTCAGCGCAAGCGTCGCAATACCAGACCGCTCGCCAGCACCCGTATGGTCACACCCCCGCTAGCAGCGGGTCTTGGTCAGTCATTGAGCCACATGGGGAAGACAATGGTTCCGAGAATCGAAAGCACAGCACGGCCTCACTCGAGCGAGGAGACCTGAGCCACAATAACTCCTCCCGCGGCAGCTCGGAAAGCGTGGCGCAAACTGTGGACAGCTTTGAGCCCTTGACCTATCACCACCAACGGTTGGAACAACAGAGCCAGCAAGCCAAGCGCCAATCGACACCGGGGATGGTTCTGCCAGATTACCCATCAAGTTCGACTGATAAACTTGCCGCCAGGCGCTCAAGAATTGCACGACCGCTCTCCAACTACTCAAATGCATCCGACCTGGCAGTGGGAGGGCATCGACGCAACCTTTCAGCTTCGCCATATCTGCACGGCCGATCTTCCTCAAGGAATTCTACGGCGTCCCCCGATAATCGCTCCTCTTCTTTCCTCGATCTCCTCAACACCTCATACCCGCAACCCGGCCCAACGGTGCCCAAGCACGACAATGTCTATCTCCGGGGCCTAGTAGGGAACAATGCATCTTTGCTCAGCCATAGAGAGACCTTCGAGGCGTACCTCAAAAATCTGGAAAGAACCAACGACCCGGCAGTGCAATACGAGTTCGCTATTTTCATGATCAACTCCATGCGCGACATGCCTTCCGTAGACCTCGATGATTCCACCTCCATAACTCGCAGTCGGCTAATGCGCGAGTCCAAAGCAATCCTCACACGTCTCTCAGAACGCAGCTACCCTTTCGCCCAATATTATCTAGCCGATGGCTACGCATCCGGACTCTTCAACAAGGGCAAAGAGGACTACGGTCGGGCATTCCCCCTTTTCGTCTCGGCAGGAAAACACGGCCACATCGAGGCCTGCTATCGTGCGGCCTTGTGCTACGAATTCGGCTGGGGCTGTCGCGTGGAAGGCGGTCGCGCAGAAAAAGTTCTACCGGCAAGCCGCATCAAAAAACCACCCCGGCGCTATGCTCCGCATGGCCAACGCCTGCCTGGCCGGCGACATGGGACTCGGAAAGAGGTATCGAGAGGGAATCAAGTGGATGAAGCGGGCCACCGAGACTGCAGATGCACAGTACCCTTCAGCGCCGTACGAATTGGGTCTAATGCATGAGACTGGCTACGGCGACGACGTTTTTATCGACGAGTCATATGCTGCACAGCTATTCACCAAAGCTGCTGAATTGGGCCACACGGAGGCAGCGTACCGACTTGGAGATGCCTACGAACACGGAAGGCTCAATTGCCCCCGCGACCCAGCTCTCAGCATTCATTTCTATACCATTGCCGCACAGGGAGGCCACCCTCTTGCCATGATGGCCCTCTGCGCCTGGTACCTTGTGGGCGCAGAACCGGTCTTGGAAAAGGATGAGAACGAGGCGTACGAATGGGCCGCGAAGGCGGCTGGTCTCGGTAAATAAATTCCGATTTCTGCAGCATTTTGAAACTCAATCTAATTTTTTACAGGTCTCGCAAAAGCTCAATATGCCGTCGGCTACTTCACCGAAATGGGCATCGGATGCCGCCGAGATCCCCTCGAAGCCAACGTCTGGTACGTCAAGGCCGCCGACCAGGGCGACGAGCGAGCAAAGTACCGCATTGCCGCGATCCGCGCCGCCGCCGATGGCGCGAATCCGGCCCACGCGGCTAGACACGGCCGCTTCAGAAAGAGCGACAAAGGACAGGGTAAGTCCAAATCCAGCCTCATTTCATTCTATGCCCACCTCTTTGAACGGGATACTGACAAATGATTCCCGAATAGAGGGCGATAAACCCAAACAGAAGCGTTTCATGATCTTTTGAATCACGCCCTCGTCTCATCTTGCATCAATCTTTCGTTTTTCGACACTATGAATGCATTTACACTCATGCTCGCGCCTCATATCATGATTCCCCCAGGTCCCAGCTCTGCATTTAATCATTTGATACTTTTTTATCCTTTGAATCTGTCTGAAAGGATCTGGCTTGTTCCCGATGCTTTATTTTAAGTATACTTTGTGCATAGTTTCCTGCATGTTGCGGCACTGGTGCGCCCAAGCGTCCGAGAGTTCTAGCCTCAGAATCTACTGGTGGCTTCAATTAATTATATTAGAATAGCAATGCTTTACTGCATTTTATGGACGTTCCATGTGGCTCGCATCATTTTTTTCGGTTTTTGTCATCGGGAGCCTTCTCTTGCAAATTCTCTTCTACTTAGGATAAGCCCTTGGGAGTTCATTAAACGGCTCATCTCGAATCGGCTCAGATAGCCTAGTCGGCCTTGTGCAGCATTGATTTGAGTCATGGAATTGTGGTATACTTTCTCCTGTTGCATCGGCAGACAGCTGTGGGGATTTGACTTCCCCGCACGGCTTAGCTAACAGCAAACCCCCACGAACATCTCAGGAATGTCTTCTCCACGACAGCATCATCTATGCTCATGCTGGCTGCAAGTCATTCCAGCACTTGACGGCGATGTCCCTGCTTTTACTTGAGCATGGAGAACAGAGGCGCAAGACGACTCCGCGCGTGGTGCGTCCGCAAAAGTCAGCGGTGCAAATGCTCAAAACTAACAGATATTGCCCAGCAATCGGTGTCGAGCCCGGCACTCCAGGTGTAGGTAAACTCATAAGCTCAGTTGAATACCGTGGGATAATATTGACATGGCTTAGGCGACGCAAGTGTCGACACACCATGTCGCAGTTGCAAGCGGGCCAATACCCCCTGTACAGGCCGCGGACAGACGGTTTTTCGAGTTCTGCTTGGTGATCCAAAGACGACTTTGGGAGTACGCATCTCTTCCTCGCCTGAAGCTACAGATCGACCTTCCGACTCATGCTCAGCTGGTCCGCGTGTGGCGGACTTTGTCGACCCTGCAGCTTTGAATGGGTATCAGAGGGATGGGGAATTCTCGCCTTCGCAGACTACCAACGCAACCACATATCTTGCTGCGAATTCTCGAAATCAGAGTGTACAAAACTCGCTCTCACCCCTGATACCTCATCCACAAGATACAAATGTGGCTCAATCGGGATCCTTGAAAAATCTACACGAGGCACAGCTTTTCAAATATTTCATTACGTACTTGTCCCTCTGGGTCCGTCAATACCTCAGCCCTTTTTGCAAAGCGATATCTGAACCAATTTGACCTAGTTCGACTACTGTGACCCTGGAAGGCAATTCTGCGCCTACATTTCCAGCAACGCATCAATAAATCCAACCCTCCTGAAAGCCGTCCTCGCCTGCTCCGCTCGGCACAAAAGCGCCAAAATCCCAAGCTACATTCGCATCGCAGAAGAATATCAACACGACTGCCTAGAAACACTGATTCCAGCCCTCAGCGAGAATCAAAACGGCAATCCCGACGGAATCAACGACATGCTCTTCGTCTCGGCATTATTATTCCGATTTCTAGAAGAGATGACCGGTACGTCCTCTTCAGCATATCAACAACCTATCTAACACCCAAAAGAACCCGCAGACAAAGAATGCAGATCTCACGTCATGTCGGCAGAACTCCTCCTCCGCATCTTAGACGACAACCTCTGCTCCTCCCTCCTAACAGACGCGGCCCTAATAGTCGTCCTCCGACAAGATATCTTCATCGCAAACCTAACACAGCGCCCCGTCGGCCCCCTCGCAAACCGCTGCAACATCGACCGATCCCTCACCCCAACCAGCGATGTAATGTGGGCCTACCGAATAATGTCACACGCCGCCGAAATTACAAACTTCGTCTACAGCGAAGAAAGCGACCGAAGCACGCCCACCTGGGACAAACTAATGGCGTACGCGAAGGATTGGGAAAACTGCCGTCCGAACTCGTTTACACCTCTTTTCCAGTCACAGACGGCTCCGCCCACATTTCCCAACCCAGTTTTCGCGAGTGATTGCCATGTTGCGGGACACCAGTACCTGGGACTTTGTCGGATTCTCCTGCTGGCTTGTGACCCACATATACCCATGCTGGGGATGAATGGGATGCGGATGCTCCAGGAGCGGGATGAGAAGACTAGGGATTATGTGAGGGATATTTGTGGGACTGCAATGGCGAATTCGGAGTGTTTCCCTGCTGTTTCGACTGCGGGTTTGGTTATTGGGATGTGTGGGGAGATGTTTTCGGATCCCGAGGAGACGGGTGTGCTTTTGGAGTTGATTGCTGGGGCTGAAGGGCATCTTCGGTGGCATCATTTGAAGTCCAAGGAGAGTTTGCAGAGGTTTTGGGGGTTATCTGGGAGTTGAGGTAGATAGGATGGGGTGGGCTGAACATCATATTGCACACTTGATTTCGCATTTCGAGCTTTACAGTTAATGTGATTTAATAACGACACTGTGAAATGAAATACATAATGTATCACATTAAGCGCACCTTCCCTCTAGCCGTGACATCTTTTATGGATCATAACCTATTGATTAAATACATTCACAGTATGTTCGATGTCTTTAAGTATATACGTCGGCTTAGCAACACCGAAAGTCTCTCCATGTCTATTTCTTCGGCGGCTGTCCATTATCAGCAGAGATAGTGGCGTTGTAGGAGGCGAAACAGGCTTCCTCGTACTTTGCCTCCTTGGTGAGTTTAGGCACCTGGCGGAGGAAGCTCTTCACCGAACAGAAGCCGTTGACCGACTGGCAAGCCGATAGCCCATCAAGCGGAACAGGAGCATTATTCAGCGCCAGGCGGTTATAATGCTCAGTGCTCTTCGAGAAAAGATCCGGGTTTTTGTAGAGAAGGGACTGCAGATCGTGGAAAGAGGTGTTCTTAGGAAAAGTCCAGACTTCAGTGACCAGGCGAGCTCCGAAAGGAACCATATTTTTCAGTTTGAAGCCACGCGGTAGTGCGTGCGGAACTTTGGCCGGCATTTCGCACGGGCTATCCTTGAATTAGTCGACGCCAAGCGCAGTAAAAACGGGGACGATAACGTCATCATGGGACATATCGATGTAAAATGGCTGGTCCAAAGGGAAGTCCTTGGCGTTGTCGTCGTATGTCGAGTTGATGCTGCTGTCGCTGCTCTTGATCAACTTGTGCTCAAGGCGTGCCGCTAGCTCTTGCGCATAGCCGATGTCGAGGGCCCGTCCAGCTGGAGAGCCGAAACTGTACAGATCGTATAACTCCAGATCGAGGGAGTATTCGAAGTCGTGCCATTCGTGTTCAGTGAAAAGAGATCAGAAAGAAGAGCAACTGAGGGCAGCATATTCGTAAGGGCATAGGGTCATCATTCCGAGTACTTCGATAAGATTCAGTTTGAAATCTCGCGGGAGATATGCAGAGAAACGCTTCGTTGCAGCATCCGTGACAAGAAAAGGAACGAAAGGCAAGATTTGCTGTTCCCGAGTTTCCAAGGTGCTCTCACCTTGAGACAGCTTGAGGATGAGAGGGTGTCATTGTACTCGGTCTTCTCAGGCATAATAATGTGGTCATATTCCGGCAATGAGCTGTTGGCACCGGTATTGCTGAAGAAACCGCCTATAGAGAAGTATTGTTAGTCTGTGGCTCTTGTATCGACTGCGTGAAAATGTAGACTCACTCAGCCTCCAGCGTGCGTTCTGCAAGCTTCGAGGGTAATCAGTGGTGCGGAATGTAGGCCTTGAACGAGTCTTTCCATCCGCACAAAGAACCATTCCAGTTAGCCTGAGCCCGAGCAACATCGTAAAAATGTCGACCAGAACTCTGCCCCAACTGCAGCTTCAGTGGCCGCGCCTGCGGGAACAAGAGTGTCTTCGCGCAGCAAACCTCCCACTCGTTCAAGGACGCGAGCGTTCCTGGGCCGATCTCGGCATGCGGGTGTTTTGTGGTATAATTCTTTGAAGCACTGACAAATGTTGCGATGTACAAGAAATCCGAGGAAACGGGGTACCGTTGCGCGTGGCGGTGGAGAACGTGCACCTGGGACAGCTCACAGCCCCGTGGGGGACCCCTTTGGCAGGCCAAGCCCGTCAGTATCTGAGTAAGGGCTGAGTTTACCCCGGCTTTTTGCCATGTCGAATCCGGAGGGGAAGGAGTGCCGGTTGGTGCAGCTGCCGAGCTGGAAGTCGCGGTTGATGACCAAGGCAAGGCCGCGCTGCCGGCTGCAAGGGCGAGCATGAGAGCTCCGAAGTGTTGATTGTTGACATTGTGGCGAGTTGAGGGACAGCCGAATCCCAAAAAGTGTTTTCGGTAGAAGGTAAACGTAATGGTGCGCATCGGCTGCATTTATACCACTGAGACACTCACTTGCGGGGAAAAACTGAGCATCCAGGATTGAAGAGCAATATATTGGGGTCTATTTTACAACAGCTGAACAGAGACGGAGTGACAGGGCGTCGATCCTACAGCATAGCCGAATGGTCGCAAAGCAGACCAGATTCGACCATGATCGGCGGAAGCGAAGACTAACACAAACTGATCCACTTCTACGCCGGCGTGAGCTCCTTATATCATTCTGATTGGATACGCCTGTACAGGAGATCTGGCCCCCAAATATATGGGGATTGGGGGCCAGATGAACGCGCGGTTACTTTACTTGTGGCTTGAATGACGGCATTGACCGCCAGTGCTGTTGGGATGAAAGAGCTAAGCGGGAACCAAGAACTTTTTCATCGCAGCCTCAGCCTGACCATAGAGTTAAGCTACTAACCAAGCTACCAAGTTTTGCTTTTTGCTGATTTAAAGATGCTCGTGACATAGAACTGTGAAATTGTGTCATTTTTTAACAATATGAAATCCATCAGTCCTGAAAAATCGAAACGTAGCCCATGAATCTCCAGCAATATAGACAGGAGAGACCGTGAAATTAAATCTAAAAATGCTCCACCAAAGCAGCAACTATACTATACCCCCGGTTTCTAATCTTAACGATAGGGCGCGTATTGGCTCTGCTGCGCAAGCAGCTCCCGAGCCTCAACTTCCTGGTCAGGAACCTCCTTCCACTCCTTTCTTTCGTTTTCACGGATATGCAAAGTAAAGCCAATAGCCAGGCAAGTAAAGACGACGACGATCTCGTCAAGCACGGACAGAACCAACTTGACAGTGTTGTTTCCACCGACCGGGCTGAAAGTGCTGTTGTCAAGGAACCAGACCAGCATCGCGTAGACAGTTCGCACAAGCAGGAATGGGGCGGAGACGCCGACAGCAGCCAGGTTTCGGTTCTCGCCCTTGGCGATGGTGGAGCGTTGGAGGAAGAGTAGTCCGAGACCGGCAATCAGGACGAACCAGCAAAAAAGGTACAGGATCATGCCGACCTTGACCTCGACGTTGGGCTCGATGGTATCTCCCTTCATGTGCCAGGAAATTCCGGTAACAGTCAATGCCAGAGCAACCATAGTGACGATACGGAAGAGCCGCAGCGGGAGAGGAGGAATGGTGGGGCGAGGCATGGACTCGTTACTGCGGTTGGTAAGAATATATTCACTTCGCGGGAGCTGTATTTGGAGACTTACGCTCTGGAGAGCATGCCGGAACATGTCATGAGAAGTGGTGACAGTCCAACGGAGCTGCAAATCGCAGCTGCGATATAAACTCCCTTAGACGGATAGTTGATGGTAACCAGTTCGCATACCGCGCCGACGATACGGACTAGGCCGAAGATGACAAGGAAAATGAAACCACCAGAGGTACGTATACCATGGCGGAAGACCAAGAAAGCAGCAACGAAGAAGGCGGGCAGGTAGGCGATCAATTCAAGAACGGCGATGCCGTCGCTGTAGTTGAATTTACCCATGGATGATAGGCTTGGCTTGGGTTGGCTTGATCATAAAAGGTAGGCAGTTCGGAGCTTGAGGATACCAAGAGATTCCCTTGGCCACTTATATACCTGTTGCGACAGCCCTATACACTGTCTGTTATGACGTGAGAGCATAAAAATAGAGCAGTTAAACAAGCCCCTACGCCAGGTGCGCGGTGATTGGCTCGCACACCTGGCTCAAATTAGGTTTAGCGGCCCCAACCCACAGCCAAGCTTTCTTCCCACTTATCCATTTTGACTAGCATCTTGCGCTCTTTGACAGTTCCCTTAGTCGACAGCCCGCGACAGAGACTGAAACCGGAAGCCATTTCAACCCGCTTAGGGCTGCCCCTGTGAGATATTGTGGTTGCTTCTCATCTCCCAGCCACCTATGTCCCGGGGTGTTGGTTGGTAGCTTTGGTCGCATGTGTTTGGGCCCCAAATCTTATTCTGCTGCATCTTGATTACCACTTTTGTACTAGTAACGGTACTGCATTTAAGTTACCTTTTAGGTAGGTTCAACCCAATTTGGGGGGTGAGTGTCGGGCGTATATCTCAGCTGCGCGTGGAGGCTGGTCCTCCGTGCATCTAGATCGATACACACTGACATCAGACCACATCAGCTCAATTTCCGTATACAGAAAGGTTCCATATGCAAAAGATCTTGCGATGGGGTTTCCCCAGGGGCTCGTGCTTGTGAGGTATAGGGCTGTGGTAAGGCAGTGCGGCTTTTGCTTGAATGAGGCTTAGAAAAGCTAGTGTTTATTTGGCCCCCCACCGGAACAATGTGAAACTTGGGACAACGCTGATCACTTGCATGAGCTTGGCCTCGGACTTGAACAACTCATAATGAGTCAGCCACTGAGGCCGTTTATGCAAATTGGCACTTCACAGGTGGATCCTTGTCATTGTGATGCGAGCCTCGAGCCTCACGGGTTTAGCTCGAGCCCTCGGAAAGCCACGGGTGTCTTTTTGGGATATGCGATCTGAAGGGTTACCCGATATTCTCCTTCAAATTTGGGCGTCGGAGTGTACAGGGACTCTGTCAGGGCTACTTCTAATAGATCCTAGTAATGGCCGAGAATTGGCTACACTAGTGCAGTATTACCGACCAATTCATGCCGCGATTCTTGTCCGAAATCTCGCAATTGGTGTCAACAGATGATACTCCAACTTTTTCTGTCCGCATACACTATATTCTTACATTGTTCGAACCATGTCGTATTTCGGTACACAAATCGATTCAGCTGCCATGTATCGTTAATAGATCTAACGTTCAAATTGTTATCAAGCAAATGGGTCCAGAAGGCATGTTAGAAAGCTTGGCATGCTTTCTAAAACTGGAAACACAGAGGGCGCTGGTAGGGAAGATGACGTCAAATTGCTTGAAGATGCAGTCTACTACATGACACCTTATTGGAAATTTTCACAGCCTCGGCGGTATATGCACCCCATTAATATATGAGTGTCTCCCCCCGGGAGAGGGCGGCGTACAGCCGATTAAGGATGCTCTCCATCTCCGGGGGGCAATCACCTCGATTACCTTATCCAAAGAGATAAACGAGGACGAAATCAATCAGCGGATGCCGGAGTATCAAGCGAAGATCCTTCAAATAGGTGGAGACGCGGTTCGATGCTGTGGAAAACAAGTGCGATGACTCCTTGGGGCGGCGGGGGCCGTTTGGGGCACGTGGGGCTTTTTCCTTCCTCTGCAGGAAGTGTCTTTGAATGAAATTCTATCAGCCACAAAACATAGAATGAACGACTGTTGATCGTCAAGAAGGGCAATCACAAAGGCCATCATCTGGCCTCTTTCTAAATAAGGAGCATTGGGATGCTCCAGACACCCTCGGTCCCCTGGACTATCCCACTTAATACTGTTCCTGCTTTGGCGAACCGAATGGGGCCCAGGCGTTTCGTACTCTATTTATCGTCTCCTGCGTGAGAACCTTGCCGGTTTTTAAGTTATAATTAGTCAGCTTTCCAGTATTTCCAGGGACAAATAGTTTTATGAGTCCAACTAGGTATAACGAATGCTCTTGTCAACCCACTTCGCGGCGTCATGGCTGCAGAGACGGTGTGGGGAGTGCTTATCGAATTTGTCGGAAAACGCCCTTGAAAATCCCACCGTCCCCCGAGGGTTGCATCTTACTCCGCTGACCCAATAAAATGGGGAAATGTTTCTGCAGCACCTATTAGGAATGCGGTTAGTGTGTCCGAGGCTGTGCTGGGTGTTGTTATTCTTGTGGTTGTTTGGGGGCCGCCCGTTCGACGCTAAGCTTCCAGCCCGCACCACACGAACGTCACCTTCCCACCTTCAGCCTTAAGAGCATCTCGCCCCTGGAACTGCCGCCGTCCACGCTTAGGCTCACTTCAATACCCCCAGGAGGTCTTTCGCGCATCATGGGTTATCATGGGAAACCAAGCAAAGGCTGCGGCATGTGCCGCCAACGCAAGATACGCTGCGACGAAGCCCGACCGGCCTGCGCTCAATGTATTCGAACCAACCGACAATGTCCAGGCTATCGAGATCAGCTCGAGCTGATCTTTCGTGACGTAACGGCTCATGTCGCGAGAAAGGCCATCACATCCAGCTCCGCGTCCTCATCGTCGGCATCGGCCGCATCTGCGCCGGACCCTCATAAACGCCAAGCCCCACCACATTCATCTCGCTACTTCAAACATGGCCGAAATATGGCACCGTCGATTTCCAGCTCCGGTACTTCTTTTGCCGACTCCATTGTTGACTTCAACTCTGACCCGAACGACCGAGTTCCTATGTATCAATTCAGACCGAGCCCGGTGATTATGAGTCCCTCTCGGGGCCTTTCAAAACAAGAAGCGATATGTTTCTTCCTCCAGTCCCATGCAATTCCGGGGAGTCATTTGATGGCGGATAATTTGACCAAGTTCCTCATGGAGCCGGGTGGTTCCTTGGGTCAGCAAGCGATACAATCCAGTGTTGTGGCTGTAGCGAGTGCCATGCTTTCGCGGGTCCGCAAGGAGCCCTCATTAAGACAGACTGCTCGTTTAGAATATGGCAATTCGCTGAGGTTGATCAACGGGGCGCTGGCGGACCCTGTTGAGTCCAAGACAAATCAAGCTCTGGGTGCAGTTATTCTAATGGCGCTTTATGAAGTGAGTTACCCTCAGTCAAGGCAATAAACCTGTACTAATCCGACTAGGTCGTTGTATCGAGAGCTCCGCAAGGTATCGAAGGCTGGACAAACCATATCTCGGGAGCTGCAGCCCTCCTTGAGCATCGAGGCTTTACCCAGATGACAAGTGAGGTGGGCGTGCGATTATTCCTTCATCTTAGATATCAGATTGTACGTGTCGTCAACCCCCAGCTCCAATTATGATTTTAACAAAAAAAGTAGATCAACAGCTGTCTCCAGCGTGACGTCCGAGTCCCCACAAATCTACTAGAAAGCTCCAAACTCGATCTCTTCCCCCAACTCAAGGAAATTCTCGGCAACAAACTCATTCTGATCATCGGCCACCTCTCAAACCTACGGGCAGATATTCATGCAAAAGTATACAAAGACCCTCAGCAGGTTCTGAGCGCAGCCTATACCATCGAAGCAGACCTCATCGCCTGGCTAGCTGCTTTACCGCCAGATTTCACATACAGCAACCACACATTAATGCCAATGGACCGTACCTTTGCGCGCCGCTGTCGCGGAATCCGACCATACAATAACGTATACCACGGTTACCCGGATATCTGGGCCCCAAGCTGCTGGAATCACTACCGTGTCGCACGGATACTGGTCAGCGAGATCATTCTCTCACATGTCCACAAACTCTCCGAAAGCTCGCCTATGGCCTCATTATCTGAGGACTTCCGCTCTTACTGCAATACACTACGCTCATCAATTACGAGACTCGGCCTCGATATTTGCCGCAGTGTTCCCTTCCATTTTGGCGCTTGCAATTCAGAAATGGTTACCGAAATACCCATGCTGCCGTCCGACAGTTACCTAGGTGGACTGATGCTACTCTGGCCCCTATTCATTGCCGGTATGGTGCAGGGACCAAAACACCCGCAACGTCTGTGGGTGAGGGAGTGCCTAGATGTAATAGGTCATACTATGGGTATTGACCAGGCGCTTGCTATCAAAGATCTGCTAGCCGTCGACCCGGGCATGTTCCATTCCGTTGAAAAATACGGCGAAGCGGCTGATCCGTCTACTGGGTCGCCGGATGTTCTTTCTATTTCGATTTTCCATGTGCCATACTATGAGCTCCCGGGGATAAAAGAGTATCGTGAGATTCGTGCCTCGTCAGCTTAATCTGATTGCAAAACGTTGGCTTTTTCTGTTCATTTCCATCGTGCTTTCCTACTATCCCGGTCTCTGGTCAGAACAAGGTATGCCATTATACATCTTGGACAAACGATTCATGAAGCATTATATTCATTGGAGCTACTGGCTTGTTCAATTTGCTTCTAGCGTAAAGCTCGATCATAACCTGGAGGTGATTCAGGAATTTCCTCATATCGTGGCGGATTTCGCCGATTCAAGTCTTCTCCCACATTACCTGTGCCCCTATCGGTGATTCGAAGTGGGAAGCAAGCATTCAAGGCTGTCTGTAGTGGCTTGCGGTCAACCAGCGTATGCTTGACGACGCAAAATGTATCCTCGGACGAGAAAATATCAAGCTTTATCTGATGCTCAACAGTGATAAGCATCCTTCTCGATGTGGTAGAAGAGAATGATTCTTGGAGCTCAGATGGTATGGAATCCAGTGACTTTGAACTGGGGTCATAGTTTTCAATATTGATTTCGCTTGCTGCATTGATACCCCGAGGAGCTGCAATCTGAAATGAAATTTCAACTGATGGGTCTTGCTGCCGTGCCGAGTGTTCCATCTTGCTCTGATTCTTCTCAGCCTTCCAATACCCCTTTTGAATCCCACTGAATATTTCCTGAGTGGACGATTGCTCCTCGATTGGCTGAACCTCTTCATTGTTTGCTTCAAGATCTGGCTGATAGAAAATCTTGGTAATCTCTTCAACGCGCCATCGAATGCCCCGAATCGCCACACATCTATACTCCATCGGTCGATCGGCAGGTCTGGTCGGTCGAACAAACACCTCCACATTCAGCGGCATATTGGAAGTTGCCACAGACGTGATGCCTTGGGTCAAGATAATCTTCGTTATTAGGTTCAAGCCCGAGTACATGCGCGTGTTCTGAATTGACGGGCGATCGGGAATAATTTGTCGGATAATTCGGAGCTCATGGCAAGCGTTTAAATGCCGACCATTCGAAGTGACCGCAGAAGCGACGAGAACATAGGATACATCAGCCAGCTCCGTGATTGTTGTAGCTGCAAGGTTTGCAGGAATTGACAGTTGAAATGAGACCTTGGAAGTTCTTTCCTCTCTTCGTGTGGGTTCTTCCTGGGTATCGGCGGAGACAACGGGTTCGTGGACCGTCACTTCTTGAACAATGCAGCAATTTTGGGTTGTATGGAGAGGCGCTGGTTTTGTGCAAGGTTGCTTCAAGCGACTTAGGCGGCCCAGCAAGCAGCCGCTGTTATTTGTCTCATCCCTGTCTATCCTCGATACCACACGAATGAGGCAAATCCGGATCTCGCTCAGATCCGCAATGTCGGCGGGCTTGTAGCTTGTGAAAACGGCTGACCCGGATAGTGGCTGGCAGTAGCTGTCGCCTCTTAAGTTGTGATATACGTCATGTTGTGTAGGTGCTCTCAAAGTCAGGTGTGTGGTGATGGACATGGTGCTGGTGGTTCATGATAACAAAGCGGGGGCGCGTCGCATACGGGAGGCATTATATACTGTCCCGGGCGGATCACGCAAGCCTGGGTTCATAGTCTATTGTAGGAAAGGGACATCATCATGGATCATCGCGCTAGACTTTCAAAGGCAGCCAAGAAATCGAAGCCCTCGCATTGATGTTCAACCAAACATGCTTCCGACCAAGCTTTAGTTGGTCCTTGGGTGCAAGTTGATTTGTCAGTTGAGAGTGACGCACGAAGTAGACCCACTTGGTCACAGCAACCACCAATAAAAGCCTTTATTTGGACCACCACGTCTTGGCTCCCTAAACTGGACTAGGGTATTTGGCCTTCCCGCGAGTCATTTTGTCGGTACCGCTTCAGACCCAATCACCTGGGCGAATCATAGATACCTTGTCATCTGCAGTGGTTACGTTCATTCTCTCACAAAAATGTGTATGCGACCGAGCATGACTAATACTCTTGGCTAAGTTACAATGATAAAATCTGACCATCCCTTACAATACTGATTCTCCACTGATACCGACACACCCCTTCAGTATTCAAGAACACCTGAGGTTTCCAATATCACCGTGTTGAATGCTGTATCCGGTTGATATTGACCGTTGAAGGTCCCAATTAGGCAGGGACAGCTGCCTCAGTCCTCGATATACCTTCGAATATCATGTAATCGAAGCAATCGGACAAATCGTTCATGGTTTTGCCGTGTGAGCGGCTTGGTCAGGCCATCCGCAGCCATCTCTGCGGTTGGCACCCATCTGCTCGTCAACCTTCCCTCTGCCACTTCTTGTCGAAGCCAGTGGTTGTGTACATCGACATGCTTTAGCTTCGTATGTAGCTTGGTGTTGGTGCTCGTGATAAGATCGACAGTTTGACGATTATCACACCGTAGTGTAATCCCATGGTTTAATCGGAAACCAAGATGCTGCAGTAGGCGCATCGTATACTGCATTGTCCGAGCGGCCTCCGATAGAGCAAGTAGTTCCGCTTCAGTGGTTGAGGTAGTGACAGTGCGTAGTTTCGAAGCCTTCCAGTCAACTGGTCCTCCATATATCTGACATGGATATCCAGCGGAGCTCGTCTTGTCGAGATTATCTGCGAATGACGCATCACTAAAGAACTCAATCGATTACAATCCACTGCCAATGCCGTATGTAGTCGCCCAGAATATCGTATGGTATAGATAGGTGACCACTCGGTCAACTGCATCAATATGCTGAGGTCCCGGATTGGTCAAGAACTGTGCCAATCGAGCAGTGGCTTTCACGGCATCAACGCGGGTGATTGTAGTAGCATACTGAGCTGATCCCAACTTGGCGGAGAACTCCTCGATGTACTCTCTGCGCGGTATACCGTCGTACAGCCTTAGGCTGTCTGGTGCTGTCATTGGCGTAATCACCCGAGGCTTATTTGCAAGATTGAATTTGACTGCCATATTTGCGATATAGGCGTCCTGACACAACTATAGTTTCTTTGCTGACCGATCACGTATAATCCGAATCCCAAGAAACCAGCGGGAATCTCCATGATACGTAAACTCCCAGTGTGCATGGAGCTGTCGTTCGATCTCATGAGCGTGGTCTCGTTGATCAGGTGCACTCGCCAGGATAATATCATTCATGTAAAAGAAGACGAAAATCCTCTTACCAATGAACACACAGGGACCTTCAGGTAGTGGTGTCAACCCAAGCTTTCCTAGCACATCACAGGCCTCCTGCTGCCAAAGCCTTGGTGAGGTCCTTAGTCCATGCAGTGCTCTCACAAGCTTTCAGCATACTGTGCTCGGTTGGTTCGATCCATCTGGTGGCTTCACATACACCGGCTTCGGGAGCGTGCTGTTTAAGAAAGCATTTACCGCATCAAATTGCCTCAGATCCCAGTCAAACGCAGCAACTAAACCAAATATGATCCGTGCCGTACGGGCAGCGAGGGTAGCAGCACGCTTCTCTTCTGAAGTCACTCTCTCTAGATCACCTCTCACAAACAGGCGAGCTTTGTGTTTCAATAGGTTGCCATCCTGGTCAAACTATAGTCAAAAACCCAGCGCAACGGTAACACCTGGATAGATCGATCATTCGGACGATCAACCACTTTAAATGTGCCTTTGTTTTTCAAGTTCCGAACCTCCACGGCGGCAGCTGACATGAATGCCTCACAGTGGGGGTGTCGAACCATATCATTCCAGTGCTCGGGTGCTGCTGGCAGGTCGTCTCGGTGACGACTCGGTTTCTCAGCGTTCAATGCAGTAACGAATGCATATAACAGATCAGGTGGTTCGACCGGTGAATCACTTTCAATAACATGGTACGCATAATCGTCTCGACGTGTAGACCTGCGCTCGCGCTTACCATCAACAATATTAACTGGATTCAACGACAGATCGATATCCCGGGGTGTCACAGCCGGTAGTGGTGCAGTCAATTCTTGATGCAATTGCGATTCGCTCTCTGAGAGGGGCTCTGGTTCAAATAACTAATCCTGCTGCTGCTGAGGCTGGTTAACCTGCTGGTCTTCAAACTCTGTAGGAGACCTTTCTTTGTTTTCCACCCCTCAGCCTCTGTAGCTGGTTTTTCGGCCGAAATGTGATGCTCTGACAACGACCTTGATAATAGCTTGTCTGGAAATGCACCTGGTAGAGCAGGTGATCGATTCGATCGTCGAGATGGTTTTTCAACAGTAGGTGGCGGAGTGTACTGCTGCGCAGCCTCAACGTGGGTAGGCGCAGGTGTCGCTTCACGATCAGCTGCTTCCTCTCTGTCCTCTTCACTGCCGCCTTCCTCATTTCCAGCCTGTTCACTGACTGTTTGGGTGTTTACAGGTGCTGGGTTCGGCAATGCAATGCCAGATTCATCAGGACCGATTCGAGTCTTGATCCAATCATCAGGAAGACCTATCTCGCGGTGGATAACACGCCATTCCTCACGATCATTGAGGATATCGCGGGTTTCTGGGATCAGCAGTGGGTGCTCTTCCCAATACTGCATACCGGGATACCAGCGACACGATTCGTCAAACACAGCATCACGTACGCTTTGAATCCTACCAGGTAACGGCATCCAAACTCTCCAGACATTCGAAGCCTGATAACCAACCAAGAAACCAACTTCCGCGCGAGGCCGGAGCTTATGAGAACGGGGAATATTCGGTGTCCGGCAGTAGGTGAGACTGCCATACAATCTCAAACACGAAAGATGTGACCTCACATAGGTTTGATCAAGGTGTGATCGCGCTTCATCCCAGGGTATTATCCACCTTCCATCCTCGATGCGTGTTGGGGTCCTGTTCAATATATACACCGCAGCGTATACCATCTCTGGCCACAAAGCTTCGGGTAATTGACCTTCAATACGCAGATTTCTCGCCTTCTGAATAATGACACCCCCTGAGCGTTCACCGGGGCCGTTCATCTCAGCACTATGCACCACAGTATGTGTCACCACAAAGCCAATTCCTTCCAGTTCTTGTTCAGTATCAGTTGTCACTGAGCGTTCATTATCTGAGTGAATTCCAACGAGTGGTATCTTCAAAAAACGGGTGGCCAGATATAGAAACGCCTTATACCGGTTTGACACTCCGATTTACGCGCATGCGTATGCACCCAGTGGAACCAAATACCCGACACATAGAAGTGCGTGATATATCGGTGGCCATTGTACGACTCCTTTGGCATTTCGATTGTTGAGATAGGCTACGACGAAGTACTAAATATTGAATAAGGGCCTGCTAGACAAATCGACCTTAATGGAATTGACAGAACTTGAACTTGACTGTATATTGTCTTGTCTACGTGCGCTTCTGGGGGTATTTATCCCTGAACGGGCGGCAAGCCCCTGACAGTAGTAAATCCCTCATAATCGGTCTCGATCGGGGTTCTTCCATGAAGATCTCACGAATGTAGTATATAATGGTGGCAAGAGAGCCTGAAGCGTATATCAAGCTCAGTGCCTCCGGTGTCCCTGGACAGGCATGCCGACAGAGGTTGGGAATGAGGCATCAATTCGGTGCCTTATCCTGGAACCTCAACATCGATTAGATCATAATACAGTTGGCCCAACCCTGCCAAATGTACGTCCTGCCGGTCTCCGTGATATCTGATGTGGTGCGTCTGACAGATTACACACCTGGCACGGGAACTCGGTTATGCAAGTTGATTCAGGGTCCTTGATCTTGACTCCTTCCACCATCTCAGCCGTTTTCTTCACTGTCTTTGGATGTATGTGTCCCAATATGCGATGACACACATCTAACAATGCTTCAGAGGTCCTTGGTGCCGTCGACCTCCGCGCTGCCATTGCATACTCAGCGGTGCACTCCCTCTCTGAGCTAGCAGTTCCACCGGCTAGTCAGTTAGATGCACTACCCTGTGGCTTATCAAACAGCCAAAGTTTTGCACTCTCGTTCCAGGCTACACGTGCAAATGGGATGCCTCTTGGGTCTCTCATGCAGTTGTTCATCTCGTCCCACTGGCAGCCACGTTCCTTTGCACAACCATACGAGACTAGGTTGGCTTGGAAGGTCGGTAAATAACAGGCATTATGCAATTTGACACTGTTTCTGCTACCCGTTCTAGGATCGACGCAGTGCATTACTGCCGTTCCATATCCTAAGATACGAGTGACGCTATCAGCGGTTTTGACGACTGATTCATCAGGGATATAATCAATGAACGAATCTCGGTCCACGCAGATATGACGATGCGCTGCTGTATCAAATACCCATTCATCCCTTAGGTGCGGTTTTTGATTCAGACAATTCAGTGCCAGTGTCGTCATTGGCCAAGTTCCTAGGGCAGTTCCCCGGTTTTCGGCTGAATCATGCTGGTTGACTAGCTTGATCTCTTTGTCGATGAATTCTTTCCATTCAGGATGATCCTTCAGAATCCGGTTGATCTTGCCTTGAGCTCTCCAATTGGCGCTCCAGTTAGCTGATCTCTTCCTTTCATTAAGATACGGACATTCCCATGGTTTATGATCTTTCTTGCCGCATGGACACCAGCGTTCAGCTATTGGCACGTCTTTTAACGACCGCCTCTTCTTATTAGCTGAGTTTGTCGTGCTTGCCAAATCAGGCGAAGCCTCAGGACTGTCCTGGAGGGTCGAAAATGTCGACCTCGGTGCTGGATTACCTCGCAGGTTGGTCGGTGGTGCCGGTGCAGGTGCGTTACCATAGTGCTCGCGGTAGTGAGCCAGGAAGTCGTTCGCCAACACACTGTTATCCATCTTGATGCTCTCGATCGTGATGGGTCGAAGCTGTTGTGTGTACCACATTGGTGCTAAATGCTTCACTGCCAATAGGAAGTCCTTATTGAACTGCATTTGAGTCTCACCAATGGCAATCATCCGATCTCTCATCCTCTCCCAACGACGTACGAATGCTTTTACATCCTCACCTTTCCGCGGGGGATACACTGCATTGTACATATCTTGGCGATATTCCTCATTGAGGTTTCCAGAGTCAGAGTATCGGTCTCTCAACGTCACTAGACATCCATAAACAGTAGGCTTATCATACAGCTGGTCCCTAACTGCAGCTTCAATGGTTGCCATAATCACTCTCTTGATATTGGCCAGTCCTCTCTCCTCTCGATCCCATCGCTGATAATTAATCTTATATAGATCGATCGCCGTTGCATTCGCTTCGGGGGACGGTGGTTCAGGGCACTCTCTCGGTTTCGGTAGAATACTCTCAGGGGTATCGGGATCGATGAACTCCCATACCCGATCGGTTTCGGCGGCATCGCGGATAGCACGTATCCAATCGATCCAATCGGCCGACGTTCGCAGCTTTACGCTCTGCGTAGCGGCGATAACAGAGGATTCCATGGTGATATCAGCTGTACTGCTTGCAGTGCAGATGCAGATGTCAGAGCGGTTCAATCTCAGGGGTAATTGACCGACGGGGTCAATTCAACAGATGGACAGTGTGAATAGCCTCAAATTCGACAGAACAGGCGATTATTCACTTAGCAAGCCGGGCTCATAACTGTCGGTACCGCTTTAGACCCAATCACCTGGACGAATCATAGATACCTTGTCTTCTGCATTGGTTATGTTCGTTCTCACACAAAAATATGTAACGTAATCCACTAGCAAGTGAGACACACGGGCGCGTGAGACAGAAACCGCGGTCGCGCCCCAGCGCGTCAACCTCCTCATTTCAACTACCCACTATGCCCCCAATTCGCAGTCAAAATCCTCAAAATTCTATCAACCAAGAAGGTAGGATCCAGCTCGCAATACAAGCCTTTCGGAACAAAGAATTTCGATCAATTCGCGAAGCTGCGCGCCGATTTCAAGTACCTACCGCAACTCTCCATCGCCGATACAATGGCAAACTTCATCGATCGGAAACCCGCGCCAGCAATTATAAATTGACTCCAACTGAAGAGGAATCGCTCCTACGGTGGATACTCTCTATGGATACACGTGGATCAGCTCCCCGGCCTTGTATGGTAAGGGATATGGCCAATATTCTACTAGCAGAGCGTGGTAGTCAGACTGTTGGAGTCAATTGGGTTTACAGATATACAGAGCGCTATGATGAGCTCAAATCGCGGTATTCTCGTCGATATAATTATGAGAGGGCAAAATGCGAAGATCCGAGGGTTATTAAACCATGGTTCGACCTTGTACGACGCACGATCGATGAGAATGGTATCCAACCTGAGGATATCTACAATTTTGATGAAACTGGCTTCGCAATGGGGCTTATAGCCACTGCGAAAGTCATTACAAGAGCTGAATACTATGGTCGGAGGTCAGTTCTACAGCCAGGGAATCGCGAATGGGTCACATCGATTGAATGTGTGAATTCAACGGGCTTTATACTCCCACCATGCATTATCTTCAAATCGTCAAAGTACCAACAATATGCATGGTTTGATGACCTACCCGACAATTGGAGAATCGAAATCAGTGAGAATGGCTGGACTACAGACGAAATTGGGCTTCGATGGCTAGAAAAGCTATTTATCCCTGCGACTACTAGTCGTACTAGGGGTAAATATCGACTACTAGTTCTCGATGGCCATGGCAGTCATTTGACCCCCCGTTTTGATCGATTGTGCGAGCAAAATGATATTATTCCAATCTGCATGCCTCCGCATTCGTCTCATCTACTACAGCCTTTGGATATAGGCTGTTTTGCCCCCCTAAAGCGCGCGTATGGGAGCTTGATTGAGCGCAAAGCACGGTTGGGGGTCAACCATATCGACAAGCTTGATTTCCTTGCAGCATTCCCACAAGCTCGCAAAGAGGCCTTTAAACCAGAGACTATTCAAAATGCATTCGTCGCAGCTGGTTTAGTACCATATGATCCCGATCAGGTCATTTCAAAGCTTGATGTTCAACTTCAGACACCTACCCCCTCAGGTAGTCGACCAGGGAGCCAATCGAGCGCGTGGAGCCCTAAAACGCCGGCAAATCTCAAACAATTGAATCGACAGGGCTCGTCAATCAAGGCACTGCTTAAGAAACGCTCGCAAAGCCCACCAACGCCTACGAATATAGCTATTGATCAGCTCCTCAAGGGCTATCAGCAATCATTGCATTCTAATGCAATCCTTCTAAAGGAAGTCCGCGATTTACGGGCTGAAAACGAGACACAAAAGCGAAAACGCAACAGAACGACTAAGCGCGTAGCTCATACGGAGGGTTTTACGGGCCAAGAAGCCAGGGAGTCGATGAACCAGGCTCATGAAGCTCCTAATACTGCCCCGGCGGAACCAGCTGCGTCAGCTTCCCAGCCAATTACACGCGCACCCCCGCGATGCAGCGACTGTCATCAAATAGGGCATAAAAGAACGCAATGCCCTGATAGGTCTAATAGATAGAAATTTGAAATCAATGGCGTTGTTGGTTTAATAAATTGGTTTGAAATTATAGTAGCTGGTTTTCTGTCTCACGGGCCCGTGTGTCTCACTCGCTAGTGGATTACGTTATGCGACCGAGCATGACTAATACTCTTGGCTAAGTTACAATGATACAATCTGACCATCCCTTACAATACTGATTCTCCACTGATATCGACATTTTGTAATGGGCTCCCAGTTCATCAGACCATCTTCAGCGAGTCCGCAGTTTCTCCATTCCATAAAAGACCAGCTGAAAAAAAAACGCCCACTCCGCAGAGATTCGATAAATGAGTAAGATGAGTACACACTTATCTGCATCTTGTTGAACCTGTTGTCGCGTGAAATGCGATCGAGGGCTTCCGAGCTGCCAGAAATGTACCAGTTCAGGCGAAGAATGCCAAGGATACGGGACAACAAGACCCCTGCGTTGGACAAATGGCGTGGCTAGCCGAGACAAATTGATGGGGAATTCGGTACCAATCACTGATGCACAGCGAGTCATTGCTCCGATCGCCAGGTCGCCTTTTGACCTGCTTTTGCAAGATCTGTCGCCAAAAGATCGGCTTGATATCAAGTATTGTATGTATGTCTTAAGATTGGCGTCATTATATTGCCTCCTTTGACTGAGTACTAGTTGATCGATATTGCTCGGTGGAGAGCGGGCTTTATAACTGCAATGCTACAAACCTTTAAGGGAGTTCATGCGATTGATCCCTTCGAGCCCAGCACTGCTTCATACTGTCTTGTCCATCGCAGCATTGCATCAGTCTCAGAGAATACTCGACAATGGCCCGAGTGAGCCTGGGTCTTCTTCAGAACCTGGAAGTTATGCTAGTTCCATGGAGTTACAGCGTTCAATGACGCCTGAAAAATCAGCTACAATATACGAAACCTTGAAACACAAACAGCTGGCATTGAAACATATACGAAACTAGATTGCTTATCCTTGCATGCGCAATATCGATGGCACGATTGCTTGCATTTTTCTGCTGGCGTGGCAAGACTTCATCGATTCCAAAGAATCATGGAAATGTCACTTGGAAGCACTGAACGCGATTGTTCGTGCGAAAAATGCACCGTCACATAAAAAAAGGCAATAGATATGGCGCTAACAGTCTTGAAAAGGAATTTGAAATGACGTACGCAGCGTATGTTGTTTCCTGCTTCCCTCCTAACCTCATTTTACTTACCCGCCTAGACTTCAAATTCTCGGCACAGCATTCGTGAGAAACAATCAGCCGTAGCAGCCGCTATTTTCTACAATGACACCGAGGCAAATTATGAACAACTCCGACGGCGAGCTGTGGGCCGGCTGTCCTGCAGAACTCCTTTATATAATCTCCCTGCTAAACAAAGCCCTCAAATCCGATGCATCACCCCTCGACATTGAAAAGAATATTGTACCGGCTCTGAAAAGCTTCTCGCCAATTAAATGGGCCGTCTCCAGCGAGAACCCATGCCTCATGAAATCAAGATACCATCTTGCAAGCGTCTACAAAGAAGCAGTTTCAATCTACTTGTCTCAAATCATGCATGGAACTATCGAGGACAGTCTGAGCGAGACTCTCATCGGAGGACCGGTCACCTCGGCGCTCCTACATATTCAATCTATCGACCAGGACGACGAACATTTCAAGTGCTTGATCTGGCCTGCCTTCGTAATTGGCGCGGAAGCACGAAATGAATCTCAAAGGGCTACCATCGTCTAGCTCTTCGAGCACCAATGGACTATCTGGCGTTGTCAGAATATACGAAATGCTTTGAATGTGCTTCATGATTTATGGAAGGCGTATGATGAGGAAGGAGTTAAAACTTTTTGGATTGATGCTATCTATCGGTCGGTTATGGATTGGATTTTTCGTCTGATTCTCGTCTCGAAAGCCTCATATAGACACACCTATCCCCTTGAAATCAACTTGATTGCACTTAATGTTTAAAACTCTGTCCATGTCATACTCCAAAGGAGTACTGTATCTAGAATCCACCCTTTCCAGGAAGGCTACTACCATGCAAAGCGGCACATTCCTTCTCAACATCAGCAGGATCAAGGAATTTGGCAAGAGTTCCATTTTTGAATCCCAGACCAACTATCGTCCTCTTCGGCTCTACAGGGAGGTTATTATCATCCACACCAAATACCTGTAGACTGAAAACTTACTTGACGCATCAAACGCTGGCCATCCCTGCTTTTCCAGGCCACGACGCGGGTCACTAGCAAAAGCCACCCACGTCGCCCCCATGTAATTCGAATACTTCTCCTGCAACTCGCTGTTGGGGATACCAGTGACCTCCTCTCCGCTGCCAAACAGCATCGGGATATCACTTCCATGGTATGCGCCACTGCCATCGTATAGATACTGGCTGTCCCAGTCGCCGAAATAGCGAGATTGCCAGGCCGGAACGGCGTAGGCGAGACGACCGTCTACCGCATATTTGCTGGCGCAAGTGAATCCTGCCAGGTTGAATCTGTCCCACTCTGTGTCTGTCAAGGAGATGTTGTTTGCGAAGGCGCTGATGCGGTAGAAGCCGGGTTCGTAGTTGTTGCTTGTGGCGAGGTACGGCTGTTGAAATATTAGCAGATGTCTAAGCCTCTAAATGGCATGTATACACACGATAGAAGCAAATTCGCCTTTGCGGGATCGACTAGGGTAGTCATTGAACACGGTCACATTGTCCACAGTCGGGTGGAACACTGGCTGGGGAAGAGCAGGCGACGGAGCGAATGATACCTTGGCAGTAGCCTTCACCACCTCCTTCCACGACTTGCCACGAATACACTCAATGACCTTGTGGGGCTCGGTGCGCGAATCTCCGCAGCCAAGGGTCTTGGAGACAGTGTAGAAGTAATTGGCCGTTTGGCTGGGGGTGTTGGGCACAAAGCTCAGCGCTGTTCCAGAGTGAGAAATCAGGCCAGCGACGAGAGGCTTCTCTTTCCATGCATAGGCGTAGTAGTCGACAGAGGCACCACCGGCTGATTGGCCGAAGATGGTGATGCGTTCAGGGTCACCACCAAAAGCAGCGATGTTGCGGTGGACCCATTCGACTGCCATGCGCTGGTCGAGAAGGCCAATATTCTGGGGGAGGCCAGGTGCCCCCGAGAAGCCGAAGATGTTGAGTCGGTAGCTGGGTAAGTGATTTAGCGATGATCAATATAGGTGAAGGTGCAGGGACGAACTTGAAGGTCACAACAACGACATCCTGGTCATTTGCCAATCCCTGTCCGTCATAGTAGGGGCTGTGGGCACCACCAATCGTGAAGCCTTGTGATGTTAGAACATTTTGAAGGATAATAGCGGGGTTCACTTACGTCCCCCATGGATAAACATCAACACAGGCTTAGGCTTGACGGTAGGTCTCGTCCAGATGTTCATATAGAGACAATCTTCACCCTGCTCATTCCCCGTAGTAAACTCCCGCATAATCCGCTTGGCCTGTGGAGTGAACCCAGGATAGTCTGGGGGCTGGGCACTATTGGCCGGGCAGTCACTATCAACTAGTCAGATCATCCTTTGCGCATCAACTAAAATTTCATACATACACGCTCTATCATTAGCTTGTCAGTGAGGCTGCATAAACTATTGAGCAATAGGATAATCGGTCATGACTTACATAGGAATGTGCATGAATCGTTGACCCATTCGACCTATAAGAAACCGGCGCGGCGAATCGCAAGTCGCCAATAGGCGCCGCAGCATAAGGGATACCCAAGTATTCGGAGACAGCAGGCTTGCGCTCAGCGACATGGCCTTGAATCCGGCCGCTAGTCGTCTTGACCGTGGCACCGACCTGCCCAGCCCAGACAGCTGGAAGACATGACGCCAGGAACGCGATCGACCCAATTGGTTTCCAGAACTGCATGGTCCCTTTTTTCGTGCGTCAGAAGCGTAAAATAACACACCCCGGAGGCAATGACAGGTTATAACCGCGTTTATTCGGAACTAGCCTGGTGCCAGACTTGAAGCGAAAGGACGGGGTGGCTACTTCGGCCGGCAAATGCAGCGGGTTGTGATTCAACTTGGACGAGGCTGGGAGTCCACTGAGAACTCTATGATATGCATGTTGTTCGACGGTGGCTTGGCGATATGGCCGGGGTCGCTGTGTTGAGGGTCGAAGTGTGGAGTCTGGCTCGCGATTCAATCTGGAGGATTGTGGCGGGTTCCGTCGAGCTGCTGTGGGGCAGCCTAGTTGATTGTTCCGGCCCTGCCAAGCCAGGCAGGTCTGTCCTTAACCCAGGACTTTTTGATTGCAAACCCCCACTCGGAGCTGCCCGGCTCCACGTTGTATTTTGAGTGGTTTTTTTTTGGGGGTGACATCTTCAATCCGAAAATGGGAGGTACTGAGAGCTATCAAAAAGGACGCACCATTTGCACAGGTGACAAGCCCATTTATTTCAGTGGACACTCAGTCGCATTCTACTCCTGTCAGATATTACTCCGTCGGCGATTCCGGGTTACTCAGCATCAAATTGACAACGAACAAGCCATTTTTGCCCCATTGAGGGGCCGAATGCCGGACATCGGGTAAGCCTCATGTCGATCTTAATCCCACCTCGATACAACCACGATAGCACGAATCCTGCAATGTGCATAAAATAGTTCTAGCGCAATGGACATCGGATATTTTTCCTCGCCCCAAAACAAGCGAACAAGAGTGAGTCGAGGTTGCATCGAAAAGCTAAGATGTGATCCTGCGCACACCTGCATACCAGCCTACTAGGTTGTCGCCCCACGTCTGGCCCTTATATCGAGTCCTTTGGCCAGTGCTTGTCGATGGCACCTTGCAGTTCTGCATCGTGCAGTTTCCAAATGTCATGACCTATGAAATCGGATTGAGCACGTCCGATACGCCTAATCGAGGATTTCCGTTATGGATTTGTAGCGTGGTGATGGTCATTCTGGCGGGACTTTTTGTTCTGTCGAGATTGACTATTCGTTTTCATCATGGTCGGTTGGGTTCTGATGACTGGACGATTCTTGCATCCTTGATCTGCTCAATTCTTCTCACAATCACAGAATGCTCCGGTATGTATTTCTATGCCGTCCCTTCGAATAATGTGTTTCTCATTTTCTCTTCCTTTCCTAGCTGTTCACTATGGCTACGGTAAACATTCTGCAGACCTCAGTCACGCAGACCAAATGAAGGCACTTAAATGGTTCTTCGGCGCACAAGTCGTGTACAAAATTGTCATTGCCGTCAACAAAGTCTCATTTTTCTGTCTTTATATCCGAATTTTCATCACGCCCATCTTTCGTCGAATCTGCTTCACCGGCATCGCCGTTGTCACGTCCTGGGGTCTCGCCTACGTCCTAGTCACGATCTTTCAATGCAAGCCAATGGCCTCTTTCTGGGACAAAACAATCAAGAACCCAAGGTGTCTGCACAATGAGACGTTGTGGATGTCATACTCTGTCCTCAATATTGTCTTCGACTTGATCATTCTGGCCTTGCCAATTCGTCCTGTCAGCGAATTACGTTTACCAAAAGCAAAGAAAATCGGCCTGCTTGTTGTCTTTGGGATGGGAACATTGTAAGTCATTGTCGCTTATATCCGGACCTCCCACCCTTTATCTCCGTCACTCATATTGTTCCAGCGTTTGCGTAACAACTATCGTCCGCACCACCACCCTCGTCAGTTCCGCCGCCGATGCCGATCCCACCAGTGCGTCTCTTCCTACCCCTTCACGACCCCCACTATTCCCTTCAAATACTGACATCGAGTACAGGTGGACCCATCCCCGCAACAATCTGGAGCGTCATCGAAGCAAACACCGGAATAATATGTACCTGCCTCCCTGTCTTCAAACACCCACTCCAAATCTTCTTTCCTACCCTCTTCTACTCGCAACCGAGCACAAATCCCTACAGTCGAAGCGTACCCCATAGAATACCGCAAGCCAACACCTCTGAGCGAAACTTGAATGATACTCGCGATGAGATCTGGCAGGATGATTCATCGAGAGGATTTGAGATGGCGACACCTGAAGCTCCGAAGTGTGGAGGGGATAATAAAATTATAATGGTGACGGATTTCAAGGTCTCTTATGGAAATCATGTAAGTGATCAGACACCGGATGCGTCCACGCGTCCGATTCAGACGAGGGAGTTTTAGCTTTTTATAGATACCCGCTCCTTGAATTTCACAAAGTCTTTCCTTTTAATTTGCAATTACACCATGGACGCTTTATTGTGCTGATTCCAGGGTTCTTCGAAGCTTCCTGGAAATGGAAAACACTAAGGAAGTGAAATTCTATGGGAATATTAGCTCTAGAATACACGGGTTGGTAAATCCAGTGCCCTAAAGACGCCAGCTCCCTCGCTGTGCGTCCGTAGCAAACACCGCTGCCCACAGCAAGCAAAAGGTGAGCAAAATATGAAGGAAGTGATCAAAGCACGCGTGGTTCCCAGGCTACATATGGACGTAAAACAGATATCTCTGTCGAATCTGTTTCACGTCGTAAACAATGTACTCATTGTAAATGAGTCCTCCAGTGTGATCCTCCGCCATGCCGCAGACAGCGTCCGGCATCTTGACACCCTTCAACGTGTCGGAGATGCAGCCAGCATCTTTCCAGCCCCCGGGTATTTTCATGCCCCGGCCCAGAGTGGCGATCTTTCCTGCGTTTCTTACAGCCGTCTCGGCGTTTGAGTCGGCGTGGACAAGCTCGAGCATGGGTTCGCCCAACTCAGCGTCGCACAACAAGAGCAGTCCCATTCCACCGCTCATCCGATGGCAAGTGTAGTTGGCCGACTTGGTCGATGTATCGGCGAGATACACTCCCTTGCCGAACATGTATCCGTTCACTGGGGCTTCTGGAGGAGCAATGCGAAGGCCTTGGCTCAGGATGCCGGCAAAATTCGTGCTGCGGGAGCCGTGCCACAGGAGACGGCGATTGCTGTTCTGGATTTTTGCGAACTGGGACGAGCTGAACCGCTCTTCTTCTCCGTCACGTTCGATGCGGAATATGTCGATGACCTGAAACATATTTTTATGTGAGTAAATCATGTACCAAGCTGATACGCGCGCTTCTGCGCCAAAATTCATTACACACTGTCGTACCCTGTAGTAGATGTTGCCGTGGGTGTCCCCTCTCGAGGTCTTCAGGTAGTTAGATAATTCCCGGAACTCATATGAGTTGTGATCCACTGCGATTATTAGTGAAAGTCCATGCTGAACAATCGTCAAGAGCACACACGTTGAGTCATTTCCTTCATTCCGAGTCCCTTAAACTGTCTGTCAAGCGCGTTCACTTGATCAGAATCCAGAGAGTCGGTGTAGATCTTGTTCGCCACGTCCATCTCAGTCAATGCCTCCAGCAGGTCTACCTCGGCTTTGATCTTAAGTTCCGTGTCAATAATTGGTGGCCGCTGACGCTGGAAGTCGTGAGGGATGATCGTCAAGAAGCGGTTGGTGAGAGTCTCAGTCGCTTTATTGAAAGAAACCCCGTATCTAGTCTTCGACAGGGTTGGATCTTGAATTAGCTCGGAGAGGTCCTTCAACACCGAAAACCCGTCATCCAGGTTTTTCTGGCTCAGGTTTCCAAGTGGAAGTTTCTTTGCGTCATATTTCATTTCAGCCATGGCGTTGATGAAATGGTCTTGGTTGAACAGGAATGCCATTAAGTCCTGCAAGGGCTTCGAGAGTGCACTTTCGGCGGGTGGCTTTTTCTCGCGAGGCTCTTCTTTCACCTTGACTTCCTCATTCCCTTCATAATCCCGTTGAAGGAAGGTATACTTAGAAGCCTTGGGACTATCCTGTCTATCCACCCAATTCAGGCCCGTCTTCTCCTTGAACTTTTTGTTAAACGCTGCCAGGGCAGTCTTCAAAGTCCCGTCTCCCATCATCTTGCACTGACCCTTCTCGCCAACACGACCCCAGCGATTCCAGATGTTGTAGGTAATGTTCCCACGGTCCTGCAGCAAGAGAATTTGTAGGCGGTAGAACTTGTTGTTATTCGCACCGACTTCGGTCCTACTTAACGTGGCGTCCCAGATGAGGCGATCTTCATCGATGAATACAGAGACATCGCTCGCTTGAATATAATATAAGTACTTGCGCTTTTCCATTTCAATGTAGTTAACTCACCTGATGTTGCGCATGGCATGTTCCATTCTCCTTCCCCATCCACCGGTACAACCACAGTTTTGAAATTGGCTTTCTGTGGGTCCTTCTGCTTTTTGGTAAGTCCTTCAGCTTCATCGCTTTCTTCTTGATCCTTGGCGCGCTTTCGGCTAGGTGAATTTGCCGTGTCCGGGCTATCCTCTTGCGGAATGGGACTGTTCTGGCGACTGCTCTTGGGAGTGTACCATTCCCCAGCAATGCCCGGAGCCTGGTTGCCGGTCCTGGAAGTGAGGAGAAATTTTTTCGATGGCAATGGTCTATTGGCGTCGATAGAATTCAGAAGCCAATCTAGCGAGACGACGCGAAGCCCAAGAATTTCCGCTCGTTTGTACTTGTGTCCTTTTTTCTTGAACTCCTCCTCGGTGGCAATCAGATGTGTGCCCCGCGTAATTGAGATTGATTTGATGAAGTCTGCACCCAGGTTGGTGATCAACTTCTCCAGGTCACCTACACACAATGGTCAATGTTAGCCTCATATCCGCTTGCACATGTTGACATGCTCCGAACAGGTAAGGTCTCCGAGAGCGCTAGTGGGGCGCGTACTATGCTTATATCCGGGGAAGGTGCCTACGACGGCGACCTCGCAGCCCCGGAATGAAGTCGGCGCCATTATTGTGAGTTGAAAAGGGAAGTAAAGGGGAAAAGCTCAAAATCGCGGGGGCAAGAGCGCAGGTGGTTTCGAGAGATGCAACGGGGGGTAGGGTGGGATGAAGAAGCTTCGGAGGGGGTGGTGGGGATGAAAGAAGCATATACAAAGTGATTCGCAATAGAGAAAGAGATGGTCTGTGGGAAAATCGCAACTAAATGTATAGTCGGACGCAGAGGTTCTTTAAAGATAGACTGTGCCGTTGCGGCCTGAAACACCAGGCGACGCGGGGCTGCTGCCTGGGCCGCTGTCAGGCAACACCCGCTAAGTGGGCCACGCTGCCTGACCTCTCCCCACCACGACCCTGCCATCGGTGGTAGTTTATACTTGTTCGTCGGCTGCCGTGAAGAATTACGAAATTCTGTGCCACGGTAGAAGTTGAGCGAAGATCATAGAGGCGCCAGTATAGATACCAAATAATGTGTGATCTGACAAGTCTATGCGGAGCTCATCATTGTGATCGCAGAATATGAAAAAAGCGAAGGACCACTTTCTAGGATTGATTATATCACAATTTCAAGGACTAAACGAATGGTATTTCCTATATATAGGAATAAAATTTCAAATGTTCGAACACATGACGGGTATGTTTCCTTGGACCCAAGAGCCATCGTGATCTTGTGGGTGACCTGTTTAGCAGCTGCAGCCACAGGCATCGCAACCACCCTGGGCACAAGCGGAATCGCCCATGTTTTCAGGGCTGCAGTCGGCCTCGGTGGAGCAGGATTTCCAGTCACCGTTTCCTCCGTCGTGGGCCAGCCAGCACCATTCTCCTCCGTTGGCGCACTTCTGCCAGCACCAGCCCTTCTCGGAGCATCCGTAGGGGGCACGATCATAGCAGGCCTGGGTGTCGCGAGCAAGGACGTTACCAGGGTTGGATCCCGCGTTCTGTCCTGTGGCGGCAGAGAAGATGGGGCTGGCGAAAGCAGCGAGGGCAAAGAGGCTGAGGTTCATCTTCATTTTAGCGGGTCTAGGCTTCTGTCAGTTACATTTCAGCCTTTGGATGGATCAAAAGGTATGCTCACTGGATGAGGGTTGGGCTTTTGTAATGCGAAGACTGGACTGGGTGGGAATGTTGTGTGATTGTTGACTGAAAGCACGATTTCGACGGGGGCTTTATACCTTTGACCGGAGAGGGAGTGAGGCATCAAGGCATACACGATCGATGTGACGTTCTCAGTTCTTCTTCACAGCCTTGTCGAGTTCTCAGTCTAAGTTTGAATCTGTGACGAGGCTCCAGGGGGCCAACGAGGCTATAGTTGTCACACAAGGCTCTCAGCTCTTGGCCGTACTTTCGGATCGGATATGACTTTGGACACCATTGGGGATGTGCCTGGATCTAACTCCATAATTTGTCGATCACCCCGTGTCCAGAATGGGGCGCGTCGATTGTTGGGTATTTTGCTGGACCCTTAACGTTGAAAGGGTTCCATCAGGCTGGGAGCCTTGCAGGAATGCAGGATGAGGGCCTATAGCAGCCGATAATCATGATCATCTCGCCCGGAGAGAATCCCCCTGCTGCAGCCTAGTGGGCTATGTTCTAATGTTACCTGCATCGTATGTATATGGTCCACTGCAGCGTGGGGCTTGTTCCTAAAAATGTTTCACGCACCGCTCCAAGCCGGCTTGGAAGTATTTCGAGAATACTTTTTGTTCTCAAGGGGTACCTATCACTCCAATAGCTTTGAATGTTTACATTGAGGTACATTGCCCATGGATCCATGGATCTCGGAATCGTTGGAAACGTTGAGCCAGTCACTGCATCAGGCTCCCCAAACCCGAATCCGTCGTCCTCATCATTCAAGAATTCCTCGAAATCAAAGCTCTGGTAATTTCTTCAAACTCTTCTTGGGACAATGAAGCCCTCAAACGAACCCCCACTCAATAAGTCCATCTATTAGGGGCTGATAGCTGAAACGCCGTGTCTCTTCTGTCGTAGCCAAATAGTACGCTCCATTTTCCATCAGAAGTCGAAGCTCAGCCGTCCTCCGTAAATACGCAGCCTTGACAAGATTAACTCCGAATTTTCTTGAACCAAGCCGTACTCGAGGAGCAACTCAATCAGACGGTAGCTTTCATTCCTCGCAAGAGCAGCCGAGGCCGAATTCTCATACAGTCCTGCACGCCGATCGATCTTTTTCGAGGGATCGTCAATGGCTGTCATGATATTGGAATCTGCACCTGCCTCTAGTAAAATTTGGCCATTCGCATGGGTCAGGGGCTAACTGAATCGCGCCAATAAGAGGTGCGTAACTTCACACGGAGTAGGCTGAAGGATACCACTCTCCGGCATCAAATCTGCCTGTAGGGGTACGAAATTTACATCAGTCCCCTCTTGCACCAGGAGGAACTGTACGCGATCTTCATCGCCTCTTTCTGCTGCGCATCTCAGCATGAAATGGGGGTGACGTTTGAAACCCAAGCTCTCAAAGGGATGCTCTGTGTCAATGACCTTTCGTACTTGTTGGAAAAGCCACTCTTCGACATCTCGGAGACCATGAATCGCCACACGATCCATCGAGTGCGATATCTCTACATCAAGGGATAACAGATCGGCGTCATGGCGACGAGCATTTGGAACAGGCTGAGATGGCCCCCACAAGTCGCCGACGACAGTGAACTTCGGCCATTCGGGTCCTTATAACCAATGTCCACACCGGATCGAATCAATGTTACCACAATCTCGAAATTTCCATTGACCACTGCGGCAGAAATCGGATAGTTCCTAGTCTTAAGGCATGGTTCGTCTTACCTTCGATATTGTGATTCATGTACACAACCCGTACACTGACTCCCACTGAACATTCGCGCCAGCCTTAAGGGGGCGTTTCAACGTCGTAACAAATCCAGACGAGGCTGCCCAAAATAAGGTTGAAGATTTATAATTATGCACATTGTCATAGTTAGTATGGCTCGTCGTTCAACATGCGGGAGGTAGGATTGAAGAAGCGCATTCACTTTATGAGGTTCGAGCCTTTTCGTAATGAGCAGGATGGTTTCAACGGGTAATAAAAGGAAGGGCATCGTTCAGTGTTAGGCAAGTCGCTACGGTTGCGTCAGTGTGAACGAAAGGCAATAAATATACCGAGGCGAGGGGAAGTCGTCGAGGGGGGCTGTGACAAGGTCAGTTTTGGCCCCCAGACAGCGATACTCGCCCCAGAATCCGGCGTTCGATGAGCCACATTGCTGGCAGTTGCTGGTTGTATGGCGGGAAGACGAAATCCCCGGCACGGATTGTCAATCGCGCAGAAGAATTTATTTCCCCTTTTTATCAGTCGTCTTGACTGACAGGGAGAGAGCACCTTGTCAGAGGATCTTTCTGGCCGATGGCCGCAGCTGGCGGGGCTTGACCAGAAGTGTTTCTCCGATTTAGTTTACGCGAGGCTGTGGATTTCGGCAACGCTGGATGTGAATACGGCCATCTGGTGAAACACCGCCCGCACAATGTTCCAGCGCTCCAGATCTATCGAATCTGACCACATTCCATGCGCCTACGAACAAAGAGTACTTTAAATCTTTGCTATCTGTTTACTGCGAGGTAAATTACGATCAAAAAAAATTACCAAGTCGTCTGTTGAGTTTTCAGCAGTCTTCAATGCCGCTGAGGCCATGAGGGCTACTATGCCATTCTCCCTGAGTCGCACTAGCCTTATACGGTAACGCGGACCTTCGGGAAGTGTGTATAGCACACTTCCACTCAGGGGTTATCTTAGATTATCAGACATCTTCAATATTACTTCATTGCTGGCTTAAACGATTCCCTCCAGATCCTATCCCTCATCTCAACATCGTCTGTCTTCCAGTGAAGGAAGATGGTACATTGTTATCTTAATATAGTAATCGAGTTCGCGATATATATTTTGACATAGAAATGATGATATATCTAATTTGACCATCCATATCCTCACCAAGTTTCATTTTCCAAGCCCAGGAAATTAATGTACCAAGGTGAAGAGTTCCATTACCCAGTTTGCTACTGTATTTAGATGTTGTAGTGTTGTATCGCAAAAAACCAACATTGTCGGCCTACGGCATGACGAGATGACAACGAGGCTGGAAAGTGACCAAACCAAATTGATTTTCGCTAAAAATCAAATGAAATTAGAAAGATGAAAGGGAAAAAAAGGACAAAAAAGGGAAAAAAAGGGAAAAAATAAATGCTCACGTCCAGATTCGAACTGAAGACCTCGGCATTACTAGTGCCGCGCTCTACCAACTGAGCTACGCGAGCTGGTTGATATCACGAGTTAACAGCTTTGACACTATGAAGCAGAGTGTAAGCATCGGGCATTCTAATCAACCATCCCGTTAGGCGCTACAGTCGACTGTAAAATACTTTATTACTGAGGGCACGAATCAAGCAACACAACTACCCGCGCTTACCTTCGAACACACCAACCCCCCAAAATGTGCCACCTACAAGCTCAATGGCAAGATATGAGCTCGACGAGCGCTGCCCACACTTGAAATTTCAGACCAAAGTGTCACGTCTTTCTCGCAAATCTTAGCCAGTGGATAATATCACGTGATACAATATTTAAGGGTTTCTTCTTGAATCTCAGCGGGATATGTTCTCATCACAAAAAGGTTTCATTTTCGGCTCACAAGTCCTGTTATTAGAATTTGCCACGCCTCAAAATCACCGAAACGTTTACATCGCGTCGAGGAGTTCCCATTTGAGAAACCGCCACGCGACGCACTAACTTTGTTCGGGCGGTTATAGACAGAGTCTAACCCGATTAGTGAAAAATAGGCTACGACCTCCCGACTGGGGATGTAGCCGATGGAGAGCTCATCGGCAGGTTGCACGTTTCATCCTCATGAAGCGATGGAAAGATTTCGAATAGAACAATGTTACATATAGGCCATTCCGCACCAATGCTGCTTTTCAATCCGATCTCAATATTCCACTTGCATTCGTCGAATTGCGCTCATACCGTGAAGGCAGGCCCTGAAGTCTTCGCCTGCAAGAGATCGATCACATATCTCGCGCCGTCAACATGGGAATCAAAGACACGTCCGCGACCACCTCCCAGCCACACATCTGCATCATCGGCTCATTGAACATCGACTTCGTCACATCCACACCCCGATGCCCCGGCCCCGGCGAAACTCTCACAGCAACCTCATTGTCCGTGACAGCCGGCGGTAAGGGTGGAAACCAGGCAACCGCCTGCGGCCGAGCCTCATTCACTTCCAAGACAAGCCAAGATGTTGCAGTTAGCATGATTGGAGCAGTCGGCGCCGACGATGTCTACTACTCGACGCTCCTCAAGCCAGGTCTCGAACAGTCGGGAGTCACCACAGCAACCATCGAAGAATCAACCGAGGCACAGACCGGCTCGGCCAGTATTATCGTCGAAGAAGATATCGGGGGAGAGAACCGTATCCTGGTCGTTCCTGGTGCCAACCACGCTGGAATGATGAGCGACGTGGCGCAGATCATAACCGCCGTCAAGGAGCAGAGTGTCCGCCCCGGACTTATCGTTTTGCAGGGAGAGATCCCGCGCAAGACGACCCTTGGTCTATTGGAATATTTCAACGGTGGCGACGTCTCGACGACAGATCGATCGCACATTGTCTTCAACCCTGCACCCGTTTTCCCCGAGGGAATCTCACTCGCGGCGCTCAAGCATACCTCCGTCCTGATCATGAATGAAACAGAGGCTGTGCAGATGTCGAGATCAATTGCCGGTCTTCCGGTTTCTGACCTGACTCAGCCCACTGAGCTGGATTGCCTGCAGCCCGAAGAGCTTGCGCCGAGATTTCACGAGCTGGCCCACGTCCCGATTGTGCTTATCACACTTGGAGCCAAGGGCGTTTACTTCTCAACCCGGACCGGTCGACGAGGCGTTGTGCGGGGCGTGAAGGTCGTAAAGGTGGTTGATACGACCGCTGCGGGCGATACATTTGTCGGATACTTTTCGACAGCGCTTGCGCGATTCCTCGCCCAGAATACCTCTTTGGTAGCATTCGACGATGAGATTGAGGCTGCGGTCTCGAAGGCAAATGCGGCGGCGGCCAAATGCGTGCAGCGCCGCGGTGCAATGCAGAGTATTCCCTTTGCTTATGACATGGAGTAGAAAGGGGACATAGAAACGACTAGACATGTGAAAAGGGATAGAATGTTGGGAACTGGCGTTTTAATGATTTCATGAGGACATAATTCAATTTATACATCTTGCACTTCCGGACACTCGTCATACCGAGCAATATTCCAGACAGACTGAAGAGCCTGCGTCTCACGTTCCAAACTGATCCCCATTGTCGCCGTAATTTTCCTGAATAGATCCAGGAGCACAGTCTGCTGTGATTCGTGGGTCATCTCTCGAGCAATTAAAAGAAGACTCGCAACGAGTATCGGATCCCACTGCTCCGGCGAATCATTACTAGCCGAAATACCGGCTATTGATTGGGCATGCCAGATATGCGAAGTGAAGCAGCGTGGACCCGGTAGTGACTTTAATAAGCGAGGCTTGTGCGTCAATAAAAGTAGGGAGGTGATGTGGTAAACAGTATTGGCGACCAGCGCCATGGGCGTCGTAAAGATGAGAATGGGGAAGGAGGAGTCGTGGTCTGGGTCGATCTGGTCCGCCTCTCCACCGCGGACATCCACGATCTGCTGCGCATCGACCGGGCGCTCGTTGTACCATTTCTGGCAGTCTGTCCAGAGGAAGGTCCATTGTGAGAGGAAGTGTGATTGTCGCAAGGAAGGGAAGGCTGCCAGTTCTGGTGAGCCAGCGGCTTGAGGTGAGGTTATGTCTGGGTCTCCGTAGATGAGAGCTAGGCTGTGTCCTAATAGGCAGAGGGCGTGGTTGTAGACCCGGTGGACGGTGGGTATTTCGAGGGCGAGCTGTGAGGTGTGGATTGGAGAGCCGTCGCGTTGAAGGAATGAACGGAAGGGGATAAGAGGAGGTTTGCATGTTATGAGTGAAGATGCGAGATCTAGCAGGGTTCAAGTTAGTTTAGTTGCTCTGCCCATTGGTACATATAAAAGTCGCCACTCACCAAGTCGAAAGTGCAACCAGAATAGCTCTTCGCCCATCTCTTCTGCAAGCGCCCCAGGGGTCACTAGACCATCAGACTCGATATGAGGTTCGAGCCGGTCGCGCCACTGCTGAACTCCTGCCGGTAGAATTCTTTGTAACAGCAATAGTGCTTGCCCAGTATGCCTCAACATGGCGGCCTCCATCACCAGGCTTTCTTCTGCCTCCTTGCGAAATCGCATACCGCCACTAATGTCTTGATTGGGGAAGCCAAGACCGAGAAGTGACCTTTGGCTAGCAGACAAGGCCAAAATGGCAGACTGCAGAGGTCGGTTTGATCTGGAGAGAAGGAGCGCTTGCACTCCGAACGCACAATACGGGTCCCCGACATCAATCCAGGGACCGACCGAGTAGCGGAAGTGCCGTAGGAGATCGGTCTCGTAGTTGCTGATTATACTGATAGGTCTTCGGGGGAGATGCTGGTAGTCTCTGGTCAGACGGAGATATTCCTGGCTGATGGGACTGCCCCCAGGATAGCCTCCAGGCAGACCCAGTGCCGTTGGTAAGGTCGAGACTCCTTGCGTGTAGTCGATAGACACATTCGAGGCCAGGATGTCATTCAAGCCGACTGCTGTTCGATTTCCACTGTGACTCAAATACGGCGTCTCGTCTGATGGATTCAGTATCCCCTGTGCTGTCAGAGAAATATCCTGAGACTCGGTCGCATGTTTGTCGTGACTTTGCGACTTCTCCTTGCTTTTCGCAGCCGCGTGGGCCACAGGAGAGTCATCAACGAACTATATTATTCGGTCAACAATGCCATCAAGCTGTAGCACAATCCATCACCACCTACACTGATCGACCCATACACCTGCCTTCCACCAGGCGCATTCCCCGATCGCGGGGGCACAAAGGCCAAGTCCGAGCCATACTTGCACGTAAAACCCTTGACTTCACAGTTGGCGCATCTGGGCTTCTGCTCGTCGCCTGTCCCTTGTTAGAATGCGCCCATCATCGAGCAAAGCGCAAAGACTCACATTTTCGCCTCCTCTTGCGACAGGTCAGACAGCCCGTCCGCACCCGTTGCTTGCCAGCAGGTGTCGGGTTCCGGGGCATGGTGGTTCGAGCAGGCGTGCATGACCCCGGATCGTGGAGGAGGCCAAAAACGCGAGCTGGAGGCTCCAAGCCCAAAAGAGGATTTCCGGAGGCGGCCGCAAAAGTCGGGGCCGTTGTGGGGCAATCACCCCGATCAAAATGCCGGCGCGGCTTGGACCGCGTTTCCATCCTTTTGCTTAGGCATTGCTTTTTTTCCTTGCTTGGTACTGTGGAGGAGGATTCGGACGCCACCCGAGAAAACGTGGCGATCGATCGATCTATGCAGGTGCGAGGAGAACTGGGGACCACAGCTCCTACTACGAGTAGAAGGTATACCCTACACATAATGCGCCCTAGTGAAGTATGACCTCAGAGAGAATGCTCAAAATACTTGTGAAGTTGTGCAATAGACGATTAACATAGAAATCATTAAATTGGAATATTTAGTAGTAGAGTATCTCTCAAGACGAATGCTGAACAACAGTGTTCCCATCACATGACCATCCCTCTACAGACTCTCGATGTACTGGCTGCCCTCCTTCTTCTCCAAATCTCGCCCGGTAGCAATCCCCATCCGCTCAATGAAGTCCGTCAGGCCAACGTCGCGCTGGGCATCCCGGAGAAGTTCCGCATCGCGTTCGCCAGTGTGGCTCTTGAAGACCCGGTCCATCTCCTCCAGGGTCGCATTCTTGGTCTCGGGCAGGAAGTACCAGACCCAGAATATGCCGACCAGAAGGAACGCGGCAAAGAAAATATATGTGCCCCACTCCCAGGCCTGAAGCATCGGCGGGACGAAGAACGCAATGGCGAAGTTGTTGATCCAGTTGCTGGAGGCACCGATCGAAGCTCCCTTGGCGCGAATCGACAGAGGGAAGATTTCGGACACGAGGGTCCAGGAGACGGGGCCCCAGGTGGCGCCGAAGCTGGCAATATATAGCCAAATCAGGGCTAAGAGATATTTGTTAGACATGTTTATTTAAAAGTCGTTGGGTAAGAGACATCACTTACCAACAGCAGTCCAACCAGCTGCAACATGGCCGGGCCAGTCGTGCTGGAATTTGGCCACGATGACACCAACAATCACCATACTGCAGAACATCACCACTGAGCCGCCGAGCAGCATGGGCTTGCGACCGATTTTGTCAATGACCAGCATTCCGGGGACGGTGCTGATGATGAACACGACGCCAGTCACACCGGTAGCCAGGAGAGCAATGGTACCACCGGTCAAACCCAGGCTCTGGAAGACGTTGGAGGCATAATAGATGACTGGTCATTGTCAGCAACGATGGTTTGATTAGAAGGCGTTGCCAGGGGCTACTCACTCGCGTCAATACCACTCCACTGCTGGAAGAACATTACCAACCAGGCAGTGGCAACCCGCTTGAGATTGTCCATCGAGCGAACACAGTTGGCATACTGCGCAATCTGGTTCATGAAGATGCTCTGGCGCTCGCGCTCCGCCAGCTTAGGCGAAGACTTGGCAAAGGCCCGCTGTTCGAATACCGCCTCGGCCTTGATCTCCAGATACTCGACCTGGACCAGTTCATGCTCGACGGGGACCTTCCGCATCCAGGCAAGCGTGGCCTGGGCCTCCTCATCGCGGCCCTGCTTGACCAACCAGCGAGGCGAAAAGGGCATGAACCAGATACCGCAAGCCAGGAAGACTGCGGGAATACCCTGGATGATGGAAGGCAGACGCCACGCCATATCTGACTGAGTCTCCCCGGTTCCACCAATGTTGTTGCTGCCATATCCAACCCAGAAAGAAATCATGATACCGAGAATGGTGGCGAACTGGTAGAACGAAACGAGCAGGCCGCGCATCTCAGGCGCCGCAAGCTCCGCATTGTACAAGGGACCGACACCGCTGAACAAGCCGACACCTAGACCGGTGAAGAATCGACCGGCATAGAGCAGCGAGGGATTTCCGGCTGTGGCACCGACATAGAGGTAACTGCCGAGGATGACCCAGCAGCAAGCGAAGAACATGGTGTACTTGCGGGAGTAGATCTCGCCGAGAATACCGGCCGACAGTGAACCCACAATACCTCCCAATTGGAGGACGGAGGTCAACCATCCAGTGGCGGTAGACGATGCGACGACAGTGGGGAAGTTCTCGGTAAACCGAGTCATGACCAGGGATTGGCCCAGCACACCTTGTTGGTAGCCATATTCGAAACCACCAAAGCTATGCACATGACAAATATTAGTTCTCGTTCTGTGGGCAGGAGTTTCGCATTGTTATTGTGGACTTACGAAGCAAAAAAGGCAATGAAAAGCACCTTTGGATTTGCAAAGATGGACTGCCACATCGACTTCTTCGCGATTTGAATGCGTGGTGCCGCCTCCACATCGACGGCTGCTCGGTCCGCCATACTGAAAAGAAAAATAGCTCGGGCCGATGCGTCAACACTTGTGAGCAAGAAAACTCGCCTGGCAGAGAATATTTCGACAGTGGGGATTTCGATTCTACGAGAATCTGGGGATGTGATCCTTATATACTGTCATCCCGATCATCTACCTCAACTACGGGGCTGTCACCCGCGCAGAAAAAAAAAAAAGCCAAACGCCTCATTCCCCGGTCTCGGCCTCCCGAATCGCGTGGTTTTCCCCCGGAAGCCCGCGAAAAACGTGGAGGCAACAACCAGGGCGGGCAAGTGCGGAGGAAACCCCTAATCCCAAACAAGCACGCTGGAGGCTCTGATGGCCGGATTGAGCGAAACGGTCGGGGTCGGGGTGGATCCACTCGGTTAGCGAAGGGGGAAATCGGAGGCAGCCCGTGGGCATCGATGCGGGCCCTGCCCGACTCCCACCATAACCCAGAGTTCGCGTGTGTCAATCGGCCGTCGTGCAGAACTAGTTCCAGGGATGGGCTGATTTCTCCCGCGATGGTGTGGGGTTGCATCCCTGAGTCCCGTCGCCGCGTTGGGAAATTGGAGCCACTGCCCGGCTCCCTTGGTTAAGTGCATGCGGGGATCGTGGAGAACGTGGAGTGCATCGCACGGGGATTGGCATCACAACAAACCTATTGCTCGGGAGATAGTCGGGTATGCCCGATGCGAAATCTGGGGATAGGCAGCAGAGATGTTGCGCTGGAAGTATAAAGGTTCCGGTGAGAGAACATAGCTGGAGAGGGCACAATTCGAGAATATCTTGAGGGTTGACTATCACCATGCACTGGCCCACTTCGTTGCCGCTGCTCTGCAGCACGCTGCTTCCATTCGTCACGGGCACTGTCGCCCTGCCGAAGGCGCGATCGGATAAGCACTATGCAATCATGGACAACGATTGGTACACAGCCGGTTTTGTGCCGTACCTAGTTGCTCTTGATGGAGATGTGGATATTCTGGGCCTCGCTTCGGGTATGCTTGCACTTCCACAATTTTGCAAGACGTGGCTAACTTTCTTTTTTGCTAGATACTGCCAACTCCTGGCAGCCGCAGGTGGCGCTGCACGCCGTTGCCACTTTGGAAGCCGGGAATCTTAGCTGCATTCCCGTCTACCCCGGAGCCACTTGGCCCCTGATCAACACCCCGGAGCGGTTCCAAGCATGGGAGACCATTCACGGCAAACTGCCGTGGGAGGGTGCATTCGCCCCGGAGAACAAGACCATGGAGGCTGAGGGCAACGATCCCACATCGGGCAACCCCGATCGCATTGTCAAGGCGGCCTTCAAGGAGGGATTCCCCAAGGGCAAGCCGAATAACTCAACCTCGGCCGCGAACTTCATGGTCGAGATGGTCCATAAGTACCCCGGACAGGTGTCGATCTACTCTGCGGGTGCCCTAACCAACATTGCTCTGGCTGTCCGGATGGATCCTCAATTCGCTTCCCTGGCCAAGGATCTTGTGATCATGGGTGGATATGTCGATCTCAACATGCTTGAAGCGACCGGCAGCATCATGCTGGCTGACTATCAATCCGACGTGAGTTGACCCAAAGAGTATATCTGGTGCATCTGCTAATTGATAAGATTAACCTCATGATCGACCCCGAGGCGTCGAAGATCGCCCTGACCGCGGATTTCCCCGAAATCACCATTGCTGGTAACGTTGCCAACCAGGTATTCCCCACCAAGGAGTTCGTCGACGAGGTTGCATCCGTCAAGAACCCCTATTCGGAGCTCTTCGCCAAGTACTATGACCTGTCTTTTCCCTTCTGGGACGAGACCGCTGCCGCGCTTATGGTCGATGCCTCCCTGGCCACCAACCAGACCTCTGGTAAGTTCGAGCTGAACATTCAACAGCAATTGGAGATTACCTAACAGAGTCTTCCATTTCAGTGTACCTTGATGTTGATACTTCGTACGGAAGTCCCAACTATGGAAACATTCACGTTTATCAAAAAGCTCTCGCCCCGGGGGTATCCGCCAGGTGAACTATGTCTTTGAGGTTGATGCCGACAAGCTGAAGCAGCGTATCAAGCACGCGCTTCAGTATCCCAAGACCTGTGCGGACCTGAAGAAATAGATGCACATTTTGATTCTTTAACCTTGCAAATATTTGATTGTCGATATGGACAGTGGCCAATTTCGAAAGGTCTTTTTTTTAGACGCGCTTTATGATACAATCGGAGAAATCTCACGCCAGACATAAATCATATGATTCAAATGCAATTGGTATAATCCGTAAAATGCCAGCATCAAGTGGGAATTTTCAGATCAAATCGCCGCCAGAATTTCACCCGGCTCATACCCCCAAGCTCTCTCAAGATCCTTCAACCGCCAAAGCGCCCCCCAACCAGTCGTCTCTTCAACAATTTTAAACAACTTTGCCACCTCAACATGCTCACTATGATGACTGAGAAGTTTCCCGGCAATGTATAGTGGCTGAATAGCGTTAATCAAATTCCCACTGTGGGGGTTCGTAAGCGAAATGCCGCACACTCGTCGCGCATGCCAGATAGCCGAATACTGAGGCTTGCCCGGCGGAAGAATCTTTTCCGGGGGCTTCATATCCAGCATCATGATACATGAAGCGTGGTATAACTGATTCCCCGAAATAGCAGCCCAGTGCGCGAATAGAATCTCGGGAAAAATTTGCCCGCCGCCGATGCCTGTCGTTTTAATCGGTAGCATGGCGGGAGGCCGTTGTTCCATCCAGTACTGCAGTTCATCCCAGAGGCAGGTCCATTGCTCGAGGAAGGAGCGAGTGTCATCTACCATTTCACCCAGCTCGAGGTGCCTTGTCTGTCGGCAGGCAAGGTCGCATGTCTTTGCGCAGAGGTAGACGGCCCAGTTGGCGTGCATATCTGGCGACGCGTGGCCTTTTTGGCAAAATAAATCTCGAATCATCGTTTCCCGCTCTTTCGGACAGGTTATTTCCGGCATCGCAGGCACCCATTTATCGAGTGGCAAGACGGTGCTCTCGGCGCCGTTGGAGATAATCGCGCCACAGAGTTCCATGCGCGCGTAGCACCAGAATACGGCTTGTAAATGACCTCCTGAGAGACCATTCACACTGAACGAGTCAAAGAGCGCAGCGCATCCCTCGACATGGCGGCGCCAATCGCGCGGACTGACGGACATCAGCTCCATCACAGCCAGAATGCATACCGTCACAAGCACATTAGGATCCTTAGCTTGCAGACAGGGCGCCAATAACCGAATCGACTCCTGATAAAGCTCTAGGCTATCATAAGCCTTGTCAAGGCACGCTTTGCGCTCATTCTGTCTCGCCGAAAATGCCAAAATGGCATAGAATAAAGTGGGCGATCGCTGCGCCAGAATCGGAATATGAACGCCAAAATGGCGCGATTCGTCGAATTTATCCAAGTACGGCGCGCACTCGGTAATCCAGTTCTTGAGGTAGTAAATCAGTCTGATTTTGGGGATCGACACCCGCGTAAAGTCTAGGCTTTGTCGAGAAGTACGGGATCCAGGGCCGTCGAGAGGCTCCGATTGCACGGGCGATGCGTATGTGCTAGGCTCGAGGCTGGAGACGGCGGAGAATAAGACGCAGCGGAGTTCTTCTTGTAATTCGAGGAAGCGCGGGTTGGCGGCATACTCGTCCGCACTGGAAAATGTACCCGGCGATAAAAATGCTTCTTCTTCGAAGAGCGGCGGGGCGCCGTTGAAGGATTCGGGAAGTCTGCCATCGGGTAGGATTGGAGGGACTGGATCGTCCATTTTCCAATGTGTGTGCTGTTGAGTTGGGGAATCCGGGGTAGAAAGGAAGGAGGAAGCGTGGAACGCTGGGATTGTTTCTTAATCGGAGGCAAAACCTACTTAGTCACGGAAACCCGCCGCCCTGCGAATGGATCCATGGATCACAATGGCCATACATTCGGCGAAACGGGGAGCTGTGAATATTAGAGAATTAATTTGATACTATTCAATGTAGAAATTATCTACGGACAGTAATCTACAGCACCAACATCGCTAAGCCACTCATAATGCACCACATTATTGATCTTCCTCAACACCGTCGGCTCTAAAAGACTTCGAATCGCATCTGCAAGCCATGCAAATGTGTCCCGGGGTCAGACCGAACAACGGCGGAGAGCTTGTCTATTTCCAAGCACTTCTTCGAAACTCGGGGTCCTTGTTCGCTGAGTATACCATACGGCTGCAATACTTGGAATAATCGCTCATAACGAACAGTGTCCGACTGCGATTGATAATTATACGCAGAGTGCACCTTCACTCCCTTGGCCCCGTGCACCACTTCATATACCTTATGGTGGGCACCGAGAATAACCCAGTTGCAATAGCCCATAGGGGCCAGTGCCCCAATCTCAGATGATTCGATCACCTCAATGACAGAATCACTGTGCGATCATCTGATCAAGATATTCGCACATATTTCCTCTGATTCTGCGAAGAATGAAATTCCCAGGCTGTGTGCGCATGTTGTCGCTGCGGAAATCCACCAGGTCGTTAAAATGAACACATGCATCCACCAGCTTCATGTATTCTCCCTCTGTGAGTTCTTGACCCATGGCAAACGACGCAGTCATCACACCGTGGAAGGCGCAACGTCAATAGGGCGGTGGGCACAGAGTCTGATCATTCGACTATCATATATCACATCGGGGAGACGACTCCTCGAGTGATCTCTGAAATACCCGAGAACGCGACACTGAATCATGTATGCAGCGAGATTGTCAAACTGGCAATCGGACACTCGGTCTGCGATATTGCACATCTTCAAGGATGCCATGGCGCCAGCGCCAGCTTTCTGTAGAGGCTCCAGCCCCTTCGCATCGGCAGCTTCGCAATAATCACCGATCAAGATATTATTGCAGGAGGAGGCGACAGCCCATGCGGTTCCTTCGTCGCAGAACCCAGCACCACAGGCGATGACGCCGAAGTATTTTGCATCTGCGCAGATATTATTTGTTAATTTGTCCATGGGTTGGGTATAACTGGTTGCTAATTGTCGTGCTTCCGTCAACTGGAAGACTGGGACGTCGGTCGGGTGCTCTGATTTCTGGAATGAGGTGTGCTGTCTGAAGTCCTTGGCATATATCGGGTGTGGCTTGGAAATAATTGTTCGCCAGTAACAACTCATTGACGGCTTTTCAAGCTTTTCAGGGGTGAAAATACCGTTGTTATTACATTCGTGTTGTCGCATGAGGACGGTTTCCAGTGTGTAAATCATATTGCGAATGGCACCGCATATATGGGTTTGAGGTGTCGCCGGAGACCTTTGCGCTTTAATATAATAACATTTGAATTTGGATTGGGGTTTCTATTTTTAGGAAACGAGGTTTGTTTCATCACGAGATGGTGAGTACATTCCCCCGAGTTTCAAATTGCAGGCCGAGCCATGATGTTTGAATGAATGGATGGCTTGCGTGAGTTCTCTGTTGTTCATGAGTCGGTGGATATTATCATTTCCGAATAACCGTGCCAGATCTTCGAGTGCGAGAATGCCACAGGTATTCGTCTTTTTATTATCATCAGATGCAAGTATCCAAGCATCACTCTATGTCAGGTGGATGCGAAGGAGACTCGGGTCGACCAAAGGTGAGATCTTGGAAATCATTATGGTTGAGCGCATTCAACCGAAGCGGATGAGACGCTGGTTAACATACAGCATCACTTAAATACTTTCGCAATCCATACCTATTTTCTCTTCACAATCGCTATCTTAAGTTGGAAAGCAACGGCGAAATCCGGCCATAAATTCGTGAGTAAAGCGGCGCGACAACACTAGCCTCATTTTGCGATGAAGGACGAGCTAGCTCTTCCACAACCGTCAACAACCAGGAAAACAAGCCGATCAACAGACAAGCCGCTCTCGGTAACCCGAGCCACAAGAACGTTTTCATGCGTGATTTGTTTGCTTGACGAGGCATCTATGCAGGCGCGACCGCAGACGCAATTACAGAGCGCCCGAACGAATGCTAGCGCCAGGCACACGTCAGTGGTCTCGTTTGTCTGAGAGGAGAGTCCGCATTCCGTGGCTTAGTTTCATGAACACTTTTTCGTGGCTTGCGTCGCTCGGCGGCGATGGCGGCAACAAGTGTTCTCGGCTCCGTTTACTGTATCCATGGACTAGGAGAACTGAGTTGCAATCAGGGCGACGAGACCGCTGACGCCATGGTGCCAGTGTCGATCTCTCCGCTTTTTGTGAGAATAAGGAAGCGTCTAAGTTCTAGAACAAAGTCGGCAACTGCATACTCCTGTTTATTGACGTCAATCGCATGAAAGCCGTGAAAGAGTATCGCTATAGTAAGACCAATCGCTTGACCAGACTGTCTCTTCCGCGGTCACATACTCCGGCTTCATTCGTCTCATTTCTAGGCAAACTCTTTCTCCAATATATCCAACGGACCTTCTGCGGTGCATATTAAATTACAGTTGATTTCTTTGAGGTCGGCGTTGGGCAGGCCCCGGTGACTTTCAGCTCTCTTGATTCAACCACCCACACGGCTAGCAGCAATGCAATCATGTCGATCACTGATTAGCCAAGTTAGCCAAATGGGTTCAATATCTCAGAATGAGGAGCACCGAGTGGGACCAGATCATCAATTTTGGCAAGCTGTAAGAAGCAAACGAAAACGCACTTGCAAACCCCTGTGCGTTCCCACGGTGCTTGCCTTGCGACCAGACCCATAACGATCCCCTTCGAGGGCCGCATGCGGAGATATACAGAAGGATTTGTCAACGACTTCAGAGACACAGAGTCGTTGTCTATACGAAAGACGATCCACCGCTGCTGACAAGCTCTTTCAAACACCTTTTAGAGCAAGCGTGAGTTCATCCACCCACTACATTAATCCATCTACTCATCAATGCTGACGCTACGCTCGAAAAGATAATCGCGTCCTGCGGTCCGCAGTATTACATAGGCTTGCGTGCTGCCGCGAACGATCCAGGACTGAATCCTATTCAATGTCAGGAGCTTGGGGGCGGGTGTGGTTTAGTACGTGGAGATCGAACACAGGTGAATCGAGCCAATTTAATTGTGCACTGTGAGACATTCGATGGTGACATTTACGAAGGCAGTCTGTGATAGAAGGATGATGGAGAGTTGGGAAGAGTTCGAGAATGCGTTCTTTTTCTTTCAAATGATCGCAGCTTTCTGACATCCCTCCTATCCAGACTGTCTTGGGGGATGTCCTCATCCGATCGAATGTCTCCCAGAGCTCCAGTAAAATGCGAGGTTTGTTATGGGGCATTTCCATTTTTCGTCGTGAAATCAATTGATGGGGCGAAGTCTCCCAAGATGCAATGAGGCAGTGTCAGCAATTAGCAAGGTTAAGTTCGATCAAAAAAGTTCATTCAGAAAGGCAAATCGTGCTCAACGCTAGTCAGAAAATGATGTGAGGTGATTTATTAAGGGACTATTCCGTGGGATGACTGGTGACGGCATGTATGTTGGGGTAATTCTTTCCCCGGCACACTATCCCTCCACGGTCGCATCTCATCACCCCATCTCACCCTACCTTTACCCGCGCAGAATCAGGCCACTGCTCAATCGACTGGGTTGACAGGGGCAATTTTGGAACCCCTCTAAATTTCTCATATTTTTCGTGTCAGCCGAGACTTTTATGTTGGGACCAGTTCTAGCTGAACCAAGCCCGACCTTCTTGGCAGGAAATCTACTCGGCTAGATGTTAACAAAGCTCGGCTCCCTCCCGCTCGAAAGCCTCGTCCCGGATGGAGAAGGAGAGCCAACTCCAGCAAAAGGAGATGGATCTCCGTGGGGGTGCAATTTGGCGCAATTTTAAAATCACAATGCCGAACGAAAAACCGTCATGGCGACCGCTCTTTCTGCCAGCACGCTCATGACGCAAGAATTTGGTTTCTCTGGTCTGGTCGCAAGGAGTTGGGCGAGGGACCGGATTGGCCGACAGACTTTTCGCTGGGAAATCAGAGCCCAACTCGGACCAAGCAGGCGTGCGGGATGTCTGGGGCAAAAATATTCACGGCAGGTGACCGAACGGCCCCCGCCGTACAAACCTGCCCTTTCCCCGGGAGATTACCGGGCACAGCCCCCGGCAAACGCAACATTTCCCCTCGAACGATGTCATTTCTCTCCGCATCCTGGAATCCTGGAGATTGTCCAAGCTTTCCGGGGCACCTTAGAGCGTCCGTAGAGGGATACCGGTGTGTGTTTTCGGGGGGATTTGGGGAAAGCGCACATGGGCATGAAGTGCCACCCCTCGTTTCAACCCGAGTCCCCACCGGAAGTACCGGACCGACTGGCCAATGGGCGGGCGGCATTCTCGCTTCTCGGACGCCCATGTTGCCGAAACAGTGTGAAAGGGCGCCCGTGGGGGGTTCAACCTTCCCGACGCCAAGCCTTTCTCCACTGCAACCCCCGCGTGAGATATTTTCGCGTGGGGGTCACCGGGGTTCGTACGCAACCAGAAATGGTGGGGTTGGGAATTGGTTGGCGAGTGCCCGTATTTAATAAGAGAACCCCAATTTCCCCCTGATATTTTTCTTCACTGGCGTGAGAATCTAGGTTGCTGAGAGATCATACACACACCATGGCGGACGACATCTCACGACACAACGACCGCATCGAGATCGAGGTCGAGAAGGAGAACACGGAAAATCTCGAGCATGTCACCGAGCAGCAGAATGGGCTGCCGCACATCGACCCGGCGCGTCGAGCGGCTGCCGAGAAGAGCCTCAAGCGCAAGCTCGATGCTCGCTGTAGTCTGTTCGTGCTGATCTACATCATGAACTACCTCGACCGGAACAACATCTCTGCGGCCCGTCTGAAGGGTCTGCAGGAAGACCTTGGTCTGACCGACACCCAGTACTCGACCTGTTTGAGTATCTTGTATGTGGGATACATTCTGATGCAGGTGCCCTCCAACATGTTCATCAACCGCATCTCCCGGCCATCCATCTACATCGCCATCTCGATGACCCTGTGGGGTCTGATCTCGACTTGTTCCGGAAACGCAAAGAACTTTGGCCACATGGTTGCCATCCGTTTCTTGCTGGGTTTCGTGGAGGCTGCGTTCCTTCCCGGTGCCCTCCTTATTCTGTCCAAGTGGTACACTCGCAAGGAGCTGACCACTCGGAATGCCATTTTGTTCTGTGGTAACCTCATCTCCAATGCCTTCTCCTCGCTGATTGCTGCCGGTGTCCTGTCCAACATGGAGGGTGTACTTGGTCATGCTGCCTGGCGTTGGCTGTTCTGGATCGAGGGTGCTATTACCATGACCATTGCCGTCTCGGCTGGCTTCATCCTACCTGATCTGCCCACCAACGCCCGTGGCTTCACCGAAGACGAGCGTCTTGTGGCGCAGATCCGTATCCTGGAGGATGTTGGTGAGGCCGATACCGACTCTGAAGAGCAGAGCCCCTTCACTGGTCTCATTATGGCCCTGAAGGACTACAAGATCTACATCATGATGCTGTCTTTCACTGCCTACGTTGTGGGATTGTCTTTCAACGCTTTCTTCGTGAGTTTTAGCCGTTTTCATATCTCTGATTCTTTACTTACCGTCTCCGCCTATAGCCCACTCTCACCGGTACCCTCGGATTCTCCGAGATCCCTACCCTGCTTTTGAGTGCTCCCCCCATGGGTCTTCTCCTGTATCTTCTCCGTCATCAACGCCTGGCACGCCGATCGAACCCAGGAAAAGGTCAGTCCCATCCTCTTTACCAACATCACTCCGAATCTCCAACTAACTCATCCCAGATCTGGCACATCTACGGCCCAATCGTAATGGGTCTTGTCGGTTTCATTATCAGCATGTCCACCCTAAACGTCGCGGCCCGCTACGTCGCCCTCTTCCTGCAAGCCGGTTCCTACGCGGGATTTATCGTGTTCTACTCCTGGATCAGTTCCTCCTTCCCCCGTCCGCCCGCCAAGCGAGCCGTCGCGTTGGCCCTCATCAACGCCTTCAGTCAGCTCGGTAACGTCGCCGGCTCATACGTGTGGGACCTTTCGGAGAACGGCTACCGCAAGAGCTACGGTATTGTCACTGCCATGTTCGGCATCACGATTGTCGGCTTCTGGCTCTTCCGCATGATCCTGGTCAATCTCAACAACAAGCTTGCTGAGGCCGAAGAGTCGACCGATGAGTCACAGGCTGGCGACTTTATTGTTAGTGCCAACGAGTCTTTGTGCATGCGCAAGGGCTTCAGATATCTGGTGTAAAGTGCTGGAACGCTTGCATCTGGGAAATACTTCCATGCTGGAGTATTTTGTATGATTTCATGCAAATCGGCTGTTGCCGCTTCTCTGTTACGCATAGCACTGATATGAATTTGCGAATGACGCGAGATGATTATTATCTTCTCTAATTTCCTACTTTGTAGGGACCTAGACTTGAAACAGATGTAGAATCTCTTTGTATTTGAGGGTCGTCGTGATTCATGATCGTCTCATTTTACTCGGGAGCAGCGTAGGCCTTTAGACTACTTCAATCTCCTCAAATACAATGCATAAACCCATAATAGCTTGTCTGCTAGGCGCTGTTCATCTGCAACAGCACTATCCGACGTGCAACGCGTCTTGGCTCCTATCCCCGACATTCCCACCGCGTCCCCACCCGGCGATCATGTCGTCGAAATCATTCTAGCTGCGATCGAGAAGTATCTCGATCCGGTCGAGGCGCTCGTGCTTCTCCAGATGATGGCGATATTGAAATGACCTTGGCCGAGCCGCGTCTGTTGCATATCTTGGGCGAGTCCAAGCCGGAATGGATGACAGATATGATTCGGCTGCGCTTGCGGGTGAAGAAGTTCATGGATACAACCGACCATGAGGATTTTTATTCTAGTCAAATGCATGAGGCGTCGACTTCGAAGCCGAGTATGCCTGATCTGAGCACCTGTTTGGACATGACTGACGTTGAAATTGGCAGACCTCCCTGAAATGGCACACGAGCGCGGCTGATCCGGCCTCTATTCCCCAAAATCAGCACGGGAAGAATGCGTGACATTCTGAAACACATGACGAGCTACTACAACTGCTACTTCAACAATATACATGGTGGGCTAAGCGCCGAATGGCTCCATAATCACATCGCCCAGGTACCCAACCCCCTGAATCTGACCTTCACAAGATCTAACAGACTTACTCAAAATCATCTCCAACGCACCGCACAACACCCACATCTCACTAGAGTACTTCGCACACCCCTTCCACCAGCCATCCATAATCGTCGCCCGCTCCGAGCCGAAAATTCGCAATTTCTCCCTACCACTAACCATCCTCGTCGCTCCCCAGGACTCTGCAAACTACCTCTTCCCCTCCTCCCTGCGCCCGGCGCAGACGACGACTGTTCTGGCACTGTCAGCAATTTCGAAGCCTTCCGCGTGCTTGCCGAGGCGGGGGATACATACCCAAAGAGGGCCCTGTCGAGTTCCACTGGAACGCCGCTGAAGAGGCGGGTATGCTTGATAGTCAGGATATTGCGCAGTATAAGGGAGAGCAGGGGGCGCGGATTAGGGCGATGATGGAATTTGATAGCGTCTGACAAAAACCAAGCACTAGATATGAACTGATGATTCTATAAGACATGACGGCATTCATTGGCAGGAACGCGACGGACACGATTGGCTTCATACATACCGAGTCAGAAGAGGAACTTACAAAATGGGCAGTCAGCCTAAGCAAGAAGTACATCTCCATTCCGACAAAAGCGTACGATATGTCATGGTACGCGATAACCCCCTCCCGCACTCCACGTTACTCACACAGGGACCAGTGGCATCGGCTCGTCCTACACACGACTCAACTACCCGGCTACTCTGGCTTCGGAGGGCAACCCATTGGCTGATGGTGGGCTCCCCGGGGAACTCGACCCGTACGTCCACGGCGTCAATGATACGATGTGGGTGGATGATAAGACGAGGTATTCTTCAACTGATGTGAGTCTCGCTTGGATCGCTGTTGAGTATTTACTAGATCTTTCACAGCATATGGCTCGATTCAGCGAGTTGGCCATTGCGTATACTGTGGAGCAGGCTGGATGGGATAATAAATGGAATTGAGGTTCTTTTGTCAGAATTGAAGACGTACATCGCGTTGAGGTGCATCTAGACCTTGAATTGAGAAAAGGCCCCGGCGGTAAACTAATGGGGCGAGAGCTCGAAGTACAAATCATCTCTCTTACGTACCTACCGTCCATACAATTACGAAAACAACCCCACTGATAGGGCCAGCACAACCTCCTCACCAGATCTAAATTCAATCTGTATGCAAACAATAATCGACGATCCCCTCCATCTTCCTCTTGCACCAACCTCACTCAAGCAGGTACACGACCCACCAGCCATCCCTACTTGATCAGGCAGAACCCACGCCAAGAAGATGCACCCACCCAACATGCAACCATCCACCCCTCGCAGGCCTCGCAGCGCTTGCCAAGAGCAGCGGGTGCTTCCTGGCCGACTTGGCCATAGCCCCCCTATTCGTGCCCGGAAAACTCGGTGCCTTTTCGTTCCCGTACAGTGGCGACGAACTTGGTTCTGATAGCGGGGGTTCCACTGTGATATGCGATGGAGCGTGTTATTGGTGGTGTTTACCTGGTGGTCTTACCACTCGCTTAGAATGACGTGCGGTGGAGTGGTGCTATTATTATTCTGATTCTTCACGTTGACCTCAGATATTCAACATTTTACAGCCTGCAAGATACCTTGAACAATACAAATGAGCTTATTGCAACAATAACTGAATAAAACCCAGCCTGTCATCCACTCCAAGTCTAAAATTGTCACTGGCATGCGTGTGCCAGCCATCGAATCGGCCCCGATCGCCCCCTGTAGATCCTTCTGTTTCAGTCGCGCTGGGATCGGCGAGCTCCACGCGCTGCGTGGCGGGTGTTGCGCAACGTCAGGAATGCTATAAGACGTCCCAGTGACCTGACATTCCTCGCTCCTGAATTTTGCGAAGCATCGTCCAGGTATGTCATTTCCATTTTCCCTTTTTTCTACCTCATCATCATCGTGAGATCCGAGTTTTCACATCGAATTGAACGGAAGCAATCGCTTGTTTCGTCTGCTTTCTCTCTATCCCTAGCCCTGCTCAATCATTCAACCCCTGCCATTATATGACCGTCTCCTTGCAAAGGTACTCTTCAGATCGAGCTAACACCTCACCTAGAACCATCTACTAAAATGCGCGCCTCCGTCCTCATCCTCGGCTTCCTCGCCAGCGTCTCCTACGCCCTCCCAAGCGCCCAACAAGTCTGCGTCGGAGTAAGACCCCCAATCAAACAATCAACCATGAACGGCGGTACTAATGCGCAACAGCGAGGTGGATTTTGCGATACCGGCGCCAGCCTTGGCGATTCCAGTGCCTGCTGCTCTAGCTTGTCCTGCGACGCGAAGAATGGCGTAAGTTTGGGTCTATTCCGCTGGCTTGATACTTGCTAACGATTTTCAGACTGCCACCTGCGTTTAAGTTGAGAGGATTTGTGGATGGTGTTACTGTGAAGGAATGCTCGCCGAGCAGATTGCACATATGACACTTCGGTCGGTGTGACCGGAGAGAAAATGCCCTGTTTGGGCGATTGACTGTATTTAATTGGTTCTATTGGGTATATATCACGAGAGCCGTTGTATTCTCTTCTATTTTAAGATGCCTTTATTGGACTTCTATTCCCAATTAATTTGTCCGTCTTGACGAACTTGTTCTGGGACAATCCCCTATCCACAACACCTGTGAGGGTTCGGTGTAAGAGGGTACGCAACCGAGACACGGCTGCATGCTTATTCTGCAAGCAACAACTCCCTACTTCACACTGGGCTCCCCCATACATTTCAGCTAGGGAATTCGACAAGATTCAAGACAACGCAGTGTAGTGAACGGTGTAAACACTGTAAATCGAATGCCGGGTAAGGGGTCCAAGAAAGATGCGTCGAATGGCTGGGGAAGGGATACTTCGAAACAAGATGGCTGACGGAGTTTCTGCAGCACGAGTGCAGCATAGATTTCTCCAGGTAGCACCAGTCATATTTCAGATCTTTTTTCCATCAGATCACCCCAGCCCCGTGTCTTTGTCGGAGATTGGCTCATTCTGTTGCGGGTGCGACGAGAACTGGAGCTATGGCCATTTTAAGGCTGGCTGCAGATTATGAATAATCAGTGTTTGCACGTACACGCCCTGTTCAGAGATCAACTGCTAGACCAAGTGGCCGGGTCAGGGGGTACGAATTCCAGATCCTAGATGAGAACATTTATGAACTACTATTCATTCTACTGTGAATGATTTACGATTACTGGAAGCTGTTCATGAAATGCATCAATAGAATAAACATATACAGACAGCGCAAATTAGCAGAATCAAAGAAACAGGTGGGATGCAACCAGGGTCAGTAGACAACATAAAATAAAAAAGATATATCTACCACGTAACGTCCAAGATAGACACTAGAAACCAACAAAAGAGCTCTGCTCGTACCTACGCCTCCTACACCGAAAAGTGCCAAGTGCGTGAGTCGAAGCAGAGCAAAGAAAGAAAAAACTCCTAATCCTCCTGTACAAGTTTTGAAGGGAATACCATCACGACATGGCGCGATTAGAAGACATCGGCGCAACCCCAGAATTGCTCGACACCGAACTCACCGGGAGACTTCCAGTCATCGTTGGCATAGGAAAAGAAGATCGACTTAGAGCCGATTGCCTTGGCAATGCCCTGGATGGCGGTCTTCTGCTCGGCGGCACCGGGGACGGCGGCACCGTTGGCGTTACCGCCGTTGGGCCAGCCGGTCTCGAGGTTCAGGACGTCCTTGCCGCACAGCTTCTCGAGGATCTTGTACTCGGAGAGGGCGAACTCACCGGCCTTCTCGGCGGTGGTGTCGGCGTTGAAGAAGGGGTGGATGTTGGCACCGACGATGTCGACGGGGCTGCAGAGGGTGGAGGAACCGTACTGCTCCCAGACGTTGATGGGCTCGGTGGTGGTGATCTTGCCAGTGTAGCCGGCGGCCTGGAAGATGGACTTGCAGGAGGAGATGAAGGTGGCCAGTTCGGAGGCGGAGATGTAGCCGGAGGAGATGGCCTCGTTACCAACAACGATCAACTCAACCATGTCCCACTGGGCCCACTGGGAGATGGCCTGGACCTGCTCCTCAGCACCGGAGGTGCCGGAGGACTCGATAAAGACACCCAGGATCATGTTGAGACCGAGGTCCTTGGCGGCGGAGCCAATGTACTCGAGGGAGTTGCAGTCGGTCGAGTAGACACGGACCAGGTTGAAGCCCTTCTGCTTGATGATCTGGAGGTTCTTGGTGACCTCGGACTGGGACATGCAGTTGCCGCTCTCAGTGTAGGGAGAGAAGGTCATACCGTACTGGCCCTCGCCGGTGAAACCGCTGCTGGAGCCGCCAGTGCTGGAAGGAGCCGCGGGGCTGGTGCTGGCGACGACGGTGGAAGTGGTCGGGGCAGCAGTGGTGGTGGGAGCGGGAGCAACGGGGGTGGTGGTGGGAGCCGCGGCGGTAGAGGAAGACAGACCACCGGTGGCGTAGGGGCAGTAGTAGGTGTAGTCGGTGCGGGTGACGGTCAGTGTGCTCTCAGTCTGAGTGTAGGTACCGGGAGTGAAGGTCTGGGGGGTCGGGTAGACGATCACAGTGCTGGAGGGCACGGAGGTGACGGTACCGGGGACAACGGTGTAGGTACCAGCAGCGGGGCAAGTGTAGGTGGTGTACTCAATGGTGCTGGTCTCGGTGGTGCCGCTGGGCTTGACGGTGGCATAGGGGCAGGTGATGGTGGTCTCGGTCTCGACCACAGTGGTGACACCGCCGACGGTGTGAGTACCGCTGGGGACCTCAGTGGTGGTGGCACCGCAGACGGTGGTGGTGTCAGTCACGGTCAGCGTGGTAGCTGGGATGGTGTAGACACCGGTGGAGGAGAAGCTGGAGACACCGGCGGTGGGCAGCGAGACAATGACGGTGGAGGTCTCGGGGGTCGGGGTCGGGGTCTGGGTGGCCTCGACGGAGGGAGTCACGGTCAGGGTGCTGGTCAGGGTGCTGGTCGAGTGGACGGTGCTGGTCAGAGTGCTGGTGGACTCGGGAATAGGCACCAGGGTCGGCGATCCGTAGTAGGTGATGACCTTGGTGGTGCAACCGCAGGTCTCCTCACCGAGGGCGGCGGAGGAGGAGGGAGTGATGACGCTCGACCCGACGATGCTGGAGGCAGCATCGCGACGGTGGAAAGCGTCGTGGCGGCGGTGCAAGTGACTATCGGCCATGACGGAGCCCGCCATGGCGGCGGCGGCAAAGATCGAACCCTTCATGGTGGGAGGATTCAAAGAATGAATGCCCGCTGAACGAGTGAAGCGGTGGTCAGTGGTGAAAGGAACGTGGTTGAGGGAAGAGTAAGAAAGGAGAGTCGGGGGAAGACGTGGGCAGGCAAGGCCTTTTGTTGGACTCGATATGGGGAGGGTAAAGGGGGGTGGAAAGAAGAGGGAAAATAGGGGAGAGACACACAGAAGGGCGCTAGGAGCTCCACCGATCGTGAATATTACTGTTAGTACATCGTGTTTACTGCTGGGTACGGCAGCGATACTGACTAGTATAGATACATACGCTCAGGTACCGCTGGGCGCGCCGAGTCTAGACGGGCGTTCAGGCACGCTGCAATTGCGATTGGGTAAGCACATGCAGACCCAAGTGGGAGCCCGCAGTGGTTGGCCCGCACGGGTCGGCAGGTGGGGGAGAATAGCTGCAAGTGTGTGTTTACTTACCAGGAACATACAGAGAATACCCTAGGACAGTGCAGTACACTACCTCAGGGTACCCTAGGGTAAGCAGAGAACAGAACAGGGGCGAGAACACGACGGGGCCGTTAGACTCAGCCCCCAGCAAGAGCACGGATGGATGCGAAAATAGCAGTGTCTCACTCGGCCCCTTGCGGCCCCTGAAAAATCAGCTGTATACTCGTATAGAGTAGAGTACATACTACTAGAATTATACCGAGGATCTATAAGATATCTCCAAGCTACTGCCTTGGGGCAGTAAGTATGCTGGGAGTGCAGGGATATACTAGAAGATTCCAGTGTGAGGTACAAATCGGTGCCAGATATCGTACCTGATTCTGTGAATCTGTGGGAAGGGCCTGGGGAAATACTTGTCTCGCAAAAACCACAAAAACAGGAAATGCCCCTGCGCCATGTGGGTGCTATTTAGGCCGAAAGAGGCAAGGTGGCTACCAAGTGGATCCCATACTTCATTCCTGATTCGGCCACGCCCACCGTCAATTTCCGCCCTGCCGATCGTCATTCGTGGCCACCGCCCTCGTACCGCCTCGTACAGTATTTGCTCAGCTTGTGATTGTTTTACTTGACCTGCGTTGAGGATTATGCTCGTGTTTGTGCTCATGGGTGCCCATGACATCGTCGCCCCTTCTTCATCACGGCTACCATGGAACTGGTGGCCACCTGAACGCCAACACATCACCGTCCACATACACTCGAGTACACTACTACATTACAAAGTAGAGAAGTAGACACGGAATCCAAATTCAAGCACTCCGCCCCCTTCTCCACGACTCGTCAGCACGCACCATTTACGCCGATCGACATGGAGATATCTCCACGTCTGCGACACCTGCCCTGAGGTATACCTTAAGTGTATACTACTTATACCTACTGTAGGCATACTCCGTACAGAGGTCTATATAGCCGTGTCACAAACACCCGACTCCAACCATGCAAGCTCCATCCGAACATCCGCAGCGTTAGCCTCCATCGCACGCTCCGCATGATCGCCCGTGGAACAAGGCGGCCCCAACACCGGCACGGGAGACGATCCCAATGCGACATGGTCTAGATTGCCATTGTGAGTCGTCGATCCGTCGTAGAGTACATTCCTGGCAGAGAAAGAGAGAGTGTGTGTAAGTCGTATCTACTGCAGTGTCTAGGATAGCGTTTATGGAGTCGAATTGTCCACAAGGCTACTATTATGCGGATAAATTCCCCTGAGCTAGCTAGCCTCGGATACGTCGCTGCCGATATTAGCCTGCCAGCTAAGCGGGGGACGATTATTACGCTGCCTACTCAATTATTGATCTGGCCCTCCAGTTCATCCGACCGTCAAGGGTACCACCAATCTCAACCCGTTTGGAGGTACTTCTCACATCCCCTATAAAGATACACCAGTCACACTGAGATACATAGAAGTACTCGCCGAGCAGACAATAAAAATTCTGAAAGACTGCCAGTGGAAACCCCCCACCACGGTCTCGACCACCTGGAGACACTACCGCGCCAAGCAGGATAGTCGATCTAGGCGCAACGGGGTTGGAAATAGTACAATACGTTTAGGACAAGGCTTGGCGAGACCCTGTTTCTGAGGTTATTCAGGGGCGAACCAGCCCTATCCCTCTTCTCTGCGTACTCCGCTGGCCTGCTGACCGTTAGACATGTACCGTGACTCTTCTGTCACCGTGTATACTCTGCCAATGTACAATAAATTGTAAGCAGACAGCGGGAAATTGCAGTGGGGCGGATTCTGCATGTTCGCTGGGCTCATTTCGCTCAACCACACGTTGCTGCGAGTCCCTCGGATGCTGGGGGCTGCGTTGTCGCCAAGGCCAGAATACGTGGAGGTCATTCCGGTGGAAATTCGATGCCCAGGTGGTTACCCAGGTATTGGTGGGGCTGGATCGTTTTCACTGTGGTGTCGGAGAGCCACCGCTCATTCCGCAAGCGCCGTAAGAATGGCTGGGCATGGCGCAGACGGTGCTGTTGGATCTCATCTGCACTTGGCAGTGTGATTTTGCGATTTTGTTGGACTGTAATATTGGAGAGTTCACTGTACCTTGCTGTAACCTGCAGTGGTAATGTGGGCCACTATAAATGAAGTGGTGGCAAATATCTGCCCGATCGGGGGAGATGCAACGGTCGAATCGCTCAAGAGTCTTGGCAGGGCAGCAGATTTTGCACAGTTGTGAGGGCTTACACTGTGCTATAGGGCTACATGTGTGGACCGCTTACTCGATGCTGTATTATTTTGTTTGATTGAGATGTGATTGTCTTCATTTTGATTTTTTTGTATGACCACATCGAAGAATTGGCGTGTCTGGGACATTCATAGGTGCTACACTCTCGAAGTCCTCGGCACCACAATATACATATGCGTACCACGTGATCTTGCCATTAGTGTCTTGGTGCTTCGCCATCAGATAGCAATTTGGACAATAGATATGATGCAAATGTATTGATAATTACACTATTAACACTATTTAATTGCTAAATTCGAGAATACATTGTAGTGTTTGGATGTCCAGTTTAATTTCCAGTTTGGGTAGGGGTACAATGTATGTGAATTTATTCAATCTGATAATCTGAATAGAAACAAGATTGAATCGCATTATACTGCAGTGTGTTATTTCAACTTTATCTTTGCACAGAACATACATTAAACAAGATATAAAACCAAAATCATCAATCACCTAAATCAGCTCTTCTATTCGACAGCCCAATCCGCCCGGCAATCAACCGGATACAACCGCCCCGAATTATCACTCAAAGTCTCCTCCTCCCCAGGCGCCTGAATAGTAAGACTAAACGCCGAACCGCATTCCCATCCCCCATAACATCACGGATGGGATAAAAATCACCCACCCTCTACCCCACAGACCCACACAAAACAGAATTATTATAATTCCTACCAGCAGACGCACCATTCAGGGCAGTGGCATCCGGATCCGGCGTGCCATCCCTACAATCAAACGCAGGCCCATCACCGAGATAGAAGTAATCCGCAATATGAACAGACCCGCAGAAAGTATACTCGTCCGTCGTCGGGGCACCGTAGAACCCGCTATAGACGAGGGGGTAGTTATTCGCGTCCACGACGATCCCGCCCTTTACCTCGCGTGTGTAGCCGACGAAGTATCCTACCTGCGGGTTCTTGGAGTGTCCGGGTAGATGACGGGGTAGGCCTGGGCTTGGATGTCGGCTGTGTAGTCTTGTGGGATGGTAGTGTTTGTGAAGGAGGAGGCGAGCGGGTTTAGGCCCGAAGAGATGTGTTAGGAGGGTGGCAGGACTTCTTCTTCAGTTTGACCGGCTGTTGGGCTTGTGTAGCCGTTATACCCCGAATTAGTTGGCGTAGTAGTCGATGTTCAAGCCGGAGGGGGGGGGGGGGGGAGTCTGATTTTACTGGGCAGGAGGTTGGGGGCACGACTTCGGCGTGACCACCGTTGCTGTGCCGCAAGCTGTCGAGACGGGGCTGGTGTTTTCGCCGGTTGTGATGATGACAGTCTCGGTGCCCCAGGAAGTTACTGCAGGGATGGTGGTGCTGCCGGGTGGTTTGCCAGAGGTGGTGATGGTCACCGAGGCATCGGTGCAGGGGTGGTGGTTGTAGTCGTAATCGTAGTGGTCGGAGTAGTCGAGCACGAGGTCTAATCGGGGTTTCAAACGGGCTCATCGTCAACCATAGCCGCCAGGCTATGGATCGCAGCTGGCTCATCCTGCTCATAGATAGCGCGACCTTGAGCAAGGACGACAAGGCTGCCCAGAGCCAAGCTATGGAAAGTCGATGCTCTCATGACTATTCACCCTTAGGCCTGGAAAATAGATAAGAGAAGTTCAGATAAAAAAAAATCAGATAAAACAAAAACTCGGGATAAAACCGCCAGTGAAACCATTTACTGCGACGAATCTCGCGTTGACAAAAGTACCCATTGTTGCATCTGAACCACCCGCATTCCGCACATGGAAGCAGAATGCCTCGTGTCGATCTCCTTCAAATCAGCAACGGGCATATTGCTCCCCATATGTCATTTGCATTCCCCGAATCTCGGCTCGTTCTGTCAGGAGTTATTGGCTCGAATGCTCCGGATATCAGTTTCTTAATTGACAGACCCGTCTCCAGGATCGTCGGATCGACAGCCTTTTTCGTGGTCACTCCAGAACCATCGCATAGTCGACTACAGGCTGCCATTACTTTGCAAATATTTTCGATAACGTTGCTCGCGGGAAATTCCTCTAAACCGTCACATCGCAACGTCACAGACGGGGGAGTTGCAAGCGTACTAGTTGAGATGGCTCGAGACGGCGAGTCTTGTGAATGGAAAATTTCATAGGTAGTAGAGAGGGGGGAGAGGGTATTTCCTGAAATTTCCCAGCGATAGTGAAAATATCAAAGCTGATGGATAATCCCTGCGCGCAATCTTTGTACTCTACACTCTGTGATTGTTCCCGCGGATGCAGGAACACTGCCGCCTCGGCCTTTAGATTGTACTACACATCGATCTTTGTACTACCAAAAAGAAATCTAAACCCCAACAAATTAATCTCTGCTAAATTCAGCATAGAAATTACTAGGAATATCGAAATGAATTTCCTCTCCAATGTACATAACCCCGTGCTCACTGCCACACCATACGATATCACGCCACCATCATGCCACACTCTCCATCTGACCAACACCAACCCCAGAAACCTTCCTCGGCGCCATAATACCACACTGTTAGCGAGGAGCACATCGACAATTCCGATTCTCTTCATCCAAATCATGATCCAACCGGCCAAGTCCCACTCACGTGGTGTCGACCGAGTGGTACGGCCGACGTCACGACTCCCCCGACCACCACCAACCACCGCCCCCTGCTGTCTCCGGATTCGGGCGACAAACTAAGATCATACAATGTGGGGGCTGAGACTGTCGTCCTATTGTATCCGATTATTTACCTACTTTCTATGGTTCAGATGATCGGCCGTCGCGCACCGAGTTGGAACCGATGAGGCTGACGTTGATGGTTGGGCTCGGCCGGCATCGTGCCATCACTCGAGTCCCCTGGGATTTTGCGTGGCTGTGTCTGAGAGAAAGATATAAAGGGTTGAATGTTTTCTGAGATTTCCTTTTCTCACATCAAGATCAAGAACATCAATTCAATCACACCCTCGCCTGAACATTGGATTCGCCACCCACATACAACGAAACCCCACCAAACCACAACAAAATGTCATCCTCCAAGGCCAAAGAAGCAGCCCGCCTGCAAAACGACTTCGGCGCGGACTACTGGATCCGCAATCCCAACCAGGAACACCGGCACTCCACCGCCGGGCGCGGGCTCTTTGCCGGTCTCCAGGACGTCAAGCACTACAATGTTGACCACGGTTGGGCCCGTCGCAAGTCTAGCGATTCGCAGGGGATTCTTTCGACCTTTTTTAGTCGGTGAGTTTTTCCTCTTCTACAAAAGTTCCTAGAGGAGTGGAGGCGGTGCTGACTGGTTAGATTCACTGGGGGATCGTACCACCCTCCCTCGGCATAGAGTGCCCTTTTTTGATGACGAGTTCTGGGATGATTATGAGATCTTTGTTTGGGAGTGATATAGGATCAGTTAAGAGTTGACGGAGTTGTTAAAAACTTGTTATTTATTTCGGTTGTTTGATAGCTTGGAGTTTGGGCTGGACTTTTTTTCTTATACATTACTGATATACATGTGCATTGCATGAATAAATTTCTTACTTCTACTTGCATCTTCAGTAGTATTCCTGGTTTCATACTACAATTCAATTCAATTCAATTCAATTCAAAGTTCTATTAGCCTGATGCAGCCCAACTAGAACGTAATGGCTATGCAGGTGCTTCCTCCGTCGGAAACAAGAACTCGTCCAAGCGCCACGCCCAAAAGTAACAAATACAAAGAAAACACTGCATGTCGCGATTCAAAAACAGGTGATAATCTCACAAAAACTGTCATAGAACGCTCAAAATGAATGTAATTGGCTTATGCCAGCACACGCCGTGCCATGCGGCCACGTCCCATCCCCGTATTGCCGCACCATCTCATGCTTCTGCTTCCACATCTGCTCCAGTTGGCATGCTGTTTTTCAACATGCCCTGTTCCTTCGATATCGTTCCTCATCGGCGTTGTATTACTCCCACTGCCTCTCGTCGCTGTAGGTTTTTGATCTCTTCCTTATGCCCAGCGTCTTCACCTCCTGCTGCCACCTTGCCAAGTTATTTTGGCGTGTTAACCATCGACGGGTTCTCGCAAGAATTGAGCCATCACAATGTCTTTGGAGCGGTTCACATTGTACTGGTAGATAGTGAGTTGCTTTTGCGTGTGCTGACACTGTTGTGATGGATTCATTGGCGGTTGGATGTGGCTGGTTTCCTCCTGAGGGTTTTCCATTGGCCGCTTGGCCGAATACTGAGAGAGATGCTGTCACTGTGAGGTTGTTTTCTTTTTCTGCTTACTTTGCCTGTCCTTTCAGGCAGAGTCGAGGATGGCTGGAAGTCCCTATCACTATAGCGCTCCCCTGGCAGAGATGAGAACTGATCCTGGCGGAACTGTCGTTCCAGTTCCTCCATATTGAACTCATCAACCTCAGAACTGAGCTCTGACTGCTCTCTGTCATGGTTTGCCCCCTTCACGAGTTTGTTGATCCTGCTTGACCTTCGCTTTGCAGCAGACTCCATTGATTCTGTCAATCTGGACTGGCCGCCTTTTTCACTTCGCTTCTTTGCTTTCTCTTCCCTGGCCTTGGCCATCCGAGCTCTCGCTTTCTCAGTTTTCGACAAAGATTTGGCTGTGTCGATGATAGCGGCGGCGGTTGTCGGTTGGAAGTCGATACCGCAGGTTGAGCGGTTGAAGTTACCGGTGGCGTTGAATTGCAGTGGTTCCTGAGTACGTGCAAACTTATATGATGGTGTTTGCGTCTGGTTCCCTTGAGCAGGAGACTGGGCTCGGCCAGCTCGCTGCCCGCTGTTGATATCCCTGGATTGACTCTGCTGGTCCTCGGCAGCAGGAGCCATGGCTATGTCCTTAGCCGGTTGCACCTTGGTGGGTCTCCCTCTCCTGCCTAATGACACTGTTGCCACTGACTTGGCTGTCTTTCCCGTTTCCCTTGTGCTATGGCTCTGCGTGCCAGTAGCGGTTTGACTTGCAGATAGTGGGCCTGTACCCTGCTCCCCGTTACTGGAGCGTGCGGCCGTCACAGAAGCGCTACCTCCTGTGCCGCTTGACTCTGAATTCCCTGAGATCTGCGGTGTTCCCCACGAGCTGGGTGGAGGAGGTTCTAATGAGACAGTGGGCTGGTGGACCGCTGTATGGCGCCGGGACGCGATGATATATCCCCCGGAGTTTGGTGAACTCCCTGCTCTGTTCCACCGCCGCCCTCCACGTCTCACAGTCATCACTCCACCAGCATGTGCGCCCTCGCAGTTAGCGCACTTGTGCTCGCTATGTGTACGCTTGAAGCAATCTCGAGACTGATGCTCCTCCGCACAGTACACACATCTCATGTAGTTGGAGCAGGAGGTTCCTATGTGTCCATATTGTTGGCAGTTGAAACACTGACGCACTCGGATCGCCCTGTCATACAGGACGGCCTGATAGAGGTTTGAATCCCAGAGGACCCCATGTTGGATTGCCAGATTCGCTGACTGCGGCGTCGTGAATTCCAGGATGATCGAGGCCAGCTTGGTCCCGTCTCTCGGCACCCGCAGCCAGCTGATCTTTTGGGATAGTTGCATCCCCCCCACCAATGATGGTTTTGAGCAACAATGGCTTCATCCTTACTCGCCTGGTCGTTCCGCAATGCCTCCACCGAGGGCTTATCCACCAGTGACTTGACCTGCATGCCGTGCACGATCGCTCCCCAGGTTGACAGATGAACAAACGCCGTACGGCCAAAGCCTTTCACCCATTTCTCCCGATGGACACGCATTAGCTCTGCCTCTTTCGCATCTCGCACGGTGAGCCGGATATCACCCGATTTCAACTGGCGAGCTGCCTGTACCATCACCGAGGAGAGGGTCGGCGTGCCCGGTGGACCTCGCATGCTTCGCTCTGACCTGGTTTGCCTGCGTCACAATCTCCGCGGAGGTCTTTCTGCGATACTCGGCCACCTGAGATCTGTCATTGAGGCATATCACAACCTCGCGGTCACGCGAACTGTCCGGGGTCGCAGGGGAGCTGGATGCAGAGCTTGTTCGTGAGAGCTGGTGGGCTGGTGAAGGTGCCCTAGCTGCGGCTTCAGCAAACGACCTAATGCTTTGCCTCGCTGGTGGCTCGGTGAGAGCGGTTTTGACAGTCTGAATCTCCTGGGAGAGCTCCTGGCGGAGCTCCCTCAGCTCATGCTGCCAATCGTTCACGGGCAACAGCACAAGGTCTTTCGTCAGATCCTTCACGGTTTGAAGGAGATTCTTGACTTTCTCTGGTTTCAGGCCTTTCTGGCTACTGCCCATCTCCTCAAGCAGCACCGTGGCATCACTATAGAGGTTCTGCACGCGTTCTCTGTTCGTTGGCAAGTTTTTCCCTGGCGTCCGGCAGCCCCCGTCGGGCCGCGCCCAACAGCCTTCTCCGCGCGCGGCACCGGCATATCGTCCTGGGGACTTCACAGCCGGTGTCACAAGATAGCGGGAGGAGTTGGATTGAAAATGCCGTTGAGTTTGTTACTCTAACTGGCCTGGTTCCTGAGATATAACAAAAATTCAATTTGGCGCTTGAGTTGTTGTTTTTTGTTTCATACAACGTCCGACCCACTTCTATTAGTAGCCTGCCAGTACCAAGGGAGACCACGCCAATCACGACGATCTTGTAAAGCATTATCACGAAGTCTCTCACTGGGCGACGCACAACGCGCTTAATAACCTTATAAGCACGTAATTCCGACACCACTTATCTCGATTCATCCACATATCATGCTGTTCAAGTATATGATTTTGGTATTCAAGCTTAACAAATGTTTACCGCGCTAATGATATGTACAATCCAAACCCCGACCCAAAAGCAAAAAGAAGGGTTCATCCAGCCCCATAGAGTGTAAGGTACAGATTACTCCCAAGAGTTAATCTTCATCGTACCCTTCTCCTGCAAATTCTGATGCATCTTAAAAGCCTGGAAAAGCATGTGCGGCTCATGGCCCATACCCTTCTTCAGACACTCAAACTCCGCCCGATCAAGATAATCCGTCAGAATAGGATAGTAGTCAGGGTGCGAGCACTTCTTAATAATAACCCGCGCACGCTCCCTCGGCGAAAGACCCCGGACATCCGCAAGGCCCTGCTCAGTAACGATCACATCGAGATCATGCTCGGTCTGATCGATGTGTGTGGCGAACGGAACGATACAGCTCACACCGGTAGGATCGGTCTTGCTGGGTCGGGTACTGGGCGTGTGCATGATACTGTACTTAGAATTGCGGAGGAAATCAGCCGAGCCGCCGAGGCCGTTCAGCATGCGGGAGCCCATGACGCAGGTACTGTTTGCGTGGGCGTAGATGTCCACCTCGACAGGAGTGTTCATTCCGATGCAGCCCAGCCGCCGGATGATTTCGGGGGAATTGGAAACCTGCTGCGAGCGAAGGAGAAGCTTGCCGGCGTACTTCTCCCAGTTATCGTAGAAGCGCTTGAAGCCGTCCGGGGAGAAGCGGATGGAGGTGGCAGTCGCAAAATCGAGGTTGCCGCTGTCGAAGAGGTCAAGGAAGGAATCTTGCAGCACCTCGGTCCAGACCTTGAGGTTGTGGAAGTTTGCGCCACCCTTGCTGAGGCCGCCGACGACGGCGTTGGCGATGTTGCCGATGCCCGACTGGATGGGGAGGAGGTTCGGCGGGAGGCGGCCCTGGCTGACTTCGTGCTTGAGGAACTCGATTAGGTTGGTGGCGATGGCTTGTGAGCCCTCGTCTTCGGGGCTGTTGGGTTGGGTCTGGTCCGGGTAGTTGGATTCCACGACGGCCACGACCTTCTCTGGGTCGATGGGGATGTAGGAGGTTCCGATGCGATCTTCGGGGGCCATGATCAGGTAGGGCTTGCGGCCAGGGGGCAAGTCCGACCCGACAATGTCGTGCAAACCCTCGAAGGAGGGACTGGCGGTGTTGACTTCGATAATGACCTTGTCGGCCATCTGCACCAATTCTGGCGACGCGCCCACCGAGGCACCGGGGATGATACCGCCATTCTCGGTGATGGCGGAGGCCTCGATGACGGCAACGTCGATTTTGTTCTGTGGCTTGTCGAGGGTGTAGTAGCCCTAAGGTCGAGGTTAGCGTTGATCGACGGTACCTACCTTACCTAGGTAGGGTGAGGGAGAGTAGCTCTCCGCGGCGGGAAATCCCGAGCCTGCAGGCGGACACTTACATAGACCAAATCCGAGGGAAACATGCTCAAGTGCTTATCGAAAAATTTGATCTGGCCACTGTTGATGCCCTTGGCGATCTCCTTTCCGACCTGGTGCGGGCTTCGCCGCTCAATCATGTTCAGACGGGCCCAGCGGTTCTCCGTCTCTGCGCCGGACGAGGCGCCGACGAACAGGTTGTACTTGAGTTGGCCTTGGAGGTTGTTCTTTTCAACGTGGTCTGCCAGAGCAGTGGGGACCATTCTGTCTAGAGTTAGTCGTGTGATCTTGAGCAGACAAATGCAATTGAAATTGCAATTGCACCTGCGCCTACCATCATATTGTCATAAGATGCACATACTTGGGATATCCCACACCCGTGAAACCGGACCAGCCAATGTACGAGCCATGGGGAAAGAGATCAATCAGATCTTCCGCTTTGGCCAGCTTGTTCAGGTAGGAAGGCCGTCGAATGCGGCTCTTCAGAAGCGCCGAAGCAGCCATGGTGACGGGAGTAGAGGGGAGAGTGTCTGTACAGCAATGGGAGAAAAGAGAGTAGGGAAATTTTCAAACTGGGGAAGTGCTAGGGTTAAAATAGTTCCTGACTGGAACCAGTGAGTAAGGAGTACCCCACGGGCAGAGATACGGTTGTTCGGTCCCGGAAGAAGGGAAGCTAGACCAGCATACCTTAGTTAAGATCTTATCCGTCCCATACATTTCTACAGTGCACCTAAAAATATCATATACAGCAGCAATGACAGATTGACAGGCTGACTCAGAAAATACTATTTAATGTTCTATTTAGAATCAATATTCTCTCCCTACACTCATCAGTCATGACTTCATCCTCCAAAACAGCCATCTCATCCAAAGTAATCCTGACGTCAGCTCGGCATTCCTTCGGCGGCTTCGGCATTTTCTCGCAATACACTCCAATACACGCAACCGGCCCAAAAAAAGGCCAAAAAATAGCGAGAAATCACCAAAGAACCCCGAAAAGATCCAAGAATCGCCAGAATTTCACCCTAAAACCACCGCCAACCTCCCCTTCATTGTATCTGCACCCGTCGACCCCAGATTTACCCTATGTACTTCAGTAGCGCCAGCTGTACTTGTAATCACCGGCCCGACGGGACTTTCCCCGTTTCGGACTGTATCGGTTACGGACTCGGCCACACGGAGCCAGCACCAGCAGTCCGAGGGGAGGCCGAGATTACGCCAATCCAGGGGTTGCATCCACAGCGCCAATATTGAAGGAGAAAGAACCCCTGAGAATAAGGATCTGAATAGTCGCACTGCACCGCCAGTATGAGCGACAGTCCGATTGCAATTAGCCGCGCGGGAAGATCGCGATCGCGTTCCTGGGATCGGCTTCCGGGTGGTTTGATCGTCGTCGGACTACTCGGATCTCAGCTTGCCTTGTTTATCGCTTTGGACCTACATAGGTGGTAGATGAGCTAGGATGGATCTGGGTACGGTGTAGATTCTTCAGGGAGTTGCCGTGGTGGTTCGATTGGGTTTGATTCTGTTGAGTTTTTGGTCCCTTAATACATTGGGAGTTTGAGCTTGAGGGTAGTATGGCTCGGTGGAGTGCGGTCGATGGTATGTAGATCGGTCCTACATGGGAGCCTAGAGTAGAGTACAGACACTACATTATGAAGGTACCCAGAAAGGGGTGACTCAAAAAGTCAACAGACCATGCTCTGTTCATTGAAAGGGAAAAATAGCTACCCTAAGGTAATCTTAACTACAAAACCATATTGCGTGGCATAATGCCCTACGCATTGCAAAGTGACCATAAAACTCATCGCGCAATTTCATCGTGTGAATAATATCACCCTCACCGGATGGGAATGGGAGGGTGAAATAATACCTCAGAAACAAAAAAAACACCGTCCCTCTGTCGAATAGAAACAGGATTTAAAGGGAGAAAAAATACAGGAAAACAACTCTCCAGTTTACCCTACCCAGATACAGTGCATGAAAATCAAAATCCCATATTGTCACATACTTGAAAGTGTCGATACCTCCTACCTAGGTAGGGTATAAATGCACGCTCAAGCCTCGGCCGCAGGAACGGCAGCCTCGCCCTCAGGCTCCGCATCCGCCATCTCGGTGTCGCCCTGCTCGGGCTTGTCCTCGTCCATTTTGTCCCCGTCTTTGGTGACCGGGGCAGGGGCCGGAGCAGACTCGGGAGCAGAGGCGTCAGCCGCAGCGGGGGCCGGAGTCGCCTCGAGAGTTCCATTCAGCCAGGATCGGAAACGCTGGTTCGACTCATCAACCTTGTCCTTGCTCAGACCGCGGGCCCAGTTGGGGTTGTTGACGAATTTCTCAACGAAACGATCGTGGCGCTTCTCCTTCAGCGCCGCCTGCTCCTTGGCTTTCTCTTCCTCCTGGGACTTGATCTGGGCCTGTGCGGCCTCGGGATCGGCATCCTTGTCAGGGACGGGAGTGGTAGAGTGCCAGAACCAGTCGTTGGTCGACGGCTGGTAGAGGATGGTGTAATTGTTGGCGCAGATGCGAATGACGAGACCGTCATAGTGCTGGAGGTGGCGGTAGAATCGGTCGTATTCTTCGTCTTCGTCGAGCTTGCCGGGGAGGTTGCGCTTGAGGATTGGCATGCGCATCTCGGAAATGGACACACCTTCGGTCGGGTCGCGCATCGAGTAAGCCGTGACGTAGTAGGACCAGCGGGCCTCGGGGCTAAGTTCTGCGCGGTCGAGGGTGGCTTCTTCAGGAGTCATGACTTGGAAGGTAACGCGGCTGTCCGAGGGGTGCTGAAAGGGGGGAGTGTTAGTAGGGTAGGCCGCCCATTGCAGTGTTAGGCCAGGAACACTTACATAGGTGACCCGATACATGTCGCCCTCCTTGATCAGGCGTTCGACCTGCTTGCGATACTGAATTTCCTGGTGGTGCGTGGCCTCGTCCTTCTCACGCTCCTTGAAGAACAGATTGGCAATATCCGAGCTGCGATCGCGGGAGTCGCCGGTGAAGATGGTAGCCACGAACTTGGCGATCGAACTGAATATCCGCTCCAGGTTGTACATTAAGAAGCCGCTCTGCATGTAGAAGCGACGAAGAGTCTCCTCCAGGTGAACCTGGTCCATATCGCCACGAATCACGTCTTCGCACATGCGCACAATCTGCTTGTAGAGGTTGGCCTTGGGGTCGACATCGTAGAAGAAGTCGCTCGGGTAGCGGTCGATCAAACTAAGATCGTTGGCTGCTTTTGGGAGAAGTCCTCGACGAATCTGTTCCCGGGCCTCACCCTCCTGCTCCTTGATGCGCAGCAGACGCGAGTACAGGATCTCGAATGTGCGCAGGAAGCAGAGGATGTTCAGGTTGCAGTACATGTGGTGAACGATCTTCTTGTATTTTTTGTTCAACGTGTACTCGTGCTCCAGGTGGAAGTTACCCTGGCCAGGGTGCTCCATCCACTTCAATTCAGCCACATCAAAAGTATCCTCGGGCTCGGAAGCGGGTGCAGACGTGCCGCGAACATCGGGAGTGGCAAGCTGGGTAGGGGCGGGAGCACCATTTTCCTTGGTCTGCGTACCGTTGGTGCCTCGGCGCTCAAGAGTCTCACGCAAGAGATCCAGCTTTTGCGTGCTGACAACCTTGCGGCTGGCGTTGGAAATCTCATCCGCACCAAAGTTCTCCTCCAGCTCTTCGGCAGGCGAAGCAGCAATGGCAAGTTCATCCATATAGTCGTGGAAGGTCTCACGATCCAAGCCGAAGAAGATAGGAATGAAATCCTTCAGGAAGCTGATCAACCGGGCAGGCTCCGTACCGACACCAGAAGTGCTGCGGTCGATGTACATGCAGAGCAGATGGGTGGTGTCCAACAGAACACCGACATCGCTGAACTGGAACTCGGCCTGGTAGCGCTTCGTCGGGAGACCGCTCTTGAGGCGGTTCTGCGTCTCCTCGAACTTGCCCTGGAGGTCCTGCTGGATGTTCTTGGCAATGAAGAGCTTCTTGTCCGAGGCCCGGGTGGCAATCGCTTGGTGATCCAGACTACGCCAGTAGGCGCGCTGCATTTGCTCGCGCCAGACCTTATCCCACTCGCGTTGGCAAGCCCTCCACTCTTCGAGCTTCTGCTTCAGGCGGTAGAGAACAACAGGAAGGACTTGTGTCGGGCGAGCGAACATGTCGTGAATAACCTTCTCGCCACGGGCACGATCGTAGACTTTCTTGATCACCCGCTGGTAGATGGCCTCACTCTGACCTCCAAGACCGGGAGGGAGCTTGAAGTTGGCGCGCTCGGCTTCGGACATGTGCAGGAACTGTTGGCAGATCGGCTCGATGAGTTGGATGGTACGCGTGCAGGCTTCGATGTGATGGTCGTAATCGTGGCGGTCCTCTTCGATACGGTGCAGGGCATCTTCATACTGGTTCTTTCGGTGGGCAACGAAACCAGAGTCTTCCGAAGCCCAGGTAGGGTGCGAAGCCCATTCGTCGTTCAGCACCTCAAAACAGAGCTGATCACGGCCACTGCATGCCTTCTGTCGCTCGCGCTTGGGTAGCAGGCGATAGCTAGGTCCCAAGGACCGACAGTGAGCAAGGTTGACTGACCCAGCCTCGGTTTTGGGCTTTGGGTCGATCGCCCTGTCTTCAGTCTCGTCGGCACTCATGAAGCGCCGGAACCAGCTCATCAGCTCCGCGTTGGAGCCGATAAAGTTTTCTGCTCTTTTCACCAGGACAAAACGATCAATCAAGTCGGTCGTGTAGAGGTTGCACAGCTTGAGGAAATCCGCGTAGACTTGCTTGTTCGCGATGAACTTCTTGACGCGGTCGAAGAATGCAAGCTCCTCGGAGTTGGGAGTAACCGAAGTGCCAGGCGGAAGAGGTTCAGGGAGTGCGGGAATAAGAGTGGGAGAGACGTTGGGGATGTCAGCGCCGGATGGTTTGCCGTGGTGATACTTGGCTTTCTATATTGTTGTGAGGATTAGTCATCGTGAAGCAGAAGTGAATGGTAAGAGAAGTGAACGAAACATACCTTGCTGGGGTGACCAAACTGGGCGGGTTGGCCACGCAGCTGCGACTCCGGGATCCGCGCGTCGGTACCAGTAGGCCCCGACACCGAGCCACCCATTCCAGGACCGCGCCGCTTCTTGTTGTCCTTGACGGAATCGTGCGGCTTGAACGAGCCGATTGGAGGCAAGTTCTTAGCATCCCGATTTGAAGCCTGCGACAGACCCATTGGGTCGCCGCCGCGCATGTTGCTGATGGGGATGCTCTCCTCGAGGGCTGCACGATTGGCCGCTTGCTGTTTAGCATGGGCTGCGGACTCGGGCAAGAATTGCTTAAAGTCCTCCAGGAGATCTGGGGCCGTGTTAAACAGCTGAGTGACCTGCGCATACACATCCTGGATCGGCTTGGACTCGCGCTGGTATGTCTGCAAGATCTCCAGGAATTGTTTGTAGATCTCCGGGGCGCTGGAGAAGCGGTTCTTGATTTTATTGACGTAGCTGATAGCGTGGTTGAACTCCACGGGTCCACGCTTGTTCAAGTCGGCATGACCACCTTGGAGCATGCCACCGACACCAGCCAAGCTGTTCATCGGCTGGGTCAAGCTGGCGTTCTGGCCAGCGCCAGAGGCCGCCATCATGCCAGGGCGGCCGAGGCCAGCAGAAGCAGCAGAAGCAGCGCCCTGCAATTGGGCGACTCCGCGGTGATCTTGCTGGTGAGACAGGGCTGCAGCGCCTTGCTGTTCTTGGCTTTGATAACCGTAGTGGTGCTCTTGACCAGGGCCCTGTGATTCCTGCTGCTGGTAAAGACTTGGGCCCATCATACGCGAGCCAGGAGAATATGAGCCCGGGTGACCCTGTTGGCCCTGTTGCTGCTGAGTTTGTTGCCAACCGGGGCGGGACTGCTCGTAATAGTCGGGGCGGGGACCACTGGAGGGGCCAATGTCGTTGGTGGTGGTTTCGAAAGGACGACCAGCGCGGGGCATGCTCAATGTGTTGGTACCAGATGGGGTCGTAACACGGATAGCGTCTGGGTTGTCTTCGGTACCGCACTCAATGCGATAACCGGGAGGCAGGAAAGTGTTGAACCCTTGAATGAGCGCTGGGTGGCCATTAAAAAGTGTAGAAACACGCTGAATCACTCCCGGGGTATCAATTCTATTCAATCGAGTTAGTTAATGGTCACCAACGCGGGCACCCACGCGAGCCATTGACAGGCAACTTACGCTTGACTCTTGAAATCCTTCATTATGTCAAGGAACCGGTTGTAAACGTCGGGCTGGTCCACAAACCGCACCTTGACCTGATCCAAGTAACTGAGGGCGTCCTGCACCACGAACCCACTGTTAGCGCTCGGTTCCGCGAGAGTTGCGGCGGGTCCAATCGGATCACTTGCATTGAGAATCGGCTGTTGTCCCTGAGCAAGAGCTGCGACATTGCCTGGAATCTGTTGCCCTTGCCCATTGTGTCCCATCATAGGCGGTCCACCCGGGTATTGCATATAGGACCGTGGGGTGCCTTCGCCATGCTGCGGCATCTGCGGACCACCAAAGAGGGCAGCCGGTCCGCCAGAAGACTGCACATTGCCTGGACCGTTGGGCGGATTGGTGCCGAGATTTGACAGAAGACCATTGGGACCATGAATGGAATTGGGAACTTTCGAGGCTACAGGCTGGTGGAGGGGGATGGAGCCAGTGTGACTCTGAACAGGGTGGTGCTCGCCGCGCTGGCGCTCAATCTGCTGGCGCTCCATCTGCTGGCGCTCCATCTGTTCGCGTTCCCGTTGTTCACGTTCTCGGTGTGCCATCTCTTCTTGTCGCTGACGCTCGAGAATCTCGCGCTCTCGGGAATCACGCTCGCGTTCTCGGTTCAGCTGGGGAGACGCATGCGACATGGCCTGACCGAGTCCAGGCAGTGAATGGCCCGATCCATGCGAGGGACCGGCAGGGTGCTGTCCATATGCCGGCGGTTGGTGCGGAGTCCCATGGCTTTGGCTTAGTTCGGCCAGTCCAGGGAGTGAATGGCCACCTGATTGACCGGCGGGGTGATACGGGCCTTCAATACACACAACAAATGTTAGAAAACCATTATCGATCAAAAAGATGCGTGTCCTATTGAATAGACATTGCATCAAATGTGAAGAGGTTGTAGGGGCTTATGCTAACCAGAAGGAGGAGGGAGGACAGGCCCGGAAGGCTGCGATGCTGGGCCTTGTTGAGGAGGATTTTGACTATAGTGTGAAAAAGAAGCACGGTAATTAGTCTCAGTGGATTACGAACAGCATTGCAAGAGAATCGCACTAACCTGAACGACCCCAAGGGCCGAGGTTGCTGGTTCATCTGATCCATGCCAGGGTGCGCCGGTGGCCCACCCGCCGGAGAGTGCCAGCTATCATTCCCAGAGTTCATGATCAGTGCATGAACTCGGACGCTGCGATATATAGAAGAAGGGTGTCGGGCGACACAAAGAGGGTGGAAGAGTTTCGAGGAGGGGGTTTGAATGAACGGGCTGAGAGGAGGAGCTCCAGCTGGTAATTGGGTCCTTCGCGCTTCGCAAGATTCGGTGGGATTTCGGTGTGGACGCTCAAGTGGCGCCTAGTCACAGCATGACCAGCGCCCTGGGCGAATATAGGCAATAAATCAACAGGACTCTGGACACAGAGCAAACACAGATAGCGATGGAGAGTGCGCGCGACCGATCGCGGGCTTCTCCAGTGGAGGCTTTCCTGACCGACTCCCGCTAGTCCAAGTGCGGTTAGGCGCCCCTGTCCCCGGACCTACTTTAGCCCGGTCTCGTGGGACCGTAGCGTACAATTATACGGGCCGCTTATGCAGGACAGAACAATGCGTATTGGTTTCACCCGGTATTGTGCGCGGGAAATATTCCGTCCGCCTTCGTCATCGCCTGCAAAGACGGGCAGAAAAAACCGGAGGAATTAACCGTCTGGAGATTGCGCCCCGACGATGCCATCCGATGAAAGTAGCGCGAAGCTGGAAGATCCGCGCCCTACCTGCAGGGAGTAGTGGCAGGCAATCTAAGACTCTGGGTGTGGCAACAGGAAACAGCAATATGGAGACAGATTGGATAGTGTCTACTAGTATAGACCTGCCAGTGTTTACGATGCTACCCGAGAACAACACTAGTGCTACTCTAGAGCAACCCCTATGCCACCAACAGCAGCAGGTAGTCAAGTAATATGGAAGCGCAGAAAATACACCCAAGTTGGGCTCACATTCTCTATAGTGAAGCGCCTCCATACAACGCCTTCAAGGCACCTCGAGAACTGCATACAGATCGGGTAGAGGAAGTAGGGGGTTGGGTAATGGGGGTGGAGGAAATGGAGAATAGAAAAGCAATGCACGTGTATCGGAAAGTCGAGAAACGGGTAAAGGCGAGTGGAAAGTCCTGAAAAGAATTATGGAACCTTTGGCTTTGCTGCTATGGCGAATTGATTTGTTTCTGATTTTTGCTGCGTCCTTATCCTCGTCACTAGCCTTCCACCCAGCCACCAAAAGTCCCTCCCCCCGCCAGATGCGCCTGTCCATGAAATGTTTATGACCCTGATGTTGCTATTACAGGGCAGAGAAGACGAAAAGCTGTAAAGAGGTTAGCAAGAAACACAAATGAGGGCGGAAAGAAACTCACGTTGTTCGTAGCCGCAATGGCAATGCTGTCCTCAAAGGGATGCCAGCTCATATGCAGAATCTTCTTGTTAAAGTCAATCTGGTCGGCATCGGTCTCCTTCTTCATCCGGCTGCCCGGGCCCGCGGGGCTTCCGGACCTCGAGCCGGCCTTCTTTCCACTGCCCTTGTTCATCGGGGTCGGTACGCCGACCTTCTTCGCCTTGAAGGCCGACTTGTCTGCTTGGAGCACAATCTCTGTCTCCTTCTCCTCATCGGTCGGGTAGATCATGAAGTTGTTGTTGTAACTACCCGTCATGACGTTCTCGGCATCGCCCGAGAAGACCACCTCAAATTTATCGAAGATACTGTCGTTTTCGTATGTGTCGCACAGGCGAGGACGTAGGTGCTCGTGGATGGGGATCGTCTTGACCGGTTGGCGTTCCATGTTGACATCCCAAATCTTGACAGTCAGATAATCTCTGGACACGATGTACCGGCCGTCATGTGAGAAGCGAACGTCGGAAATGGAGGAGATGATCTCGGAGAAGAACGACCGCGAGGAAGCATCCTCTTCTTGTTCAAATTCTGCGGAACGGAGTTAATCTTAGGATATATGGGTTGCCCGAGGAGAGAGGAGGAGGAGGAGGGGGGGGAGGAGGGGGCCAGCAAAGAGGGAAAGAGGGCTTACGCTTAGCGTGTTCATCACACAGAGCCCGCTGCCGCATATCGGCGAGCTTGATGGTACCCTTCGAACTCGCGTACATGAACCAGTTACAGCTGACGGGGTGAAATTCGGCCGCGGTGATGACCTCGGTGAGCTCTTCCATGTTTGCCGGCTTGATATCCACAATGTTGAAGCTCTGGTCCTGGATGTTGAGGTTCCACAGGTTGACCCGGAGATCATCGCTGCTGATAAACGTCTCGCCGTCACTGTTGACGGAGATGCTATTAATATGGTACGCGTGTGCGTTCGCATAGGTTCTCCGTGGCACTGCGGCAACGACGGTATCGTGATGTGTCAAACGGGGGAGTTTCAACGCGGAGGCGTCCTTGAAGGTTCCACGGGGGGCACGAGGGAGGCTGCCGATGGCGGGGGCCGGGGTCATCTCATTCGACAGGTTGTTTTCTGCGACCACCTTCAGCGACTTGTCAAACACCTTCCACAGCTTAATCGTCTTGTCGTTTGTCGAGAGCAGGAAGTGTGATGCATTCTGTCGTCGACACCATTTTATCTTGTTGATTTTTTCTTCGATCTCTAACGATTTGAGGTAGTCGAATTCGGGCTCGTGGGATTGGAATTCGGTGTGGAACTTGTATTCGCAGGTTTTTTTCTGTCGGGATGATTCACGTTAGCGATAAACGTCATGTTTGTCGCTCAATGACACTTACCGTCTCGTTGCGCTCGAACAGAACAACACGTCCTCCCTTGTCTCCCGTAGCCAGATAATTACCGGTGTGGTCGAATTCAACGGTCGAGATGATATCCGCTGGAGTGACGACAGAGTCAGCCTCTGCGCGTTCATATGGGGGAAACAAGCTTCGTGCGGCGTTTTCCATATAGGCCTCGTATGGATTTCCATTCAACGGCAACTCACCTTCCGTAATATCCTCTACATCGCCTTTATCTCCGAAGCATCTGTGAGGTATCTGTCAGCGTTCTGTTTCCTTTTTCGCCGCCACGAGCCATCGTCGGCGCCCGAGTGGGGGAGTCGAAAACCCGTTGCGCCCAGCTCGGGCGCCATCCTTGAGGAAGGAGGAACTCACTGTGTGAACTTCCAGGTGGGTGTGCCTGGATCTCTGTCTACCATCTTTTCGTTCTAGGATCGCCCTTGATCGCGACGGACGGGCGAGAAACGATGCAGATTGGGAAGAAAAAAACGAGAGGCCGTTGGGCACACGATTTGCGGAAACTCGGCGAGCTCTATTGCGGGATGATGCAAAAAAGAGGCACGGTCGAATCGAGCTGATTCTGTGGATAATCGACGGAGCACGCGAAGTCGAAATCGGTCGGACCGGGATGCACAGTTGGGAGCTGAAGAGAGATGGATGGGGGAGATGGCAATCGGTCGGGTCGCGATCACGACGGGCGGGAGCGAGGGGGAGAGACGGTGAAGCCGATGACGATCGGGGATGGCGGGATGGTGGTTGAAAGGACCAGAACCTCACAAGATGACGGGGTCGGTCGCTCCAGAATGGGGGAGGGGATGGAGGGGGGAGGAGGGGGGAGCAAACGAGCCGTGGCAGATGAGAGTGGGCCCGCGCAGAGCTGGGATCGTGAAGCACCCAAAACTCGGATTGCGATGGAAGTGGGGGGGAAGAGGTTGGAGCAGAGGGGAGGTTCGAGGTCGAGTGTTGGGAGTGCGGTGACTGTGCGGTCCCTCTTTCACTTGTGCCGACTCGGGAGCAGTCGCCCTCTACGGCCACGGCTGCTACTCTACACTGTACGAAGGGCAAGTGGCAGTACCAGGCACCCTTGACCTAGTGCCTTCCAACGGTTAGTCCTGCAGCTACAGCTCCTTCGAGCTGGCGAAAACTCGAGCGTGACATCAACCATTTGCTGGACTGCAACTTTCCCGAAGCAGCGCACATTCGGTGGGGCATCCACCATACAATTGAGCTGGGGCAATGCCGACTACTAGCACTAATGAACAGGAGCATGAGGTAGAATACATTGTATATAATGGCCCATGGAGATCGTTTCTTCAACACTGAAGGTATCAGAGTCGACTGATCCGCTGCACGACCTCCGCCTCTGTCGTCATCTGCGCCCCTCTATGCCCTGGCAGCTGGCAGGGCGCAGGACCTGACAGCCCAGAACATCGGAGGCCAGCCTAATGCGACCGAGGCATTGAGAATCGACTGGTGGTACGAGAATCCAGCATTGGATGATCCTTGTGTTATACCTATTCAATACTGTTGTGATTATCTTGCGTAGTGTTGTTTCGCTGGATATATATCCGGATTCTTCAAATACAGTATGGCGATGCTAGAATAGCTTAATCTACTACCTGGAGGCAACAACTGGTAATCTGGCCTCGATTAATAACGTGTACAAAGAGTTTATGTATAATGACATACTTGAAAGCGCATTGGAATAATTTAACTATTGTTATTTGAAACGCCTGCTTTCCCATTCTTCCAATGCCGCACTCCACCCGGCTATCCTTCACATGTTCCTACATCGTCCGGTCCTTTCAGCCGAGCCTCAACCATCACCCAGGATGACACCCGAGTAGCACGAGCAAAGGCAGATAAAGCAAAGAACATTTACCTTTCTGACCTTCCCAAGCTCAAACACAACCATCGCCTACACAAAACAGACCGCATGTCCAACAACTCAGAGAACATGCGGGGTACCCGCCCCCCGTCAACCCGCGACGAATCCACCAGCAACCCTCCCAGCAACAATCCCACCGACACCAGCCCAAACACAACCACAGAGCCGTCCTCCCACACCTCCAAATCAAGTTCGGACCAACCCTCCCTAGCAACGCGCATCCAATCCTCCGCCTCAAACCTCGCTCGCACTGCCTTCGCCCCAGACCCAACCCAAACCCTCTCCGCAGTAACAAACGGCAAAGCCAGCCCCAGCACCCCCTCGAATGCAGGCTCCTTCGCACGCGACATATCCACAGCCCAAGGCCCATCGACTTCAGGACTATCCGGCTCGGTGTCAGGAACAAGACCAGCCACCGACTCCTTCCGCAATGCCAGCAATGCTCCCGCCAGCGCGTTCGAGATTCCCGCCATGACGGAGGAGGAATTCCAAGCACAGGGCTACACAGAGGACAGCCAATTCCACACCCAATTTCAACAAGGGCAAGGGCAAGGGCACCAGGAAACAGACAAACCCCTCGACCCCCTCCAATCCACAACCGGAAACTGGAAAGGCAAACACCGCGCCGCAGACCCAGTCCAAGTCTACACCAGCGCCTGGGAACGCGCCACCTCCAATACCTCCCCAACTCTCCAAGATGGAGACGGAGAAGCCGTCTCCACCCTCCTAAACAATCCCACCTTCGACCCTTCCTTCGCGTTGGACGCAGACATCCAAACCTCCGATATGGCAGACGAACCAGCCCCCCTCACACGCGCCGAACTCCAAACACTGGACTCCTTCCGCCGCGACCTGGTTATTCCCGATAAACACCTCGACACACCCGCGGTCCAATTAAACCCAACCAGCCTGATACCCGACATCGACACGTTCCTCCAACAAGACCAGCACTCTACAGCGGGAAGTGCCGTCTCGCTGCGCGATCATGTTCTTGCGAACCTGCCTGGTGCGAATGAGTGGGTACGTGTGCAGGAGAGGTATCATGATGAGGTGTGGGGGTTTTTGAGGCCGGCGTTGGAGGCTGCGAGGGAGGAGATCGAGGAGGGGGAGGAGGGTCTTGGGGAGCATGAGGAGGGGCCGGCTGTTAGGAGGTTGAGGATGATTCTGGAGCATATGAGGGCCTAGACTACAAGACCGTGTACTCGGTGGTGTGGAGGGTACTGTTGTATAGTAAGGAGTTAGGATGTCAAAAAGGTACACTACATATAAAGTATGCTTGAAGGCATTGCGGTTGCTGAGGTGATTTGCATGGCATGAATCATATGAGTACATCTCATTCAAAGAACCTCCTACCTATATTCATAGTGCATGAATAGTGCTAGCATCTACAATATACATCTATGGAAAAGAAGTAACCATCACTCTAGATGCATTAAATATGTTACACGAAGAGCACCTCGAACGTTCTTCTCCCGGTAGACATAGCTCCAGGTTCTCATTCTCATCTGAAGATAGTAAAGAAAAACATGACATGCATCAAATTGGGCGCACAAGAACGGGGGTATGAGCAAAACATTTCATCAAAAACCAACCTACAGCTCCAGGCTGGGGGTCTGGCCCTTGACGCGGCCGATGACGATATGGCCGGCGTACTTGGGGATGACCTCGTCGTCGTGCAGCATGGCGAATTCTGCAAGAGCCAAAGTTAGCATTGAAATCTTCATTAGGAGGAATGAGGAACCTACCCTCAGTAGCATCACGGCCCATAAAGTTGAACAGAGCGTTAGCACCGCCCGGGTGCTCGTCCAGCCAGTTGGTCACGTCGAGGACGACGCCCTTGACGACAATCCAGAGGTCATCCTTCTTGTTGTGCTGGGCAACCTCTTCCATGGTGTACTCCTTCTCGGGAATCTGGAAGTTGGCTGGGTCCGGCTTGGAGGTCGCCTCGGGGGCAGCGGTCGACGCATCAGCGGCGGCAGCAGCCGGGGTGGCAGCCACAGAAGGCAGGGAGCCACCGGGGGCCGCACCGCCCCACTCAACGGAGATCTTGCCGGGGGTGTTGGGGTCGATGTGCAGGGAGATCTGGCCCAGACGCTGCTGGGCAGCGGAGGAGCCGGTGTTGATGAGTTTCTGGAAAAGGTGCTGCGACGCCGAGTCACCGGCGACACGGCCGTAGACGACACAGCCCAGCAGGGAGGAACCACCCAGACGGTTGGCGCCGTGGACACCGCCGGCCAATTCACCGCAGGCGTAGAGGCCGGTGAAGGGCTCCTTCTCGGAGTTCAGGACCTGGGCGTGCTCGTTGATCTCGATACCGCCCATGGTGAAGTGGAGGACGGGCTCCATGGTAGCGACGTGGAACTCGTCGTCGAGGTTGAAGGGCATGTTGTGGAAGAACTTCTTGTTCCAGGGGTCCTTCTTCTTGCCATCGGCGATGAGGTTGTAGTCGTCGAAGGTCTTCTTGAGGGCCGCCTCGCCGCAGCCGATCTCCTCGACCAGCTCCTTGCCCGTCATCTTGCGCATGAGACCACGGCCGGAGTAGTGGCGGGTGTGGAAGTCCAGGACCTTGGAGGCCTTGCTGTTCAGCACCAGGCGAATGGGCCACTTGCCCTTCTCCTTCTCCTTCCACATCTGGCCCGAGACGTAGTCACGGTGGCCCAGCTCGTCGGAGAAGCGCTGGCCGTCCGAGTTCAGCAGGAGACCACCCTCACCACGGAGGGCCTCGGCGGCCAGGAACTTGAACTTGGCACCGGGGTCCTTGGGGTCGACCAGACCGGTCGGGTGAACCTGGACCTTGTCCATGTCGATGCCGTTGGCGCCGATCTCCATCAGCATCTTCTGACCGTCACCAGTGGCGTGGGTGCCGTTGGTGGAGGACAGGCCGAAGGTATCGGGACGGTGCTTCTTCAGCAGGGAGGAGTCGCCGAAATCAGCAGCGTAACCACCAGTGGCGAGGACGACGACACCATCAGCGGTCTTGGTCTCGCCGTTGAGAGTGTAAGTAACGCCAGTGACGTGGTTATCGGTCTTGTTTACGGCGGTGACGTTGGCCTTCTTGATGATCTGGACACGGCTAGGCTCGGCGTCGGCAAGCTCCTCGAGACGCTGCATGAGAGCGTAGGTGATGGCCATACCGGGGAACTTGGCATCGTGACCACGGTGGGTACGAGGGAAGGAGTGACCACCAAGGCGGGAGACGAGGGTGAGGTCGAGGTTGAAGACATCCTGCAGCCATTCGACGGCGGAGGCGGACTTGTAGGTCAGGACCTTGATGAGGTCGGGGCGGGCCTTGTCACGGGCGGACTTGAGGGTGTCCTCGTAGAAGGCTTTGACGCTGTCGCGGATGCCGAGCTCGGTCTGGGTGCGAGTGAGGGCACCATTGATGCCGGAGGTGGCCTTGGTGGAGTTGCCACCGAAGAAGGCTGGAGGGGTCTGTTAGATGGGGGATGCAGACCAGGTGTGTCAAAAAGCGAACTTACCCTGCTTGTCCAGAACGAGGACGTTGCCACCGTTCAGGTAGACGGTGTGGGCGGCACTGAGGCCGGACACTGGGACGACGTTAGTCAAGGGTTGCGATCAGAGAGAGGGAAAGACACGTACATCCACCACCGACCACAATGACTTGAGGTGCTGCCATGTTGGGAAGTGAAATAAGGGGGGAGGAGATGGGGGAAAAGGAGGAATGAGGCCGAAAGGAAGAAGGCGGGCACGTCTTAAGGGCCGGGGGATGGTCAGCTCAGAAGCCGACGAGCTTTCTATCGGCCGAGGCACAAACGTGGGGGGGGGGGGATGGGAAAGTGGATCTCGGGGGAGTGAGTAATGCCACGCCGCTGGTTTGCAGGCCCAGAATGGAGCCCGTGAGAGTCTGGGGTAGAATCACATGCGGAGTTACAAGCATTGACAACTACTCTACGCTGAAAGAGTGTAAAGGAGAAGGTTGCAACGGCGTTACTGGCGCAAGTGATATTCACATGCGTCTGCGTCATGGCCAGTCGGTCATGCGACTGCGCGCAGACAAGGGGCGCATATTAAGTAGTCAGCAAGTGGTGGTGATTCTACGAGACGAGAGCGGAGAGATCTAGAGTTACGAGCCAGACAATTCCGATCAGTCCTTTCACCATTCTCTCTGCTGGATGTACAAGTTAGCAGAATGCGCCGGTTGCTCGGTCCGCATGAAACTGGGCCTCGGAAGTGCAGACAGGTCGTCGCGGACCGAGAACAAGGTGGTACTCCCGGTATGCATCAGCCCATCCACCAACAATAGCAATAATAATAGCGCAACACCCATCCAACAACCAAATCATCGCAATGGTATATAAAATAAAAAATAGATCTAGATATTAGATCCGCTTCGACAATGGCTGGAACTCCCCACGCCGACCAAAGCAGCAAAAGCGGTCGCCGACCGCTGAACTTTGGGCACGCGCTGATTGGTGGAAGAACCTGACATAATCCGGGGATGGAAATTGTTGGAGTGGGACTGATGATGTCACCCGCCCATCCTTGCGGCCGCCACTTCGGGCAGGTCAATTGCCGACGGAATTCGTTCACGAAGGCTGAGCCTGACTGAATCATACCCCGACAGAATCTTGAAAAGGATAAAAGCTGCCATTCCCCCGCTGTTAGCTGCCACATCTCGGCTTCAATTGTTGCGGCGCTGGTGCTCGGGGAATTGTTTGCGAATTCTCGGGGTAATGTACACCGACGGGTCTCGCCCGAGAGTACCGACGCACATATTAAGTAGTGGAGGGCAGGATGGGTCGGACCGATGATGGACGGACCGACTCGATATGCGCAGGATTCCGATCAGTCTAGATCAGATCGTGCCAAGTGGAATACCCTAAATACTAGTACTTTAGGGTAGCCTAAGGTAAGATTAGATTAGATCAATCATACAATGTACATTGAATATGTCCAATGCTATGTACCGTACCCGAGGGTATACCATAAATCATCAATCCGCTATGCATTCATCATCACGCAACCTAGTCCATCCAGGTCACAGACTTGGTCGAGAGGAACTCATTCAGTCCCTCTTCGGCATTGAATCGACCCCAACCACTGTTCTTCACACCGCCATGCGGCAGCACCGGCTCGTCATGGATGGTCATACTGTTGATGTGGACGGCACTAGACAAAACGAGTCAGCATTGATCAGGGAAAAAAAAAAAAAAAAAAAAAAAAAAAAAAAAGGGAAACGTGTACTCACCCAGACTGAATCTTCTTCGCCATAGCCAATCCTTTCCGTAAATCCTCAGTAAACACCGAAGCAGACAATCCATATCCACTGCCATTCGCCAGTCGAATTGCCTCCTCTTCAGTGTCAAAGGTCATGCACGCAGCGACGGACGCAAACGCCTCCTCTTGCCACACGGCCATCTCCTCCTTCACACCGCCCATGATGACGGGCGCCATGCGCACGCCCGCGTCCGCGGGGAGCTTGGCATCCACCGAGCCGGAGATGAAATGGGCGCCAGCCGAGACAGCACTAGCAACGAGGGCCTCGACGCGAGTCTTGGAAGCCGTGTTGACGAGCGTGGGTGGCAGCGCAGAGGCATCGGCACCGGCGGCGAGAGCCTTCTTCAAAGCCTCGATGAAGGTAGGTGCAATGGACGAGTGAACGAGGATGCGGTCAGTCGCCATGCAAATTTGGCCGGACTAAACAACCGATAAGAATTTGTATGTCATAAACACATCGCCCAATAAACTTACATTCAAAAAGGCACCCGCCAAAACGCCCTGCACTGCAGTGTTCAAGTCCGCATCACCACAGACAATCGAGCTATTCTTACCACCCAGCTCCATAAGACAAGGCTTCAGATTCTGGCCGCAGGACCGCGCAATCTTCCGGCCGACAGCCGTGCTGCCGGTGAAGTTGATCTTGCGGACGGCTGGGTGCTCGATCATGGCATTGACGACCTCGGCAGCGTCGGTGGGACGGCAATGCAGGACGTTCAGACAGCCGGCGGGGAGACCGGCGTCTTCGAAGGCGCGGCCGATGGCCCAGTAGCAGCGTGGGGTCAGTTCGGAGGATTTCAGGATGGTGGTGTTGCCGGCTGCGAGGGCGCAGGCGGCGGAACGGATGCCGAAGACGTAGGGAGCGTTCCTATATAAGGTTATGGTTAGATTGATATCTGGGATACGCAGGCCAGCACCTATCAATGGAGGTATTGTATGGTGATCCAATTAACCCTATCATCCCATCCCATAGAATAGGATGCAAGTTATACCGGAGGGTACTTACCACGGCACAATGCCCAAAATAACACCCATAGGCTCCTTAAACACAATGGCACTCTGACCCTCCGCCTCAACAACCGGCACACTTCCACAGATCGAAGTAATGCGGCTGGCCACCTCGCGCAGCATGCGAATGGCGAGGGGAACTACAAACATCTGCGACGCGGCGACATCCGCCCCCATCTCGGTCCGCATGTACTCGGCATTCTGCTCGAGTCGCTGCTCCAGCAAATCCGCCGCCTTGAAGAGCAGATCACGACGCGCAGCCGGCTTGGTGGTCGACCAGGCGGGGAACGCGGCGTCTGCGGCCTCGACGGCGCGAATGGCGTCTTGCGGGGTGGCAGAGGAGGCGGACCAGCAGGGCTGGTTGGTGTAGGGGCTGATCACGTCGAAAGTGGAGGGGGAGACCTCCTCGTGGCCGTTGATGATCAGTGGGACTGTAGTCATTGTGTTTGACGTCGACTCAGGTTCAAGCCTGCCTGCAAGTGAAGGGCGAGGGGATATAATGCGAGTCCGACGAGCAGGAGGTGGGATTATCTACGGAGAGGGGCCCCACTGCCGTTGATGTGCGTGTTGCTGCGTTGAGGTTGCTCCGGTTGATCCCTGGACTAAGACAATTCTCCACTGGCCACGCCGAACGGTTGATTAGCTTGGATGATCTTGAGGTTCAAGTTTGTTCTTGATGTTTGAATTGTTTGGGCATGGAATCAACAGGCAAGCTTCTGTCAATTCAATCATTTTAGGCGAGTATGTAACCTCGGGCTGGCAAGAAGGTCCTCGACGTGGAGCTATCCCCGCTGTGGCTGACGCCGCCGACCCAGACTTGCCGTGAAGAAGGGAACACGGCCGAGACTGCCGTCATTCCAAATACTAACTACAATATTTATGACTAGCAGGCGAAGCCAACTCGAAATATTGCAAAAGGTCGGATGTATACTCGGCGCAGCATTTGCTCCGAGCGGCAGAATTTGCCAATAGTCGCAATGTCTGCCCCACCATGCAAATCCTTCGCGCCCGCCTTTTTTGATCCTGAGGGTCTTTCAGCTGGTACTCTATCTTGGGCGGCCCACAGCCTCACCAGGGTCCTGAACCACGGAGCCAAGCGAATTGATTAATTGCCTGCATTGTGCTCAGGCCCCGTTCTCTCTGTGTTCCATGTAACTTGCATGTCGGATCGCGGCGCAGCTCCGCTACAGTAGCCTGCTGTGACGCAGGCGTGTCCCGGTTGGCTCGTTCACACGGCTTGGGAGGCACTATTGGCGATCTGCAAATCGGCGTGACAGATTCAGTAGGGCATGACCATGACATGGTCACCGAGGAGCTCGAGATCGCGGAGAAATAGGAGAATAGGGGGGGGGGGGGTTGTGCAGGCTCGGAGAATTCAGGAGCACCCCCAGCTACAGCACGCCCACTCCGAGACCATTATCAAGCAACATTGCGCCTCAAGTATGTGGTAGCTCACATTATTGAACACCTGTGGATTGAAACTTCAATAATTCTGCATGAGTCGTGTGCCATTTCCCGGCATATCAGATGGGATCGTAGGCCCAGCTTTCCCGATGCAGAACTGGAAGAACCCACTTTGCACCATGGAAAATGGGTCCACGACAAAAAATCGTGTGTCATTTAAAATCCACGCACCGTGGCAGCCTTCCTTTCTCAGTATTGATGTGCAGTGCTAGCCACGCCGAACTGGAGAAACACTGGCAAGCTGGCACGGCCAGGCGCCGATGTCATTGCAGACACTGGGACAGTGGCTTGCAGCCGCACACTCCAAGGCTGTAGTTTAATCGACCGACCAGGAAATGGGGACGATAGTGGCCTCCACTCGGTGCGCGAGAGCGAACGCGAAGCGCACATCCCTGCAACCCAAGTTTGGGAAGAGGGTAATAGCCAGCGAATGATCGACGCGCGGTAGAAAACTCCCTAATGTAGTGCTGGTCATTAAATGCTGCGTGGAATTGATTGCACATGAACCAAGGTCCGGCATTGCCGATGCCCACTGTCGTGCATCCAAACTCGCGTGGCCCTTATATCTGTGGAGGCTGTCCACGTCCTGCTGGGTCGATCTTTTTCCCCAGGAGTTTCGTTCATTCTCTCCGACTCTTCCTCCGTCCTTCTTTTGTGTGTTGTACATCGTGTTGCTGTTCCAAGTCGTTTGATTCAAGTACATTGCTGCCATGGCTCCGAGTACGCGAGGATGGCAGATGATCGAGATCGTCTCGGTCTTGGTTGCACTGTGCCTCATTTCGGTTGTGCTGCGAGTGGTCGCTCGCCTGCGCCGACGAGTCGGATTTGGGGTGGATGACTATCTTAGTATTGTCTCTATGGTGCTGATGATTGCCATGCTGATTGAATTGGGCTTGTGTGAGTAACGGTGCAACTGCTGGCGTGTGCGAGCCTCGCTGACCGACTATCAGGGTGTTCGATCGGAGGAAACGGTGCCCACGTCGAAACATTGGATGCCGAGACCATGATGAACTACTGGAAGGTATGTCATACTCCCACTTTTACAAAGTACTGTTACTCACTGCGATCAGATCTTCCTGGCCAACCAGTTCACATACTTCCTGCTGTGCCCCGCCATCAAGATCTCGCTCATCTGCTTCTACCGTCGCGTCTTCACCACCCCGCGATTCCAGCAATTCACCCTCGGCCTGAACTGTCTGATTGGCGCCTGGGGTCTGGGAATCTTTCTCGCCTGCGCCGGTCAATGCCGCCCTCTCCGCGCCTACTGGGACCACAGCGTGCCTGGTAAATGCTTCGACGCGAACCTCTTCTTCATCGTCAACCAGGCCTTCAACGTCCTCATGGACTTTGTCATCCTCATCTTGCCCATCCCCATGATCTGGGGTCTCCACCGTGCCTGGCAGGACAAGCTCGCCCTAAACGGCGTCTTCGCTCTCGGTGCCTTCGTCTGCTTCGCCAGTATCTACCGCATCGTCGTGCTCTTCTGGATTAATCCTACCGACCCGACCTACACCGTCTACCAAGCGACTCTGTGGACACATATTGAACCCTCCGTCGGCCTCATCTGCTCCTGCCTGCCCATCATCCGCGGTCTCTTCCCCGCGCTGAAGCTGAAGAACCGCTCCAACCGCAGCCAGCCCTACTACATCAACACGGATATCAGCAACTCGCACTTAGTGTCCAAGTCGAGTCCCCGCTCACCGGACCTGGAGTATCTCAAGATGGAGGCGGGTATGTGTGAGCGCAGTGCGTCTGCGGCCAAGGGTCAATTCCTGGGTGATGACCTCCACCCGTTGAACATTAATGTTCAGACGGAGATTTCGATTATCCCGGACAATAACTCGACTACCACGCTCCACCGTTGAGACGATAGCTAGTTCGGCTGACAGCCTTGCTGATGCCGATGTTATGCGATACGATGTGATGATTCATTCGATTCGGAGATGTCTTGAATAAGAACTACCCGAAGATAACGGCCCGGTCGAGATACATTCGCTGGAGGTTCTTCAGAGGCCATGCCTCAACGCGATTCCGGCGAGGGCCGCTGGTATCTTGATAACCAGCTTCGCCTGTAAAGGCAGATTCCTTCTGGGCCAGTTATACATTGCCATATGCTGCTTCGGTGGTATGGCAAATAAACACGACACAACACACCATCTTGTCTTGATTACCACTCTTTACAACATCATGACTGCCGTTCTCTGAAACATATTCCTTCATTCTTTCAACATGAGTCGATAAACGACGAGTCTTGTATATAATCCATACCATATACCAATATACCAATCAACAATACCGAGCACCATTCTATGTTCCATCTAACCCCACCGGCATTCAGTAAGATCAAACATACGAATCCTCAAAATCCCACATTGGCGGCCCAGAAGCCTTGGGCGGCCAACCGACATTCTTAAAGCCAACCTCAAACTCATACACCCCAGACCCAACAACCCTTTCGTCAACCTCCCCAGGCAAAACAACAACCGCCTTCGAATTCGGCGGCACAACAACCCTCAACTTAAACAACCCCCCTCAAGCACCCACTTACTCTCCAAAACCCCAAAAGCTGTCTCATACTGAACCTCAGCCCTAGTCACCGTCCCACCAGGCAAAGGCTTAACAAGAACCCTTTTCCAACCAGGCTCCAGCAAACTCACTCCGGCCACATCCTTATGCAACCAATGCACAATACTCCCAAGAGCATAGTGATTAAAACTCGTCATCTCCCCGGGATTTACACTTCCATCCGGTCGCATACTATCCCACCTCTCCCAAATCGTCGTCGCCCCCATGGAAATCGGATACATCCACGACGGACAGTTCTTCTCCTGCAACATCCGATACGCAAGCTGCACATATCCCGCCTTCACAAGCGCATGCGTGATGATCGGCGTCCCCGCGAATCCGGTTGAGACCTGGAACTTGGCGCGTCGGACGTTGCGCGAGAGTCTTGCGCCCGCGTTCGCGATTTGAGACTGCGAGTCGAGGAGGTCGAAGACTAGCACTAGCGCGAGGGCTGTCTGCGTGTCGCCGACTAGATACCCATCATTCGAGACGTATTTGGCCTGGAACCGTTCTCGAAGATGGATGTAGTCTTTTCCGTACCGGACGGCATTTTCCTCATGCTTGAGGATCTTGCTGATCTCCGAGAGAACCCGGGTAACATGTACCAGGTACGCATCTGCAACCAATGTCCCATCCGTCCGCGAATTCCCCGGCTGATCAGGCGGCGCAGTCGGATCAAGCCAATCGCCCAACTGCCACAGCTCTTCATCCCAAAGACGATCGTTACCCCGCTGCACGCCCAAATCCAACCAGGCTGTCATACTTTCATACTGGCGCGCGAGAATCTGCGTATCACCATAACTCTGATAAAGGGTCCAAGGCAGGAGAACGGCAACATCATCCCAAACAGCCTGCGGGAAGATAGGCCAGAGTTTCTCAGATATAACGCCCGGCACAACGAAAGGGACGATCGCGTCTTTCGTAGTGAGTTGCTCAGCCGCAAGATCCTTTAGCCAGTCGCCCAGCATTCCGGCCGTGTTATACAAGAATGAGGCAGATGGACCAAAGATCTGAATATCGCCCGTCCAACCGAGCCGCTCGTCGCGCTGCGGACAGTCCGTCGGGATGGAGAGGAAGTTACCGCGCATACTCCAGGTGGCGTTTTCGTGGAGCTTGTTGATCATGGGGTGGGAGCTGGTGAACCAGCCTGTGCGGTGGAGGTCTGTGTGTAGGACCTCTGCGACGAGGGTTGTGAGGGAGGGCATCCAGTTCTCGATTTGCACGTAGCGGAAGCCGTGGAAGGTGAACCTTGTTGTCCAGTTCAGCTTTTTGCCGGCGGAGATGATGGTGTCCGTACATTTTGCGATGCGGAGGGGACGAATGCCCAGCTCGTTGTTTTCTAATACCTCCGCGTGGATGAGGGTGATGGTTGTATTTTCTGGTGCGTGGAGGATTGGAATCCGTACTCGACCGACGAGGTTCTGGCCGAAGTCAACGATTGTCTTGCCCGAGGGTGTGGTGATTATTTCCACTGGTTTTATGATCTGCGTTACTCGAACTGGAGGTGCATTTGGCGCAACCAGTTCGGCTTTGGGAAAGTCGATCTCCCGCGTAGGCAGCCAGGTATTATCGTTGAAGGAGGTAGTTGTCCATCCTTCTTGCTCTTCCCGTGCATCGTAGACCTCGCCGTCGTAGATCTCACTTGTAATCAATGCTGAGGCATGAGTCTTCCACGAGGGGTTGGTGGGAATGATAGTTCGCCCGCCGTCTTCTGACTCGATATCCAGCTGCGCGATCAACACCATTTCATCACCGTAGATATGTCGCCGACCTCCGAGGAATCCGAGACGACCAGCATACCAGCCCTCCGCAACCTCGACCGCAATGACATTATCGCCCTCGCGGAGCAGAGGCGCAATATCAAAGACCTCATAGTTCAGCCTGTGACGATAGCTCGTCCAACCGGGTGCCATAAAATGATCACCCACCGGCAAGCCATTGATATAAGCCTGGAACACACCCAAGCTGGTAATATACAATCTCGCTGACCTGACACTGTTCGAGGTAAAAACCTTCCTAAACCGCAGCGGCCGCAGAGGACCCTTGGATTCATTCTTCGGACCGGTGATAGCCTTCGCGACCCACTCATCACGACTCAGTAGTCCACAATCAACAGAGGCCCATGTTGACCACTCCGTTGGCTCGACGACCGAGCCACCGTAAGCGCGGATGCGGACACGCGCCGCCTCGCGAGATTGGAGAGGATGGCTGGGCCATGGGACGAGGACGGAGTCGGAGGATTCAACGTGATAGCTTTCTGGCGCATTTGCACCACGGCTGATCTCAATGTCATAGGCTGTTTGCTCCCAGTTCTGGGATGTGTTGATATCTGCTGTGAATTTCCAGGAGATGCGGGGTGTTGGGATTTCGATACCCAGCCCTGTGGCGTGTTGCTCGAAAGATACGGTGGTGATGCCTGGCTGTGCCATGATTCTGATGGACCGCCCAGGAGTGTCTATTCTACTTCATCCGTGAGTGTCGAGAGATGAAGGGAGAGTTTACGAGCTCAACTCTCTGCGCGAGATGGCATCTTCTGGGCCGAGCTCGGGGTAATCGATCCCGATGCCCTGCCCCGCATGGGCGACCGAAGTACAGCAGCTCGGCATTTCCGAGACAAACAGAATACACGCATTCTATTAAAACCGGTATGCATAAATGACAAGAAAAGAGAAATACAAAAGGTCACAACTATAGATGAGACCCTGCAGTCGAACATGCGAGGCTATCACTGCCGTCTTTCTCAGCTAGGATGGCTAGCACTGCTGAATCGAGCCACTCGGCTTGAAATCACCAGCATGTGTCTAGAAGAAATACCCCTCAACTCAAACAAGTACCTTCTCCGGGTCTGGCAGCGTCCTTGTGGTCTGCCATGGTGGTTGGCATTTCCCGACTGGCGGCAGAACCTCGGGGGATTGCCCCATGCGATCACCCGCACCGAGAAGGAGTCGGGTATCAGATCCGCCAACCCCAGACTCAACCCCGGATTCTGTACGTGGGTGGAGCGATCGTGCTTTCTTCCATATCAGCAAACATTGTAAATATGCAGAGCCATGGAAAGAATATAGTAAATTGAATACTGAAATATGCCAGTCACTATGCCAGACTTAGCTTCTTGTTTTTTCTTTGTTCGATCGACAAGACAAGACGGGAGCTAGGCCGGGCCAAGCGAGCCGAGTTTCGGCATTTTTGGCTGTTGGTGCAAACCTTCAGCCATGCGCTCTCCCTTCCCAAGCCACGCCTGGAATGGCCACCCCGGAACATGTCACCGAGGGGTACGCGGCACGGTGCTAGATCTTGCTTCTCTCATCACATCCCCAGATGCGTCGGCCGGCAAGAAACTACATAAAAAGGCCTGCTGCCCAAGACAGGAGTGATCCCCGCACAGGAGTCGATAGAGGCTGTTTCCCCTCTGCACATCAACCTTCTCCTTGATTAGGGTGTCACCCATACCCGCTCGTCGATTTGAACCATACAGCACTGGCACCTCTGGCACAGCCTAGGTCCTATTATACCAATACTTCCACAATGGACTTCCACCTCGAAAAACCCAACGCCTCCTTCGTCGAAGACACAGACCACCAACTCGGCCACATAGCCAACCAAGAAGACCACGAACTAACAAAGTGGCAATCCCTCCGCAAATACCCCTGGACCTTTACCTGGTGCATCTACGCCGTCTGGTGCATCCTGCTCGTGAGCTTCGAGAACCAAGCCTCGGGCAACGTGACCGGCATCCCAGAATTTCGCAAAGACTTCGGCCACTACTATGCCGGCAGCTGGGTGCTGGAAGCAAAGTGGCAATCCGCATTCAGCGGCGCTCCTGTTGCGTCGGCGGTCGTGGGTGCGTTGTGTTCGGGTCAGATTGCCGATACGATCGGGCGCAAGATTACTATCTTTGTTGCGTTGTTGATTAGTGTTGCCGCCGTGACGTTGGAGTTTCGTGCAACGACGAACGAGATGTTTTTGGGGGGGAAGTTTTTGAATGGGTTTGCGGTTGGGGCGTTGGCTTCGGTGCCGATTACCTATATTGGCGAGGTGAGAACTGTCCAGCTTGCGAGATGTATGATTGACTCAGACCCATGCTCATGATTGATGATTGAAGATCGCGCCTCTCGCTCTTCGCGGTGTCCTCACCTGCCTCACGGCTTTGGCCTATGTCATCGGTCCATTGGTGGTGGCCCTCATCACCAACTCGACAGGAACATACACCAACCGCTGGGCCTACCGCGCCGTCTTCGTAGCGCAATACGGCTACGCCGCAATCGCACTAGCCTTCATCCCCTTCATGCCCGAGTCACCCTGGTGGATCGTCTCAAAGAACCGCGACGAAAAAGCTCTCACGTCGCTGCGCAAACTGGGATACACGGAAGAAGAGCGGATCAAGAAGATTGCTTTGATCAAAAACACCCTCGAAGAAGTACGCCGTGAAACCGAAGGCGCGACCTACCTCGAATGTTTCCGCCGCTCAAACCTCCGCCGGACCATCGTCTCGATCATGCCGATGTGCATCCAGGCATTGTCCGGTGTGATTTTCGCGGCCGGCTATTCAACGTATTACATGCAGTTGGCCGGGTACAGCACGGCGATGAGTTTCCGTCTTCAGATTGTACAGCAAATCATGTCGCTGATTGGGAATATCATGTCGTACTTCGTGATTGATCGTGTCGGACGTCGGAACGTCATGGTTTACGGGTTGGGCATCCTGACCGCAATTCTTATGGTTACTGGTGGACTTGCAGTCGTGGGATCCGACACTTCAAATGCCAGCGCCGGCGGCGCCATCAGGGGGACTGTGGCCTTGATCTTGGTCTACTGCTGGTGGTACAACCTGACCATTGGCGCGGCGGGATATACCATTCTTGCAGAGGTGTCTACATCACGACTGCGCATCAAGACAATTGCTATTGGGATGGCGTTGCAGAATGCGCTGTATACGATGTGGTCGTTTGTTCTACCCTACCTGTTTAACCCCGATGAGGCAAATCTCGGTGCCAAGGTCTCGTTTATTTTCGGGGGGCTTTGTGTGATCTGTTTGGTGTATCTTTGGTTTTGCCAGCCTGAGACGGCGGGTCGTACATATGGGGAGCTGGATGAAATGTTCATGAAGAGGGTTCCGGCGAGGAAGTTCAAGGGATATCGAACTGATGCAGAGGCTTTGGGGGTTGCGGCTATGGAGGGTATTAATACGCATGTTTGATCATTTCGAATCTGCTGGGCATTTTCACCGGTGTGCCATCACTGTTAGAGAAAAAAAAAAAAATACGTAACTGAAATTTTAACTATTTGACCATTCTTTAGTCTACGCGGTGAAGCCTTCATAGAGCTTGCTAAAATGGCATGAGAAATGAATGGGTAAATGGGCATCAATTCGTAGAATTCATCAGATTATGTTATCTCACTTCGCCGTCACTGAGCCATATCACCGCAGCACCTCACTGCTTCATTCCATTCTTAGCAAGATCCTGTTGAACATTAGTCCGACGAAGCTTGAGAATCTCCAAGTCTGGCGGCAGAATCCGACTGGCCAGGATAGAAAATCTATCTGGCACCCAGCGCTCTCGGGGTTTCCCCCAAGCGCGCGAAGTCGGGCAAGAGGGTGCCGCCAAGATATCTTTGGCAAGGGCAAATGATACTTACCGGATACCGTTCGGTGATGGCGGTCGAAATCTGCTCGACCTGATCGCAAATCACCTGCACACCACGATCGAATTGTCGGAGAGAAGTGTTGTTGGGGCCAGTATTGAATTCGTCGTCAAAATAGATGATTCCATCAATCTGGTCAAGGTGACCCTTCAGTCGGCCCTCGCCCATCATGCGCGCAGCATAGCCCTCCGCCCTTTCGCCGGCCGAGAAATCTCCAGAGTCCTTGAGACCAAGCTTCTCGGCGAGCGCGTCGACCCGGATGTTCTCGTAGAGCTTGCTGACAGCGACAAGGTTGTGCTCGATCACGGCCTTATCCCATACGGTTAGGCCGTCCGCGGTCACAGCGAGCTGGTGAGGTGCAAGCTTCTCGGCAAAGGCGGCGATTTCATTGGCGTCCAACAGTCGGTCGAGGTGCATTTTTTCCAGAATAGAGAACTCATCCACGGTTGGGGTCCGATCATCCTTGTAGACACGAGCGAGAAAACGCGAGCGCTGAGGTCCAGCCGGGGCCAGGACGGCGCAGCGGATCGCAGCAGACAAGGCAGTCAATCGGTCATTCTCGTCCACGCCGGAGGCCAAGCTAACACTGAAGTATTCCTGCGCAGCCTCCAGGAAACGGCGACGTGCATCGAGAATACGAGCTTGTGAAAGCTGGAAGTGCAGCTTTGCCTCGGGATCTTCAATCTTGCTGGGGAGGTTCTTGATCCGGTTCAGAAAGGTCTCGGCATTGGTGGTGTCATCCTCCTCCAAGTAGTACCGCACGATACGAATCCAAAGGCGAGCCTTGGCGGCGTCCGAGACCAAGCGTTGCGAGCTATCGATGTTGATTCCTTGCAAAGCCCGCGCAGCAGCAGTGTATTCTTCCTCGGCCTCGTAAGCATCGGCGAGGATCTCTCGAATCTGCGAGTCTTGTTCTTCGGCGGAAGTCGCGCGCGACTGGAGGAGGGACACGGCGTGCTGGCCGACTTTGATCTTGACCTCGGAGTTGAAATTCTTCAGGACATTGATGAAGGAATCGAGCAGGGGTCTGGTGGCCACGATGCTGACATCCTCGCTAAGGATTGAGTCGAGGTAGTAAACGATGTCTTGAGCGAGCTCGTCCGACGTTGGGCTGGATACGATCTCATTGAGCAGGTCGTTGTACTGTTGGAGCTTGGTAGGCTGATGAGCTGTCTGCTCAATAGCTGACAGGGCTTTGGCGACCTTTTGAGAGGCCATCGTGATCGAGGGGCTGCTCAGAGGGGTGGGGAGGAGGCGGACATTCAACGGTGTTGGGCGCGGTATGTGAGGCGGGCGGAGAGCTTGTTTATCGATAAGGCTGTCCACGTCCGCCTCGGCGTTGCAGCTAAGCCAATTCGTCAAAGCTGCCTAAATCTGTGGCAACAAATTAAATGCGGTATTTATCAATAGCTATATGTGTCTGAACTGAGACATAGTCCAGAGAGAGTTCGATATAGAGGATACAGACGCTGTTTAGTCTTTTCAAATCACTGGGTCAAATCATAGTAGACGCAAAGGACTCGGAGTTGTGTATACTCTATCAAATCTGCTGCTGCTTCAAAAAGAGCTAGACTCAAATGTCTGCGAAAATTCTTTTCAGTACAATTATAAGCACTAGTTGAATGTTAGTCATTTATTGCAAGTGAATCCTGCCGCAGCCCTTGTATAGGACCGGGCTTAATGCTAACTAGTAGTAGGGTAGTAGGCTCGTCCATTCACGGTCGACCGCCTACCCGTCTCGGTATTAATCGGGGTAGCTGCCCGCGGTGGCGCGCTTTCAACCTCGACTTTCATTGACCATCGCCTCGTCCACCACCCTTCCCTGTCCCTCGTCGCTCCCCGTTCCGCAGTCGCATAAACCATATCTCGGCATACAAAACCACACGATCGTGCTTGCTGCCATCTCTCATTATGGCGCAGGTCAAACAGGACCCGGATGCCATGTACATCAAGGCGGATCCCGACAGCAAGGAGGTTTCCCTGGCCGATCTGGATGATGAAGACCTCTATGAGGATGCCGGAGATTTGGACTTTTCCGCGGCGGGCTCAAGTATCTGGCTTTCGCGTCTCCCGCGACAGCTGTGGGAGCACTGGGCGCACCTGGACGACGACGAAGAGATTGAGGTCGGCACGATGAGGATAGAGAAAAACCCGACAGACCCCAATGATATTAAGCGGGTAAAGATCGCAAATATCCTTCTGTCAGATGAACTTTTACTGAACTTTTCTCAAAGGTTAGCTTGCGCCTCCATCAACGACCAGACAACCACGAAATCCCCAAGGATTACACCCTCCAACAAACCACCATCACCACGACGAATGCCTCCCACATGACTCAAAATACCTATTGTTTTACTGAAAAAGATATCCCCGGAGCCGAGAACCGGATGGCGACCTTCGGAGAAACACGATCAGCGCTGTACGAAGCTCAGAAACGTGAGACGCGTCGACGAGAGCAAGGCAAGCGATGGGAGCCTTATGTGCGAAAGACGATCCCCAGTATGTTTCAGTGCGGCAACGTATGGCTTTGGATTTTTCTGACACGTTACAGAACAAACGGCTCTTGTCGGACAAGCCGGCCACGAGTTCAATTGTCTCCCTGTGGAGAACGAAGAGTTCCGACTGATCTCAGAGAGGCGAGCCCTGGAGGCTCTGAAGCCAAGAAAGGAAACCAAATTCATCAAGCAGATCCCCGGCAAAATCTTGCAGGAGCGTCATGCCCTTCCCTCCACCCAAGGCACCTTTGTGGTATGTTTTCTCAACTTTACTCTTTTCTTGACCATTTGGTAACATCATTCTAGCAAGCGACGAAGCCTCTCAAGGCCAAGCCCCAGGAGAACAAGTACACCCGTATTCCTCAAAACGAACTCTTGGACAAGATCTTCGGCTGCTTCCGCGAGTACCAGTACTGGCCTTTTAAGGCCCTTAAGGCTAGGCTTCAGCAACCTGAGGCTTATCTGAAGCAGACGCTGGAAATGGTTGCGCATCTGGTCAAGGCGGGTGACTTTGCGATGACATGGGAGTTGAAGCCAGAGGCCCAGCAGACGAACTATGCTCAAATGCCTATTCCTGTCAAGGCTGAAATGGCGCCCGGAGACAATTACGATTCGGATGACGATCCTACTGCATCTGGCATGGCTACGGATCAAGATGATATGCAGTTCGAAAATGTCTGATACCATTCTTGTGTGCTTTCACATGGGTTGGTAGACAATTTTCAAAAGATCGGTGAGCAGTGCCTAATACATACACCTTGATATGAACATTTACCTCCTGCTGGAGTTACGCCGATATTTAGGTTTATCCTAGTTGCAAATGAATGAATCGAAAGCTACTGCTTGAGGATTTCCCGCGTAATTGACGTTGAAACACTGTGTTTGAGGGCTACAATGTAGTAACAATAGAAAAATCCTAACTAGTAGTATTTCCTTTTTAGTTTGTATGTGCATAGAAAGGTATGAGATCAAATGGTACAGGATGTAAGAAACGTGCACTTTGTATGCAAATATTCCCAATGTAATGCAATCGCCCATACACTGTAAAATCAAGGTCTTACAATTTTGTTCAATGGCATGTTGACGGCAGGAGCCGGCACGTGACAAAGCTACGCCACCGGCGCCTACTAACCGCCGGACGTCACTCTTTCACCTTCTTTCCTCGCGACCACACCACTCAGCTTTCTTCACCTGAGCTTTGGCTGTGCGCTTGCGAACTTCAACTCACAGGCTTCAGCTTCTGATCGTCTTTCTCTCTGTGCTCACTAACCCTACCAAACCCCACAGCCGACCATGACAGAAAACGAGGAGCTACTGGCCAGGATCGGTCAGCTCGCAGGTAAGTTCTCGCCCAGCGAGTTCTTCGTGACAAACGGCCCCTCCTAATTTCTGGTATAGGCCGGATCAACCAGCACAAAAATCAACAATCGCAGCAAAACCCCCACCAGTCCCAACATGTGTCGCGTCATGCGTCCACACATCAAGGATGGGCACCTTACTCGCGAGGTCGAGGTGGTCGCCGTCCTCCAGCTCCCCACCGACACCGCACGCTGGTTCTGAACAATGGTCATGGATCTACCGCAAGCTCGACTCCCTCTCCTACCCCTGCGACCGATAATAACAGCGAGACGCGGCCTCCGACAACATCAAGTGGATGGGTTGCCAAGCGCGATCGCCACATGCAATTGATCAACGCCAAGGTTTACGACAAAGAAACTCAGGCCAGAGCAAAGGCTATGGAAGAGACGCGCAAGGCGAAGGTTCTGCAACGAGCTCAACGCGAACAGACAAAGGTGCTTCGGTATGCGCAGGGCGCTGCAGGTGCTTCCTCGGTGGCCTCTACTGCGCAGCCTGTCGCCCACCAGATTCTTGTCAACGATACACCTTTCCAGATTGCGCGCGGTGGCAGCAAGCTGATTCGCATGGACAGTACGTGCACATCGAGTGCTTCTTCCCCCGCTTAAGATCTGGCTTACCCTTCATAGATGATCCAAACAAAGCGAACACCACCCCCAAGCGAGTCACTGTCGCGGGTGTCGCCTTTGTTCGAAGCAAGCACGGGAACCTCCATCGACTTGGTGCCGTTACCTCGAAGACGTAAGCCACAAGACAAGGACGAACTGGGCGCGACAACAACTGATTTCTCTACAGTACCCCGAATCCTGCCAAAAAGAAGAACGAACTGTGCAAGCGATTCACCACGACCGGTATATCATATTCTGACGGACCGCACACGCCGCCGATAACCTTCCGACTCGTCGAGATACTGACCCAACTTATCTAGGTCTCTGCTACAAAGGCCCATCGTGCCTGTACGTCCACGACCCCAACAAAGTGGCTATTTGCAAGGATTTCCTCCAGACAGGCCAGTGCAGTGCAGGTAACAGCTGTGATCTCTCCCATGAGCCTTCGCCTCATCGTTCTCCCTTCTGTTTGCATTTCCTTCGAGGACGTTGCGCCAACCCGGAATGCCGCTATGCGCATATCCGCGTTACCCCAGGGGCCCCCGTCTGCCGCGCTTTTGCGACTCTTGGATACTGCGAAAAGGGCGCTGAATGTACCGAGCGCCACGTCCACGAATGCCCGAACTACGCGAACACCGGAAGCTGCAATAAGAGGCGCTGCAAGTTGCCTCACGTGGATCGGGCCGGCCAAATTCGTGCTGCGGCGGCCGCGGCTGCGAACCGCACGGAGGAAGATTCTGACCCATCTAGCGAAGAAGAGGACTACGATGCGATCGACTCGGACGACGTCGACTCGGACGAGTTTGAAGAGCCCGAACTGGTGATTGGAGGTGAGGATACCGGCGAGGTGTCGGAGCAGCAAGACTTTATCCACCTCTAGTCTGGATGCCTACGGTAGTAGCATTTCTGCTTGGTTCTTCATTTCCACCGGTTCGTCTGTTTCCATTCCCCCTTCAGTTTCCTTCACTCCCCTGGCGTTCTCTGGTCTTGGACATACAATCCGATACCCGAACATGTGACTTGTACAAAGCAAGCGAGGCAAAAAAGAAAAAAAAAAATAGGAAAAAGCAAAAAAAAAATACAGAATGAAATATGATATTAGCACCGCAGGCTCACCGAAGTAAATCTAAACTCCTGCCCGTAATCTGCCATAGATACCACTCAGCCATGCCCTTACCAGTAGTACATTGTAGAGTAAACAACACAAAGAACCCTACGGTGCGATAGCCCATCCGCCTCACTACTTGGCCACTATACCCTATCCTAAAGTACTGAGTAAGCCCGTTCAATCACAGGGATGAACGTAGTCGTTCGGGGAGCTCTGCCCACAACCCTCCCGACGCGTGATAGTGACATAGCCCGCATCCAGCTGACTGAAGCAACAGGCAAACCCAACCGAAGATCCCGGCCCTCGCATATCCAGGGACTGGTCCAGACGAATTTCCATCCGAACGGGCTTTCACTGGCGTTGTGGCAGTTGTGGCTGCATGGCCGGGAGGGCGTCGGACTTTTTGCTCGGGGGTTGGCTGGTGGTACCCAAATCGAGGCAAGAGATTTGCAGTATGGGCGGCCTACTCTATTGACTGGCTCAGAGCGGTTATTGGTTTTGCTCTCATTTTGGACAGAGCGTAATATGTAGGACGGGATGAGTGGAGGTGTTCGTTAGGCAGATATTTTGCTTTTCCGCGGTGGGGAGGTGCGAGCGATCGTTGATCCCGTGGACGGGCATTGTTCGCGGCCAAGGCAGCGGAGTTTATTCTTGGTTTGTGCTGCCTAGGTATCACATTAAATACTGCAGTGCGAATGATGTTTTCTTTGGGTTGGGTTGGGTTGGATTTGGGTGTATGAATTCTAGCTGGTCGATTAGATATTGAGGTTAAGGTTCGATACTGTGAGACGAAACGCATTTTTTATTACTTGTTTTGATGAAAAATAAATTATTCAGTTTCAAATTATGAGGAAGGAGAGAAATGATTGTTGCAAGAATTTGTTCTAGGAGACCAAGGTCCTCAAATGTAGGAGGGTTGGCTAGCAAGTTGGCAGCAACAGTTGGTGAAGCATATGCTTTGCTCGACGACTTAGTATGAGAAAGCTTACAAAATCGTCAGGAATGCTCTTCCTGAGAGCACTTCGGCATTTATCGTGATAGGAGATGCCTATGATGTGATTTAGCCAGGTGTAGAATCTTTAGCAGGTACCATCTCATGTAGTATGACGACCGATCAACTCGACTCCCACTACCGGGAACCCTCAAGACCCCTACAGCAGATCGTCTTCAGGAACAATGACTCATTTACTCGAGACTTACTACAAGACATTCCAGAACCTCAAATTAGAAATCTCAGTCCAGCGGTCAAAGAAAGCAACCGACCCACGCCCTTACCGCATCGAAACGAGCAAGTGGAGACCAGACAAATAGGAACAAACCCGAGCCCACGATCTACCCTGGCGGCATGGATTTCGTCTGTACCTTTCCCGTCCGCTGTATGGGGTACAGCGTACCCTCCGGATGGTCCAGACTGGAAGCGGACAGCGGGTCGGGGCTGCATTCTGCATCTGCACCCCGTCGGCACAGGTACACGCTACCTGTCCCACTTACTACTGTACATTGTAAGTACATTTAGCTGATGGAGGAAGGATGTGCCCAATGCATTGAGCGCAGATCAGGCAGGGGCGTGGGCCAAAGTGAGGCTACATGGCGTCTGGAGCGTTTCAGGGTCGTTGGGCAGGACTTTTTGGGGGGGGTGGATGTTTGGTGGGGACTGTGAGTCATGTATGTTTACATTTGCATTGCAGTATACTGCGATAGTTAATGTAAATAGGTAGAGAGGACTTACTCTAATATGGGATTCGAGGAGGTAGTATACTTCCATAGATACCCTCGGTATATACTAGTAGGGCACTACTACTAGTAGTAGTAAAGTCGAAACGACACTAAGAGACGATGACAATAATCGCCTGATCTGACCCAAAACACAGTCGCCATTTGGAGGCTCTGGCCAGAGTCTAGTAGGACCAGTCAGTGGCAGGCGCGAAGACTCGACTAGGACTGGGGCGGGACGTCGATTGGTCGGGACGGGGTTTTCACCGCCAGATCGTACAGCCGGAACCGCCGAGTCGGGGAGACTTGTGAACCTATGGAGGCCGAAAGGGACGCCCGGCCATGCCGTTTGGAGTCTAGACGGCGAACAGACATTGTGAGGGCTGACGCAGAACGGGTGGTGTCTTCTGACAGCGGTTCAGCCGTTCAACGTGCCTTTCCAAGCCCAAATGCTGTCGACGCTGGAGGGTCCGCGGATGAACAAAGAAAGAAGTAATAGTTAAGAGGGCAGTGTAAATACATTGTATGCCAAAAGAAGAAAACAAAAGCGTAACAAAGAGAGTTTGTGGTCGCGTGGGACATAATCTTCCGACTACCTGCCCATACCCTATACCATAAGGTAGTCCTTCTCCTACTAGGACCTCCGGGATCACTAAGATCACTGCTAGTCTAGGATACTATGGATTCATGATCATACCCGGAGGGAATGACCCCCGCAGTCATCTGGAGGGACGAGTGATCGCAGGACCGTGCATGGTGGAACCGGTGGATCCGCGGGCCGGACCCGTACCAGAGTACGCATACATACAGTATACAGTATACTCTGTCTACTGTGTAGTGTATGTATATGTAGTGTATTAGTATGTAGAGTATACTTAGCACAAGTACGAGGAGAGGGTATGGTAGAGTAGTACTCGTGAATACCATAGGGTAAATGTTAGGTAGGAGAGTCCAAGTGTAGGCGATGCCAGAGCAAAGTACACATTCGACTCGATCGATAGGCTCTCGATCGATATTGCACGGATCGGATCTTCTCTTGTTTAGAACACTAGCAGTCGAATACTCGTAGTGTACTAAGACGAATACTGATGGCTGACGCAGGGCTGCCCAAGCCGCAAAGCAGCCAATCCGCGAAAAGAGGGGCCTTCCCGCGCAGACCGCCGACTCGTGGGGGTCTCGTCTTCTTCCTCTCTTGTATTACTCCTGCTGCATCCTGCATTCATTCCATCTGTCTCCATCTTCATCTTCATCTTCATCTTCACCTTTATCTCCTCTTTACTGCATATCGTTATTTAGTCTCCTCTTCGTTTCTCACATCCCCTTCTGTTTCTGCTTCGTTCTACTACTTCCCCGCCCCACCTCCCACCACACACACCGCCTCTTCGCCATGGCTCGGTATTCTCAGTTCGACTTCTACCAACAATCTTCATCATTAGACGTGCCCGAGGAGGACGAGATGAGCGTGCTGGACGATAAAATCCTCGACTCAACCTCCCCGGGTCTCTCCGACCCCCGCCGCGCCTCATACGAACAAGACGCCTTCTCACATCGCAACTCTGTCTGGTCCAACTATTCCACCGGCTCTGAACAGTCGCGCCCGGCCTCACATCTCAGCCAGTCCGTCCTCGACGCCAACAACTCATCCTTCATGCCCGTCGACGGCCCCCAGTCCTATCCCCCGCAGGCCCCCGGCTGGTCGCTGTCTCGCACGGCCTCGGGCTCATGTACCCCAACCGCCTACGACCAGTATCCCGCCGAGGAAAGCACTGCAAATGCACCTTTCTCCGGTGGTGCCGTTGGCCCGGTCAGTTCGATCCCCATGGGCGCGGTCTCGTATCGCGGTGGGATGAACTTTGGGCCGCCGGGGGTGTAGCCATGTCGCCGCAGTCCAGTCAAGGCTGGATGCCGGCACCGATGGATTTGGCGGATGCCGCGGCACAGGCAAAGAGTGCGAGTTATCGGAATGGGTCGCCGTTGACCGTGCGTCGGGATGGGATTCGCAAGAAGAACGCTCGTTTTGAGATTCCCGCCGAGCGCACCCTCAGTAATATCGACCAGTTGATCAGCCAGTCGAGTAATGATGAGGAGATCAAGGAGCTGAAGCAGCAGAAGAGACTACTGCGGAACCGCCAAGCTGCGTAAGGATTTCCTCGCTGCCATATATCATTTGTCAATATCTGGTTCGGACTAACCCCACTCGCATAGTTTGGATTCCCGCCAGCGGAAGAAGCTCCACACCGAAAAGTTGGAGGAAGAGAAGAAGCATTATACGCACGTCATCAGCCAGCTGGAGGACATGGTCGCCGCACTGCGCAAGCGCGAGTCCGAACTGATCCAGCAGCAACAGCAGCAACAGCAACAAGTGACCGCCTACCTGGAGAACCTGCACATGGAAAAGGACGAGATGATCCGCGTGCACACCCTCGAGACCGCCGACCTGCGCAAGAAGAACAACATCCTGATGGAGACGGTGGAGAAACTTGAACGTGGCATCAAGCCCGTTGACAGCCAGGCCGACTTTACCGGCTTCGAGAGTCTCTCCATGGAAAACCACCCATGGGATGACTTTACCATGTCCAATGGCCTCTCGATGCAAGACACGGTGCCGCCGACGCAGTCGCACCCGCAGAACATGCAGATCGAGCGAACGGAGAAATCCAATGCTCCCTTCAGCTGGAACGCCTTCTACATGTGTCTCCTGTTCGGCGCTTTTATCGCTTCCAACAATACGTCTCTGCCCGGCCGAAACCTCCCCCAACTCTCCGAGGAATATCGCGCCGAGTCAGCAAACGTGCTGAAAGCCGTACTGGCCTCCTCGCCCAGCGAGTTCGGCCCCGCCCCGGCAAACACAGCTCCTGCACCCGCACCGTCCACCGGTATCGCGGGCATGGACATGCCCCCAATGGCATCGGCCCAACCCGCCTCATCCAATTTGGATGAGCTGCACGACACTCTCGTGATGCCAACCGAAGAGCAGCAGCGAGCCCAGGTCTTTGCGCTCAATGCGGACCAATATAACTCACTAACGACATTTGACGAGGACTCTGCATCTGCGTTCAAGCCGTCACAGCCGACGAATCTGCAGCAGGCGCTCGCCGCCATGCGCAGCACAGCCCAGCATCGCCTGCAGGGCTCGACTTCGGATGTGTATTCGCGGTCGCTGATGTGGGAACGTGTTCCGGAGAAGGTCATTCGGGATTTCCGCCGGATGGTGCATGATTTCGGCACGCCTGTCAAGGAGGAGATGGGCTTCCAGGCTCAGCAGGTTGCTTGATCGATACGCTTGACCTTACTGCCTTGCTACGGTTGATACATTGATCACGAATGAAGTACGGCGGTTGTACTGCGGTACGTGTGTGTGTGTGTGAAAAACGAAAACGACAGGAACCAGCGATGGTTCTGAGATGCGTGGTAGATCACGCGATTTTCTTCCTTCCTGTATCTATTTTTTCTTCCTTTTTGTTTCTCGAGTTCTGTTTAGCGGATGTCTTTTTAGCGCTTGTTTGCATGTTTTGGTTTTTAGCGATAGCGTGGGAGGGAGCGGATTCTGGGGGTTCTTTCGTGTTCTGCTTGTTTATTTCTTCACTTCTTGTCCATGTTGGAATGGCTTTTTGCAAATGAAGGGTTGTCGCAACAACCAGACCAGCCGGCTCGATTCGACGTCCACTTGCCAGTGTTTAGTCGGCTGAGACGGTCTTGTACAGAGGAATGCGCCCCTTGCTCGCGCGACGCAGCAGCGGGACTGGACATGATGTGATACGAGATTATGAAAACCCTGGCATACTTATTTCTTGACTTTCTACCTTCCGACCTGGATGTGGCTGGATCTTGACTTTCTTCTCTGTGACTATGGTTGATTTTTTGACTTGGAGCTTCAGCTCAGATGGCTTTGGCACCTTGGTGCGCCCTTGGCCCAACCTTGGCCAACTTGGCTTCACTTGGCTTCCAAGGTATCTCTTGGCCTTTTTCCTTTTTTGATGTTTGCTACTACACACCCGCGGCGACGCCTACGAATATAATGAGTCACGACCATGAGAACCTTCCATTTGATTTTCTCTACCACCCCTCAAGTTGTTTCTTCGGGTAGCGCGGTTAAATTCGCTGCCTCTTCTCTCTCCTGATTTTTCCTGCTCGCCTTGGCAGTCATAGATGTGGATACGGAAACCACCCACCAGCCACGCCCTAACCTACTAGGCAATACTACCACCTGTGGAAAAGGCCCTACAACCAGAACCATACCACACTGGTAAGTCCCCGAGCAAACGCGCCGTTCTGGCCGATGTGAGTGGTCCCATCCCCATTTTTTCATTAGCCGAAGGACCTTGGGGGTAGGTCAGTCGACCGCTGCGACCCAATCACCCGCGCGATATTGCGTCTTTTTGGACTGGCTCCACTGGACCTTCGACGCCAAGGTATGCCATCGGGTCAGACTGTCCAAGCTTTGACCAAGATCCCGAGATCTGACGTTGTGTCTTGGTGTTGAACGTGGAAACGTGGGCTGGCGTGGTACGTAGAGGTTTGCCGGGAGCGCATCACCATCACCATAACTACATCACATAGAATTGGAATTGAGTAGATGAGTGTGTTTTTAGATGTATTTAATTTGCTGAGAGGAATATTTGATCGAGATTAATCTCTTGAGCACTGGTAAGTTCACCGGAGCAAACCGTCGGGGCCCAAACCTGGCTGGTAGCCACCAACTCCCAAGGTCCTCGACGACGGCCCCGAAACTCATCTAGAGTTTTCATCGCCTCGCCTGATCTCGTCGAGCGAGAAATATAAAACGACACGGCCGATCCTGCCCTGTTAGATCCGCTCATTCCTCTCTTGACCTTCTCCCTTCGTTTGGTCTTGCCAGCGGTCCTGGTATTCACCCATCCATCATCATCATCATCATCTGGCGTACTCGATCCAGCCATTCCTCCAGCACAACACGACCACCTGAAGGGAATAGAGAAAACCGCCAGCATGACCTCTTTCGACCCGCACAACGTCGACCTCGACACAGTCGACCAAACCGAACTAATCTGCTACCTCAATGCCGAAGGCAACGAGTACGACGGTCGAATGGGCGCACGCATATCCGCCATCTTCGTCATCCTCATCGTCTCCAGCGCCGCGACCTTCTTCCCCGTCGTCGCGAAGCGTGTCCCCCGCCTACGAATCCCGTTATATGTCTACCTCTTCGCCAAGTACTTTGGCGCGGGCGTCATCGTCACAACAGCCTTCATCCATCTCCTCGACCCAGCCTACGAGGAAATCGGACCCGCCAGCTGCGTCGGCATGACAGGTAACTGGGGCCTGTACTCCTGGTGTCCAGCAATTATCCTCACCTCGCTAATGGTAATCTTCCTCCTGGACTTCGGCGCCGAGCGCTGGGTCGAGAAGAAGTACGGTATCTGCCGCGAGGATCCAGAACCCATCATGGCGCAGGGCGTTGCCGTGCATGGCGACCACACACACACCAACCCCAATGGCCTCCAAACCAGTTCCAATACTTCGGACCAGGTAAAGGATAAGCAGATGCGCGAGCTGGAAGAAGGAAGCGACGATGACGACAGCTTCGTCGAGCGCTCCTTCCGCCAGCAGATCGCCGCTTTCCTCATCCTCGAATTCGGCGTCATTTTCCATTCTGTCATTATCGGTCTGAACCTTGGTGTTTCCGGCGACGAGTTCGCCTCGCTATACCCCGTTCTCGTCTTTCACCAGTCCTTCGAGGGTCTCGGTATCGGCGCCCGCATGTCGTCTATCCCATTCAGGAAAGGCAGCTGGCTGCCCTGGTTTCTTTGCACGGCGTACGGACTGACTACACCAATTTCCATTGCAATTGGTCTCGGTGTGCGCGAGACGTATAACCCTGGTTCTTATACTGCGAATGTGGTCTCTGGCGTGCTGGACGCGATCTCGGCGGGTATTTTGATCTATACGGGTTTGGTGGAGTTGCTTGCTCGGGATTTCTTGTTTGATCCCCACCGCACGCAGGATGATAGGCGTCTGACCTTTATGGTTATGTCATTGCTTCTTGGTGCGGGATTGATGGCTCTGCTGGGTAAGTGGGCTTAAACTTGCACTAGCGCGAGTCGTGGGGGTGAGTGTCTGAAAAAACTGGTGAGATAGTTCTTCGTCGGACTTGCTTGAGTTATATTGCTATAGCCAACTTGGTCCGATACTGATCTGTCGTGTGTACGCTTTGGCTTGTTCATGATACCTTGGGATATAGATTGGTTTCATTTGCTTTTTGTTTCTGGTGGAATTGATATGGTGGTTCTGCCTCCATCGGATGTAGTAATTGGGTTGATGTTATACCCGGAATTGAGTCGCTAGGGTCGTCTTTCTTTAATATTCAGCCTGGCTTGTCTTAACATATATTGCATGTCGTTTTTCTTGTGTAATTGTGAATCGTATAGCCGAATCTGCTTCAAAACGATCGTGGAGGAGGCGTCGAATTTGCTGTGAGTGCCTGGTATTTGTGTCACATCGAGAAGGGGAGAGAAGTCCAATATCATAGTACAAGCACCAAACAGCAGAGTATAATAGAATAGTTCCTCGATCATAGATCCTCCCATAATCTCCTCCTTTCCATTTAGACGCCTCCAATATTCAGCAGTCATTTCCCGTCGTTGCTGAGAGCAGTGAGATGAAAACAAAGCAACGAGGAATTCGACCACATCCTCAAGTCCACCCCGCTTGGAGCAGCATCTCTGTCGATAAGATAGTTCACGAGAAAAAATGGCCCCCCTGCTCTCCAGCACTCTCTCGGCCAGTTCCAGATAAAATTCTCGGCCGCAAATGTTCCTATATCTCCTGCCAAGCTCTGGTCCAGCCGAGGGTGTTAGTGTAGCAGTATTGCCCAAACGCACAGTTAAATGCTGTCATATACACTTGCTCCGGCAGGTATCACTGTCTAGTGGCCGTTTGCCGCGCTGGTCGCCCCCCAAAAAAAAAAAAAAAAGAAAAAGAAAAAAAAATCTATTACGTCGGGGTGGAAAACGAGAAGACGAAAAGAAAGAAGGTAAAAAACAAAAACATACAACAGCCTTTGTATGTCGGTGGTCACCTAGCGCCCACGATTTTGGTCTAGGCGGCTCGCTGCCCTATTCATCTCTTCACCTGAAGGGCCGAAACCTACATGCAAAAGTCGCCTTCGGGTATTTTTGTGTGGAAAGAATTAACGAGACCCCAGAGAGATAAGAATTGTATTAAGAAATGCTTTTCGCTCTTCTTCACTAGCCTAGCCGTTGCTCCACTTCTTCTGTCACTCGCGTGACCTCCATTACCCCAAGCCAACGCCTCAGCATAGGAGCATGTATTTAAGCTGAGCTAGATACTGGATAATTGTAGTACTGGTTGTTTGATTGAGTGTATATGAAAATTCCTACACGACTGCTTCTACACAGATATTCTTACTCCATAGGATCATCACTTACTGATACCTAAACGCTAGTAGATGTCCAAGGATATTTTGGATGTCGTTTGTAGACTACTATCATACTTTGAGCAATTACACCACACTGCACGGATGCAGGAGCCAGTGATAAATTTCTGCTATCACGAAAGATACTGAGAAAAGGTATCAATAATAAGAATGCTCATCGACCTGGAGCAAGACGAAAGCAAGAAAACTAAATCCATGTGGATCATGCACCGCCGAGTCAACCCGCATAAACTGGGAAACGAACTTCGCAGGCACCAGTTATTGTCTTGATGTCATTGAAAATATCTGAAATCAATGAGAAGTACCCTACGTTCATTCGTTCGGTGGCACCGAAGAACATACCTACCACATTCCCACTCTCCTCATAAACGAGGGCGCCAGAGTCTCCTTTCTCGCAAAAATTTTTGCCATCCTTGGGGCCGACCGAATGTGTGAAGGTGGGGACAATCCGATAGCCTCCCGAGGCATTCGGATCCCATTCGTGAAAAAGCCTGCACTGGTTCAGCTCGTTGTATACCCCGGAGGTCGTTCCTGTGGTGCGTCCTGTCTTAAATAGGATCTCTTTAAAGCGCATTGGATCTACAGGCGACCGAGAGTAAAACGTAGGCGGGTCAGCGTCGTGGGGAGAGTATGGGAAAGGCTTGTTGACGTCGACAAGAGCATCACCAGTGGGGAGTCGCTCCGTGTCAATTTGAACCAGGGCCCAGTCTAATATCCGCTTGTCTCCGCCTGCAACGGTTACTTGACGATGGATACCACTGCCGCAGAAAACATGCCCAAGTTTGTGAGATTCTTTGTGCAGGAAATTTTCGAAAACGGCTCTGCGATCTTCCCAGGACCGAATATCTCGTAGGGTGCTTTTGTAGGCTTTCTCGTCAGGGGGGATCATAAAACCACCGCTCCCTTTTTCAATTGCCTCCGCCAGCTCATGCAATTCTAGGAATTCGGAAGAGCGTCTGGAATTGATTCGCTTCTTGATGCGCATAATGGTGTTCTGGAGGTCGAATGTCGAAGGCTGTTCAACTCGGAGGAGTTCTCTGGCCATGCGATCACCTGGAGAGATGGGGTTGTACTCCCATTGTCTAAATGATTCTCGTGCACCTTGGATGTTGTCCAGGTTTAACCGGTGCCCTTCTGGGGGGTAGACGCAATGGAAGCAAGTCAAAGCAAATCGTTGCCAGACAGACTGACCTGGAAACCTTAGCTCCACGATACCCCCCATAGTGGAGGAGCCAGCGGAACTGTTTTGTATGCCTATGCTTAACCCTGGACGCACATGCTGAGTGCATGCCTCGACCAGAAGTTCAGGGCCTATATTGGGCTCATCGACACAGAGATGGTCTTCGTTCTTGATGAACAGCACGTCGACATCCTCAACGGATTGTATGGCAAGGACTCCTTTGATCCGTCGAGCAGCGGTGTGGAATGGGCCATCAGCAGACTCTCGGACGCTGACAATGATGGTGACGGCGTTGTCCCTTCTCTGCTCCTCATAGCCATAGCGCCAACATGATATTCCAACCCATTGCTGGAGATTGGAAACACGCAGGATCTCGTGACAGATTCTTCTCCATTTTGAATAGACGGGATGTGTGCGCTCGACAGGGAAACACTGTGCGGGACGCAACAATCTTTCATCAATTATTTCAATGGAAAGATCGATAAATTGGGAGAGGATGCGAGCATGAAGTTCCCTGGCTGCTTCGCGCCATTTTTCGGATCTCGGAGATGGCTGTCGAGGCATGATGATGAGGAGGGTGGGGATTGGTATCGACTCGCTTCGAACGACAGACAGACGACCGGTTACATCCTGTGTAGAGGGAGTTAAGGCGTATTTGTCAAGGATCTGGTCGGACAAGCGATAAATCTCGATCTCCATATCATGCAAGAATGCCCTTTGGGCGTGGTCAAGGGCCACTGTGTTTGCGGGTAACGAGCAAAGCACCGGACCGCCAGCGCGGAAGGAAGACTGAAGGAAGCCTCTGCTGTCAACGTCGGATTCGGAAGTGAAGAGGGAGGTAGGTGGCGAACTTGACGAGGAGATGAAGGCCATGGAGTGGGCACTTGCTCGATTCCTCGTCAGCGAAGTCGCGTCGGACACGGGGCTGAACATTGTATTGCTTCAACCTAGGAACTTCTCTGAAGGAAGGATGCTCTGTGGATACTAATGGCTCCAGAAAATACTGATGATATTGCAGATGTGAGATGGGTTGTGAGGAGCAGAGAAGAGAGATGAGGAAGAAGAATGGTTATCTACTAGTAGTGAGAACCCACGATCTAGGTGGCTGTGAATGCCTGAGGCCTAAGGCCACCTAACCGGAAGTTACTAGACCTCTTTAGGCTAGCCAAGCTAGCGGAAGCCAAATTGGGCGGGAACATCCCCGCCTCCTGATTGGTCCCCGTGTAACGTAAGCGGCAAGCGAGTGGACCGCCTACCCGCGATCGCGTCGCGTTCCTTGAACCTTACCAATTCAACCACCCACCATGCCACCTATTCGTGATCAATCAGGCCCTACGCGTGCCAATCAGGAGGGTAGGATCTTATTAGCAATTGACGCTATTCGAAAAGATCAATCACTCTCTCTTCGCCAAGCAGCAGGCATATACACAGTTCCTAAGACTACACTCCGTCGCCGCCTTGATGGTATTACTGAACGCGCTACCACACGCGCGAATTCTCATAAATTGACTCAACTGGAGGAGGATTCGCTAGAGAAATGGATATTATCTATGGGTAGGTGCGGGATTTCCCCTCACTATCCTCTAGTGCGATCAATGGCGAATATATTACTTGCTCAGCGTGGTGAACCATCCCCACAAAAGACCGTGGGAGAGAAATGGGTACGAAACTATATTAAGCGAACACCCTCGCTTACGGGACGATTCTCACGTCGATATGATTATCGGCGAGCTGAATGCGAGGATCCTAAGGCTATTCGCCAATGGTTTGATCGCGTGGTTGATACTATTCAAACCTACGAAATTGCCAACGAAGACATCTACAATTTTGATGAGACCGGCTTCGCGATGGGCCTCACTAGCAAGGCTAAGGTAGTCACTCGCGCGGAGTATTATGAGAATCGATCAAAACTACTACCTGGTAATCAAGAATGGGTCACTGCTATTGAATCAATCAGCGCAGATGGAAGAGTGCTTCCACCGATGATTATATTTAAAGGCAAGGTCTATAATAATGGGTGGTTCGAGAACCTATTACCAGGATGGCGAATTGAAGTTAGTGATAATGGATGGACTACTGATCAAATTGGCCTACGATGGTTAGGAGACCATTTTATACCATTAACTAATAGCACTACTGGCAAATATCGCTTGCTAGTGCTAGATGGTCATGGTAGTCATATCACTGCTGAATTCGATCATCTTTGCAGGGAAAATGATAGTATTCCAATCTGCATGCCTTCGCATTCATCACATCTCTTGCAACCTCTTGATATAGGTTGTTTTTCAATTATCAAGCGAGCATATGGTCAATTCGTCCAATCATTGATGGTGATGGGAATCAATCATATTGATAAGCTTGATTTTCTATCTGCCTATCCACAGGCGCGTGATAAGGCCTATAAGCCTACTACTATCCAACGCGCGTTCGCAGGCGCAGGGATTGTACCATATAACCCTGAGCGAGTGATTGAAAAGCTTACTATCAGGCTTTCTACACCTACACCACCACCACCACCACCAAGCCGTGATAGTGGTAGTAGTAGTTTCGCTCCTTGCAAACCTGCTAGGCCTATTGATATTCACCGGCAGGTAAGATCAATAGGGAGACTACTAAGAGAATCACCACCTAGTCCTGCTAAGCAAGCGCTTACGCAGCTCGCTAAGGGATTTGAGGTTGGCCTACATCACGTTGCTTTACTAGAGGCCGAGATTCATCAATTACGCCGTGCGAACGCCTGGATATCAAAAAAGAGACATATATCAGGTAAAACTCAGCACAGGGAAAAGGGCCGTTTTTTTGAAGAGTGGCAGGATGAGATGGCAGAGGCACAATTAATGATGGAAGCGAATAATGCTACTGGACAAGCACCGGCGGTTGCCACTAGTTCGACCAATCAGAGGGCACCACGGCGCGGTGGAAGGTGTCGGAAACCAGGGCATTATAGATCAAATTGTAAGGATTAATTTCATATAGCTATCAATGGGAAATTGGCGTTGGTTGTTGAATAATAGTAAGTTATATTGATCAGTAGGTCGGTAGGCGGTCCACTCGCTTGCCTGGTCCACTCGCTTGCCGCTTACGTTATAGTGACGAACACACCAAACTTTGCGAGCAGCTCGCGCAGGGTAGTAACCCCTTCACTCGTTCCTCGTTTCAGGGCAAGCGTGCGTGGCAGAACAGTCCATATACAGTTAAGCCACCTCTTTTTGCAACGTCTCGCGCTCACGCACATTCGCGTTGATTAGTTCCCTTTCTCTCACTTTTTTCGTTTCACGGCATACGGTCACAGTTCGTAATTGTTTGGGGCGTACCTACCCTACCTTAATTTATGCCCATGGACTGAAGTACCGTGTTCTAAACACTAATGAACGGTGACAGTATTTGCGGACAAGCCACGATCAGCAGCTAACCTACAGCTAACCTAAATATAGACTAGCGCATTTCACGATAAGGTTGGAGAATTATTTTCTGAGTGGACGAAGGGGAATCTGATTTCGAATATGGCAGTACCTGTTGATAACGCCAATTGGTTTTACGGTAAACCTACTTCGAGCTGCTTCATGGAGACCGAGCCCAACCAACGGTGGAAAGTGTTGCAGGACAGTGGCAACCAGTCTCCACAGGCGTGGTTCCTTGTAATCAACTCTCTGATGAAGGAAGCTCAAAACACCGCTGATCCCCAAGGGACGTCTACCCTAGACAACCCTGGCCATTCACAGTTCAGTCGCCGTTCCCCAACGCCCGAGCCGGCCACAGAGGTTCGCCAAAATTTGGAGACCTTGGCGAACGCGGTACGCTGCTTTAGCCTGGCCTTGCCCGACCGTCTCCACTATCGCGGCCAGTATCTAGTCTTTGGTGCCCCTGTCCCACGGCAGGCAGAATCTCAGCGACAGTAGCATAGCTCCGTCTTTAAAATCTTCGTCATGACGCAACTTGCTCGCTTGATGATCTATCTATACGACGCATTCCGACCCCAGAGTCGTCGGTCTGAAATCAATGGTCGTCAGTGCTCCGGGGACTCGGCTGGTCGGGTGACATTTAAAGATACAGATAACGTCGCGCTGCGACAATATAAGTGGGGTACACCACTTTGTCTCTCAGACAGGGAAACGAACATCAAATGTTCTGGTGGAGACGGGGTAGATCTCGGGATCTTTTGGCGACCAATACTAAACGAAACACCATATATAGCCATGCCTTCCAATGTGAAATATGTAAAATAAGAATGGTACCTGGTATTCCAAGTTTGAAGAGAGAATTTTTGCTGTATTCCTTATGATTAAGTAAATGCCTCCCTAGATCAGTATACCAGCTAGATTTCCTACTATGAGCACCGGAACCCTGTGGAGTCCGGATTCCTAGACAAACCGAAAAGAATTACCAAATGTACCGTTCTAAGATTTATTAGAAAATACTAGTAGTAGTTAAGCTTCCGTTCTATAAAGACCGAAGGAATATCTCAATGGATTCATGCAAGAGGCGGAAGTCAAAGGGTTATACACGCTCCCAAATCAATAGTATAACGAACGTGGGTAATGAGAATACAGAGTCAAAGAAAACTCGAACTCATCAGCTCATTGCCTACTTCCGAGGTCTTCGATACGACACAATTGCTGTTCCTTACAGTTGGTCCTTTTCATCTAGCTCCCTCTGCAACTGAGCCACCAATCCAACTGCAGCAAATGTTCCCATCTGCGCAGCTTGAACAACTGCATGCATGGGTGGGGGGGCACCTGCATCCCCAGCAGCCACACAACCTGGCAAGCTCGTCTCATTGAACGGCGTTGATAATTTGATATGCCCCGCCGGCGTCATCTCCAGGCCCAGTTGGCCCGCAAATGGTGCACGCTGCTCCACGCGGGGTCGGCTCACAATGAATCCTTCATTTTTGGAGGTGCCATCTTCAAAATGCAACACTACGAAGGGTGGCTTGTCCTCGGAACCGTCTCGGTGTTCGAACTTGATTATTTTCCGGTCATCGTAGGCAATCTTATTGCTGTGGATAATTGCCTTTGTCGAGGTGATGAGCTCAGGATTTCCATTGGTATAAATATTAACGTGCTTGGAGAGTCGCTTAGCCATCATAGCGATATGGGCGAGCGCCTCGGGGGGAGGAGCGCCTGTAGCGAGAGCACCGACGGAGTCTGCGCCGCGTTCTTCGTAGCCATGGCAGAAGAGACAGTGAAAGCTTCGAATGTTAGCTTCATAGATCGAAATAAAAATTCAAAGAAATGGCCGTGGGAAAACTTACATACTGCGCCCCCAACACTCCGCGTACCCCTCGACCTGCTCCTCAACGACGTCTCTCACACCTGTCCCTAACGCTAGCTTGCGTCCCTGGTAGGTCTTTCCCTGGTCATCTACCGCTTCGAACAAGTCGGCGACTTTTCGGACAGTTTGGATTTTGGCAGACACAAAATCAATCGTATCATATCGCTTCTGGAGGTCCTGCTTTGCCTTGGCGCGATAGATGGCTGGATTAACGTGGTCAAAGCCGGAAACATTATGCATGTGGGTTGCCCGCTCGTTGCGGTAGACACCCGAGTCAAGCACCAGAGAGGTATAGAGCTGTCGGGCAAGACCAGTGGCAATGGCGAGTCCTGCTGGACCACCTCCTATAATGAGAACGTCGTAGGTCTTGAGCATGTTTGCTGCGATTGTTACTAGGAATCAAAGGTTGAAAATTGGTGGTGAATTTCCATACAATACAGAAAGCTTGAGGTCCTAGTTGATAATTTATAGTTAGAATCAGGAAAAGACGTCGCCTTTTATAGCCCTCAAAAATATGGAATACTATTAGTACCTTGGTGAGTCATAGACCTGCTGTAGGGTGGCGATGGAGTGCGGGGGAAGTTGGATCTGGCGTGACAGTGATAAACAGGGTAGAAAATAGGAATAGTACAGAGTGGTCAGAAACTATTGACTACACAGAGAAGTAAATAATATTGGGTGCACGGCGTGTGTTCTACTTATGCCTCTCTACACTCGTAATTAAGTGTCTTTACGCTGTGATGAGAAATCATTGTCGATAGATAACCTTAAGCTCCGACCGCGAACCAATAGTCACTTAGGTCGAAAGTTAATTAGTCTTTACCTGTTTATTCATCATACTCGAGAAAAGTGGAGTTTTCTATTAAAGTGGTATGTGATTGGCCCAGGCGGAAATCTCGGGCCCGCCGTCCCCTAAGAATTACTCCGCTTTCTATTTCTAGTCACCATTCTCTCCCCCACATTTTTTCCCTAAAGGCTTAACTATTATTCGGGCCGACTACAACCTACACTCGCTTAAATCTACTATGCAAATTCAGGACGTTATGATTAGTGGCGACGTAGCCGGGGACTAAAAAGATAAGATTTTAACTAATATATCAACTTTAATACTACGCCACCCGGAAATATGAATAAATATTTCGACGCAAAGGAGTAGGTAGTACTTAGTAGTGGTGGTAAATTAATAATTAGTTAAGCGGATAGGTTAGTTAATGACTTAACTTAGGGTCAGACAAAGAAATTCCCATGGAAGAAGATGAGTATGACCATTGAGGACAAGTGGGTTCAGTCTTCATTGACGCACTGAATTGGATTCTAGCAATAAACTTGGGCGGAGTTCAGGCCAATCGTGGCGATCCACCGATTTTTCGATTATTCAACAGACCTGACGCCCCCGACGCCCATGACTAAAGCAACGCCGTCACGTCCTTTTCGCGTTCTTAGATTATCCCTTACATCACTGCATGTCTTCAAGATAAAGAAATGGCCTCAAAAGCAATACACGATGGTCGAAGCAATGCTGACGCCCCCGCGCCTCGCAAGAGAGGCCGGCCACGAACTGGGACGGACGATCAGCAAGTTCCCGAGGTGGGTACATCTCGAGCAACTACAGAGCAAGTTGGAACTGACTCAAGGAATCCAGAGACGTCGAACGCAGCTTCGCGTCGCGCAGCAAGCATATCGCAAGAGAAAAGAGACCACGATCGTCAATCTGCAATCTCGCGTACAGGAACTCGAGTCGGGCATCGAAGAGCTCAGCGAGTCGTTCCTTTCCTTCAGTAATCTTCTGTTCGAGGTTGGGATTCTCCAAAATCAGCCTCGTGTCACAGCTGCTCTGCAAAAAATTACACAGCAATGCGTGTCGCTTGCCAAAAGTGGCTGCGACGAGGCCGAACAAGCACCTGCAGCGCCGGCGGACGTATCGCCATCGACGTCTCCCACGGTCAGCGATACACAAGATATAATCTCAAATGACAATCCGCTCATAACGCAACTTGGTTCATTGCCAATATTCGATGACGCCTTCCAGTCCACGTCGGACCTCGCGGCTCAATGGCCTGGACTATCACAACTACCCCCTACGCCACCCTTCCAAGAACAAGCAATTCTACCGTTCGGAATAGTCTTGTCGTCTCCGAATATCCCCTTCTCATCCATCCCTAGTCCCGCCTTGAATTTCCCGACCATAGTATCGCCCGATAATCTCCTAAAGCAAGGGCGCTGGACACTCTCACACCGTCTGGTCCGACAATGCTGCGAGACTGGATACTATCTATTAACAAGCTCATTTAGAGACGATCCAAGGGTCAAAGCAATCTTCGGCAAACGATTGACCATCGACGAGCGCAACCGCTTCATCTCCGGATTCGTCGATGTCATGCGCGACGAAATAGGAGACACGATCGAGTTGAGGACAAAAGTTCTCAATTCAAGGAGGAATAGCTACTCGCCTGAACAACTCGTCGTTTCCTCTCGAGCGTGGCAAATTGTCAATGAATCGGGTGCTGATGAGTGGATGGATGCGAGTGGTGTGCAAAGGCTGCTACAGCAGCGAGGGATTCGTATTCAGGACCCGAGCTCGCCCCTCTCCGGTCCCCGGTTCAATTCGGCTCCGCAGCTCAACGTAGCGAGCTTCATTAAATGTGAGTAATGCCGAGATTCAATGGTTCTTTGTGTCTTCTTGTCCATGTATTTACTGACCTTGTCGTAGATCTTTCCCTCGGGCCTATCTGTCTCGGTCGCGGACCAGCGTTCCGAAAGCGCGATGTTGAGAATGCTATTCGCCTTGCAACTCTTGATGATCCTTGGGCGTTTAACGCTGTGTGCGAAATGCCGTGAATTATGTATAATAACATTAATTGTCTTCAATAGATATAATCTCCGCTTACTTTGCATGATGGGACGATTACAAGTAGGATCCCGCTGTGGAGTTGAGGAAATCCTTCCAGTGCATGTGTTCAGCTGACATCGGTTTCGCCAGTCTCATGACCCTCTATGTGCATATAAAAGACACCATTTTCTGGATTCCAACGTTATCAACCCTTTCAGGGTAAAATAGAGCCTAATTTTCCCGTCTAATCTATATACGAAGCTCGCAAGTACACCACGAAAACACCGATATCGCCCAACTAATCCCTAAATTCACCGTATACGTCCGCCAATTCGTCCCTACTTCGATACAAATATAAATATCATCAGGTCCTACAATCGAGACCCAGACAAAGAGAAAAAGCCCAGCAAGCCCGCGATGTCCCTTGAAACTAAGAATGAGAAGCATAATCTCAGCCGCTGCGTTTCTGCAGCCGATTGCCGGTCCGAGGGCTGCTTTTTCGTCATTGGCGTTGGCGATTCCGAAGATTTCGATTACTAAACGATTACAGTGAGCTTGATGGGATGCCGTTGGGATGGAATCGTCTTCGAACCTTTGAGGGCATGAATTTGCCAGAAATAGGTCTTAAGAATGTAGGCTACAGCAGAGAGAGAGAGACCAACTTGGTGGGAAAGGATAGATTCAAGGGAGTTAAAGAAGCTAAGATCTAACGGAGGTGGGGAGAGCTAATAAGGTAGGTCATATGACCGCAGGAGGTCAGGACCAAGCAAAGAATAGCCACTCGAGATTAGCATCAGGCCGACTGTGTGGAGGAGGAAATCTGCCGTTTGGCGAAACATTGTCGTTGTTCGGGGTTGGAAGATTAATGCCTGCAGTAACGGGACATGCTTTATTATTTCTACGTAGAGGGCGGTAGACTATTTATTATTGAATTGTGTAGGTTCACATTGAGCTCGGGCGTTGTGTTATGCTCATGTTGTGCTATGTGGCGCAAATCTCTACTTCCGATTTCCCTTCATTAACCTTATTTATATCTCTTATTTTGTCTTCTTGCATATTGTTTCTTTCTTTCTAGCTGTGCAGGTTTGCGAAATCACTGGCTTGGACGGTGTCCCGGTGTACCCAGCATGGCTCTATACCTCATAGCTCTCTAGGTCTTAATCAAATGAGGATTTGTGAGAGTAGTTTATCTTCGAGTCAATTGACAGATCAAGGTATTCCAACAGTGTGATTATGCATTAATGCGTGTTCTATGCCCGCTGAGTGTAAATTCCATATATGAAACGCCAAATCAAGGATATTAGAATGAATAGGAAAGAGCCGACAGGATGAAAAGCCGGCTAAACCACCGCGTACAAACTAAGATAAATACCCCAAATCACCCCACAGCCACTGCTAAAGACGACTCGCCGGTCGATAGGGATAACCGTGTATATTAGCGTCGACACTACGGGGCGTTACTTGAGACTTGAGACGGGCGATCATAATGGGACGAAAATCCTGCAGACATCGATGAGCACTATTCGTAAATTCAACAAAATGATAAGTGAAAGTCAGCAAAAACGAGGAAACCATACCACAAGCACCAACTCCCATGCCTCCCCCGCCGTCTCCCCCTTTAAAATATTAATCAAAACAACAAAAAGCACAATATTCATCGCTCCCGCCACGGTCTGATCTAGCAAAAACTTCATGACGAAGCTATGCACCCCGGACCGCTGCGTCCTCGGCGCGCCCACCGAGTCCCGGTCTCCAACTCCTTCTCCTTCTCCTTCTCGAGACGCCGGGGCAACGCCTCGTTATCGCTGACCTGCGGCGAGACCGTGGAGGGCAGAGTAAGAGCGGAGGAGAAGAATGCGCGCAGAGCGCGGAGGGAGAAGAGAGAGCGCCAGGAGCGGAGGAGATGGGATTCATTGCCAGTAGAAATTGACGGGCACGATTAGGATGCCGTAGGCGATGAATTGGAGGAGGGCGAGGGTGTTGAGTGTGAAGGGGGTCTGTAGTTTCCTACTCGGGATCCCTAAGACGGTTGCTCGGGTTAGGTGACCTTGCCGAAGGCCGAGTTATTTTCGCTGCTGCTGGGTTTCTTGCTACTTTAAGCGTCGAGTTTACCTTAACTCCAGCGCTAGGACTGGATCTTGGAAATTGCGGAGTGACCTATTTCGGAAATGAGTGAGGCAGTTTTGAAACGGTTTACTTCGGAGCAATCGGAGGGAAAATTGCATCTGCGTCAAAGCTAGACATGTAATGATCAAGTAAAAATGGACCTCTTGGTTTGCATTCGCGCATCACCCTGCACATTCAATCTTCCGTGTCAGAGTGCGCCACGACAATGTCACTTGGCTTATCTGACATGACACCTCGCCTTTCACCGACGAGAAGACAAACCAAGTCTCTCCAGATAATCCAATACTCACTTTCTAAATGAATGCTTTTTTCCCTCTGCCGTTGACATCTCTCACGACCACTATGTCCAGGGTTTGAATACAGACTCCAACCAGGGCCAAAACAAACACTAGGCACCAGCCGTAAGGGAATTCCCACT